GCTTCAGCTGGAGGCCACGAGCAAGTGGTCAAACTGCTGCTCGACAAAGACGCCGAGGTCAACGCGCAGGGTGGAAAGTTTGGCAACGCACTCCAGGCGGCTTCAGCTGGAGGCCACGAGCAGGTGGTCAAGATGCTGCTTAAGGCGGGCGCTGATCAACACCAGGTAGAAGGCCTTATGTCAAGGCCTGGGTAGCTCTTTCTATTCGCCCTAGCTGTGAGAGGTGTTCAATAAACATTTTACGTCAGCGCAGATAGGGTATAGGAGAACAACATTGCGCACGCACTCGTTGATGCTCCTAGAAAACCATCACCATGCGCCACATCCATTTTTGTAATCATACAAGGGTAGGCATAACGCTGAATTTATTACGATCGAATACAGCGGCGCATGAGCGTGCTAATGCCGCCTGATGCATGCCAAGACGCATGGGCGCATCCTGTTAGCTCGAGCCTGTCTGCAGGGATCTCATTCTCTGCCCCACAGGGCTCCCGGCATGCATATTCTTACACTTGAGTGATCTGTAGAGCCCGGGAAAACGATCTTCCTTTGTTGCGCTTTCTCCCCAGCCCTCCAAGACCTGAGGAGACTTTCAACACGGCGAGTAGACAGGGAGATATTGCTGAAGGCATGTTTGACGGCGCTGGCAAAACGATCGACAGCATAACCAACACCACGGCAATCCCCGTCGGATACTGGTGTCACGGAGGAGAAATAGCTATGTAACCATGACAGATCAACGGCAGCTCCACAACCTTGCAAATGAGAAGGCGCCGAAGGTCCGAACTGCAAACCCGTCTCTCGATACAGGCTGTCTCTTCACCCAGGGACGCATCGTACGCCCGGTGTTGAAGCGGAAAAGTACTGGGCGCAGTGAGCAGTAGTCCTGGAGGCCTAACCTTGGAGATTGTGAACGGCTGTAAGCGCACCAGGATCCATATCGTGCGTGACTGCTACGAAGAGTAGCACTCGAGCAATGCAAACGATGAAGTTGGAGTACAGGCATGTAAATCATCAATTCACTATCGTACGGGTGCGGGCCCAGCCCAAGGAGCATTAGGGGCACGAAGACTGACCATAAGAAACCATTTTCCAAACGCAAGACATCTCAGGCCATCGGTATGATGAGGATGATGATGAGCGGCCGTGACAGAAAAATGCAGATGGATAAGTATGCCGGTATGAAATATGCAGAGAGGAGACAGTATCCAACGCCCAGAGAGATGTACACATGCACCAAGCCACCCAGACCAGTGTTGACGAGCGTCGGGTATCTACCAGAAGAAAGGAAAGAAATCGGTGATAGGGTAGTGGTCTGTTCAGACACCCTCTACCATGACGTAGTCGTCGGTATCATGCGACTCTTGACTCGGCGACGGCTCGGAGCAGCTGCAATCCCGCATCTGCTGGACGAAGTCAAGAGCTAAGTCTAGTCAGGACGACTCGGGAGCGAAGAAAAGGACGATCTCGCCCCTGTCGTTTCGCTTGAGACGGATGTCCTTCCAGAGCTCCTTCTCTTCATCTGCCTTGTGCAGATCGTCTTCCCGTCGCTCGTGACGCTCGCGGTGATACCTCTTCAGAGCTTTGTTGACGCTTACGCCTCGCCCAGATTCGGGACCTTTGTTGATGAAGGACATGAACAACTCAGCTCGCGTGCTGATGGGTAAAGCAAGCTCGCCGGCTTCGGGGCGTACCACGAGCTGGCCGTTGCCATCCGGGGCTGGCGAGCTTGAGGACGATCGGCTGTACTCAATAGCCTTTGGCTTATGCTCTCGTGGCGCCGGTGACACTGACGAAGAGTACTGGCGGCGACGCCTGATCTGAGGCGATCCGTCCGTCTTCTTCTTAGGTCTGATCTTGACGAGTGCTGTGCTGGCTTTGCGCTCCTTGCGCTCCTTCTCACGACCCCTCTCTTTCTCCTTCTTCTCCTTCTTCTCTTTCTTCTCTCCCTTCTGGCGCTCCCTCTCTTCCTTGATCTCCACCTTCTTCTCCTTCTGCTGCTGGATCTCCCAGTCTCGCTGCGCGCGCATCAGCGCCTTCGAAGTGCCTTGCTTGGCGCGCTTCATGGGGCTCAGTGGGGAGTTGGCGAAGTCTCCGGAATCATCAGGCGAAGGTGGGAACTCGGGTCGGGCGAGCAGCCTGTTGAGTCCGCCGGTGAGGCCAGAGTGAAGCATGGGAGGCGCATCCTCCATCATGGTGTCCTTCTCTTCCTGAGCTCGTACGGCCGACAAGTCGAGCTCGGCAGGTGATCGCTTTCGCTTGCGTTCGCTCTTCTTGGAGCTCGTCTCGACGTCCTTGTCCTTCTTCGACTTCCTGGATTTCGGAGCAGGTGTGGTATATGAATCGAATCGCTCGTTTGAGGGATGGACTGGCTTGTCGCCGTATGCGAAGCCAGTCTGGACGAAAGATGCGTCATCTGGCAGCTGGAAGGACATGACGTCTGCAATTGCAGGCATGGGCGTCTCTGTGTAGGCAGGCGGGGCGCTGTCTTCGATCATGCGGGACTCTGTTCGACGGGCGCTTGGTGTCTCGGAGTTGTCGAGGAAGTCGAAAACATTGACGGACGGCAGAGCAGCTTGCTCGTGGTACCCAAGCGAGTGGGCGGCAGGCGGCGGGGTGGGGGCGCGAGGGGGCGCATCGACGAGCGCAACGGCGTTGTCTGCCTCGGTTGCGCCTTGGACATGGGCATTGCGTGGAGTGAGGGCCTGCGCGTTGTTCCTCTGCTGCTGGCCCTTGGGTTTCTTCTCCTTGTACAGCTTGCCCTGGTACTTCTGGTCTTCGGTTATGCAGGCCTGCAGGGCATCGGTTAGTTATCGTTGTGGTAGGACAAACGCAAACTAAACGCAAATTTTCCGGAGCGCATGATATGCGCGCACAGTGCAGCCACTATTGCGCATACCGCTGGGACGAAAGCAGGCGCGCAGTAGATGGAGTAGGCGTACCGTATGAGTTCTGTAGCTGGTGCCCGGGAAGTGGACCATGCAGTCGAGGCAGGTGTAGGATGCGCCGTAGCACTGGTTCCTGTGCGGGTCCAGCTTCTTTTTGGTGAGGACATCGCCGCAGTTCTAGCGAGTCGCGATCAGCTCCAATGCATCTCCAAGGGGGTGAGGGGGGTGAGGGGGGTGGGGGGGGGCCGTCGCGGAATGCGCGCTGGCATCGAGGGGCACAAATAAGTAAACACTCACTTCGCACGAGAAGGAAACCATAATGAGACGGATCAGACGATAACCGGGGGACAATGATAGTAGCGGTGAACAGCTGGCAGGACAGGAATAGAGGCGCAGAGGTCGGTGAGCGTGAGCGCCAGTATATACACCCCTCCTGTGCCCAGAGAGTTTCAGATGGAGGGCTTCGCAGTATCAACACAAGAAATCATGCGCTCCGCACTAGCTGAAAGTGGGACCGCTGCTAGCATCCTGGCATCCCCGACATGCAGGCCCGAAATAACATCACGCGCCGGCTCCATCAGACGCCTGTGACTGGGCTGCAGACGCAAGCCACGGACGGGAACGTCAAGGCACGTCACAGAACCGGTGGGTAGGCGGGTGTTGGCCTGAAGATCTGCTGCCAGAGCGTGTTTCGCGGGCAACTTGCGACGTGCTGCTGCTCTCGTACCACCACACACTCCGCCGTTCAGTGTTCATGAGAGATGGAGGGATTCAAGCCGTGTTCTCGTACCAAGACAAGCTTCCATCAACAATCTTGATTGCGTTTATCGAATACACGTATGTTTCGCGCTTGCACGCGTCGCTGCTCTGCAGGGCTATTCCTGGGCTGATTGCGCGCGCGTGGGCTCCCATTTGCTCATCTACCACATGTACAATCTTCACTCCGGTACCCTGGTCTGCACCTCCCTACCAGAAAATAGCACCGCACCGTCGGGCTCTTCGAGACCACCTTTGCGCCTACTCAGACACACCTCTGCGAAGTCCGGCTGACATGAACGAATTGCGATCAGCCGGAAGACCGGACGGGTAAATCCTGTGGCCCAGGGTGCTTGATTTGCTCTTGCCTGTTGCATCACCTGCTTCTTGTACAGTGAGACATGTACACCCGGACTTGCTGTGCTAGTAGCTATGGCTCCTTCGCTGACGCCGAGTTACGAACAATCGGCTTGCGCACAGTGCCTTGAAGACCTCCAAGGCTGCCCGCCACAAGGCTCGCAGTGTGAGGCTGTCATCGCCAGCGCGGAGCAGTGGCTTTGACGTGCCGCATAGCATCCAAGATTTTGCAGGTGACGCTTGCTTTTTTCCGTAGTGCGATATGTCCAGATCACGCAGCCTTCGGCTCCTTCTCCTCATCCGCGCAGCCACAGTCGTAGTGACTTGCTATCTCATCGCAGTCGAACTCGGGTTTCTTCAACCTCTTGTTGACAACATTGTGCACGAAGCAGCCCCACTGCGCTGCAGCCTTCTGCGACGATACCTGCGGCGGATATTTCTTGAGGACCTGGCCAAAGTGCTCGGCGCACTCTCCGCATGGGTACAGCCGCTGGAATAGGTGAACATATTGTCGCAGCGCTTCTTTTTCCTCGCCTGTAGGCTTTTCCGGGAATCGAGCGAAGGTCGTGTGCATAAGTTTCCAGGCCGCGCGGCCGAGTTCTGCTCTGTTCATGTTGTGTTAGCCGCATCGTCCTTATGACCATGTCCATAGACCTAAACATACTTGGCTGTCGCATTTCCTAGCTTAGGCGCAATCGCGTGTCCCGTGAGTAGAGCTTGGCTGTCCCCGCTGGAGCGACCCTGCTGATGCCCATCGTGTATTATTGAGGCTGCATTCGGTAGTTGTGCTTTGTAGGGTCCAAGAAAGAGGAATGAGAGCGCGGCGAACACAAGTAGGACGAGGATGGCGAAGCGATTCGAGCGTATCATGGTATGTATGTTATGGCAGCGGAGACGATTGTGGTGTGTAGGAGGGGGTCGCCCCTGAGGTGAAAGAATACTGTGTATGTATACTGTTGTTCGATTACGAGGTTACGAAGCCTGGTGCGTGTCGACATCTCTCACACCACAAACGCCAAGATATCTCCGACAACAGCCCATGTCCGAACCACTTGTGGCGGGACGTCGCCCCTGCAGAATGCACGCAGTGACTTGTGCCGGAGACTTTGTGGCCGCCAGCATGTATAAGAGCAACTATGGCTGGCATGTATCCGTGAATAGCAGCAGCTGTGTCGCTTTTGGTAGACTACTGCGGCTGACTCAGGACCTTGCCGGATATGGCGTCACCGATATCGCAGCTGTGGAGAGCTCACAGAACGTCAAAAGAGCATCCAATATTCGAAAAGGCCGAGAGCTGTCTGGCTATGCCCACGACCTCCCCACACCACAACAACAACCACACATATTACAGCAAACATGTCTGACTTTCCTCCTAAGCCCGTTGATACCATTGGTACGTGGATTGATTGCATTTTCCTGTAATTGGGCTAACAGGTTGACAGACTGGAGCAACGTGGGCTTCAAGATTCGTGAAGGTGAGTTACATTCTGTTATACGTTCGTATTGAAGTCAAGCAAGAGAAGATGCAAATGTACCCATTGTGTCACAAGAGAAAGCGCCCGGAAACTGGCACTTGAACAACCACTCCTTCACGACTCTAGCAGGACACAGCTGCAATTAGTATCTAATGTGTGCCAGTTGCCGGACATGTCGAGTCACACTACTCGCTTGAGACTGGAAAATGGACAGAGCCAACTTTTGTGGAGGACCCGTTCCTGCGAATCCACGGCATGGCACCCGCTCTGAACTACGGCATGCAGTGCTATGAAGGCATGAAGGCCTTCCGCTCGCCAGACGACACCATCAACATCTTCAGGCCGAACATGAACGCCGAGCGTATGCAGCACTCAGCCTCCTACATCTCGGTTCCCGATGTGCCTACAGATCACTACCTCAAGTGCTGCAGCTTGGCGGTAGGAATGAACGCAGCATATGTACCTCCTCATGAGACAGGCGCAGCCATGTACATCCGTCCCCTGCTATTTGGTAGTTCGGCACAATTGGGTCTCAACCCACCTCAAGAGTACACTTTTGTGGTTTACTGCATTCCCACTGGAGTGTACCACGGAACCAACCCTGTCGATGCTCTGATCCTCGAGGACTTTGACCGTGCGGCACCCGAGGGAACTGGCTCGGCGAAGATTGGTGGTAACTACGCTCCAGTGTTGCGACACAGTGAAAAGGCGTACAAGGCAGGGTACGGTATCACTCTGCACTTGGACAGCAAGACTCGAAGTGTCGTTGACGAGTTCTCCACCTCGGCCTTCATCGGTGTCAAGAAGGACGGCGACAAGGTTAAGCTCATTGCATCCGGCAGCAAAAATGTCATCAAGAGTGTCACTGGCGACAGTGTGCTCAAGATCGCTGAGTCGTTCGGCTGGGAGACAGAATCACGAGAGGTATGAAATGAGTTACGTCGAACACGGCCAACAGTCGACTAACGCAGAGCAGATCCCATACGACGAGATCAAAGAGTTCGACGAGGTCCTTGCCGCAGGAACCGCGGCAGCTTTGGTGCCTATCAAGTCGATCACTATGAACTCGAAGAGCGACAAGATCACCTTCCCCGCGGCAGAGAAGGAGCCTGGCCCGGTCTGCGTCAAGCTACTCACCACTCTGCGAGGTCTTCAGCAGGGCAAGATTGAGGACAAGCAGGGCTGGCTGTACAAGGTCGAGAGGCCAGCACAGTTTGGCAAGACTGATGTGAATGGTGGCGCTAAGACGGTTGGCCAACTGCCTTGATAGGTTTCGATGACGAAGCAAACGAAAAGCATGATACATGTCCATAAAATGAGATGAATAGAGAGAATCCGACTTCTAAACAAAGACGACAAAAAACAGTCCCACAACGATGCGCCCAAATTGATTTAGCATCATAATAGACAGTTTGATATATCTACATTTCAGCACCAGCTCACTCTCGTGCATTGTCCAAACGGGCAAGATACATGAATACGTCATTGGACCAAAATCGACGTCGCCCCGCGGCGCCCACGTTCTTCGGCAGTAGTCGAGATGTTTCGCGAGGCAGACACTACCCGCATGACCGCAACGAACCCTGAAAAGCACATTGTCGCACGTCCTATATTCTCAAAAGCTACACACGGCAACCACCAAGCCACGCTATCTTTATTCTAGGGCTCACAAACGCCGCGTCGTAGCGCGCCTGACAGCAACATGCGCGGCGGTCTCAGCCGGCTAATGGACAAGGGCAGACACCACTTCCGACAGACGCTGAGCCCAACTGACGACGCATACCTTTCTTGTGAGCCAGCATGTCAAATGTAGCAGTTGCAATGCTAATGTCAAGCAGACCATGACATAAGGTGTGAGTACGCAACGCCCGCCGACCACGCCATGCGCGCCCGTATGGACCAGGCTGATACGTCGTAGTAATGCGAACGGATGTCGAGAGCATCAAGGATGACTGGCTCACAGACAACGTGGGTATACATCATGGTCTTTCTACCACGGCAGCTAACCCTTCGTGCAGGCTATCGCGTTCTGGCAAGAGTCCGTCTTTCCTACGAAACGTCCTAGCAGGCCTAATTGTGCCTAGATACCTCGAACGCGAAGATCTACAGGCCTTTCCCAAAGCCTCGATCGTTCTCCTCCGCCCCTCAATGAGCTTCATGCTCATGCAATCACCCGATCCGCTCTCTCTCAAAGAGGCCCTGCCCAATTTCAGTACGACCACACACGTCTTCCTCCCCATCAACGACAATGCCGACGTCACAGCCGCAGAAGGCGGGTCGCATTGGTCATTACTGCTCGTCTCCGTCATCGATGGTGTAGCTTTCCACTACGACTCCATGTCCGCTAGCAACGACCGGGAAGCGCGGGGCACAACAATGAAGATGGAACAACTGCTTGGAAAGAGGCTGCGATTCATACCGATGCACGACTCGCCGCAGCAGGAGAACGGCAGCGACTGCGGTGTCTTCGTTTGCGTGTTGATGAAGCATCTGCTGCTTAAGAGATTATTGAGAGCGGACGCAAGCAGGAAGATCAGTATGAGCATGAAGGACGCACACATCAACGCGCGAGATGGGCGCAAGCAGATGCTGAAGGTCATCGAGGAGAGGAAGGAGGAAGGCGAGAGACGGCGATCGTAAGCCACCCGTGTCATGACAACTCGAGAGCAGCAGGCCGGCTAACAGCTGAACAGACGCAGCCACTCGCCATACCGACCGCATTCGGCGCAATCGAAGAGCCCACCTCGCATCGGCGCCGAGCAGGAAGAGGAGACGAAGCATTGATTGCCTAGGACACACATCCTTGGGCATACGCACCCTCGGCGGCAGAGGCGTGATACCAGGCCCCACAGAGAACGCTGTATCGCGATTCCGTCTGTAGCTTCTTTGTTTCTGCAGCTCTTTTATTTAGGCGTTCTCCACACGCTCTCTACCAGTGTTTCGCCTCGATCACCTGGAGAGAATGTTGTGGGAACATGAGTACCACGCAAACATTACGACGCGACTATACGGATCATGCGTTTCATGCATATGATTTCACGCACGACATCTTGACAGAACGAGCATCAGCGCGGAGTAGTAGGGGGATCAAATAGATTCAGGTCTTTCAGCAACAGACATGCCATTTTCCTTGAAAGCAAAGACAGACACAAGACTGTCCTTTGCAGCGTGACGATGAGCTCCAAAGACTGGAGAGCTGTCTCTACAATGTATCATTCTGTTCATGTCAAGCCTACCCAGCTACGACTTCAAGCATCAGGGTCCCATGTCCGTGCCCCTCAGCTCAGATCGGCGAAGGCGTGCTCTCACCAGTGCCGGTCATTTGCTCTCTCACCCATCATCGCCGTTCCTGCATCTTCTGTGTGGCTGAGCCCTCGACCCCACCTAATCCACACAAGTACCCCTCCATCCCACCATGTCCTTCCGAGCTCTCTCATCTTTCACACGCATCTCCGCAACCCACCTCCGCACCCCCATTACATCTACTCCCATCAAACACTTCACTACCACCACACGCAACATGGGTGTCCAGAAGACCATTCTCGTCGAGGGCGACGGCCCGTCCCCCCAGAAGGGCGACACCGTCACCATGCTGTACACGGGCTGGCTCAAGGAGGCTGGCAAGAAGGACAGCAAGGGCAAGCAGTTCGACACGACCGAGAAGCCTGGCCGCGGGCCGTTCAAGACCCCCATCGGTGTTGGCCGCGTCATCAAGGGTGCGCTGACAACTCACCACTAATTGCGCTGTTGGCTAATGAGCACAGGCTGGGACGAGGGCGTTGTCCAGATGAAGCTCGGCGAGAAGGCGAGGCTTGATATCAGCTCTGACTACGCCTACGGCAGCCAGTAAGTCGCCCGTGCTTGTCGCTACTACGCCAGCTCTGTACTGATTCGATCAGGGACGTCGGCGGCGGTCTGATTCCCGCCAACTCGGAGCTCATCTTCGAGGTTGAGCTCAAGAAGATCAACTAGAAAGGACACAGCGATGGACGGGACATTGGACATGGACTAGAAGCTATCGAACTGAGTAGCAGGAACGGCTGAGAGGTTGTTTCGGGGCTTGTTCGTAGGCAGCATGAGTTCAGTCCTGCTGGATGCCGTCGATGCAGACGCTGATTCCAAGCAGTAGCTGTCGTCTAATGAACACCTCTCCCATGATTATTAGCCGTGCCTGTCCTCGTGCAAACCTTGTCCCTCGAGTGTTGGGCTTGACGCGTAGCACGTCCGCTGAGAAAGCCAGGCGCTGCGCATCGATGAATTGATTGTGACACGTGGAAGATCTAATAGTATTCTGACAGCCCTACACCTCTAATGCAAGATGCCGACCTCCTGAGATGCCGACGACCTGAGATGCCGACGTTTTGTACATGTATGCTACAATCCAACCCATCCCCGCTCAAGAGTACGCAAACTGGTTCTGCCTGCCCTTGTCAGGATTGATGGTGACATTCTGCCTGACCAAATCCCAGTCAATCTTCTCCCACCACGCCCTCAGGTACGCGCTCTTGCCCTTGACGCCATAGTCGTGCAACCACGCATGCTCCCACGTGTTCACGCACAGCAGCGGCACAACATCGGTACCGCCCAGCGGCTTCCTTGGCCGGGCAGGCTGCATCGCTGCTGAGCCGAACGTGCCGACGCTGTTCAGCTTCTGGTACGAGTCGGCGTTGTGGGTGTTCAGGTCGTGCGACTGCCGCCTGTAGTGTGCGCCCGAGAGGGGCGAGCCGGCGATGTATGTGGGAAGGATGCGCAGGCCGCCGAACGTTACGTCGTTGGTCTGGACGAGCCAGACGAAGCCGGGGCCGAACATGGACTCGGCGGTTGCGATGAACGTCTCGCGCAGGGTGTCGATGGAGTTGAAGTCCTTCTTGATCTGGACCGCGAGGTCGGACGAGGGCGCCGACTGCACGTCGGGGTTTGTGTTGATGCCGCGGAAGAAGAAGTGGTTGTTGAACGCCATGCTGGCTAGGTTGAAGACGTAGGCTTTTGTGGGATCGCGGGCGAGCTCGATGACGAGCGACTTGATGTCCTGGCCCTCGAGCGGCGTGCCGACTGTTGATGCATTGAGCTCGTCGACTATGTGCTGCTGGTACTTTGTGAACGCGACCGAGAAGCCCCTCTGGGAGAACAGGCCGGGGACGCCGTTCTCGACGAGCAGGTCGTGGCGGTCCAGCGACGGGACCGTGTAGAGGCTGCGGGCGAACGAGGGAGCTTGTCTTGTCTATGGTATTGCTGTCAGCCGGCCGCTCTGGAGGCCTGCATCGCGTCGGGAGGATCGCATACGCTCGCAGCCGAGGCCGCAGCCCGGAAGGCGGAAGCAGCAGGTCGCCTTGCTATGCACCGCAGAATCGCCATGTGGTGTGAGTGATGGGTGCAATGAGCATGGCGACGTCGACGTCGACGTCGCCATGCTAATAATTCTCGCCCGGGGCACACAGAGCGCTAGGATGCATTGCCCAATCACGACGCGCCCCCTCGCCTGGGGACGAACAACTCACGACACGCAGCCGCCTGTGCGCGTTTCACCCACTCGACTGCTCGCGGCCGCAGAGCCACACAAACAGAGTGCGGCCATGCCACTGCCACGCTACTAGTCGGTGTCTGCAGCTTCTGCTGCGTGCCTGTCGTCCACTCGACGCCTCACCGCTCTATTCCGGGCACTCTGGGCCGCGAAACGGCTGGCCACAAGAGAGCGCATTCGTGCCGTGGGGTCGGCAACGTGCGGCTCTCGTGTGTTTCCTGATGTGTGAACATGTCCAGGAGGTAGATATACTCGGATCGTTTCCTTCGTTTCTCTAGTCTGTTCGTCTCTTCGTGTCTCAGTCTGTTCGTTTCTTCGTGTCTCATTCTGTCCTGCAGTGCGCGGTCTGGTACCCCCCCGCACGTCTTCGTTCACAAACCTCGAGTCTGGTGCCCCCGACCATCTTCCCTTCCTATCAGCCGGACTGTATTTGCATGCACACGTGTTCGTTATGAGCTCCTCAAAAAACCTCTCCAGGCTGTCTGGGATATCCGTCCTCTTCCTTCTCGCGTCCGTAATCACATCGACCCACGCGTCAAGCCTCTTCCTTCGGCAAGCGCAAACTTGTGGAGGCGTCCAAGGTCTGCAGCAATGCGGCGGCAGTTTTCCTTCCGACTTCTGCTGTCCCAAGGACTCGACGTGCATGTCCTTGAACAGTGCAGATGTGCAGTCGGTCATCTGCTGTCCTGCGGGCTCAGACTGCGCCTTCATCCAGCCCATCACCTGCGATATCACCCAGCTCAACGCCACCCTCCATCCTGACAACCAAATGCACCTTTCCGACACAACTGGTGTGGAGCTTCCCACATGCGGCAGCAAGTGCTGTCCGCTAGGCTACACATGCAAGAGCGGCATGTGCTCGAAAGCCGAGACAACCTCAACACCCACATCATCGGCTACATCACCGCCCACATCATCGCCCACATCCACACCATCCGCCACAAAGCCGGCCTCCTCATCACAAACATCCGGCTGTCCAACGCCTGTGCCCGTGAAGCAGGGCTTCGATGGCAAGTCCTTCGCAGCTGGCCTGTTCCCCGGTCTTGTCGTGGGTGCGCTCGGCGCCATTGGACTGATGTGGTTGATTAACAAGCGCCGCGAGACCCACAACGAAAAGAAGTACTCTGGCGACTTTGGTCACGTAGCACGACAGATCAGCGATCCAATCTACGATCCTGAACACGCAGCGAGAGCAGACTTCATCCGGCGCCCGTCGCACTCCACACATCGCTCGCCCAACTCCTACAACTCCAACACCGGCATGGTCTCAAACGGCATGCCGTCCAAGCCCACCGTTGGCACCGGCCTTACACCACGGATCAGGAGCATGTGGGACCGCACACCCAAGCTGAACTTCGGCTTCACCAACAACAATCCAGGCCTACCCGCGAATCCCAGCCCCGTGCGTCCGCCCCCCGCCGTCCGCGCCGGCAGCAGCGACCGCGATCCCTACAAGACACCAACCTTCACACCCAAGCGCGCTCCCTCGCAGCGTCGCACAAGCAGATCGAGCCGCTCCCGCCGCCGCCGCGAGCCGGAGATGGAACAGCGTCAGCACCCACGTCCTACACCACCCGAGCGCCAGGACAGCACCGAGACCATCGACGTGCTGATGCCAGCTCCGAACCTGTCGTTTCTCGCGCCGCCCAAGGCGCCGGGCATGCGGGAGAATCGGGCGACGTGCGATAGTGGGACGACTACGTTTACGAAGTTGATGGAGAGGGCGGGGTTTGACGATGATGTGAATCGAGATGTGAAAAATTTCAGTAGTCCGGCGAGGAGGTATTGACGAAGAGAATGATGTAATGCGTTTCGTTTTCTTTGATGAGCAGTAGAGCTGTTCCTGTCGCCTGCCACGGCAGAAGTACATACTAGATACCAGGCATGATACCATTCTTTTCGATTCTCTGATTATATAGCTTTGATAGCATTCTTTAACTTGCTGGCGTCATTCGACGACCACTTCAACATCTTGCTCAGTTCCATGATACCAAGATGGGCATCTCTGCCTTCTAATTGTCTGCGCGCTCTCAGTGGCTTTCACATCCTCCTGGCCTTTCGATCGCTGTTACCGTCCACGTGAACCCAAACAATCTACTCTTCAGTGCTTTCTTCACAGCATTGTCAGTGTACACGTTCTGCCAACCCCCAGCTTTGTCACCCAAACGAGCCTGTCCCATACATGCCATAACAACCACATTCCTCCCAGCCAATCTATCTCAACTTCCCCATATCACCAGTCCCACCGCAATCCAGACTTGACACGCGGCGAAGATGCAACGTCACTCTACATCACAGCCAGAAAAGTTGGAGGAAGAGAGACAAGGCCTCATGAGAGGCTCATGCTATAATTGCAAGTGCGACAGTCCTTCGAAACCAGTTGTTCTTGCCGACGCTGCGTGGAAGTTGATCGGGTTTCGCAGCAAGAAAACACAACCCGGTTATCATTTGTGATTGCAGATGCCGCGGCAGCGATCGCGAAGGCGCTGAGGCGATGCGATAGCTTCGCTTGGTGGACAAAATGAGTGGTTAGTGTGATCGGTATTCGTTTAGAAGGACTGTGTTGCTTTGTTTTGACCAGAGCTGTGTTGTTGCCGAGTGGTGACTGTTGCCTTGACAGAGGAGAGGAACATAGCTGTAGATGTTTCGTCGCTTTCATCTATAGCCCAGGTTTTGACTTCGAATAGGACGCGGGTGCGGCATGCATACTCCACGTTGCTTTCACCACGACTGAATAATCTGCTCGTGCAAGACAGGCGCGACTTATTGCGAATGGGCGAGCACGTTTCGCGTCTTTCACTTGGACCACAACAAACGCATTGTTATCGATGCAAACACACAGCGCAGACTTTCACTTATCGTCAACAAACATTCGCTGGCCGTTCCATCAACACAATTTCCTTACACATTTTTTGGCAACTGCGGAATTGTGGCTCTTGTCAACCCTTCTTACCCATATCTTTTCTGTCAGTGTCACCTTGAATTGACATGAATAGAGCTAACGCGGGTCCCAGCTCAGTCCATGCCAATCGCAATGTCTGGTAGTGCCTTTCCGCATCGAAGGCAAGAGGAGGTTCATCTGTTCAGTGTAATGAAACAGCCAGAGAAATCGCTACCGATAGATGAAAACTGGACATCATGCGAGGAGGTTCTGCCACACACTCTTTTCTCACGCCATAATCAGCATATCAATCGCGACACCGCTTCTGATAACCGCAACTCCACGTCTAGTGCGGCCGAGCCTCGCAAAGGACCAAGCATCTCCGTTACGCCGCCCAATGATTCGCCTACGGCTCACCACGTATCAAGCTCCTTCTACCGCATCGGGCCCGACTCCACGGGGAAAGCATTGGGCGAGATCCCGCAGACCGCCGCTCGTTCGCCTGTGCAGTCCGGTTGGATATATTACACAGATCCACCACCGAGTAGAGGTCGCTCAAGGTCTCCTGCTGGCGTCTTACTAGATCAATATCGCTCACTCAGTTCAAGCACTGCTAACAGGCGGTATGGTGTGATCGATCTTACGAATCTGAAAAACGCCCTCGACGACCGTCATCCGAGCATGCTGGTAGTTGAGACTGGAGAACAGCATGACGAAGGAGCAATGGACGCAGGCCACTGCAGTTGTCCTGACAGAGTGGTCATCCAAAGGAATCCAGAACCCGCACAACAATATCAGGCTGCGAGCGATGCTCCGCCTATAGCTTCTGACCGCGATCATCATGTACCTGCGTTCCTTGATGCAGATAACTCGGAGGTTTTCAAACGGGAAAACCTCCAGAGTGGAGACACAACAATCAGCAACGCCATCACACCCATAGGCAAGTGGCGCTGTTGTGAATGTCAAAGAGGGCACGACATTTACCGATTCGACGCGACCGAGCATCTGATTAGTATCCTCAACTGTTTGTGCAAGCATCGCTCATGCAAGAGCTGTGCTTTCCAAGGCAACGTCAAGCGATTTGCCCCGATAGACGATGTCGCGGGCGTGGCATCCGTTCCAGTCGCTCAAGGAGATGGCAAGAACCATCGCTTTGGAGTCGTCTGTCGCACCTGTGGCCTATCCTGGCGTGCGGAGACAGTCAAGAAACCAAAGCGTCATGGGTCCCTTCGTCGACGACTATCCATCCTGCCAAAGAAGGTCAATCCGTTGCACAAGCTGCGCCACACGCGGTCGATGATCCATCTCGGTTTGTCTCGTGATCATGTTCCTGAGGAGTCCCGTCCTGGAACCGCACTGTCTACATCTCGCTCGGTCTTCAACCTAAGGTCAGCATCAGATCCGCAAGCGAAGGGCGCGAAGCCTGAGGAGCAGGCACAAGGCGCTGAAGTCAGGTTCTATGGTATCGAGTGCACCTGTGGCAGTGTCACAGATTCGAGCTCGATATGCTTCCAGGTTGTCGATGTACCTAAGGTTGGTGATGGAATGGTCCACAAGAAGCAGAAGAATGTGGAAGCCACAAAGGCAGCAGAACCAAAGTCTACGCCTGGCTTGCGGGTTAAAAGTCACGGTACACCTGTGCTGCATCTCAAGGGTGGTTCCCATCCAAATCCTCTCTTGAGTAACCCAGTCCAGCAGTACAGCCCGCCATAGAGACAGTTGTCGTTGAGTATGAAGGAGTATTCTCCGGTCATTTGCCCCTTGAAATGTCCGATGTCCAGTGTAGGCCTGAAATTATGTTGTAAGTAGATTGAAAGACATGGTTTGGTACCCAATTTCCGTGAACGTTCAAGGTGTGTTGCCCAGTTCCTCGTGCAGTAAGCCTGACATGAGCTGCAACAGCTGAAATCCTACCTGCCAGATTTTTATGGTTCCTGCTGATACTTAGCAGGATCACGCTGATGTGCTTATCATCTCGCCGAAGCCCGCAAGTAATACGGGATTACTTTGGCCGACTGTAGTGGCATCGTGTCGTGCAGGCGTGCCTTTGATATAATGACTCGTTAGAAGTTTTTGCGGCGTACCAGTATGGTACTCGAGGTTACATCGCTAGCGCGAGAATGGAAACGATGTTAGAGGACATGAGCAGTTGGTGGATCAGCCCACCACTTTGATACGCGCACCTCTATCAGCCGTCATCTTTCTCCATCGCGTTCTCCGAGATCTAAAAACCCTTTGTGTAGATGTTATGATGTTTCCTTGTCACTCAACTCTTTGTCAACCAGCTGTTGCACAGTCTTGACAAGTACCTGGGACGAAGGATCAGATGTGCCTTGTGTTTAGCCCTGAGACGGCTCACGACCGCAGCAAAGAACTAGTCCCTAGTCCAGGCATCGACAGTGAACAGGCGGTGAATTTTGAGGCTTGCATTGGGGCAATCGGGATGCGGTGTAGTCCACGGGTGATGTTGGTGATGCTGGTGACTTGGGGAGCGGTGGCGGTGCAGTCGCAGGCGCCCGCCTTGTGTTCCTGGCGCCCGAACGCTGTAGCTGCGCCTGCCGCATCCGGCCGCCCTCATTATTGCAAAGCCAAACAATAAAGCGCACAACAAGCGCAAGCAAACAACGGTATCTTTATTCACATCTCTTCCGTTCATTCCAGCGTTTGAGCAATCTGCTTGCAACACCCAAAGGCCAAACGTTCGTGGCTGAATCACTTGTTCACAATGGCAACTGCACTAATCAGGTATGGTATAACTCGGGGCGCCTGCCACGCGAGCTGTAGTAACTCGTACTCTCAGCTTCCCCAACCAGCCGTCTTACCCCAATTCTGCAAGATCATCGACATTTCCGAGACCCGCTTTCGATGCCCGTGAGCGACTGTGCTTGATCGAGTCTCATTTGCCAAGATCCAACACGCATATTTCAAGCAAGCCTTCTAAGCAGGACTTCGCACGCGACACTGCAGTCCACCCAGGCAAGCCAAAAGCGTCACATACCAGCCAATTCACTGCCATGGCTTCCAAGAGAGGAGCAGAAACTAAAGAATGCCCAACGTGCAAGAGGAAGTTTGAAGACGAGCCAACAGAGGAGAAGCCCTCTAAGCTCGCACGGAAGGACACCACCGTAGACGTCGATTCGGTTGTTGAGGACAAGCTCAACCAGCTGCCTCCACTGCCATCACCTCCTCTCAACCAACATCCCCAATTCGTGCATTGCGTCCCACCCGAGGCACCAACATACCGCGAGTACTCCGTCTTCCTTGCAGGCAGCATCGAAATGGGCAAAGCTGTGCAATGGCAAAAGCACATGGCGACTTTCCTCTCCACATTACCCATCACAGTCAACAACCCTCGCCGAGGACACTGGGATCCAACAGCGACGCAGGAAGCCAAGAACGAAGCTTTCAAGCACCAAGTCGAGTGGGAGCTCTCCGCGCTAGAGAAAGCCGATGTGATCTGCTTCTTCTTCGACGCCACCACGATAAGTCCCGTTACAATGATGGAACTGGGCCTCTGGGCAAAGTCCAAGAAAGTTGTCGTTTGCTGTGACAAGAGGTTCTGGCGCGCTGGCAACATCCACATTGTTTGCGACCGCTATGGCGTACCGTTTGTCGAGAGGTTTGAGGATCTCGTGCCCGCTATCAAAAACATGCTTGAGGAGAAGGGTATGCGGCTCGATGAGAACAGCAATCTCATCAAATGATCAGCGTATACCTTTTCACCGATACTAGATGGGAATCTTCAAGTTCGGCGTCGATGTTGGCGCTGGAGGCTTACTGTCGCTGGCGTTATGGCTATAAGGGGATACGGCTGTATCAATAGGTTGGTATTCACACATGCGTGTGTATTTGATTTGCCATTAGAAGTTTCATTGCATTATACTTACGTTATCGAACCAACCCTGCCATCTGATCATGCACTTCGCTCTTCGCTCTTCGATATCTGATCTCAGTAATTGCGCACAAGAAGTACCAATCACGCTACCCTCTAATTGCTTCAAGCAATTGCTATCGCCCCCAGACTCTCTTGTAGATATCGCGCGCTCCAGCATCATTGATACGCTCCCATCCCCAGCCTATATCCTTAGTTCAAGCAGTTCTAGCTCGGTGTATGCATTCGTGCACTGACCGATGTAGGGAAAACCTGCGCGGAAGTGAAGTGAAGTGAAGTGAAGTGAAGTGAAGTGCAGTGAAGTGAAGTGAAGGACTCTGACTCTTTTCGATTTAGCTCCAGCACGCTGTACGCACTTTCCTTCTCTTTCTTCCTGTAACCAAACCACTGCAGCTTTCCTCCTACCTTCATCTTCAGACGACCAAAGATGACAACTCATCAGCCTCCGTTTCTCACCACCCGCGCCGACGGCTCACTGGCCTACCAAGCCACAGCGCCTGGTAACCTGCGCAAGCTTTTCGAGACCGTTCGACAAACCCCAGAGCTGGCACTCGAGATCAAACAGTTGGCACTGGGCGAACCTTTCGATGGTCAGCAGGACTCTGAGCTGCTTGACTTCGTTCTCGAGTACAGCACCACAGCCTACATCGAGGCAACCACTGCAGATGTATGTTCCACACCAGTAGCAGCTCATGGAAGCGAGTTAACACCATTCAGGACTGCGAGTCAGCTTCTGACGGTTGTGAGGATGACTGGGAGGAACCCCTCGACACGATCGACGACTTCGAGAATGACGAGCAGGAGCAGATTGGCACTGCCAACGACGACCACATTGTCACGACTGCCCCGTCCGTCACCGCCGACTACCCGGTTCCCCTGGCAGGCACACTTCCTACGGTCCCAGAGCTTTCAGAATCCTTCAACATAGTTGTGGACATCGACGAGAAGCACGAGAAGGACTCGGTGACGACCAACTCTTCCACTCAGCCCTCTCCAGCTGAGATATTGCAAACAGCCATGGACGACTTCATGGCCCTCGCAGCTCTAACGGGCATTGACCATCCCATCCCAAACCAGTTCTACCTCAAACTGCTGTTTGCTATGCTGTCAGCTTGCTCCAATGCCGAAGTCATGAAGATTCCTGAGGGCTGGGCCCGAGGTGCCAACAAGGACGTCTTTCAAGATTTGCAGTTCGTGGTCGAGACTTACTGATGGGGAGGAAAGCTGTGTACAAACATTATAGTGATCGTCTGGGGACCTCCAAAGGGGCGAATAGAGGTGCTTCGACAATCGCTGGGGGAATGGTAGCCTCTTTGGCTGGAATTTTGGCGACTACAACTACAGGAGTTAGGTACTGTGTACGGCCCAAGAACACTCTTCAATGTTGAGTGCCTTCTTCGCTGTGATTTTGGTCGACAACCCATCCTCGCCTTCTGCCTTGTGCGTCTTCGGGCTTGCTGTAGCTTGTGGAGCAGCTATGCGGTCCCCTTGTGGGCGCCCTGATTATTCGTAAAAGCGCAGAGGCCTTGACGCCAGCATGGCCCCCACTTGGTAATGGGACCTTTGTAGTGTCCAACTCATATTTTTCTCGAGCCAACGCGCATTGTAGGGCGAAGAAGTTCCGGTGATCCCTCCTTTATCACTCAGCCTTCCTCGACATCAAACCCAACCCTAACCCACAAACTACACCCCCCACACCCCACAAGCACTTCCTTCTCCCCTCTCCTCTCCGCGTCTTCCAGATCATCCTCCAGAATCCGAAACCCCTTCTCATCCCCACAGCGACAAGCCCTTGTCCACTCCGCCTCAACACCGCCCTCCTGCTCCTCAAAATCACCCAGATCCAACAACTCAAGCCCAAGAATGAAGTCTTGATTCAGCGTCTGTCCTCCACCATCCCCTCTCCCAATCTTGCTGTGCACGCCATGTGTATTGAGGATATGCGGATTCCTCAACACCCAACCATCATACTCCCTCCTCCTCTTCTCATCGTCAAGAACACGGTACGCCTCCTTGACATCATCCACGCTGTACAATCCGTTCGCGCCCGCGCCCTGGCCCTGTTTATCCGGATGCGCAGCAAGCAGCGCATTTCTGTACGCCCTCCTCAAGTCCGGCGCCTTGGGTCTCGGGGCCGGGGAGCCCGGACCGGGCACGCGGAGACCGAGGATGTGGTAGTAGTTCTTCGTGTACGCCATCGCGGCGTTGGGGTCGTGTAGACGAGGAGTGGCGGAGGCGAGGTGTGTTTGACTGTGCGAGCGCGGCGTGAAGGTTCGGTATGTGCGCGCCGGCCGTTGGTAGCACGTTAACCAAAGTTTGTTCGTAATCAAGGCATGGCCGCTGTACGCTTGCTGCTCTCAAAGGACTACGTGCCTCTTCGAGAGTTGTACTCAAGTTTTTGTGCGGTACGTCGTAGAGGCGGGGGATGAACACAGTGGGGATTCACTTCCAGATAATTTGGTGGGGCAGGCCCAAGCCCACGGGACAGGCGTCGTTACGAAGAAGCTCGTTTTTATTTGATTGAACGCCTGAGGGGACCGTGCGCGGCCCCAACAAGGTGCTGCCTGTTCACAGCCCCTATACAAATCCTTACCAGCTCCTCTGCCTTCTTCTCTACGCGCTGCGCAAGCATCGTGAGCACTCCTTTGCTGCGGCCCATAGCCTTAGCAAGTTCGCGTTAGCGGTCATAGTCACCCCGAATGCCCACGAGCGTGCCGATCGTGAACGCGCGCTCCACAGCTGTCAACTCAGTCCTGCCGGTTTATGGCTGCTTAACAACCTTGTTCTGCTTGTATTTGAAAGGTTTGCGACGAGAAAAAGGCATATTTATTATGTGTGGCTGCTGCTATACCGTAGAGAAGTGTGGGTGTTGGCATGTGTTAGTGAGGTGCGCGTGCGCACGGACCAAACGTGTTCAATCAATCAAAACGAGCTTCTTTGTACAGTGACAGGGTCTTCGTGTATCGCCGCTCGAGTCCTCGATGCATGCACGTAACAATGTCCGTCGGCTGCAAGTATAGATGAGGCATACTTAGATCCCCGTTCTTCAAAGCATGTCTTGAGAGTGAGCACGTCAAATTGTATCCATAATGGTTCTCGAGTTTTTTTTGGTAGACATGGCAAGACCATCAGGCCCAGTGGAGTATTTACGGCTGCTTCATAGACTCTCGGACGTAGTACCGCGTTAAAAGCTATGGGTCTGAGAAAAATGTTGGTCCAAATTGCCAGAGTGATGGGGTCTTCATATAGGCAAAGTCGAAGAACAGGGGAATAGGGGATTGCATTGAGGAATCACGCCAAACCCTCCACCTCTGCGTGCAGTATTAGTGCCCTCTGTACAAAGGATACCAACTATATAAGCGATAGCGCGATTGACGCAACCTCAGTAGACTGCATGCTCGATGGAAACAGTGCGGGTGATACAGGAGAGTAAAGGGAAACACATCAGTCATGGGGAATTTGACCATCCGACCCGCTCGCTGCTAAAGCCAATTTTCGAAATCAGGACACATACAACTCCGTATGACGCTCGCTGCCGTAGCAGCCTCTTTCGTCTATCCGGGAATACGAGACGGTGACTGGCGATGAACCAGGTCGAGAGAGGTAGGAACTGCTTAGGCCGCAGCGGGAGCGGCGGCTGGTGCCTCCTCGCTCTTCTGCTCGGCAGGTGCGGCGGCCTCGGCGTCAACAGCCTTCTCCTCCTTGGGGGCGGAAGAGTCAGCAGCCTCGGCCTCGTTGCCATCCGATGATGTCCAGAGGGTGAGGTTGTCACGGAGGAGCTGCATAATAAGGGTGCTGTCACGGTAGGACTCCTCAGACAGAGAGTCGAGCTCAGCAATGGCATCGTCGAAAGCCTGCTTGGCAAGGTGGCAAGCACGGTCGGGTGAGTTCAGGATCTCGTAGTAGAAGACCGAGAAGTTCAGTGCCAGACCCAGACGGATGGGGTGGGTGGGAGTGAGCTCGGTCTGAGCAACGTCGGTGGCCGTCTGTCAATACAGTCAGTCGTTTGATCTGCATTGCGCAAACGATCATTGCGTCATACCTTGTATGCCTCGTGTGCGGCAGTCGCAGCGACCTTGCGCTTCTCGCCAGAAGCGAACTCGGCGAGGTAACGGTGGTAGTCACCCTTCCTATGTGGCTGTCAGTCCTGCGATGGGATGTTTGGGTCACCTTGACGCACATCTTGTGGTAGAAGACCTTGGACTCGCCAGACTCGGCCTTGGGGATGAGGGACTCATCAAGGACGTTCAAAACATCCTGGCAGACCTGCTCGAGCTCGGTCTCGATCTTCTGGCGGTAGTCGCGGATGGTGCCAACGTGCTTCTCAGAGCCCTTGGACTCCTCCTTCTGCTCGATCGAGGAGATGATGCGCCACGAGGCACGTCGTGTGCCGACGACGTTCTTGTAGGCGACGGACAGGAGGTTACGCTCGTCAACGGTGAGCTCACCGCCAATCTGCATCGTGTTAAATCAAGTCATTCGGCGCTGCAGCGTCGTCGTGGCTGCGTGTTGGCACAGCATGCGGACGGTGTGGGCATACCTTGGCAACTTCCTGCAAGACAGTCAGCATGTGAGTTCAAAGGCATGTTTACGTTGCTGTGGACTGACCTTCATGAACGTAACCATCTCTGTGGGCACAATTGTTAGCATGCGCGGCCGACACGTTGGGCACGCCAGCACTTACCATCGTAGCGCTCAGCCTGTTCGCAAAGCCTGGCGAGGAAAGTCTTGCTGTTGCGACGTCAATAACTCGGTCGTGCGGGGGCGGTAGACGACGGCTCGTACCTCTCGCGCTGTTGGGGCGGCCATGTTAGCATCTGTTGACAATCATCGTGCCCTGAGGAGGAGCGCCAGAGGGGCATCCCGCCGGCCAGCAACGGCGGGGAGGAGCGCAGATAAAGCGTCACGTACCTCGTTCGCCATTGTATCGGTTGTATGGTGTACGGGAGTACTTTTCGAGGGAGACTGGGTTGGGTGGAGATGTGTTTGGAAGGATATAAGGCGGTGTGCTGTTGAGGTTCACGGAAGAGTTTGTCGAGTTGTTTTGGGAAGATGGGAGGAAGCGAGCGGCTGTCTAGACAGGTGAAGACGGCGCCAAGGAGCGACTGCCCATGGACAACACCACCCCACTGCGCCTTCTCCAGACGCCCTTTCGCTCACATGTCCTGCCTGCTTGACCGGCAACGAGGCTGCTGGCCTTGCGAACGCGCCCTGCCTCCCAGATTTACTTTATTGCTTCTGCCCACAATGTATTCTTGGCAATGAGGGGTCCAAAGGGCTAGCTGTCGTGGCTCTTTGTGTGTACACAAACAATCGGCACATCCAGACTTGATTTCTTCCATATGCAAATGCTCTACCGAAATCTGTTTGGCCAGTTCTGTGTCGCCTTCAACATCACCGACAATGTGACTGCTGTCGCACCAGGTCACGCTGCAATGGGCGACCTGCCAGCGACTCTGGCTGATGAACCATACCACATTGGGGGCCAATCAATGCCGCTTAGAGCAGGCTAGAAACTGGACCGGGCGTGAGGCCTGAAGCACCGCCCATGAGTTGTGGCACTCCAGATAAATGATGCATTCACCCAAAAGAAACCCCGCCAGAATGCATTTTCCCAATCACAATATGAACGACGATGCTTGGAGATCTTGAGACACTGGACGAAGCAGGTTGTTTGCCAGCAATTGCATCAAATGAGGGGCAGTTCGCCTTCAGCGTCGCAACGAATGCCGTGCTTTCCTGATACCAGAGCAACGGTATTGCTGGTGTACCGACACGTTGCGTTGTCCAGCGTCTGCATATCGTATCGGAACCCGTCAACGGCTCCCCGTCCGCTGCAGCACGCATTTATCATGCAGCGCATACCTGGGTACATGGCCTGTCGCTGCGCAGCTGCTGTAGCACGTGAAGCAGGGGTGTGCCAGTGCGTTTCTTCGGTCGCCGTTGTTTTCCCGGAAGCAATCTGATCTGCTGAGACAGCCCTACGTATGTCTCCAATGATCCGCCCATACACTTGTCTCGTGGGTGTTTCGAGCGCCAGTTGCTTCACATCAGCAAACGCCAAACACCGAGCATGAGCGCCGCAGTACCCGTGCAAACACCCCTACGAACTGATTAGTACTGCCACGTGAAGCCAGAGTGCAAATTGCTGTAACATACATCAACCACTGCAGCGTGGAAAACTTGACTGCTTCGAGCCTCTCCCGCAGTTGCGCTGTCTCCTGCTCGATCCTTGTCTCGGTCTCCTTCAGTTTGAGCTCCTGCACGTTCGCCTCCTCCCTGATGCGACCCTTTTCAAGGTTCAAGTCCAACCGCACAGACGCCTGCGTCCGTTGTATCTCATCTCGCAATCGTGAGTTCAGCTTAGCCAGCTCGTTCGTTAACCGTTCGTGGGAAGCGCGAGTCAGCGAAGACTCTGTGGAATCGGCTGTCATGAGTTCGGATCGCAGCTTTGCGAAATCGACCTTCTGCGTGTACGTAGCCTTCTCTTGGTCTTCGCGAAGAACCATGGTACGTGTGAGATTCTGTATGCTAGAGAAGGTCAGCCGGAGGCTCTGCGGGTGCGGTACGAGGATTCGAACCTTTCCTCTATGACATCCCCAAGTACTCTCATCATTCCTTCCGCTTGCTCATCTGTGAACCCTTCCTCTTTCAAGCGTTGAACGAACTTGAGTGTGTCAAAGTGGTGGTCCTTGAGTTGTGGTGCAGTGGCGCTGAAGTTGCGACGAAACTCGAGAGCTGTGGCATAGCCAGCAGCAAATTGTGTGCTCTCCTTGTGAGATCGTAGAACACGTTGTCGCTGCAGAACTGAGGTGATGGTGCTTGTAGCGCGTCCTCCAGGAGTTGCGCTGGATCGATGCCGCCTCGCTTCAACTATGCACTGTGGCGTGGGTCTGAATGTACTCGTAGCTGCCCATGAGGTTTGCGGCAAAAGGAAACGCGGTATCGCTGTCTTCGAGATCGTAGGTGCTGCCATTGTGGTGTTGTGGTTGTGCAGGCAGTTGTCCGCGAGAAAGCGTGTGGAACCGACTCGCGCTAGGAAGCTGCGATGTCATGGCTGTCATGACCAAATACGGCAAACTGTTCCCGGTGTCGGCACGCTTGCGAGCATTGTTGGAGTGGAAAACAATAATACGTTTACCATGTTTATGTTAACGTTGTTCTCATCATATTCAGATTTGAGTACGGAAAAATAGTCGCTGTTGGTGTCGCGTCAAAAGTTAAGTACCCTCCGAAAAGCACTCACAAACCACAAACATCCCTTGCTATGCAACCGCTCAAACGCAAGGATGAAACTCTAGCAGATGTCTCAGACTACGGCACTGCTTACCTGCCGTACTCTAAGCTCGGCACAATGACAGGTCCATACTTCATTGGCGCGCTGTAGCCACCATCGTTCTGCACCATGAAGTCGACAGCCAGACTCAATTTCCCACTTCCATGTCCGGGTACTGCTTGACCAAATGTGCCGTTGACAATCTCAGGATCATAAATGACGCAAGCGACGTAGTTCCTGCGACCCATAAGGCGTCTGTACTCGCGAGGCTGACCGTTCACGTCCTGAGTGAAGATCTCCATCATGTCCTCCTTAGTATCAGAAGGCTGCTGGCTACTGCGATGGCCGTTCTGCGGTATGTAGAGCGCCCGGTTGTTGTGCAATAGTCTGAGGACATAGTTACCAGGAGGGCCGTTGACCACTGAAGACGAGATAATCTGGTACATGGTCTTGTGGTCCTGTGGTCTTGCTGGGTCATGCACAAGACCGGCACCGCAACAGTCGACAGCTCCGGAGAAGAAAGTCATTCGCAATGACTTATTATGAGCAATACCTTGCAGAGTTCGGATCAAGTATGTGCGCTCAAGATCCTGTAATCATCAGCGCATTCCGTAGTGTAAGCAGATGGACTTCTTACCTTTGACTCGTGGGTCCACATATCTCTCAACTCATCAAGCAAGTCAATCTCTCCAAACGGACTCAAAACACCGCTCATCAGACCAGACTTCCCAACGGCCTTCTTGATCGAGTTGAAACCATCACCGACCACGCTCTTTGCACCAACAACACCAGCAACACCGGCCGTGACCTTTCCAAGCATGTTGAAAGTGCCCGTAACTGCTTTCTTGCCAGTTGCCATTGAGTGAGCCAGGTGTTCGACTGACTCCAAGCGGGGGTAGACGATGGGTACCGGTACCATCCAGATGCAGTGCTGTACGCTCGGCGGCAACGTCGCAACCTTGGGAAAGATACCTTGGTATGTCGGGCCGGCCATGACCTGATGAGGGTTACGCTCAGATCGGCAATCTGGGCCAACGACTGTGACACAAGGGCCAAGGTACTTGATGAAATGCCAGCCAGTTCCAGTGATTGTGAAGAGATCCATATCATTGCTGACATTGCGCAGAATTTCTAGTGTGGTGTGGTGCTGGAAGAGCAGGTACATCTCGATACCAAGTCGTCCAATGTTCTTGAACATGTTAGAGAATTGCATGTACTCCGGATACGAGCCGAAGCCATCAAAGCTATGCCACGTTAGTGCTGTCATTATAAATTTCCGGCTCAAAACTTACATATCGTGATCATCCAGAGCAAGAATATGGGGAATCTGAGCGAATGCTTCTCGCAGATTCGGCTGATCGAAGTGGCTGGTGTAGTAGTGAAAGTAGGCGTGGCAGACCTCCTCTTCATGTTTCGCTGTCCATGGAGCGTTCTTGCGTGCTTCTTTACCGCTTGTTGCTGTCCACTGCTTCAATAGCGGGATCTCTTTCCACAATCTGTCTGCATAGATCTGGCCGCCAAGACCCAGTTGCACGTGGAAGCCACCACACTCAGCGTTCTTTTGCAGGATATCTTTCCACATGAGCCCTACGCCACCAAGCTTGGTTCTGTCATTGGCGCTGACGTTCAGCGCGAAGTCATTGCCAGAATGAGCGATGAATCTCCAGCTGGTCTCGTGGCGGCCAGCGACCAGGAACTCGTAGCGAGTGCAGCCAAGATGTGAGGTGATAGCGTAGGTCCACTTAGCAGCATGCTCCTCCTCCATTCTCAAGTCAATATCGTATCGGTAGAAGATCCACGTCTGATGAGTATAAATGGGGTTTGCCTTCAACTGTCGAGGGTTGGGAGACAGATCCTGGCTCTGGTGAATATGGATGGTTGGGGGATGAGGGGTGTTTGTAACAAGCAAAATAGACCCGAGCCATAGCCCTCGTTCAAGGTCCATGTTTGTGTACCTCAGGTAAGGTCCAAAGTATACGCCATTTGTAGGTTGCACCTTGTATGTATCCACGCCTGCAGTTGGCGGTGGTCCTGTGAAACCTGCAGCGGTTGGTGTTGCAAGCGGCGCCATGCCAAAGTCACTGGAGTAGCCAGCTGTCTGAGTAGGAAATCCAGGTGATGCCAGAGGCTGCTTGCCGAAAGACGGGGACGCAAGAGGGTTGACAAAAGTGCCTGTTGGAGATAGTGGCTCGTTCAGATTTAGCGGCGTAGGACCCTTGGGGAATTCCCACTGTGTGGACTGTGTAGGCAAATGGATGTAATAGTACTGTCCCGACGAGGGATCCAAGTGGGCGATCCATCCTTCAGGTAGAGGCGGGGGAGACGCTGGACCTGCTCCTGGGGCAGGGCTTGGTGTGTGAGTTGGCTGAGAGGTTTGTATCTGGGGCAGGGACTGCTGTGCTGTAGGCGTTGGCGAGACAACATTGACTGGCTGCGATGGCCCCGCTTGCTGAGGCCGTGGATCGTTTGCAAATGCAGGATGCCCTTGCATTGGATCGCTCAATGAGACGCCTTGGGGAGCGGGCTGTGGTTGCTGTCCTTTCTCGTTCGGATATCGCTGTGCCTGTTGAGCGTTTGCCTGCTGAGCATTTGCCTGTTGAATGCTCGAGTAGGATGGGGGTGGCTCGTCGTTCATATTCAAACGGCCCATATCTTGCGTCAGAGGATGTTCTGGTCTCATACTGCTGGGAGGTGGCGATGACACATTGCCAACACCGCCCGGTGCCTGTGGAAGAGGACCTTGAGGAGGCGTGCTGGTAGCCCCCGGTTGGGCTTCACCCATGCCCTGATACACTTGAGGCTGACCGTAGGGTGTTTGCCCTGGCTGCTCTGTTGGCGTCCAGGGTCTCCGTATGGGTTGCTGCTGCTGCTGTTGCTGGCTTGGAGCGGGCGAGCCCATGACCGGCCGAGGCTGCTGGTTTGCATAGACCTGGTTTCTTTGCGCAGCCGCCGCATTCTGAGCGCTCTGTGCTTGTAGGTTCGTCAAGGTGGATGTTCCCGCTATACCGGCTGCGGCAAATCGTGCTTCAATGCCGCCGCCAGGAGGTGGGATGATTGGAGTCTCAGGCGGTGGAGGCGACCCTCGCTGCGCTTTCACGGTGGACGTGGAAGCTGTCGAACTGAGGCGGTTGATGCCCCCTGGATTCGGAATGTTGAGTGCCTGTGGTGCAGGCTGGCTCGAAGACGCCCCTGCATCTGTGTTTGCGTTCGGTGGAGGCCAGTACTGTTGGTGGTAGTCGGGAAATGGGTTTGGATCTGTGCTGCCCTTCCTTTGCGGCGCTTTCGCAAACAGACCCTCTTTATCCGGTGTTTCTGGCCCAGGCGAGTCTGGGAGCGGCTTGGGCGCTGTTCCTCGTCGCTCTGCCAGCCTCGAAGGCTGTACCGACCCATCCTGATTTCTCCCGCCGTATCCTCCTACACTCGGTCTGTTGGGATCGTTCGCATCGAACCGCGCGCGCTGCTCAGGCGAGATGGGGACTGGCCCTGTGGCATTCGAGCTTCGTCTGCGGCCTTCTGGCTGTGGTGGAGTCGCGTTCCTTGCTGGTCGCTCGCGCTCACTGAGAGGAGTATATCGGCCCTGGTTGAGCGAAGGAGGTCCGTTGTCTACTGGATATGGAAGAGGGGCTGTGGGCGGGGGAACTGTGGGTAGACTCGACGGCGGGGCGGGAAACGATGGCATAGGAGGTGGGCGCGAGAACGCTGGTGGCTTACTCGAGTTGCCAGCCGAGTCTGTTCGTGGTGGAGGGCTTTTCGAGGTTGGCGAGTGCTTCTGTATTCTCAGGGGCCCAACGGTAGGTGTGTTTGGGTCTGCTTCGTAGCGTAGGAAGAGCTCCTCCTCCGGCCTGCCTTGCTTACGACCCTCCATATTGGTGCGCGAGCGAAGATTGTACGCGATACCTTGCTGCTTCCGTATCTACCACAAGCAAGATCAGATGTAGTCGAATCCTGCTTCACTCTGAGCCGGGCGCTGCTAAGCTGCCGTCCAAGGTAGGCACGAGCGTGGTGGTAGTGGTGGGGTAGTGACAGATGACGTCTGACGCAGGAGAGCACCAGGTACTTTCACATGTACAGGGCCCGGCGAGGTTATATGTAGAGAGCTGGAAGAACGGCAATGCGCCTGATTCCTGCTGCCGTCCTAGGCGGACTTACGTAGCCTCTCTCCATGACTGCACTGCAAGATATTGGGCTCTGCTGCTCTCGCTCGTCCCTGGCCTCCTATTGGTCGACTACTCGACACGCGCCCGCCAAGTTGTGACTGGTGGTCTTTAAAGCGGCCGCAGGCGCCTAGAGGCGCATGGCAGGCATGTTTCAGACCCTTTCGTCCGCTCCACTGCAAAGGAGACGTTCCGAATCGACGGGTGCGCACAGCTCTAGGATCCGCAGCGGGTCCCTGGACGGCCGACGAAGATCTTGAGAAAGTTTTGGTAAGGAACAGGTACCATCCCGACAGCAGCAGCGCGTGGGATCCGTCATCTTATCCAGATACCAAAGAACAAAGGATCCTCCAGCGTTAAGGGCATGGCGCACATACATAGCTGGTTGTAGCTTCGGTCCAACACCAACGGTCCCTTGCGTCGGGATGATGCGCGCCCATGGGGTTTACACGAGATCGTCGAATCAGCTAGCTTGACACCGACTGTGAAAAAGTGCGGTAGAGCGAGCTGTATCCCCATGAGCCATAGTCGCGCCTCGAGCCAGACCCTGAGCCACCTTCACATCGCTGGTGTCTTGGCAACAACATCTCGCGTGCAGCTGCTTGGCGCCTCGACCTTCCCCGAAGACATACAAGGCTGCAATCTCAAGGATGCAAGAAGTGTGCAGATCGCAAAACGTGGGCTTATTTGGTCGACAGGGACCGCTTCTTGTCACCAGAAACGGTAAGCATGAAGCCACAGGACAGGGCCGACTTCAGCTGTAGTAATTTACATTCAACCCTCAAGAGCCCGTCCTCTGTCAGCTCAAGAGCAGTTTGACGTCTACTTTCTTCTTAACTTTCCCTTCCCTTTATCTACATCACTGCGTGTCCTTTCTCTAAGTCCGATCCTGTCCGAAAGCCACTCTCTTCAGCCACACAGTGAACAGCCGCACGTTTCAGCCTTGCAGTGACCTGTTTTTGCATACACCATCAAGCCAGGAGGAATACAGGAGAACCTTTTTCCTGCGAGCTCATCGAATAGAGCCCACAGCTCAACATGTCTGTCCCGCAGCAAGCACCTTCAGTGGCACCTTTCGACATCAGGTCACCAGATCCTCCACCGTACATGATGGGACCACAGCAACTGCCTACTCCAACTCCAGTGCCAATGTCGAATGCCTTCGTTCAACCGCCGATACCACAGACCAGCTACCCACAAAATCACGTGCAACTACAATCCCAAGCTTCACCACCGCATGGACAGTTGCAACAATCTCACTTCGTTCAACCGCAGCAGCATTCCCTTCCTGCACCGCAACCATATCAAGTGGTACCCAATATGACATCTCAGCAACTCCAGCAAGTGCAACAGGTCATTCAAAACATGCCACCAGAGAAGCTCCAAACGATGCAACAACAGCTCCAAACAGCAAGTCCCCAATCACCACTAACAAACCAGTACCAATGCCCACCCCCATACCAACCCCCACAGCAGCCCCTCCAAAGACCATCCTTCACAACAACCGCCCCATCCGGCCTCTTCGGCCCCAAACACTCCTCCACACCCAGCCATAGCGGCCCGCAAGACGCCCAGCAATCTGACAAAGTCAAGCGATTCTTTGGTGACACCTTGTTCGGCCGCGTAGCACGTAGTTCCGTATCGACCGCTACCTCGTTCGCCAAAATGCCGCTCTCTCTGTCCCCCTGGGGCGACAACAACCCCGTCACGCTGCCCAACGTGCGGTACCGCGACGCGGTGCTGTTCACGACGTTTGCCTTTATTGGGGGGCCGCTGGTCGATGGCGCGGCAGACAGCGTGACCAGCGCGTTTGGCGCCGACAGTTTTGTGTCTGAGATTGTCAATTCGGGGGCTGGTGCGATTGCGGCGAGTACGGTGCTCAAGTACTCTATTTTTCAGATTGTGGAGCAGGCGATTGATAAGGGGGTTCTGGAGCATATGTTGCCCGAGGAGGAGAAGATGCTGGCTACGACTGAGGTGAAGAGTTTGCAGGCCGGTGTTAAGCATAAGCTTATGGGTGTTGATGCGGATTTGAGGTTTGTGGGGGTGCAGCCGGCGAGGGATATTCAGGGTATTGAGAAGGGATGGTTTTGTCCGTACCTTTTTGCGAGTGCGAGGACGCCATCGGTTCCGAGGGCGAATGATTTCGCGATTGCACAGTGCTTTGGCCCGTTCTTGGGAGGTATGTATAGCACTCATCGGCCGCTCAAAATCCGGGACCTGTGCCACCGCCCTTTCCTAAACTCGAGGCCATCACAGTATTAACTAACATCCTTAAATAGGCGACTACCTCCTCGCGCACAAGCTCCTGTCCGAAACCCCCCACACCCTCTCCCTATGCGATCCCAACCCGACAATCGACATCGGCACAAACCGCCTCCTCATCCTCTTCATAGCCATCTCCCCCTACAGAGCAAACATGTGGTCCACCTCGCGGCGCCCCGGGTGCGGCACTATCATCTTCCACCTTTTATCCGGCTGTCCCGCGCTCGTCGTCCCCGTGACCTCGCATGCGCCGATAGTGGCCTGGAGTCCGTGGACACTCTCGCAGATGCGAGATGCGACGAGTGGGTACCAGGCGGAGGTACAGCACGAGCAGATCTGCGAGTACCTTGACACAGTTGTTAGTTTACCGCGTGTGAGTCCGGCGGTGAGGGAGAAGTATGAGGGTGTGTTGGCGCGGAGCGTGAGTCTGGTTGTTAACGGGGCGTTGGCGACGGAGAAGTGTGGGAATGTGGCGGGGATGGGGAAGGTGGATCCTGAGAGGGCGGGGATCGTCATGTTCAGATATTGAGAGGGTCGAGAGGAGAGGAAAGGAGGGAATCGGGATGAACAGAGCGTGATGCGGAGATGTGTTACCCAAACTTTGTTTTGTGTCATGGACATGGAGAGATGATCTTGTTGGACACTCATTTCGACATTCACATCAACTCCATGTGCGTTCAGAAGAGCGTCAAGATGAAGCCATGTACAGTTGTATTAGAAGCGACGCACGCTATGAAATCTATCAGACGTCAAAATGATCAAACTTTTCCACTTAAAACAATGCGTACAATGCCGCAAAGTAATCCATCCGTGCACAAAACGCTGAACGAATATATACGATTAGGAGACCTAGAGACCCATAAGGGCCTGGGCGCCCGGCTCGCTGCACACATACACGACATCGTGGCTGTCGGTGAAGCCATTGAAGCGAGTGGCAGAGCACTTGGTGTACGCGCCCATGTCCTCAAAGTACAGCCAGTCACCGACATCGAGGAGCTCGGGGAAGGTGCTGGACGAGGAGATGATGTCGATGCCATCGCAGGTGGGGCCCCAGATGGAGTATTCAATCTGTGAGGGTGTGTCGTAGCCTGAGCGGCGGATGTCGTACAAAACCTCGGTGCCGGACTTCAAAACCTTTGCAACTGGGTGCTGGTGGTCAAAGATGATGCTCGAGAAGTTGCCGTAGACGCCGTCGTTCAAGTACAGCATGTAGTTGGTCGTGCCGAGGGTGGCATCGGTGACAGTGCGGCGGGCAATGACATGGCATGCAATGGTGAACGCGGTGGAGACGTAGTAACGTCCAGGCTCGCCAATGACGCGGATGTGTGGCGGGAAGTACTCGTCCAGGGAAGCAGACAGAACTGCAGCCATCGGCTCGAAAGTAGCGTCGCCGGTGAAGCCACCGCCGACGTCCAAGGTGTGCATATTAAAGCCAAGAGCAACTGCCTGGTCGAAAACGAAGCGGGCGTCTTGCACAGCCTTGATGAAGGCCTTGGGGTCAGACGCGCCGGAGCCCACGTGGAAAGCCACGCCGACAACGTTAAGCTCCAATTTCTTCGCAAGCTCAAGCAGTTCGCCGGTCTGATCCATTGCAGCGCCGAACTTCTGGCTCAAACGGCAGAGGCTAGCCGTGTCATCAGTGATGATACGCAAGTACAGCTCAGCATCAGGAAAGAGCTGCTTGGTCTTGTAGAGCTCGTCGGCGTTGTCAAAAGTCATCTGTTTGACGCCAGCGTTGGCGGCGTAGCGGACGTACGACTTGGTCTTACAGGGCTGCGCGTAGATGATGCGGGAGGGGTCGACGCCAGTCTTGAGGACCGTCTCGATTTCATTCTTGGAGGCGCAATCGAAGCCGAGTCCAAGCTGGGTCATCAGGCGCAGGACCTGCGGATCCGGGTTACACTTGACCGCTGTTCAGATGTTAGTGGAAGCATTGTGGTGGCTCTTGGATCTGTCACTCACCATAGTGCGGCTTGACACGAGCCAGGTTCTTCTTCCATCGCAGGTGCTGACGGTACACCTCGCCCAGGTCAGCGACGAAGAAAGTGTCCTCGTCGCCGACGTCACAGATGTCGTGATCGATAGCCTCGACACGGTTCTTCAAAGCTGCGCCAATGAGTTGCTTGGAGTTGCTTGCGCCATGGTTGTCAATGCTGCCAAAGGAACAGTCGCTGAGATACTGTTTGTGGTTCAACGCGGTGTTGTATTCCGCTGGAGGGGGCGTCAGAGCAGAAGGTGCCATTCCCTTGCTGGTGGTCGTTGGGGAGCAGCTGGTAGTAGTTGGGAGTGCTTGCTGTATGGCGGAGGGGCGTTAAGGCGGTTTGAAGGGCGCGAAGCCGAGGCTTGGGACTGGGCGAGGCCTCCTGTCAGTCTGTTCCTCGACGGAACAGACCTTCGAAAGCGTGCTATGCGGCAGCTCAAGTTCAGGAGGAACGGGGGTCTGGTTGTTGTACGAAAACAACACGCGCTCGAGTTCCTGCTTAGAAGTGTGCGGCAGGCGGTGGGGGGATGTTGTTGAAGACGTGTGGCGCGGGTCGTGCAGATACAACTTGGATATTGATCAGGAAGAGGCGGCCGCGAGCCGTCTTAAAGCGAGGCCTTTGATTGCGACCAAAGGCTGTCGGTGCGGTATTTTAGGGACAAGCGAGAGACAGTCGCGGAGGGTTCCAGCGGCTGGTGGAGCGACGAGTGCAGAGACAAGACGAGACGGTGAGGTGAGGTGAGGTGAAAGGAGCTGGGAGGGTGGCTACGCTGAAAATTGGACTCCCCGCCGCCAAGTGTGTTCATAGCGAAAGTCCCTGCGGTGCCTGGATTGCCGGCAGCGTCACAGCCCATTGGCCTCCGCAAATGCCCCACATTTCAACAAACCACTCACGGCTGCGTCATTGACCTGTCGATGATCGGGGGCGCAGGCTGAGGCTCACACGGCTGAAGCAGGAAAAGGACGCCCGGGTGTGCCTCAGGTGGTTAGTCTCGCGGCCTCCGTGAGGAAACAACGCACAACCAAGAGGCAATTATCGACACAGCTTGTTCACACAGATGGGGTGAGCAGTTGGGCTTGTTTGGGTAGCTGTCATCGGCGATGATCGTTTGCACGTGCTTTCTCCATTCCTCCAGGAGACATGTGCCACGAGGCATTTCTCGATACCAGTTCATCACTAGTGTATCAGATGCAAGATAATTCAAATTGGGAAGGATCGTAAATGTGTTCATTTCAACGCCGCTCGTATGTGCGTGGGCGTGGGTATGTTCGAAAACGCTATTCTATGTATTCATGTGTGTTCGAATCGAAGGTCATTATTAGTATAGTTGTTCCAACGCCGCCCAATGTGTACGCAAGACAAGGCTTCTATTGCCTTTGTAAGAATATTGGAACGTCAGACAAATCGACGCCATAGCTCTGTTTGAAGTACATGCTCCTCGGCGCAGCATAGCTGTGCAGCTGCCGCGTGCCGGCTGAACCGCCGATTTGCCCACGGCCCTCGTGGTTGTAGTCGAGCCCACCACTGTAACGACCAAAGGTCGTCAACTCCTGGGGTGTGTAAGACATCGGATGGGGACGAGGGGCATATGCGACATTTTCTTTAGCCTCGACTATTGGCCGTGGTCGCAGGCTGTCACCGATGGATTTACGACGCTGGCTCCACTGCAGGGCATGCTGCTCCCAGTTGACCGTGTGCTCCCAGTCGACATTCTTGTGGGCCGAAGGGGGTCGTGTGTGGTTGGGTCTCAGGGGTGACTGTGGACGAGAATTGGCGCGAATGCGAGACTGATTCGCCGTAGGGGCGTCCACGTTCTCCAACCTGGGTTTGGCGGAGAGCGGAGTAGCGTACTTTGCGTGATCGATGGTTGGCATTGGCGGAGCTTCATCGAAGTAGAAGGATTGCGGGCGTCGTTTCGACTGCTTCGCCTCACCGATCTCCATCTTTGGCTTCCGGCGTGGTTTACGTTGCTGAGGCATTTCTGGCATCTCTGGTTCAGGCAGAGCACGATCCTTGCTACGCACGCGCGCATATTCTGCGGCTGTGTCGGAACTCATGCTCACTGCTGATCTTGATCGCGAATGCGATCGTGCTTGACCAAGCTGGTGTGGATGGGTTGGGTTCTCCACGACCTCCTTCGGCTGGAAAGAACCAAACATGGAAGGATCGTAGGGAGAGGCACCAAGAGATACCGCGATGGTGCCGAGATCAAGCACCTTGGGTGAGGGAATTTCTTCCTCGTGCTTTTCATCCTTCTTCCCTGTCATCGACTTTCTCCTGAAGAAAGACATGCTCCTTCTACGACCACGAGCAGGTGGCGCAGGTGCATGGTCAGGCTCGAGTTGGATCAGCGATGAAACCGGCTCGATGGGGCTGGAGCTTGTAGTCGACTCAGTTGAGGTTATGTGGTCCTTACTAGGGTAAGTGTGAGTCAAACATTCCATACCAGGTGTAGCCGACAGTCGTCGAGAGAACTTGACTCTCACATCGTCCGGGACCCCAGGAATGATTTCGCGGCTTGGCTGAGCTGACTGAACAACTGGTAGCTGAGGCTGCGATGGCCGCCGCTTCTGCAGGCGCCTCGTCTGCTTTGGCAGAGGCTTCTCGGACGTCTTCGAAGTTGCTGATTGTGGTGTACTGCATGCGAGTACAAGATCCATGGAAGGGAGCTCAGCAACTTCTCGAGGAATGTCTAGTGACAGCGTGCGCCCATGTGCGTGCTTGGGTACAGTGGCCAACAGAGACTGTTCGAAACGAGCTGAAAGATCGCCCTGAATAGGTAACTCGAAGCTCATGGTTTGTCTTCTGCTAGCGCGGTATCGGGCGTGCGGTGAATCAGACGGTGGGCTAGCTACTCGAAGCACACTAGGATACTGCTGCTGTTCGCTGTTGGCTGTTCTTACACTGCCACCAGACGAGCCAATGGATGAGTACCCCGAGTCCGATGTCCTTGGTGATGGCCGAAGGGTTCGATCCTTGGGTGTCTCCAAGGTCGTTGTGCTTGTGGCTGTAGAAGGAGGTGAGAGTTCAGTTACGTCGGTTATAGTTGCAGATAGTTCCACGAGGTTTTCTGGCTGTGGCTGAGGTTGTAGATCCTCAAGAAAGAGCTCGTCTGTCGTTGCCTCTTGGTCTTGCCAGATGTTGTGAATTACCATGCGATTTTCGAACGGACTGTACGGGATATAAGCCTGATAATCTTTTGCAAGAGTACCAGCGCCTTGCGACGGCCGCCTGGTGGTCACCGCAATGCTTTGTGGCCGTTTCTTTGGTTTGATCTCCGGCTTGATGTAGGTGATGGGTATCTTTTCTTCGCCAGCCGGGTCTGGGGTGCCTCTTGTCTTGCTATCACGTACGCCAACAGCTGACATGCTTCTAGGCTTCGTCTGTTTCCTCTCATTCTTCGTTGCCAAGGGACTAGGAGCAGGTTCGGTTACGGAGAAGTAGTCATTCTTCTTGTCTGCCTGAGCAATGCGAGCAATATTGACCGTGGAAGGTGCGGGTGAAGCGGCACCATTGACAACCATCAATGTGCCTGGCTTGTATCCAAGCAAGTGAGAATAGTCCATTTCCTCAGGCGTTTGTGCTTGAGTGTTATCTGCCAGGTCCAGAGCTACTAAGCGATCCAGAGGAGATGGTCCTTGTTTTGGCGCTCGCCATTTCGCTTCATCTTCTGGTCTCATTTGTGACGCCTTCCAAGAGTTCCAAGTCCTGCGTTGGCCTTCGACAGGCGACATCCGTGTCGCAATTCCTGGTGTCTGGATGAGTGACTTTCTTCGAGTAAGTGCACCGCTGATTTCTGGGCTGGACCTGTCAAATTCCTGCTCTAATATCGCGGCAGAGGATTCGGTAGGACGTTCCAAGGCTTCACCTGCAAATGGTCGGGTTAGCTTACAGTTGAGTAGAAGGTAGTGGCATGTGAATTGCAGGTGATACTGGCGCGCCAGTCAAGTGGTTATGAACCACCAGGAGCACTTACGCAACGCTGCCAGCTCCTCGGGAGATGCGTTCCTCTTTACTTCCTGCAACAGTCGAATAGCCGCCTCAATGTCTGATTGTGTAGTAGAGACCAAAGACACTTTCGATTCTGGTAGGTTTCTGAGGTTGGTGGTGGAGTTTCGCCTGCTCCGTACAAAGGAACGTAACGCAGAACCCGACCTTGAGTGTGCACGTGAATTGGACCTTGAAACCACTGTTGAGCGGCGTCCGCGTCCCTCTACAGCTGCCTCGGTATCGGCTACATCCTGATCAGACCAAATCGCTGACCCCGCCTCTTTGCTAATTGGCGATAACAATCCGTCCCGGATCTGTTGGCGTTTCTTTGCGTTCAATTCCGCAAACTGTGGTGAATCGGGGTATGGGATATCGTTGTTGACAACAGAGCTGGCCAATTTCGAGTTGGTGTTCGTTCTCGGTTTCGATAAGCGATTGTGTTGGGAGGTGCTCTGGCCGTTGCCTTTGTTGCGACGTGCGACACGGTCCTTGAATTGCGAAAACATATTTACAGAAAAGCTACAAAGAAACAGACATTGAACGAACGGCTGACATAGACGTTGTCAGCTACAAGAGCGAATGCGGGGGTTTGTCTTAAGACATGCGCTCACCCTATCTCAGGCCTGAGGATGGCCGGGACACTTGCAGTGTGGGGGGGGGCTGGGATAGTGTTCAGTCTTGAAGCTTAGTGTAACGCGGATAACATGGAGCTCACGGCTTGTCTATTTATGAAGACATGCTGCTCCCCTCAAAGCAAGGCGCTTGGGTCGGTCAGGTCCCACCGACCTGTATCGCCTCTTGTCGAACGTACGATTACGAGTCTGTGCATGTAGCAAAGTGGAGAGTGCAGCGAAGCAAACAACAAACTTGGAAGAGCTCTGAACTTGAAACTAGGCGTGCCCACACGCATCGGCATTACGCCTCAGCCGCCAATAAAAAAACCAGGAGACTAGAGGCTGCGCAAAGTGCCAGCCAATGGATGCAGACGAATGCGTGGCTGAAAGCTTGACCCCAGACGGTGATCTCTTGTAACGGCTCATCCTCCAGGTCCAGATCCTGGTTTTCAAAGTGTGAGGCTCGCACTTCAAGCCAGCAATTCCCTGACATCTTGCAAATTTCGATGCTCGATCCTCCTAAAATACCGATGCGCAGCGGGGATTGCAGAATCTTTGCAATTTCTTTGTAGGGGAACGCCTGTCTTGCATACAGAAAACGCTCGCATCGGCCCGCATCGTTCCATGTCAACGGAAGTATGCTGCTACAACTGCGTGAACAGTTGCGCTGTAGACTGTACCAAAGTCATAGTCAGTAGACATTGAGATCGCAGGATAGCAGCGAGTCGAGGACGCGGGATACTGCTGGAGATGGCAATCTCGCTGAAGTTGCATCCTCATTTCAGGTATCGGATGTAAAACACCATGATCGTAATTCTTCCATCAGTCCTCGGAGAGTCCCACTTACACGTGCCTTGATGCCAAGTGATCGCGGTCTGAAGCGCAATTCGTCACTTCATGCGTTTGGTGTTGTTGCACTTCGGCCTGGGAACCTCAGAGCCAGACCTGGACGCGCACGCCAGGGTAGACTGCGAACTCGTGACTTTCGATGACATCGCCATCGGGCTGTGCCTTGAACCGGATAATAACCGCGGTGCGGGCACGATGCGGGTCGTTGGCTACGGGATCGTGAAGCGAACGTGCTGCCGAGTTACCAGCCGTTCTTACCGACTTTGGGGGATAAAGGCCTGGCCCCAACACCTGTTCGTGGTGATGTCGAATTCGCAGATTTCAACAGCAGGTATCCTCGAGGGTCGCCCGTGCAGGTCAGACGAGTTTGAGTTGAGATTGATTGCTTTCACAACAAGCGAGATGCGTTGCAGCAGTCAATCGTTCCCGCCACAAACGCGTGTTCAGTCAGCCTTCCTCGCAGCTGCAACTTCGTCCACCTTCCGTCCCTTCAGCCGCCGCTGCTTCGCAACCCCAACGGAAACAATGCAATTTTCTATGATGAAGCCTCAACAATCGCCCGACCTTAACCCCGGGTGACGTGGAGACGATGCGTAGCCCCTCGGACAGTCGTAGATCACGGGAGCCGGCGGAGCCTATGAGGCAGTGACGTCAAGCTTCGCCCGACAGTTATGTAGCGTGTATGGAACTCATTTGCGCGCACAACCAGCTTTTCATCGTACCTGCGACGACCCTTGGTTCATATACGCCCTCTGATCTGTCCAGAGACTGTCTCTTTGACGTTCAGCAGCCTCCTTGTTGTCCTCGACACGCAGCAAACGCGCGACTTCCACGTTCAAGCCCAACGAGGCCCACGACAGTCGACACCTCTCCACCCTCGGACCACCGCGTCACAGCAACACCCAACGTCAGCCATCATGTTGGTGGCATCGTTTTGGGTTGTGCCCATTTTCAGTTCGATAGTATGGATGGCCATGTTGATCACCATGCTGGTGTACTGGAGCACAAAGGGGCATCCAATCTTCCCAACAATGGCCAATGGCCAAACAATAGCCTACATCTCTGGTACGTTATGCGAACCCACCCGCAACCTTAATGCCTGAATTCTGATACCACACTCAGATATCGGCGCGCAAAACCTCAAGCCTATGTTCATCGCCATGTCCGCGGTCACCGTTGTTACCTTCAACCTAGCCTTCATCTGTGAGCGTTATTTGCGCCATGCCGGCAAACTCGCGCCCAACACATCGATCTGGCAGAAGATCTACTCTTTACTGAGCATCATCGCTGCAATCGTAGGCGCAGTCGGCCTTATCCTCCTCACCATCTTCGACAACTACCACCACAGCCGGATGCACAACATCTGCTTGGCTATCTTCATCATTGGATACATTGTCAGCGCAATCTTCATTTGCTGGGAATACCAGCGCCTGGGAATCCACTACCGCCAGCACTCAATCCTCCGCATCTCCTTCTGGGTCAAGCTCGCCTTCATTATCGCCGAAATCTGCCTCTGCATCGTTTTCGGCGTCACTCAAAAGTACAAGTACTGGAATGTAGCCGCTGTGTTCGAGTGGATCATTGCGTTCGTCTACACCTGGTACGTGCTGAGCTTCTTCATCGACTTCCTGCCCGCTGTGCGCGGCAAGCACCACCAGAGCTACCAGACCGAGATGCAAATGGCCGAGGAGGGTGGACCTCAGCCGAGAACCATGGGCGACGGCGCTGCAGAAAGCCAACAGTACTTCCGTGGACAGTCGGCAAACGCCGTGCCTCATGTCAATGGCAACGGACGTGTCACCGACGGCTATACCAACGGCTATGCCAGTGGAGAGCCCGGGCAGAACTTCTACCCTAACGCCAACGGCTACAACAAACAATACCCTAAGCCAGAGGCGCCTCTTCCTTCAAGGAACTTTTAGACACTTCTCCTATATTCGTTTGTAGTGTGCGAATGCATTCCTATCTATATATTTCCTTAATATCATGTAATTTGGCGGCTTGATTTATGACTGCAACGATATACCACAATGGGGGCAATGTTCTTATTCTTTGCGAGCATGTATACAAGTATACGAGGCGGTTGAGGAGCAACATTGAGGATTTTCCAGCATCAGTATATTACCATCTTAATCCATGGCCTAACTTCAACATACTGTGACTCATATCACCTGCTTGTGGACCTTGTGCCTATCACATCAGGAGGGATTTCTATTGTAAGCACTAGCATACTGCCCTGTATCCGGCGCCTAACACTCTCTTCTTCCTCTTCTATGGCTATTTCGCTTTCTCTAATGCTCGTCCGTTTTCGTGAAATGACAGGATCCCACTGCTTCCTAGCCGCCTACTCATCAGTCTCAGCAAGAACATCACCATCCACCTCAATCTGATTCAAGATGGAACAACCCACCAAAAAGCCCAATTCCACACCCCTCTCGCAGCCAGCAACAGTACCATTGAACATCCTTCTCACGCACGCCGATTACACCAGACTCCTCTCTGGCTACACTCCCCAAATGATGGAAGATAAGTGGGTTATCTACGCCACACTCTCCTCTCCAACCACACAGGGCAACACAACGATCCATATATGCAGGAGCTGGACCAGCGTTGGGCAGATTCGACTTACCCTTACACCTCAAAGGAACGGTGGTGGAGATGGTGCTGAGTGGGGCACGATTGCTGAAATAAGTTGGGAGACGAAGGAGGGGCGTACGTGGATTAGAGGGGAGAATGGGGATGGGGAGAATACTGAGGGACAGGCGAAGAGGTGGGCTTTAGGTATGTGTAGGAGGCTTTGTGGGTGTAAGCTTGATAGTGCGGAGGGGAGGAGTTAAGGAAGGGAGCGAAGCTGGTGCTTTGGTGCATCCGTTAGAAGTTGTGAGACCCTTGACGTTAACATGCAATTCCCAAATATTTGGTATCGCAGCCATGTAACTTTGCTTAGACTATATGTCTGAAGTGTGTGCGTGAGACATCTTGATAGCGAGCATCATGCTGCTAGTGCTGTCCGCCTTGACAGACACCAATGCTCGTCTTCAGTCTATAATTCGAAGTTAGATCACCATCCTATGTATCCTTATCGTGACATGCGACCAAGCCAACTCTGATATTTCAGATAGATTTCAGTTGATGGAGGGTGACGCTGAGGAGAATTAATCTGCGCGCTCCTCCGCCTGGCATACTCGTATGCAATGTCCAACATGCAGAAATGTTGTCATCTTCGACGTGACCTGCGATCAGTCTGAGTGTCAAATGTTTAGACAATATTGCACTTGACATTCTGATAACTGAGGTTTACTAGCGCATCGGCTTTGGCCGCGCCTGCCCAGCGATGACCTCGGAGCTGACCGTTTCAGGTCTCCCACTCCATCATTTGCCATCCGCAAATGCCCCCACTCTAGCAACCATCCACCACGCTTGCGACCAAATGGGGTCCTACCGAGCTCTGTTCCTTTTCTTCTCTGTCCTCGTAGACCACGGGTGAAAACTGTAGCATGCGCTGCGATTCGATACAATGGAGGAAGCAGCTCACATCACTTACGATAAGGCGATCGAAGAGCTACGAAAGAGGGAATACCCTATGCTTCAAGGTTCGTTCCTTCCAATGGTTGCTCATATGCCGTACTGACTGTCAGCTAGGGACAACCTACCTCGACCATGCCGGAACCACTCTCTACCCAAAGTCGCTGATCGAGCGCTTCTCGGCTGACATGATCTCGAACCTATATGGCAATCCTCATTCCGCCTCCAACGCCTCCCAACTGACGACGTGCCGCATTGAAGATGTTCGACTACGGCTACTGGGACTGTTCAACGCGGATCCACGAGAGTTTGACGTGGTATTTGTAGCCAATGCCACTGCGGGCATCAAGCTGGTCATGGATGCGTTCAGGGACCAAGAAGACGGATTTTGGTATGGATACCACAGGGATGCGCATACAAGTCTCATAGGCGTACGGGAAGCGGCGATGGAACACCGCTGTTTCGCTACCGATGCAGAAGTCGTGGACTGGATCCAACAACCAACGTCAGAGGACGGAAGGGCACGCTTGTTCGCGTATCCTGCGCAATCGAACATGAATGGACGCCGACTACCGCTGGACTGGTCCCAACACATCCGCGCCGCAAACGACAAAGGGACGACCTACACGTTGCTAGACGCCGCAGCCCTCGTATCGACCTCGCCTCTTGACCTGAGTAATGCCGAGATTGCGCCTGACTTTACTGTGCTCAGTCTGTACAAGATGTTTGGGTTTCCTGACCTGGGTGCATTGTTAATCAGGCAAGCATCAGCACATGCATTTGACAAGCGCTGCTACTTCGGCGGCGGCACAGTCGAAATGGTAGTGTGTCTGAAAGAGCAATGGCATGCAAAGAAGGCAGACTCGCTTCATGAGCGTCTAGAGGACGGCACCCTACCAATCCATAGCATCATGGCGCTTGACTCCGCCATGGCTGTCCACAAGGAGCTATTCACCTCGCTCGAACGTGTCTCGCAACATACAAGCTTCCTTGCCACGAAGCTCTACAACGAGCTGTCGTCTTTGCGTCACGGTAATGGGCAGGAAGTTTGTCAAATCTACAAAGACCCAACATCTACCTACGACAATACGGCTACGCAAGGACCGATCGTTGCTTTCAATTTACGCAATGAAACCAGCGGCTGGGTTAGCAACGCAGAGGTGGAGAAGTTGGCGGCAATCAAAAACTTCCATCTGCGTACAGGTGGGCTTTGCAATCCAGGCGGTGTGGCCTCTTCGCTCGGACTGGCCCCGTGGGAGATGCATGAGAATTTCTCCGCTGGTCAGCGATGTGGTAACGAAAATGACATTATGCGTGGGAAGCCAACCGGCATGGTACGCGTTAGTTTGGGTGCGATGAGTGCACTGAAAGACGTGGATTCGTTTGTTGACTTTGTACGCGAGTTCTTCGTACAGAGCAAGCCACCCAGCGCGATGCCGCCAGCTGTATGCGAAGAGCTGTTGCCGGCAAGCCGTCTGCATGTGGAGAGCTTATCAGTCTATCCTATCAAGAGCTGCGCGGGGTTCAGCGTGCCGCCAGGGCAGGCATGGGAAGTTTACCCTGAAGGGCTTGCTTGGGATCGTGAGTGGTGCCTTGTTCATCAAGGCACGGGTGCAGCATTGAGTCAGAAGCGCTATCCAAAGATGGCCCTCATTCGTCCCAGCATTGATCTGGCAGAAGGTGTGCTACGTGTACGACTGGCAGGCCTATTGAAGGGCACGACTGCAGCTGATGAGATTTCTGTTCCCCTCTCAGCGGATCCACGAATGTTTGCAGACAATGCTTTGTACAGCGACGCCAGCGCCAAAGTGTGTGGAGACTCTGTCCAAGCCAAGGTATACAAGTCGAGCAAAGTATCAGCTTTCTTCTCGCAAGTTCTCGGGGTGGCTTGCCATCTTGTCCGCTTTCCAGCCGCCGGCAACGGGAGCGGCTCTTCGCCCAGGCACTCCAAAGCGCATCTACAGAAATGTCAGAGAGCTCGCAGCATGCAGATACCCGGCGCTTATCCAGATACGGCGCCTGTTACGCCGGGCGCATGCGTTTCCAAACCGATTCTACTGTCAAATGAGAGTCCCATTCTGACCATTTCGCGATCAAGCCTCAATCGCTTGAATGAGTTGATCAAAGCGGATGGCGGTAAGGCGGCGCAAGCAGAAGTCTTCCGAGCCAACATAGTCGTTGCGGAGAACCCAGACTACCCGCCAGGACTTGAAGACCCATATGCGGAAGATGACTGGCGCTACCTCCAAATCGGCCAGCAGTACTTCGAAATGCTGGGTGCTTGTCGAAGATGTCAGATGGTATGTATCGATCAGCAAACTGCTGAGAGGGACCAAGAACCGTTTACCACGCTCGCTAAGACACGCCGTTTCGATGGTCGCGTGTACTTTGGCGAGCATACATGTCACCTTCCTATGGAAAAGTCATCTACTGGCGAGCAAAATCACACTATCATGGTCGGCGATGCCGTACAGCCATATCGCGACGATGAGGTTGGTCAGAACGATCATCTCTGGTCCCTTGTAGGCTGAGAGCAATTGACGCTTCTTCATCGGCGTCTCGATGAATACCCATATGGCGACTATACTTAGCTACACTACGAGCATCAACAGACCTGTCAAGCACCTCGCATGCTTCTATCATGCACCTGGAAGTCTTTACGTATGGCTCAAGTCGTTCGTGATAAAGCTTATGATTGGTCCGTAGCGTTTGTAGTGCCAGCAGTGCAACAAACCTGGAACGGCCACGATATCGCACATGGCAACGAGGAAGTATGGCGCTTCATCCGGCCAAAATGGCCATGCCTGCAGCAAACAGCAGGGGTGGGCGCTGCACGTTGCGGTTTCAAGGAAGATGTGCTCAAGGTACATGAACCTGTGAGGAAGCTTTAGACAGTCTTCTCCCGCACGGCTTGTGTATTGACATGGGCGTGCCGCTGGCGTCGAGAGGCGCGTGCTCGAGGACGAACCAAAGGTAGCCCTCACAGTGGTTCAACGGCTGGCTTTGCAGCGGCCAGGCGGCGTGGAGACGGTAGCAAATGGAAGCGCGCGACAGGTCTACGCAAGCATAGAGATTATACAGCGGCTGGAAGCAATACATAAACTGGTATAACAATCCCATGAGACCAGCCGCACAGCTTGCCTTGCATCAGCACCTTCGCCTCAACTCTATTCACGGCAACAAATCACCCTGGTAGCGTCCTTCTTTCAATCACCTCGCCGTCAAACAGCAGCATCTCACACACTTGTCTCAGATTTACTCCGCCAGACTATTTCGAACTTGCTTGGTTGTGTTCGCAAGTGCAGCATCCCGCACATCGACGCTTGCATCACAGTCCCGCGAGCCACGCAGCAAATCACAAGCTCAAACGGCCGCTCTGCTCTCGACAGACCTGCAGGGGCCGCAGACAGGTCACACGCTTTGGTTTCATTGCCCCTGGCCAATTGCATCTCTGAAGGGTGGAAGCAGTTCCTCAGCGCACTGACCAACCCCGGCGCTTACAGCGACGTTTGATTTGCAGCGCCGCAGGATTTAGGCGGCTGTTTAGCACCCTCGAAAAGACGGTCCCTCGTTAGGCCCCGCTCTGACACTGGCACTGGCATCTTGTTACGCGCCCACCTATTCTTAGGTTATCCATACTCTACGGCCCATCCAGCGGCCACCAACACAGCGCACGCATCAGACTAGTCCACGCAATAAACATACCTTTCCCCGGCGACAAAAGTACCTGCCCTTCCGTTCTGCCCTGCTCCTTCTTCACCTGTCCACTCCAACCGTGGAAGGCACAGCGCAGCCCACTCTCGCTCGCAGGACTATCGACCAGAAGCCCCAGTCTTTCGTTCACCACACGGCAAACATCACCAACATGGCCACCACTACTACCGATGCGAAGCCGGCGCCGGCACCTCTACCGTCAATGTTGAAGACGCCTCTGTCTGCCACCTATCCGTCTGAACTCAAGTCTCCAATGGTAATGTCTGCAACAACACCGACCTTTGCCTGGATCAAGCGCGAAGACAGCCTGAAGACTCCCATTACCCCGCCAGCAGCCTATTTGGATTTCCTCAAGACGTTATCGCCTGCGTTCATGAGCCCCATGTCTACTGGCACAAGCACCAAGTTCGTCTTCGAAAGTCGCCCCACCTCAGTAACGTCATCCGCTTCTAGCGGTTCTTTCACATCAACATCTGGCCCAGCAGGCAAGGAGTCACCTGCGACTTCAAGATCAAGCAGCTGCAGTCGATGCGACACGAAAGATGAAGTTTCCAAAGATGAAGTTCCAATGTCTGCCCCTCCTACAAAGATCAGGACTCAGACCATTACCATCCCACCTCCATCACCTTTCACACGGCCACAGTCGGCGCGCACACCACGCCTCTACATTCCACAATCACCCTTCTCGCCGGCAGCAGTACGATCACCAACTAGCGCAGACTCAGCCAACAACTCAGCCATCTCTCCCTTCCCCACAGCATCGCCCAAGGTCTGGGAAGCAGAAGCTAAGAGCGGTCGGTCAAGGCGTGTCAGCGTGCGGGAAGTCGTCACCCGTACCGTGACATATAGCAGCACACCCATCGACAAGAAGGCGCCGAACTTCCCGCAAATTGACCCCGCACCGCGTGGCAAGAGGAGAAAAATTGAATAGAGAATGAACGGTTACACGACTTGCCTGTACCGCTGCCTAGCCTCGAGCATAAACGGGTGTGCAACCACCGCGTACGACACCACTCCCCCCGACCGACTTTCTTTTGGCGCCACCTGCCACAGCGCTTAAATCTACCACGGCTCTCCACCATACATTTGTGCTTTATGCTCATGCATCACGATCACGTCCTACATCTACGACGTGTACCGGCCTACCCTATCAACTAATACTCGGGTCCCGGCGACTCGCTCGCACCAATCACTTCTTTCGACTACTCTTCGACGTTCGATTCTTGGAGCTGGTGCACCCACCCACATCTTTTCTTTTGTCTACCCACTACTAGGAGAACAACTTATGGTTGTGTTGTTTCTTCATGACCTGTACGGTTCTGAAATCGACCGAGATCTTTGGCGCGGAAAATTCATTGGTGTTGCGGACATCCTTTATCGCGGATACCTCTTGGTGTGCTGGCGCTTGTGGTGTTCTATTGCGTAACACTGGGATCATTTGGATCCCGGCTCTTTTGCTTATGAGAGGAAAGAGGCTCACTTGTGGTGAGATATCTGGGTGGAGTAGTAGGGTGTGGTTGGCGGCAAGGAAGCCACCAACTGCATGGGCTTCTCTCATCTTCCCATATCAGGAAGCAAATCAATCAACATACTCATTCCAAACGCTGCGAAGTTCTGACTGTTCTGTCTTGTACTTGCGACTACCTCTAGCCCATCCTCAATGCTTTTATTCAGGTCGCCGTTCGGATTTCCAGCGCATGCATCCCACGAACAGCACCTCGAACTCGCATGTGACTTACAGCCGCCACGCGCAGCTTCCCCAACTCACATGACCGCCGTTGGATCTATCGAATACCTCTCAGCTTCTCACATCGCGCCCCAATCACCATCCCAAAGCCCTCCACACTCGTTAGCCCTCCCACCCTTCCGCCTTCCACCTCCCTCAACATCACTTTCACCACCATGACTCGTTCATCCCTCCACCGTTTCGACTTATGAGTAACCGGTGAGGAAAGGATGTGGGTGACGAGCGCATGGAACCTTCCCGCTGCTAGCTCAGCCAATCACGTCCCGAATGCAGGGTGCCTGCAAGGGTGGAGGTGAAGCCCGGCGCTTAGCCATGTGGACGGGTAGGCGAGCCGCGAGGGCGGCGCTGGGGTGGGAGGCGTGGTTGGCTTACATGCCTTGATGGGTTTCCGTGATGTTCCTGCGCCAGTACTTTCACTTCAGAAAACTTGTCTTGACCGCGAAGAGCCTTTTTCTGCCAGCAGCTTCTGACATCAGGAAGTGTCTGGTCAATACTCGTTAGTGAAAAGAATCACACACAGATCGCGATGTCGAGCTACAGTGTGCATGACAATTGGTCCCATTCTCTATGCAGTTTTGCTTAAAGTAGTGCCTTCCAGCCCTTACCACTCGGTCTTTCAAGCCCAAGGAAATCAGTGAGCTGTCCTAGATGGTCAACGCCCCAGAAGCCTTCTATCTCGCCCTTTGTGTTTGTAGCTGCAAGTTGTCAGTATAGCGCATCTTGCATATCTCCTGATGCACTCACCAACGAAGTAAGGCACCCCAAACGCTCCATCCTTGAACGCCTTATCCGTGTTCTGTGTGAGCATCTTCTTCACTTCGTCTGTCTTTATCCTTTCGAGCACCTTCTTTGCCTCCTCATCGCTTCCAACGACCGTGCATAAGATCGCAAGCAAGTTCTCCGGCTTTGTAGGTTCGCGCCACTGGACCCATGTGTTCTCGTAGAATAAGGAGATAGCACTTTCAAGAGACTTGGGGTGTGAGATGGACAGAGAGGCCAGAGCGCGCTGAATCGGCAGGGTGTTGATTGGGAACCCAGGGGGCGAGCCTTTGGATATTGGGATGTTGAAGTACTTCGCCCAGCGTACGCGCTCAGTGTTGATCCACTTGCCCTTGTCTGTAGGACGTCAGATCCGTGCAATACAATACATGCGTAAGAAAATTGGTGTATGACTGTTCTCGTAGAGCTATAGAGCAACCAAACTTACTTTTGATAGCGATGGGAGGTGTATTGCCACATGCGTTCATCAAGCCACCCAGGAATATGGGCACATACTTGATATCGCATTGCTTAAACGCTGGAGAGTTCTACGCGCAACCGTCAGTCTGAAGCTCGGTGCTTGCCAGAGTCGATTACACATTGTGTTGGTCAACACGTTCATGCATGATCCGCCTGTGGGAAAGCGATGAATGCAGAAACACCACATTGCACGTATGCCGAAACGTACCTGCAAGACATAGAAAGCGATGTACGCGAATGGCGACACAATATCGACGTAGAGGGTGATCTTCGATTGAGCCATGCTGTCGCAGCTGTTTTTTAATAGCTCCTAAGCAGAGGCTCAGAAGAGAGTAAGGACAAATTGGGATGCAGAAGATGTGGAACGGTGCGTCTGTAGATAGTTGCAGTTGATGCAGGTGCATGCCAATGACCTCATATCCGACAGCCGAGGCCTACGATGTGGTGGAGAACTTAAATCCGGGGAAGGCGCGACGTGCGCTAGCAGCCTCCCTTACACAACAAATAACATGTTCACGGCAATTGATTGACGATGAGTGTGAATTGACCAAAGTTGCATGCAATTTTGTGTGGTACTGACTTGCTTCAAACTAAAGCCTGCGCGCAGAGCCATGCTTGTATGCAGATTCACCTCTAGTGACTGTAAATGTACTGCACATTGTGCAGTCGTGCCTAACAACGCCAAAGCGGGCCAAAGCGGCCATCAGATCTCGCGGGGTATCATAGAATCAAGAGGCCCATTAGTCCACTCGTTCAGTTATCCACTCCGACGTGAAAGTTCTTCTCGCTGGGGTCGGGGATGACTTCCTTCTGCTTCTTGCCCTTAAAGGTTTGGCAACTCCTCCATAGCTTCCTTGATAATCTTAAGAGCGCTCTCAACCTCTTCGTCGGTAATGACTAGGGGTGGTGCCAATCGAATGATGTTCTGGTGAGTGGGTTTTGCCTGTGGAAAGATGTTAGTAAGACTGCGTCTGCAAAAGCATACCCATGTCAGGTGAACGTACCAGAAGACCCTTGGCCTTGAAAAGCATGCACAGGTCCCATGCGCTGTGGCCGTTGGTCTTGCTTTCGTCGATGACAATGGCGTTCAGAAGACCCTTGCCACGGATTGTCGTGATCATTGGGCTGTTGATGTTCTTCAAACCCTCGCGGAACTTGTTGCCCATGTTCTGCGCACGTTCAACCATGTTCTCCTCCTGGATCAGCTCTAGAGCACGGATAGCAACAGCCGAACCCAGCGGGTTACCTCCATATGTTGAGCCGTGTGTGCCAGGCTCGATTGTAAGCATGACCTCCTTGGAACCTAGCACTGCCGACACGGGGTACATGCCACCAGAGATGGCCTTACCAAGCAGGACAAGATCTGGCTTGATACCACTCCACTCGTAGCAGAGCATCTTGCCGGTCCTTGCGATACCAGTCTGAATCTCATCGCAAATAAGAAGAACATTGTGCTTATCGCAGAGCGCGCGGACTTCCTTCAGGTAGCTGTCGTCAGGGACAACGATACCTGCCTCACCTTGAATGGGCTCAACAAGGAATGCAGCAGTGTTCTTGCCATGCTTCTCAAGAAGCTCACGAACATCATCCACATTGTTATAGCGAATGGCCTTACCAGTCGAGGGGTTGATGCTGCCGATGTTAGGCAGGTATGGTCCGTAGTTCTCGCGAGACTCGGGATCGGTGGACATCGTGATCGCAGCAAACTAGATCTGTCAGCTAAGTCTGCAAGCTGCGGACATAGGCATGCTTACTGTACGTCCGTGAAAGTTCTCTTCAACAGAGAAGATCAGAGCCTCGTTTTGCGGGATTCCCTTGACCTTGTATCCCCACTTGCGCGCAACCTTAACGGCGGTCTCAACAGCCTCAGCGCCAGTGTTCATGGGCAGAATCATGTCGAATCCAAACAGCGTCGTAGCGTATTCGGCGAAGCGTGGGAACACATCGTTGTAGAATGCACGACTGCTGAGTGTCAATCGCGAAGCCTGCTCGGTCAAGGCCTTGACGAGCTCAGGGTGACAGTGGCCCTGGTTGACAGCGCTGTATGCAGAGAGGAAGTCAAGATAGTGCTTCTCCTCGGGGTCCCAGACGCTGCACCCACTTGCGCGAGAGAAGACTGAACACTGTCAGTATATACAAAGTCGGACAGAGTTAGAGACATACCAATTGGGAGAGGGTGGTAGTTGTGCGCGGCATACTTGGCTTCCGCTGCTGTCGCCTCAGAAGATGAAGACGCATGGTACTTTGAGGGATCAGGAGTGCCAGCAGGGTGGAACGAGCGCGCGGTGGGCTTCAGAGACGTGCCATTGCTTGCAGGCACAGCCTCAGTCTGAATTGCGCCGGGCGCCATGTTGTTCACTGTGTTGTCGGTGGTTGATACGAACGTGGGGTAAGAATGGTGGGGGAACGTCGCAATTGTCAAGAGTTGAGATGAAGAAGTGATCGAGAAAACAGGGAGAGGTCAGGGGCTTTATTTTGACTGTTGGTTGATTATGGTGCCGACAACAGCCACGACCTGCTTATAGCGATCATGTCTTTGTGACTTGCGGTTATACCTGCGCTTCACGTCGAAGGCCAACGGCAGGCCCTCGGTTGCGAGCGGCGGTCTCCATTAGCGCGTTTGCTATTGGCTCGTGGGTGTGGTCTCGTGGTGTGAGGGAGCAAAATCTCAAACGCGAAGAGCGATGCAAACGTAAGAGCGTTCGAAGTCGAGGAGCATCGTGAAGTCGCGATGGAGGTTGAGTCGGTTCGCGTTCATCGGCAAAAGTTTCAGGGAAGGTGGCTGCCAATAACAGTGCGCTTGCGCCATTTTTCCGCGTTCAAAGTGCAAGAATAACCTTACAACTTCAAACTCTCCGAGATCCTCAAAATCAGTTCACGTGGTCGCGCGTTATAATAGCTTCCATCGTCACTCTTTCCGTGGCGCGACGATGCCGGCATTTATGCGCGCTGGCAGGGTTCTGTGCCCCAAGGAACTCGGCTAAAAGATCAACATTGCCAACCTTCAAAAAGTATTCTGCTCGTGTTGTAGGAGTACTTGAAAACTATGGCATCCTCCACATCGTCGCAGGGGGCGAGGACTCTCCACTTACCAAGCCATTGTAGTCTTCATACGCCCCGGTCGCAAGACGAAAAGAACCAGGCAGAATCTTTGTTGTCGGGTTCTTTGTGGGTGTGAGAGCTGGAGGGCGCACGAGGGGCTCTCGTCGCTGCTGCAACCTCTTTACAAGAGGCACAGCGACATCCACAAATCAACTCTACTGGCCATGTTATGGTAAAACAGACATCGCAGACGTCATTGATGGATATATTGAGAAGATTAAGAGATGGACAATAGAAGGTAATTCCATCCGCGACCAAGCGAACGATCACAGACGACATACGAGGAAATACCAACTACACGGCAGGAAGACAATTTCAATCAGCGATAGGTGTATCTGCCCGTTCCTGAGGCAGATCTGGAATGGGTACAACTCCAAGCACCTTCATGCCATTCAGCAACACGATCCTGGTGGCTTCCAGCAAGGCAACAAGCCCCGAGGAAATATCACTCTCATCGACTTCCTCTCCCAAGCACTCGGACAGCTGCTCAGTAATTGCTGTCAAGTACGTAACGATGCCAGCTGGCTCGAGGGAATGGAAGGTGGCATCCACAACCTCGGGGTACTGGGCAAGTACGCGCAGGAGATTGGCTTGGTCTTCATCTGCCAGCGATTCGAACTGATCATCGGCTAATTCACCGCTCGCAGTATGTCCACTCAAAAGAGCGCACACCTTGGTGTACCAGAACTGCAGTTCAGGTCCGGTTCCCGGCCTGAAGGAGGCAAGTACATCTGTGGCGAAAGCGTGAACACTGGTTGCACGCGTGGATACCTCCTGTACCAGCAGCGCTGAAATCCCCAGAGCCTTTAGAGCCTGCTCAGAACCTCCTAACAAGGCAGCTTTTTCCACATCGACCTCTGATAGGCCCTTGATCGCTGCTTCGCTGGTGTCGAGGATAGCCTGTGGCTTGTAGCCCTTTCCTAAAACCGCCGACATCTTCGACACTTCACTGAAACGGACATGTTGCAGTCTGTTGGCAAGGTCTTTCATGTCCAATGCCTCCAAAATCCTGAAAAGCTGCGTAAAGTGAACACTGTTGTCGTTGGCCACAACGTAGACCATCTTGTCGAACGCATACTTCCTCGAGCGCTCCAGTACAGCAGCAAGATCTCGCAAGAGATACGTGCTGCTACCTGAACGATCCCGAATGATGGCAGTCCCGGCTTTGGCACCGAGCTTTTGCATGTGTACGATCCACGCTCCGCCGCTTTCCTCGGAGAGGCCCTTCTCTTTCAACAGCTGTTCGACCTCGGTCATGACCTCTTGGGAGACCTTCGACTCGCCAGAATACTCGTCGAATTGGATACCGAGTCGCTCGTAGAAGCTGGTGTAGTTCTCAATATTGGCTTCACGGACACGCTTCCAGAAGGAAACGATCGATTCGTCCCCTGCCTCAAGCTTCTTGAACGCCTCGTTGCGCTCGGCGAAAATGCCCTGGCTTTCTATATCAACTTGGGCTTCGCCCTCGTCTCTTCCTTCTTTGGCTGCCTCATCACGAGCTCTCTTACTCGCCGCTTGTTCAGGCTGGAAGACGTCCTCGATCCGGTGGTAGACGTCAAGCAGATGGCCCACTGGGTCAGTCTCAAAAGCATCTTCTGAGCCGAACTTGTCCCAGCCGACCTTGAGCAAAGCAATTGGCTTACCCCAGTCACCGAGATAGTTGATGCGCGTCACATTCCAGCCAAGCAACTCGTACAATCGGCTGACGAAGGCTCCAATGATGGTACTGCGCAAGTGCTTTCCTTGGAACTCGCTTACGATATTGGGAGACGAAAACTCAACGATAACCTTCTTGGGCGCTTCTGCCAATGATCGGGAGCCATAGGTGGATTTACGTTCAAGGATGTATGGCAACAGAAGGCGCGCCACCACCTCAAGCTTTAGAAACACGCGCAGATGCACTCCGTCAAGGAACGGCGGATCAAAGAGGGCGTGATCTTTTGGAAACTGTCACTGAAAGTCAGCTGAGTGCTCCTCAGTGATAGTCTGCTCCCGACCTACCTTGTCTACCAATTGCGAGGACAACTCAGCAGGCTTGCGGCCCGGACAAAGCTTCGGAACGGTCACTGAGAGATCGCCATTGAAGATGTTATTCGGCCATTGGATGGACTTGTATGCGGTCTGAACATCGCAGTCGACCAGCCCAGACAGCAGTTCAGCCAGCGTTGTGCGACACAAGTCGAGCGGATTGCTCAAGATGGTGGCATCGACAACCTTCAAGGTCGGTGCAGAGATTGACAGACTCTCGAGCAATTGCGTTAGCCCAACCTGATTGAGAGTTGTCATAATGGCAATATCTTGTAACCCTTGGGGCTAAGAAGGGCGTGTGTCGGGTTGCATATGCTGCCCGATGATGGTGACGCTTTCAATGTCGTGCGGCGCTTGACTTCAACGAAAAGACAGGGTAAAGAAGGGCAACGGCTTTAACATTTATGCTGATATGATTTACGGAGTTGGTAATGACAATTTGCAGTCAGCCTTGTCTGGGGAGGGGTGTGCCACGCTGTTCGATATCAGCTGCACCTCGTGGCCGACTCGGATTGGCCCTCGAGAACATGTCATCTTGAGAGGATCGCACTTGTTTAGGGGGTAAGGTGTAGCTGAGCTAATGACGCGAGCTCTTGTCTGCTGTCGATGGGTCAGGATCAGTCTTACTACATGCACTGACATCTCTGAAAGGTGATGCAATCGGCCAACCAGAGCTCACCTGCAAGAGTGCACCACGCATTGCTGATACAGACATACCCCGCAAGTGACTTTGCACTCTGTCACAGGCGCATTTTGGCAAGTTCAGTTTCCATTCCGCTGGTGATTCTTGCTTCAACTAATTAATCAAACTCTCGCGACAAGTTGACAGGTAGCGTAGAAGTGCAGCAATTGTGAAAGGTATCTTCGGATGACCTCCCTTTTGCTCAAGGCTGGTATCGTGAATATCGTTATTCGTCACATAAGAAACAAAAAACTCCAGAATAGCCGACCTTCAGAAATCAAACAGAAACCAAATACAACAATGAGCAAACATGAGACAGGAAAAATCATACATCTAAAGCCTGGCAAACATACGTTTCGTTACCGTCTATATCCAAGTCGTCATCGTCTAAGCGTATCAGTAAAGTACAATCAACCGGATGTCGGAAACTCTTACCGTGATCACCGCCAGCTGTTCCACTCCTGCCAAACAAACGCGAAGTCTTTGAGACGATGTACAGCTTCATTGTGGAGAATGGCTCTAGAGCCCAGATGAAGAGGCGCAGGATGAGCATCAAAACGATGACACAACATATGAAGTTCTTCGTGTTGCGGTCAAATGAGAAAATCTCGCGTTCGGCTCCAAAATATTGCAGAGCTAGAATGAATGGCGTGGTGAACAGAAGGACCTGCGGAAGAGTCAAATTTCTGACCATTTTACGGCGAGACAAGATGACTTACCTCAAAGCTTATCTGAGAAATATTGTGGGTCTTGACTGCTGCTTTCTGACTCTCCTTAGCAATAATTGTAGTCTTCCGATTCAGTTTGGTCGCCACGAGAGTTTCTCTATGTGTCTGCTTGCTCAGAACATTGCTATGAACATTCAATTGTAGCCCGAGCTTTTACAGATTAGCTTTGTCTTAGAAAGAAGTATGAAGCACTTACAGCTTCAGAAGACTCTTTGCAGGTCGTTATGAGTGAGGCCAGCTTCTGGTCTAGGACGCTTAGCCTGCGGAACGACTCATTGATAGCACTAATTGCCACCTTTGCGTTGTGTTTTTTGAGTGTCCTGAAGTAGCGGATGTCTCCGTCACGTGCACTGAACGCCTTCCATGCTTCGATGACTTCACGGGTGTGATCACGTACTCTGCGCAGCAACCGCGACGTTTTGATGGTATACGTGTAGAACTTTTGAACGTCGCTGTGGTCATCTTCTTCTGAGATCTTGAAAGTCAGTGATGGTGCACCTAGGCTCAATGAGATGGACTTACTTTGACACGTTCCTCAAGAGTTCGGATCAAGTGTATGTACTCTTTAAGGATAAAGTTGACCCATATCGCCATAATGTGCAAGAAGTAGATGCGTGGATCCCATATGGGATCATCATTCATATTGTGATCTCCACTGTCAGGGGCGAAGATGTCTTCCCTAGGCAGACCTTCCTCGCCCTCTTCATCATCTTCATCCTCGTCCTCGACAGGATCCTCGGCATCGAATGGGCATGGTTTTGAGAGCTTGTACCCCGTCCATGTTTTGTAGTCCCAGATGCAGATGACGATAGAGATGTGCGCCTCATGGATGATATCGCGGCCAATGTTCAAATCGGCGGCAGCCGCACGGTTGAGAAATGTAATATCAGCCCACTCCTTCCTTATGTTGCCATGGGTACCATTGCTTTCCCTCAGCGTTAGGTAAGGTAGGTGAAACTCCAGGCCTGGTGTAACGAAGCCATTCAAAGACTCATGGACCCGAATAGATGTTTCGAAATGAAGGTGTTGACAAAATGCATCCTTCAACATGTCTCCTTGGTGAAATAATGCAGTCTCTGCTAATGTTGACATTGACTTAGCATCGAGATTACGCACGGAGACTAAACGGCGGTGAGCATCCGGGAGGCCAACAGCTTTGAAACGTGCTTCGCTCAGATACTGGTGTAATTGATCTACTGAGAGCGGATCTGGATATGGACGGCTGCTGTTGGTTTTGTACTCTCGATCGTCTAAGCGAAGCTGTAGTCTTTCAGTTGGTGCTGGGGGTGCTGCTTGCGCGCAGAATTCTTTCATGGTCTTTGCTTCCCAACATGGCGTCAGGGTTACAGTGCGTCGGATGAAGAAGTCTAGGTAGTCCCGTTCCACTTTCTCCGTCTTGTATGTATCATAGATGAGCCTGTCTGTGAAACCTCGCGACACAATAACCTCCGCACTCTGCCTTTGCGTCCCTCTCTTTAATATCCCGCTCCGCTTGACGATGTTCATAGCCTGGTCTTCTGGAAATGCCCCGGCTCAAAGCTGAGGAGGCGTATGTGTATGTAAAACAATTTTGCGTGCCGTATAGGCGCTCTGAGCATGCTATGAGACGCTCATTGGACCTTGGTCGTACGCGATTAGTCGGTTCGAGTGACGTCCGGCCGGGACGCTGAAAGCTTGGGGAATGAATCGTAAGTTTAACAGGGTCTCGAAGACGTCTATAAAAGCCTGAAGGTTGTGCAATCCAGACGAAAGCGTGTGTGGCTTCTTCGACAACGTCCAGTGATGCATGATCTTCCAAAATCTCGTATCGTGAAAAGAAGGCAAACATTGATCTTGCACTTCGACCACGTTGCATGCTCTCAATCGTCATGTACAAGGTCACGATCTCAGGTGCAGGTTTCGCGCCAGAATGCTGCAACCAGAAGCCGTGAGTTCGACTCCTGCACGATTGATAGCCATCTTCAGTGACTAAACAATGCCGGTCAGTGCGCAACGTCTGATTCGTGATCTTAAGTATAAGGCGACAATCTCACCAGTTATATCATATACCAGTGTAAAGCACCTGGTCACAAGGCGCATCAGCCTGCCCGGTAATTCGACGTTGGGCTGCAAGGCTTTGCCGCACTGAAGGAGGACTCCGCGAAGTGCGAGCTAATTAGTCCACGTGCTCCAGACCTCCGATTCCATCCGTACATTCGACCGCGATACTGAATTGCAGCCATACCATGGGTATTATCGCGAAGTCTCTGGCCGAGGTTCAAGCAAAATTGCTTATATATCTATAGTCGTACGCCATTCCAACCGGCATAGCGATGAACGGATGGTGAAACACTCAAGCTCAATGTGTGTTGGGTCTGCAATTCGTCGACACGAAAATTGTCAGTGAAGTGTACGTGAAAGAAGCACGGAGCGAGACACATGGGCCGGGTGTGGCTTGCTCAGCCCCGGACTAAGCTAACAACTGTCCGTGCGTTGCGCATCTGGGAGCCCGGTTTGGAGACACGTCAAGATATCCTACCGCTAGATTGATGTATCGAATCAGTGCTTCCCCAAATGTTGTCTGCTTCTTCTCACCGGTCCAGCCACATGCATTCTAATGCGCAAGCACAAGGTCAAATGCCGTACGGATCTATGGGTTATTTTCGAAATAGACCTGATATCCTGAGCATACATAGGCGTACTTTAGATACTGCCTGCGTACATATGCCAAGAGGCTATATCTTAGCTTCCTCATCACAGAGTGAATTGCGACACTCCGTCCCGCCAGCCTCAGAGAACGTCCATATCATTGAAAGGCCATCAAACGCATCCACAGTTAGCAGTTTAACCAACAGAAACAAGTATTAGAAAGTCTAAAATCTCTAGGTAATACATCTCTAAGCAATACAGGCGATATGATGCTTGGCAGAAAGGAACTCTTGGCATAAACAGTACAAGGGAAGAACGTGTGCTGGTTGAGACATTGAACGTAACGGGAAGCAAGGAAGGTCCTTGTAGAATCTTACCGGCCACGGTTATTCATCTCATCTGAACTTTAGTGATGTGGCAGTTACCGCAACGCGCATCACCGCAGGATGGGCAGCCGGTGGACCTATAAGGGATTGAGGGATACCCACAGTAGCACTGTTCTCATGTTAGGTCTACTGGTTATGGTGTAGATAGAATCATTGCTCACACATTGCCATACATAGGTATGCTTTTTCTTCGCAGCGCCCTAACGCGGTTAGCCTCAGAGTACGAGCAGCAGAGGTTACAAAGGCTGTTTTAAGGCTCACCAACTCCTGGGAAGGCACATCAGACGCGCAAGTCAACATCTGAGGGACTTCTGCGGGACTCATATTCGATCACCCTGGCGCCGCACCCCTTGCAGCTTGATTGCTTTCGAGTTACGGCATGTACACAGCAAAACACGTTGGAAGAGGCAGCTTTATTCGCCAACAAACGAGTATTTACAGCCAACAGTCCAACGCAAAGGCGTAAGATATTATGCTGAGACGATAGCCTCAGGGCGCGATTTCAAGGTAGGTGTAGATTTCGAAGAGCGGCGGAGAGCCTCGAATAGTGAATGTCGCCCGATTGGTCGACAGAAAAACAGGACTGCTGAATTGAGGTCAGCATTGTAAGCTTGGAGATGTGTGCTTAGCTCGGAAAAGGTTTAATTTGTTTATTATATCCTGGCTTCCACTTTCAAAGAAAGTTGCAGCATGTCTGATCAGGCCAATTGCACCTGCAGTACGAACACCGGATGACGGGAGTGCCGGATTGAGGACGTTAGGATGACGAGCTCGATGTTGTGGGAAACCTACCGATTTATGCTTGCTGATATGCTTTTAGCAGGGTTGGGAACTCCGAAACCCCCGTTGCCAAAGAATGCAGGACTTTCACCACACTACACCGTGACCTTTACTCATATATAGTTCTGTCAGTCCCTCAGCCCCATGAGGTACTAGGCTGAATGCGTCTAGTCCTCTCACAGTGGTTCCTCACACTAAACGTAGCTGATCTCCACTTGTGCCGATGGACAAGGTCTTCGAGGAGGATTCTGTACAACAGGTTCTACTGCCTTTGATCGGCAGTTACGCGATCTTCATTACCACATCCCTTTTTGTTGCGTGGCTAGCCCTTGGCTTCGGCTCCGGTAACACTTCCGGTAGGAGCGTTCTTGAGTCCGTGTCTATATTGTCGAACGGCCCGATGAAGACATAGATTAGCCATTTCGCTGGGACAAGAACGGACTTTGCCGCGCTGAGAAGATATGAGAAGCCTTGCTTACAATTATCAGCCCCCCCTTTTCAAGATCGCAAAACAGCCGCAAACCTCCGCTCCTTCTTCCGCTCGTTAGCGAGCACACGAATCGAACACACGAACAAGCCACAGTAGACCATGAGACGATACACGAACTGATCGATATCAAGTCATTGGCCATACGCCTTTAATTTCCCGTGAGGTACTCGCCCTGTGAAACATGGAATATACAGAATAGACTCTAAGCCAAATTTGTTGTACTGAGATTTTAGGTGTCTCTTGCAGAAATATGCAGCGCAGGTACCCGTCGAGCCAGGGTAGAGTGGCAACGCCCAATCAGCTCGATTCAGAGTGCAACCATCGGTGAGCTGAGGCAAAATATCTAGCACACCGCTGTGTTTCAATTGCATGTTATCGAGGTTGATCTCTGCGCGTTAGGGACGGCTCTACCTCGTTAGGTTTTCGCAAACATCGATCTCATGTCGAGCGCTTTCGTGTACTTCTTGTGGACGTTCATCGTGTTGCGATGGCCTGAATGTTACAAGATCTGAGATCTGGGTCAATCGTGGTGAGACCTATCGTGTTCACCGTATGCAGTAATCTGCTCAGCTTGTGAAATCCTCGACCACACGATCTATGCGCATGACACAAGACCTTGACACCGCAATAACATTTGCAATGACAAATCTATGGACTCGATACGCAGTCAACCAACTTCCTATGTACGACAAGACGTACTGGAGGAAACATGCAGTAAGCACACAGCGTCGAGCTTGTGGCGCCATACCCGGTTCGGTGCGTAAACTTAGTAGCTTTACAATGTTTCAGACCCTCGAGTCACTGGGTGATACATACCTTGAGGCCTGGCAGAAGGGCCGAAGATTGCGAGAGTGCCATAGGCGGGATAGAGGTCGTGACAGCCTCGATAGATGAGATGTCCCTATCGAGATTGGTCATGCAGCGATCCGTTCAACCGTGGCACCGTGTGTACAGAAGCCAGCTCTTGTAGGAGTCAGACGAGGTATGGTCGCGGTGCGGTCAGAGGGTGCGTATGGTGATGCGCCCGAAGCAAGTAAGAGAAGTCGAATTGCGGCCATGCGAGGCGGATGTGGTGTTTAAGACAGAAGCTACCATCCAAAAAGCGAAGCACAAGATTCTAAGTAGAATCTTCTGTGGTAACCCTGTGACCAAGTGCTGTTTCGTGATGACGCTTGGAAGGTCTTGTGAAAGCAGCAAGGTGGAAAAGTGTTGCCATTGGTGATACAACTGACAGTAGAGCCCAACACACGACGCCCGCTGTCTGATGGGCTGAAGATCGCTGAGTCCCAAGCTTGAGATAAGCTGGCATGAAAATGCCGTGGTGAGGGACCTACTGGTCGAGATATGTTCGAAAAACGCTGATCCAGCAACGTCTTCTGCACTCTATGCATTTCTTCCGACTCTTCGAGACTGTATATCAACTTTAGTCACTGGACAGTTATTGCAGCGTCCGTAACCACAAGAGGGGCAGCCACTACTTCTGTATGGGATAGATGGGTATCCGCAACTGCACTGGAGTCCGTCAGCATACTATCCAAACTACCGGCAGTGCTAAGAACGAACGTACACACTGCCAGACGTACGTCGATTTCTTCTTAGTCTAGACTTGTAAGCAGCGTGATCTTGAGTCAAGCAATGTCAAAGAAATACTGACCGTCAAGTATATAAATCCGCCCCATACATTCATTGGCTCGGCCGAATGCATATCTGCAAGACCATATGGGTCTAGGTAAATACTCTGCTTGTCCCTAAACAGGTACAGGCCTTGTGAGGGACACGATCGTTGGTGAACCTTCCTTATCGACAACTATTGATACGTCTAAACGAAGACACGTGCAGGTCGAATCGATAATCGACGGCAGTCGTCGTTCAAGACCGTTGCTGTTGGAATGGCAATTGTGTTGAAGCTACGGGCAATTGTGGGCTCAAAATCTAGGTGTTGGCACGCATGCCTCGTTCGATCGATGCCTGCGGCTATGTTAGATGCGTTCGTTGAGAAGAACAGAGGACCAACCCGATGCGAAGATGCCCCGATGACTGTCGATGCGAAAGGAAGCACACTGTAGCCTTTGCAACGCAGTCTTGTTGAAGGAACCTTTTGACGCCCTGCAATGCCTATATAACAATCAGGACCTCCAAGCGACCCGCAAATCGCCACAAGGCTTTGTACAGGTCCGAAACTCGTGTAAGTTAGTAGATCTGATGGGACGCTGCCTTGCGACGAATCTCAAGAAGAAGGGGAATATGGTCACATGCGCGTATATTGCTCTGATCTTTGCCCAAGGCGCATCGGAGCGGCATTCATCCATTGAGAGAGTTATAAGACCGACAGTTTGATGTCGTACCACAGCCGCTGAACTCGTGTCATATACCAAGTGGAGGGTGGCAACAAGGCGAAGCCACGCGGTGTAAACCGCCTTTAAGAACGAGGAATCCAAGCTTGTGCACACCGCTGACGCGACGCTAGCGGCTGTCGGAAGGACCCTGTTGTGTCGATTGGGTAAAGGAAACTACAGTGACCTCGCGTCTGGTCGACGGGAACAACATAAGGAATTCGTCGCTAGCTCCGCGATTCGATCTTTATCGCGATGCGGAGACTAACCGCCATGAACGTGGGAAGGAATTCTCGACGTTTTCAAGGCTGCCTGTGCTCCCGGATGTCACATCGTGATACCGCATTCCCACCCAGATCTCAAAAAGCAACAGTGAGCAATTGAGAATCTTCGTCCGTATAAGAAGTAATCAACGACGTTGAACTGTGTCTTCATTTGACTGCTAAATATTTGAGCAGAACGATCTTTACAAAACAACTTCTCCTGCGGTCTACATATCCTTGCCTTGGACGGAGTTGTTCTAGGTCACCTTGATTCGTTTCATCCATTTCGTTCACCGTACCTGATCTTGTGTGCGTAGAGTTCGATTATTCACATATTTCAGTCGTAAGCTAGAATGATTCTTGTCCCTTTTGTTCTTGTATGAGACAAGAATACGCATCGCTAACGTGTGTTCACACATGTAGCAAACGGCGCGGCCCGGCCCTACACACGGCAAGCGTATTCGAACGGAGTATACTTCTCACTCAGGGATCTCGTCTAATCTGAGACGTAGGGTCAGCACTGCTTGTTGGTGGCTGACCACAAATGAGGTGGGCGAGGAACATTACTGGCGCGGAAGTGGCGGTCGCACCAACAATGTCAGCACCGATTCAGCTGGATCCTACGAAGCCAATTGCCCCTTTTCAAACCTTAGTGTGTAGCTCAGACTCATGTTCAAAAACGCCTGCTAATCAAGAACACTTCAAGGCCGCTAAAGCAAAACACACCTACGTTTGGCAATGTGTAAGGTTCAAAGTGTATGACCTAAAGCTTCACGTGCTTACCAACTAACAGTGCTATTGTGGGTATCCCTCAATCCCTTATAGGTCCACCGCCTGTCCGTCCTGCGGTGATGCGCGTTGCAGTAACTGCCACATCACCAAAGTTACAATTCGATGCTCACGATAGAAATGAGAAGCTTCTTGCTTCGTACTTTCCTCTTTACCCTACAATCAGTCGTTATTCGCGTTGCAATTGCACGCCCCGTCACTCCTTGAGCGCTCAAGAGCCAATAGTGCATTGTTTGATATTCTTCCATCCTCCAATTTTGTTCGTAAACTAGCTGGCAGTAGGGCTCAACGAATAACATAAGTATGTACTCTGTCTTTCGAATGGAAAGTTTGAAGTCACCCCTGGCTTCAGGTTACATGATCGTCCTTACACCCCGGGGCCCTTACCGTGTTGCACTATATGTGGATCTGTCTGCGATTGTAATGTGGCCGATAGACAGATAAGAGGACAGAGACACCCAGCTTGGTTGTGAGCGGCAGTGTGAGGACATGTCTGCGGCTTTGCTGGGCGCCTTGTAATCTGCCGGAATTATGTCGATACTGACGGGACAACTTGCCAGACTGAGTGCATGACTGTCTTAGCAGGCTGCAGCCCGGTAGGGTCATCTGATGCTTTGGGCGCCCACTAAGCTTGGACATCTCTGTGTTGCCTTCAGCGCCCTTCATGCGGGGCGCATCTCATCCCAACCTCCTGCCAGGCAAATCAGGCAAACTCGCCGGCTGACCAACACCCGGAGCATTAGCTTGACCATAAGTTTATTGCCGACAGTGGACCACAAGTCGCTAATTTGCTGTCTGGTTGGAATTCTCATCTGAGCATGCTCGATAGAAAGACACATCGTCTGGATCCTTCTGGTCACAACAGCCGAACTGCAGGCCCTTGTTGTTGTTGTTGTTGTTGTTGTTGTTGTTGTTGTTGTTGTTGTTGTTGTTGTTGTTCGCGCATCCGCTTCCGAGGTGGTCAAGCTCAGGTCTCTCGGGGCTCCTCCTCTTTCCTCAACCCCGTTACTGTTTCAACGTGCTCGGTCCCCAAATGCGCCGCCTCAACGAACAAGCTAGCAACAAGCGCCAGAAATGCGACCACCGTTAACATAATCCACATGTTGCGTGTCGCCCAAGCAAAAGCCTGCTTTGCAGCGAACTCCCAGGCCGGGTTTTCAAGCGTGCTCGGTAGCATAACGTTCGCCAAAGCGTTCTCACCATCCAATTGATCCAGCAAGTCATGCGGCAGTCCAGCAGCACGAAGGTACCCATTTCGATTTGACATGGAGTTCTGAAAGATCGTACCGCAGACAATGACAGAGATCGAGACGGCGATGTTGCGCACGAAAGCCATCGTTGCAGTAGCAGTTGCTACATCGGCCTGCTTGACCTGGCTTTGGATTGCGATGAGAGGCGCCTCGAACAAGATTCCTTGCCCAAGACCGGCGATCATCTGGAAGCCTACGGCTCGGCCGGTGTTCGTGTTTGCGTCGAATGATGTGAAGAGACCGAATCCGAGACACATGAAAGCCGAGCCAACCCACATGATCTCTCGGAAGCGTCCAGTGCGGTGGATGATGACTCCGCATAATACACCGAATACTGCTCCTGTGACGATGAGAGGTAGAAGGAGCACACCAGATCGAAGTGGAGACGCTTCCAGAACGGATTGTAAGAACAACGGCATGTAGAACTCCGCCGCAATGAAGACCTACGATCGTCAGCCAACCATCTGCACACCTCAGTATAGAGCACTTACAAAGCCGTGAAAGAAGACCACCAAAAATGTAGCCACGTTTGTCTTGTTCTTGAATAGTGACATAGGAATAAGCGGATACTTAGCAAATTTTGCTTCGCTGTAAATGAACGCACCGATCATGCACCCTCCAACGACAAGGAGTGCTATGATTTTCGCAGAATCCCACGGAAACAGGACGCCTCCGAAGTCGAGTCCAAGGAGAAGCATGAGCGTGCATCCGAGAAAGGTAAAGATGCCGAGCCAGTCGATGGCTTTCATGCCGTCGATGAAGGATGTGTGTTCGTGCTTGACGTCCAGGAATACCAGGATGAGGAGGGCTGCTAGACCACTGATGGGAAGGTTGATCCAGACTACACGAAAGGTCAGTCAGAGTTATTAAGAAGCAAAGGGACAGAGCGACTTACAGCACCATCGCCAGTTCACCAAACTCGCAAAAACACCCCCCAAAATCGGCCCAATCCCCCCCGCCAACGCCCAAATCCCCTCCGTCAGCCCCATCAACAAACTCCTCTGCCTCAAACTAAACATATCGCTAATACAAACATGCACCAACAGAATTAGCCCTCCGCCAGCCGCACCCTGGAACGCGCGACCAATGATCAATGCCTCCATCGTTTTGGCAGAGGCGCATACTGCTGAGCTAGCAAAAAAGACTGCAAGTGCCAGGAGAACGATGAGCTTGCGACCAAAAATATCAGAGAGTTTGGCCCAGATGGGGCCTGATGCGGCGTTGCCGAGTAGGAAGGCGCCACCGATCCACGTATATCCTGCTGCTGAGTTGAGATCATGAGACATGGTGGGTGCTGCAGTGGAGACAATAGTGGCATCTAGAGCTGCAACGAAGAGGGAAAGCTGGAAAGATTAGTCTTTTTGACGCTGGTCCGAAGAGATGCAAGACATCTCGGGACAATCAACGTACAAAGAGCGCTGTCAGGATGGCAAACATCCGGAGTTTGCTTCGCGGGTTCGCGTCAATCGGTGCTTCGACATTTTGTTTCGTTGATTTCTTGTCAAGAATCTGCTCCGAGGAGGTGTCAGGGTACGGCAAGGTGGGAGTTGTGTGCTTGGACTGGACGTCCATCTCGATGTCGCGCTCCATGATAAGGATGGTCCGAATATGAATACAACTGAAGTAAAACACAGAAGATGAGCACAAGCTGTCGCTTTTACATGGTAATTGATGAGCTCACAAAATGGAACTGAAAATCTGGGGAAAGCCCTTTTTTTCTAAATGTCGACCAATGAGATGCGTATGAGTCAACAACTACCGCGGAAACGGGAAGGCGCGCGCCCTTCATGACAACCACCTTCTCAATTGAGATATTTCAAAGTCATAGACACAGAAAGACTGCATTGTGAACATCTTAGATGCGTTGTTGTGTTGTTGCTCATATCATACACCCAATGCAGCATTGCGCTACATCCTTTCCCACTCGTGTCCACCAATCGGTCCATACATGGCAAGAAATTGCGCCAGCAATGCTCGTGATCGCACGTAAACTTTCCATCCAACCCTTCCCGTATGCGCCAAACCAGCCCTAAGCCGTATGTGAAGAAGTTGAAAGTTCAAACTTGGAAACCTCATTGAAGAGAAGAAAGTAGGAAAGTAAGGAAATGGGCTGGCGAACCCGCAAAACCCCCAAACATCGAACACATACCAGATCAAGCGTCTTCAGGAAGTATGCGCGCAAAATGCTTTTCCCAAATCCAGCCCACCGTCTTTGTCGCATCGTCTTGGTTGCGTGCCAGCCACAGCTCGCCCTTCATGCCAATAACATCGAAAATTTCGCCAGGAACATAGACAAGATACGGAATACCGCCCTCACGACGGTCATGTGCAATATTGAACTCGAAAAGGCTTGCGGCCAAGAAGAGGACCTCAGGCTCATCGGTGTCGCCAGGGGTGATCGGGAGCTCCTCGGCACTGCCGCGCATGGGAGTGTCAGACATCGGCAGGGCTGAGTTGAAAACACCAGACTGGCGAGTCGAGCCCGGGAGAGAGGGAGGTTGCGAGCTAGGCGCAGACATGGTGAGCATGCTCGATTGGGAGGGCGAGAGGAAGGAAGCGCCCAGCTGAGGTGGAAAGTCGAAAACACTCGCGCCAAAAGAATTGCGATCATCGAAGTCAACGACGCCGTCCATGCCCAGGTAATTGTGGTTCCTTGATCGTGCTGAATTGCGGCGCTCCTGCTGTCGAACAGTGGTTACTTCGCTATTGTCGGATACTGGGCTGAGCGCGCGAGCTGCCTCGCGCGAGGAAACGGGACCGAAGTTATTTCGAGAGGAAGAGCTTGTGTTCTGATAAAGGGAGGGATACGCCGGGCCTGCAGGCGAGGAACGTTGAGGTCCGTCAATGGAGCGCATGTTGGACCGCGAACTGTAGCCGCCACTATGACGATTGCGTGGGTCGAAGCCAGAAGCCTCACTGCTCATAGATTCGGTGCGGCGAGACTGAGAGTTGCGTGCTGAGCCAGCCCCGTCGGACGGCACTGGTGATGTCATGCTTGAGATCTCTTGCAGCAGACGCTGACTGTTAGTAATGCCGAAGTTCCTTGCCCTTTGCTCCTGCACATTGTAGTCGGACTTGAAGCGTTCTGTGTATGCCTTCAGATCGTAATCTATAGACGTAGTATGCTGTGGTTCGGTTTCCAAAAGTGGGAGAATCTTCTTCGAGCAGGTTTTGTACCAGTCTTTTTGGAGGGCCATGAAGAGAGTCATCACGTTTCGCATGACGCCCTTCGTTTTGTCGTATAGCAATGGCAACTCGAGTTTCAAGGTATCGTTGATCGTAGTGAAGCGCTCTGCCGACGACACGGTCTCCGGGTCAGGCTTCTCACCGCGATCAATAGCCTGCTTGTGCTTGACGTAGTGGAGCAAAAACTTCTTGCGCTGCTCTATAGTCTTCTGGTACGACACCCACATCTCCCAGAGATCTGAGATTGGCTTTAGCACGCGGCTGCGAACAGCGGCTTTCTACGTTCAGGTTAGTAAAAATCGTGCGAACAACACAACGAAAAACTCACATGATCTTCGAGGGCTTTGTTCTGGAGCTCGAAATGAGCCATAGCCCATTTGCGCCATGTACTTTCAATCTCCGGGTTGACTGAAGGTGCAACCTCACAGACAGTGATGAACCCCAAGAAGACAATATTGAGTTGTAGGTAGTGCTCGGTAATCGAATCGAGGTAGTTCTCGAAGTCGCGCATGACGATCTGGAGCTGGAAGAAGTGGCCGCCGAACTTCTGTTCTCGAGACTTATACTCCATGTCCTTGAATGTTTTCTCGGCTTCGTCATACGTCTTCGTCTTATCAGCTTTCGGTATGAATGCTTTGACGAAAGCATTGCCAAGTCCCTTGCCTTTGCTCTTCTCTTTCTTGCCCTCTGAAGTCGCGGCACGGAAGGTATCTGCACGCTTCTTTGCATCATTGATACGTCCACTAATAGCGAGAATCTCTGAACGAGCCTTCTTGATATTCACCAGATCGGGATGGTCAGCATCGGTGACTTGCTCGAGCGATTCAAGCAGCAAGGGGTACTTCAACAAGCGTTGCGCCGGCTTGACAAGAAGAGAATCGAGATCCCAAGCCTGGGTCATATTCTCGACCTGCTCGAAGCAAGCGACTACCCACCCAGTAAGTTCTGGGTTGCTTTGGTTCTTCTTGATGTACGCATGCTGATTTTGCGAGTTGAGGTAGTACGTCGTGTACAGACGCTCCATCTTCTCCAAATTGTCAAGGAAGACTCGACCGATTGACGTCATATGGTCGTTCTCGAGCGTGCAGTTTTCGAACTGATTGAACTCGTCGGATCGAAGGTTCGCAGGTAACTCAGCAGAGCCGAAAGACTTGGAGTCAGTTGAGTCACGACTCCAGGGGCCGGTCGGAGGTGGCATGTCGTGGTTGACGATGGGTTTCGCCGCCTTTTTGAACGCTCGAAACAATGAGAGCGAGAACTTTTCCAAATCTTTGCAGTTGCTGAACAGTGAACGCTTTTCTTTTTCGGTCATGATGCTGCCGGCCGTTGCCTCAAAGATGTTGTGAGCAATCATCATGTCTATGCAGAATTGATGTTCTGTCGTTAGCATTTCCTCAAGGATTCGGTAACGCTTGGTCAACGCCTGTCGCGCTGGGTCTGGTGGTGTTTCCTCAGAAGCTGTTGGCGTTTCTTCTTCCGTCGGATCGATCTCTGGTAGCGGCTTGTCAGTAATCTCCACAGATTTCGGCGTACTATATCGGTCACTATAATTTCTGTCGTGCATGTTGCCAACAGGCGTGAGTGCACGCGCGGGATGCTGTTCGAAGCGCTCCTCAGTCTGCGACGCGGGGGATGGCTTAGCATGTCCAGAAAATGGATACGAAGGGATCGAAGGCGAGATGGGCGGCAGCTCGTCCAGGCACTTGGAAGGTGGAGGTGGCGGCGGCGGCGGCGAGTACACGGGCGGCGGCGGGTGTTGCACCGTCGGTGAAGGGACTGTAGGTGAAGGAGGCATGTAGTTGTTCATGGACAAGCCAAGGCCACCATTGGTCCAAGCAAGCTGCGGCAGATCCAGACCGTTTGTTGAAGGCGTCGCATTGTCGTACGCTGTGTTTGGCAACAAGGTATCCTGTGACGGATTGCCGAATGAGCTGCCTGGCGGCGAAGCATCTTCTTGTATAAGAGTGGTTGCCGACCCTTGCGAGCCGCGAGAATAGCGATGTGACTCTGGAGGAAATACGAAAGCCGGTATTTGGTTCGCAGGCTCCGGCGAGGGTTTTCTTGCTTGATATATATTTGGCGTGAGAAGTGGTAAGGACTCTCTTTCACGCGGCTGTTCTTGAGCGCTATCTCGCTGCGATCCGTTGGCGTCGCTCAGTATTCGCGCCAGATAGGTCTCAGTGGCCTCCTTTGACGCCCAGTCTTGGTGCTGTGCTATGACGGGTGAGACTTGGTGGACTCTTTGTCTAGAAAGCGAAGCCAGTTCTGGTGAGATGACTGGCGACTGATGATAGAGATTGAGCACCGAGTTGATGACGCTGTACGTTTCGCTCTTTGTGTGCATGGGTTTTGCTGATCGGTAGGGAGCAACGCTGATAGAGTCGTCTGGATGCAAGGAATCGCGATCGTGAAAAGAATCTGTAGGTGAATCCTCGCCCTTGAAGTGGAGTGCAGGCAACAAGGTCTCGTGTCCATACACCTGCACCGATCGTCTCGGAGGAGCGAAAGGTTGTGATGCTTCGTCCTGAACCCTGGACGTACCATTCAGATCACTGGACATGTGTTCATCATTGAACATGATTGGTATCGATTCTCTGACGCCCAGAATAGACTCTTCAATTGGGGGTAATTCGGGAGCCTGCTCGCTACCCGATGCGCGGAATATGGCTGGTCGGAGGAGTTCTTGTTCAGGCTCTTTCCACGGTTCAGGCTCTTTCCACGGTTCAGGCTCTTTCCACGGTTCAGGCTCCTGCCACGGTTGAGGCTCAGGCGCTTGCGGTGTTTGCTGCGACTCTACCTGTTGTGGCTCTGGCTGAACTACTGGAGGCGTCAGAACAAAGCTACCAGGAATACCCAAAGTTGGAGACTCTTCAAAATCGGTCACTGCAGACCACGGCTGCGTCGGTGGCGATATGCCCAAGCTAGAGGTTTGCAGGCTCAGCGATTGATGGCGCCGCGAAGACGGGCTCTGGCTATCTTCCTCGGTGTGCTCGGTTGGAAGCGGTTGGATCTCCTGTGCCTGAGGAAAGACCACGCTGGGTGAGAAGGAGAAATCCAGGGTCTGCGATTCACTTTCACCATCAAACAGCCCCGGCTGGCTCGCCAGAGGGTCGGCTTTTGAGTGGAGCTGGTCACCCAGTGAAAAGTACTCGAGTTCGCCATGCGCGTCGGCGGCTCTCGGATGCGCGTTGGGAGACTGCAGTGGCTGTCTTTCTCTTGAGTTGCGCAATCGCGGGGAGGCTGGTGGAGGTGGGGCAGTCACGACTGCTGGTACGCTGGGCCCGGTCCTTGCGGGCGACTTCCCTCGTTCTCGATATCCGCGGTAGGCTAACGCTGGTAGCGTCGCATGGTCGGTGCCATTGCTCTTCCCGGCTGTGCTGCCTCCCGCTGGTTTTCTGTTCATACTACGATTCGGAGACGACCGACTGCTGCGTGTGGGTGTGTATTTGACTGACTGGGCTGTAGAGCTGGCTTCTGATGCATTGCTCGACCGTCGTGACCGCTGCGAGATGACTGGTATTCGAGAGGGCGGGGATTGTCGTGGCTGAGACTGTACGGACCGCGAGGCGGGCCGTGACTGCCCATGTCTGGCAGATGTTGTTGTGGCGTTGCTCTGTGAGCGCTGGTGGTGGGGTGAGGTGAATGTCGTTGCAGGAAGTTGCACCTCGTCACCTGCCAGGTCTTGAGCATCGTTGATGGGCGGCAGAGGGACTTGTGCTGCTTGCGCGGCTTCCTCACGTGCTGTGCTCGCAAAGGTGGGGATCATGTATCCTGGCAGTGTTGCGTCCTGTCCGCCTACTACCTCGCCGAAGAGCTGCCGCCCGCTTGAAGACGCCCGCTCGAGGCCAGGCCGTCGGTTCGGCGAGGTGACTGACTGCCGTGATGGGGAAGTGACCGAGTGCCGTGTCGGCGAGGTGACCGAGTGCCGCGTGGGCGAGAGCGTTTGGTCGATGCTGCTTCTGCTTGCATGGCTTGCGTTTGTCGCTCGTCGTGCCGTTCGCGGTGGAGATGTGGGCGCGGGTTGCGGTCGTTCGCGTGGTTTGAGATTGTTGAACTTGTACGATCCATAGGCAGTTTCCTTGGGCGGCCGTGGCGCAGAGGCAGGCGAGGATGTTGGGGCGGCGGGGCGTTTGACGGGATCGTGCGCGCCAGCCCGCGTGGGCTCCCTCGACCGCGAGCGTATGACCGAGGGGATCACATCGCCGCCCGGCGAGCGCTCGAATCGCTCCGCCAGCGCCTTGACCTTGTTCGATACCGGTGGAGGAGAGCGGGAAGAGGCCACCGAGGACGCGGGGCCAGACACGGACCGGGGCCCGGCTCTGGGGGGGGAGCGTATGTTGTTCGAGCTCGCCGTGTTCTGTCGCTGGCGCGTGACGTTCATGTCTGTCGACGGGACGGGTATGGGGGCGACGTCGTGCTCGGACGCGGGCGCGTAGGCAGACTTGTAGTAGTCATCGGGAGAGGGGCTGTCGGGCGTGTCGTCTGCATGGTGACCCTGATGAAGGCCCTGATCCTGATCCTGATCCGGATCCTGACCCTGATCCTGCTCCTGCTCCTCAATACCGGCCAGCGACATGGACTGCACCCAGCTGGCCACGGCCGGGTTGTATGCATAGTTGGGCTCGGCCATGTTGTCCCTCCTCTACCGTTCCATGCTCCTATCTCCAAGGTTGCAGGAAGCGAGGGCGCGAATCAAGGCGGCGGCCAGCACCGTCGTGGTCCAATCGACAGTGGTGTCGCGGCGACAACTCACGCCTGTGAGCCTCCGCAGAGCAGCTAGAGCAGCCAATGGTGGGTGGGGGAGCGGCTCTTGCGGCGAGCGCTGCGCGTGTTTCAGGCAGAGCGCTGGGCAACGACGCTGCACGGGGGCAGAGATTCCAGCTGTTCGACTCAGCGCGCCTGGGAGCAGTCCGGTCGAGGGCAGAAGCGCGCTGCTGGGCGTCACGGTGGTCAAGCGTCAACAACAGGCAACGGAGCAACGTGGGTTCGAGTGGTGTGGAGATCTGCCGCAAGCCCAGCCAGTTCGACCGTTGCGGCTCGGGTGTCTCTGCCTGCACGAGAGTGGTCGAGCAGCACGGGGCGCAATGCAATTCACCTTTGACAGCAGCATGCAGCGAGCTGGGTAAACGGCACTGGCAGCAGGCGGGCGCACACCAGGTATGGCACGAGGCTGCAAGGGAAGAGAATCTCAAACAGTTATCTCGGTGCGTGCTGCTGCCATCCACTGCAATCGTCCTGCGCATCTGGGAACCGTCTCCACATCCGCCCCGGTCGCAGACGCTCTAGCGCCATCTCTGGGCCAAAATAGTCTCTCCATGCGTGGCTCCCCAAGGGCAACCTGGGAGCACCCGGAACTCTACTGGAACGACAGCGAACATCAATCCCCCCTTTCCCGCCTCACAGGGCAGATTCACAGCATTCACAGGGCAGAGGCAGCTGTGGCAGGTCTCGCAGGCTCACAACGAGCCGCGAGTTCGCATTGCGCATCCCAGACTGGCGCGTCCAATATCTCAATAAATCGCGTGTCGCTGGCGTACCTTCTGCATCCGGCCACCAGAACACAACAACGGTCCCACCCACGCGCGATCCTCTGCCACTTCACCCACGCGTGCACTGTTCGGATCCTTCAGGCAGTCGCTGTCACATCAATGTCGTCCGGCCAGCATGAAGCGAAAATGCACATCCCACGCGGGCGGCCCTCGGAAGAAGGCGCACGTCGTTGACCAATCTGCGAGTGCCACACCTCCAGCCATTGAACAGCCTGTCTTGCAACGCTTCTATCCTCGACTGCTCACGCTGCGCCACTATCTTATGTCAGTGCTGCCAAAGTCGTCAAAGAACAGACGTCGTAAACTAGCTCGACTGGGCCGGCCAATGGCAACCAAGAAAGCAACATCAATATGTGAGCCCAACATGAAGCTTGGGCAGCTGCTCGACTCGACTGTGATCGGTGAACACAGGACAACAGAGATCAACGACGAAGAGCAACCCACCAAGGAATGTAACAAAGATATTGAGATATTCACTCAACAGCTGTCGCCTGCTATCACGGGAGCCACTTTCAAGCCTGGCTACTTTCTGCAATCCGAGGTAGGTCTCACGCAGTAATATGTGGTTCGGTAGAGAGGTATTTGCGCAGGCGCTAAGCGGTACAGATTGTTGACTTCGTGATCTGGCGTCTATTCAAACGCTCCTCATCCCACAAGCTTCACCATCTGCTCTGTCATGGTTTTGAGCGGTCTGGATCAGCGTACCGACGAAACGATGTCGATGGCGATGTCGCTTCCTCGATACCTGGACTGGTTGCGCGCTACCCCAACAGCTATGTGCATGCTTTGAAAGGACCGCTATGGTGCCGGCTACATGCAGTCCTCGGCGAAGGTGGTGATCGCATCATGATAGATTTGCTCATGGATTGTGCTATCTTCCGCCCTGTTGATGATAAGTTCGCAAATTACTATCAGATGAGCGGTCCTCCTGTATCAGACATGGAGCCTGATCAGCTCCTGAAGGAAGCTCCGGTCGATAGTGTACCGGGAAAGCCGGCATCGAGACCGCTTCTCAGTCTGACAGGCGGAGACCGAACGCCGTGCAAGATAGCCTTTGTGCGCAGCCGAATGTTTTATGCTAAAGCTGCTCTGAACGCTAAGGGGGGTATCAGGTTCGGCATGCGTCATATCCGTCAGTAGGCCTCCACATAACTCTGTGCACACATGGCTAACAGGGAGTTCAGACGTGCTAAACCGCTTCTCTCGTCGAGACGATAAGCAGCAGACGGTACAGATCATAAGATACATGTTTCCACGACAATATGGCTTACACAATGTCTTCACGTCCAAGATTGATCCGCGCGAGACTGCAATGCCGCTCAAGGACTACACCTTGCGCGAGAAAGAGATCCACCAGAGCATGTGCCGAGCTTTGGGCGACAAGGTCAACGATGCAGACGAGCTGGTCAAGTGGAAGCTACGTGTGCCAAAAAGGCTACGAGGTCATCTAGTATTTTTGGTCGACAAGCTGCGTATACTCAACCAACAGTGTTCGTACACGGAGATGCTACGCCACTACTGTCCAGTTGAGGTAGGTGCAAATGCAAGACTGGTCACGTTGAATGCTGACATCGCAGACTGTCCCTCTCTCGTCCAAGCCAGAGTGGAAGAGAGCTCGTCTCCAATCAAGGAGTGCTGCTACTCGGTCAGCAGGGGCTTCGAGTAACAGAAAGGGTTCCGTCACAGATCAGTCAAATGAGCAAGCGAGTGACGAAGCATGCTTTACAGACATGGCTTGCCCCACAGCGCATGTGTCTGCGTTCTGCCGCGCGGTAATTGCCAAAGTCATCCCAAAAGGCTTTTGGGGCGATGATGACAACAAGCGAACAGTCATGCACTACATTGACCAATTCGTGCGTTTACGAAAGTTTGAGACTTTGACCTTGCATCAAGTTACACAGAAGCTCCGGGTACACACCATCCAATTCTTGGCCCATTCCATCGCTGAGACATTGCAGATCACAAGTGTAGTATGGCTCCGGTTACCTGGTCAAGACGAAACCACCAAGCTGGGTCGGTCTGACTTTGAGAAGCGCAAGGAGATCTTCCAAGAGTTTGTCTACTGGGTCTTCGACTCATTCCTAATACCCCTAATCAGGTCGAACTTCTACGTCACAGAGTCAAATGCGCACCGCAATCGACTGTTCTACTTTCGCCACGATGTCTGGCGAATGCTTACCGAGCCGTCACTGTCGACTTTGAGACTGAAGATGTTCGAGGAGATGCCAACTGAACGCACGAACAGGCTCCTAGCTGTCCGCCCACTCGGCTTCAGCAAGATACGTCTGCTTCCAAAGAAGCAAGGTATCCGAATGATTATGAATCTGAAACGGAGACAGCAGGTGATGCGATATGGCGCCATGACCCTTGGGAAAAGTATCAACACGGTCATGGCACCGGTGTTCAATGCCATTACATACGAGAAGGTCGGTGATGAACACTGCGCAACATAAGCAAACCGTGCTAATTGTAGCAGGTCCTTCAACCGGAGAAATTTGGTTCGTCACTGTTCTCAGTAGGCGACATGTTTCCGAAGCTTGAGGCCTTCAAGACTTCCCTACAAGAACAAGGTCTGCAAAACAAGCGGCTTTACTTCGCTAAGATTGACGTCCTGTCTTGCTTCGACACCATTCCTCAGCAGCGACTGTTGAGCATGGTGGACAGCCTCATATCAGCGCAAGCGTATCAAACAGGTAAACACGTGGAGATCAGTCCACTGGGCGCCTTACAGCGCCTTGATGGTCAGCACGTTAATCCAGTACCTCTGAAGCGTTGGGTCTCGCACACGGCAGCTGCCAAAGACGCAGACTCGTTCAGTCAGCTTGTACAGAACAAGCTGGTAGGCACAAAGAGCAACACCGTCTTCGTCAACACCAACTTGCAGCAACAGGAGGTAAAGGCCGATCTGATGCATCTGCTGCGTGAGCACATAGAGCGTAATCTTGTCAAGATTGGCAAGCGTTTCTATCGCCAGAGAACAGGCATTCCACAAGGCTCGATACTGTCGAGCATCCTCTGCAACTACTTCTATGCTGAGCTCGAACGCGATGTACTAGGCTTCGCACTTGGTAGTGATTGCCTGCTTCTGCGTCTGCTCGACGACTTCCTCTTGATAACACTCAATCGTCAGCATGCAGAGCGTTTCGTACGCGTCATGCACCGCGGCCACGCGGACTATGGCGTTCAGGTCAAGCCCACAAAGTCCATGACGAACTTCGACGTAGTCACTGACGATGGTGTCCGGGTCCCCAAATGCAGCCCGGGTACACACTTTCTGTACTGTGGTGTTTGTATCGACACAACCACGCTAGAAGTGAGGAAGAATACTGAGCGTCCCACAAGGGCTGGTGAGTGGGATGAAGTGGCTTGAGGAGGCTGGGCTAGGAAGCTGACGTGCAGCAGATGTCGAGAACTCGCTGACCATAGAATTGTCGAAAGTCCCAGGACAGACGTTCCATCGAAAAGCGCTCAAGTAAGTCTGCAGATGTCCCAACCTCCAGCTTGGCATCGCCGTCTTGATATCGGCGATGGATTTGGTGTGACGTGCTGACAAGGCGCAAGTGCATTCAAGATCCAGCTGAAAGCCATGTTCATCGACACGGCATTGAACAGCGTGTCGACAGTACTAACCAATTTGCACCAAAGCTTCCATGAAGCGGCGGTGAGGTGCCTTGAATATGTGCGCGTGTTGGCCAAGGTGCGAACAACGTGTCCAACTTTGCTTATCAGTGCGTTCATCCCAAGCCCGACAATTCCCCTAAGTGTAGCCGTGACATGGTGATTTCCTGAAATGCTTGCTTTTCCAGCCAATCAGAGGAAAGCTGCAGGTAGATGCACAGATTAAGCGGGGACACGAGTAATCTGCAGTGCGGCGTCGATCGTCACGGCTATTCCTACCGATCAAGACGGTCTGACGAATTGCACAGGGACAGTCGACAGCATCATCGCGCTGGCTTTCGTGATGGTGCAGCGGCGTGCGCGTTCTCGCAGCGACAGAAGACTTGTGCATGTACAAAGCGTCATCTCCCGGCGGCAGCTCCAGTGGTAAGTGTGGCTGAAGCGAGTGTCTCACAGTTGGCGGGGACGGAACTCGAGGTGCCCTTTTCCCCAATCGCGCAACCCAGGGGACCATCCGATGAACCCCAGGGTGTGCGAGACGGTCTAACGGGAAACTCTTGATACGGAGACTTTGATGAGCGCTGAGGCTAATTTGAGGACAGGCTCGCTTGTAAAGCGTTCTACACGGTGTTTCAGCGCGCGCAGACGAAGCATGGTGCTTTGCTGGCATGGCTCGAAGCGTCACTCAAGGCGGCTCGCATCTCTGATGCAGCGGAGAGAGATTTGCTCGAGGCGGCTGCTAGTGCTTGGCAGCGAAGATAAGAGACGCTGATCGTGCTTCGCGGACGGCAAGCTGGCTGCGGTGTGACGGCCTTCAAACCAGTGCCTTGAGCTTCAAAGCAGCAAAGCAGGCTCAACAACGGGGGTTCAAGATCTGAACCGGCATGTGCTAGCGCGGCGGCTGTCTGCAAGCCAGGCTTGGCTGCATGGACGGCGCATGGGCGGAAGCATCGGACACGACCTCGGAACGATCTTGACGTTCAAAAATCCTGCTTTTCAGCGAACGACTGAAAAGTCTTGTTGTTCGAGGTTGTGCGCTGGGGCGATCAGCCACCGGGCAGAAGTCCAGCTATCCATGATTGATGGGAGCTGCCGCGAAAAGTGGTGCCTTCGTGTGCAATTGGCCAGTGATGAGATTTTCTCTGATGTCAGACGTGCACCGAGGAATTACAGGGGCCGGCACCAGCCACAACGAACCATGACGGGCTTTGATGGTTTCAAGTTCGACTGTCGTCCAGTCTCCAGACGCGGGTGGCTGCTGCGGACGCCAACAGACGCCCGTTTAGAGCATCCAAGGTTCAAAAGTCCGGCGTTCCTTGCGCGCCTCGCGTTCAAAGTGCCTCAGTCCACCACCATGTCTGCTCGATAGCCCACTGCCCCCTCTCCACCTGTGCATGCCGAGGCCCTCTTATTATCTCAATTGAAGTGCGAGCCCGCACGCAATAACAGGACGAGAGCAGCCGTCAGCGAGCCTGGAACAACGGCCTCGGGCAGGGATCATCAGGGGCTTAGCGCGGCGATGCCTTCCCGAAATTGCGTCGCCCAGTTGGAGCACCAACACCAAGTTTGTGACGACGACAACACCGACTTGGCGGTGGAGGAGAGCTACTTTTCCAAGGGAACCGCGCTGTACATTATTTCGGAGCATGACTATGGCAGAGAGAGCTCATTGATCCCGCTCCCGGCCACCCACGACGTCTGCGCCCAACCAACAAAGTCGACGACCATTCTTCCTCACCGCATTGGGGCCCCAGTCCTCCCGCTTCCTCAGCGACAGCCGCGCTCGCTCATGGCCACCCTCGCATATGCCCAGCAGCCAGCGCACAACATGGCCTCCTACGAGCTGGAGCCGCCCGACCTGACCAACTCGAAGTCCTCAAAATCCTCCAGCTTTCACTCGGAGACTCTCTCCGACTACATGGGCCCGAGCGACCTCTCGCACTTCGAGGAGATCAACCTCGATGGCGTCAGTGGGGGACCAAATGTTTTCCCCATGTCCACGAGCCCGGACCACCGCGTCGTCTACGAGGCCCGCAGCATATCGTCCTCATCGCTCTCGAGCATCCGCAGCGCACCGCTGCCACACCCAGCACAACATTCATTCCGCGACCTGACCGGCCGGAAACCGCAGTATCCGAGCTTAAAAGGCCCAGTCAACCATGCTGTACGACAGCAACCGCAGCAGTTGGCGCCGGGGAAGATAAGGAGGGGGTTCACGTCGCCGTCGGCACCATCATTACAGACCATGAACCTGGCAGCACCCAGACGCTCGTCACGATCACCGTCTCCCTCGAGTGCACACACATCAGCACCACGCACACTCTCACGGAAGAGCTCGCGGACACTGGATGTCCTGCCTTCACCCTCGGTCAACGCCCGGAGACAGTCATGGCAGGATGCAAAACGCAAAACAGTCAAGGAGAGGGAGGCAGAGTGCGACGACGAGGATGATGAGCTGCCAGAGGATGCTGTTATCTGGAACATTCCTATCTCGCCACGGCCTGCCCAGGAGCGATCACCGGCTCCGTCGACAAGTGGCAGCCCGCCGCAACCATCGCCAATCGGCAGCACAGCTAGTGCCGGACCTTCATCTGCGAGGACATCGCCGGCGCCCAACTCACGATTTCCACAACTACCATCTCCAAACACACTGGGTAGGACTGAATCACCACCCACATTAGAAAGACAGCGCACGCACACATGGCAGGACACATATGGCTCCCTCGACCCGGATGCGAAGAAGTTGACAGAGGCGCTGGAGGAGTTCCAGGTAGAATTTGAGCGGAAACAAGAGATCAAGCGCCAGCAGCCGGGGCTGGCAAGATCGACCTCGCTGAATGAGCCGGAGTCGAAATCGAAAAAGACCACACTGCCGCCTATCCGCAAGAGCGATCCTCTGATTGACCCGTTCCAGCCATCTGCTGAGAAGCAGAAGTACCTTTCGCGCACTCGTCCTTCGTGGCTACCACCCAAGAACCCGAAGGAGGAGAAGAAGCACCTGAGAGAGTACCAGCGGATGCTGGCACGGATCGAAGAAGCTGGTAAGCTAAACTATGCATATCCAGAAGTAGCGAAATGCTAACAAGCGTAGAACGCCTTGAAGCACAACGCGCTCAAGACGAGGCACTTGCCCACGAGAAAGCCACCCGCATCAAAGCAGAGTACTGGTCGAATCTACTACTTCCCAACTGGGCTACCGAGATGACAAAACCAGAGCTCCGCGCTTCGCACAGGAAAATGTGGTGGAACGGCATTCCTCCGCAGTTACGAGGGCAAGTGTGGTCAAAGGCAGTAGGGAACGACCTCGAGGTCACAGACGGCACCTTCAAGATCGCGCTAGAAAAAGCGCAGAAGGAGATCAAGCAATTGGGCACCGAAGCACTGGACGGCCGGTACGCACAAATCCTCGAGAATACACGCTCAGTCTTCCCTGAGCTGAAGATGTTCGCCGCTCCCTCCACACCGACCGCAAACGACGAGCAGCCTCTGCATCAGGACCTCTTAAACGTCTGCTTAGCATACGCGACCTACCGCCCCGACATATCCCACAAGGAGAACGGCATCCACCATACTGCCGCGCTGCTCCTGCTCAACCTCCCCGCACCACAGACTTTTATCACTTTATCAAATCTGCTTAACAGGCCACTCCCGCTTTCATTCCTTGTTCAAGATCCGAACGCTATTCACGCCGCATACTCAACCACGCTCCATGCACTCTCGAAGAAATCGCCCAGCCTTGCAAAGCGGCTGGAGAACCTCCGCGTCGAGCCAAGAGACTACTTATACCACATGTTCAGCAGCCTGTTCTGCGGACGTCTGGGCATCGAGCATGCAGCGCGAGTCATGGATGTGTATGTCATCGAAGGCGACAAGATCCCGCCACGGGTCGCGGTCGCAATCTTGCTGGTGCTCGAGGGGAGCTGCATGGAGGGCGAGAAGAGCGTAGTGGAAAAAGTGCTGAGTGAGAAGAAGGTCGACTGGGACGTCAATGAATTCATGGTGAGGGTTTACGAGGCGGGGAAGATGAGCTCGTGAGAGCAACCCGTTTACTATCGTTTTAGGGGAAGATGTTGTATAGATGGGGATGAAGAGATGGCATAACGCAGCGCAATTCGATTTGCATTCTTCGCTGATGTACGCATACGCGACTCACCGCGACGCATTTCCTGCATTTACACCACGGCGTTTCTTCGGTGTTCATCTGTATGCACGGCTATCGATCCTTCTCGTATCACTAGCTTGTACAGCTCTGTCCTTCCTTTTGTCATACTACCTTCTACTATATATTTTTATATAACGTGACCGGCAAGCGAGCGACGCCGGTAAGCGAACGACGCACCCCACCACAATGTTACGCGTCTTGACTTTTAACTGCAATGGCACAACAATCCGATGACCTGTTTGGTTCCATACAAGGACCAGGCCAAAGTTGCAGTTCAAACAATCAAGCAAAACCCAATACTTACCCAGCAATATGCTGCTGCAATAAATAAAGTCAGCAAAAGCACAGTTTGGGCGCATCAATGTGGTAGGACAGCACGACGTTTGGAAAAATCAGAGGCATTACTACCATACGTGAGGAGCTATGGAGAAACACTGACGAGTTTTCAGTGTCTCGCTTGCTTGTACGCTAGACAACTAACCCAACAGCATGGTCGCCAAAGAGTCCTGTGCAGCAACCAGAGGGTGGTTGAGCCCTGGTTTGACCTTGTACAGAATGCAAAGGCAAAGTACGGTCGTCACGAATCAAGCCTCGTCACCTCGTCTCACTCCAACCCCAAATCCTGGCCGGTCAAACACACCCCACATGTCACATGCCACTGTCACAGCGGGGTCTTCCTTGTGACGTGGGAGCGTTTTGTGGCGCAGCTGAGGGAGCCGATGGTGGAGCGGGCGCTAGGTTTCAGTGTTGTGAGACGGCGTCGTGACTCGAGGGCAGCCTCGTGTTCGGGAGTGTGCCGAGGTTGGGAGTTGTGGATATGAGGGCGGGATTTGGGGCTGAAGCAAAGGCTGAAGATGGGTGGGTGGAGCGGGAGTCGAATACACAAGTGAAGAGCGTTGGGGGCGTGGAGAAATCTCATGATTTCCATTTTGGATGTTCTAACTTGAAAAACGACACGAGACAACAGAAGAGTTGAACTAAGGAAAACGTATGTACTCAGAGCCTTGACGGCGAGGACAGTAACACTCAATATATGATAGAAACCAAAAACTAGATCTGGAAGAAAGGGAAATGTTCGCTTGATTTACATCGAAGCGCATTTCTTGATGTCTGCCCAGACCTTATGATCTTTGAAACCAGGCCACACGCTTAGTATATGGCGGCGGTGTTTGCGTACCTCTTCCAGAACGGCTTCACATGCTTGGTCATATTCAACTGACAAAGGATATCTTGTCTGCGAAAAGCCGCATTACACCAACCCCTTTTAAGGCACGGAAGGGGAGGCTCGCAATGATTGAACTTGAAATGTTCTTCGAAGTCCTGGGGGGGGGGGGGGTATCGACACTGACGTCTGGACAGATTGGACACTTCACACTGGCAGACTTGTAGTTGTATTCTCTATCCGCCAGAAGGATCGCGAATCGCTCCCTCCCTTTCGAATCGTGGCTCTTGAGCAGGTGCAGTTGTAAATACTTTAAAGACCATATATCAACGTGAAAGCTACATCTCAGAAGCGGACATTGTCGACGATTCTTCGTGTGACGAAACTGCCATGCGTGCAACGGTAGGATGTCTCTGGTAAGAAGGGCATCGCAACCTGGGTTCGGACAAACGAAGAGTGTCCTCATCACGTCCCGTACGGATGTGATTGATGAGCTTGTCTTTCCCCGTGAACATATACCTGCATGCTGGTGCTGTACAAGCGAACTTGCATTTCTTGTCATGCAGCTTTCGATGGCGGACTAGGTCACCTTTGTGGTTGAAAAGCTTTGAGCCCCGCTGACAATCTGGGAATTCACAAACCAAGTCCAGACTGAATTTGGCAGGGTTGACGTCGGGCCTTTTGGTTTCCATATGTGGCGTCATGGGATGAACAAGTTGCAACTTTGAGGATATGGCCTCCGCCGATTCCTCTCATGGACTCATGGCTTTTTTTTTCTTTTAAAAAACTTACGGATCAGACTGAAGCACAGTCTCGCGGTCCAGACCCGGGCCGTGTGCCAAGTTGCTATAAAGCCTGTCCTCATCAGGCACCTCGTTCACATTCCACCAGTCAGGGATCGTTGGCTTCTCTTTGAGACTTTCAAGCGTAATGTCGTGGAAAAGACCGCCAGTGCTGCATACCCCAGTGGGCTCGTCTACCTCTTTCTGCAGCACAGCCCAGTCCCAATCGAAGGCGTTCTCATCAGGTGCGGCAGTTTGAGGGCATAGGCGGTACGATCGAAGTTGTCGGACATGTTGGTTGGCGGTGGGAGTGAGGCGTATGGCTGGAGGTAGTCGACGTCGGATTGGTCAGATGTGCAGGGTGTTGAAGTAAAGAAGTTGGTTGAAGTAGTGATCAGTTTAAGAGCCGATTGACTGAATTATATAGCTATTGCGCTAATCATAATGGGATAATAACAATTGACGCTCAACCAAGGTAGCAGCCAGCCATCAGTTGCCCAAGTAGGTGCTAAGGATGATCAGGCAGTAGCCCTCAACACAGGAAGGCTTGGAGCCGGTGAGCGTATGCGGCACGGTGGGCGGAAGATAGTTCTTGCGGCGTGCAAAGGGCAGCAAGGAGGCGTGAACACGGGTGGAAATGGGAGTGGTGAGGGTGGTGACTATATCCTTCGAGGCACCATGCTCGTCACTCCCTGCCAAGTCGGAGGGCAACTACCCTTGTGAAATCGCCCTCTCCTCCCATAACCCTGCCGACTGCGGGCTACAGAACATGGTAGGCTCTAGGGTGGGCTACCAACTTGAGTAGTAGCGAGAGCCGGGTAATGGTGTAGGCCTGCTAGAATGTGGGAATCCTTCAGCGTAAGCTTATGAATTCTCCTGCGACCTTTTATACTGACTGTGACTACAAAGTTTATTGTACAAGTCATTCAGCAATCTTATCTGCGCTGAAGGCCTCCAGAGGCAGTAGCTGATCTCAAGTGCACTGTATAGTCCGTAGTAATAGCGTTCAAACGCTCGTCCGGGTACCTAGCCCCTCAATAAGGTTATTATACAGTGTAGAAGTAGAGTTCGTGCGTGTAACGGTTGAGCACAAGATGTTGTCCAGGGCCGCAGTGAAGGATAGGGCAAGAGCAACTCAGTGAAGCTTGTTCAGCATGCGTATCGTGTCTGTGACCTAGAGGATTCTATAGGTCCAACAGGTGTTTGTCCAGGTAGACAAGTCTGGTACTTGTTCAGACCTGTGTAGCCGAAAGCATGGATGACCAGTATGCCTCTCATGAATTGATTGTCGCCAGGTGCAAGAATGGAAAACGTCTAAGGATCAAATTCTACTGGAAAGATTGTTCCTCGAGGGCATCGAGACCTAAGCGGCTCCGTGCCGGCTCGGCAGAGTGGGTCTGAAGTACGCGACCCCAGACGTCGATGATGTTTGCCATGACCTCTGCCGCTCGTTAGCTCTCAATGCTTTGTAAAAGATCTCCGACAGTTGCGCATCATGATAACACACTGTCCATAAGTTGCTCTGCAGTGCAGGCTTCTATGCAAGGGACATGGCCAAATTCGCAGCAACCGCGACCGCGGCACCGGTAGACCTCGAGACTGGAGAAAGCAGGGACCAGATCGCCGCTACTGGATCATCATCGTTCACCCCAGACACCCCATCGAAAGCCGCGACACCTCGAAGGAGTTTTGAATTTGAAGATCGCCAACCTACCCAACGTTCATTTGTGACGAAGACATGGAGGAAGGCAGAGGAAAGGCTTCCCGCACCGGTCACGCGATGGAGTCGCAAAGCGGTCGCGTGGATCAAGGGTCCAGAACCACCTGTGTTGCACCGCATCAATCCGCTATTCGAGCCTATACAAACATATCCGACGCGCCTGATTGCGCGCCTGCCTAAACAATTGCGCATTTGTCTCTTCGCAGCTGCGTTCATACTCTGGGTGGTGCTCTTTGGTGTCATCATCAGCGATTTCAGTCTGCCTACAAATCTTGCGGGCTATGGAGCGCCAGTCCGGCTCGGCTGTGCTACACAATTATGGTATACAAAGAATGCATGCTGCCAAAGTCTTGACTATACTGACCGCACCAGGCCCAATGCACAAAGTTGCGGCATAGACGGACGAAATTGCCTTCCCTTCGACGACTCTGCATTTGCGTTCAATTGCCCAGCAGACTGCGCAGGCACCCAAGTCCTGAATCCTCGAGCAATCGGTAACCAATCAATCGTATACCGCCCACTGGTAGTGGGTGGCACACAGGATACTGCAACCGACAATGCACTTGTGTACCGCGGCGATTCGTTCATCTGTGGAGCAGCTATACACGCAGGCATCATCAGTAACGGGAGGGGCGGGTGTGGAGTCGTATCCCTTGCGGGTGAGAGAGATAGCTACGGTTCCATCAGCAGGAACGGCATCTCGAGCGTTGGCTTTGACTCCAGCTTCCCTCTGTCATTCGAGTTCAACCAGACGGCGCAGGTTGTCAGTGCTTCAAAGAAGTGTCGGGACCCGCGATGGGATCTTCTCGTCCTTTCTACCATGTTCACGGCCCAGTTTGCCCTGTTTACTTCCAAGCCTGCCACGTTCTTTGCTCCGATCTTCGTCATCATCTTCTTCCAGATCGCCATGGCTTCTGATCCACCATCATACTCGAACTACCCCTCTCTGGCTTCCACGACACTTGGTCGCTTTCTGCCGGCGGCTTCTGTGGCTGCGCTGATCTACCGTTTCAGCGTCCGCAAGACACTGTTGAACTGTAAAGCGCACGTGGAGAAGCCGATTCTGTGGGTCGGTGGATGTTGGGTAGGAGCACTGGGCAACTATACGTTCGAGCGGATTCCCATCCAGCGGCTCACATCGCACGACCTGCATCAGCAACCTGGCGCCATCACCGCACTGATCATCATCGTACTGGTTCTGTTTGCTGTCGTGCTGTACCAAGCTTGGTGCTTCAGGACGGAGGGGCGTCTACCTAGGATGCTAGGGTTGTACGCAATACTGGGTGTTGGCCTACTGATCTGTTATGGTATCCCGCAATTGAGTCTTAGAATTCACCACTACGTCCTTGCTTTGCTGCTCCTTCCGGGCACATCAATGCAGACTCGAGTTAGTCTCCTCTGTCAAGGAATACTAGTTGGCCTGTTCATCAACGGTATTGCACGCTGGGGCTTTGATCCTATCTTACAGACTACGGCAGCTTTGCGAGGCGATGCACAGCTAGGATCCGGCATACCATCTGTCGTAGCAGCCGTCAGCGGCAGCAACATCACATTCACGTGGGACAGCATACTGCGCGGCTACGAGGGTGTCAGCGTCATCGTAAACGATGTGGAGAGATACAGAGGCGTTCACCCCGGCAGCGATGGAAAATTCACATGGACAAGACAGGCTACAGAGAGCCCCGAGTACTTCCGCTTTGGATTCACCAACTATCTTCCGTTCGGCAGCATCTCGTACAGCGACTTCACTAACGCAGGGATCTGGTGGCTGAATGGTACGTGGAGTGATCCTGCGCCCGGGCGTACCTTGTACTGAGGTCGGCGCAGCCAAAGCATAGCACAGAAGTTTAGGTGAACTCGTATCTCATAATTTGGTGTCTATCCGTACCGCATATGTTCTATGTTTTGTCTATCCAGTCTCGTGGCTGCGTGCCTCGTATCTCGTTATGCAACGCCCTTGAGATGCTCATAATACAATGCTTCCATACCTGCAAGATTTTCTCTCAACTTCGTACCTTTCATCCGAATATAGACCTCCAGATCCACCTCATACCCACCCAAAACCCAATAACAGTGAACACCATCATCGTAACCATAACGACAATAACCTTCCCTTGACTTTCAAACGCATCGCCAACTTCCAACCTTGCGATCTTCCTAATCTTCTTGTTCAAGTGCCAACTCTCCTTTCTCTTCCCCTCTTTGGTATCCTTTCCCTGCTTCTCTTCCCGTGTTCCATCGAGCTGCCCATCCTTCGGTGCAATTGCATCGTTCGGCTCGACGTGCCCAGTAGCACCGCGTCGGCCCCAGGTCGAGTCGTTGTGGTCTTGGTAGGGCTCGGGGTCCAGCCAGGAAGACGGGAAGAGGTAGGTTAGGTACGAGGAGGGTGGGGTGTGGGCGGCGGTGCGCCGGGCGCGGTTTTGCGCGTTTACTAGGAAGAGGGAAAGGAGGAAGGAGGTGAAGAGAATGGGTGTGAGGATGATCTGTAATGCTCAATTAGCATTTTCGAGACTGCGAATCAAGCTTTCGGATTTGGCTTACCCTTGTCAGGAGTGATTCTGGCTTGTCTTCTCCATCAAATGTTGTGGATAACGTAGGAGATGGCAGTGGTGTTGCTGCCAGCTTTGCGAAGTCGTCATCGAGATGTTTCTTGTGTCTACGTCGTGCGGCTGGCGGCGAAGGAGGTGGACTGGGTGGCAGAAACTGCTTTTGGCGGTGCTCGTGTGAGGCAGCCATGGTGTACCATGAGCTTTAGATACAACAGGCAATTGTGGCACACTATGGGGATGATCAGGAGCGACAGGAGGTTAATGCAAGGCACTTGCAGTTAGCAATTATGTCGGCCAGCGTGTTTCCTTAGCAATCGCGCGGCGTGGAGCTTCGTGCGAGAGCTCGTGTCTGCGGTCGTTGTTTCGAAAGCAGTACCCACCGGAATGACGTCCCTGCTGCTGTCATTATCAGTAGGGCTGTTAGCCCTGCGCAGATCTCAGGACCCTGCGCTCTTCCTGAGGCACCATGCCATCACGGTTCCAGACTCTGAACCCCAAGGTGCATCCTCTGACAATGCGGGGTTAAGCAGCTGGGCATTTATACATCGGTGAATCGGGCGCCCGCCCGTATTCGCTTTATCTGCAATCTCCAGAATGGTCCGACTCGAGAAATAAGCACAACCTCACATCGCACTGGAGAGATGCTCATTGGCTTGAACCTCGCAACTAAGGCCGAAAGCAGCCCGTGTTCGCAGCAACATTCTCACCGACGAACACCTGCAGCGCATTAACGGCTGCCTAGAGTTTGAGGAGGGACAGGATATATGATCAAGTGCCGTCAGGCACGCACGTCTCAGTCAGCAGTGGCTTCCTCACGGCGGGAAGACGGAGCCAAACGTTTGATTGCTGAGCTAATCTACGGACGAACTTTTCGTCCGGCCCTCTTCGATTCCCTTTGATTCCACCACCATCATCGCAGAACCTGTCATCTGTGGTTCTTACGATTCGAGCTTCCTGTACTCATCATCGATTTCAACTGATCGCACAGGAATCAATTGTGGATTGCACTCGTGCTCATATAGGTTGTGGACTACACCCTGCGAGCACCGGATAGTCCGGACGAAACTTTTCGCAGGAGTACAGCAGTGCGAAACTTGTGCGAGGAAACCCACCACCAAAATGCCGAAGGAAGAGTCGTTGCCGACGCGGAAGAAGATGCGGAAGGGCACGCATAGTTGCTTCGAATGTATGTTCGTCTGGTCTTTGCATTCTGCAGTCGTTCGTCTCACATACGCATCTCCACTCCTATCTCACCTAAATACTATCAACCACAACTGCGCTCTACTATTTTCCCGTCCAACAACATCTTTCCCTTTCCGATGCACTTCTGATGTACCTCAGGTCGCCGTCGCAAGATCCGATGCATCTACCAGTCCGATAACCCAGACGTATGCTCGGAATGCTTCGCCAGGGGCAGCCGATGCATCGACCAGGAGAATGCAAACCCAGACGTCATTGTCGACCACAGGAAGAACCTTCGTGAAAGGGTCTCACGACTAGAGGCTCTTGTTGATTCATTATTGGAAGAGAAGACCGTCAAGTCAGAAAGCCCAAGTCACCAGAGTCAAGCAGAAACTGCGTCATCCCGAAATGTGTATACCAAAGACACCTTCCCACCAACACCACTATCCTCGGAAGCTTCGTCAAATATCCTGAGAGATAGTCAACGCGTGCCATCCAATAGCGGACGTCACCACATCCCTATTCTTTCGGTCTTCGAGGATGCAGTAAGTCTCTTTGCCTGCCATTTCATGTCCGCCTTTGCTAACGGCCACAGCTCAACGATGCCGAAGAGAAGATCAAAGCCCGCATGGGTCCCCAACACAAGCCTCTGCTTCCGCAACCGCAAAATGGAGCTGACGATCGGTATACCGTTGTCAACAAACACCCAGATGACCTGCCAGAAGGTTCACCTGCGGCATCGGCGAAGAAAGAGAGAGTGAAGCAGGCCCTGCTTGCTATGCTGCCTTCTTATGACCAGCTCACCAAGATCCTGAACAGCAACAGCGAATGGTGGCAAACATGGAGACGAAAGTGCAGCGGCACATCCGGCCCTGATCAGACACTCGCACAGTTCGCCGCACATGCCATTACAAGTAATAACATCGGAGCTATCGGTACTGTTGTCTTGGCTGTTGGCATTTGCTCCTCAGCTGAGGACAACGATGTTGAGCGCTACATCGAGGCCGTCGACCGATGGGTACTGTCCGACGATGAGTACGCCGCTAGCCTTGAGGGCATGGAGTGTCTCATCTTGAAGTCGAAGTGGTTTGCCGACGTTGGTCAGCCACGACGAGCCTGGATCTGCTACCGTAAGGGATTGATGTATGCCCAGCTCATGGTATGTTTACATGTCCAAGTACACACACACCATAGCTAACATTCGCAGGGTTTACACCGCAAGCGTACCGCATCAGTAGCTCACGAGAGCATCTGGTGGGGCCTTTACCATGGTGATCGCTTCGTGTCTCTTCTACTCGGTCTACCATACGGTATCAGCGACTCGCACTGCGATCTCACAATGCCCGACTTTGGCGGGGAGTTCATGCACCCATTGATCTTCATTACCAATGTATCAAAGCTTGCAGGCCGAGTCATCGACCGCAACCAAGGCGTCGCTGAGCAGTCCTTTGCCTGGGCCTTGCAGCTCGATCAAGAACTCGAAGACCTTTGGAAGAAGCTCGACCCCACGTGGCTAGACTTCTCTGAACTCCTGGCTACTCTAGAGTCCAACGCCGCCGAGCTCCGAGAGCGTATTATGGCGCAGATTATCTACCACCAGATCCGCGTCTACCTCCATCTACCCTTCATGCTCAAGTCCGCCACGAACTCGCGTTTTACGTACTCACGAACCGCCTGTCTCAACGGCTCACGCGAGGTTCTTCGCCTCTACCAAGCCCTGCGCACCGGAACTGTACAGCCGCTCTATGAGTGCAAGGCCATCGATTTCATCGGCTTCACTGCCGCAGTACTCATCCAAATCGGCCTCTTCAATTTCACTGCAACAAGCCAAGACCCCAGCAAAATGAAAGAGGTCGAAGCCGACGTCCGCCTCATCGAAATCAGCATCGACATCTTCCGGCGTGCCTCGAGCGAAAAGGGCGGTAAAGTCGCTCTTCAATCTGCCGAAGTCCTCGAGAAGATGCAAGCCAAGCAAAAGGCTGGGTGCCATACAAACAACGGCCCCTGCGATGACGGCGAATGCGACGACCTCGTCATTCCCTACTTCGGCACCATCTCCATCCGTAGAGGCGGCCAGAAATTGAAGGGCCCTCTCCCACCACCTCCCGCACTCTCTCCCGCACAGTCCGTCTCAGGACGCAGCGCAAGCACAGGACAGCCCTTGTACACGCCTACCAGCGAGAAGAGCGGCCTGGGCGGGATAAGCTCTTTCTCCCAGCCCCAAACCCAATCGTTAAACCTCACGCCCAAGTCCTCCATCTCCGCACACACACCCGCCACCTCGGCGTTGCCGGCGCTCGACCCCAGTCCCTTCGTCTCATACGACGGCTTCTACAATTTCACCACGCTCGCCGCCGAGGACAACACCTCCACTGGCAACCCTACCATGGGCACTGGTGTGGGCGGATTGGGCATGGGGATTAGAGACGATAGTATGAACAATTTCCCGCTGCCGACGAACAACTTCAGCTGGCAGAATATGCCGATGGACATTGATCAGGATTGGAGTTGGTTTCTGAACGACAATCAGACGCAGGGTGTGGGGACAGGGAGTGCGTTGCCAGTGGGGCAGGGGACGATGGATGCTTTTAGTACGGGCTTCACTGGGTTTGGGTGAAGGAAGATGTAGAGATTGAGGGGGGGTTATGTATGATAGGGAGGTGTTTTGTGGGGTCGAGGGTTGGATTTTCGATATCCGGGTTGAGACGAGACGCTCCACTTTTCGCTTTCAGGCGAGGAATCATATGATTTATTGTGTTCATCGGACTCGGGTTGCGTTTCTGCGACAGATCAACGTAGTGTAGTGAAAGGCAGGCAAGCATCACCCAGGTGATATGCATCTACACATTCCAAATAACGACCCTTCCATCAACACCGCTCGAACTGATCTTGCTAATCTTGCCTCCGCTCTCCTGGTAACTGCGAATCGTGCTGATGGTGTTCTGGTGCACCGTCTTCAGCTTCGTATCATCCGCCGAGCTCTTGCCCTTGAGGTCCATCTGCCTAAACATGTTGAACGCGCTCTCCTCCCTCGCCTCGGCCAGTCCGGGGCGGCCCTTGCTCTCCAGCGAACCGGCGAGCTGCCAGCCCTGCTCGGAGCCCTGCAGGCGGTAGGCTTCGCAGTTGTACCCCGCGGCGATGATCTCGTCCTCGGAGCTCCAGACCAGCGAGACGAAGGGCAGGACCTGTGTGCTGAGGCTGATCACCGCGCTGGGGGGCTGCTCGGGCGCGGACGGGTAGACGACGGTGAGTGTGCTGTCGTGCGACGCGAAGGCGAGCGCGTTTCCCGAGGGCGAGAAGGCGACGCTGTGGACCCAGCCGGCGGTGTTGTTGAGGAACTCGCCGCACACGGTGTTGAAGGGGAGACGCTCGCCCCACGCCGACGGCTCGGGGCGGGCATCGACGCCCTTGACGAACGAGGAGAGCACGCGGGCGTGGCCGTCGGTCGAGCCGGCTGCCAGCAAGACAGAGTTCGGGTGCCAGGCCACCGCGGTGACGGTGCTGCGGATGGGCTTCTTGATGTGCTTGGAGACCCACCAGTTATCCTCCTCCTCGAAGTAGCACACGGGGATCAGCCGCGCGCCGCTCCCCACCGCGAACTTGGTCTCCGAGGGCGCCCAGCGGACGCACGTAGCAGCGCGGTTGATGCGCAGGAGGACAAGCGTGGGCTTCCAGCCGCTGGCCGAGGGCTCCCAGACATAGGCGTTGCGGTCCTGGGAGCACGTGACGATCTTGCCGCTGTTGGGCGCGATGTCGACGCCTGTGACCGTCTTGTCGTGGCCCGAGAGCTCGTCCTGCAGCTTGAAGCCGCTGCCGGATCGGGCGTACAGGTCGACGTTGTTGTCGCGGGCCACGGCGAGCGTCTGGCGGTCGGCGGAGAAGGAGTGGTCCGCGATCGGGTGGTGGAAGAGGTGGTGCACTTCGGGGGCGGCCATTGCGGATGCGGCAGGAGACTGAGCAGTAGGAGACTCTCTACTACTGCCGGGCGTGGATTGGGGTGTGAGGGGGCTGGCGGGGCGGTGATGGCGATGTCGCGCGGAGGTGTGCACGGCCATGTCCGGGGCTTGGCTCCTCCGGCCGAAAAGTTCCACGACAGCGCGTCGGCATCAGGTCAGCGCTATCAACGCTATCAACGCTATCAACGCTTTCAGCGCTCTCAACCGCTACGCCCATACACTCGCTCCCGCCGCCGCCGCCGCCGCCGCCGCCATGCTACTCAGACGCCCGCTCCTCAATGCCTCGGCGGCCGCCGTCTCCATCCCCAAAACATGCGTGCGCAACCTGCAGCACTCGATCCCCATGCGCCCCGTCCCCAAAGCAACGCCCTTCATCCCCGACCACGCCGCCTTCCTGACCGCTATCGGCCGCGGCCTCTCCGCACACGCCGGCAAGATCCCCTCCTGGGAAGCCCTGTTCACGCTCACCTCCCCGCAACTGAAGGAACTCGGCGTCGAGCCCGCACGCTCACGCCGCTACCTGCTGCACTGGCGGGAGAAGTTCCGCAACGGCGAGTACGGCATTGGAGGAGACTGCCAGCACGTTTCTGACGGCGTCGCTGAACTCACCGTCGTCGAGGCGCCCGTTGCGCCGAACCCGGATCTCGGGAACACCATCAGCCCGCGCTCGGCGGCGGCGACGGCGACACACAACCCCGGCACGAGGAGAGTCGTTGTGAACGTTCCGTCTGGCGAGACGCCGTCTGGGCCTGTCGACACGCTACGCGCTGTCAACGGAGTGCTGGTCAAGGGCGCCAAGACGATCAAGGGCAGCTACGTCGAGCCGGTGAAGGGCAGTGAGGGGCTGAGGGCGAGGATACGACTGCAGGAGGCTATGTGGGAGGAGAGGAGAGGACACAAGGTCGACGGCGGTGAGAGGCGGAGGGCAGAGGTCAGGGCGAAGAGGAGGGCGGCGGAGAACAAGGAGAAGGCGCGGTAGAGGCATGCTTGGGTCCTGTATCACAAGAGACGATGTTCACATTCTGTATCATAAGAGACGATGTACTTGGCAATGTACCATATGCTGGCGGTTCGATCGCCAGCCTTGATGTCCAAGGTACGCAGCACCCCTCAAGTCCCATGACCATCGATGACGGGCCAGCTTCAGCCAGAACTACAACGACGACTTCCAAGCACGAACAAGTGCCAAGCACGAACAAGTGCCAAGCACGAACAAGTGCCAAGCACGAACAAGTGCCAATCACGAACAAGTGCCAATCCTTTCCACAACGGACGCACGTTCCCACCCCTCGCCCATCTTGCAACCCTTGTACCCAGTTGCGTACATCACCCCATCCTCAAAACCAGGAGAGGAGCCAAACCATACAGTGTTCACACCGCCCTAGGCCTCCCCATCGTACTTCGCAAACAGCCTCTTGCCCACTACCTCCAACTCATCCTCCCTCTCCCTCCACACCACCGCACTCTGATGCACGCCCACAAACTCCATAGCCACGCTCTTCCCCTCGTTCGTCTGCATCTCCTTCCCACTAAGCAGCAAGCTCACATCGACCCTGAGCAGCAAATACCCGTTCCCCAGAAACACGATATCCATTTTGTACCCCTCAGCGCTCGTCTTGACCGTTGTGCTGCGGAAGCTCGCGTGCGGCGGGACCGAGAAGGAAAGAATCGAGTACAGCATGGAGCGGGGCGGGATGCTGAGGCGCGCAGTGTACGAGTGCGTGTCTTTGAAGCCGGCGATGGAGAAGATGGACAGTGTGCGCTGGCCGTAGCCGTACTTGTCGACGTGCGTGTCAGAGTACGCGGGGCAGAAGAGCTTCCACACGCCCTCTAACTTTCCAATCGGAACGGGCACACGGGCTGCGACCGCCATGGCGAGGAAGGATTCTGCGGCTGCGGCGCGCTGCTTTGCGTCTTCTAGGGCCGCCTGGTTGGCTTCGGTGGTGACGAGGACTTTGAGTAGGTTGCTTGGGTCTTCACGGCTAAGACGCAAGACTTGCTCGCGCTTGGTGTTGCAGCCGCTTGCCTTGATGCCTAGACAGGGGAGAGGGCCTCGGGCGTCATTATCGTTGCGCCAAGAGAGGGCGGAAGAAAGGTATTCGCGTTCGTCGGAGAAGTTGACTGCCTTCTGGACCACTCGGCATCTCTCGTTGAACTCCTTGGTGTTGGCCTCTTCGTGAGACTCGCGAATGACTTTCTTTTTTGCTTCGGGGACTACGAAGGGGTCGATTTCGGCACCGGATCGAGAGTACGGTTTGCCAACGCGAGCAAACAGCTCTTTGATGCTGGGCGTTGTTCCGCCGGATGTTGTTGATCCAGCAGTGGAGGCTGCGACAGATGCTGCTCGAGAGAGTGGCTTGGATCTGGGCTTGTCGCTCAGCGGCTGCGTCGTGGTCGTGTACCTTATCAAGTTCGAGGTAGTCAGCGACACTCGACCGTCTGGCTTGAGCTCAAGTCTATGGTTCTTCTTCAGTACTGGAGGTGCAGACGAGGGTGCTTCATCCACAAAGGGCATCGGTGGTGACAGGTCGACCACTTTCTTTGACTTCTTAGATCCTTTTGTCTTCGTGGCATCGGTGAGTTTGAATGGGATAGGTGAGTCGGGAAGGGTGGCTGGCGTCTTTGGAAGCTGCGAGGGCGGTGTCTCCAGTACGAGAAGGCGCGAGTCTCTGCGGCCAACTCTGTCCACCTTTGAGGCATTGACAGCACGTGAAAAAGCATTCACGGGAAGTGGTACCGGTGTCTTCCTGGGAGGTGACGAGAAGATCCGAGGAGATGGAACAGGAACCGGAACTGCCGTTGGCGGACGAGGTTGGAGATCGCCAGTGCTTTTTCGCTTCGCCTTCTTCTCTTTCTTAGCTTTCTTGTTGATAGAGCGAGTCTCCTTCGCTATGCGGTCGAAATCCACCGTGTCATTGCTCTTACGACTCGTCTTGTCCTTCTTTGTCTTCTTCGTCGATGGCTCTTCTGTAGGCTGGGCTGTTGCTCTCGAGTTGCCGAAGACTTCGCCAGCGGCCTTGATAGAAGATTGAACGTTCCGGAGCATATCTGCGCCAACGACGAATCCTCCTCTGCTGGGCGGCTTGCGCAGACTGGGGGGAGTGTCGACGTGACCTTCGCTCTCACACTTGCGCTTCTTGTCAGGTTGGATAGCATTCTCTTCCTGGCTCTTCTTCTCCTTCTTACCTTTGGTGCTAGCAGTGGCTGGTGTCACCTTGATCAGTGGAGTGGAAGCTGCTGGCGTACGGCTGTTTGTCTGTTGCACATCTTGCGCAGACATGGACTGCTTCCTCTTTTTCTTCTTGTCTTCTTTCTCTTGTGGTGTGTTGACACTGTTGCCGTCTTCCACTGGCTGAATCGGGCCACCATGGGCGTTCGGTAGCTCAGCTTCATCAGCTGCAAAGTCCATGCTGTTAAACGTTGGGCGCGGCGCGGGCTTTGCGCCGTGTAGGTGATGGCTGGGCATTGCGTAGAGGCCATTGCGCTTGTTGAGCGACATGATATATCCGAACCCTTCGGAGAGGCTCAAAGCTGATCAATCCTTGGGCGAAGTCGCTGGTGCCAGAGTGAGATTTGAGTCTAGTCAACTGCCAGCTGTCGCACGAGAGCGCAAAAATCACGCGATCATACTGTGCAGAGGTTAGTAGTGCTCATGTACGGCGGGAGCTCGTGGCGTACCAAGTACTACGAGATTGCGCGGTAGTTACTGCGCGTCAAGAAGGAGCGAAGTGCAGATTGAGAGGCGCGGGAGAGTTGAGTGGAAGCTGTTGCGCAGCGACTGAAGAGATAATAATGATAATAAGACGGTCATCATGTGGCTGCGAAAAGTCGAGGTGAAGGTGAGATCGAGCGGCCAACAGCCATTCACAACGAATTGACATCTACCAACTTGAAGATCCGGTCATTGCAAGACGAAGGAAAGTCTCAACACTTAGCTTGAAATAAACAGTACATTGCAGCAGCCTCTCTTCCTCGATTACTAGAACTTCTGTGTCCCTATACTGCACCGATGCGATGTGTGGCTTATGTAGTGAAAGCTGCCACCACTCAATCGGAACTGTGCCCTTTGCAGTCGTCGTAGTTGGCTTCCTTTGAAGTATGAAGCCTTAGTTAGGACGTCAGTGGGGACTCTTGGTCTCCCTGCGTGCACTAAACTCACGTGCGCCGTACGCGCTCCGCCTCCAACTTCCTGATGTACAGGATCAGAGAGTTGTTTTCCTCATTCAGCTTCTGAATTTTCTTGTTCGCTTCCGCAAGCTCGGCCTTGACCTTCTTGTACTTCGTGTCTGGCATCATAAGGACCCGCTCCGGTTTTGGTGCAGGCTGGGTTTCCGGTTTCTCGTCCAGGAGATCGGCCATACCCTGGATCAAAAAGTTGGCGTTCACGCCCTCAGACATGGCATGCTCAAGGGCGGCTCTGAGCTCGTCCAGGAACTGGGTCATCTTGACTGGGACGCCCTTGGAGGCATTCAGGTTGTGGAGGCGGCGGCGGAGTTCGTTCTCGAGTTGCTGCAGCTCCTTGTATACCTTTTCTGGTGCATCAGAATTCTCAACGCGCTTATAGGTAGTTGTTAGAAGTCCGTATGTAGTCCGGCAATGCTTGTACCCTGGGCGATCGATGGTGTCAGGCGGGAGGTAAGGTTCCATGTCGCTGATGATAGCGCCTATGGCGGCGTGTCCGCGGCGAGAAGGGAGTGAGGCCATTGTAGTTGGTGTAGACTTGTCCGAAGGAACTGGTAAGGTTTTATGAATGCGTGGTAGGCTGAAAGTGGTGTTGGGCGCGTAGTGTTGATGATCTATGTGTTAGTGCCTCTGCAAGCGAAGGCGCGAGCAGGTGAAGGAGGCAGTGACAGATAAGAGTGGAGCGAAGGCGCAGCGTGCAACGCGTATCAGGTTCGTGATGTTCCCATTCCAAAGCTAGGATGTGATGCTATATTGCTTTGCATCACTCTATGATGTTTTTGTTCTTAAGGCTTGCTGTGGCATCATTGCGGGTGGGAACGCGTGTGCTCTAGATATCGGACGGAGCTACCTTCTTGTCGGAGAGATGCTGCAATGCGGGAAAGCAGCGATTCGTAGTGTGCGTTGGAATGTCCTTAGAAGCGCTGATCTGGTGAAAAAAGCAGGTTGTGTGACGGATATGTAGTTGTCTGAATATCGTCGAAACGACTGAGGTGAGGTTTTATCCGGCGTGGCAGGCAACGACAACCGCCTTCTCCTCCAGGGCTCCTCCAAGAAACTTCTAACAACACCGCCGGATATCAACAATGACGCCAGACGCTTTCTGCTCACTCTTGTCACCTCCAGCAGAGCTACGATTGATAACATACGGTTACCTGTGGCAGCCAGTCCAAATGGAAACCACATCAAACAGTTCTTACAAGTTCGTTCGGCTCACGAACATTCCCAGGTCAAACGACCTCGACCTACTCCTCACATGCCGTCAATTCTATGCGGAAGCCCAAAATTGCATCCAGCAACCATACATGCACTATCAATAGCGAGACAACGCACAACACAATGGAAGACCTCTCGAACAAGGAACCGTATAGTTCTTGTTCCTTGCTACGAAGGGCGTTTCATCGCGGACCGGTGGGTCTCTCATGACATGATTGTCTCATATGGTGGCACACGCATAGTGGCTTTTGTGTCGCATTTTACAGCTCTAAAGGAGATTTTGCTTATTTGTGACGAGGTAAGTATCCAGCCTGTGAGAAAACTATTGGAAACAAGGTTAGCCAGCTGTAAGTGAGAGAGAATCAAAGCGCTGGCGTCACAATTAGGCTTTGGAGCCGAGAAGGACGGAGGACGTGGTTGTCGAGCAGGGTGCGATACGTTGGAGTATGAAGAAGACTGGCGTCTGCCGGAGTGTGGCTGCTAATTCTGCATTATCGACAGGAAACAAATTCAGATTTAATAATGCGGTAGTGTGCAACCTGATGTCGAGGCATATGTACACACGAAAACATATTTCAAATGCAATACATTCATCTGACGACATCCGCTGTAGATTTAAACCTACGCCACCGCCTCTACATATCCTTGAGCCGTTGAACTGGTTGCTGATGGGCTTGACGCTCACCAGCCTGTCCTCGCAAAGCCCAAGTGATGTTGCCAGATCCTGTATTTGTTATTCCATGCGTTGTTGAACTTAGCCATAGCCTCCTCTTCCTTCGCTCCGAGTATAGCACTGCTGATGCCCTGACCGTAAAGACGATGCAGATGCTTGCAAGCTTTTGCCAGGCGTATGTTCATTTCAAAGTTGTGCGCCCAGAGGCGGGTTTTGACTCTAATCCTGACTGAATCGAGGGTATGTGGCTTCTGGAGAAGCGACTTGCTACCTGTCGATCCTTGGAGGTTGTCGCGGGTCAATCGGCGGAATTTCAACAGCGGCTGGAGCCATTTCTGACGAAGGTTGAACTTCGGAGCGTCTTCGTTGATCCATACATCGACCTCAAGCTCTCGCAAGCAAGCGAGGCTCTTAGACGCTACTTTGCACGCGTGAGTCCAGCTCTCGATGTGTTTTTCCTGCCAAACAACGTGACACGCAGCTGAAGGGCTTCCGTAAGTGGCGTAGTGTAGGTGTAGCTTCGTGACATTGCCGTGATTCTGCTTTGGAACCCTGAGGATAAAGTTGGTGATACGACGAGGCGCTTCGAACACGAAAGTTATTCGTTGGTAGAGCAGTGGCAGAGTCTCTACATGTACCTGCTTGCAAACAAGGATCAAGGCACCGTGCGGATTGAGCCAACCTCTGTACACACGTGGACCAGTGCTGTATGTCCTGTTGGAACGACGGAGGCGTGGGAAACGTACTATCAGTGGGTTGTCAAGTGTAGAGCTACCCCGATCCATCTCGCGACGTGGTTTGGTCGTCCTGGTGTTTGACAGTAACTTGATGGTCTTTGGTGCGGCAGTGGTGAAATCACAGCCCTCTCCTACGAGCTCGCAGCGATAGGTGTCCTGGAAGTAGTATTGGTAGATACGGTTTCTGACCTCTCCAGGAAGAGCAAGGAAGCCTCGTGCCTCCTTCGTCTTTGGGAATGCCACTCTTGGTTGAGCGCGCGCGAAGAGTGAGGTCTTGGGGTCTATGGTGGAGCTGAATCCTGTCTTGAGGTTAGTAGATTCGAGAGATGAGCTGAGACCGAGGAGCTTCACGCCAGTCAGTTACTTGTCGAGGTGAGTCACCTTGTGCTCTGGAAGCGTTCATTAAGAGATTGCGAGCCATAGTTGAAACCTTGGGTCAGCAGCATCGAGTAGGCTACGGGGGTCTCGCTGTAGTTTTGAGTAGGCAGCTGTCTGTTAGCAGAGAAGCATCAAAGCTCGGTCAAGAGCAGAATCACGCAGAAAGACGCAAATTTGCACCTTCTTCACCTCGTTCACGCAGAGGTGAGGAAGGTGAGGAGCGTCTGACCGCCATTGGCCCTGCAGCACATGCCCCACGCTAGCGAAATAACGCCGCTGCACAACACCTGCATGCCGCATCGTCATACCCACTCCCACACCGACCATGTCTACTACACTCAACACCCTCAAGACTCGCACCGCCCGTCTCGCTCTGCCCACAGCTACCCGCCAGTTCAGCACTAGCACCCCACGCTTCTACCGCCGCCAGCCCGGCGACCCCACAGGCCCCAACGAACCTCCGACCCACATCAGTGCTCCTAAGAGCAAGTCCCCCCTGAAAGTCTGGCCCATTCTCGCCATCTTTGGCACAGGCACCTTTCTCTTCAAGAAGATCGTTGACCAGCGCGAGGGCCAGTACAAGCCTGTTGGACCCATCGCCGGCCACTCCCCAAGTTCGAAGCCAGCAACGCCTCGAGCCAACAACCCCGTACCCCACTAAACACCACCTCTACCTTCCACGATGCCAGCAATTGAGAACCTTGGCGCCTCCACGCGCACCAGCCCTCTCTGGTCGCCGGACAGTATCACTGTGATCTTTGTCCTTGGTGGCCCGGGTGCGGGCAAGGGAACGCAGTGCACGAAGCTTGTCTCGGACTATGGCTTCAAGCACCTCAGTGCAGGCGATTTGCTGCGCGAAGAGCAGGACCGTCCCGGGAGCGAGTTTGGCGAGATGATCAAGACGTACATCAAGGAGGGCACGATTGTGCCTATGGAGGTTACGATTCAATTGCTGGAGAATGCGATGAAGAAGGCTATGGAGACTGAGAACAAGAGTTTGTTCCTTATCGATGGTACGTTGTCCATATAACTATGTAGAGGAACAGTAGGGCTAACTCAACAGCAGGCTTTCCCCGCAAACTCGACCAGGCCCACGCTTTCGAGCGCTCCGTCGTCCCCTCCAAGTTCACTCTCTTCTTCGACGCATCTGAGGAGGTCATGCTCGAGCGTCTTTTGCGCCGTGGCGAGACATCTGGTCGTGCCGACGACAATATCGAGTCCATCAAGAAGCGCTTTAAGACCTTCGTCGATACCAGCATGCCTGTGGTCGACGAGTTCGAGAAGCAGGGGCGTGTTGTCAAGGTCGACGCTGTCCAGGAGCCAAGCAAGGTGTACCAGGATGTGCAGGAGAAGATCAAGGCGTGGGGCGTTGAGCCGATTAGCTTGAAGTTCGTCCAGACCGCATAGATCACACAGAATGGATGGTAGGCTTGAGGTGCATAGATATACAGACAGCATCAATCCTAAGCAAGTAGCGTCATAGCGGATCTATGTGCTCCAGGACCTTGTATGAAGTATCTGTATCGCATTGCCTATATGCAGCACGAGGGCTGCTCATTCATCCATTACCCAGAAAGAGAGCCGTGATGCATGCGCTCAAATCCCTACTCCTTTTGTCGTGACATGTCGAAACAAACGAAAGCAGTACATCTCCAACGCCCCTATCTACATCTAATCGGCATCCTCGTCAATAGGAGCCCTGGGCTGCTTCTGCTGCTGGCCCCCTCGGCCCTTGAACCTTGTCGCCATCTCAGCCTTCTGGTCGGCCTTGTTGGCCTCGTCCTCCTTCTCCTGGATAAACCTCTGCTTCTCCTGCTGAATAACCTCAAGAACGCCGACCAAGCTATTCCTCCACATGTCGAGCCTGCTCGCGACCTCTCTCCACTGGTTCTCGCCGAAAACGCGGTATGTGGAGCGGTGGATCAGGAATGTCTGGTTGAGCTGGCTGAGCTTGCCCTCGACGAGGCCGGCGCGGATCACGTCGATGACCCACATCTCGACGTCTTCGCTGGGGACCTGCAGCGCCTTTGCGATCTTCTCGTAAGGAAGCGACCTTTGCTGGCCTGACGATGCGGCGATCGAGGCGAGTGTGAGGAGGCGGATCTTGCGGTTGAGAGCAGCGTTGTCGAGACCGGACTTCTCGATCCAGCCATCGTGCTCGTCCTTGAAGTCGTTGAAGTCGTCTACCACGTCGGAGTTGAAGATCTCGAGCAGCTGGAAGTAGACGGGTTCGGAGTTGCGGAGGGCCTGGATCGAGTCGAGGTCGGTGAGGTCCTGGAAGTCGAAGTGGCTGGGGTGGGTGAGTGCGGACTTGAGTGCGCGGAGAGACAGCTCCTGGGCCTCTGGGGACGAGACCTCCTCGGAGGGGAATGTTCGGAGCGCGCGAAGGAGGTATGTGTATGCCTGCTCGTCCTCACCGGCAGCAGCAGCCGAGTCGCTGACTGCGAGGTACAGCTTGCGCTGCTCCTCCTCCTCGACCTCCCATGTCTGTAACCAGCTGTCCAGCTGCTTCAGCTGTGGGCGCAGGTACTCGAAGTTCGTTGTAGCGCGGATGACGCGGAGGATGGCGAGCAGAACGTGGTAGCGTACTTCGCTGTCCGCGGGAAGAATGTTGAAGATTGTGCTGAGAATCGAAAGGGCGAGGCCGCTGCCGTTAGCGGGCGAGGAGGTGACGGGGCTGCTCAGGTTCTGGCAGATCTTGGGCAAGAACATGGACACGTTAGGCGACTGGTTTACCAGGTGGATCAGCAGGTTGTATGCTGCTATGAACTCTGTTCACCATCGTGTTAGCCCCGCCCTACACTCTCATAGCTGTCTCTCGCATACCCTTCTCAGGCGCCTGGTTCAGCGCTTGCGCACCGACGACCAGCTTCTTAAGCACCTCATCCTTCTTGTTCTCCTTTAGCAGGTCCGCGCTCTCCTGCTGGATGTTCGAGCTCTCGTCGCCCTGGGATTTTTTGAGCGTGTCGATGTATTGTGCGAACTCGTCGGTAAGCTCCTCGAAGGAACCCTCGATCAGGAGCGTGTTCTTGGGGCCCGGCATCGTGTTTGACGTGTAGGAATATGCCTGGAGGAGTGGGCGGGCGGGGTCGTCGAGCGCTGAACGTGATTTGGGCTTTGTGTCGAGGGTTGCGCCTGCCCATGGTGGGATGCGCCAAGCCAAAAGTTCAAAATCCCCATCGATAGCGCTAGCCAATCAGAAAGAGGAGTGCGGGGTCCACCTTCACCGTCATCCCCCTTCCACTACGACGACCACCAACATCTTATCTAGGAACGGTTTTGCATACATCATAGTCTTGTTTGGGGGCTACAATGAACGGATGCTGCGTGTATAAGGGCGAACGTTGTGACTATCGTAGGCATCAGTTATGCATTGGCAGAGTTCGTTGATGACCGAGTAACACCACGCACGCAGAAGGTGTACCTAGACACGGCGCATATGCAGGCTTCGAGTAGTCTCATATTGCCTTATTTCATAGCCTGAAGTTAATGCATTGTCTGTGTTGATTTTCCTTGACCATGTATGGCCTTTCAGTATCTGGTTCGCTTCATTCTCAACCACGGTACTCTCTCTCAGTCAACTATCCAATATACATAGCATGAATGTTTCGAAGAGAACAAAAAATTACGTTTTCTAACGTTTCTTTCTGGTTCTCACATGCTTACTCGAACTCCTATTCAGGTAAAATCCCCATAATTACAAACATGAACACCCTTACCCTCACCCTCCAAGTGCTCAACGAAGATTGGGAGCACATCTCGCCTCCGCCTTCTACATCCTCGAGTGACCCTTGTTTCATCGACCTAACAGAAGACAGCTTCGAGTCGAGCGACTTTGGTCACTATGGCTTTGACGAAGAGAACTTGTCAGATGCAGCGGAGTATAGCGGTAGGAATGGGGATGTCTGTGACTTGGACCACGAAGGGACTGAAGAAGAAGAGTTATCGGGTTCTTCTGTTTCAAGTCCTAGTCTGGATGGGAAGGAAGAGTATGAGATTGTAAGAGCATTCGATTCTTTGCATTGATTTCTGTTGACTTCAGTAGCATGACAAGTCCGCAACAACACTTCAAGACGAAAAAGTACATCAAATCCCCGAGCCCGATTGGCAAGCTGATACGGTAAATAACATCACGTTGATGTAGCTTCAGCTATACTGTCATCTTATAGGCTTTCTACATCCTTGCCCAGCTACAGCAAAACACCTCTACCGAAGCAGAGTTTGCTTCGATTACAGAGAAGACAGAACAAACCAAGAGGTTAATGCTAGCAAGGAAGTGTAGGGCAGGGACTAAGGTTCGCTCGGAGCCCCAAAGTTGGGACCAAGAGCAAGGAATCTAGAAGCGTCATAACATTTCTGTTTGGATTGTTTGTCAGGGCTTGTATTGTTCTTATCGTCAAGACTGCTCCTGGGTGTTAGCGCGGAAGGACCAATTTGTCCATGCTAGAAGATTCGTTGATATTTGCTGAGATTGGTTGATTGATTTTATACAGAAGAATAAAAATGTAGCCGTAATGCGCCCCGAAGATCTATGCAAAGAATGACCGGCGACGCCTTGGCCGCAAATGATACGGAACGATAGCATTACCTGGCATAAGTTGTACATCGCGTGCGAGTTGCTTCATCAGTGCTGAAAATTGCTTGTAGGTAGGGTCATAGCCAAACATGCGGTTGACCATCTTGGATGCCTCCTCGATCCTGTCTGCTGCATCTTGAGCGATGAACTGACCCGTCTCCATCGCGATCCAGCAGTCATGTATCTCTTCCATCAGTTCCATGAGCGGGTCGTAGCGGCGCAGAAGCTCATACTGCAAGTCATGTCAATCATGTCTCATGCTGTCAGATTGATCGACCTACAGGCTCTCGGTAGTCACCGACACATAATGGGCACCAGTCATAACATGTGGGTCCTCGGCGTCTGGGTCTTGCCACGGATATGCGATCGTACCGGCACGGGTCTTCGATATCTTTGCCGTATCCATCGTAGCCGTCATAGAACCCGAGTGGAGGATAACCAGCATGGTATCTGCGCTCTCGACGATGCCGCGATCGATCCCAGTGGCTCATTGTGAATGTCATTTCTAACGCAATACGGAAGATCGGAAAGACTTGACTTAGAAGCAAAGAACAGTGAAGAACATGAGTTCATCCTCACCTTATGTATATTGGAGAAATCCGGGATGCGACTCTTGACAGGGCAGTTGTACGACATTTGACATGCTCTCAACAAGCCCAAAACGGCCGAAACGTAGCACCAAATAAGGCGGCGGTGTGGATTTGTAGGTCATCTCGTAGTATTCGTATGCAGCAACATCCACTTTCAGCTTTTGATGGTCGTTCGGCCTGCGAGGCTGAGGCGCTCAGCCTGTGCCTGGCAAACAAACATCCCTGCACGCATGCAGCTCGTGCAATGTTCCGTGTCGGTAAGCGTGGTGTCACCTCGAAAAGTGCAGCTACGTTAGATCGGTGGAGGACCCGACTGCTCGACCTAACATCGAGATGCAGATGGAGTGAGAAAGAACGCTGAATTACTACTTGGTCCAGACATTGGCCAGAGCGAATGAACGGTTGCTGTGATGAATTCCACGAACCTGTTATCGGTTGCCCACATCCGGTTTCAAATGCTCCCTTCCGTGTACTCCCAGCCCACTCTCGATCAGGTAAATTCAGAGCTGCAGCGGCCTAATAGTGCGCATGACAATGGCCCCACAGCAGGTACTGTCAGCGATATCACTGACCGCTTGTGTGGGAACAAGGCCTGTAAGTGCAACCAGACACAGAATTCTGTCTGTGAGACCGGAGGACGTCATGTGATGATCTGTAAGTCGACACGCGCGAGTGCTTCTGATTGTTACGGTGGCTTAGGCAACGAATCTGGACCGGCCGTGGGTGTGGAATATGAGGCTTCCTCTTGAACGTCACCTCTGGGGAGTGGCAAAGTACAGACTGTGGGAGGCCTGCGAGGGTTGCTGTAGGCTAGTCACGCGAATGTGGGGTTGATGGCAGTTACGTCCAACCTAGTTGCGTATTCCCGCATGGAGCCTCAGTCACGCCTTCCTCAGATCATGCGTCGATATCACGCAGCCTTGACAACCGTTTGTCGACGTCAATTTCTCGCAGCAGGACTAGTAGGCGGTAGCCGTACTTCGAGCCCCAGTGTCCAACGGGGTTGTCGTACGATCGCATCAGTCAACCACCCCTCTTCATCCAGAATGCTCCATTCAAGCACTCGACAGCTTGGATCCATATATTCAAAGGCTCATGTGATGCTGTGGTCTCGTCTCCACGCTTCAACCTCTCCTGTCTCGCGAGCTCATCGATCAAAGCATCCACACAATATCCTGCGAGCCCCCTCTTCATCCAACCAATGTGCGTCGTGACTGTCTTGATCTCCCACCCCGTTTCTCTTGCCTCTGCAAAACCCTTAAGGTCAGCCTTCCATCTCTTTGTCGCTGCACAAGCCACCGGTCGTTGCGTAGCCGGGTCATTGACCACAGCGAAGAGGCCATCGTCGCCTAAAGCTTGATGGATCGAGTCCGGGGAGGACAGTCGATCACTCAGATCATGTTCCCACCGTTCTTTGTTGGCTGGAGACATGTATCGATAGCCTTTATTGACAAAGGCTGTTAGACTTGCAGCCAGATTGGAGTCTGCGCGGATGTCTGAGGCATGATGGATGCGCGGAGTAAGTCGTGGAGTTTGCTGTGGCTCCATGCTGTCGGGTTCGAGGTTCCACTAGAGGTTCTTCGATGGTGATTAGTGCTGCACTTCTAGGCTGGTGGTTTTGCTGTAAGTAAAGAGAAATCCTACCATTGGATGGCCTGCGTCACGACCTTGTTCCGTCGGAATACTTAGCGGTAATGGCTCCACGGAGTTTGAAGCAACGTTGCCAAGCACGCAGTGTATCCGAAGCGACATCACGGTCTCTTGTCACTACTATAGAACGGTGAGAATGGTGATGTCTCGCACCGAATGGGTTACTCAAAGATGTCGAAGATGTACCCTCGGTCACGACAATATGTAGGAAGCACCCATCAATTGCAGACCCAAGTCGTTATTCGACAGCACTACAATTTACAGCTGGAACACGTTCCCTCCAGTTCTATCCTCGCCGACTGATGTCCTAGTGAGGAAAGAAAGTGCAATGTTGTATGGTTGAAGTGCGCCAATCAGCAGGAGCCACACCGCTGGACCCTGATCCTTGAATCGCTCACCGGACATTTCGTCACCCGTCGAAGAAAGGTACCATTGCTTATTGCTACGCGCAAATTGTCGTGCAACGTCTCGAAGAAGCCGGCAGTATGGCGTACGTTTCTTTGGCTTGTAGAGAGAACCTTACGGCTGATCGCAAATTATAGGCGCACAATTCGAGGCAATGCGCTCGAGAAGCTTGCCCGCCTTTCCGCGCAATCGCCGACTACGACTTCGCCCAACAATGACTTCGAAAGATTATACAAAAGATGCTCGAGTACCTCCGAAACCACCACTGGGGCTAGTGGCGTCAAGATCACAGAGCTGGAAGCAATTCTGGCTCTGTGCAAAGCCGCACCATATGTCGAATCCATAGACGTCGCCGCACCGCTCCTCGACCGTCTCGCTACCTATCTACCGAGCATATACGTCCAGGTATTACTGCCGTCGCCGAGTCTCCGAGAAATTGAGCCTTCTCCATACGAAGTCCTCTCCTACAATCTGACCTCTGCTATCCTGCAGCTCGGTGCCCGCCATGACCAGTTGCGATCAAATGTCACGAACACACTAGCAAGCTACGTGCAAGGATGGACAGCTACGGCTGCTGAGCTCTCGGCGGTTCAGTTGGATGATGCTGACGAGAGATTCGATTTTGCTGCAGACGGAGAGCTTTCGCAGGTCATCATACACAGCTTGTCGCTGTTAGGCTTTCTTGATGCTGCTGCCGAGCACGCAAGGTTTTGGAACGCTTACGAGCGGCTTCAATTCGTCCAGGAAGTCAAGGCAGCGCTCTCCGAACAATTCTTCCTTGCTTTCGAAACCGCTCTGTCGATTGCGCGTAATGCGCGCTCACATCAACACCGCTTGAGAGAATGGAAACGCTACACGAAACACTATGCAGCTATTGGACGACCACTGGGTGCTATGATCCTGCACGATTCATTCCTAAAAGTCGTTGTAACGTCTGCATCGCTGCTTGTCGAGACGCCGTCACGCAACACTCTCGAGTCCATACTAGACCACCTGCGAGCATCATACAACAAGAATCGTGCAGCTGGGGACAAATCCGAGGATGCCCTCGCCGAAGGTTTGACTGGGATCGCAGTCGACGAGATGAACGGCCTGGAAAACGATGTGGATTACCTGCAAAGAGTAGGGTCTGCGTGGCAGCAGCGACAGGCTTCTTCGGTCAAGGCCAAGATCATCACGACCTATCTATGTTGTACCGTGTACGATGAAGATATCGCCGACGACGATGTCTTGCTGACCTGGCTCGACGCTGTGCTTAACGACCCCACACAGAGTGCGGACCACGACCTAGCATCCACAGCATTGAAGTCTATGGCCATCCTGGCGAAAGTATCTCCGTCTACTGCATCGACTTTGGGCCGCTCGCTCCCAAGGCTTATTGTTCAAGCTAACTTCGATCACCGAACCTCGTCTGTTGCAGCGGATTCTCTCGCAGCTGTTCTGAGTCTGCTCCCCCAAGATGCTGTCATCACAACCTTGTATAGCCTTGGGAATGTTATCAGCGCCGGACCTACTACTGCTGGTGCCACATCTGCATCACCGTCGCTCAATGGTACTGGCAATATATTGCGCACTCCGGGGATCTATGCGCATCAATCGAATGGCAGCACAATATCGCTCACCCCAAGTGATGTCGAGGAACCGCATCATGTGCACACAACTATTGTGGACACTGTAGTGTCTGTGGCGAGCAAGTGTAAAGATGAAAAGATTACGGCGTTGGCTTTGTCAATGCTTGTACAGAAGATCGGGAGGGCAAGCAAGGTCGTCGACGTCAAGATCATCACCGATGCAGCACTGCTTGGTATTCACACGCCTCCAGCAGAGTTCAGATCGCTGCTCAAGCTTTACTCGACGCTGTGTCATGATGCACTTGTCAAGGACGACGTTGTCACTCTGGACGCTGTAAGTATTTCATCTCATTGTCGGATCGATATTTGCTAATACCTGTCTAGGTCATGAATGCGCGCCTGAACATCTCGAAAGTGGTATCTGAGGACGAGGCTTTCGAAGTTTATCTCACTCATCTACTAGACACAATCGTCAGCAAGGGCGATGCACAAGAGACTTCCCACAAACACTTAAGAGATACCGAATTGGCGTCCCAGGAGATCGCTCAAATGTTGAAGCCGTTAGCCACGCTTCTCGCCCGCAATGCTCAACGAGCTGATTCCATCGAGCTAGACGAAACGATTGTCAATTTACAGCGAGACGCTTGGTTCAACATTGTTGTTCACGGTTTTGACACCAACTCGGATCTTGGAAGGCAGTACATCGAGGAGCTTCGAACACTTGCTCGCTTCAGCAAGCCTCTCATCGCCGAAGAGCGTCCAATGCTATCGGAAAGCGACATTGAGTTGAACACGGTGTTGCGCCGTGGCAAGTCTCCAGAACATACGGCTGAGCAAAAGCGACGCCTGGTCAAGCTTCTACCGTCGTGCGAGGCGGACACCAAGCCGCTTACGTATCCCGAAGCAGTGTTCTTGAATACAGCATACCTGGTAGAAGAATTGCGAGCCAGCACAGGCGACTGCACGAAAGCGCTTGCGTATTTCTTGGATCCCAAACTGCGGACCGGCGCGGTCGGCAACTGTATGTCTGCGATCACCCTAGTGGCCGTGAGGACATATTTGGCCAAGACGCTTTCTGGGCACCACCACACCTTCTCCACACCATACCTTGCACAGCAGCTCGCACAAATCTTCGCAGCCTGCTGTCACCGTATTGCTCGCGTTCAGCAAGCTGCAGCTGCATGTGCTGATATTATCATCAGAGAAGTTCCATCAACTTTGTGTCAAAAGAGTGCTCTCTTTGCTCTCCTTGAGCTCCTTTCGATTATGTGGTACAGCTGTCTCGAGGGCGAGACTGATGAGTACACCTGGGAGTCAACCTTTACCTCGAAGAAGTCAGATATTACCGTAGAGCTGTCAGACGACTATCTGTTCCGCCGAGCGACTCTGGAGACATTGCACAAGCGCGCTACCTCGTGGGTTAAGGGAGTCATTGAAGCAGCTCCTCTTGACATCAAGGGACTTCTCCAGACGTACTTATCAGAATTCGATGATGAGACATCGTACGGTCATGTCTCTCTGGGTCGATCATTTGCCCTGGAGATGGGCTCTGTCATCCCTGCCAACGATCAGCGTCTTGGTGCGATTGAACGTCAGGGCATCAACATCAATACCGCATCCGACTTCATCGCGCAGTACACTACGAGGCAAGAGTACAAGTTCCTCGAGGGTAGCAACGACCAACAGGAGGAGTGGCTCAACGGCGGAAACTCCACCGGTCCTGTGCCAACATACTTGTCTCGCAGCATCCAAGACGCTACTAAGCTTCTTGTTGACCTCGAACAGCGTACGCTGCATCACAAGCATGTCACTATTGCTGAGATCCGGGACATACTTCGACGAGCGGCTGCGCTACTGTGTCGAGTCAAGAGGGACCAGTCACCGGTCGTTCATCACTTAGTCGGCATTCCCTTCGCAGTATTCTCAAAGCAGTCAATCAAGCTGGGTATCTCCCTGTGGATGAGTGTCATTAAAGAGAACCCTCGTATGGAGTCTAGTGTTCTGGTCGCAATCGCCGAGAATTTTGAGGGCACGGTGCGCAAGCGAAGGGGTCTCTTCAGTCCTTCACTAAGGTATGTTTACATCTGTTGGAATCAGCGCAAACGGCTAACGATTCAAGACACCCGGATCCCTTCTACGGCAAGCAAGAGTTTGCTGCTACTGACAAAGAAGCTTTGGCTAAGCATCAACAACACATCTACAATCTCATCGCACCGCACTTCCGCCTCGTGCAGTTCCTCTCGAGTCATTTCAGTGCCTCTCGACTCAGCAAGTCAGACTTTGAGCGTGTGTACGTTCGCTTAATCCACATTACGCTCGATGCCATGAGTGCAGGATGCTCTCAACCTTTGGCTAGGGAGGCTTATTTCCACGTCATCCTGCTCGCGTTGCGCATTGTTCGCCATAGCACGACCCTCTCATCGACCGCTAAATGGCGTCTCATGGACCGTCTCCTGACTGCAGCCCTGGCATGGTTTGCTCACGCGCCACAATGGTCATTCGGGGGCAACCGTTTGCAGATCAAAGCAGAGACCCAAGTTCTGTCAGATGTACAGGTTCACCTTGAGGCTCTTGGAAGGATGGCTACTGTAGCGGAATCGGCATCGAGACAAGTCAAGGCTAAACAGGACCTGCTCTCCTTGCTCATCTCCAGTGAACAAACGCGTCTGAATGTCTGGCTGTTCCCTCTGGACAACGGAAAGAAGCACCACTTTGGCGGAGGTGCTAGGAACGGACTGCCAGACGCTGCAATCTTGGCCCACGTCAAGACAGCGTGGGCAGAGAACCCGGCCATTGCTGTTCAGCTACTCAAGCGCTTCCAGTCGCCGCGCTTGCAAAGCGAGGTCCGCTTCCAGGTGCTCAACTTCCCTCACAAGGTTCTGAACGAACCAGATGCTCTGGAGGTCATGCTGAGCAACCAATTGCCTGGTGACGTCTCCTTCCAGTTGAAGTACCTGTTGTACTGGGCTCCTTTGAACCCCATTACGGCGGTAACACTGTTCATGCCCGCTTATGGCAACCATCCGTTCATCATTCAGTATGCAATGCGAGCACTCGAAAGCCATTCGGTAGACGTCATGTTTTTCTACGTCTACCAGATCGTCCAGACGCTTCGCTACGATGTTCTTGGCTACGTTGAGAGGTACATCATTGAGACGGCCAAGTTCTCTCAGCTGTTTGCCCATCAGATCATCTGGAACATGAAGGCGAATGCTTACAAAGACGAAGCCTCGGAAGTAGTAAGTTTCCTAGATTATCTTCAAGATGCCCTGTACTGACCTTCACCAGCCTGATCCTGTCAAGCCTACCCTGGATAAGGTCATGACCAGCCTGGAATCCAGCTTCTCGAAAGAAGACCACGAGTTCTACGAGCGCGAGTTCGCCTTCTTTAACGAAGTTACTGGCATATCCGGTACACTGCGATCAGTTCTACACGAGCCCAAGGAAGTCAAGAAGCAAAAGATTGCAGAAGAGTTACGCAAGATTGAAGTAGAAGTTGGCGTCTACCTCCCCAGTAACCCTGACGGTCAAGTCATCGGCATCGACCGCAACTCCGGCAAGCCACTGCAATCACACGCAAAGACACCCTTCATGGCCACATTCCGCATCCGCAAGAACAAGCCTGACACAGGCCTCATTGAAGACATCGAAGACGAGCCGCGCTCCGGTCTCCCCGCAACAACCAACACCTACGAAACCTGGCTGTCCGCCATCTTCAAAGTTGGTGATGACTGCCGCCAAGACGTCCTCGCGCTCCAAATGATCGCCGCCTTCCGCGGTATCTTCAACACCATCGGCCTCGACGTCTGGGTCTTCCCGTACCGCGTGACCGCCACCGCACCGGGCTGCGGCGTCATCGACGTGCTTCCCAACTCCATCAGCCGCGACATGCTGGGCCGCGAGGCTGTCAACCGGCTCGACGACTACTTCGTCAGCCGCTACGGCAACGAAGATAGCATCCGGTTCCAAGAAGCGCGGTCCAATTTCGTGAAAAGCATGGCCGCGTACAGCGTCATTAGTTTCCTGCTGCAGTTCAAGGACCGGCATAACGGGAATATCATGATTGATGATGGGGGACATATTATTCATATCGACTTTGGGTTCTGCTTCGATATCGCTCCGGGTGGGATTAAATTCGAGCGCGCCCCGTTCAAACTCACCGCTGAGATGATCGCTGTCATGGGTGGGAGTACCACATCGCAGCCGTACCGCTGGTTTGAGGAGCTCACGATTAAGGCGTTTTTGGCCAGCAGACAGCACTGCGATCACCTGTGCCATATCGTCGAGTTGATGCTGGATAGCGGGTTGCCATGCTTCAAGCCTGAGACGATCAAGAATTTTAGGGATCGGTTTGTGTTGGATCGCACGGAGAGAGAGGCCGCGGATTACATGCGTGGGTTGATTCAGAAGAGTGCGAGTAGTTATAGTACGGGGACGTATGACCGGTTTCAGTTGATTACGAATGGGATTCCGTACTAGAGGGGGTAGTGGGAAGGGTGGAGTAGGTAGCAGCAATGGGTATGTTTCAAGGTTTTTGTTCGTGGGATGTTGAAAGTGAATTGGTATTGCTATTGGTTTGGCATCATGTCATGGTTCTATGGTCGAGCAAAGTCCTTGAATCTTGACAGCCCAGCAAAAGTCTCTCCAGTCTCCATACAATCTCCATCTCAGCCACCGAACTTGCGAACTGCGCACGACAGGCTTGAGGATGGAGGAGGTGTAAGCTGAAGCGGCATCTCGCAACGTTGCAGCTTTGGAGGCAACTTGAAAGCATCGCGTGTGCTTGCCTGGGTTGAATGGTAGGCACACGAATATCTATTATCGAAGACTTACGGTCAGACCATTTGTTATCTTACCTTGAAGTCACGGATGTTGCCCTTACCCGTTGATGTGGCAGTAAGGCGCAGGTCTAGAACTCATACACCAATGAGCACATGAACAACGCCCGAAAGCTGCACCTCCCTGAACGCCGGTACAGGACAAGCAGGCTCAAAAGTTCGTCTCAAAGACTTGTTGGGCTTGGCTTGTGGGGCATATCGTGAGTGTGCTATCGAATATGGAATATGACGGAGGTGTGCAGGTGGCACCCTAGAACGACCGGCAACAGTCACAGACCACTGCAGCTGTGTGGAGCTATGTATAGCCTGAGACGTTCGGCAGATGTGGCTTCGATGCATGGCTTCCGCAAAGGTATACGTGGCGGTCTTCGTGAAGTCTGGATGGATTAATAGTCGCGCATTCATTAAGCGTACTGCTGAGCAGACAGAAGACCTGATCATAATCGAGGTCTCCCTGCCGTGTATCGCGGTTCCAGATAGCATCTTGCATACAAGATGGCGGCCCGTTGCCCAACGCAAAAACGTACAGGCATAACGATGATGCTGTAACAGTTGGAGGACTGGCCAGACACGTCGTTTGTAGTCGTCGTGTCGTCGCAGAACGGCAGACGCGGTAGGTACAAAGAGATTGCGTAGCTAGACCGGCCCAGGCGCGGTTTGCTAGCAGTGACAAACCATGGGTGTTGTTATCGTGCACTGCCTGTTTGGGACAACATGGAGGTTGCAACGTCACATGCTTGGATAAACGTTAGTGTGTTATCCCGTCAATCAAACGAAGGAGCCGTCGCGATCGCACGTTCGTCCGAGTGTAATTCCGTACGAGCGGTGTGTTCGTTCACGATCTTCGATTGTGGGGCCTAGACCGCTGTGTCGGTCGAATAAAGTCTTGACGCTAAGCTGACAGACAGCGCCGGGCGCAAGCCTCTGCATAAGACTGCCAGTCCTGTCCTTGTGAAGGTCAAGCATGTGGTCTAATATAGGTAGGTTCCAGACCGTTGCCAAGCAATCCAGGTTCAGGAGCGTACCGCAGCGGCCAATAGGTCGTGCAATAATTCGTGCCCGTTCAGTTGGATGAGGTCATCACCCCTTAAGCAGGCCGGAGCAACAACAACAATAGTTTAAGGAACTGTCCTTACAAGTAGGTATCTATTAGCAAGACCTGTCTCTAGCCTAAATCTTAGAAAACAATAATTAGGTTGTTGTTGTTGAATTCTGCTTGATGGTCAATGACCTCATCTAACTGAACGGGCATGAATTATTGCACTCCCCGTTGCGGCTGTACGGGTTCATGTCGTCATGTATCTTCAAGTGAAGCATGGGTCCATCCGACACGATGGTGTTGAAGTCCGGACTGAGGATAGTCGAGATACAAGCTTGTTGATGTGTTGTTGACATCAGGAACTTGAGCGCAGGGAATGTAGTCAATTTCGCAGAGTGAAGCGGTCGAAAAGATGAAAGGTCGTCTGACAAGTCCAGCCCTGCCGGATCCATGGGGATGGCCTAGACGACCTTCTTCCGCGGAATACTTGAACAGGCTGATGAAACGCAACGACCACGGATCTTTGAGCTGTGGTGCTGCGGTGCTGTGGCATGCAGTCTCAGAGGAGGGCAGGGTGGACCGATGCATGACTTGGCACATTGCATCGTCAGCACGTTTCCGCCAGGAATGGACCCTGCAAACATTGTCGTCGGCCATTTGTACCATCAATCGGTGTTTTCGGCGTTCGGAGGTTGTGAGCTTGGGAGAGTGTAATTTGGACCGCCCCTTCGGTCTAGATGCTTCAGACTGTATGCGTGCAAATGCAAACTCGGATGACGCCAGTCTCGATACACGAAGGCGTTACACGCTCAAAGAGCTGCGTCGACGCGCTTTCTGTGAAAGCTCGTTAGCAAAAGGGTGAAGGGCGGGATACTGGATTCGGGCGAATCCAGTGGATCGGTGTTTGGTCAAGTGGGTATTTTTGAAGAATTGAGGAAGGCAGGTAAGGGCCTAATGTCTCGGGAGTTAAAGATCCCGTGTGCCGCTACCAGCCAAATGCGTTGGCAGCGGCATCTGAACCAAAGTGTCTTGATGCCTGTGATGTCCCATTGAAGTGAACTGTCAACTGATGGTGTTGAGCAAAGATGGAGGTGGAAAGTGATGCGGGGCATTTGCGCTTGCTCGAGCGCCTAGAAATCCTTTGACCATACGTGGAAATTGCGATCGACGCGCTCACTCCTCCAGGCCTCAGCAAAATACATCATTTCCCTTCGCGGTAGGGTGTACAGGACGCACGTATCATGTGTTTCCCGTTCAATCTTTGGGGCTCGCAGCAAAGCCCGATACGCTTAGTTAGGGGATGCGTCCCAAGGATAGATCGTGGAGCATATCAGCGTCAGGCGTCAGGTGCTCGGACTGCCCATGTAACGTTACCTCACAAAGCCTTCAAGTCTATGCAGGTTATTGAACCAGAGTTGAAAAGACACTGCGGACGAGTGCCAGTGATTAGTCTGGTATCGCACACGGTATGGGAATAAATGTATTCGTGAGGATGAGCTTATATCCTGCGGCCTAGAACACCAGGCCAGCATATGACACAGCACCCAGAATTTATCTGCTCGACCAGGTGAGAAGGTTTGGCATTCTGTAGAGAGTAATCCACCAAGCTCTTACTTCGGCCTCACTTCACGTGTCTGTCATAATGGTACGGACCGGATTTTGATAGCAGGAGCAGGTTTCCAAGTCCCACAAGGTACTCTGTTTGTGGTGTCGAGTGGGCGTGTTGGGCTCTGAGACACTCTATACAGTGTTGCAGGCTTACTCTGCCATCCATTGCGATGACGTGAACCGGAGTGTGTGCTAGATTGCAGCAGCTGAATACCTACGCGTGAGCTTGTTTGAGGTGCCTGGTACAGTACCCATGGTAGTGCTCACTGCGTGGTCAATCCCAAGAGTTGATCAGCGAGACACGCCCCTAGCGTGCTGCAAGGAGTAATTCTATTCACTCTTCTCCACGATCTTGCAACCGGTGCCGAGCATCTCCACGATAGATTGCGGTGAGGTAGATTGCACAATCAAGCAGTCGTCATCAGGTCCCCAGCAGACGCCCTGTCTGCACGCGCAGTCCCACTGGTGCCGGCGATGTCAGTGGGTAGATGCTTGCAAAGACGCCGCACAGGCACCGTCAGGCAGATCGTGCAGGGACGCTCTCGACACGAAGCATTCTAGACTGTCAAACCGCCCGGGCGATCCGCCTTGCCAGCTTGCCGAACGCCCAAACAGCAAGCGTGCAGGCGTGCGCTGCCAGGGTCCCGCCAGCCCCTCAGCTGCTTCGGCCGACGAGCGCTGCTTGTGCAGCAGTGCGGCACCGCTCGCAGCAGACAGACCGCTATGCACGCCTCGAAGCAAGAGTAGAGGGCCCGCGAGGGCATAGTGTGCTTAAGAGCATCTTGATGCATCGGCCAGGCGGGCGCCAGATGCGTCTCTTTGTGTCTCCACCAGAAGGCATCCGCCGGAGCGCGCAGGGAACGCAGAGACCTCTGCAGCATCGGGAAGCGTTCTAGATCGCAACCTACGCCCAGCCCTCTTATGTGCGACTCTAGCAGTCCGTCTTCCAGTCCAACCATATCGCCGACACAGCCCTCCTCCCTCGCAATCTTCGATTCCTTCTGCACACAACCGCACTCCTCGCCAGTCTCAGCTGCTTTTGCACTTCACCACCGTTTAGTCAGCGTATTCCGGATACGGCCTGTTCAACCTTTGCGACCAGCTCCGTCAGCCAAGTCTCGGACTTCGCTCTTCACGACGCCTATACTGTTCCGTCCACATTCAGTGTGGCCTGCAATCCTCCACGCCGGCGTGGGTACGTACATCCACCACTTGGACGACGTCTGACCACCGCTCCGGCCCACAACTACCTGGAGCCCTGCCTTACCTACTGTCCGGATGGAAAAGTAAAAAAATGGGAGAACTATCTGCCAGCCCTGTTCCACCTGATATAATGGAGCGCCGCTCTGTAGCACTCTCACGGCCCAGCCCAGGCATGGTCGTGCAAGAGGGCGGAGACGGTTTCAAAGAAGAGCTCTCTCGACTATACAACCCCGCCGAGAGCAATGCTGCAGAACAGCTCGTCGAACTTAAGAGCACCTTGAGAACCGCTGATATCGACAGCTTCTGGTCTCTTCTCACCAAAGGTCTTGCACGCATTGCTGATGCCCAGTACGCATTCGTCTCGAAAAGGATCTTGGTCGACGATAAGAATGTCGCGGTGGAGATGCCACCGATCGGAGAGCCCGGGTCATGTCTAATGGGAGAAGCCTTCTACATCAACGATGACCAAGGCAATGGTCCTGGTCACCTTCGCAACTTCAAGTACCATGCATACCAATGCCCTTGTGCCTACATGAAGCACGATAAGATCTTTGTTATCCCAGAACGACTGAACGAATTTATTGTCAACAACCCGAACGATTTGATCGTTCCTGGAGAGGCCTACCTTGGAATTCCACTTTTTGCCGAAGGAAAATGCTTTGCACACTTTGGAGTAATGTGGGGAAAGGAGGGGGCTGCCAGGCGTACATTGAGTTGGGGCTTTCTCGAGACGCTATTCCATGCTTTGGAGGATATGATCCTTGAGCGAGTCATTGAAGGAAACAATTTTGCTAAATCTGCACAGCCTGTTCAAACAGAACAGTGCAAGGTCGTCCCACACGAGGCCATCTCGGTTGCCCAGTCCTTGAAGCCCTACGCCAGAAGCTTATCTCATGAGCTGAGGACTCCCATGCAAGGAGTTGTTGGCATGCTCGACGTCATGATGGCGAACGTGAAAGAAGCATCAGAAACCATGGACATCGATGTACGAACTCGCCGAATGCTCGATACTCTGAAGGAAAACATCGAAGCTGTGCAAGGTGCGTGAATTTACGATGTTTTCCTAGTTGCATCAATACTGACTTCGATACAGATAGTTCAAGTCGTGCTGTTGAGGCGGCTGACAACGTAGTTCACGCTTACGATATGAACATGGGTGTTCCAGAGACACCTGTATCGCCGCTGGACAAGACCCCCAATCAGTGGAACACTTTCTGGCGAGAAGCTCAACCAGAGTTTTTCGCTGCGGCCAACAACGTCGCTCAACAACGGCAACGTGGCGTGAAGAGGCGGAGGGAAGACTACACATGGGGAGAGAACCAAACTCGCGTAGTACGTCCCATCCGACGCCGAACCCGAGACACCTTTTCCGAAGAGCCTCCTACTCGTGGATCGATATCTTGTCCTCCGCGTGCTAGCTTGAAAGAGATGGAGAAACTGGAGAGGTGCCAAGGTCGCTGCGGTAGCTCAACAAGCTTTCCAAGATTCGTTGCTGGGCATCAGAAGACTTCAAGCCTTCGTCACACCAATCTCAGGGAGGTTCTGCACTATGTGATCACAGATGCACTCAAGGTCGGTGGACGACCAGACTCTGCGATCGCTGAAGCAATAGACAATGGCGAACGAATTGAGGTGCGGACACGGAGCTCAAATGGGGAAGCATCCACTAAATGGGTTGAATGGAGCGTGTCCCCAGACGTGCCGGACTCGATACTGATCGACGAAAAAGATCTCGCCAAGGTGGTGTCTTGCGTGACCTTGAACGCCATCAAGTTCACACAGAACGGTACAATTACACTGGAAGCCACACTAAGTACAAAGGGACGTTACGTCGTTATCAACGTCAAGGACACTGGATCTGGAATTCCTGCAGCTTTCCTGCCCAACTTATTCAAGCCTTTCTCTAGAGAAGATGACTCGACAACTCGACAGAGCGAAGGCCTTGGACTAGGACTGATGGTAGCCAAGGGCCTCGCAAGGAAGCTGGGTGGCGATCTATTCTGCCTGCGCTCACACGTAACCGGTCCCAAGAAGGGATCAGAGTTCGAGTTGCGCGTTCCACTTACAGCGGGCGAGGTTTGTAGCCGGCCGTCGTCACCATTCGATTCGCCCACTCCCTCCATTCGAGCTCGCATGTCTGTCGAACCCGAAATTCCTCACCTTGAAGATTCACGAGAGCCAATCACACCACCACTTTCTTTAGAGCCTTTCGTGGGCGACCTTGAACGTAAAGTACCTGTTACAATACTGGACACACCAACCGTTGTCGTTCACCCAACACCGTCGTCGAACGTTCTAGGGCTCCTCTCCCCGCACCGGATGTCATCTCCTCTTCGACAGCTATCGAAGGAGCCCGCCGGCAAACCAGCTGCGATACCTAAGCTCGCCGAGGAGCTGCCTCTGAATATTCTTGTTGTTGACGATAATGCCATCAACAGGCGCGTGTTGATGAACATGCTCAACAGGCTGGGCTACAAGAACGTCGAGACAGCTTTCAACGGTATCGACGCTATCGAAGTTATGCACCGCAACGCCTTCGCTCCTGCTTCTAAGGCCATTGACGTTGTTCTTATGGACCTCTGGATGCCACACCTCGATGGCTTCCAGGCAGCCGAGAGCATTCTTTGCATGCCAGAACTGCAAAGCAATGGCCGCACGCCTACCATCCTGGCTGTGACTGCCGACGTCACAGACGCTGCGCTCGACAAGGCAGCCAAGAGCGGCATGAAGGGCTATGTCACCAAGCCCTTCGTGACCAGGGATCTCGTCAGATTGATCCGGACGTACTGCGCGACTCGAGAGTCGTAGAGCCTCTGGCACACTTCACTTCGTTTAAGACATGAACAATGTCTTGGTTTTATTTACAACTATATAATCAGCATTCGATGTACAAAGACCTGGGACATCTGGGTCAAAAATCCTATGGCGCATGGAATGGGTATGGGCATGATGATCATGATAGCGTTTTGCAAGACCGGCGAAGTTATCCCGGCACTCGGTTTGATTCCCCCTGGCCTTTAGGCCTCGTTGCAGCTCTGCGACGACTGCACTGCTGCACTGCTGCACTGGCAATTGTTGCGTATCTAACACAAACAATTACATCATCACAAATTCTCTCCACACTGCATACGTTATCCCAATTGATCAAAAATCTAAAATGTAGAGCAAATCCCTGCGAATCTTTAGATGCGGCTGACGCAGCACAGAGCCGCATAACCGTGTCGAGGTCGCGCAGCCCTACGGCGATGATGACTGAGTGGGGGTATCGAGTTCGTGGGGCGCCGACATCCCGAATGCGGCAGAGATTGCCCGTGATTGAATGCATCTGCTTGCAAGCAACAATGCGTTCCCAAGGTGTTTCCAAGAACCCTCAGGCCTCGAGTGAATAACAATTACTTGTACCCGCGAGTGCTCGAGCAAATCGCAGCAGCAGACGTGAAACGTGCACCTGCTCCGCGGTGGCTGGTGAGCGGGAGAACCTCGCAGGGTCTAGCGCCGGTGTGGAGTGTGTGGCGCATCATGAGCTAACTGAGAGGACAGATTTCTTGAGAAGCTTCAGATCTCTTCTGCCGGGTTCCAGATTCGCTTTAAGCCGTCTGTGCCCCGAGGATTTCAAGATTCGAGAGGTTTCTTCCACGTCTGTCCTTCAAGCAACCATATCTGCAGCATTTGCAGCAGAGCGACGAGCCGAGTACCCCTGCGCATAGAATCGGTAGGAGTGTACCGCAGTTCTATCTTCAACGGCGTCAAGCCCCACACGTTCACTCCACGCCTACGCGCCGTATACATTGATTGACACCCGCCGACAATCTACGAGCTCGAGTATTGCGAGCTGATCGCTGCACACAAAGCATGGAGAACGCCTATACAAGAACGCCCAGCGAGGCGCTCAAGCATTTCCAGGTCACAGAGGAGAAGGGTCTCTCAGAACAGCAGGTGAAGAGCCTGCGGGAAAAGCACGGCAGGAACGGTATGTCGGCGACAATCTCAGAATAGAAGGGACACGCAGTATGCTAACAGAAGGAAACAGCATTGCCTGAGGAGCCACCCACGCCCATCTGGGAGCTCATCCTCGAACAGTTCAAGGATCAGCTGGTTATAATACTGCTTGGATCTGCAGCAGTGTCCTTTGTCCTTGCGCTTTTCGACAACGAGGAGGGCTGGACGGCGTTTGTAGACCCGGCAGTTGTGAGTACTATCTTTACCTGCGTCTTGATGGCTTGCGCTAACAATTCACTCCCATAGATCCTCACGATCCTCATCCTGAACTCAGTCGTCGGTGTATCGCAAGAAACCAGCGCCGAGAAGGCTATCGCCGCGCTCCAAGAATACTCAGCGAACGAAGCCAAGGTTGTCCGCAATGGAGCGATCAAGCGCGTCAAGGCTGATGATCTGGTGCCTGGAGATGTTGTCTCCGTGGCAATCGGCGATAGAATCCCCGCGGACTGCAGGATCCTATCGATTTCGAGCAACAGCTTCATGGTCGACCAGTCGATTCTGACCGGCGAGAGTGAGAGTGTGAACAAGGATATCCGGGTTGTCAAGGACGAGAACGCGGTCAAGCAGGATCAGGTCAACATGCTGTTCTCAGGAACAACAGTGGTCACTGGACACGCGAACGCGCTGGTAGTTCTGACAGGCGCGAACACAGCCATTGGAGATATTCACGACAGCATCACTTCTCAGATCTCGCAGCCGACTCCTCTCAAGGAGAAGCTGAACAATTTCGGCGATCAGCTCGCCAAAGTTATTACGGCCATCTGTATTCTCGTCTGGCTCATCAACATCCGCAACTTTAACGACCCGTCTCACGGAAGCTTCACTAAGGGTGCTATCTACTACCTCAAGATCGCAGTTTCGCTCGGTGTAGCTGCTATTCCTGAAGGTCTTGCAGTCGTTATCACAACATGTCTGGCTCTGGGAACACGCAAGATGGCCGCCAGGAACGCCGTTGTTCGTAGTCTTCCATCTGTTGAGACTTTGGGAAGCTGCAGTGTCATCTGTTCCGACAAGACCGGTACCTTGACCACCAACCAGATGAGCGTCAACAAGGTTGTTTTCATCAACGAAGCAGGTAACGGCCTTGAGGAGTTCGATGTTGAAGGAACCAGCTTTGCCCCCGAGGGCCAAATCTCTTTCAACGGAAAGCCCGTCGAGAACCTCGCTGCATCTTCCGCTACCGTTCGTCAGATTTGCGAGGTTTCAGCACTCTGCAACGACGCATCTTTGGCTTACGACTCCAAGAACGGCACCTACGGTATTGTCGGTGAGCCCACTGAAGGCGCTCTTCGTGTTCTGGCCGAGAAGGTTGGTACCCCTGACTCAAGGCTCAACTTGAGCAAGACCAGCATCTCGCCCGAGGGCCGTCTCCACTTCTCGAGCAAGTACTACGAACAGCACGCTACACGACAAGCTACATACGAATTCTCCCGCGACCGCAAGAGTATGTCTGTCCTGGTCAGCAACCGTCAAAGCGGCGGTCAGAAGCTTTTGGTCAAGGGCGCCCCCGAGTCTATTCTCGCCCGCTGCACATCCGCTCTTGTTGGCAAGGACGGAAAGAAGGTACAGTTGAACAACCAGCTGGGCGACTTGATCCAACAGGAGATTGTTGACTACGGCAACCGCGGTCTTCGTGTCATTGCTGTTGCCTCCGTCGATGACGTCTCGAACAACCCTCTTCTTTCCAAGGCCAAGACTACCAAGGAATACGCTCAGCTTGAACAGAACATGACTCTCATCGGCCTTGTTGGTATGCTGGACCCTCCCCGTCCTGAGGTTCGCGAATCGATCGAGAAGTGCCGCTCCGCTGGTATCCGCGTCGTTGTCATCACTGGTGACAACCAGAACACTGCTGAGGCTATCTGCCGACAGATCGGTGTCTTTGGTCAGAACGAGAACCTCGCCGGCAAGAGCTTTACTGGACGCCAATTCGATGACTTGACCGAGGCTGAGCAGATGGAGGCCGCGAAGCACGCTTCCCTGTTCTCCCGCACTGAGCCAACGCACAAGTCCAAGCTGGTCGACCTCCTCCAGAAGGCTGGCGAGGTTGTTGCCATGACCGGTGACGGTGTCAACGACGCACCGGCACTCAAGAAGGCTGATATTGGTGTCGCTATGGGTTCTGGTACCGATGTTGCCAAGCTCGCCGCCGACATGGTTCTGGTTGACGACAACTTTGCTACCATCGAAGGTGCTGTCGAGGAGGGCCGCTCCATTTACAACAACACCCAGCAGTTCATCCGCTACCTCATCTCGTCCAACATTGGAGAGGTCGTCTCCATCTTCCTTACTGCCGCCGCGGGTATGCCTGAGGCTCTCATCCCCGTTCAGCTTCTCTGGGTCAACCTTGTTACCGATGGTCTTCCCGCTACCGCACTCTCGTTCAACCCTCCTGATCACGATATCATGAAGCGCCAGCCTCGCAAGCGTGACGAAGCCCTTATTGGCGGCTGGTTGTTCTTCCGTTACATGGTCATCGGAACCTACGTCGGTGCCGCAACCGTTGGTGGTTACGCATGGTGGTTCATGTTCAACCAAGAGGGTCCCCAGATCTCCTTCTACCAGCTCAGCCATTTCCACCGCTGTTCTTCTCAGTTCCCCGAGATCGGCTGCGAAATGTTCGCCAACGCTTCTGCACAGGCCGCTTCCACCGTTTCGCTCTCCATCCTTGTCGTCATTGAGATGCTGAACGCCATGAACGCCCTCAGCTCTTCCGAGTCCCTGCTTACCTTGCCGCTCTGGAAGAACATGATGCTCGTCTACGCTATCTGCCTGTCCATGGCTCTACACTTCGCACTCCTCTACGTACCCTTCTTGCAGGGCCTGTTCAGCGTCATCCCGCTCAACTGGAACGAGTGGAAGGCCGTGCTGTACATAAGTTTGCCCATCATCCCTCTTGATGAGGGCCTCAAGTACCTCGAGCGCAAGTTCTTCCTTCAGACATCACATGTCGATGACGTTGCGCAAAACGGACGGCCGAAGAAGGAGTAGAAGAATGGAGAAGCGTACAGTACCCGCTTGTGAGCTTTGCATGAGAGCTTGTGTACCATATTGGTCGTGCATATAGAAAGCAAGAGGTCTACTGCAGCGTGCGACCTAGGCAAGAGCGCATTCATACCATTAGATCAGTGGTCTCTTTCCAGGTTTTGGAGAAGGCGAGGACTTGTGTATATTTTGCATGTTAAAGAATAGATTCGTACTATCCACCCATTGCCGTCCCACTTTTGACTGTTGCAGTTGCGCGAGTGCATCACCCGCCTGTGTGCCATATAATCATTTCTACAGACCTCACCAGAAGCTTTAATATATCGCTGTTTTCCATCCATCTAGTGCATCCTGTCCCGATTCTTACCATCTGGTCTGCGAAATCACACACCTCTTGCTGCCCATCGCGATGAACTACCTTACCGCCCTCGGTTTCCTCGCCGCGACCGCTATCGCCCTCCTAAACACCCCCTTGCAACTCCTCCTTCAACCCAGTAACCACAACCATCTCCATGCCAACAATCACCCTCTTTGATTCTGACCTTTTAACTTCCTCTACCTCCACAACCTCTACAGGCCTCTCCATCCGCCCCCCAGCAAACATCTCATGCACCCCCAGCCAAGCCGAATGGCACATCTTCCACGACCGCTTCCGGTGGTGCAACGCGCAGGGATACTGAGTGGTCAATTACTGTGGCGACGAGCAGGTGTGCTGTGACAAGGGCGAGTGGGAGCCGGAGTGTACGAGCAGGGAGGCGTGTGGGGTGCCAAGCAGGGGGGAGAAGGAGTTGAGTGGGGAGGTGTGGTGGTGAGCGTTTTGGAAATCTGGCAAGGAAAGAGCAATCATGTTAAGACGATTGGCTGACCTTCTCCAAGACTTGCTCGATTGTCTGCACCTAGCCGGGCTTGGGTATGGGTGTTTGTCGATCAATCGGAGTTCTTGCAGCTCAGTCTCGATGGTGCTCGATCGTTTTCGTTCCAGTGGTGTGCCAGGTTCGCAGCTCTTTCCGCCTTCTGCTCGACGAGCCTTGCATAGCTCGCATCTGGATCTCTCCTGTATGGTTCGACAGATCCAATGTGATATCTGGGCCAGTCCCCGTACGACGATGTTCCACACCCAGCGCAAGTAACACCGTAGAAGTCGAGCGTCGATCCCTCCATCTCAGCACGGTGGCTAAGACCGCAGTTCGTACAAACGTGAAGATACCTTACCTCTTCAGAATCAGAAGGTTTAGGTACGTGAATCATCCCATATGGGAGCTGTGAGAGGACCTCAGTGGTTTGGCATTCGCTGCATAACAGACGTTTGCACCGGTTGCATGTGAGGTGCTTGAATGGGAAACGGCCTTTGTAGTGATGCAAGATGTTTTCGTGCCGGCAGTGGCAGCATAGCCATAACCCGTCACCGATCTCGTCGTCCGCTCTCAAAGCTCGGAGATGAGGGTAGCGGTGCTCGTCGATGAGTAGCGGCTCTGTCGGTGCCTCCTCTGGTATCCTGGAATCATATTCTTCCTGTATACCGGCCAAGAGGTCATGCTGCTTAAATTGTTCGTAGTCCGCTATTGGTAGGTAGGTGTGGCGTGCAACTTGCCTGATGTGCTTTGGCTCGACTTTCTCGACAAGGCCCTTGAGCTTGAGACACGCTGAAATCTGACGCATAAAGAGAAGGCTGTGTCGGTGCATCCTGGTTTTGAGGTGTTCAGCCAAGTAAGGTGAAGCCCATACAATTCTATTGTAGAACCTCATTCTGGAGATTGCTCGAGGAAGAACGTTGCGACCACTCGCCCTTGCCTTGCACTGTCGCTAGCTTTGCAAGTTACGTTGGAAGGTGGGGGTTGTATGGACAGGTGCATGGCTTGCACCTACTGCTTCAGTGAATTAAAATACTTGCAAGATAAGGGCGGTTCCTCTCAAGTGTGTTTTCGCCCAGTGCCTCGTTGCGTACGTAGACCGCACTCTTATGCCACTTTGTAGCCACGCAGAGGCTACGCGATCGATTGTTGGTGAGTTTCCGAACACGTGAATTCAGCCTGAGTGGTACGGGCGTAACATCCATCGTCATCGCCTCTAACTGCCGTGGTTGTCGCGGCGCTCCCCCGCCCTGGGTCTCAGATGTAGTAAAGTCCCTCTGGAGAAAAAGTTGAGAAAAATCGCAGCAGTAGAAAGAGTATCTCTGGTGTGGTAATGCACCACTTATGCGCCGTCTTGGGCCCGGTACATATGCGCCAGCACGTACTCAACCAGTGTGGGTGTCATTCCGTTGATGGACCTAAACTGACTATTCAACAAGCCCTGTCTCTAGTTGTTCTAGCACTCAAGGGTGCTGTGCTCTGTCTGAGCATCTGAAACCTTGGGCCACAACTTAGGCGTATCGTAGACAAGTCAAATGCATGCCAGGCGAACAGCAAGGTCTGAAGGTTCCCCTGAGTTTCCGCCACATTTGAAAGCCCAAGCGAAAGCCGTTTGAGCCCATTACTTGGAGAAGTTTAACACTGATAGTGACTCTGACGTACTGGCGTCGATTCGAGCGAAGAAAGCCGTCAGGGTTTCCCACTTCTGGGCTTCTTCTTGCGTGTAATCTTGTTCTTGGCCATCTGCATGAATTAAGCATTAACTCGGTCCTACCGCTGGGAAAACGTACCAAAGGAACCCATTTCATCAGATATGGTGTACCCAAAATTAAGAAGACCCTTCCAGATCATACCTTCTCCGTCTTCCACTTCCAACGGCTCGTTCGTACTGGGGGTAGTCAGGGTGACGGAGCGGAGTAAGAAGAGTAGAGCAATTAGCTTGGGCTGCTGTTTTGGCGCCGTACAAGTAGCCACTTCCAGGCAGCAGCAAGCAGTCATCTAGCAACGATCGCCTACTGGTCCTTCCAGAGCATATTTATGAGTAAGGTTCACTAGCTGGTTGACGGCATTGTCTGGAGTCGCACCCGAATTTTGCAGATATGACTCAAGTGACTTGAACTCAGAACTTTGTTCTAGCCCAAGGATCCAGCTGACCTGTGCAGTACGTGTCTTCTCCTTGGTCAATGAAGAGCTCGGTGGAATGTCGAGAAAGTCAATGGATCCTGTATCAGAGGCTGCACTCATTGGTTGATAAGACATTCCTTGGTCTGTTTGTGCTTCGTGCGAAGCCTCACGTTTAAGAAGGACACGCTCAAGGCTAGATGTCACAGACAACTTGTTATGTGTACCTTCTCGTCCTCGTGAGGTCACGGAACTTAGGTCAAATGGCTGCCTAACATCTAAATTTAAGGAGGGCCCCAGCAGAGGCAATCGAAGCGCAAACTTCATGAGCTCCCTGAAGCTGGCAAACGAACTTTGCCAGAGGCTTAGTGTCCGGCGATGGTGTTCCGTGCAGCGGTGAGCAATCCAACGAGCAGAAGAAGTAGATGAGTCGCTAAGTATTTGATTGGCTCGCTTAGCGAGGGTGAACGTCAAGTATTTGACCATCGAGTCAACCTCACATGAAGCCTTGAGCTCCGCGAAGACCTCAGCATTGAAGCTCTCTTGCCGATTTTCACCTTGGTCCTCGCATCAAGCATGATTCTCATGTTCCTAGCCACATCTCACCAACAGTGGGCACCGTGCCGCTTCGTCCACTTCGTTCGATCGGACTCTCACACTCAGTGGCAGGCTTCGCAGCGTGGCGTGTTTTGCCAAACGTGACTTCCTTCTTGATGAGCTTCGCCACCAAGGGGCTCCATGAAAGCTAGCTCCGCAGACCTGTCGCGTGCTGTGACTTCCTTCTTCAGTAGCGTGAGGCTCGCCACCCAGCAGTACACAAACGTGTCGTTCCCGCCCCACTTTCTTCCCCTCAACCTTCTTGACATTACAGATACGAATGTCATCAATCTTTCCCGCAAATCTTTGCAACCTGTTAGAAGATCCGTCGACGGTCAGACTCCGCCAGCCACAGACTTAGACTATAAGCGTTACTTTCTCACACACACTCTCACTCTTTAACCCCAACTAGCCTCCCACATCCCTGTCGCTTCCCTGCGATGACGCACTAGTGAAGACGCGGCGAAATCTGAACTTCAGACTCATGCCTGCAACTACAGTGGAAGTCGCCTGAGAAGCGAGAGTTAACAACCTCGTGGAGGCCCCCCTGGGACGAGCTCGCATCTTAACGCGATCCGGGGGTACTGACAGACTTGATTAGTCAGCTCATACGAGCTCTGAACGATGGTTTTGGTGTCATGTGAGGAGAGGTGAATCGGCTTGTTTATAGGCACCGCGAACGTTCGATACGTAGTGCTGACGTTGTAGATCTGGCGCTGGAGAAGATGCGCTTGAAGCAGGAGAAAGTTGCTCTATTCAAAGACGATTACCCAAATAATTGTTGACACTGTCCATAGTCGTTTCGATTCAAGCTGGCAGTCACTCTCATTCGTCCCTTTCCTTTTGGCATTGTTGCTCATAGCCATGCGTCAAACCATGTCACCGCCTGCACAAGGCTCGCCTGCTTCGCATACGCTTGCTGGGGGATCGTCAAGTTCGGCCTCACCGCAAACCCATGCGGAGCCTGCGAGTACAGATTCGTCTGAAAAGTGATGTTGTTTGCGTTCAGTATGCTCTCCGCCCTCGACTTCGCCGTAGCATTGAAACTTGCATCGAGTGCTGTTCTCGTTAGCTTCCCCACATACTCAAGACGCAGATATATCGAAACAATGAACTCACTGCCTGCAGCAATACTCAGCGGCCCAGCAATGGCCTGGATCTCCGTCTCCAGAAGATTCGAAGGGTGGGCGACGAATCCTACGTCCAGACCGCTATCATCTCCTTTCAGCCATCTTCCAACGTACTTTCCGCCGAAACAGTACCCTACGCCGCCGAGCTTCTCGATACCGAGCTCATTCCGCGCATACTGAATCGTGCTGTTGATGACGGCCTCGATGGCCGATTGAGGATGCAGTGCGCGCCACTCGGTAAGGTTGAGACCTGCTTCTTGCTCTTCGACGCCCACTGGGTCTCCAGCAAAGAGGTCGGGGACAAGGACTAGGTAGCCATTGCTGGCTATGGAGTCTGCGAGGCTGATTGATGGTCACTATATGACCATGATGAGCAATCTGCGGAAAACATACAGCTTGTTTTGCAACAATGGAAGACCGAAGATATCGGTAAGGTGAATGATGGCCTTGGCTGAGGTGTTGCTGTTGGGTGGGTACGAGTGGTAGATTTCAACTATCGACTGTTAGCTATGTATCAGTGTTCGGCACAGCATCTTCACGTACTTCCGCTGACGTTCTTCAATTGACCAGCAGGCACTCCAGCGTTTCGAACCTCAAGCGTCACATAGGACGATGCAGCTAGCGCGGTGCCAGCGGTCGCCATTGCAACCAGGCACTGTCGCAGATTGATCATGTTGACGGTTTTCACAATGGTACTGAATCCGGACGCAGTGTATGAGCTTGGTGTGGTGTCCCAAGAAGATAAGCAACTGAGCAAGACCCAACAAGCTCAACATCGCGCCTGCCTGCAGCTGTCGTAGCTTTGTACTGCCTTACAGAAGCACAGACTGCCCAGATGGGAAACATCTTGGCGATGATAAGGGCCTTGGGATAATACCAGGATGCATGCGGGCGCCAGGTGTTGGATAAACGATCAAACGCGGGGTAAGCTCCTCATTCGTCCGTTGCTTTCATCGTGTCCGTCTTGGAAAGCCACGTTCCTGGGCCGGGTTACTCCTATTCGTGCGACATCGGCATCGACTGTTCATCTTGACCGGGCAGCTTGCGACGACTTCGGGGTATCTGGGGCTGTGTCGCTAGATTTGAGATCTTTCGTGATTCTCGCAGCAATTGACCAAGAGAGGGAGAGTAAGATTGGTGGTTCGCTTGATGACGTCAGATCAATATCGAATCGGGACAAGAAAGCCTCCACGATAACTTTTGCTGACATCCTGCTTCATCTGGAAACACAGTTCAAATGCGGTAGCATCATATTAAATGCTGCCTTCAGAAGCAAATGGCTGTACGCGTATACAGGCGTCAGCGGTGACTGAGAGATTCTCATCGACGCAGCACAACCTCTTTCGCTGCCATTTGCATGCATGCATTGAACTTTGCGCTTGAGCGTCGGTTTGTTTCAAAGTTCAAGACACATCCTGGTGCCGGAGACGTCTAGGGACTCGAATCAGTTCTGGGGACCCACTTACCTCAGAGATTTCCATGTTGAGGCCTGAATCACCCCAGGCGCCTTCACGCGCGCCCATCACGTGGAGAACCTTTGATAGTCTTTTCAACACTGAAGACCAAGTCTCTTCATGGTCAATCAACTTGCCACATTCGGTGGTGTGCTGTGAGCCTTTGGTCTCCTGTATGGCCTGGCGCTCTGACTCTTGACTATTGATGGGCGCTCCGTACTTGTCGACCCTTAGTGCTCGATGTGCTCTTCGCTGGAAACATGACTTTAAAGTCCCGGTGGTGGTGGAGTGTTTTCGCGGGTGGAATATCGCCTCTTTCTCAGGGAGTAGTTTGAACAGATTGTCGCCAAGGGTGTGCAGCGATGTGACAAGCTCATCGTGCCGTTATAGCTAAGACGTGAAGATGAAAGAGATGGAACTCAAAGAGAACGAGGACTGAACGATCATAGATGTGCATCGCAGCATGATATTAATGAGAAGAAGCCAGCGAGCAGAGAACAATCTTTCGAACTCATCAAATCAAAGGTTGAGACTGACTAGGTGCTGAGACTGTTACAGCTATCGCGGATGATGCTAAGCAAAGGTTGACTGAGAGTAGGAGAGCACGAAAAAAGATTTGGGTCTCAGAGGCTGGCATTACGTCACCGTAATATTAGTATTTCCAAGGTTGCTCGACGGCGCGACTTCTCCGTTACTTTATCCACAAAACACGATTTTCTGCGATCAATTCGTAGGTTCAAACCACCACAATTTTGGCGTTCACATAGGGCTGGGTCCGCACTGTGAATTGTTGCAGTAATGTCTGACTTCGTTGAGCGCATCAAAATAGCTGCTTTGCTTCCCTCAACCCAGCGACAACACTCACTTTCGGATATGACATTCAATAGCAGAGTCATCACGCACGATCCCTGTTCCGCCACGAACAAGCTTTGCGCAGAGGCTAAATGCCAGGAATAATTTTGTTGGCTGATTTGTGCCGGTTATACAAGTTCATCTAAACAAATTGCTTTTGACGACTACGCAGCTTCGACGGTCGTCAGCAACACATCTTGTCCTGGGGACTGAGCGATTCCACTTGGTACCAGTCATTGACATTCACACAATCTTCGAGGAGCATCTCGGTCCAGAATGATTCAGACTGAATGGAGGTCATGCTGTCAGCACTCCACTCCATATCAAATGGAAGCAAGTCACCTCGTTACATGCTACGCACATTCGTGTGCATCATCGACCCTTTTACGTTACCATGCTTGTAAATCCACCCATCGCTCAGCTCGCCGGTCAAATTACTCACGCCCGATGTCTGAGCATGCTCGTCTATGACAATCAGGCGCCGACACCAATCGAAGTTTTCGTTTATGCTGCGACCAATCTCCACGCTGCATGCATAATGATTTTTCGGGTTGCAATGCCGGGTCGGAGTCCTGAACAAGCATTGTCATTAATCTATCCGGGGGTCACACGAACGCACGGCATCAATAGTACCGCTCCGACAGATTGTCATGGCGCGAGACGAAACGACCGAAGACGCGAATGATAGGAGCATACACCGGGGTTTCTGCATATAAGACAGACGATAAGTGCTTCAGGAAGTGGTTCGTACGATCACAGCCATTTGTGACTTTAGCCGTCTTAGAACACACCAACCTTCGAACAAACATGAAGGCGACAATCATCTTGGCCAGCGTTACCGCCTTGGCAGCTAAGGTAGCTAGCCATGCAACCTTCCAGCAGCTTTGGGTCGATGGGGTAGACAAGATAAGGCGTTCTCGCATCCTTGGGAATCATCTTGATTGACAGTGTAGCACCAAGGTACATGTGCTCGACTTCCAACGAGCAACAGCCCTGTCACAGATGTGACGAGCACCAACATCCGATGTAAGCTTCGAGGATGAGACTAGCAAAGGCCTTTTGGTGACAACCATTCTAGGCAATGCCAACCAAGGCTTCGCTGCTTCCAAGTGCAGTGTCGCTGCCGGCGGTACTGTGTAAGTTATGCAAGCACATGGCAATCTCAACGAGCCAACGATATCCCAGCACAATTGAGATGCACCAGCAGCCGAATGATCGATCATGCTCGAACGAAGCCATCGGCGGAGCACACTACGGCCCTGTTCTGGTAAGTCGACTGTCTGTCCTTGTATTGTTCGCAGCTCAAAAGTTCTAGGTCTACCTGAGCAAGGTCTCAGACTCGGCCACTGCTGATGGCTCGACTCCCTTCTTCAAGATCTACCAAGACACATGGGGTCAAAACGCTGCTGGTTCAACTGGCTCGGATGACTACTGGGGCACGAAGGACCTTAATTCTCACTGCGGAAAGCTAGACGTCAAGATCCCCACTGGACTTGCTCCAGGTGATTATCTACTACGAGCCGAGGCGATCGCACTGCACTCCGCGGGTGGCTCCGGTGGTGCTCAGGTATTCGAAACCCCTCCTCAACGTTAAGACTTCAACTGACTCAGTGTGACCAGTTCTATCTCACTTGTTACCAGCTCACCATCACTGGAAGCGGCACGACCAACCCGACAGGTGTCAGCTTCCCTGGCGCATACAAGGCGTCCGATCCAGGTATTCTGATCAACATTTACCAGAAGCTTACGCAATATATCGCACCTGGACCGGCTGTCATCTCTGGAGGTACAGAAGCTGTGGCTGGCAAGGCTGGATCAACACTCGGAAAGCGCATGTCGGCAAAGCTGCAGTATTGACCTCATCAACCTTGTTTAGTACAGGACTGCCCGGTGTCCTAAGCAGTTTGCATATCATGGTCAGTACATCACGTTACTGTAGCTAAGCAGTCGACAAACTCACTACTGCATCAATCGTTGTCAAAGTTGCCTCAGTGACATGTGGTCCACGTGCGAACGTGTGGGTTACGATGGAGCTCATCACTCTGGTTTAAGCGTACTTCGCCTCACTCTACTCCTCTTCATGATATGTTCTCTTGTTTTGCAAATGCCATGCATAAATTTAAAGTTTCTTTTGGGAAATTCATGCATTGGACGCGAGCACGTGGATAAATCCGGTTAGTGAGAACCTGCACCTCGTGGAACACGTCACACACCTTCCTCTCGCCGCCACACTCAACGCCCCGGAAGTTCGATGAACAACACAACGGTTGCCAGCTCAGAGCAGAGGTAATGGAGGGTGGTAACCCCCACATTTGGCTTTGTGTGATCTTGAATGGCTCCCGCGACCCATTCGTGCGGGATCGCGAGGAGCCGACATCGACCGAGCGGTGCTCTCAGCAACTGCTGAGCTACGACCACGTCAACGCCTTAAAGGGTAATTGAACTCATGGTCTTTGCACGTGCATTCAGGAACGGGCACGTTTGGAGGATCTGTGATAGTGATATGGGCTGCATCACGCACCGACTGGGAGATCCTCAGGGCTGAACCGTTCATGCCAGGAACACATCCGACATCGACTTGCTCTTCCGATGGACACGGATTGCTTTTGGACCGTGTGGGGCCTGTATGCAGCCGGCTTTTGTGGGCCCGATTGGCTGCTTTTGCAAAATTCGCATGCGCTCGTTCGATAAGCGGCATGCCTCTGCAGGCGATTTCCCAGCATCGACACGCGAAGAAAGAACGTTCAAGATGACGCGCGCCCACAGATTGACAGTGGAACGGAAACGGCACGGCACGCTTCTGCCTTTACCGGAAGCGGACCGTCGCCCGAGAGAAAGCTGGGCCAATCTGCGTAACACATCTGGCACCCATCGGCCTTGAGGAGGTAGCCTTGCAAGTCCTTCGGTCGTCCTTCAAGTGCCAGCACATACATTAGCCCAAGCTCTTAATGGCAATGCAGCAGCTCTCACCATTTCTTCCGCACCAGCTGATTGGTCTTATGTGCCCGAACTCTCGGTCCCTGACGGTCGAAGCAGCATGTCATATATGGCGTCACCTGGTTCTGACGATTTGCATTGGGAACTTGCCGCCTTTTGCTTCCCAATACCCCCGCAGTTCCTTGCTCACGGACTTATCTGCGGCCCAATCACCAGCGAGTAGGATTGCCAGCGCAGCATAGCATCAAGCTGATGGCATGCTTCGAGTATGATATGTGCTACAGCAGGTAAGAACGGTAACATCGACGCGACCGTGTGGCAACAGAGCTGTCGAAGGATTGAGAAAATGAGGCCTTGACAGCTGTCACGAAACTATAAACATGGAGCTGAAGTCCCCAATAGCAAGTGTTGTTCTGCAGAGACGGCGCGCAATTTGATCCTTACAGATCCCCACTTACAAGAATCATCCCCGCCCAACGCTGCTAGGAGGATTCTGCTACCAAACTTTGACAGACCAGTCATACTCAGACATGGCATCCAGCGGCTCAGAAAGCTATATCCAGAAGCTTCAGCGTATGCTTGTCGATATTGTCGTCGTACAAAGCTAAGCATCCCAGACTACTGCGCCACGAACCAAATTGCACAACCTCAGTTCCAGGACTACTCTGACCCTCGAGGTTCGCACAAGCTTCAGTCTTCTTCTTATAATCGAAGCATGCTAACATAGACGTAGGTGTAAGGACGGCTTGGTCCAGCAGCGTCTTCGTCAACGGTCGCGAGTATCGAGCCCACCTATGGCGAGATTACCGATACCTCGAACAGTCGCGTGAGGAGGCCGCTGAAGCTGCCTGGAAGGCCATCAGTGCTGCTGAGTCCCCAACAACGCAAGGACAATATGCATACACTCGCGGCTACACGACGACTCGGTAGCCTGACCACATCATCCGAACGCAACCTGCTCAGCCTAGGTTGCCCCTGAGCGCCCATCTTTCACCACGAACGACATCCTTTCTCCCGGTTCAAGCTATGTAACGCTATCAACCAGACTTTGCATACTCACTGGCAGTACGTTTGATCCAAGAGACATCGCACATACCAGTTCTCCTTCACCAACCGATTCTCGGCACAACACCGCACACACCCAAGAAGAATGGCTTGTGGCTCTTTTAGCCGTCCCAGGCGGACCCGTTGCTACGGTCCAAGATCTTATCAGCGTCATCCAGACCTTGTTCACTTAATGTCGCCGGTCATACCTGTACCATTCACGCTATCGCTGTCACACACTGCCTTTTCAACTGGAGGGTTGGAGCATCTCCTTGTTTGTGCCAAATGGATCAATGGTTGTCCATTCGCCGCTTCGTATCAAAGGTCACAGTGATCCAAAATTGTATGCTAGAACCATCAATCTTCTACAGTTCAATCTCATGTCATTCCTAACGCAAGTCGACCAGGCGGGGATGTGATATGCTATGACGGTATTGACAATTGTATTACCGACTCTACAGTCATTAACCACGACTCGTCTAATCCTCCCAGGTTCGCCTTCCCCTGGAATAAGTGGCAACATCAAGCTCCTTCCTCCATCGAGGAATAATGAATAGTATCACATCTATTACTCGAGTCGAGAAGTGGAGTTGCAAGATGTTCACCAAAAGTTACTCGCTACAACCTTGATATATTTAGCTTGACTCTATATTTAGTTTCGCCCTTTAGACCCCCTCATCCAGGAGTATGATACGTGCACCATTGTGTACCTACTGGTATTCAGGAAAGAACGAGTATTTGTCTAGAGCTGGGTACACATACGCAAGGTGTTCTCAAAGAGTCAACCTCGGTGTGTTGATTACATCTCGTCACAAATTGATCAACCAAATACCACCAAGGTACAACATTTGTAAAGTCCAAACCACAGCCCAATAACAAATTACTCGATGTGATGTGACGTATGGAATACCATATACAGTCTATGGAATAAAAGAGCTATAACAAAGGGGAATTCGCTGCAAAATGCCTCCGTCATCTCAAGTCTGACGTACCAATAGTAATAAAGGATATCCGAAAAAGACAAGTGGTATGCCAGAAACGCCTTTCCACATCATGCCTATACACATTACACCATCACACCGCTGCGCACCACCATTACGAGCCGGGAATACAGCCACTCGACACTGTCCGCGTGTCGTCGCCTGAGCTGTACTGCTCCCCGCACTCCAACGACGCACTCATCCACTTCCAATCCGAGATGGAGAAACTTCTGCGATGTTTGTCACTGTTGAGTGTTAGTAGCTGGTTGGTGAGATTGGGGTGCAGGGGAAAATTACCTACTACGTAGCCCGTGGTGCCGGCGTCGTGGCATTGGGGAACAACAGCGCGAGACCCTCTTCCCAGCCTCTCTCGGTCACGATGTCAATGACCGGCTTGCCACTCTCGTCGATGGCCTGCAGGTCAACTGAGCCACCCATGTCGATAAGCATCTTGAGGATCTTCGCATCGCCGTTCTCGAAGGCCTGCAGGATGCCGTTCCAGCCGCGGTGCATCTTGTTGATGTCCGCGCCGCGGGAGAGCAGCATGGTGAGGATCTCGGCGTCGCCGTGGTACCTGCGTAGGGCCTTGACAATGGGCAGGTGCTCGCCTGGGGCGTTGATATCGGCGTTGGCGACATCGAGCAGGTAGCGGACGATATCCTTGCGGTCTTCGCGGATGGCGGTTGTGAGGGGCGAGAAGACACCGCAGTTCTTGTCTTCGACGCTTACCCCTGCTGCGAGGAGGAGCTTGATGGATTCGAGTTGGTTGGCGACGACGGCCATTTCGATGACTCCACGGAAGGTGCGAGGGTTCGGTATGGAGGCGAGAAGCTTCTTGAGGATGGCGGGCTGCTTGACGGACATGCAGAGAGGCCAATCCTGGCCACGGACAGTCGGGTCAGCACCACGGGAAAGGAGCAGATCGACCAGGTCACCGCGGCCTTCCCGGATCGCGGTTGTGAGAGCTGTGTTGCCCTCAGTCGTGCGGTCGTTGGGGTTGACGTTGTGGTCAAATAGAAACATCATTGCTTCTTTGTCGTTGAATTGAACAGCTGTCTCCATGATACCCTTTGGCGAATTCAGATCGACACCAGCGGCAACGAGCTGAGGCAGGAAATGGAGTCGCTTATGTGTAATGCACTTGAACGCAGGATATTCCGCAGCGTTAAAGTTAGGATCCGCACCGTTCTCCAGAAGGTAAGTGACGATCTCGCGACTGTCATCACGGATGGCCGAGCAAAGTGGTGTGTACACGCCATCTTTCCTGAGGTTAGGCGATATTCCAGCCTCGATGAGGATCTTGACTGATTCAAGCTTCTTCAAACTTGACGCTAATTCCATGACACCAGGAGTCTTTTTGGTATCAGCTCCACGAGCGAGGAGGAGCTGCAAGCACTTTGGCTTGTAAGTCGAAGGCCACAGCGGGTGCTTGGGGCCAGGCAGATTAGGGTTGGCACCGTGGTCGAGCAGCACTGTCATGAGATCGACACGGTTCGCTTGAATGGCCTCGAAGAGAGCTGTTGTTCCCTCGCCAGTCTTCGCGTTGGGATCACCGCCTGATGTAAGCAGGAGTTCAACAAGCTTGGGCGAGACGATCTTATTCATGGCCTGGACGAGTGCGGTCGATCCGTTGTCCATAATATTGTTGACGTCACCGCCATTACTGAGGTAGAGCTGAACAAAGTCGATCTGGTTCTCGCTTGCAGCCAAAGACAAAGGAGATTCCGAGTTCGGTCCAGCAGAGAGGTTGGCATCAGCGCTGTGCTTGAGGAGCATCTTTGCGCTCTCAAAGCAAGACGCTTGTGTAGCGGCGAAAAGCGGTGTGACGCCCTCCCTGTCGAAACCGTTGGCATCCATCCCATACTGGAGGAGAAGCGCCAAACTCTCGATGTCACGGTTCTGAGCTGCTGTTCGGAGCATACTGGCCTCGACCTGAGGCTCTGCCCTTGCTCCGCCGTCCAGCAGCTGCTCAAGGATTCGGTGCTTCCTCTGTTCTACGGCATTTACAATGGCGGACCTGCCACCCGATGCCTTAGAGGCTGTGTGCTGTCGCGGTGCCCAAGGTAGCGCCATAGGGGAGTCTAACCTTGAAGGATCATACTTTGTGGAGGAGTGCATACTTTCGTGCATGTAGCGCTCGTGAACGCTGAGCTCGTTCATCTTTTCTTCCATCAGCATCCTAGATCGGTGTGAATCTTCAGACGATAGGTCCTCGTAGACCGGTTCTGAGTGGTACCGGGCAGGGTTTGTGTTATTGGTGTACACTGTGTCCCTGACAGAGCCAGTTGTGTCGCTCGAACGGACACTTGGTGCCCTCCAGTTCTTGTGTAAGTCAACAATTCCAGGGGCAAGGCCAAGGTCCTCTTCGTGGCGCAATGACCTCTCGCTCGCATATTGTCGAACATCAGGGTTGAAAGAATGCGAATTGGTAGGCATGGGTCGCAAGTCGTTCAGTGATGGTCTGTCGGCAAGACGATTTGGGGGTAGAAGTGCTTCAGACTGAGGCGATACGTCCTTTGCTGGAGGGCTAGGAAGACGAGTGTCTGGCGGAGGACCAATTGGTGGCAGAGAGGGCGCCTTGCTGGGGTTTATGCGCTCAAGAGCCGCGATCAAGCCAGCGTAGCCAATGCTCATGGAAGCATCTGCTCGGGCATCACCAAGCGTCCAGCGGAACATAGCCGAGCTAACTTTGAGCGAGTCTCGGCTTCTTGATAGGGTTGTGCGCATTTTGTCGACATCGGTGTCTGCAAACATCATGCGGAAACGTCGTCCAAAGCCGCCACCTTTCCCAGCCTCATTGTCCACGAATTTGACAACCATCTGTTGCAGGACTGTGAACTCGTCGCTGACTTGACTGAACCGCCTGTCCAATTCCTGGGTGACCTCGACGGGAACGGCATTGCGCGGGTTCTTGGCAGATTCTGTGAGTCCAGCTTCAATGGACCATAGTAAGCGGCAAAGCTCAATGAACTCGTTGGCGAGAGCTTCAAATCCTGGAATGGCATTCTTGGATGTGCCAAGGTACTCGAGCATACGAATGGAGATGATGTTGCCTTGAGTAGTCACTCGCTGGCATAGCTGAAGGGACGTCTCCTTCTTAGGTGGAGCCATTGCAACGGCAAAATGGAAGGAGAGTTGTGAAGAGAACGAAGCAATGGGACCACAGGGTCCGGGACGTCCCTCACTTTTTGTTCCTGACTACGAGCTTTGCCCCAGTCTTTGTTCCGTGGTTACACTCGCCGTCCGCCCGCTCTGGGCCACGCGAGCACGAAACCTTCATAAGCACTTCCAAGCTTGGTAACACAAATCCGCGAATCATATTCTTTCACATAGTGAAACCTTGGTGATGGACTCGAGGGCGATCGACGGCTCGGAATAGACTTCAGGTTATCGCCTGTCCCGGGGCCAGCGCTAAGACCCACCCGCTTGTGCAGCCAGCCAGATGGCGTAGATCCGGGATTGTTCTAGGGAGGTCCCAGGAAAGATTCACACCCTGACAGCCGCATTGCCACGTGGGTACGTACGCACACTTAGAGTTGATATTTAACGCGTTCCATGTGTGAACTCTATGTTGTCTGCTAAGCACTGCAGCAAGGCGTAAATCTTCTTCAAGTGCAGATATGACATGAGGTCCGCTTCACAAATCGACAAGGATGCCTCTCGTGCCGCCACCAACGTTAGCGTAATCTCATATGCAGCCTGTGAATCCTCCAGGATTGTTGTTGTGACGTTCAGCTGGCTTTGCATCTCGTGTGACCCCGAGGATCCGATCGTAAATCTACGTCTAGAGCGCCAAAATTAGTTTGTATTGTTGTACAAGTTGCCCAGGTACCCCTATAGATGCTGCAATGCTGTATTGTCAATAGTCAACCGAAGGCACAAATGGCCTCTATTGACCTCATATCGCGACTGTCCATGAAGTTGTATACATATTGGCAGACACGAGAGCCGAGCCACCTGTTCGTTCACGAGCCGGGCACGTTAGAGACGCCGAACCACGGAAAAACGAATTGGACAGCGCCAACCTGCCGCATGGAGATCCTCAATCTCCCATAAGAGGGCGTGCGTTTGGGCTAGTTGGTGATTTGCATAAGTACAGTGGATCCTGCCGTTGGAGCTTCATGTCAACCAACGTCGTGTTGATCCGTCATCGCACAACAAGGTGTATGTGTTGTCACACACATGTCCGATGTTGGATTCCAAGGTCTGTGGCAGGTGTCACGTCTGGATGCGGCGAGCTTGAGCCTCCTTCTGCAAGTTGTGAACCGAAGGCTCCAGGTCCATTTCCGCGGAAGCTTCGATGTATCTAGACGTCATGGTGCCCCTGACTCTTCGGAGTTGGTGAAGACGAACACTTAGGCAAGGCGAGGTGAAACTACCACCGGAGAAAACACCGTCAGTGCCTGAGTTGATTCGAAACACCTGCCCTGCCCAACATTGACCTCAACATGGCCTGATTTCCACATGGTGTATGAGGGAGAATTTCCTAATTGGATGGCTGCATTGCATTTCCCCGCGTCTGACTTGCATATCAAGGTTTCGCTGGTTGAGTTTAGAGGCTCTGGATTATTGCACATTAGCGTGACAGCTGCAAAGATTCTAGTCGCTTGTGTCAGGCGCCGGGCCAAGCTGTCTCGTGTTTGTTTATCGAAAGCATTTCGCCGACCACGAAGCAGAAGTCAAGTATAACCGAGTCTCGAAAGTATCCAACACAAGGGATTGCTTTGAACAGAACAGCACCAACAGCTCTGGAGATCTGTTGCTCGGCGTACGAGGTTGTGCTGTCATGGTGTTTGACAGATCGAGAGCGAAAGCGAGTAAGGAGGGTGCGGATATGGTGCATGAATCTACAGCTGCATCTGCAAAGATCGTTTGTTGTGTGTTGTCGTTTCGTGAATATTCCCCGCTCGTGCCGAGTCCGCCTGGTTGGCTGAGCGTCGAGACGCCGTTCATCTCCGTATCCGCGCTATTGGAACCAAGACTGGAGAGATGCAAATCTGCCGCGCCATAGCGTATGGAATCCGGCAATCTGGACCTTCTCAACCCTCTGCCGTTGTGGCTTGTCACTCAGTTCTTTGTGCTGTCCGTCATTGTCGAATGCCTCCATTGCTGTACAATAGCATGCGGATGGTGGAGACAATAGCAGACGCAACAGAGCTGTACGCAAGCACATGTGCAAGTGGTTGCAACTGTGTTTCAGCAAGGCTGGCTACGGGGTGACCAATGCGGCACAGTAGATCGAAGAGATCTTTTCAAGGTACTCGAGATGCAGCCGCCCTCTAGCCCTATAGGGCACTCCAATAACTGGAGCCTGCAAATCATTTGTGAGCGTAAGTTGCCGCAAAACCGAATGTTATCCTGGCTTGATAGCTCGCGAGGTGGCCCTCAAGTTCGAATTTATTCGGATTCGTAAAAGGTGGTGGGCTGGAGCGGCTGACCACTGCCGAGGGCCGCATCTTAATGTGAATGGAATCAGAGCTAGAGATTCACCTGGACAAGAAGTATTTTCAATCACGTGCTAGCGCGCTTTGGTCTTGGCGCCCCAGCTGTGGAAGAACGTTAATGTGCATCAGAGCCGCTATGTCATAATCACAACTATCATCCAGCATGAACGAACAGATGGTGTCAAGCGACATAGGTCCTGTCGATCTGCCGACATTTCACATTCCGAGTTTTCTAAAGACACCACACAATGCGCGTCTTTACCAGGAGGTGCAGCAGCTGAAGAAACTCATCAATGAGCTCGTGGACTACCAGACCGCGCACCCGCGAAATGAGCAGGCCTCCGCAGAAAGTGAGAAGCAGATCAAGACCGAAATTGAGAAGAAGGAGAAGTATATCAGGGCGCAACTCTCAATCATAAAGACCTTGTACCGACAGAGCGTACTGCGCGTGCGCGAGGAGAAAGCAAACACTGCAGATGTTAAGGCGGTGAACGATGCATTGATATTGGGGCTACACAATCTCAAGTACGAGGAGCAGTCACTGCGGTCTGAGATCTCGGCTGCAGAGAACTATGAGTACGTATAAGTCTGCAGACGGTTGGGGAATGCGGAGCTAACACGCGCCCTGCAGCCATAAATATATGAAACTACCACTTATACCCATCGAGGAGTTCTTCGAGGAATTCCCTGAGCACAAAGACCTGTCCGAACACGACCTCATGACGGCACGCATCGAGCACGAACACCAAGTCCGCCTCAAGCTGGAGGAGAGGAGACAAGAGAAGCTCAAGCAGAAGCAGAAGCTCATTGCGGAGGTCAAGAAGGGCAAAGACGATCTCACAAAACTTGACACCATGGTTGAGAAGTTTATCGAGGCCGCTGAGCCCATCAAGAGGGTGCTTGCTACAGAGTAGTCGACCTTTCTACAACAGCAAACAAGACTTGGTTTCCGGCGTTTGATACCCTATACAGCGAACAAAAGCTCAATCGACTTTTTCCATCCAGTCACTGGTGCTTCTGTTCTCTTGTCGAAGTGCACTTGCGAGATGCATCACAGATGGACGGACAATCCCACCCCCTTCCATTCGCTAATTGTGGTAAGAAAGCCACATAGCAATGCTCAGCACAAATAACCATCCTACAGTCCGAGTTTCGCAGAGAACAGCAGATCATGAACCATACAGATCAAGATCTGGCTTTAGCGGCGTTAGCAAGACAGCTGCCTGCTGGCGGGGCGACATCCCTGCTTATCGATACCAATAGCGGTCTTTCATCGCGTCCGCGTCGAGCATCATTGCTCTCCACGTCCATTTCCTCGCCTCAGCCGCTGAGCATGGCTTGTCTCAACGTCGACGCGGAGGTCCTAGCTTTTAGATCGCAGGCAATAAGTGAACTTCCTGGAGGAAATCCGAAAGACGCATCACTTGCAGTGCCCCCCAAACCCCAAGACGTCGTTCAGAGCATAGTAACCCTACATGCTCTTTTCGCTGCAGCACACAGCCCATATCATTGCGAGGAGCGACCGCAGAAGAGACGCAAGATCGACCCAAACAATCATTATGACACTCAACCCGCATACTTTCAGGAAGATCGAAGCGTGGTCCTTGCAAAAGTCTCTATCAATCTGGTAGGACCGCACATCGTACTACGAAGCATGCCAGACTAACGAGTCTTTAGAATTTCGCGTCCGGCCCCGCTTCAGTACAATCGGTCCCGTCACTATCGAACACCGAGAAGCCTGTTGTTCTTTGCCTAGAGACCTTCTCCGAACTTGGCGCCGGTCAGTCCAAGATCGTGCTGTTCGAAGCAATCACCAATACGAGCATCGATGTCCTTACCACCATCGATGCCGCATCTCTCCAGTCTGTCAAGCCACACATTAAGGTTGTCGAATCGCTAGCGTACACAACCCACGGCCGCAAGACTCGAACAAAGGCCCGGGCTGCCTTCTCTCGATGTTCACTTTCGCTGTCACCCACATCACCGCATACATACAGGTTGGACGTGGAGATTCGCTGGCTTTTGGGGATGTCTTTAGTGGAAGATCCCTCCGTGAGTGCCCATTTCATGAAGGAGGACCTGCGCTTGCTGTCGACGTATTTCCGTGGCGCAACCGCACAGTCTGATGCACCGTGGGCACTTTCAGATTTCTACGACTCGGTATACGTTCCGCCAGTCGACTTACAGATATCTCCCCAGATTCAGCACAAATTGGTGGACACGACCCTCTATCCGTTTCAGCAGAGGGCTGTTGACTGGTTGTTGCGACGAGAAGGCGTGGCGTACTCAGCGACCGGACAACTTGAGCCTTTCGTTGAAGATGTCACACCAGCATCGTTCAGTCTTACACAAGATGTGACTGGAAGTACATGCTATGTCAGTGGGCTTCGCGGCATGATAGTAGCCGACTTGAACGCTGCGAAAGGTGACGCGCTGCAATTGTTAAGAGGTGGCATCTTAGCGGAGGAGATGGGACTCGGCAAGACTGTGGAGCTTATTGCTCTGATCTCGCACCACAAACGCCAGACTCAAGATGTAAAAGTCTTCGATACGAACACAGGGGCCCACGTTCGAGCGTCAAGTGCCACGCTCATCATCACTCCGCCCAGCATCCTCGAGCAGTGGCGAAGCGAGATACACACGCACGCACCAGATTTGAAGGTTCTCCACTACAAAGGGCTTCCGCCATCAAGCGCATCGAAGAAAGAACATGCAGCAGCAACAGTTGTAGAGTTGATGCGTTACGATGTGGTTTTGACGACATATGGTGTCCTATCGAAGGAGGTTCATTATGTTACGCCGCCTCCTGCTCGATCTTCCCGACACGAGCGGCGTCATGAACGTCGCAAAAGCCCACTCGTGGAGATATCGTGGTGGAGAGTATGTCTGGATGAGGCTCAAATGGTGGAAAGTGGTGTCAGCAATGCGGCCAAAGTCGCGCGCGTCATACCTCGATGCAACGCTTGGGCTGTTTCTGGCACCCCACTGCGGAAAGACGTACAAGACTTGCGCGGTCTTCTGATGTTCTTGAGATGCGATACCTTTGCCCAGAATAAGGTCGTGTGGGGTCGCTTGGACAGATCTTCTTTTTACGCCATATTCAATCAGATCACTTTGCGGCACACCAAGGACAAAGTTCGTAATGATCTTCGTCTTCCTCCGCAGAAGCGTGCCGTCATCACTATACCCTTTACTGCGATCGAGGAGCAGAATTACGCCGATCTTGTTCGTCAAATGTGTGATGAGTGCTGGCTGGGACCAGAAGGAGAGCCCTTGGACGCGGACAGCGATCCCACCAGTCCAGAAACCCTCGAGAAAATGCGTGAGTGGCTGGTACGGTTGAGGCAAACTTGTCTACATGCACATGTTGGGCGCAAGAATAAAAGAGCTTTAGGTGCAAGAAATGGACCATTACGAACGGTTCACGAAGTTTTGGAGATCATGATTGATCAGAATAGCACCAGATGGAAGGCTGATGCTCGTGAGACGATCGTCAACCGGATTAAAATGGGTCACGTTATGGCATATGCTGGCAATATTGAGAATCGCGCAGAGACTGCACTGCCCTTCTACACAGCGGCTCTGGAGGAGACGAAGGTCTATGTCTCCATGTGTCGACAGGATCTTGAGCAGGAGCAGCAGAGGCTAGGCGTGTCAGCCACCACAGTCAAACACGACGAAGAATCTGGGGCCGAAGACGAATTGGAGAAAGAGAATTTGGGCAACATATCGGCTATGCGCAGATCTCTGCGATCGTTCTTAGAACTTGAACACATGTGCAGGTTCTTCATTGCCACGACACATCACCAGGTTAAGGAATACCTTGATGCGCAGCAAGCGGATGTGGAACAATCCCATCGCGAGGAGCAGTTGGAAACAGAGTGGTACGATCAGGCTAAGGTGATTCGACGTGAACTACTCGGGGAGGTCAAAACCACCACACAACGACAAATGAGGAAGATTGAAGCCGGAAGACCATACCGCCAGCTTCCCAACGTTGACGATCTTCCAGACCTTGGCGGTATTGAGAGCCGCCGGGTTCTGGAAACGATCGATGAGGTCAGCGACTTCCTCAATGCGCAAGCGGCAAAGATTCAAGAATGGCGTACAAAGATTGTCGAGATCTTATTGATGCGCCTCACTGACGATGATGACGATATGGAGACTACTGGAGAAGAGTATGAAAACTCTTTGAAAGCACAAGATGAGCTGTATGTGTCCATCATGGCGCTTCGCACCCTCGTTGCCGATCGAAATCTCGCAGTTCATGGTTTACGAGACACTCTTATTGACGAAGAACTGAAGACAGCGGAAAAGAAAGCCCGTGAGACAGATCCAGAGAAAGATAAAGGCCATGCGCCTGAGCTGCTTCTTGAATTCGCGAAACAGCGAAAGGAGCTGATGTCGACTTTGCATGGCGGATCTTTGAAGGGCGTAGTTGCAGAATTTCGCTCAAAGATCACTCCCTTGCAGTGGAGGGCAGAGAACGATGACAATCGCGCTGCAGCTGAATCCTCTGTGCTTCAGATGCACTTGACCAGTGTTCAGACCATCATGTCACAACAAAGCAAGGCTCTACTTGGGATGGAGAAAGAACAGGAGTTGTTCCGCGGTACTATGAATCAGCGTCTGGAATACTACCGACAGTTTCAACATATCTCGGATACTGTGGCGGCATACAAGGAGAAGCTTGACGATAAGTTTGACCAGGTTGCTTTCCAGGTATTCGAATATCGGCGAAGCAAGGCTCTGGAAGGTGTGAATGCTTCGAAAGCGAAGCACGCTTATCTGATGAATCTGCGAGCTGGGGACCAGGAGAGTGCGGCTGCGGATTGCATTATCTGTCAAGAGACTATCGAGGTCGGTGTTCTCACAACTTGCGGACATAAGGTATATCATCCCGATCTCCAAACCGGACCATACTAATAACCATCTCAGTACTGCAAAGAGTGCATCAACCAGTGGTGGCATGCACACCGAACATGTCCACTCTGCAAGCAAAAGCTAAAGAGCTCCGACTTCAAAGACATCAGTCTCAAGCCCAGCGAGATCCCTACAAAACCCGACTCCCCATCATCAGAAAGTTCTCCAACATCAAAGGCAACCGATATGTCCATCTATTCAGACCTCTCCGACACAACCTTGAAAGAAATCAAGATGATCGACCTCCCCGGCTCCTACGGCTCCAAAATCGATATGCTCGCCAAACACATCCTCTGGATCCGCGCCAACGACCCAGGCGCAAAATCCGTCATCTTCAGCCAATACCGCGACTTCCTCGACGTGTTGGAAACCGCGTTCCGGGCCTGGAAGATTGGCTGCTCGAACATCCGCGAGCGCGACGGCATCGAGAAATTCAAAAAAGACCTCGCAATGGAAGCCTTCCTTCTCGACGCCAAATCCGACTCCTCGGGGCTGAATCTGGTCAACGCGACATACGTGTTTCTATGTGAACCGCTCATTAATCCGGCGATTGAGTTGCAGGCTATTGCAAGAGTGCATCGCATCGGCCAACAGCGCCCAACAACCATCTTCATGTACTTGATCAGCAACACAGTCGAAGAAGCTATCTACGACATTTCTGTCGCGCGGCGCCTGGAGCACATGAAGAGCGCCGATACCTCCAAGTCTGCAGTAACATCTGGCACAGCAACACCTGTGGCTAAGCAAGAGACGTCGCTCGACAAGGCGAACTCGGCGGAAATGGAGGCTGCGCCGCTTAGAGAGCTGCTTAGCAAGGGCGGTGGGGGCGAGGCGGTGCAGAATGATGATTTGTGGAGGTGTTTGTTTGGGAAGCCGAGAAGGGGTGGGGTGGTGAGGGGGGAGGAACAGATGCGGGTTACTACTGGACTGTGAGATGGTGGGCATGTGGCGCTTCAGGTTTTTGAGACGTTATGGTATACCCTGATCCATTAGTTGGACATAGAAGTGCAGCGTTTCGAACGATTTTAGATGCAAGCAGTAGATCGAAGTTCAGTTGCGAACCCATGTACAAACCCATGCCCAAGAAATTCAAAATTAGACTAAAGCCCACAACTCGAACAAGACAACCTCGCTCTAACGGACTGCTAGACAACACAACACCACAGACATCACTACTTCTTCCTTCCCTTTCCACTCTTCCTCCTCCTCTCATCCTTCCTGCCGCCACTCCCAGACCCACGTTTCTCACTACCCTTCACAGACTTCCCGCTATCAGTCTGCGCATCAACATCGCCCAACACAACTTCCTCATCAACCGCACCCGCCGCCCTCTCAACCCTCAAACTCGACGCCCTTGGACTGAGACTCGAATCCAAGTAATTAGCCTGCACCGGCGGCGGACGCGGCGCCGGCACAGGAACACGACGCGGCATCGCGGTGTAACTGCTCTCAGCGCTCAACACGCGTCTCGTGTACTTGAGCTTGGGTGAGGACTGTGTGGACGACGAGGAGCTGAAGGTGTGGTACTGGTAGGGTTCTACGGGTGTCGTCTTGGGCATTGAGGATTGCATTGAAGATGGCTTGAGGGAGCGAGTGCTGATGCCCAGGCCGTCGTAGCCGAGCGCCAGATCTTGCGGCGAAGGATGGGTTTCGGCCAAGGGAGTTGACGGGTAGTATAGGTGTGGAGAGGTTGGAAGGGCGCCGGGGAAGGCTCCTGGCATTTCTCGCGGAGCGACGCGCACGGGCATTGGAGGCCGTTCGTTATTCGAGAGGGTCCGAGATGTGGGTTGAGGCGGTGTCACGGGATCGCGAGCCAAATTGCCCTGACAAGCGTTGATGGGCGTGTAGATTGGCTGTCCATCTGGACCAGGTATCATGAAGCCGGGTGGAGGTGCGCTCGATACGTTTGAGGGGGCTCGTTTGCGGCTGCTTGGCCTGTCTTTCTTGGGTTTCGAAGCGAATAAGGATGACCTCTGCTGCACCTTTTTACTTCGCGAACTGCTGGAGCCCTTCGTGCTGGTTGTGCTGGCGTTCGCTACACCCATGGCATCGTTGAGAGGTGAAGATCGAGGGCTTTGTGGCGGACGCGCTGCGGGCGTCCTTGTACCGTAAAGCTTCGACTGATACGCATCAAGCTCTTCGGGAGTGAGTTGCACATCGGAAATGTCTGCTGCTCTTGCTAATCGGATCTTGTCGAGGACGCGTTGAAAGAGCACTTCTTCGTATTCAGCTGCAGACATAGGTTCTCCAGCATCATTGTAGTAGCCTTCGTCCTCCTGGTAGCCGCGGTCGTTCCTATTAGGCGCACCGCCGAGTGCTGCCGTTCTTCGTTCCCATGCCCGTATATCCATGTCGTTGAAGTATAAATCGTCCTTGTTTAGAAACTGCTTGCCAGTCGAAGCTTGCTGGTATCCATGTTCTACATTAACGCCGGTCATATCGGTATCACTGCCCACATCCTGAAATCTATACACGTCGTCTCCCCCCTCCATATATCTCCCCACACGCCCTGATGGTCTTCCCCATGGGGGCGAAGCATGAGGAGTTCGCGGCCGACCGTCTAGACCGCCTCCTCGGAAAAAGCTGACTCGATGGGCTTGTCAAGGAATGCAGCGTGACCGATGATGGTGACACCGGAGGCACCAATGAGCCAGAGAACAGCAGAGAAAGGAGAAGACCACAGGCCAAGAGGGATGGCGATGATGGCAAGCGTGGTGTAGAGTTGCGAGGTGGTTGCGCGCCAGGAGCCGACCTGGAGATCATTGCCTTCGAGCTTGCCAATGCCGTACATGCCTCCAATAACGAAGATGATGACGAAGAGCAGCAGCAAATGGGTCAGCAAGCTGTAGATGCTGAGCATGGCGAAGACAGCAGCGTAGTTGCTGGAAAAGTAGCCCAGGTTGTAGTTGACGCGGCTCTGCGCCTCACCAAAGTTGGCGGGCTTAGAGATGCGCTTGACATCGAGGAACTCGCTGATGGGGCGCAAGTTGGCGAAGCGCGATGAGACGGAGGTGGAGCGCAGGCCGTCGAAGCGTCCTGAGAGGTCCATCCTGGACGTCAGGGCGGAGATGGGGATGTTGAAGCGCGACATGGTGGAAGCGAAAAGGTTGTTCGTCTGAGTGCTGTTGGGCTGAGGGACGTCGGGGGTGATGAGAGTCTGGCGTTGTTCTTCGCGGTCTGCAGGGGAAGTCATTGTCAGCGGTTGTTGCGCGTGCCCGGATTGGATGGTATAGTGTTGGGAGAGGGCAGATGTGGCCTCTGAACTGTGCAAAACGATGCAATATATCAGGAAAGTGGCTGCCTTACAGATACGACGAGTCTGACAAGAGAGAGTGTTGGTGACGCGGCTGTGAGCGAGTGTGGGCGCAGTGAAGGGGTGTTCACCTAAGGAGTACGTGTCGCTGAGGTTTAACTTTTGTTGGACACTGGCTGTGGATTCGCGGCGATCCAAAATAAGAGACAAACGCGCTGAGCCACAGTGCGCCCTGACAGCTTCCTAGAGAATCCTAGCTCGTCTCACATGCCCGTGGTAAGGACACCTGGTAGCATTTTTGAAGGCGAAGAAGAGCGGCGCGGGCAGACTCTGGGTGATAAAACTGAGGGCGATGGAGAGTAGCGGTCTGTACATATATCTCTCTCCAAGCCATAGCTACACCTGTACCCCATCTTCACCGGTCTTTCTGGACCAGATCGTTATTGGGCCACGCTCTGCATCTCCAGCGGTTCACCGCACTACGGGCGCACAAGCCACTGCACTTTCCCATTGCTTGTAAAGTTCGCCATCTGGCTTGAACTCGACTTGAACCTCCACCACCAACAGCCATGAGGTCCGCCGCCGTATTTGCCCTGCTGCTAGGCATCTTTGCGGCCTTTGCTGCTGCCTGGTCAAAGGAGGGTATGTACATCCTTCACATTCCGTCTAATGGGTCCCCCTGTGCATCCTGTGCCAGAAAAGTTCCCCACATACAGGCGTCCAGCACCTCCAAAGCTGCAGCTTAGCTAACGTCTTACTGCATAGATCACGAGATCTTCCGTCTGCGCGACGAAGTCATCAAGTCTGAAGGTGCAAATGTCACCTTCTATGACATGCTCGGTGTCAAGCCCAGCGCGAACCAAGACGAATTGACCAAAGCCTACCGCACAAAGGGTCGCGAACTCCACCCCGACAAGGCGCGCAAGATCTTCATTGCCAACTATGCAAAGAAGGCTGGCAAGACGGGCAAGACACCTGGTGTCAAGTCCAGCAAGGGCCCCTCGAAGAAGGAGATTGATGCGCACATGAAGAAGGTCACTGCCAGGTACCAGAAGTTGTCTGTTGTTGCAACCATCCTCAAGGGCCCTGAACGTGCGCGCTACGATCACTTCTTGAAGAATGGCTTCCCTGCCTGGAAGGGCTCTGGCTACTACTACAACCGCTTCCGTCCCGGCCTCGGCTCTGTTCTGTTCGGTGTCTTGATCGTCATGGGAGGCGGCATGCACTGGTTCGCCCTGCACATGGGTTGGAAGCGCCGCAAGGACTTCGTTGAGCGCTATATTCGACATGCACGCAAGACCGCGTGGGGTGACGAGACTGCCATCCAGGGCATTCCCGGCGCTGATGGTGCTCGCGCAAACGTCCCTGTTAACGCTCAGCAATTTGACAACGGCGACGAGGAGGAGGAGGAGAAGGAGCCTGAGTTCGTCCCAAGGAACCGCCGCGAAGCGCGTGCCTGGGAGAAGGATCAGCGCAAGAACAGCAAGAAGCCCGCGGCTGTCAAGAAGGCCCGCACCGCTGGCATCAGCACGCCAAAGGAGACAGAGCTGATCTCTGGCCCTCAAGGCGCCAAGAAGCGCATCGTGGCAGAGAACGGCAAGGTTTTGATCGTCGACTCCGTCGGCAACGTCTTCCTTGAGGAGGAGACCGAGGATGGCATGAAGGGCGAGTTCTTGCTCGACGTAAGCACACCTACGACTCCACTTGCATGGACGACCTGACTGACGAACAACAGCCTGACGAGGAGCCTGCGCCTACTATCTACGACACCCTTCTGTTCAAGCTTCCCAAGTTCATCTACAACCAGTCTGCTGGCCGTATCCTCGGCAAGAAGGAGCTTATTGACGAGCCTCTCCTCGAGACCTCCGAGCTCCCTGAGGATGAGGCTGCCATCCAGTCTGCGACCGCACAGAACATCAACGGCGAGACAAGGAAACGCAAGACCAAGGCTCAGAGTCGTGCCAGGTAGACACTCATGTTGTCTACAGAAGAAATCACCCCAAGCGGCGGAAAAGGTGGCTTCCTTGGAAGCATGTAGAACAGATATCTCAAAAGTGAATGTTGCATAGATCTGGCCTCTAAAAGATTATACCAATTTACCGCACTATGTTCATTATCTTGACTTTTCATGCTCTACATGTGAAACTGAAGCCACAGTGGCTGGATTCCGCGTTTGAAACGCTACGTCATCGTGTCAATGCGACACCACCTTGCCTTTGAGCTCTCACTTTGCTGCCTTTGCGCAAAACACACCACAAATCTGTCTCCACCTACTTCACGAATCTGCCTCCACCTATTTTACAAATACCCCTCCCCCTACTCCCCACCCTCTCCCAACCCACCGCCAGACACAATCGCCCACCATGGGTAAGTTCCAGCCTTCAACCATTTCTACGTACAGCCCCCACTAACACCTCGCAGCAACGCAAGACTATTACAAGATCCTCGACGTCGACTCCAAAGCCACACAACAACAGATCCGCGACGCCTACAAGAAAGCAGCTCTGAAGCACCACCCGGATCGTGTACCGTCAGATTCACCAGAGCGCGCAGCACGCACAAAGCGCTTCCAAGCCATCAATGACGCCTACTACACCCTCTCTGATCCCACTCGAAGGAGAGACTACGATGCCGCCCGCACATACAACAACTGGACGGGAAGCACGGCGACACCAGACGAGACGTGGGAGGAGGAGATCCCGCATACGGCTGGCGGCCAGGGCGCGGGTCAGCAAGGAGCCGGGGGATTCAACTTTGGCAGTTTCCCGTGGTCGGCGTTTGGCTTTGGAGGCAGCGGGAAGCCAGCGGGCAATACAGAGGAGTCGCACAATAAGTTCAGCGAAGAGCAGTTCGGCGGTATCTTTGAGGAGATGCTGCGCGAGGAAGGCATGGCCGACCAAGACGCCGGTCCTACAGGGAAATTCTGGAGTGTCGTTGGTGGGCTGAGTGGTGGCGCGATGGGCTTTATTGTTGCGAATTTCCCGGGCATGGTTGCTGGCGCGGTTGCGGGGAATAGGCTGGGTAGTGTGAGGGATGCGAAGGGGAAGAGTGTTTATGCCGTGTTTCAGGAGATGCCGCAGGCGGACAAGGCGAGGTTGTTGAGTAGTCTTGCGGCGAAGGTGTTGAGTAGTGCGGTTAGTGGTTAGGACCTGACTTCCTGAGCGCTGAAAGTGTCTTTGGTGAGTGGTTGGGACGAGGTTTTCTTGGTAATAGTATGATGTGATATCCTATGGTGAAGGGCTGGGGGGGTTTGGGTTTGTCTAACGCACGCTAAGATGGAAAGTACTGGTTTGGTTGCAAAGATAAAAATCGTTTTCTATTTACTCCAAAAACGCCTAGGGATATCTCTAATGTGCGCGAATGTATCTCAAAGAGATGTAATGAAGATCCAATCAAACATCCACCCAGTCGTTCAACCGCCCTCTTCCAGCACCAATCACATTCCAAATCGTCCGCCCTCCCTCGTTCTGCAATTCGTTGCGCCTCACATGAATTTACTCGCCATCTGCGCAATCGTCGCCAGATTCCCAATGCCACCTGCCACGCTCTGCACGTCTAACCCCCCAAACATACCTCCTTGCCCACCGGCCCCTCCTCTCGACGGCCCCGGCCCGTACCCCTCACTCCCATAATATCCTCCCCCTCCCCCGTGGCTCGTATGCCCACTCCCACTGAACCCTCCTCTCGTCCCCGCACCCCCCATCTCCGGCAGATTCACCCCAAACTGCCTTGCGAGCTTATGCAACACGCCCCCACTAACAAGCGGCATGATCACCGCGAAGAAGACTTTGTACGGGTGTCTCCTAGCATAGTGTACCAAGTCGCGCCACAGTTGGCGCAGCTTGCGGTACAGGTACTGTAGGTAGCCGTCGCGCGGTTGCCGGCCGTAGCGCGAGGTGGAGGCCCGGTGTGACGAGGAGTAGGACGAGCCGGCGGAACTGCGGGCGTAGTTGCGTGATGGGCCGCGCGAGTAGGAGGAGTAGGAAGAGCGGGTGGGGGAGGTGGAGAAGGGGTTCCAGCCCATTGTTGCGGGTGTGTGGTGGTTGTGTGTTGGTGTGTGTCGGTGTGTGTCGGTGTGTGTCGTTTGGTTGCGCAAGGAGTGAAAGCTACTTGTAGATTGTTGAAGCGGGTTTGATGTGGCGTGAGGGTTGAGGTGGACGTGTTCTGGCTTCGACGTAGGTATGCGCGACGTTCGATTGAGTGTTGTTGACGTTGACGGACATACGCTGTCGCAATGACTCCCTCTGCAGCTCTACGAGTCCAGAAGGTCGGCCGGTGAGAAGTGGGTCGAATTGGGCCTCAACCTTCCTCTCTATAATTCTTCCCTGCAATAGCTGATCCACAGATGTGTTGTCGCTGTGGGCTGTCCCAACGTTGAGCGATAGCTTGGACCCTGAGCGTCGAATGGTCGTGATATGCTTGAGCTTCACTGAAGGCTGCGCGGAGGTGCAGATGATGGGTGTCAGGACGGGAGCACGGTTGGGGCCGCAAATGGATTTTGAAGGATCGGATCGGTGCGCGAACGTGTGGAGCTGCGAGCTTGGACGATCGTCGTTGCGCAGCTTGCGTGCGTCAAAGGGAGACGAGCTAATTCACCACTGTTTGTTGAGAGGCTGGGATCCCTGCAGGTTGAGCCACGTTACGCTGCCCGGTGCCAAGACGATGCACGTGTGTGATATCTTGCAGTTCCTGCGTGGACTCTTGTTAGGAGAATTGATGAGGTGCATGTGAGGAAATAGAAAGTTTTTTTGTTTGTAAGGTCTTGGGACGGGAATCCACGAATGACAACGACATTGTTGTGCATTCGAAGCAAGTATCACAAACACGATAGCAGCACAACAGCGTCTCTGAGCAATTCAAGAAAGAACTGAATTAAAGCGTTACGCTAGTCGATCTCATGCTGAAGTGCATATAATTTCCCTATAACTTCCATCTCCATGATTCGATAACGCACGCTATGCAGAATATAACTCCACATACCTCCTACCATCTCCTCATCTCCTAAAACTCGAACTCAAGCTCCCAAAAGCATCCGGGCTATGCCGTCCACCCATCAACCCCGTAAAATCTACACTCTCGTTACTCACATGCCTAGCACCCTGCATGTTCGAAAGCGCAGGCAACGGTTTAGCTTGCCCAACCTGCGGCGCAGCTTGTGTCGGTGCCGCGCTCTGGAACGGATTCGAGTGACCGGAGAACGACAGAGCTTCAGTTGCTGCAGGCGCAGAAGGGGCGGCTGGTGCTGGTGCTTGGGCTCCTGCGCCTGTCTGGCCCAGCAGCAGATTTGGCATTGTTGCAGAGCGCTGGGGCGCAGATTGCTGCTGGCTGTACTGTGAGAACGCTGCGTACCTGTCGAATGGTGGGTTGCTCTGTGGGTAGCTGGACTGTTGGGCGGGTTGTTGCTGGTACTGCCATGGGTTCGGCGCTGGGGATGTGGGAGTTTGTGTCTGTTGGTAGCTTTGTCCCATGCTGTTGAACGGGTTAGGAGCTTGTGTGGTTGGCGTTTGCGTCTGTTGTTGGGTTGTCCAGGGGTTGAATGCTTGCTGTTGCGTTGTCTGCTGCTGTTGGAATCGCTGAGGTTGTTGGCTAAGGCTCGAGCCGAATGGATTGGAGTTTGCTGAGGGTGTGAATATCTGACTCTTTGAAGATTTCAGGAAGGGATTTCCTGGGCTTGCTGGCTGAGACATCGATTGGTACTGTGGTTGGGGTGGGTAAAATGAGCTGTATTGCTCGGGTATCTGTGGCATTGGTGGTGGTGTGAAAGATTGCTGGAATGGGTTCGTTTGCGCAAAAGGTGGGTTCGGCTGTCCAAGTCCTCCTGTCCGGTTAGGAAACAATGGCTGTGCGGGCTGTTGAGACTGTTGGTATTGCTGAGGCTGTTGTTGGGATAGCTGCAAACCCTGGAATGATTGCTCCAGGCTCTGCTGCAATTGCTGTTGTTGCTGCTGTGGCTGTTGTTCGAATGGATTGTATGACTGGCCATAATTCTGTTGTTGCTGGGGTTGCTGCTGCTGCTGCTGCTGCTGCTGATACTGCCCTTGCAGAGCATAATTCTGTTGTTGCTGAGCTCCTCCCTGCTGCTGGTACTGCCCCTGCGAGCCCTGTGATAAGAATGGATTGTAAGAGCTCGCCTGCTGGTTCGCCTGTTGCTGTCCGCCATAGTTGAACTGCTGGTTCTGCGGCTGCTGTGATTGAGCCAGGGGCGCTGCATCCAGCGCGTCGAACGGATTCGTCGAAGCGGCAGCAGGTGTGCTTTGCGGAATGTTGTCGAACGAGAGACCGTTCACCCCGTTCTTCGTCGGTGGAGTTGGTGTCGTCCGCCCAGACTTTCCGGAGTTTTGCTCTCCCAGCCGAATCAATGCCTCCACTGTCTTGTCCAGATTGCCATTCAACCCCTTCAAGACGGTCGAGTTGCGCTTGTCGTCTGGGAAGCCCATGTCTCGCAGCGTCGCCAGCTTTGAGTCCAGACCATCGCCGGATGTGTGGATGTTTGAGCCAAAGACTCGAGACGGTTTGTTCACGCGCGGCGGAGATGTTTCTTGTCCGAACCCAAGACCAGGAGACATTGGAGGAGACTTCGAAGTCGATGTCTTCCTCAACCCGAACCCAAATCGCCCTGTTGGCTTTGGCGGTAGTGGTGGCGGTCTGTCTTCAGAGCTCGTGCTGCCCGTGTTGTGTCGCGTGCCTGGTTGCGAGGCGTTCATGAATATCCTCTGTTCATACTTCTGCCGTATGTAGCGTTCCATAGCACCATCTACTTCGTCGACATCGATTGGTATGTGCGCCTTCGAGTTGCGTGGGTTGTACGTCTTGTTCGACTCGGCGTTGCCAATGCGCTTCATGTTCTGCTGCTGTCAACGTTGTCTCAGGCCTGCTTAGACATGTCTCCTCTTACGTCGACCTGCGCATTGTCCCATTTGTCCATGCTCAGCGATTTGACCTTTGAGATGTGTGTCCCCAGCTTGCGGTGCAGGGCTGCGCAGCGCATGCACAGAAAGATGCCCAACTAGGTTCGTCAGTACTGGAATCGATATACGAAAGAATTCGACGAGTCGAGACACGGCGTTCGAGTCGCTTCAGGGGAACATACACTCCAACTTGCCCATCCTACAGCCTTGTCAGCTCAGGTCCATCAGCATGCACGCTCTCCTTACCTGGATTCTTTGCACCACAGTCAGCGCAAGTCCCATTCCCAGGCACCGTCTTGATTAGCTCCTGCAGCGTACGCTCATTACGCGCCTGCTGGCGTTTATTCAGGGCGGAAGCCATATCGTTGCGCCGTGAGCGTCACACAAGGATTCGACCGGAGCTCAGTCGCTCGGAGCGGTAGAACGTTGCGTATGCGGCGGGGGCTCGGGGGAGGGCTTGAGGACTCGACGGCGCACACGTAGCACAGCACCGGGTTCTACTATCGATATGCACGCAGGAACATTTCAAGAAAGCAAAGAAAGGGGACCGCAAAGAGTTGCTTAGTTCGCACGCGATGACGAGTAATGCAACCCCGTTCCGCTGAACACATGGCGTCGTCCAGACAGGGTTCTAGCGCCATGTCTATATTCAGCCAGACCGCCAGCCTTGCTCCCCTGTTCGTCCGTATTACAGATCTTGTGGGATTTGAATCAACAGTGCTGCTCGGGCAACGAGATTGGAATTCAGCGTTGCTCAGGCTTCTGAACGTCTCGTGCTGAGCGCTCCACGGAAGTATCAGACTTCGCAAGATGGCTTCCAGCCTTGCTTTCTCGACCTTCAGCACCAGGAGTATCACAGCATACGAAGGTACATTATCAAGAGATGTTTGTCATATAAATAGTCCTACACATCTAAAGAGACGGCAATGCGTAGGGTGGAGTAGACACGGTCCTGCTAAAAACCTATTTTCCTCTCCCACTAGAAGGATATGTTGCTCTCTGGCCATCGGGCGAAGATCCAGAAAGCAGGCAATCGTGGGGTACACAACACTCTCAACCCACTCTGCACGCAGCTTCAAACGACAAACTCAGTCGTCTCGAGGAAGCATGCCCACAGAGCGGTCGCATAGCGCAGTAACAGTGTTTGTTGATGGTTGCATAGTGTGTCCGACAGCAACAGAAATTTTGAGTTGGCAATCCCTCGGCAAAATAGAAGGCCCGGGGCCTTGGCGCTCGCATCATCAAAATCTTTGGTGCGGTCAGCCGGGCTTTCGCTCCTCACACACAATACAAATGGACGATTAATCAACGGCCTCGTCGGGTACATCTACCGCGTGGTTGTCATATTTGCGTTCTAGAGTGAGACGGCACTTTTAGGCTTTGAGCAGGTTACGCCTCCTCCTTGAGGGGGGGTTCGATAGCGCTCGGAGCCACCTGCGTGACCATACATCTCTTTGCTTTGATTGTGATCTTGATCGTGCAAACCAATCGTGTTATCACGAATGCTCCGCGTGGCTAGAGTTCCTTACGGCAAGGGAAATGTAAGGCTTCGAGTTGCTCTTCAACACTAAAGATTGGAGTGGACTTTTGTTTACAGCGATTGTGTCGAATGCCATCCCGGTCTTTTGCTGTCTTAATTGGCTCCGAAGGAGACTTGCGGATCCGGCGCAAGACTGAGACCTGCCAAATGCTGCTCTGTCACGCTAGAGATGGCAGTGCAATCAACAGGTTCTTGAGATGGTCGTACGCGCTGAGACAAGGCTGCGTGGGTACCGCTCTGCCCACGCTAGAGATTGCAGTGCGCTCCCACTCTCCCACTACTATACTAGCAGCGGGATGGGAGCATCCTCAAAACCCGCAGCCAATTCGCTGCGCACATAGACGGGACATCGCCTTGTGCTGCATAAGTGTGAGCGCTACTGCATCTGTAACCAGACTTTGGAGCTCAAGAAACAAGATATCAAAGCACCAAGCTAGCGTCTCGACGTACAGCAACAACCTCCTTCCCAGCCAATGACCACGAGTCCGCGGATGTAATAAGCTGATAGCCTCCAAGCTTGATAACCGGCTGACAGACTGCTCAGTGTTGGCAGTCTAGGTCTTTTCTTCTTGCCATCTCATACCCGATTCTCAAACCCGTATTGCCAGGATACCCAGCGACCAGTAGCTACGTAGCATTACAGCACAGAACGTACAAGCACCTTGGGTATCACGAGCATGCACACATTCCAGCCGTAACACTGGACCCCAAGACTTGGTCTTCTTACATTGAATTACTACAAGCAATACGTGCTTACTCTCCCATCATTACGAACAATAGCTATCTCAAGGTATCTATGCAAAAGAACTGAACCAAACCAGCCAACACCCGCCAATGTATCAGCTCTCTCAAAAATGCCAACGATCGTAAAGATGACCAAAAGTTGTTGTGAACTGGGTATGTGATACCGACCCGTTTCGCAAGGTGGCACGGCTTCAAAAAGGACGAGGTACACTGCATACCCGCGCATGCAGCACGACCTCAACACAAAACCGCGATACCTAGTACGGTGCCCATAGACTGGTAGCTTGGTGTGTCGAAATCAAAACAAAGGTGTCGACTGTGGTCTTCCCCGGTTATCTCTGCTTCTCCACATAACCGCAGATTTGCTCCTCTCCAGAGCCATCTCGACGTCCCACACTCTTTCTCTGCCGGCTACGTATACAGAGTGGTAGATATCCGCCGTACGATCGATCAAAGACTGCGATCTTGACATCCGCTGCACAACAGGCTGCACTTTGAGATCTCTCTAGAACCTCTCTTGCGAGCGCGAACCGCCGTGGTTCTCGAACAAATCTTCCAGATACGCACTCGGAGCTCGGCCACCAGCTTCTGTACTTCCGCCCGGTACGTTCAAAGACAAGTTGCTTACGCTAGCCTGACCGTGGCCATAGACGCCGCTCCTGGTGTTGCCTGGTGTGCTAAGAGTAGCAACGCTGTTGCGGTTGTAGTTGGAGAAGCCGTCTCTGGACGGGGGAGCGCGGTCATAGCCACGAGAAGGTGGAAGAGACGGCGATCCTGGAGGTGAGATGCCGGATGCTCGGCTGAACCGGTTTCCTGGCAAGGCCAGCGAGTTGGTCGACAGGTGTGCGCCGTGTCCGCCGACATGTGCCATTGGAGACCCGCCAGCAGGCGCCGCGTTACCAGCAGCGTAGTAGCCAGCGGGCAGGTAGTTCGACGAACGGTTGCCCTGCTGTGCGAGACCAGCTGCGCCGCCCGCAGTAGGAGAGAAGAACAAAGAAGATGCGGCCCTGGGAGGTGTGCCACCCGGGGCCTGAGCGAATGGCTTTTGAGGCCTCGAATGGCCAGTGGGCGCCGCAGACAGATGATCCAGAGACATGGTTGAGCTGGCACCAACATGGGTATACATGCCGCGCTTCTTGCCGGGCACTGCTGACATCGCCTTCATATCAGCCAGGTTCTGCGCAAGAGCAGCGCGCTTGACGGATCGATGCAGCGACCACGCAACGAGACCTCGCCACAGAAGCACGCAAGCACCGAGGAAACCCAAGATCGCGCCGACACAAATGAACACGGTTCCGTCCGGAAGATCCGACTTTTGCATAAAGAGTGCTCCAGATGTGTCTGGGACTCGTTGGTCAGGCACACCGACACCAGCGAGTGTAGGCAGGCCTGAGAGTTGGACGATGCCTTGTGTGACAGTTGGGAAGGAGCCACTATCATCAGCGCTCGCAGCTGTTGTCCCTGATGCTGCTGCGCTCGACTGTGCTGCTGATGTCGCCTGCGCTGAAGATGATGCTGCTGCTGCTGCTGTGGTGGATGCTTGGGCTGAAGATGCTGCCGCGGACGATGCTGCCACGCTGGATGACGCTCCCTGTCCGTCCGGCTGCTGAATTGTTGACAGTTGTGGCAAGTCGCTGTCGTCTTGCGCCAGGACAACAGGCGCTGCAGCGAGCAGCAAGCCCAACAGGCCTACCGAAGGGCGCATTGCAGAATGTGTACGACGTTCGACGGGGGTTGTGGTGTGGTCTGGGGTATCGAGGGGCCCGCCTAAGGGGACAGCGTGGATGAAGGCTGACGCCGAGTCGTGCGGCTGATCGTGTCTCAGGGGACGAGGCTGTTCGCGAACGAGTGGAGAGCGTCGCTCGCGGGTCGAGTGCAGTGATGTCAGGGCGAAACGAGCGACAGGACAGCGAGAGGTGGAGAGGACCCTGTTTGCTGGGCTGTTGGTGGAGAGAGAGAACGGGGCTGCAGGGGCGCGGCGGAGTGAGGATCGAGCGCCCAGTTCGCTTGGTGTTTGGCACGGGCTAGCGATTGGAATGGGGAGCGGCGGGATGAGCGAGGGACGGTGACGAACGTCAAATAGCGATGATCAAGACGGGTGGTAAGAAGGGAAACGATGGCTGCAATGTCACGTGGTGCTGCGCTCACTCAGACACCACCAAGAAGTAGAAAGGAGACCAGTTTTCCCATCGTGAACCCTTTGCCTGTCAAACTCGTCCCTGCGTGATGCACTGCGCTATTGCTATTCCTGGGACCCACTGCTTCTAGCGTCTGGTCGGCGGCAGCAACATCCGACATTTTTGAGAAGTCGAACTCTTGGCAGCCGTATCTGAAGTGCTCCACCAAAAAGTATCAGCGCGTTATCGACATCCGCACGCGAACGTACCAGCACAACGTCGCAGCCATGGGTGTCCAAAAGAAGACGCGCAAGTTCGCGCAGATGAAGAGAGTCATCGGTGAGCTACACAAGTGCCAGACCTGAACAAATCCAGACTAACAGCCGCAGGCCAAAAAGATGGAAGACTGTATGCGCCCAACGCCCCGCCACCTCTTCAACATCCATACTAACACCCTTGTGCAGAAAGAAGAACCAAGCCGACGGCGAACTTGAAGCCAAAAAGAAAGCCGCCGCCGAAGTAGCCAAACGCGAAATCCCCCAGGTCTCCTCCGCGCTCTTCTTCCAGGCCAACACCGCCCTTGGCCCGCCCTACTCAGTCCTCGTCGACACAAACTTCCTCTCCCATACCGTCCACGCCAAGCTCGAGCTGGACAAAGCGCTCATGGACCTGCTCTACGCAAAGGCCACACCCATCATCACCACCTGCGTGATGGCCGAGTTGGAGAAGCTGGGCCCGAAGTACAGGATTGCGTTACGCATTGCGAGGGATGAGAGGTGGGAGAGACTGAAGTGCGATCACAAGGGCACGTATGCGGATGATTGTATTGTGGAGAGGGTTATGAAGCATAGAATTTATCTTGTGGCGACGAATGATAGGGATTTGAAGAGGAGGATTAGGAAGATTCCCGGTGTGCCAATTGTGAGTGTGGCGAAGGGGAAGTATGTTATTGAGAGGCTGCCAGATGTCGCTGATAGTAGGTGATGGGGGACACTGGAGGAGGGGATTTGGTTTATGCATAGCGCGGCGTTTGGGATATGGATGGCACATTGAAACACACGGCAGAGTGAACGGCATCTCAACATATCAGGAATGGATTTAAAAGATGAGATTTGTGATATGGAAATTGTGTGACGCTGGCGTAGTCAAAAGATTCGTGCATCTAATCGTCCCACTAATCTATAAAGAAGAAAAAATCGCCATGCATAACTCACAGCCCACCCAACCCATCAAGCAACGCCGTCAACCCTCCAATACCCATCAACGTCCCCACAGCCGCACTCTTCCCATACTTCTTCTTCTTCCCTTCGACCTCTTTCTCATATCTCTTCCTCGACTTCGATCTACGTCTTCTCCGTTCTCCACTTCCGGAATCAGAGGTCATCGAATCGTCGTCATACCTGTCCGTCGACCTAGGAACAAAATGCGACTGGCGCATCGGTGACTGTGGGCCCGATGGGTTGGCGTAGAGTTGCGTAGGTGACGGAAGCTGGTAGTTGCTGTAGGGTGCACCCGGTGGTGGAGGTGGGTATGGGTACTGCTGCGCGTTTGGTGGTGGAGGGGGTATTTGTGGAGGGTAGAGGCTTTGAGACGGCAATGAGGAGTATTGGCCGTTAGTCATTGGCATTGGTCCTGGTGTTGGCATTGCCACAGGTCGAGTGGGTGCTTGCGAGTTGATACTCGGTGGATATGGCGGTGGAGGGACCATCCCTGGGCCCGGCATAGACATCGAGCGGTCTAGTGGCGGCGGTGGTGGACGGTATGCCACTGTGCTGGACGATCTTTCTAAAGGCATCTGTGGTCTACTTGCAGTAGGTGTCCGATCACGGTCTTGCGCAGCCATCTTAGCCAGGTAGCTTGGCGGTGGACCAGGAGGTGGTCGATCAAAGGAGGTACGTCGGACGCGCGGTAGTGCTGGTTGTGGTGGTGGAGTCGGTGACACATTCTTTCGGTATAACTCAACAGTCCGTTCAACCAGGCGTTTGACTTGGTCGAACTTCAGCGGCTGCTCGATGCAGAAGCAAGTATCGAACTTCGTCCTGCGCCCGTCCTTTCTCTCTTTCTGCACCTGCGTGAACTTGTAGCCTGCTTCCTGAATGGCCTCTTTACAGGCCCAGCTCGCCAGAACTTCTGTCCAACTTCGTCGCTCGGCATATGCAGCTGAAAAGGGCAGGTCGGTATTCGAGCCAACAACTTTGCCATCAATGAACCTCCACTCGTACTTCTGGGTACGCAGAGTCCATGGTATTTCAAGATCGAGGTCGTCATCTTCCTCTTTGGCTTCGACTGCTGCTGCGGCTTCGACCGGTAAGCTGCCTATGCTGGTGCGGGGCGACACAGGTATCTCTAATGTCGTACGGGAAGCTCTCGGCGAAGCTGCTGGCGACATTGGAGCTGATGGTCCGAACTTAGAGCCTGGCACTGGGATAGGTAGAGTAGTTGTGTCCATAAAAAGCGGCTGTACGCTACCAGATCGTTGAGGTGGTGGTGAAGCTAGGCCTGCACCGTTGGGCCCGTACCTTTGCCTCTCCTCCTCTTCGCTGTCTGATTCGACGGTTGCCTGCTGATTCTCGTGCTTTTGAGTACGGGCCTTACGTTCTGCATCACGGAGGCGTTGATCAAAGTCTGGCAGACTAGTCCATCTCTCCAGCAGCAGCTCAGTCCTCGGGCCAGCGATGCTACAAACAGTCGGTAGCCATCCTTCCTCCGTAGATCCGGATGTATCAAGACTTCCTAGATACTTATCCTGGTACTGATACAGGTGGTTTGAGTTCGGCGATGTATTTTCGCGTCCTGTTATGACGAGACTCTGGGAGCTGTCTGATTCCATTAAGAATCGAGCGTCTTGACGAGGCACCTGGTTGTGGAGCACTGTTGCAGATAGTATCGACATCTGCTGCTCAATGATGAGTGTTTGGAGCTGAATCTTCTCGTTTGCCACTGCTTTGGCAGCTTGTTTTGGCGACACTGTAGGGCGAAGTCTACAGAGACAGTCAGCAAAAGTGCGTAATGGTACAAAACTAGATGATGAACATGAGAACGAGTGTTGCGTCCCAAAATCCGAAGATTCTGAATTGTCGCACAACATAAGTACTGATCTTCGGTTGCTCGTTTCTGTAACGACGTTTAGGTATGGGAGGCGTTCGCTTACTTTGACCACATGATACTTTGAGCGGTGTACAAAGTCTGCAGGAGAACAGCTAGGGTCAACCTCAAGCACTCAAGATGCGCGGCAAAGCAGGCCAGCCTTGTCACATTCAGCGACCCGCTGCGCGGATGACCCTTTGAAGATCGAGCTTCATCTGTTTCTTCGGTTTGCTCATTCCTGCGAAGCTCAGTCGCATTCTCGATCTCCTTCAAGACAGTCTGGGACTGCACAGTGGCATCTTCGAGTACGTCGAGAGCCTGGATATTATGTTAGTCTCGACGTACACACTATGTAAGCATGGTGGGAGTTCGCCAGCTGTCTTTGTCGCCAGATTCGTCTTGTGTCCATCTCTTCTCGAAGCATCCATGTCAAGTTGAAGCTGAGATTTGAGAACGAGAGAAGTTTTCTCGTTGTTTACTCAACCTGATGCATACGAGATGGCAAATGTGAAGGTGGCGTAGCAGGTATGCAGAGAGTGACATACCTCGAAAGAAGGTAACCGATCGTCTTCCTTGATGATTGTTCCGACCTGCTTCAAAATTGAAGCGAAATTGTTGATCGCATTTGCGGCCTTCACAAGGTCCTTTGCCTCTCCAGGCGACGAGGCGGCGAATTGATACAGGTCTAGCGCAAGACAAGAACTGCGGGAGACAACTGGCAGTATCGCTGCAAGTACCGCCATGGTTCGTTAATATCGAAGCATCCAAAGTCTGGGTTCAGAAGTGTTATGTGGAGATGTCAAAAATTGCTGAATGGTTCGTGAAGTTGCGATTCTCGTGTTCTGAGGTCATGGTACGTTTAAGGTATGCAGGGCATCGCTGACCGGGAGTTCGCAAGCAGAGGTCAGGGCGTCGCTGATTGGCCAACGACTGAGGAGGCAACGAAGCTGTATGTACGAAGAGAACTGCTTGAAAACTGGGGACCAAACTGCATGCTCGGCGAAGATCGTGGCGCTGCCTGGCGTGCCGTGTTGGCAGTTTTGGCTGGATTTGTGCTGCAGTGCGAGGTATGACATACGATAAGCAGCGCTAAGGTGTAGCACACATGACGCCGAGGGCGCAACCACCATTGGCCACGCGTGAGGGGTGAGGCTCTACTGATGGCATTTGGAAGTGATCCGGTCTTGACAAGGGATCCCGTACAAAGCGGCCGGTGAGACTCATGATCGATGACTGTCTAGGAGAGAACCTGCGGATCTCTGACATTCAAGGCTCCAGCTGAAGCTCTCAACATGCGACTTCGCAGCCGCAGGTGATAATACTAAGTACGACTGCAGGCTGAGTGCTAGGCGCATGTAGTGTGCGTATTGCACAGTCAAAGCAAGGTTGCAAGAAAATACGCAGGTGCAGAGAAAGAGTAATGATGGGCACTTTTCAATAGTCGCGTAACCTACGCAGGAGCATGTTGGTCAAACATTACCAGCAGTGCCAATTCCACGTGGAACACTGCTCTCTACTTCTCAGGGTAGCAACTGCAGGCTTGTTGAGTGGCACGGCGCAGTGTGGTGAAGGGAGCAAGTCCGTCATAGGCGTTACCAGCCAGCTACCTCGTCGGCCAGCCTTGCAGAACGCAAAGTAGAGAACAGAGCGAGCTGAACATGGAATTTGCGACAATGTAACTTGAAGTGCGAGAACGTAGATGATACCAACGATCAACAGCTGCCCACAACAAACAAATCAAAGCAAACGATGTGTTGGCGAACCGTGATGGATGTGTTAAAAGTGGACAAGGGCACCAAGTCGAATGGAGAAAGTGCCAAGCCGTTCGAGCCGTTCTTCCACGATGCTCCCGTGTGCTTTGTTGAACCTGACAATGCTATGTAGGGCAACCACTTCTTGCAATCGGTATGTATGCACGGATGAAACAAGCAATAAATGTCTATTACCTGTCAACTATCAGCCCTAGGCAGGAACTCATGTTCTGTACCTGACTGCCAGGATATGCAGGGCCCGGGAAGCACCGAAACAGCCCCATCCTTTCGATCCAGCCTCGGATAAGAAATTTGGATGACGAGCGCCAACACGCCAAAGGCGCCGTCGCTTCCACCCTCCCACTTTCTTTTAGACTTCAATCGGCATCCTGCCGCCCACAGCACCGTAGCTCTCGGTCGGCCTTCTGTACATAACCTCGTAATTCTCTGCGGCCAGCTGCTGTCCACTCCGCTCTCGGCTCGCCATCCACGCCGCGTACTCCACTCCACCCATTCGCGGAGAACACGGCCCACCAGTCCTTAGCCCAGAGCCCCCAGTTCACTCCTTGACAGTAAGCCACCCAGCCAGAAAGCCTCTTTGCGCGCACATGCAAAGGTCAGCCAGACGACTCGTTACGCAGCCAATCCGCAGACCTTCCTGATCTGGAACCGTTGTCGATTGGACCCCTCAGCAACCGCAGTCTCGCCACGCCTCAATCAGCCCCGCGCACCTCTATATATCAATTCGCTGCCCCTCATGCCGCGCTCCATGTCCTCCACGGGTGTGAGCACCGCCGTTATGACTTCGCAAGAGGAGCCAATGCAGCGCTTGCGTCGTCCTGGCTATGGCACCTTTGAGGAGCAGCGCCAGCGACGTCACTCATGGCACACCAGACCCTGCGTTCAGGAAGTGGAAAATTTCCAGCTGATGGTAGGAAGCTCTTCATGTGAATGCTATCGCTATGACTGACCCTGCTCACAGCTTCGCAACTTCCTGGCCGACCTCAATTGCAGACTGGACTTCCTCGAAGACTATGGCCATCTCAAATATGACGCAGGCGTCGAATATGCATACACAACCCTCCTCGCCGTGCGCGAATCGTGCTCGAAGATATCCGACGGCGCACTCGAAGCTGGACGCCGGCAAGCCTCAGTCTTCGTTGAGACACTTGAAGAGCGGTACAAAGAAGCGCTGGAGTCGCAAGAGACATTGGGCGAGAAGGTCATGGAGGGAATACAGTTGATGGACTCGTATTTGACGGACTTTGAAACACGCGCATATGCTTTGAAAGACGGCACGCTCGGCTCATATGCCCACGAGATGTACGAAAGTGGGCGAAGGAAAATGGATGAAGGTATCGAAGCTGCTAAGGGCGTGGTCGACAGCGGTCTCGACAAGGCTCGCCGCGCTCGTGAAACCGTGGAGATCACGATCGAACACGGTGTGCAACGTGCGCTGACTCGCGCGAAGGAGCATGGCCTGCTCCACTACGACGACCTGCCTGAGCCCTGGAGAATCAACCCTCATATCCTCAAGGGCTACCGCTTCTCAGAAGGCAAGTGGGCGTGCGTGCGCTCCGTATTTGGCTTCCACAACGAGCTCGTCAACATCTGGTCTCATCTCCTGGGCTTCATCATGGTCCTTGCTTTGGCTTTCTACTTCTACCCATCCAGCGTCAACTGGAGCCAGTCGACCAAGGCTGATATATTCATTGCCGGTGTCTTCTTCTTCGCAGCTTGCAAATGCCTTGCTTGCTCCACGATCTGGCACACCATGAGCAGCATCTCGGAACAGACTCTGCTTGAGCGCTTCGCCTGCGTCGACTACACAGGCATTTCACTTCTTGTCGCCGCCTCGATCCTCACCACCGAGTACGCCGCTTTCTATTGCGAGCCTGTCTCGCGCTGGTCGTACATGACCCTCACTGCTGCTCTCGGTGTCGGTGGTGTCATCCTTCCCTGGCAGCCGACCTTCAACCGCGCCGACATGGCTTGGCTGCGTGTTGCGTTCTACTGCTCTCTCGCTTTGACAGGCTTCATTCCCTTCTTCCAGCTGTCGTGGACCCGTGGCCCTCAGTGGGCGCTGTACTTCTACGCGCCTATCACCAAGAGTCTTCTAGTGTACATCATCGGCGCAGTATTGTACGCAAGCAAGTGCCCTGAGCGCTGGTTCCCTGGCTTCTTCGACTACTTTGGCTGCAGCCACAACATCTGGCACGTCGCTGTATTGGGAGGTATCATTTTCCATTACATGGCTATGCAGGCTATGTTCACTTCTGCTATGACTAGGGCGCAGGTCAGCTGCTCTGTTTACTAGCTCTCTCAACTTTCTTTAATTCTCTTTGTTGTTGGTTTGCTGCATTTAGCGACTGAAGCATTTGATGCGGGTGCATATAGACGTTCGTTGGATAGAGAAGCGTGTTGAGTCTTGGATCTGCGCACATGGTTTGGGGCATATTGATGAACATCTTTCTCTTCACATATTTACCAAATCGAACGATGACTATTCAAATCACCATCATCCTTTCTTAACTTTCTCACCTACGGTTGATCAAGCGAGCCGCGCAGACATTCAACCGCACTGTGGAATTTCGCGTTTCGGTTGACGCTTCTTCCCGTCACGGCGTCGATGCTCTGTCTCGCAAGTCAACCATAGACTCCTCCAGCCTCGCTCGCCACGTATCGGTCTTATTGTTACGGTCCAATCGCATCATGTGGGTCTTCGTTCAATCTCTTAGGGTGTCCCTGATTACGAGCAGCCCTAGACGTTCGCCTCGCTTCGATACGTTTTCATCCAACTACATGAGAACCTGAGGCACAACCACCTGCTGACCACAGGCGTACCTCGTCTGACCACCTGCATAATGAGACAAGTCTATCGCCCAATTTTGAAGCCTTGTCCTATGTATGGGGGAAAGCAGGTTACAGTCGTACACCGCGAACCTCTGACGGGATCATTCAGATAACCCGAACTTCGCGCGTGCACTGAGAGCCTGGAATCTCGAGGGGTCCAGACCCGTATTCAAAGCCACAAATTATTTTCCTTCCAGGTGTAGAGGGTCCGGTTTCTCAAAACTTCAGGTTCGCATGTCGCACCCCCGAAAAGATACTGGGCAGAATGAAGACTATTCGAAACGTCATGAGGATTATTTGAACTAGGTCTAAGAGCTATGGAAGCAAGCGACATCTTAGCTTCCCTCAGAGGGGTTTCTTACGTGCTACTTCGCCCGAAAGATGTTTATCACCAGTTTGTTGGTAGCGTTTAGATGTCAGAGGTTTACCCAGATGGCTGGAATGACACAGTGGTCAAACTGCGATAATGGTCGACACAACTTGTCTGAATGTAAGAATGGAGGATTTTAATGCCAACACAACAGCTCAAGCCTGGACGAATTCATTCACTAGGGAGACGGGACTTAACTTTCGTAGACCTTTTGAGTGATTTAGTTCCTCGTCTTGCGTTGAACAAACCCAGAAGGTCGAAGGTGAAGGTGTCGAAGGCGTATCTTAGGTCACTTAGATTCTGAGGCTGATTCTGGGTTCGAGTACGTTACATCGACGCTGATGTTGTCCTCTAACGCCCAGAGAAGTAATTGCCCTGCGGTCCACTCGGCATCATACTAGAATGCGAGCTCTGCTCGGTCCCCTTCCTGACCGGCTTCTCCTTCCTGACGAAGCACTCACCCACAGGATGCCCCTCCTCACCGCAACACACCCACTTGCCGATACCCATCTCTTCGGGGGCCGTCCTCACGCCCCGGCCTCCACCACCAACAATCAAGTTGCCAGGCCTGTACTTTGGGTTCGCGAGCATGCGCTTGATGACACTGGAGTGGATCATAGCGTCGGCTGGGATGTCACGTGTCTCACCCTTAGGCAGTGGCCATCTGATCGCTTTCCAGGACCCGTCTTCGCAGAGATCCATGCGTCGGAAGGGCAGGTACTCCATGATGTTCCAAGAGACGACGCCCATCGTGCCAGCTCCGTTGTTGAACTGGAGCACGTCGTGCATGCGGCCCTGTGTTGCGGCATAGTGAAGCTTTCGGTGAAAGCTTGTGTCTGGGTGGGTATGGTGGTGAGCTAGGGTGTGCTTGTCATCGACGAAACCGTTGGCGGTGGCATTTAAATCATCGTTCCCGTTAACTTGACCATTATCAAGAGCTGGCGAACCCGGGTCAACGGCGATGGCGGGTACAATCGTTTGGTGTCGTGGATCGCCGAATGTGCGATCTTCGTGGCAGCAGTTCAAGGCCTCTAGTTTCTCCTCATCAAACTCCAAGCCTGCCTTTTGCGCTTCACGAACCATCCACACGAGAGGCACATGGCTCAATGCAGCGTCATGCTCTGCTTCGAGGGGCCAGCCTCCGCCAATGTCCTGAAAATAGTCAATTCATGGCACTCGAATATTGCAGGAGCAGACTTACTGCATGACAGCCTGGAAACCAGACCTCCATAATGTCCTGTTCACCCTCATCTTCGTCCCAAGAATCTTGTGTGTGAATGGGATCAGTTGATTGCACCGACACGTTACTACACGAGTAGTTCGGGCTCAAACTACGCACTCCCGAAGTCTCGTGCGGGTCCCTGAAGTTGTCAGGCGGAGCAAGGGTATTACGACGGCCCCTAGGCTGTTCAACGTCTTTATCGTTCTGACATGTTTCGTCGTCATCATTTGTCTCGTCACGATTAATGAAATCCTTCATGTGATGCTTCCGATGTTGACGTTTGTAGAGCATTGCGTGGTCAGGCTTCGCCTGAGAGATAAGGTCCTGGCGGAATTTTGCGCGTCGCTCGTCGATCGAAACAGCGTGTCGTATAACACGTGCCGAACTTCTTGCAGTGTATGGAAATCTGCTGCGTTGCATCCATGCGTTCTCGAAGTGTGGTACACTGTTGACTGTGTCGAAGAGACCGAGGAATCGGATAGCGCGCACTGGGCGACTGAAGGTTTCTCGGAATGCGCACATGAACTCGAGAAGCTTCTTCTTCTCCTTCTTCTCTTCATCGTTACCTTCCAACCGGCACTGCCACTTCTGAAACGTCCTGCATCGTTGATCAGCCCAAGAGCTGGAGAGAAAGTAGTGCTCACTTACTTCCAGGCAAAGTGACACATCTCCTCGTTTCCAGCCTGGGCGTGTCAGCGATGGCAACTGTCATACATGCTAGTATCTTACTGAGAGTAAACCAACGTGGTCAAGCATTTCCGCCAGGAAGCGAGCGGTGTATGCGCCTCGAGAGAAGCCAAAGAAATATATGTCGTCTCCAGGAGTGTAGTATCTCATCAAAAACTGGCATGATTGATCAGCCTGATATCAATGTCGATGCGTGCTATCGGAGCTCCGGAGTGGCATGTTTGTGATATTGTATGATAGAGTATGTCCATTGTTGGAACTTGAGATGATTCGACTTACTCGGTAGCCAGCCATAACGTGCAAGTCGAATGAAGTGCCGACTGCGCTATCTTTCGCTTTTGCGTACCAGTGTTTGAATCTATCGATACGTCCAGTCCTGGACATAGAGCTATTGGCCTGCGCAACATATGTCCCGATACCAGGCTGGTAATAATGGAATTGATCATCGCCATTGCGATCGAGCATACGATATATCTTGAGGATATTGGAGTCCGCGTCCGTGCCGCTGAACTTGTTGCCAGTGCCGTCGAAGCACAGAACGAATTGCTTGCGTACATGGCTCCGGCGTTGCATAGGTGCGGCGGACTCCATTTGGCCGTGTTGCGAGCGCGAAACAGCCCGTGATGACAAGCCCTGAGTATGTTGTTGTTCTGTTCCTTGTTGCGCCATTGCGCAGGATTGGCAAGCACGACGAGAGGGGAAGCAGATAGTTGCAATCGACAATAAGGGAACAATGACCCACACAACGACTCATTTAGAAGCTTCGTGGCAAGACTATCTCTTGCAGAGGAGAGCTATGGCCATATGCGACGATCCCACCTGCAATGGTTGTTACCGTTCATGGTTGGTACAACGCTAAATTACTACCGCCAGCGTGCTTGATCGGCCACCATGCATGTGCTGGCTGGTCGTTGTCGTTCTCGGTTACGAAAGCCTTCAAGCTTGTTGATCCTTCAACCTCGTGGGATATCACATGTTAAGTGGGCGTTGTTTTGACCATTCTTGGTGTGCTGCACAGCAGCCGGGACGTCTTTTCGCGATGCATTGATTCGAGGAGTGGTTCAAACGAATTCAACAACTGTCGGTTGTACCAATGGGAGCCCTTGATGCAGACGCTAAGCACCTATGCAGAGATTGGAGGTGGAGAACTGCTGCATACGGAACTCACGATATGACTAGGGGAGTATAATGCGCGTCGTCATAAAACGCCCGGCTAGCGATTGGCCCGGAGTGGACCCTCGGATTTGCAGTGCTATTGATCAATGATGCGGGTCATGAGTACATCGTCGAGTTCGGCGACGTTGGGAGAAGCAACTCATGTCTGGTTCCCAATCAGGCGAGAGAACCCTTGCTTTCGCCCCACCAGGAAGGAAGCGGCCCGCATCGATCGATTTCTCTTCCGCGAATCTGTTCCAAAACTTTCGCCCACCATCGAACTGTGTTTCGGTACAAGCCGATCGAATCTCGCCGGTCTATCCTGCAGACCCTGGTTTGTGCTTCACCAGCTGAACGGGCAACCCGTTTTGGTCGCTGCAGCTGCGTGCGCGATGCAACTCAGCACGACGACCATGTGCTGATCATTACCACGCTACACACGCTCATTCAGAAATCTGTGATATGGATAGGTGCTCTCTAATCGCCAACACTTTGCTAGCATCTGACTCGGTATGCCGATCGCTCGGTCGGACGACGCGTTCAGGAACTGCTATCGGTCAGACTGCCGTCCGCAAAGCGAGCGCCTGCCGCCCTAGCTCTTCTATCCGCCGTCTACCATTGAGCTCCCGGGGGTGGCTGCCCGCATGCATGGTCTCCACGGCAATTTCTACCTTGTTAATAGACCAGCTCTCTCCTTCTGCATCTAGGGCGTCTCCACACTTCATGGTGACAGTGTCTTCTCATTCGCTCCACGCAACAACATGCCGTGCACTCGCTGCCATCCAGAAATGATCGGTGAGTCAGGGGATCGCTCACGAGAGTGGAGCTTTCAGCTGGAAAGAGTATACTGTTCATTGATCAGTCTTGGCCGTGCATCGCTTCATGTCCCAATGCAGCTTCTGCTAGCGAATACCAGCGTACGAAGCTGCACTCCACTCCGCCAGCCACCCAATGAGGGTTGCTTCATTGCAGCTCTCAAATCTAGATATTCGCCGACCAGAGTACTGCGTCGTTCTTGCTGACGATCATCGTGGATCTAATCGAACGGGTCAGTGCGTTGCTCCTGCCATGGGAGGCACTGTTTGACTTGCTCCGTAGCTGTCCCTCATAGCTGCTCTTGACCCCGGCACTTTCCCTGGAAACCATTAACACTCCACCTACACGTTATTCTTCCTCCTGTTTTGTTACCTATTGTTTGCGCTCGCACGTGGTGACGCGTGCTATCTTTCACAATGCCCGGCCAATTACGATCATTGCTGGGCACTATCATGAAGAAGCCTACCAAAGCCAGCGATGGTCGGTCGGCTGAAGCTTCCAGCGGTATGAAGGCCGCTGAGAAGACAGCCATCAAGGATGACATCAAGAACCTTGGTTTTAAGAATGCCAAATTTGCCGTTGAGGCAATCACAACCTTGGCTTCTGGCGACCCTCTAGACGACAAGGACTGTTTGCTCGAACATGGCGTCGAGATGCTACAGGGACTGCCGCTGAATAGTGGGTTGAGCGAAAAGGTTTCGGACGGCTTCATATCCATGTTATGGCACGATCTTCCACACCCTCCGCCCACTATGACTGGGCCTACGGCACGGTATCGTCGACATGATGGCAGTGGAAACAACCCTTGGAACCCAGAGATGGGTAAGGCTGGTTTGCCTTACACGCGTAATGTGCCACCATCCAAACCGAAAGGTATGCGAGCTGTCTCTTCCAGAAACGAGATAGCTGACAATGCGCGAAGGGCCCAACCTACCCAATGTCGAGGACGTCTACGAAGCTTTGCTGAAACGTGACGGTCCGTTCCGCCCACATCCATCCGGGTTGAACCGTCTCTTCTTCTCGTTCGCGACAGTAGTCATTCACGAATGCTTCCAGACCTCCAGAGAGAACCCTTGGATAAATGAAACCTCCAGTTACGTCGATCTCAGCACATTATATGGAAACACGGACAAGGAGCAAAAGCGGGTCCGGACATACAAGAGTGGTTTGATCTGGCCAGACTCGATCGCATCAGAACGTATCATGATGATGCCGCCTGGCGTGGTTGCAGTGCTCCTGATGTTCTCGAGAAATCATAACCACGTCGCGGAATCACTGTACTCTGTCAACGAGGACGGCAAGTACAAACCTTGGGATCAGCTTAATGAGAAGGAAAAGGAGTGGTATGCACCCACATCCCACAAACGTCTACATCATGCTTACTCCAAGTAACAGGCAAGACGAGGATATTTTCCAGATTACGCGCAACATCAATGTTGGCTTCTTTGCATCTGTAGTTCTGAAAGACTATGTTGCCGCGATCTTGAACACCCCTCGAGCGAACTCTGAGTGGTCTCTCAATCTCGGAAAAGAGATCAAACAAGGTGGGACCCGCGTTGAACGAGGCACCGGTAGTGCGGTGTCCGTGGAGTTTGCCGTACTATATCATTGGCATGCTGCACTCAGCGCTGCCGACGACCAGTGGATGGAGGATATCGTGCGTTCCGTGCACCCCAACTTAGGCAGCATCGACGACGTGACTGTTGAAATGTTCCATGAGGTCATGAAGGTATATGGTCACAAGCTCTTTGCCCCAGGCATGGAAGCTAAGAACTGGACCTTCGGGAACCTGCAGAGAGGGCCGGATGGCCGTTTCAAAGACAGCGATCTGTCCGAGTTGATAAAGAGTTGCATTGAAGAGCCTGCACATGCATTTGGCGCGCACGGCACACCAGCAAGTCTCAAGGTTGTAGACTTGATGGGTCAGCTACAGGCCCGTGACATGTTCAACGTCTGTACGCTCAACGAGTTCCGCAGATACTTGAACCTGAAGCCGTACGAGACCTTTGAAGACTGGAACGCCGACAAGGAGACAGCACGCGCTGCGGAGCTGCTCTACGGTCACATTGAAAACATGGAGTTGTACCCTGGCTTGATGGCCGAATGCACCAAGCCTGCCATGCCAGGTAGCGGGGTGTGCCCAGGGCAGACCACCGGACGAGGTATCTTGGATGACGCTGTTGCTCTGGTGCGCGGCGATCGCTTCCTCAGTTATGACTTCAACGCCAACACATTGACGAACTGGGGAGCTGCTCTGTTGCAGCAAACGACTCCCGGTGCCTATGGTGGAGTTCTTCCGAGACTGCTCTTCCAAGGTCTCCCCGGTGGATTTACCGGTACTTCGACGTACGTGCTCTTGCCTTTCTACACCCCAGAGGCAGCAAAGGGTATCGTGCAAGGCAACAAAGTTCTGGAAAAGTACGATCTCAAGCGACCACCCAACGACTACGACATAGTCAGCGTTCAAACCCAAGAAGGCTGCAAGAAGGTTTTCGAAGATCGTGACAGCTTCGTAGTCATGTACCAGGCTGCAATCCGCAATTGTACCGCTGGGCATGACTTCATGATCGGCTGGGACGAGGCTAAGAAGCACGATGCTCGTTCGAACATACTCCACAAGATCTTCTTCGAGGAAGGCTTTGAGAAGAACATTACGGACTTCTTCAGCACGAACGTTCGCAAGCAGATCCTGAAGAACTCCGTCAAAGGTCCTAAGGGAAGGCGCTCTATTGACATTGTTCGGGATGTGACCAACATTGTGCCTATTCTCTGGCTTGCGGATCGCTTCGCGCTGCCGTTGAAGACGCAAGAGCAACCAAGAGGCTTACTGTCCCTCCACGAAGCTTTCACCGCATACCTTGTCCTCTTCATGTACCAGAGCTTCAACATTATGCCGGCCAACGAATGGAAGCTGAAGGAAGGCGCAATGAAAGCGGCTGCGCCGTTGCGACAGATCTTCGAGACTCATCTCAAGACGCAGACTGGCAGACTGGAGGGTTTCGTTGACTGGATGGCGAAGGGAAGCGCCTTTGAAGTCGGCCCCCATGCTGATCGCATCTATAAGGCACTCGCCAATACAAAGCTGCCAATTGGGGACCAGGTTGGTGATTGCATTGGTATGGGTGCGCCTGTTGCCGGCAACATTACACAACAAGCGTCTCTGTTGATCGACTTGTATCTCAGCCCCGGCTATGAGAAGTACAAGGAGCGTATCATCCAGCTTGCCCACATGGATCCTGCGGCGTCAGACCGCGAGCTGCAAGGCTTTGTGTATGAGGGCATGCGCCACGTAGGAGTCGTTCCCGGTTTGCCTCGCGTAGCGACGCGAGACATCACGGTCATGGACGGTGCTCACGGGCCTGTGACGATCAAGAAGGGCCACACAGTCTTGATCGCCACATCCAAGGCGGCCATGGACCCCGTCGCATTCCCCAATCCGGAGATTCTCAACCCGCATCGCTCGTTTAAGGAATACACACTTCTTGGGCACGGCCTCCACTTCTGCTTCGGTGCTCGATTGGTTGGTCCTTCACTCGCAACAACCCTGCGCGAGGTGTTCAAGCTGAAGAATGTGCGCCGCGCACCAGGAAAGCAGGGTCGTTTCGTCACAACAGAGCACAAGCTCGCTGGCATTACCATGAGGCACTACCTGGATGCCAGTTCAAACGAGAGCCCGATTCCGACTAGTCTCACACTGCACTATGACGATGAGACTGTAGTGAACGGAGTCAATGAAGTCAATGGACACTCGAATGGGCATGCGACCAACGGGTACTCTAACGGCTACGTGAACGGAGATGCGATAAACGGGCTCACCACGAACGGCATTGCGCAGTAGGAAAGCCACTTGTCGAACTATGGGATGGCCAAACCTGAGCCGAGTTATGTGACGCCTGTGAAGGCAGAGGCCAGGAGGGTGGAGGAAATGTCCTCACAGAACTGGCTAACCAAGTACATGTAGCAGGGAAGTTGTGATGTGTACGACGGAGTTGGTCCACTCGCTTTTCTTTTCAAATACCCTAGTAGTAAGAATGGAATCAATGATACAGTTGAAGAATGCTGTCGATGGCAATGTGCTGGCGTTGTGAATGGAGAGCACCTGCTGCACGACGAAGATGCACGAGCCTGCTCGCTTCGGCTTCGGCCCGTCTTTGTCATCCTCCCACCTCCCTGCAAGGCAGACATCAGTGACCGCTGCCGATTCATCCCTCCGTCAATCCTACCATGCATGAACAGATGTTTACATGAGGGTGACAGTTCTCGAGTGCGCAGATGCTATTGACCTGAATGGTAACGTGCCTGATACGGAGCCTGCGTTTGTTGAACCAAGCTAGGCAACCGCCCCTCTGAATGAGCGTTAGGGCAGTGCGTTTGCACTTTACGAGTCAATCAGCTCAAATGTTGTTCATCAAACACCATGCCCAATATTGGAAGACCATCGAAAGGATGTAAGCACTGCAGGGAGAGGAAGGTCAAGGTACGTTTGACGAATCAGAGCTTGAGACTCGTTAGATTGACGTTGATGTAGTGCGATCAGAAGCGACCTACCTGCTCACAATGTATTCGATCCGGCAAGGAGTGCTATGGGTATCGCGACGCCCTGTCGATGATGTTCAAAGACGAGACTGCTGTCGTCGCGAAAAAGGCGGAGAAGCGTTATGAAGCATTGGCCCTGCAGAACCCCCAAACCAGCTCGGGGTCTAGAGAAAGACAGCTTTCAGATGTAGGCGGTTCCAAGGGCTCCCCCATTATCTGGACGGATACAGATACTCATAGTCTGCGACCGTACTTTCCATCAGCATCAAGATACCCCACGCCCGAAAGCATGACCATGGAGATTACGTCATCAGTCGAAGACCAAGCCGTAGGGTTCTTCATCTCGAACCATGTGTCGCAACCAACTCTCATACCAAGGGGGCAGTACGAATGGGTAATCGAGGCATTGAATGAGCCTGGCTGCGAGGAGATTCTTCGATGTAGTGTCCATGCCGCAAGCTTAGCTGGACTTGCAAACTCAACAAAGAACTCAGTGATCATGGCGAAAGCTCATGCAGCTTATGGCTCCGCCCTACGCATGACGAACAACGCCCTACGTGTGAAAGAAACTGCGGTAAAAGACACCACACTGGTCTCAGTCATTATGCTGGGCATGTACGAGAACTTCGTGTTCCATGACAATCGGTCGATCCAAGCATGGGCGAAACACATGCAAGGGGCAAGCGCTATCCTGAATCTCCGAGGCAAGGAGCAATTCGAGTCAAATACCGCGAGGCGTATCTTCCATCAAGTTTATGGTCTGATGATGTTGGTCAGTCTAGAAGCCGGCCAAGCAGTTCCTGACGGCATGCGTGAGCTATACGACTACTGCAATCCATCATCGAACTACGCCATTCACGGTCGACAATGGACGACGAGACTCACGAATTTCATGCACGACGCCATTGACGTTAACCGAGACAAAGAAAGTGATCCAGTCACTTTGGTTACCAGAGCCATCAGCCTCGACCGCGAGCTCGACAGCATCAAAGCGCTTATCCCGAAGATCTGGCGATATGAGACCATTCACCTTAAGCAGCCATCTAAGTATGCTTATGGCACCTTCTATCACGTCTACACGGATTCATGGATTGCTCAAATGTGGAACAATCTTAGGTCCTGTCGAATGAGTCTGTATCGAGTTATCCGCGAACAGCTCTGGAAGGGGCGTGCATGTAATCCACCTCTATTCTCAAGAGAGGAAGTCGAGCCACAGGTAGCCGCTGCCGAGAAAATTATACGAACCACCATAGCAGCAGTGTGTGCATCTGTGCCACAGCTGACGGGCATGATCATCTTTCTACAATGGCCTGCGCCTACATCAGGTGGCCCTTTTGCAGGATCCTTTCCTGAAGTAGTTAATCCGGACCATGCTCGATATCAGATCCATCCACCTGGCACATTTCTCGACCCAGCTAGGCCTACTGGCATGCACCATCTTATCTGGCCATTGTATGCCGCCGGGTTGTCAGACTTGGCGAGCAACGAAATGCGACAATGGGTGATCCAGATGCTGTACTTCATTGCGCTGCGCATTGGTACGAGGCAGGCCGTTGTTCTGGCTGACAGCTTGAAAGAGATGCAGAAGTCAGCTCCGCTGCAGTCGAAAACCATAGAGCCGATTCTTGACTTTACATTTGGGACTTAAGGACAAGTTACAGGGGCGAGATAGCCTATGTTCCAGCCCTCGAAATATTTGCTGGTTGGTCGAAGAGTAACCCGGAGACCTTCCCGCTCCTCGCTCTACGGAGTTAAGGCAACAAACGTCACTCTCCGCTGAACATTGCCATACAATCCAGACAAAATTGTCGGAGCAACTTCTAAGAACTTGATAACGATCTGGACCAGATACCGCTCGCCATGACTTCAAACACACCTTCTGGGCCATCTCACAACACCTCAACACACTCGTTCCCGGTCACTGTTTCACACCCATCATGTCGCCAAACACACCGAAAGAGATGCTTGCGGCGCAAGTCACCGAATTCAACAAACTCCACAAGGTCCCTGTCCCCTCATAACTAGGGCCTCACGACCTGCTCATCAAAGTCGCTGTCGCGTACCTCTGTCACACCGACTTCATGGTCTCGAGGGCATCATGGGAACCGAACTCCCCCGGCTCACACGAAGGATCCTGCACCGTCGTGGCAATCGGCTCAGATGTTAGGGGCTTTAAGGAGGGCGACAGAGTCATGGCAGGCATCATCTACCACCCCTACGGCATGTGTCCCGATTGTCTCGACCCGGAGAATTATAGTCAGTATTGTCCCTGGATTGAGGAGTATGTCGGTGTTACATGTTTTGCGGAGTATGCAAGGATTGATTCGAGGACTGCTGCTGTGCTCCGGATAAGGTGTCTTTCGAGATGGCATCACCTTTGGCTTGCGCAAGGATTACAATTTACCGCAGAGTTATCTTTCAGGTGTATAGAAGGGGGAGTGGTTGGCTATGTGTTGATCAATTAATCTATATTGCATTGAGATGAAAGTTCTATCGTCCTAACTATGCCGGAGGTGCTGCTTATATGGGCAGCACCTGCCTTTGTCCCTTTGGTTCACTTGTAAGACTGAGATTTGACTATGTAGTCGCTTGTCTCAAATAACACTATGACGAAGAGTGGGGGCGGGCTGGGCCATCTTGGCGTTCAATGTGCGGAAGCATTGGCGGTTGAACGTCGTCGGTATCGATGCACGAGACGAGGGCCTCGAGTTGACAAAGAAGGGTGGTGCGGACGTAGTCATCGACGCGCGGAAGGGGCCACGAGGAAGTGGTTAAGCAGGTCCACGCCGTTCGGCGACGCGAAGAATGCAATGAGGACTGGCATGTGCAATTACAAAGACGCACGGCGCCCGTCATTCAGACCGCGCAGGTACGTCTCTCTCCTTCCCTTTTCACTACCATGCTAACAACGTTCGCCAGCCCCACACTGTCATCGTGCCCTTCCAGGAACTCATCTTGCGCGATCTCCGCATCCGAGGCTCTCTCGTCTCCTCACTCGAAGAAGTGCGTCAGATTCTGCAAGTTGTAGCCGAGCACGGCGTCACGATGAATGCAAATCCGTTCAATGGTCTTGGGGAGATTCAGAAATTGGTACATCTTGCTGAGAGCGGCGAGAGGAAGGGCAAGGGCACGGTTATCGGTTATCATAGACCCCGAGCAGGTCAAGAAGGAGAAGGAGAATGCTGGGGGTGCAAGCTCGCGTATGTTGAGGGGTTGTGGGGACCTGCAGCTGTTAGGGAGGGGCTAGCGAGGCGTAGAGCGGCTGGGTGTGAAGCCGATTGGAAACAACTCCTATGGGTAAACAGCGATCTGTATAGCTCTTGATGAAAATGCAGCGTCAATTTCGGACTGGAGTGCCCACACTATATTTCTTTTGAGCGTCGTGAGTCGAAGAGAATTGATTGTAGGGTATATACAAAAGTCTAGTCTGAATTCATATTAAGCGACTTCACCCTCACCCTCACCCTCACCCTCAGCATCACCCTCCTTGTCCTGCCGTAATGTACTTGTAGGCACTTCGCTCTGCAGCCCCTCGTCTGACCCAGGCTTCCTGAATACAGCCTGCATCCAGCACCTATACATCTTCAGCCTGCGCTGGCGGTTCACCAGCATGCGCCTATCGACGCCGAAGTGCGCTATGTCGAACGCCGGCCGTGGGTCTCGTGCCTTCGTATCTTGCACCGCCAGGCTCTGCGTCTTCTCGGCCAGCTCTGCATCTCCATCTTGCGCCTTCTCAGATTCCGCCTCGCCGTTCCTCCCCGCGCTCTTCCTGCCACCCCAGATCTCCTCCAACTCGTCTTGCTCAAAGAAATACACTCTCGTCCCATCCCCCCTCACGTAGAAATTCTCCTCCATCCACCGCCCCTTCTTGAACCGCACCTGCGCCAGATCACCCCGCCCGTAGTCCCGGAATAACACCTGCCCGCCGGGCTTCAGCACGCGCCAGATATTCCGCACCGCCTGGTCCCACTGCCGCGGGTTCAGCGCCGAGAAAATAAAGATCATGAGCACCACGTCCACACTGCCCTCGCCGAGCCCTGGGGGCAGCCCGCCGTTCTCGCTGTCCGGGGAGGCCGCGACGTCCCAGACATCGGCCTGGATTTTGGTCTCGTCATAGAGCTCGTGGCCGCGGATGAGCTCAACGGCTTTCTTGCTGAAGTCGCAGGCGTGGATCTTGAGGTTCGGGTTCTGGGAGTTCTGGAGGATGGGAAATGCAGAGTTTCCTGCGCCGGCGCCGACTTCTAGCACCGTCGCGGCTGGTGCGTCGGGCCTGCCTATCTCGCTCAGGATCGGAAATTCCTGCGCGAGCCATTTCCTGTTCTTGAAGAAGTTTGTCTTGTTGTTCTTGTAGAATGTGTTCCACCATTTCTCGGGGTTGTCGTTGAAGCGCTTCCTGTCAAAGTCCGAAACCGGGTCCGCGCGCTGTTTCGAGAACTGGTCTTCAGAAAAGGCCTTGTAGGTGTCGTCGACGGAGACGTTGTCCCACGCGTTGAACTCGAAGATGTTGTCACCTTCTTCCAGGATGCGCGAGCCGAAGGAGAAGGGGTCGCTGCGTTTCTGGTTGTTGGAGGGGTCGTGGGAGCGCGAGGCGGGGTTACGGAGGGGTTGGATGGCGGCTGGGACGCCGTATGCGTCGTTCTCCGTCGTGCTTTCTGTAGGTGGTGTGGATCCGGTCGGGGTGGAGGTGACGGGGTCGACGGTTACGGCGAAGCGCATGTGCTCCATTGCTTTGGAGAGCTGCTGCTTGGGGTGCTGTTTAGTGGAGACGCTGTTGTCTGTTTGGAAGCGCTCGTCCGCCATCTCTTCTGGATTGGAAGCCATTTCGACGTGTTGTGGCACTCTGCGCGGGGATGGTGGGGTGGAGAATATTCACGGAGTAAAAAGTTTATCGATAAGGCCTCACGCTAGCAGCTGGCTGAGGACGGGCCCTGACATACAGGGTCCATGCGCCGTCGATGACGATTCCCATCATCTTGCTCCCTACACAAAGCCCATGATGCTTCAGTAACACGCCCCCAATCGCTCCAAACCTCACCACAATGGCCACCCTGGAACCCCTCCTCCGCCCCGCTCTCCGCCCCGCTCTCCGCCCCGTCCTCCGCCCCGCCCTCCGCCTACCGCGCCCTACAAACACACGGCACTTCCTCCCGAACATCTTCTCCTCCGGCGCCTCATCCCCCGAAATCCAAACCCTCCGCGCCTCCCGCACGCTCCCCTACCCCAGCGCGCCAATCTACTCCATAATCGCCGACGTGCCCTCCTACTCCTCTTTCCTGCCCTACTGCACGCGCAGCACAATAACGCACTGGTCGTCACCAGACTCCGTGACCGGGCGGCGCTGGCCCAGCATCGGCATCCTGACCTCTGGCTTCGGGAACTTGACCGAGAGTTTCACGTCGCGGGTATACTGCGTTCCGGGAAGATTCGTAGAGAGCGTTGGCGGGGACACTGTCACCGCCTTACCACGCGACCAGATTAAGCACCATCTCGACGGCGCGGCGAGTCAAGCGATAAAAAAAGAGGGGAGCGAGGGGCTCTTGACGCATTTGCGGAATACGTGGACGGTTGAGGAGGTTGGGGAGAAGGAGACAAGGATTGAATTGAAGCTGGAATTTGCGTTTGCGAATCCAATTTATGCGGCGCTGAGTGCGGGGGCCGCGCCCAAGGTTGCGGAGGCGATGGTGAAGGCCTTTGAGGAGAGGGTTGGGGGGTTGTTGAGGGAGAATCCGGAGATGGTTGGTGCGAAGTTGGAGGATTTTGACGGGAGTCGGCTGAAGAGGTAGAGGCTGGAAGGAGGAGTGATCCGGAGCATGTATGATTTTCTGTATATGTAAGATACTGTTGCATTTGCATGGTTATGGCATTGTAGATCGGATAGAACCACAGAGGTCCGTAATAATGCGACTTATGGCAATAGCAATAGCACGGCACGTCACGGAAGTCTTGCGAATTTGTAGATCATTACCTCGTCATTATGGATGCTGCTAATGCTACACAAGACCAACCCCAGGGTATCATGCACTCCCGGCCGTCCGACTCACATCTACCTCACGGCAAGATCTTCGCATCGTCCTCATGCCGGGCACGATACGGCGCCAACGCAATCGGCACATCACCAGAGTACCCAACCTCTCCCTGCGCCTTCTCCAACTTCCTCGTAACCTTGCCAACCAGTCTCGCAATCCAGCGATCGTTAGCCATAGCTGATACCGTACTGACACCAGCTTTGCGCATGCCTGCTGCAGTCTTTTGAGACGCATCTTTAAACCCAGTGTCCACTTTGCGCAAGAAAGCCTTGAAGCTCTTGTCCTCGCTGACTGTAGCGTCCGAGGCGACGCTGTTCATGCTGGTCACGGACTCGCTGTCAGAAGCGTTAGTGCTGACACGCTTGAGCTCGCGCAGGACCTTTGCGTCTTCGAAGTCCTTGTCGCTTTCGATGACTTTGGTTGCTTTGACGATTGCTGCGATGAAGTTAAGCATCTCTTGGCTGATGACCATTGGGAGGTGGGCGTGTGCGCTGATGTGCATGTTCGCTTCGTCTTTCTTCATTTGTTTGAGCGTCTTCTGTGCTTGCATCACCTTTGCTGTGTTCTCTGCTTCTTGAATCGCGGTTTCGAGCTCCATCTTCTTGAGATCGGTTGGCATCTCGGGAAAGATGTGTTCGTGGTGCGGGAACAGAAAGATGGGAACGTTGAGGATGGCGTCCAGGCCTCCGAGCTCAACGACCCGCTTTAGATCCACAGCATCTGGTAGCGAACGGTATGCCATGACGTCGGCCATATCGAATTGGCACTTGATATCATAGTTTGTGTTGATTGGGAACGAAGCGCTACTTACGATCTTGGTCAGCTCAACACAGAAGTTTGCTTCTGCGAAGAAAGATGAGATACGGGCTTCTAGCCTGCGGATCTCGCCGTCCTGCGAAGAGTAGTGCTTGAACAGATACTTTTGCATCAGTGCTACAAACCACTTGCCGGAACCCGCAGCTGACACTGAATTGAACTTGACAGTATGGAAGTAGCAAATGGGAAATAGCATGACTCGGTACAGAAACGGGAAGCGATGCAGCCACCTCTTGACGTTCGGATACGATGTCTTGCTAAGTGTTGAGACCCTGATGGATTTGGAAGGGGGGTGTGGGATCGAAGGGCCGTTATGGATCTGCGCGCAAATAGCTGCTCGGAGATCGTCGATTTTATCGGGATCCAGGGTGTTCTCCTCTCTGCGTGACTTCTCGATCAATTGCTTCTTCGCTATTTGGATCGAGCTTGTGTCTTCGATGTGGCTGATGTATTGTCGATACTTGGTGTTCGCTTTCTCTTCGTCTGGAGACAACCTCTTGACAGAAGAGAAGGCTGATTTGGTGTCTTCAGAGTCCGTGGGTGGAGCATCTGCGGTCATGGTGCTAACCATCTCCGCAGGGCGCGCCGCAGCAGCAGCTTTTAGGAGGGCAGTGTCGGCGACAATCATTGAGTCATCGCTATCCTCCTCTTCAGGCTTTCCGTAAGGAACATCTCCAAACATCACCTCCCACTCTCCCCCCTTGATGTTGGCATACACATCATCCACATGGATCTCTCTGAAGAGAGGTACAGTCACCTTGTCGACCTGGATACCGAGTTCAATCTCATCCGAGAGCTTGATGCCAACCTCAATGCCATGTGCGACCAGCGTCATAGTCGAGAGTGACAGCGTGACACCACGGATGACGAATAGGCCCTTAACTTCTGTGTCAATCTCCAAAGCTGGAAGGTCGAAGAATGCGATCTGGTCGTTGATGAAGTGCAAGTCTCGAAGGAATGTTTTGCGTGAGAGGCGTCTTGCAAGACCTGCAGGAGCATCGAACATGAACAGGCAGGCTATGGTAAAGGTAGGCCAGCATGCAGCCCAGAAGACCCAAAAGAGCAGCCATGATGTCGAGCACACTGCGTACATGAAATTGACTGTGGCGAAGATAGTCCATATAGGAACGAAGGGTAAGACACGGTTGCCTTTGGCTTCACCCAGAAGAAGGGCGTAGATTAATTGAGGAGCGCCCGATAATATCCAACGGAAAGGCCATCTGAATACTAGGGCGACAACTGCTGTGACCGCCAGGAAGGTGAGATGCAGGCTACCAGAAACACCAGCCTTTCGCTTGACGGCAGGTTGTTTAGGAACAGGTCTTCGTTTTGGTACATCTGTCGACCTCGATGACATGATGGCAGTGGTTAGATAGGGGCTGCAGGTGGATAGCGGGGATGACTGGAAGGTGCAGGGATATTCAGGCGTTCATTGTGGACGTTGGAGGGGTTGCGCAGGTACAGAATGCGAAATGCAGTGGCCCGCGGTAAGGTGTTATTTGTGGTCATTCACTTGTTTTGATGTGACGTCACGGCTCGTCAGTTTTAGCCGCGATTCTAAACAGATTCTAGACACGGATCTGATTCATTCTCAAACATGGAACAGGAAGGAGGTACACCAGATTGTTGACAGGCTCAGTAAGGTTGAATATCCTGTTCTATGTCGAGAGGTTGTTGATCGCCTCTGTTGTTTCCCCGGGTTTCCCCAGCTGAGGTGACGTAACGCAACGACCTGATTCGTCAACACCTCACGTGGATGGACCGGCATTCTTACAATGAATGCTTGGTAAGGACCATATCTTTCAATGGTCATCAGAGTGACTCAAGGCATCCCCAAACGCTCCACAGAACGGGCTGTATATCAAAGGTGCGTCTCAATTCGCTACAACCAAACATCACTGATCACAAACAGGGAGCAAGAGTTCAGTATAAAATTACCCATGGTTACGATAGTATGGTCGCCGACGACACCTCTATGAACGCCGCCCTAATGGTCTTCGAGAAAGCAATGGAAGAACCGAGAGCAAGTGTAGCAATCGACGAAAGCCTTCGTAATCTCGTCAGATTTCACCACTGCTTTGCACTACTGAAATTCAGTGCTTAAGCAGCGTGAGGGTCCGGTCTAGAAAATCGACAAGACGGGTTTCGCTCAAAACAAAAGGCCAGGAGAGACCGAAGTCTTAGAAAAGACTTGAACGCCGTATTCGAATGGTCGAGATCGCAATAGCGACTCACCTGTTCAGTTGATTTCGGTGGAAAAAGCACCGTTTGTCCATTCCGTCCGTGCCCATGTAGCCAGGTTTGGTTCCAGTTTGATACAGCGGTCTCGATCCGTTTGTGCCATAGTCGCATTATAGCTGATAACGCGCAGTTGTGAGTTGCTTCCATTCTCTGAATGCGCAGTACGTCAAATTACTGTCTTCCTCCGTTCTGTCTCTCATGTTGTTCGACAACCTCTCGTGCGTAAAATTCGACCAGCATAGTTCCGTAGGCCTCCATCTCTTCAAGAGGCACCGCCAAGCGGAAGTCATTGAGCAACAAAAATTGCAGCTCCAAATGATTAAGCTCCACCAATGGGAGACCACCAACCTGTACATGTTAGCTATGGGTAAGAAACTGTGTGTAACACCAACATACCTTTGCGTATCTAGAATTGGTATAGAACACGTCAGAGAAGAACTTGCTTGCGCAAGTGACACCCGCAATGACGAGTCGGTGGATGTTGAAGCTGTCGACTACAAAAAAGTGAGAGAGATTATATCCGTCAGAGTCCAAGTCTTGCTGGGGCGGTGACGGGGGTTGAGCGCCTTGGGCTGAGGGCTCTTGTGGCCTGCCCAAAGATCCGGATGGTGGTGGTGTTGCGGCTTGAGCAGCAACTGAGGAGGTCTGGACGGCAGTATTATCTGCTGTGACTGTCGTTGCAGCTGCTTCTGAGCGTTCCAATGATTTTTGGTTGGCTTGACGAAGGCTAAGCATAGGTCCAGCATTCACCCTCTCCGTCATTCTGTCAAAGTATACAAGAAGGCTGAGAAACACCTCGTAGGTAGTCGGACAGTACTTGTGTATGCGGCTGAGATAGCTAAGGATCGATATGCTGGGTACGTTCTTCCCATGGAAAGCCAATACACTGGTTGTCTGCTGGCTCAGCCCGGATGCTCCGTCAACAGGCGGTATCTGGCGATGCAAATGGTCGTGCTGTCGGTCGTTCGTTGTGGTAATCTTGGTCAGCAACCCGGCGACCATCTCGATGATATCTGAGACAGGCATTTCGCTGATTTCATATTGTGGCCCGACGTCTGCAGGGTCTCGCCGTTGACGCCTCGACAATGAGCGCGTCTGAGAGAACGGGCTGGACTCATCGACAGCGAAACTCTGTATATGGGCCAAGCTGGTGACCTTGATCTTTCGCGGCGATGCTGCATTCGACTCGACAGGTGAGCGCAGCGGCTGTGCTGGTGAGCCCTGGGCAGGAGTCGACCCTGATGAATGTATGGTTCGAGGTTGTGTGGCAGAGGGCGTAGGTTGCTGCGATTGTTGGTGGAATCGTGGGCTCGAAGGAGATGCCGGCTGCTGGGTGGCAGTGTTTGGGCTGGCTTCTGAGGTATCGTGCTGCTGCGATCGCTGAGCTGGTGTTGAGCTGGATGGTGGGGCTCCCGCATCGGCCATTGGAACGTCAGCCACGACTCGAGGCGGCGCGTTCACTGACGACGAGGGCCGTCCAGAGTGTGTAGAGGGTGAGTCTTGTGCCTGCTGATGTCCACTGCTACCACCAAATATAGGGTTGTGAAAGTGGTTCCCACCGAAGTCGCTCACTACTATCGATCCCATGCCGCGGGTCGCAGGCCGGTTGAGTTCTACAGGGGTGACTGAGTCTGAAGACTGCAGAGGAAGGCGCGATGCCAGCACCGTCTTGTTTCGAAAGGAGCGTGTGTTGAGGACGCGCCAGGTGAGGAGGCAGTGCTGCGTTGATTTCGGCCGGCGCGAACAAGCTCTTATCGTCGCAGAGCCAGCCGGCGCAGACGGTGAAGCGCAACAATTCAAGGGCAATCGAGGATTGACATGCCCAGCTCTTTCTTGCCGTGGCCAAAATGAATTGGACGGCAACGCGTCTGTAGCAAGGTGAGGGGGAGAAAAGTGGGCTCTAGGTTCAGTTGTGGTGTTGAGGGTTAGATGTTGTTTCGGTCAGTAGCGCACAGACTAGGTTCGTCATATGGCGGCACCCTGTGCATCTGCTGCCTGCCCAAAAAGCACTACGCAAAGACCCGGGACGATACGAGAGCCGGAGGCGCGTTGGCCAAGCTTCATCAAGATTTCCAAGGTCTACTGTCGATTTGACCGGGCTACACTCAATGCCTTCGAAATCGTTCTTTGAAACTGCTAGATACCCCACGTGAACGTTTAGTTGGATGAGAGTCGCACAAAAAGCCGAGCTTTGATTGGGTTGACACAGGTCCACATCGCAGCCTCAACTGCAACATCTACCTACTTTGTAGGGGAAGGGAACTGATGCCAAATGCTGCTCAGACAACTGAACACTTTGTCCGTATGAGAGTGCCGCTTTCACCCATCAATTGAACCCGTATCATTGACCGTCACTGGTTTTTGTACAAGGCTTCATTTCATCGTAATGGTCATGCCTCGCTCAGAGCTGCAGATCTATGTCTTTTGTCTTGAACGCATCTTCACCCTCTAGCACCGACGGACTACTGCCTGCCTGGGCCTTCGTAGTTCTGGTCTGGCAGGTACAGATGTCGCTGTGCACCAGTGGCTGTGAGCACTACCATACGAATCACACCACCAGAGCTGCCGTCCCACTTGATGGCTTCAGAGAGCGCACCCTTGACAAATTTGATGCCCTCCTCCTCTGTCATCTGCTCCCTCCAGTTTGCGTCACAGTATCCGTAGATGTATGTGGACCCCGAACCGCCGATCGCGTACGCTTGCTTGTGCAGAGAACCTCCGAGTGGGATGGAGTACACCTGGCCGCCGTGCTTCTGGTCCCATCCAGCGATGATCAAGCCAGCCCTAACTAATCATCAGTTGTATTCGACACAAAGTTCCCGCACCACTCACGAGAGAGAGTCCTTGTTCGAGTAGCAGAGCTCCTGGAAGATGGCTGCTGCGGTCTGGGTTGTTGGTGGTTCGTCGTTGGTGATACCGTACATGCCGAGATGGTAGTGTACAATGTCAGCGACAGCCTGTGTGTCCGCTGCCGAGCCGGATCTACAACACCAGATGGTGTCGTGAACTTGTGTGAGCTTGTCGGTGACTCGATTCGCGATATAGGCGCCGGTCGTCGTTCTGCTGTCTGCCGCTAATATCACACCGTCCTTGAAGTTGATCGCCATACTGTTGAGCTGTCAGAGCAGGTAGGATGGCGGGGGCGGGATCGACGAACATAGAGGTACCCAGGCTGCGGTGGTTCGTTAGCATCACTCTTCTAAGCTTGGTGTGATGAACCTTACTTGACTTCACCCTTCTTCAGGTGGTTCATGTCGACGTGAATGCCATCTGCGCAGAGTATGTGAGTATCAAGCTTGTGTGATGGGGCAAAGCTAGTTACCCTCTCCTAGCATCCCAGTGGACATCATCATTGCGGCTTCAGCTGTTTGTGGGTGAGAAAAGGCTGTTGCAAGAAGACGGAGTTTTGCGACTGTGGTGTGGGCGATGAGCGAGCTGTAAGGTTGTCGGCGTGGAGTTGATGATGGTAAACGCGCAACAGCTACAGCCTGCGGCTTGGCATCCTCATCGCGCTTGCGAAGTGGGGCTTACAGGCCCGCCGTACCGTGTAGACGACACCATCACCTAACAGTCCATCAAGGACCGCTCGAATCAACATCAGTGAACGATAGGTATTTATCGACTACTAGAGCAGCCCATGAGAAAGTGAAAACAGAGCACCTCTCGTACTGGCTTTCGCCCACGAGCTACCAGTGAGGCGGCGACTACTTTTACGGTATATCCCACCAGCAGATCCTCCAAGTCATATCAGTCAACATGGGTACCGCTCTAGACACGTTTGTGTCGTACTTACGGATACCTCTCCTGGCCTCCTCCGGTATTGCAGCGCTTTGTAGTGGTCTTCTATACTTCAAACAGAAGTATGTCTCACTCGATGACAACAGTAGCTCTCCACTAACGTACCAGTGAGCTCATCTACCCCAGAGCGTTTCCACCTGATGCTCGGACCAACGTTCCACGACCTCCCCAATTTGGTCTCACCGACTACGAAGAGTTGTTCATTCCCACACCAGACGGCGAATCCCTCAGCGCTTTCTATATTCGACCAAACAAGCAACATGCCCGTAACGTGACCGTTCTCATGTTTCACGGCAATGCTGGTAACATCGGCTATCGACTTCCAATTGCTAAGATACTTACGAACGAACTTCGTTGCAATGTACTCATGCTTCAGTATCGTGGTTATGGCTTATCGTCTGGCGATCCCAACGAAAAGGGGCTCATGATCGATGCTCAGACAGGCCTGGATTACATTCGTAATCGGTCAGAACTCCGAGGCATGCGGATAGTCATCTATGGACAGAGCATTGGAGGTGCAGTAGCTATTGGACTAGCTTCTCGCAACCAAAAACAGGGCGACATTGCTGGTGTTGTTCTGGAAAATACGTTTACCTCGATCAGAAAGCTCATACCATCGTGAGTCGTCAATGATTCTCGAGCGAAAGCTTGACATCTTAACACTGCGCAGTGCATTCCCTCCCGCTCGATTCCTCGCACCGCTTTGTCACCAGATATGGCCCAGCGAAGAGACACTGCCAACGGTTACTACAATACCGTTCCTATTCTTGAGCGGTTTGAAAGATGAGATTGTCCCGTAAGCCCTCTGCTTGTACACAACATGTACGTACGACTGTGAACCTGATCGCTGATCTACTGCAACAGAGCCTCCCATATGGCCCGCCTGTACAAGGTCTGCAAAGCTCCAAAGGTATGGCGAGAGCTCCCTAATGGGACCCACAACGATACAGTTGCAGAGCCAGGGTACTTCCAGTACATCGATGACTTCTTGGGGAAATTCATTACAGCATAAAATCTATCGCATAGTGCCATGCATTCAGTTAGTGGAGTCGGCCCTTTGTAGATCAACAGCAAGGCGACATCTGCATGTCTCGACATAGCCAATACATGACAGACTGGAGTCATTCAGACCCATCCGAAGGCGAACTGGCGCGTGCAACGGTCGCATTGTGGTATGATAACGCTCACCGACCCATCATTGTGTCGTAAGGCTCATTTGCAGTCGTAATCGTGCGGGAGTTGCGATGAGGACTGTTCATGCGGGACGCGCTCTGAAGTGCACGTCTTCATAGCCACAGTTTCAAGATAGTAATGATAGACATCGCGTGACCCAGACATTCCAAAAGCTTCCAGCCGTAAGCTCCACGCATCAGACGACCGAGGTGCGGAGGCACACGCAAGACAGACAGGCACAGGGTTCGTTCGAAACTTTCAGTCGATCAACGTCAACAAATACTCGAACGTTGCAGAGTTTGGCAGTCGTTCGCGCCGGTTCGTTTCTAAAGTTGGTACGCTCAGGGTCCAAGTCCAGACTCTGAACACAATGTGGAGTAGCAATTGTACGATCGCCAGGAACCGGCAATGCTCATTCGCTTCTTGTACGCCATTCTGTCCAAGAGGGTATGGGTATCGGCCTCGAAGCCCCGTCATAGTAAAGATCTCCATCATAGCCACACTCGCTTCGTACCTTCGCCACATATATGATCTGATCCCGCCCGCATTTATTTTCAAGTGCTGACGCAAAGCTCACGAGACTGCACAGTGCAGGTATGGGTTCTGACGCCGCCCAGCGGCTTTGCAGCGAATTTACGGTCGGTAACAATGACGAAAAGCACAGTTGTTCGGACTAAAAACCGGCATGCTTTCACTATTTCCGGCGGTTCAGAAGCGTTGCGCTTGCACGGTAGGTTCGAAACGAACTCTGAAAGCAAGGTCCACAAGTGTCGTTGAATACCCTGCGAATTAGCTTAGCGCCACAATTACGTCAACGTCAAAGCTCGTTTTCCCATGTCACAATTGATAGAGAAACTTCAATTTCCGCATCAGCGATATGGAAATTGGGGCATGCGATTTGGCATGCCTTACGTCACCACATTGCAACGAAGGGTCCTGTGAGACGCTGCGATTCGAGCTACCAGTACGCGGTACTGGAGTGTCAACCGTCCCAAGCACTCCGTAAGGCCCATAGGCCAAAGGTTCTGCTGCTACCCTCCCTTGTCACTGATCTCCAGACTGCAGGTTCGCGGCTGTGCTCAGCGCTACTGTCGATCCCGACTGGCATGGGGGCCTCTGCGACGCGGTGTCACCGAGGGTGGCAAAGAGCTACATTGCACATCCATTGGTTCCATTGCATTTCTCGAGAACAACGGCTGCAACCGCTGCGAGTGAGTCGTGGACTGGCGCCGGACGTCTTTCTTACAACGTTCGAGCGACTTTCGTTCTCCGTCAGTCTGGCGCGCCGTTTTCTGCCAGCCTGCTTTGCAGACCCGCCGCAGGGCCCCTATCGTGCTGCAGGAGAGCCGAGCTCACCCACGGCCAAGCTCAGCACCAGACTGTCTCTTCTCCTGGGTGCCTCTATCTGGTAAGTCACCCTCTGGCACTTCGATCATGTCAGTTTGATCTGGCACAGCCACGCGGCACCGACGGCTGCTCCCCTGTCCGTCGAGTCCGAACGTTTCCTGGCATTCATCGCCTTTCCCATTGGCTCACAATCCCTGTCGCGTTTAGACTCGTTCGGGCGGGTACTTGCCCATGCATTACTTCATGGATATCTGCCTAACCCAAAGAATAAGGCCGAAGCTTTGCTGCGAATTTGGGAAGCACGTCTGCTCTCCCTTGTCGCTCAAGTTCCTCACAGTCGGCACTTGCTGAATTTCAGGGTTGGCTCTGCCGTCACTTGCTTTGTCTTTGGGGTCATACCTCCGGTAGTTTTAGCTCTCCCGTCTGCCAAAATGCCAGGGTAAGAAGGGTCCGCTAAGCTTCACCACGGGTCATCCACAGCGAACGCCACTGGCCCATTGGCAATCTAGAAACGGATTCACTCGCCACATTCTAGCATATCTTCCTACACAATACCTGCTCTACCTTGTAATCATTTCGTGGCACCCAATTGCCTATCTTTTACAGGATCTAGTCGATCATCTCGCCTCCAGAGTATCGGTTCCTATCCCATCGTCGCACAGCCATTCCAGAAGCCACAATCTGCAGCCTTGCACCCAATCAAATTACACACCTTTACTGGGCTTGCAGGTAATTGAGGCAAGAGGACCTGCAAACCCTCGCGCGGCATCCCCGTTATTTCTGGATCAAGCCAGTGAGCACCTCTCCGACAACCCCTCGCTTATCCAGCTCCTAATTACCAGCCTCCACGGACTCATCAGGCTCCTTCTTCCGGCCATTGCCGTTATACTAACGTCCTTGTAAGGCTTCAAAGGCCTCGGCTCTGCTATATGAGTGGCCGTGCAATTTTGATCATCATCTCGTTCCGCTCCAAGCGAGCACTTTCTTGAGTGGGTCCTCAACCGCAGCCGTTAGTCGTCCACTGTTCGGTCTTATTAACTCCAAGCTTCTTTTTTTACACCTGATCTTCCTTTACTTCGTACCCTCATTGGTATACTCGAGTATCCGGCATCGCGAAGCCTCAATCTCTCGGTTACCAACTCATCCGGCTTGCCACATCTGTCTAGGGCTTTCTGATATAGATTCAGGTACGTATTGTATTGCGGCGCCATTTCGGTTGACATTTGTTTTGTCACGTCTGAACTGTCGTTCACTAGTCACTCGTTTTACACGTGGAGCATGGGCTGACATGTCTTTCGTTTGGGTCCAGCAGTGGTTTGCGCTTCCGATTGTCGTCGAAGGACAGATGGGTGATTTACCGCCCGATTCACGATCCCGTACCATGGACTTCACCGCAGCTGGTCTTGCGCGTGATGACCAGCATGTGCCCCTACTATCTTCATCGCCTTACAAGGCGCAGGACAATAACACCCCATTTTACTCCCAGCTGAGCTCCATTCCCCAGGGACAGCACCGACCTGACCATCCTTCATCCGCACAAGCAACACCATATTATTCGTCGCAACAACATGAAGCTTCCGCATTCAAGATGGGCGCAATGGCTGGCGCATTGCCCGACTACGGCTCCGACACGCATCACCAGTCTTCGCAGTCCGTTCCCCGTTCGCTGTCCGGCGCGTCGACATCTGCTCTCGTCTATCAGCTCGGACAGAACTTGCAAATACCTACGTACGCTTCCGGCAATATGCCTGTACACCCTTCCTATAACTCAGGCTATGCAACGAGTCCTTACCAACAAGGCTACATGCCATCGCAAAGTACACAAAGTGGGGTCTACCCTACGTACAATCCAAATCAGTCACGGATCCAGGGCGTCGCTCCGATGCAGAACCCTTACCAGCAATACCCGCAATCCTCTCAGTATATGTATTATCCGGCCCCTTATGGAGCTCAAGGGCAGTACCCTGCAGGATATGCAGCGCAAGGCGTACAGAGTCAGACAATGTTTGGAAGGAGACCCAGTTTGGTGACAGCCCCAACCGGCGTCCCTAGTCAGAACGTGGAACTGTCACCTCATGAGGGCAGCTACACGGGCGCGCGAATGGTGCATGGTGACCCGCCTGCTGCATTCGGCGCACCATTCTATCAAGGACCGGGTAGGTACCTTTAGATCCCGTCCTTTGCAGTGCAACTAACCTTCTCAGGAATGCCTCGCCCTGCTTCTGTTAGCTCAATTCCTCGTGGACCTCCTCGAAAACCGAAGCAGTCAGGTCACGCTCTTTGGGTGGGAAATCTTCCACCGGGTACGACAGTGGTGTCACTGAAAGACCACTTCTCTCGCGAGGCTACCAAGGACATAGAGAGCCTTTTCTTGATTTCTAAAAGCAACTGCGCTTTCGTCAACTACCGAACCGAAGCCTCATGCACTGCTGCCATGCACAGATTTCACGACTCGCGATTCAACGGAGTGCGCCTTGTCTGTCGACTGCGCCGTAGCTCAGCACCAGCATCGGGGGTACCTACCGGCCCCTCGGCTATGGTAGGCACACAGCAGGTCAGCGCGTCCCCGCATATGTCTCCCAAGCAAGATGGCGAAGCCGTGGATGGCTTGCAAGATGGAGTTTCAGAGTTACCGGCACATCAGAGCGGCGATGAGACTCCTGCCAAATCCACAGCCGCTAACAAATACTTCATTGTTAAGAGTCTTACCCTGCAAGACCTTGAACTCAGTATACGAAACGGCATCTGGGCCACCCAGTCTCACAACGAAGACGTATTGAACAAGGCCTACCAGGTAAGTCCAACCTTGCATATTATTACTTGTGGATCCAGACTAACATTACACAGTCGGCAGAGAATGTCTATCTGATCTTCTCGGCCAACAAGTCCGGGGAGTATTTTGGCTATGCTCGCATGACATCACCCATCCTAGAAGACGGTTCAGAGCTCATAGGATCGGCACCGAAAGCTGAGAACATAATGGACGCACCAGACGTACCAAAGTCGATCCCTACACCGGCAACGGAATGGGCACCAAGGGGAAGAATCATTGACGACTCAGCCCGAGGAACAATCTTCTGGGAAGCAGAACTGTCCGACTCAGAGGCTGAAGAAGAGGTGACCGAAAAGGTCGAGACCCAAGTTGATGGAGATTCACCCGTCGTCGCGCAGAGCTGGGGCAAACCCTTCAAGGTTGAATGGCTCTCTGCAACCCGCCTTCCTTTCTATCGCACTCGTGGTCTCCGTAACCCTTGGAATGCAAACCGCGAGGTCAAGATCGCAAGGGACGGCACTGAGCTCGAACCCAGCGTCGGTGAACGTTTGATTCAAATGTTTCACCGTCTGGGTCCATCGAATTCTGGGGTCCCGATGATACCACCCGTACAACTGGGCGGACCTGTCATCCCTCAGATGAGGCCCTTTTGAGTGTGCGCTTGCTGGAACCTCACTTGTTGCATAGCTTTGGTGTTCTGCATTGCATTTCTTTGGGATCTCTGCGCATCGATCAGTCAACAATTGCACGCTGAACAATGGCGCGCCTTACCACCTGAATCTCTTCATAATGTTGGACGCATACGGTTATGACAGGAAAGTTCAGCAAATACTCTACATTTGCTCATTCGGCTGGAACGAAGGTCGACGAAGAATCACTGGAAAGTCAAGATACGAAGAATACGGCCTATTGGCGCGCACGCGCAGATGATTGTATCCTTCAGGCACCTTCGCAGGCATTTCCTTTATTCCGCTGTATCATATCGGCGTTTGGAAGTCCTTTGGATCCCTTCCTGCGTAACAAGTAATAGTAGTCGCATGGTTTCCACATCATTGTCCTCTCCATCATCATTGTTCTTGACGTTCTCTTATCGCACTTTGTCTTCCTCGCTTACGCAGTGAGGGCTGTTCATTTCAACTCCACTTAAGGTTCCACTAACAAGGCAGGACAAGTTTTAGGCTTTCATTGTTCTACCTGTACGACGGTCATTGTGCCTGGGACCAATCAGCATCATCAACAACAACAACAATATCTATTCGCTGGAAGCCCCTCTGGCGTCTATTCGGCCATACAGCGTCTCAGAACCCGATGTGCAACTGCCACTAGCTATCTGGAGATTATGGATTGCATACGCCTTTCAATCTGGAGTTGCAGGCGTGAGGATTGGAGTACTCTCCCCCACATTGAGCCGCGCCTTATCCGAACACCCTCCGGACTTCCACGTGTCTTTCCGGCCCTTGCGGCAAGTCTTCTTGCCAACCAATCGGCAGTCAGCAGTTGCAGGCCACGAAGCTCTCGGCCTGCTTGCCTTTCCCTCGAGCCAGATAACATGGACCACCTCAGACCATCCACGACCCAACATGATCTCCGCTACCCCTGAGCTTACCCATACGCGCGGTCATCATCACAGCGAATCTGGCCTGAGGCCAAATGGTGACGCACACGTACCCGCGACCCACGATGCAAATTTCGTGTTTTTGCTAATGCAATTTTCAAAGTTTTCCATTAGAGACCGTGCGTCTGTGGCGGTGCAGCGTCAGCCTGTTACGGGAAGGTAACCAGGGGTATGCTGTCGGAAGACAGCTAGCCGCCGCGGAGCCTCCAAGCCAGCGTATGAAAGGGTGGGTTGATGAACCACGAGTAATGTGTGAGCTTGGCAAGAGAAGACATAACAGATACCAGGCAAGTCTGGCGGCAACGATAGGAAGATCTTCGGGCTGTCACTGAGTAAGGGACACTGCAGGGTCTGTCGCTGCAATGGCTGCATCTGCAAGCGTTGTTGTTGGTGAGTTTGGGGTACCGACCGCGCATAGTGATTTATCACATCCAGACCAAGTATTCTGACCACAAATCCTGCACCGGCGTGGATACACAACACCTTCCTCCTGTATCCGCTCAGTGCTGAGTTCCACAACAGCAGAACAATCGGCACTTCTACACATTCACCATGTACTTGCTTTGTTTTGACATCTCGCATCTAAATGGACTCTCAAACTGTGAGAGACACCCTGACTGTTCACCACCCTCCGCGGACGTACCTTCAATCTTGTGGAAATTAGGAGATGCACGAAAGCCAACGATCCATGGAATCGATCAGGTCCAACACGCACCTTGCCTTCCGCATCCAGGGTTCACTCCGCGATCTAATGTCCTGCGAACCATGGTCCTCTTCCGTCCTTAGCGATGCCAGAATCGATGTCGACAGGGGTTGGAATTTTGTGCAAGGCAGTCAGGCATCTAGAAGATACGATTTGGTAACATTGTGATCCAAACAGAGGCGGATGGTTCCGGTACGCTTCGTGCTCGATATGATGCTAGCCAGCATGGACCACAACGAAACCTCTGCGCTGCGACATCTATAAGAGCTGCGAGTACCAGTCTGGAAACATTCGATTTGATGTCTCTGGAGGTCTGGTGCGCGTCGCTTCCCCGATCTGGGACTGCAGCTGTCTACCATAAGATAGGGCCTACCGTATCTGAGTCTCGTACGCGTATTCGTGTCTGGTTGCTGTATGACTTTCCCTTGTTGGACGCCATTAAACTCCGTTTGAACATCGACTTGATAAAGTTGCAACTACAGCCAACGTACTGGATCCCACTTGGCGGAGCGCGTATAGACGTCCTTAGTCAAGGAAGATCGATAACAAAACGCCAACACAGACTCTTCAGCAGAGCTTCACAGCATTGTCAATCCATAGAGCCTTTCAGACCTGTCAAATCCACAGTAGCCGATTCGCATAAAGTAGTTGCCTATCCTGTAAGTAGCCTCACTCCGCCATGGAAGACTTCACGCCGAGTGTGTCGCAACACATCATGCCTCCAGATCGAAAGCAGAAAGCCGGCACCACAGACAGCACTGTTAGGACAATTGCCCATAACGAGACACCACACGCATCAACGAATATGTTAGACTGCTGCCTACGTTCCAAGACATGCTGCGAGGGTCGACAGATGGGACATCACGAGATCTAGCGCCACAAGGCCATTTCACTCGGCAAAGGACACGATCCCTGGCTGGCTTGCAGAAGCCGTACAGCCCATACTGTCATGTATACGCACCTATGTACAGATACAGACCTTGCGGCGAAGAGCACAATGCTTGTTCAACCAGCACAGGCCTGATAGCAGAGCTAGAATCAGTCGACGGTTCATTTCATACAACAGATGTTTAGAGTGCGACTCCATCGACGAAGGCTCCATTCCAACTTCCCTCCCTCACCGCCACATGCCGATCGCCGCCTCCGTTGTCGCGCATCGGCGAAGACCCTCAAGCCCTGCACGTCGTCATCTTCAAGACCCATCACACAATTTCCGCCTCGATCTCCAGACCACTTAACCTTCGAGATCGCTAGGCTAATGTGCAAATAGACTTTCAGCAAAACAGATTGCTCCACGAGTAGGTACCATCGACGAAGGGTAGATAACAACGCGCACACTGATCTCGCGAGCTCACCATGGTCATAGAACTTGCACACTGGCCCCAGAGATCGAGGGGCTGATCTTGCACTTCTTCCTACAGTAGTTGGCTCAGCAGAATCTCTACATCGAAGCACACCGGACGCTTGGCTAACGACAACAACAAGGGCCCCGCCCAAGCCAGCATCGGCCAATGGGTCCGGAAGCTTCCAACAAGCCCGACGCCGTTCTCGCTAGTCAGCCAGTTACCTGTTCGTACGCGTAGCGGAGAGCTGTGTTCGTATCGCGGAGCGTCTGACTTTTTTTGCTTTTTCCCAGGGGTCTCAATGTGTGCTGTGAACCAGTCACTGGCCTGTTTCGTTTGCGGCAAACATGGATTGCTATTTTATGTAGCCCCTCGGTTGCACTGATGGGCTTTGTAATCTTTACTGTCGTTGTGCAGTACCGTTGGAGTCCGAGCGGCGACAATGTGTCTCACTAAATCACTCCCGCGAACTGTAGAGATCACCTGCCGCGAAATTGCATGATTTGTGAAGATAGCATGTGGTGAGGACGTTGGGGCTTGATGATAGAGCCTTTTCTCTCTAATGAATTGTGAGAAAAACACTTCGATTGGATATGCTTCACATGTAGCACGCGTGGGAAGAAATCTAGACTCCTGATGTTCATTCGCTGCCATCTACGTACAACCCTCGTCCCTTTCCCTTTTTCTGTGGTTATTCCATATCCGTAGTGTAACCAACAAGATCTGTGAACGCCAGCTCGTCTATCTTATATAAAGTCTGGACCGAGCAACAGAAGTACAACAACACTGCCAAGGATCGACTTTGAAACTCCTGTGCCAACAAAGAATAGAGAGACAGTGCATCGCTTTTAAGCACCAAATTGAACGAATCTCTTAGAAACGTAGGTCGTGCAGCTCAGGGTTGATCGACAACGTTTTCGTCGTCGTCCTCATATTTCGTCTTTTGACACATCCGAGGGCCATATTGGCCATCCTTGCGAATCGGAATCTTCATCCCTACACTCAGTCATCAGCATCGTACTCGGACTGATTGGCCAAGGTGCGGGGTCCGTCTTTGCGAATTGGAATTTTTATACCCTGCTGCGCAAAGCACTTGCTGAGAGTCGTGCTCTCGATGACACCAGGGAACTTCTTCGCGGAGTAAACGGTAAATGGATCCGAGAAGCAGGAGGCAAGCATGGGAGTCTTCTCGCCGTGCGCAAGGATGCTGTTAACGTTCTCGCCGCTGCCGATGTTGAAGATCATGAATTTTAGTCTACGGTGGTCAGTGCCGGCCAGTGGAAATACTCGAATCGCAAAGCTTACCTGAAGGTGCCCTCAGTGCGCACAGAAAGATCTTGAAGGACGAACCAGAAGCCAGGTTTGCCCTCTGGGTCATTCAGCTTGAAAGCGTTGACTGAGGTCTGGCCGATGAGGTTCCGCGTGTGGTTCGAGCTTGAATTAGTTGCAGGAACGGCTGGCTGAGCGTAGTTTGCGCCGTATGACGGAAACCCAGGAGGCGCCTGACCGCCGTAGTACTGCGGCTGACCATATGGATGCGGTGCTGGTACTGGCTGGCCGTAGGCATTGTACGACATGTGACCCAAGAACATTTGGCGATCTGGCGCAGGAGGGAAAGAGGTAGTTACGCTGCTACTGATACTGACAGTCGGCGCAGCGCTGCTGTGGCGGACCAAGTTGCATGCGCCGCGCGAGGTATCCTCATGCCAGAGGTCGACTACCAGTGTGTAGAAGGTAGTGTCGATATCGTTAGCATCAATTTCCTGTCCTGTTGCGGCGTCGCACAATATGAGGCGGATGCAAGGAGGCGGAGTGATGGGGCGTCGGTCCTGTCGTTGGCCACATGTCTCAGTTCTGTGCCTCTACCAAAGCAATGGGTTGCTGCGCGAGCTGTCTTACCTTGTCGCCAAAACCACACATTCGGGCTCTGATGGGCTGCTGGTCGACTCGTAACCTGCAATTTATGAGCTCACATGCAAGTAGTATCAAAGGAAAGATGCGCACCTGTAGGTCTTGCCGTTGTGCTGGCCTACGTAGTCGCCATTTTGGTCATTGGGAGGCATATCGCGGTACAAGATCTGGGGTTGCATTTGCTGCGGCGGAGGTTGCTGTTGCTGTCCGGGTGCAGGAAGATGCATTATCTGTTGGGTAGGGTCGTGAAGTTGCGGTGGTGGAGGCAGCGGCCCAGCGCCTGGTCGCTGCTGCTGTGGTGGTGGTGCTGGGATAGGATACTGGTTGCTCTGACGAGAATGGGGATACATGATGGCTGGAATATGGCGCCTGCGCGGTCGATCACGCTGGCAGTGGAACCTGGGTGGGTGAAGATGCGTGGAGAGCTCAGGAGCTCAGGAGCCCAGGGGGAATAGCAGCGATCACGGCTTGGCTGTTCAACGGCCTGCGCTGCTGCTGGAGACTGCGGTGGTTGACTTTTGTGCGATGCGCGCTGCTGGCGAGAGCTCTCTTAGCTATCGCGCCAGAGGGGTGCTGCGGGAAGTCGCTACTAGCGGCTTGCGGGGAAGGCGGAAATTACGCTCTGGGACGATGCTGGCTCCAACAGGTTCTTGTCTTCGTACCAGCCAAATGGGCCACACACTGCGAGGCTGCGAGCGTTGTGTGTAACTCTTATGGTGGTACCCGCCGTCACAGCTGGTATTTGGGTAACGGGAGGTGGTTGTGAGATTGTTGGAAGGGAAAGGGTGGAGGAACAAGAAGCGTGCAACGAAAACGGACAAGAACTAAGAGAAGCACCGACTCTACTCGCAGACACCACCGCTTGGTGCAGTGCTTTTTCAGGTGCAGCCTCAGTACCGTGGGTCACTTCGTCAGAGTCTCCTGAGACTTGAGCAATCGCAGTGGACCAGGTGCAATGCTTGTTCCCCCATTACCACATCGCGCCGACCGTTCGTCCCATTCGTTCCCACTGCAAGGTGCCCACGGGAACTTGCGCGCCCTTCCCAAAGCAACGGTAACCGGTGCCAGCAAGCTTCACCAGTGCTGCAAGCCATCGTTCCTTCGCGAGGTGTGGATGAGACGTCCCTTGAGTCGTCGACGTACCTGGAATTGTATTAGAGTGTTCCAGAGCTTCGAATGCTCTTGGTGATCATGCAATGCTGCTCGTCATTGCTGCTACATTGCGAGGGGTACCAGGCTAGGCAGCATCCACAATTCTTGGATCGCCGTTCGTCAACAGCTCTATTGGAATCGCGGGTTGCTAGATGAAGGCTTCGAAGTATTTATTCATTTAGCCACACATGGGATCTGGTTTGTTCTTCATTTTATCGATGCACATCTCAATGTCTATGTTGACATTTGAAGCCGCTTGGGCGATAATCAACATTGCATCCTACGATTGTTGTGCTTGCTTTTGCTGTGTTCTGTCCACTCACAAGCCTTCAAGACCACCTTCGACGGTCCCTTTGCTTCTAACCGAAATGGAACAGTGTCTGCTTCTTGTTCTTGTTGCCCTTCTTCTTGCCTCCTGCACTGTCTTCGACTGCTGGTGTTGTCGATCCACTTGCGCCAGCACTTGGCGCGCCCCAAGCCTGGTTGACTGGTGTGTTTCGACCGCTGTTGTCCCGTCGCAGACCGAGACCTGTGTATCCAGGGCTGAAGATGGTGGTTGTTGGCTTGGGTGCTGCGGGCAGAGCAGGGAATGCATCTGCGATCGCCTTGTTGTTCTTGTTGGCCAGCTCAGTCGACGATGCAACGCGAGATGGAACAGGCGACACACCCGTGCTGCGGACAGGCGCAGGTTTAGATGAAGAGGACATCCACGGTGTCTGGCCAGGTTTGGCTCCGATGCCGCCGCTGCGACTTGACGAGGCCGCTGCTGGCAAGGCGGGGAATGCGTTGCCCGATGACGCAGTTGACCAACTTGCTTTTCGGTTGGCTTGCGACCGTTGCGACTGTGCTGTTGAGCTCTTGAGCTTCAGCACTCTCGATCCTCCACTGGTCGCAGTACCGCCGTTCAAGGCGCGTTCTGTTGCCGAGCCAGGCAATGACGGGTAGTCCTCGTTGATCGCTTTCCAGTCGCTCCAGGCCTTCAGCAGTCCCTGTTGCTTCGCTTGGATCTCGAAGATGTCAGCCAATTCCTTCACCAGCTTGCCAAGCTCCTTCGAATCGCTGTCAAAAAGGGCAAACAACCCCTCGATGAACTGCGCTGGTGAGACCTTGTCGTTTCGATATGCTGAGACATCAGCTCGGAACTGCTGCAACTTGATCTGGTCGTTCCGCAGCATATTCGTTGCTCGTTCGGTAACAGCGTTGTGTCGCAGAAGTCGCGCCTGGTCTTGCGGAGTCTGTGGTACGGTGGGCTGTGAGTTTAGATTCAAGTTGCCGACGCCGTTCGTGACGTTGTTCATAGCTGGTTGGCTGGGTCTCGATGCAGTTTGTGTAGCTGGTGCAGATGCACTGGGAGCGGGCCGAGCTGCAAACGCCTCGCCGGGAGTAGGAGCTGAGAGCTGACCGCCGAATGTGCGTCCAGTTGCTCCAGACTGCTGAGCTTCAACCTGTCGTTGGTATGCAAGCTCTGCTCTGCTGAGTGTTTGCGCAGATGATGCAGGCAGTGCTTCTGCGTTTGGATCCCTGCCTCTACCACGAGCTCTGCCACCTTCTCGTCTCCGATCGTCTCGCCTACCGTGCTCCTGCTCATGTGGTGCGCGAAAGTTCCCGAATCCAGACATGTCCACCCTTCTCGCGTCTCGAAGGGCGTCCTTGGTCAAACCATTCGGATGAGCCTCGATCTGATGGGCTTTGAGATCCATTTCTGAGTCAAAGACGACAAACTTTTTCTCCAAACATTCTCGGTCCGGACACATGAAGTGGTCTTTCCGGAAGTGCTGCTCAAGAGCGTCATAATTGACGTAATACTGTTGTTGCCGGCTGCCATCTCGACGGTCACAGATGTGGCAGCGCTCGTGTTTGTCTCGACAATGTGTATATAGCTCGTCGTCTCCGTAGAAGCGCTGGCGACAAAATCCGCACTCAGGGTGTCCCTTGAAACCGCTCTGATCGATCGCGCCAGGGTTGTCGTCGCCGAACTTCTGGTGCTTCCGGAGCTCGGCAAAGGTAAAGAGCTCGTGCTCGTGCGTAAAGACCTTTTTATTTCTTGTACACAGGTCACTAGACTCAGTCAGCGATTGGCCAGAACATATACTGGACATCAGGGTACTGCTGATACTTACCACATAACCTTGCCGTGCGCCGTCTTCGTATGACGGTGCAAATCCGGCCAGCCCAAACACGCAACATCACACTCGCTGTCCGGGCAGTTGTACTGCAACAACAGCCTAGCGTCTTCAAAAATCTCTGCCTTCTCGAACTTGATTCCAAGATTGTCATCGGTCTTGAAGAAGTCGCCGGCTGAGAACTCCTGATATGGCTTCTCGTGGTCGTCCGTAAGGATGACATGGTCAGACTCAGTTCGACAATGCGCGCAAGCCTTAGTCTTGTACAGAGCTCTCATTCTAATTGAGCAAATGTGGCAGGACCTGTGGTTGCATGGTGCAATGGCGGTGTGCTGCACGGGCGAGGCGCAAATGAAGCAGACCTCTGCATCGTCGTCCACCGCCTCCTCTGAGGCCGGTTTTGCGATCGTGGGTAGAGCTTCGCTTCGCTCTTCTCCTTCCACCGCGGGCGCTTTGCCCTTGTCGACTGCTAGTCGCCCACCGCGGTTGTTTGTGCCGTCCCCTCTCCCACGACCACCTCGTCCGCGGCCACCTGAGGAGCCGCCTCTGCCTCGTCCCCGAGAGCCAAACTGTTCATGACCGTCCTCAACACCAGAATGTGCTCCCCTTCCACGCCCACGGCCCCTTCCACCTCTTCGCGCCGGGCTCGTAGGTCCTTGCGGGTTCTCTTGAGCTCCAGTATCGGCCATCGCGGGGTATTCGTCTATGGAAAGCTTTGTGGGCGGTGGTATGTGCAGGCAATTGAAAAGCTAATTGTTACAGAGAATGGAAAAACAAGTACAATAAAACAGCAGGAAGAGGCGGTCGGCGCAGGCCAGCGAAGACGGTTATTAAGCGTGGGGGTGTAAGTGAGGGTTTGTGAAAGCTACGAGATGACGCTCTTCTGCAAGCGAATCAATGACGAAGAGGCCGTGCACGCGCAGCGCAGCATCAGCCACCAAGCGAGTAGCATTAGACCAGTCATTAGAGTGACTCAGGCACGCATTTGGACGTAGTGCTGAATGATTCGAAATGATGCTTCAAGTTCTGCGCAAGAGAGATTTTGCTGACAAACACATGCGTGGCGCCTACTTGGCCCTATAATTGGAATGTTCGCTTCCCGCATATTGATCCCTAGATCCTGGATCTTCAAGCTCGAGCTAGCTTATATGTCGCACAACATGTTCATCCAGATGCGGAGCATCAGAGCTCATGGAGTCCTCCATCTTCGTCATCCCACTCGTCGCCATAAAGCTCTCTCAGGACACCGACCTGGCCTTCTCGATCCGACACCCGCTCTTTGAGCCAGCCCTCCATGCAGTAGATGTGCTCAGTGAACTTGTCAGCAGCGGCCTGCGAGCGTCGGGTATCCTCGATCTTCTTGTCCAGCTCGATAGGGTCATACTCGCTGTATGCAGCAAGCTCTGTGCGAAGCTTCTCGACTTCCTTGGTGAGATCTTCATGCTTTGTAACGAGTGTTTTGCGGTCACCACCTATAGATATCAGTGATGAACCCTTTGCGCGATGCAAGTGACGCACCTGTCTCCGCGAGCAGTTCCTCGTCCTCTGCTCGTGCGGCACCAGCTTGGTCCACCTTCGCCTGCAGCTCCGTGGCTGTGGCATTGGCCTTGTCGTACTCTTCTTGTGCCTTCGCCAAAGAGTCCTCCTTCGCCTTCTTCGCCTCGCTCGGAAAGCTCCAGTACCAGTTGCCGCTACCAATCTTCTCCGAGCGGATCTGGGAGTCGTCTTGGAGCGCTTGCAGGTAGTCTTTCACCGCCATGCCGTTGATGGACGCGACTGAAGGTATCAGCTTCTCTAGGTCCTTAATGCTGTATGCCAGTGCAGTCTTGTGGAACCAGGCGAGGATGGTGGCCTGCTTCTGAGCGTTGATCGTAGTCTTGGGTGCCTGCATGAGGTCAGTGAGTGTGAATGGGTGCAGTGCTGGTGACCTTACCATGATTGCTCTGGTTTTGAAAAGAATGCGGTCTCGTATGAATGGATACAGGAGTGGAATGAGTCGCGAGAGCTTGGGCTTTGAGGAGAAGAAACGTGAGAAACGCGAGGGGTGCCTTCCTCGATGCATGACGCTAACCAGCAGCACTCGGGGAGGCAGTCACGCAGCTCAACCACCCAACAACTTCAAACGCGAACATCAGCATCGTACCAAGCATAACCTTGACTCGCTGGCTATGTAGTTGCATTGAGCCGTCTCGGGTGCAGCGAGACGCTCGGTGCAGCTCTCGTCCAGCACCACTCGGCTCATCCCTCCGAGCACCTGCAGTCGTCAGAGGTCATGCTTCTATCCTGTCTCGTTGCTATTCTTCGAATAATCGCTTGCAACTCTGTCCAAGCTGCCCTATTGAGCAATGCTCTCAATCCGACTCTTCTGAAGAGTAACGCGAATCGTCGCTCATTGACTCACTGTCCACCTCGATCGACACTTCCCTCGACATTTCCCTTGATTTAGAGCTCTCCACATCGGTCTCTTGTTCGTCCCTTAAACCTAGCAGCTTCTCTTCCTCTTCGTTGGCCGCTTCGACGAAAGCGAAGTCACCTGTCTCGCCAAGTATTTCTCTCGCAGTCTCTTCCATAAGGATGCCAAAGGCGATCAGTGCAGTCTCATCCATGCATTTCCAGGCAAGCTGGCCATCGCCTTCAGAAGTTCGCGAATACAGCTTCGACACATACGCATGAATCGCGGTCAGAAGCTCGCTACCTGGTAGCTGCTGATCGGCTGGCAGTTGGGCATGAGCGTTGTAGTAGTCAGTTTCCTCGTACCGGACCGGCGCGTTGGCCTGCTTGAAAAGAACCTCATCTGGTCGAAGGGGTTGTCGAGAGCCTTTCACGTCCTTGACGTTGCCAAGTAATCCAGCTTGCGTGACACGTCCTTTGCTATCGTCAGTTTCACATCTACATTACTGTCGAAGTCAAACATTTACCTGCTACTGCATCGTAGACATTGGCAGTGCGCCTGAATGACTTCTCCTCTATTACGTCCTTGTCGCCGACTGGAGACTCAGAAGACGGACGTGTGAATCTTCCGTAGTAGGGCCTGCGCGACATTGTCGTTGCTGATGTACAGTGGCTTGGTGCTTGCACCGAAATGTCTAGCGCGGTGAAGGGCGGACACTAGGCGCGATCGACGTCATCCTCGCTCGAGTCACCACGAGCTCTCTGTCAACCTTCACGCGCAAAGCATGTAGGCGCATATGACCACTCAACAACACTTGCTCGATCGTGCATATGGCTTCACACACAATGACGCTCTCAAACGCGCAACCGCCACCAGCCTCATATACGCGCTGCAACCAGCCGGCGTGACCTTTAGCCAGCGACTGCCCCCTGCAGACGACCCTTATGCGCGTATCCCGGCACATATCGCAGGCGTGAATGCCTTGACGATCGACAGATTCGAGGGACGGTACCTACTTTCCGGCGGCGCGGACTCCTCAATCGCAATATGGGATCTCGAAGCCCAAACCGCCAGCACAGAGAGCGGAGAGACGTACCTCCCTCTCTCAGCAGTGAACAAGACGGCAAAGGAGCATAAGCTAGGCATCACACAGCTCAGCTTCTACCCTTTCGACTCGCTCGCCTTCCTTACATCCTCCTACGATCACACCGTCAAGCTCTACTCCAGCGAAACCCTCGAAGCCTCAGCCTCCTTCGACCTCGACGCCGTGATCTACAATATTGCCCTTTCCCCGATCGCCTCACATCTCCTCGTTGCCTGCGCGACCCAAGGTCCGAACGTCCGCTTAATCGACCTCCGCTCGGGTGCAACAACACACAGTCTCGCCGGACACGCGGGCGCCGTGCTCTCTACAGCCTGGAGCCCCGTGACAGACCACCTCCTCGCATCTGGCGCAACAGACGGCACAGTGCGCTTCTGGGACATCCGGCGCAGTGTTGGCTCCTTGGGGTCTCTCAACCTCGAAGACTCCGTGGGTCGCATCGGCGCACCGACGCACTCGAACTCACATGCCCAAAGCCACGGACAAGCGCACCGCGGCGCCGTGAACGGGATTGTTTGGACGGAAGACGGACGACATCTCGTCACTGCAGGACACGACCAAAGGATCAGAGTCTGGGACACAAGCACGTACGCCAACACACTCGCCAACTTCGGCCCCATGGTGAAGAACAGCGGCCTCGCGCCCACCATCCCTATCGTACCGCCCAGACGCAACCTACCCGCGCGTGCAGATGTCGTGTTCTACCCGAATGAGCACGAGATCCTTTTCTACGAGCTGTTCGACGGCAAACTCCTGCGGCGCATGCGGCGCCCCGAAGTCGCCAAGCGCGCTGCTGACGTCGCTGCTGCGAACAGTGCGAATGGCAAGGGTCAGAGGAATGCGAAGGATCGCATCACGAGTCTGGCATGGAGGGCGCACGATGTGGAGATGTATTCTGCGCACGCGGACGGGAGTATTTGTGCGTGGAAGCCGCGGACGGATGAGGACGTTGAGGCGGACGAGGAGGAGCGGGTTGAGGAGGAGGAAAGAGATAAGAGCAGGAAGAGGAAGAGAGATGTGCTCGATGACATCTACGCAGGATTGACGAAGAAGAACATCACATTTGGGAATATGGGGTTATAGCGGAGACAGACTAGACGATTTCGATCATGAGCTGACGGCTTCTGATCATTCAATCACTTGGGGTATCTTAACGTCCAAAGCTATATTGAAGGCATGGCAGAACTCGCATCAAGAACCATACCGGTAGACATGCAGATACACTTTCTCCTCCCCCGGCTCAACATCACCAGGCAGCAGATATTCCAGCAACGCCGTTTCCCTGAATCCAGCTTCAGCCATGAGATCAAAGAAAACACATTCACTATCGTGCCGCATCTTCATTGCTATTGCAACAACGAGCTTCGTATGTACAGCGGCCAGTCGACGCAGTGTGTTGACGAGCGCCGGGCTGGGACATGTCAGTTGTGATCGCGACTGAGAAGTAGTTAGGACCGATAGCGTACCTGCTGTCAGGGTTGTATGTGCAATCAGCGGCCAGCACCAGTTTGATTCCGGCGCGCGGGTGTGCGAGCCAGGCAGGTAGTTCAGCGTCCCAATCCAGTTCCTCGAAGGAGAGGTTCGATCCGTTCCTTAGCTCTAGGACAGATTCACTGATGTTCTTCTCAACGATTTCCCGTGCTTCAGGAAGATCAGAGAGTGTTACGTCGCAGTTGGGAATGACGGATGCAAGTGTCATGCCGACTATGCCACAGCCTGTGCCTAGCTCCAGCACACCCAGGCTTGCACTTGGATCGCGCGATGTGAAGTCCAGGGCTGTGGCTAGGGCGCTCTCCTTCGATCCAAGAGTGTCCATTTGACAGGATAGTGTGATGCCAGCATCCCTTAGAAGTCAGTCAACCGTGTCTGGAGAGGAGAACGCGGCGTACCACAAGTGTCGAGCAATGCTCTCTCCAGTCTCTTCCCAGACGCTTATCCTTCGACGAGCTACTTGAAATCTTCGCTCAACCAGTTTCACTGCCTCCTTGCTCCCGTTTGAATTGAACTCGGCGCTCCACGCTGAGACGATGCCCTGGGAGTCTTCTTGAGACAGGTTGACAAGCGTATCATGTTCAGCCTTGGGCTCGACACCAACCCGCACGCGCAGGGGGCCTAGTGTAAAGGACTTCTTCAACGGCAGTGTTATAGCGAGAGCCCTCATCCCCGCAGACCATTTCACAGTGCGCCATACCCATATCTCATCGCCTTGGAAGTCACGTGCAGGCGAGACGAGTTCTGCCGCCAACTCAGCATCGTAGGGAAAGAACGAATCGCCCAAATCAGACGTAAGCGTGATGAGACAGTAGACATGGCTTTTGTCCGCCCCTTTCTCGGGGACGATGCGGGGCGTCTTGAGGAAGCGGACATAGCGCATGACGGTAGGTAAGGGTTGGAGTTGGGTCTGGTTTGACGTGGGGTAGCCGACTGGCGTGGGGTGGGCCAAGCAACCTAGGTAGGGTGAATGGTCCCTTGCGGGACGGGCGTCATCTCCAACAAACGGCAAGCCAGCCTTCAGCAGTCTCACACGCAGCATTCCTGCCACCGCAACGCGCAGCTACATGTGCCCCGCTGTTACCTGAGCCGGATGCGCCGACCGCGCACGCCGTAGCAAACTCCCCTTGTCGATTGCAAACAGGCATCACCGTCATCATGTACCGCCGCGGCGATCCACGCTGGAACCGCACCATCCAGCACATCTCAGAGAACATCGAGCACGCCAACGAAACGGCGGCCGAGAACATCTACGGCTTCACCCAGCGCTACGTCAACCCGTGCTTCGCCTCCATCACCAATTGCTGCAACGCCGCCATCGCGCCATGCTTCCCGTCCTCCAACGACCGGCGCCGCAGCCGAGCGCGGTCGCGCGGCCGCGCGGAGCTGAGCTTCGATTTCTACGACGACTGGGAGGAGGATGAGAACGACGGCTTGCTGGGCTGGGGAAACGATAATCTAGAGCGGTTCCTGGGCACTGCGAGTAACTACGGCGCTACACAGCAGCCGGGGAGACAGCGCGCGATGAGCTACGGCCAGCGCGCGCGCGATCCGCGGTTTGATGCTGCGAGGCGAAAGAGCACTGCGCAAGCGCGAGAGGGCCAGGACCCGACTATTATACCTAGTTCGTCATACTTCGGCTTCCTTGGCCGCCTGCCGTTCAAGCTGGGCGGGAAGGGACTGCGGTACAAGCCGAGTGCGGCGGATCTCACAGAACACCCTGGCGCGCTAAGAAGGAGCATAGAGGAAGAGCAACCGCTTATCGAAGATAGCGACGAGGACCTCGAGGGGAGCGACTACAAACCCCACCGCCGCGCGCGCAGCAACACCCACACCTCGGGCCACACCACCGACTCCTTTTCCAGCCGGGGCGACATCTTCCCGTCCGAAGACGAGCTCGACGACGCTGTGCCGCTCGACGACGAGTTCACTATCGCATTAGAGCGGAGGACGACGGGGCAGTGGGAGGACAGCGGGAAGAGCAACAACTCTGGAAGCGGGAAGAACACTCGGAGCAACAGCAAGCGCCCGAGTCGGAGCGCGAGCAGCAGGACCGTCAGCAGCGGGAGGCGCAGCGACGAGGAGCGAGGGCAGCGGAAGGCGAGCGCGATGATCGAGGAGGTCGACGTACCCACCCTCGACGAGCTATCGCTCGAGGAAGAGCGTCTCAGGCTCGACGAAGAAGCCGAACTAGAACGCAAAAGAGCTCAAGCACAACAACTCGCCATCAAGCGTGGCCTAGCTCCCAGCGACTCATCAACAGCTCGCACGCGCTCACGGTCGCGGAACTCGAAAGCTAGTGAAGAAGCGCAGATGAGCACGGTGCAGGACACTGTATCGCCACTGCTCAGAAGCCCAGCGAGCGAAAACTTGAAAACGCCCGAGGACATCGTGTCGCTTCCTAGCTTTGGCGAACCGACGTCTGGTCTGGATGAGCATGTGCGATTGGAAGAGCAATTGCCGCCGGAGAGTCCGCGGCCTACGACGGCGGTAAGGAGACGAAGTGACGAGGAGTTTGTGCCTGCGAGGTTACCGCACTTTGGGTGACCAGCTTTGAATGGACGCACAGCTTATACTGGAGTATTCGCAAACGCAGGCTGGAAAGCCAGTACCGGCAAGCAGCACGCGGCCCACGACAGCGGTATCGAGACGAGACAACAAGGACCTTGTGCCCACCGGATTACCACAGTCTCTTGCCTGAACCCCATCAATTCATGCTCGATTCCAGAAAGCCGCTGATCTCCAATGCGCCCAGAGACCTTGCGTCGTGCCCTTGCCAGCGCTCTGCTCTGCGCTCGAACGCGCCGAAGAGACGCGGTGGTAGAGTCAAACGTCACTTTGGTGACTCAACCACCTAGGTCAAGTGTCGTCCTGTACGGTTTGAACGTTTGTGAGCGAGAAGAAGGGCGGACATGGTTGCAGTGTAACGGAGATGTATCACGAAGCTGCGAGCGTAAGTGCAATGATGTGTCAGACATTTTTTTCCGATTTTGAAAAGAGAGTCCATGGTGATCTTGCGGGCACAAACAACACGTCAAAAGCCGCCAGGGCTTGCTTGTATCATCACTTGAGCTTCTCCATGCATGTCCTACCGTCCCTTGTGTGTACTTGTCCAACGTTTCCCCTTACATACCCACCCGCTCTTCTCCTATGCATATATCTTCCCATCCATCCTCTCACGCATCACCACACGATCCCTACCAATCCAGCCCACTCGGCAACAATTCCTCCGTCCTCCCCTCCGCCATCCTCACATTTCCCTCCAAATCATGTTTCCAAAGCCACTCAACCCTTCCATTCAGATTCTCCAGCGCCTGCTCAATACTCATCTCCCCACCGGTCATCGGATCCCTCAAATTATACACCTGGCCACACTCCTGCACGGTGCGGATCTGCTCCTGTGCGCGCGTGGGTCTGGCAAACTACGGGGAGTCAGGTGGTTCTCATGAAAGGCGTCGTCGCGAGGGAGGTAGCGAAACTAGACGTTGGGTGCAGAGATGCTACTCGTGTGATTGACGTCCGTAACGAGTGTGTAGGAGTTGTTATGCTGTTGTGCTTGCCTCCAGCAATCTTAGCAGCCTGTCGTCAACCTTGATGTCTGCAAAGTCTTCCATCATCGTCTTTCTGCCAACGTCGTACGTGTTTCCGTCGTGTTGCCACGGGTTCGGATCTCTTGTGAAAGCAACAACGTTCACCTGTTTGCCTTCGCTGATTGGATACGTCGACAAATTCGAGGCTTTGCTCATGTACATCTTCGCATCTGTTGCCACATCTCCCAGAATCTGCTTCGTGTCTTCGATGGAAACGATTGTCTGGTAGACGTATTTGTGCGTGTATTGCGGTTCGACTGACTCTGGATACCGATCAGCGAGGACGGCGCGCCTCGTGAGGCCTTTGATTCCACCGCAACCGATTACTACGGCGTGGCTTGCAACTCTTCCATCGGCGATGGTCAATGTGATTTGGTCGTCGCTCTGTTCGATGTTCGCAACGGTCCTATTGAATCGAACTGCGTCCTTGTCGATGAAGCCCGTCATGATGTCGAGGTCCTTCATGTGTGCGCCAGTCCTCTCGAAATATGGTGCTCCCCATTCCTCATGGCTTCACCAGCTTTCTCCTTCGCCCAAGCCTTCTTCCATGCGCATAACCTCCATCATGACATGCTTCTTCTCAGGCTTCAGATTCCTTGTGGCGATCTCCATGTCCATGTCGCGGAACCGCTTGTCGATGAGGTCCATAGCTCGAAGTGCATTGGGGCCGAGCCCAACACCAGCGCCGACTGTCGAGAAAGCTGGCGCAGATTCGTAGATAACAAAGTGCTTATCAGATCAAGGTTCAAATAGCATGGAAGAATGCATCCGACCATGGCGCTTAGGTTTGAAGGCAGTGATGCGCGGTGTTGACAGGGTGAAGTGAAACAATCGAAGATTGTCAGACGCTAGGGCGACATGAAGGAAGGAGAGTAGTTACGTTCGCAGTCGCGTTCGTCCTGCCACGCAATTAGAGTTTCATGGTCCGCCAATTATGTTGGTATACGCAAGTGAACAGCCTACTTCTAGCGTGACGGCCATGGGGTGGTCGTCTGGGAAACAAGACTTCAACACGAGAGATCATCGGAAATGCCACGAGATTGTATGTTGGACGCCAACTGCGGGCTGATCACCGTTAGCACCAAGCCTTCAGACTGCACTTCAGTTTCAGCTTCACGATAGCTGATGATTCTGATATGAGGGCTACATCAGCCCTGCAAACCTCGTCAGACTGTAGCCTCAGAGAGAAGGTGCCAACAATGCCTTCCGATTATGCAGCTTCCTCATCCGACAGCTGGCACTGCAGGATATTGGCGGGAACAGAATGCAACATCAGGGTTGCGTGTCGTTGCACTCGGAGCAGCGGGCAGATAGCGAATGTGCGACTAACCGGCAACTCCCGCATAATAGAGCTCGAAATCCCTGTGCATAGTCAAAGATAGCCTCTGTTCAAATCCACATATGTATATCATAGTTCGCATTGCATCGAGCGCAGTGGGGTAAGTTGAGAAGGTTGAAGCCACCGAACCAATACCTATAGAGACAGTTTACCAGTTCTAGACCTGGAGGCACGTTTACCGTCAGTATTCGAACAGAGATCGCAATGTCCGCCGATGCCAACCCGGAGCTCATGGCGAGGCCTCCCTGGCACAGTATGCAGATTTTCATCTGATGTCCAATTCCGGACAGCGACGAGAAATCGGATCAAGTCGTGACTGACTCGCGGAACGAACAGACTGACGCCACTCCAACATTCCACATCCACCTCGAAGGTTTGTTGACAGAGTACAACTCTTTCGACAGTTGATTACTGTTGATGGTGTGCCATTATGGAGCCAAGTCGCCGGAGCATTGCCGTGGCAGATAGCTGAGTTCGATCGGATCTCACTCGCTAATTGAGGCTTGAGGGAGATCGTCACAGGTGTTCATGCGGCCAATGCAGCCCTGGGCCGGAACAGCATCTCCGCGGTGGTGCTAGACAACGAGTAGCATCACACTCACATAGGACCTTAAACCAAGCAATCAACAACGAGTAGCAGCTGCGCCTAAGGGTGCTGTATTCGGCCATCGTATCGTAGGAAGCCGTGGTTCAAAGACGTTCATGCTCGTAAGAAGCACGGCAAGGGGAGTTCAGGTCTTCGGTAGTAGTGATCCAGGCTTCGAGCGGGCCAGACATCGACGATGAACCAGGCTGTCGGTTCTGACATGCGTGATGGTTCGAGAAGTATGCTAACAAATTGCAGCTTGTGGAAAGAACGGTGTAACAGCGATACAAGAGCTCGTCGATCGACCCCTAAAAAACACCCATGGCGCGCCCTGGCTATATTATAAATTCAATGTCGGAAAAGTTGTCGGAGAATTGCAGACACATGGCAGAATCTGGGGCAAACCGACCCCATGTTCCTGCAGCTGCAAGTCGCCGATGCATTCCGATCCAGCTCGAGATGGCGCAAATAGAATCTGTGGACTGCCAAAAAGTGGCCTAGGCTGTGGCTATCGCCGTACCGCACCTGCCTCGAGGCCCTACGTTTGATATTCGGAAGGCTGCAGTCGTCTTGCTCGACTTGCTCTCTTCTTACGTGCCTCCAATGCCCTCCGCCGTCGTGGACCGCTGCCGTCTTGCCAATCGCTCGTCGCCGCCATGATGATGCCGCCCGCGCCCATGACATCGAATTCGACTTCAAAATCGGCGCCGACGCCGACACCTACAGCACCGACAAACTCGAATTCGCGCAGAGTGCCACTCGACAAGCGGAAGCGCACAGAGACGTCGTGTGACAAGTGCAAGTCGCGCAAGCAGAAGTGCAGGAAAGAGCCGGGGCAAGATGCCTGTCGATACTGCATCCTCCACAACATCGAATGCCTCACTACGCAGCCGCGCAAGAAGCGTCTCTACGGCAGTGTCGAAGGCCTGGGAAACAGATTGGCACTGCTGGAGTCGCTGGTGAAGGGTCTGCTGCCTGAGGCTGATGTAACTGATTTGGACGAATTACGACAGCTCGGCAGCTCGCTCGGCATCTCACTGCCGGGCTCAGGCGATGGGGAAGGAAGTAGGGAGCAGAACAGTGGCAGCGACAAGGAGGGCGATGAGCAGATGTCGTTGCTGCCAGACCAGCAGGGACAGGTGCAGTACATTGGGCCTGCCAGTTCGTTCTCTTTCCATCTGAAGCTGCGATCGTTGATTGGCGCAGGGGCGCTTCGCTCCTTCGTGCTGTTTGGCAGGAATGCCGCGGACCAGGAGCCCATTGAGCCTGGCGATGCTCGAAGCGATCCCCACAGCCTCTCCACCCCGAGCACAACGTCCAACGTCGATCACAGCTCACCCACTGGTGCACGCGCCCTACTGAGTGCTCAACCGAGCGAGGTCCCTAGCCTCGAGTCACTCATTGGGGCCTACTTTGACCACATCAACCCAGACTTTCCTGTTCTGTACGAAGCCTCTTTTCGCGAGGCATACGAGGGCTGGCTGCTGGATCCAGGGAATGCCGACCCTGCGTGGTTGTGCAGTTTTCTCTGCGTGCTGCTGTTGTCGCGTCGCGTTGCACGAATTACTTTTCAAGAAGACCAGGAAACGCTGTGGTGGAGGAGAGCGCAGACGCTCCTGCCTGTTGTCATGTTTACATCCAGCATCATGGCCGTACAAGCCTTGTTGTTAGCCTCACTCCACCTACACAACACGAACCACCGTGACGCTTGCTGGAATCTCACAGGCACTGCGGTGCGCATAGCCTTCGCCATAGGTCTGCACCAGGATAAGGTGAATACCATGCAGACTCCACTTGCCAGAGAGTTGCGCAAACGGTTGTGGTGGACATTGTACGCATACGAGCAGATGCAGGTCTCTTCTTATGATCGACCCAGTGCTATCGAGCACCCTGGCAGTAAGATCAGTTGTCTTAACGAGCGGCTTATTGGCTCCGACCTACACAACCCGCCGGAGTACAGCCAATGGTACAACCGCCTGGTAGTGCATCTGGGCTCCGCGTGCCGTGCACCGAAGACAGTCCGAGCGAATTCTAGCGACGAGTCCTACGTTGGGCCCTTGTCGCCTGCAGCTGGAGTACTTCGAGATATGGAGCGATGGAGAGATCTACTTCCGCAACATCTGCGAGTGGAGGCGTTGGAGTCCAATCCGCCTGCTTTCCAGCGACCCATCTTGATGCTTCATGGCCTGTATCACTACACCGTAATCGTTTTGTGCCGCTCTGCTCTGCTCACACGCGCTAACATTCTGTCCAAGGGAGGTAGGGACGCTAAGAACACAGCTCTTATAGCCATGGCGGAGTCGTGCTCAGATTCTGGGCGAGCGTTAGCTCGCATACTCCTCAAGCTTGAGGCAATTGGGAAGTTCGATGCCATTACCTGGTGGGACATCTGGTATGCCCTGGCATCAAGCTCGGCTCTTGTTCTCGACCTGGTTTGCTTGAACCAAATCACTGGCACCGACATGTCTGCGTCTCGTATCCTGCTCTCACAACTGGCCGACCTGGCACAGCGGCACAAGCGGAATCCACATATGCCTGGCACTATCGAAAAGTTTGCTTCGATTGTACCTGAGTTACAATCCATGGTCAACGCAATGAACACTACAAGATCATCTGTCTCGACCGCACCCAAACCAGAGGCCACTGCCAACGTGAACCACGAAAGCTCACAGCCACCACCACAACCACAAGAAACCCTTACGTATCCTTTCCACCAGTCTTCGACAAACAATGGCGCATACATGTTTGCGGACAATATGCCTGGGCGGTTTTATCCCGAACAGCAGTACTCTGGTCCAGCATACTCCACTGCAAGATTCGACCGCAATACTCAGATGAGCTTCATGGACTTCACAATCAATAACATACACGATTGGAATTGGGGCGAATTGGGGAGCCTTATGGGTAACGAGAGCGTACCGCATGGTCAGCCTCCGCCAGGACCTTTACCACCCCCACAGCATTGACAAGCGATGTTTTAGCATATAGCGCTCATGGATATGGAGTTTGGTATGTTTCTCAACAGATATTACCCGTGGACTACACGTCTGCATATTGTTCCCCATCAGCAATCCAAACAAGTTCAATCCAGCTCCACGTACTTTGACAAAGTTATTTTCATGCTCAAGTCTGTCTGATCGACACAAGGCTCCATTATAACGGGGCATGCTAATCTCGCCGCAAGGTCTACATCGTTCGCAAATGATAAGTAGCTCAGTGATCTTGTCCGCTGACACACGGCTCGAACTTCAACGGTCTAGCGCGCCGGAGACCCTTACATCCTTCATCCGTCCCGTTGCGATTGGCCCTCCCGCTAGGACTGTACCGCTTGTTCAGCCCTATGGATACCCGGCCCCGATCGTTACTAATTGGCGAGGATATTGTATGTTGGACTATGGCCGTTACAAGAATATCGTTCTTCAATGAAATCATCGTTGTCACAGCAGTCGTAGAAAATTCAAAGGATACGCAGGTCCTACCTGCCAGCAGTTTCAAATGTTGGCTCTAGTAATGGCCAGATTCCCCAAGCCACCTACGCCTCGACACAGCTTGGAGAACAGCAAGAATAGCAACGCGCTCATTCTAATTCGACAGGAGAGAAAATGATATCTCTGTTCCGTGCACAAGGAATTCCTTAGCTCGCAAGCCTAGCCCACGGAACCGGCTCAAGACAGATTCTACCAACAAGAATACAGCCGGCTCAACATACTGGCTTACGCTAGGAAGGATCATTAACAGGCATTGCAATCGATTCTATACGCGTATATCTAAAACTGGCGTTTTGCTACCAGAAACCATAGGCGATCTCACGGATGTTCCGGAGCTCCACCGATCAAGCGGAGAATCCCATACAATAAGCCTCCACAGATGAGGCTCATCCCAGATCCCCAAAAGCTTGGCACCTGTCATGGCCAATTGAAACGTGATGACACGCGTGGTAGGGTTGACTTTGAAGCGTTCGGGCCGACCAATGATTTCGTTCTCGATTTTTGGCGTCGCTCTCGCTCTCGCACTCGATTTCCTTGGTACTTGCAACACCAAACCACGAAACAGATGTGGCGGAGTCGGTGGTGTTGTTACGGTGTTGCGTCAACATCAGACTTCGATATGCTGGACAAAATAGTACCGTGTCCGTGCACGCAATGCGCCGAAATCCTCACCAAAATAGCCTGTTTCTAGTACTCTTTAAGATAGTTCAGCTCTTTAGCTAGAAGAGATATTAAAAAAACTTCAATACTAAAGTCATATTAGATGACTGGATCTATAACTTTTATACATAAATTATTTTATAATATAGCCATTCTAGTTTTTCTACTTCGAAATTACAAATTAAGGTTGATAGATTTGTCTAAAATTTCAATACAAGATAAAGATAGGTGGGCCGAGCGAGCGAGCGCATAGATAATCAGACGCACGGTAGCGAGAGAACGGTAGCAATTAATCTTACGATACAACCCCCCTAGGGCTACTGAGCTCGCTGTCACACATACCCTTACAGAGCTAGACAGATTGCCTGTACTACTCATCATTACCCCAAACTGTTGTTAGGTGTTTCACCCAGGCGACTTACCCCACTGTGTCGGAGGGAGTGAAGGTATCCACCGATCGCCATCTGTTTGCTAGCGGTCCGTTGCAGTGTTTGCTAACGGCCCGCTGCACTTCACTGCTATCCCCTTCTACTATATAGTCTCGATCGATTCTAGCCAATAGCTCCCAAGATCAACCAACACAATCCACTCACTTCAACACACTGTTCCTTCACGCCTTACTCATCCCCAAGAACCAATCGAATAGTACTTACGAGCCTTGCTTAAAGTACGACTTCAACACAGCATTTCAGTCAGCCTATTACAAGACTATTACAAAGGAAAATATCTTCACAGGCTTCAGAGGTGCTGGATTGATTCCCCTGGACCCAGAGCGGGTGCTATTGAAGCTTGACATGGTCCTTTGCACGCCAACACCTCCACCACCAGAGACTACCCTATGGGAATCCAGAACACCAACCAGCGCAAAGGAGGTTGAGTCACAAACATTGTATATCCGCAAGCCCATGCAATTGCACCAAGATTCACCACTGTCTCCTATCATGAAGTTTCTTGACTCACTTGCTAGAGGTGTTGCGTGGATAGACCATGCCAATGTGCTGCAGAAAAGGGAAATGATGTGAGGTCACTATAGACAGGGGACTGGATATGGGACAAAAGGGCATATTGTAGTAAGATAGATAGATGAATCCTTAAGGGGTCAGCCTTGGGGATTCAAGGTGGCTATATACTCTTGGTTCTTGGTGGTTACCCTCCAAGGTCCCAGTGGTGGCCCGTATGGGTCCCAATATATAACCATAGAGCAGAGCATCCGTGACACTATATACCAAGCACGTCCGCGTAGTGATCCGTATGCTCTCAGTGATCCGGCAGAGCAGTGAGAGCAGCGAGATCAGCAAGAGCGTGTTATGTGGAGTTGCTCTGTATGCTCTGTTGGTCTACTTCAGATTGTGAGATCAGTGAGAGCATATATGCAGCCTGGTGGCTGGTCCGTTTTGCTTCTCAATTAACCAAGGTTTGTCGTTGCTCTGTCGTTACCTGCGTTAGCGCGAGAGCGATCCTTGTCCTAGTGTACCACTGGTCGTAACACGTTCTTGCGACTGTGACTGCGACTTGAGCATCTCTCAGTTAACGCCTGACAGCTGCACCTTGGCGATACGGCCACGCGAGGCACGTCACCGACTGTCCCCATTGATTTGAGTTTGCGCTGCTGTGGTGCACAAAACCTGGAACACCTTTACAGGAGCGTTTTTAGACTGTGTGGAGCCACGGACCCTGCGCCCGTTGAGCTTGAGGCCCACTCAAGGCGCGCTCCACGGAGGAAGTCGGCCAATTTGGAGCAGAATTGGAGCAGTTGGAATAGGCAACTGAATCGACTCAACAACGTTCCTAATCTACAAATGACTCGACTTATGAGTCTTTCCCTAGACATCATTCTCTCCGGCGAGAGTCTGGTCGATGGTAGCCTCTCTTCGAGTTACGTCTGATCTCCAAGGTAGACTTCATTCTGTATGCAGCTCTCTCCTGAAGCTGTGTGCCTGCTGACTCAGCACCGCGCTGCCCCTCAATCAGCTTGTCCACAGGTCCGTAACCCTCCGTGCCTATCAGGCCCGCCTAACTCTTAGCAGACAATGCTTATTGCCGTCAAGCAATAGCATCGCTATTAGCCATGGAGTAAGAACAGCCCCAATGGGAAGGCTGAGGTTCAGCTCAGCTCAGGTGGTACCAGCTGGCGCAACCCTACATACTCTTGTCTGCCTGTTTGTGTATAAGCTCGGAACCAAGCTGTTCAGCACTGCAATTGGATATTGCGATAGTCCTGTTACCTTAGGAAAACCTAGTAGATGCAGCCATCATGCGGAAGGACTGTTTACCGGTTAGCCATACCAATCATTTGTTCCGAAGTCCTATACTTATGGTATGAAGCCGAATTGTCGGCCTTGTAGACCCCTTTCTTTGTGTTCCCCAAAGATGACAGTGCCCTGAACATCACAAAGGAGGTGCTTTGGGGTCCCGTGGCAATTCGTCAGATGATCTTCAGAATACCGACCTTAGCACTGCTTTAAATGTGCCCCTAATAGCATCAAGGCAAAAGAGGCAAAAGAGGTAAAAGGTTTGGCAGGGAGGTCTGTTACGCTCTGTTAACATGGGTTATCGATTGGGTAGTTGGTTGATTTGCTCAGGCTGAAGGAGGTTACACGCGTTCACCACTTGACATGAAGGACGGCAGTCAGTATAGTTTTTGGTCTGGCTGACTGACTTCACAGAAAGTATAAAGCTCTCACCAACGCGCAGCTACCTGTTTGTCAACCCGCAAGCACTCAACTTTTCTACAATCCAACTATTAGTTGTTAGGAACCAAATCCGCACCTTCGTCAACATGCATTTCGCTTCCCTCGTTCTACTCCTTTCACCGGTCCTTGCCTTCACTATCCCAGAAAACCAACCCGATGGTGTCTACGCAGTGTCCTTCGTCGACGGTCAAGAAGTCCACACTCTGGTTGATCAAAATGATCAAGCTCCTGCGGCAGCAACACCATCTGAACTCACCACCAGCGCCAATTCCGCACGAAACGCGATACTTTCGACGCGATCACTTGTGGTGGTGATGACCTAAATCATGCCGACACGGACACAGCCAATAACCAGCTGGACGCACAGTGCCGCAACGGTGCATCGGTCGATTGGAACAAGGATTTCTACTCCATCTCAGGCTGTACTGTAGCATACTACTGCAACTTTACAGCGTGACTCAAAGTATGCAAAGCGTCTGAGCGACAGGACACCTCGCGTAAGATCACTGCAACTTGTGGTCAGTACCGGTCAGGATGGGCAACCTACAAGCTTAAGGGATGGGACCAGACCTCGTATGGATACGAGAACTATTGTAAGGAGCCGGGCCACAGCTTCTGCGGTCGTGGAACCCACGGCTAGGTCTACCATTGAGGTACTCGTTGTTTAGCTTCTGGCTACCACTGGTGGACATACCATGCGAGGATCTTGGGCGGCACCGGAAGGACACAAGTTTCGGGTGACCGCGGTATACACGGACTATCGTTTGAAATTTGGAGCAATGTTTGTATACAGCTATCGTCAACTTTTGATTCTGAATCGCAAAATTCTATGCTGTTGTTGAAAATGTGTTGTACACGAAGTAACACTCCGAGCTCTTCTTCTAGACTTCTAGTCTAATTCCACCATCAGACTTGTCCCCAGAGTATCGACGGTCTAGGTTTGTATTCTCCGAACTCCTTTCCTCCTCGCAAAGTTTGGATACTTCCCTACTGCTTTCCACGCACAACCTGCGCATGATGCCTCGGAGGCGCTACATGACGCTGCTCACGATGTCCCTGATACGCATTCTCCGGCTGAGGAGGAAATCTCTGCATCATCTCGTCCTCGTCGGTGCCACGGCTCATAACAGAAGAAAGAGGCATGCCATCGCGCATCTTGCGGTAATTGCGGAACTCTCGAGTAGCGATAGCCGAGGCGTAAATTTCGAGGTGACTGTGAACGTCAACGTTAGCATTTGTAAACGATGTAGACACCGACGTGGACACTCACTTGATGACAACAGCAATACCGACCACGACCCAGCTCAGATAGCAAGTCACTCCTACACATGTCTTCAGGTTGCCTTGGAAGACGAGAAATGCGACGGCGCCCCAGACGACGATTTCGAGGCAGCTGATGACGACATTGGTTTTGTAGCTGTGCCATCTCTTGAAATTTTGGACGTGTTCGGCGGCGAGCATGTACGTAAGCAGAATGAGTGACTTGTCTCCCTGGGCGTTGTTAGTCTCTTGGGATACAGAGCGATTTGGAGTCGTGCTCGCCATGCCGAGAGCGATCGTGCCGGCTCGAGTTCGTGGTTGGTTCTTCATGAAGAGTCGGGGTACCGAGAGGCCAATAATGATGATGACGAGGAGACCGGTGACAATGTGTATAGGTAGCTTGAACCGGCTGGCGAACATTGGCATGTTAGGATGTTGAGGATAGCCATTGTTGGTAAGGGAAAGTGAAATGTTCGAAGTTGCTGGTGCGATTATTGGTATCGAACTAACTATGACCGCAAAGTTGAGAGTAGTCTGATTGTCTTTCGTGATTGATGTCAAAGGCGAGGAGTTGTGGATGAGTGCTGATCAGGGTTGTCAACAAGCAAGTCAATCAAGTTGGCGGCATCCGCTTGGATTGGCTTGTTTAGCGCATTGATTGCAGTGAATTGACTTGATTAGATTACTGTACAGGCTCGATTGACTTGGTTGATTGATTAAATTAAGAGACTTGGTGTTGTAGAAGAAACCTACAGTACAGAATTAGTATGTATCGCTTTCCCAGTCTGCTATGGAGTACTCTGACTCCACCTCATTGTCAGTAAACGCTGCAGTTTGCGCACCTGTTGGAGGCGTAAAACCTGCGCGAATCCACTCGCGCAGCGCTTGTAGAGCCGACAGTAAGTGACTGTTTACCTTGCGCCGTTTTGGCTCGAGTAGATCAGCCAACTCGCTGAACATACGCTCACTGTGAGGGCTCGGCTCGGTCCCACCTGAGCTACACCAACCAAAAAGGTACAGTAACCCAATAGATATGGGTACTGGGAACCGAACAGTATATACCGTAACAGAAAGGGTGGTTTGGTGGGGGCTTGGCAAAAGTGACCAACTCACCCGTGAGGTACGTTAGAAGATTTTATTAACCTTTGAACTTTACTCTTTTACTAATAAAAAATAAACTTAGTTAAACAGCCAAATTATTAGATTTTTTTTCACAAGGTTACAAATAATGAGAATTTGAATACTTTTCTAATAGAAAGTGTCTTAATATCTCTACTATTAGTAGAAATATTCAAGATTAAACTTCTTATATTTTGCTGTTTTTCCTAGTAAAACCCGGTCGTCACGCGAATCTAGTCGGCACGCGCACGGACACAGTAATGAGCCGTGCAGTGACTCCCTACAAAAACGCAATTGGCCTTCCACATACCGAGTCTTCCGCTGCAATCGCACCCCCTTTGCTTCAAAACCTAGTCGGATTTTAGCAGGTCAATATCGCGTAAATTTCGCTTAGATTGACATCGAGGCACGCGCAATATGTAGACTTATTCTACAATCTAATTGTGAACTTCCCCTGGTTTTCAGGTTCAACTACACAACATGACAGACGTAATCGAAACACAGCTACTGATCAACAACAAGCTTGTTCCAGCAAGCGACAACGGTACATTCGAGCTCTTCTCACCACACACTGGAAACCTGGTCGCGAAAGGTAGGATTTACGCTACCTAAAAACATGGAATGATAGACCAAGTGCTGACAAGACAATCACAGTTGCAGAAGCAACGCTCTTCGATGTTAACGCTGCCGTGGACGCAGCTCAAGCCGCCTTTCCAGCATGGAGCGCTCTTTCTCCATTGCAGCGCGGTGTGCCACTGAAGAAGCTAGCTGAGTTGCACATCTCAGAGAAAGACGAACTCGCACGACTCGATGCCATCTCCATGGGGAAGCCAATCAGCACGCACGGCACTGATGTCAGTTATGCCGTGACCCAGTACAACTATTTCGCTGAAGCTGCGTATCCGCAAGGCCATACCAGCTTGAACACGCCGGGGTTCTTGAACATGAGTTTACGACAACCGTTTGGTGTTGTGGCTGTAATCATCCCATGGAATGCCCCATTAATCTTCTTCTCGAAGAAGGTCGCACCTGCGCTGGCTGCCGGGAATTGTGTTGTGGTGAAGAGCAGCGAGAAGGCGCCATTGACAGTAAGCCCACTACTTCTCGTCCTGGCATTGCTTCACTAACCCTGTCAAAGTCCTGGAAAGTATCGCAATGGATTGAAAAGTGCGGATTTCCACCAGGTGTGATCAACGTGCTTTCGGGTCACGGCCAGACTTCAGGGCAAGCCTTGGCTGAACACATGAAAGTCCGTGCCCTCTCTTTCACAGGCTCAACACGGACAGGTCGCGCCATTGCTATCGCTGCTGCAAAGTCCAACCTCAAGAAAGTTGTCTTCGAGCTTGGCGGCAAGTCGCCTTCGTTAATCTTTGACGACGCAGACATCGAGCAAGCAGCGAAAGAGACAGAACTCAGCATCAACTCCAATTCCGGTCAGGCATGCTTCGCCAGTAGCAGGATCTACGTGCAAGAGAGCATCAAAGACAAGTTCATCGAAGCATTCGCACGGATAGCCAAAGCACGGAAATTAGGCGATCCAACATGCCTCGGTATCAACCACGGCCCACAAGCGGACAAAACACAGTATGAGACTGTGCAGAAATACATTGCCCTTGGCAAAGAGGAAGCAGGCTCGACTATCGACACCGGCGCAGGCGCCACCAATAACGAGGTCTCTCCCCACCACATTCACCCCGTTATCTTCACCGACGTGCCTGAAGACTCGCGCCTCACAAAAGAAGAAATTTTTGGCCCCGTCGTGATCGTGAACACCTTCGCCACCGAAGCTGAAGCCATCGCAAAAGCAAACGACACTGAGTTCGGGCTCTACGCATCCTTATACACAAAGGACCTCGAGAGGGCGATCAGAGTGGCGAAGAAGTTGGAAAGCGGGATGCTGGGCGTCAATTGCACGAGTCCGACGACCTGCTTGGACTTGCCGTTTGGTGGGTGGAAGGGAAGTGGGACTGGGCGGGAGAGTTTGCTGGAGAGTATGGAGCACTACCTTGAGGTTAAGAGTGTGTATGTTAGGGTTAGTGGGATTGGAGGGTGATCTGATTTGAAATGAGAAGGAGCCCGATTGTGGAAAGACGTACGAGCTCCAAGAGTCACGAGCAATATGATTCTGCTCTCTATATCTCATACTTCTGGACGCCTTCGAGTCACAATGTCTTTGTCCAAGAAATGGTCTTTTACCGCTGAGATAAACGTCAAAACACCACTGTGCAAAAGCCATATCATCCACGCACGCCTTTTCACCTCGCTATCAAGGTCCTCCCTGCTATTCAAGCCCCGCCCAAGACCATTCTATCAGCAAATCTACAACTACCCCTGGCCCATCTCAACTCGAATTTGGTCAAACACACCAACCCATCCCTCTCCCCTTACCGCGAGCATGATTACACAGGCAGGGACACTTACCAGATCATCCGCCCCTCGCCCTTCACCGAACAAGTCTGGGTGGAGAGATGCGACTGTGATTGTGTCAAACCGGTGAACATATCTCCTTGGAAAGAGTTGTTGTCATAAGTCTATACTTTGAAAAAAGCTGAGAATAATCGGTGCTCCTCCATGCTTTCGCTCGTGTTTGTTCTACTGCTCTATTCAGCCTGCAGCAAGATCTCAAACTTGAACGGCTCCGTCAGCAGAGCATACTCGTCTAGCGTCCTTGGTCCACAACTTCCACTGCCCAAACCATGGTGTTCCGAGTCCAGCCTCAATACAACTTCGTCTCTCTTCTTTTTTCTCAATTCATGCGGGTGCTTAGCCTCAGCAACATCCCTCATGCGGTAGTGCGTGGTCTGGAAATCGAAAGTCCTCCTGTCCTTGCTGTCGTTTTTCACATCCACAAACTGTGCCAACAGTGACCTCTTGCCGTCACCGACCTTTACCCATCGCGTATCGGTGCGGTTCGAACTCTCCTGAGGCACTTCGTAGTTGACCCACAGCTCGTCGACACTAGAGACGCTGTACTTGCCGACGGGCTGGGAGAGCTTGCTGTCGCGATATGACTCACCCTTGCCACGACCAAACCACTCCACGTTCTGGAACTGCGAGGGCAGTTCCGTGACGAGCCCAATACGGGGAAGTGTGCGTGGGAGGTTCTCACCCTGCGGAATACCATTGACCCTGATCGATAAGGATCCATCGGCTCTGAATGTGTACAGGATGATGCTATCGATTGACCACGACAGGACTGGCGGAGCGATACGCTGGTGGACTGTGACCTGGAGCTCTCCGTTACCTGGTTGCGACCACTCGACCTTGCGAGTGAACGGCTTGGCAAGGTGGAGCTTCTTGTCGTTCCAGTCCCAGCCATCTTGAGGAATGTCGTTGTCGGTGGGAGCACGAAAGAAGTCGAGTTCTGGCGCTTTGGAGATGAGCTCGGTTGAGTCTCGGCTCCAAGAAGTGAGAGTGCCATGCAAGGTGTTGAAGGTCCATGTCGACTTGCCGCCGGTGATTTTGATGATGTTCCTAGAGGTGGTATCGACATCGAGTTTGCCGCCCGAGGCAGACGATACCTTCAACGAAGAAGTTGGAATGACTAGTACCTGCGCAGTGGCGACCTCAAAGCCCGTCTCCAACCATGGCGTTCCGCTCTTCAGTTGGAACGAAAGGCTCAGTAGAACCTCGCCTTCAGATCCGCCAACCTCTGGAAGGTCGATTCCAAATGTTTGGCCTGCTGCAATTCCAGCTGGAATCTCGATGGATCCAGTCTTGGCTTCTGCACCAGATTCGGACACGGTAGAGTACTGCAATGTTAGGTGATCGAGTGTGACGAAGTCGTATCGGTTGATGAACTTTGCCTTCTTTTCATCAAATTCGAGCAGTTGTACAGGCTCAATAGCCTTCTTGTACTCCACCAAACCGGCGTTAGGGGTGTGATCAGAGTTGACCAGACCGTCCATGACGAATGTGCCATCATGGACCTCTTCGTCAAAATCGCCACCGTAAGCGTAGAACTCTTCTGATGTCTGCTTGTCCTTCGTGAGGAGACCGTGGTTGGCCCACTCCCAAGCGAAACCACCCTGAAGGGTGGGGTACTTGTAGAAAGCATCGATGTACTCCTTGATGTTGCCTGGACCGTTACCCATAGCATGAATGAACTCGCAGAGCACAAGAGGCTTGGTCTTGGTCTTGTCCTCAGCAAACTTGATAATCTCATCGATCGGCGGGTACATCCTCGAGTACATGTCCATGGTCTCTGCGTAGATATCGGCTTCGTAGTGGATGGGCCTGCTGTCGTCGTACGCTTTGATGTGGTTGTACATGGCCTTAAAATTCTGGCCGAAGAAGGCCTCGTTGCCCAAACTCCAAATGATGATAGAGGGGTGCAACTGGTCTCTCTTCACCAAGTGCTCAGCACGGTCAACATATGAATCGGTCCAATCTGGGTTATTCGTGGTCCACTCAGCAGCCTTTGCCCTGGTCAGAAGCTGTCGCTCGCGGAAGGGCAGTGCGCGCTCTTTAGCGTCAAGTGCAGAATCGGCGATGCATTCGAAACCGTGGCATTCCAGATCTGCTTCATCTATAACCCAGAAACCCATCTCGTCTGCCAGTTCATATAGTCGTGGGTCGTTCAGCTGATGCGATGTACGTATGGCATTGACGTTGTGTTGCTTCATGGTCAGAAGGTCACGCTTGAGGAAGTCGAGTGGGATGGTCCTTCCAGATTGTGGATGGTGTTCATGACGATTGACGCCGCGGAATACGACACGCTTGCCGTTGACCTTGATTAGTCCATCTTTCATCTCAACTTGCCTGAAGCCAATTCGGTGAGCAACATGTTGCGCCGAATCAAGCGAAGCCACCAGATGGTACAGGTTTGGCGACTCTGCAGTCCACTTCAGAGGGTCCTTAACGGAGATGCTGAAATCTGTTGTAGATCCTGTGTTCGCATCCGCCTCTTCCGAGGCAATAGTCTGATTCTCTGCGTCCAGAAGCTTGACCGAAACCTTCCCGGTTCCGGTGGTGCTGACCTTGACCTTGAGCTCAGCGTTTGTGTACGAAGAGTCCAGGAGACTTTGAGCGAAAACATTCTCGATACGGGATTCGCTGGGAAACCCAACCAAGAACACATCGCGGAAGCTAAAATGGTTAGTCGGCGAAGCAAGATAGAGTACTGACACTTACATTCCGGACAACCACCATTGATCTTGGTCTTCGATATATGTGCCGTCGCAATGTTGATACACTCGAACTGCGAGAGTGTTCTCGCCATCTTTGTCAACAACTGGGGTGACATCAAACTCATCGGGATTTCTGCTTCCCTGAGAGTAGCCAATCTCCTTGCCGTTCACCCAGACGTGGAAGGCGGAGTCGACACCTTCAAACCTGAGGCGGATCTGACCACTCTTGAGATCTTCTGGAACGCTGAATTTCCTTACGTAGGAGCCAGTCTCGTTCTCGGTGAAGGGAACATTTGGAGGGTCGACCGGGATGTGATACTGGACATTCGTGTATTGCGGTCCCTTTCCAAATCCTTGGAGCTGCCACATGCCTGGCACGGCAATATCACTCCATTTGGAGGTATCATATGAAGGCGCTTCGAAGCTTTCGGGAGCCTCGAAGGGTGAATAGGCATGCTCGAACTTCCACGTTCCGGAAAGGCTGTGCGTTTTGGACTTGCTCACATCGTACGTCAAAGCATCGGCCTCTGATGCGTAGTTGTGGAAGTAGGCACGGACTGGTAGAGTCCCCTTGTGCAGAACCTTGAGATTGTTCCAGTCTGGGAGATCTGCTGGATGCGCGCCTGAAGTCATGATGGATGTATTGAAGACAGAGAAATTAGCGAGCGCATTTGCTCAACTGATAAAATGCCATGTTGCTCCACAATACACGGAGTACTGTGTCCCGCGGAATGTTGCATGTACTGATTGGGAAAGCCGTCCGGGTGTGCATCTTGAAGCCAAGACTGTAGTTTGCTCCTCATGTGATGCAGACAGAGTAATCGGGCAATAGCCGACGGGTTGCAATGGACTGTTGCGTATTGAGGTTTGCTCGGATCACGCTGGTGTTGGATCGGGCGGGGTTCATGCGAGATCGGCGGGATTGCTACTGAGTATGGCTTAATCTCGGTACAATGCTATTAGCCTTCACTGCTTTGTCTTAGCGCCAACGTGTTTTCCTGCACGTTTTCCGCATCCTGGCCCACATTTTCTCCGGATCACTCCACGAATTTGTCTCCACGCTTTCGTAGCGCAGTTGACACTCTCTCCACACTCGTCGAGACCCTCTGCCGCGACTCGCATAGCAGCCGAAGACATGCACTCGCGAATCATGTTTGACTACGCATCCTCAGCCATCTCGTAATGACTGCGATAATCTAGGAGTCGCAGCCGCTGCCTATCCTTTTCGTAGCATTGTATCCGCTTTCTTCAGGCGCCCTGTCTTCCTGCTAAAGTGTTTTTGAGCTTGCCTGACCTCGACACGATGGCACAAGCTCACTTGGCGAGTCGGGTGGCGGTTACCGACAAGCTTTGATGAGTGAGAAACAGGCATCGGAGCATGTTGAACATGGCAGCTGCCTCGGCGCAGAATTCATGCAGCTCTGGCATTCCCCGTTTTGCGGAGAAGCCTGTCTTTCCACCAAGTCTATAAAGTGACCCACTCCCCGGGTTGTATGGGTCGTTGTCGATCACTTTCAACGGTTGCTCAGCTTCAACGTCTACTCTGTCGTGCTTCAGTCGCAAGATGGCGGACAACAAAGAGAACATGGGTACTGTCACCCACCAGATGAGCGCAGTGGACGATGACATCCGCAAGGGCGGTGATGTTGTGGAGAAGACTGTTGCTTCGGTAGCTCTTGGTATGTTATATGCATCTACTGAACCGTGGTTGGCACTAACATCCTGAAGCTGCTGCTCTTGAGGCCTCGAAACCTAAGCTATGGTCGAAGAGCATGATCCAGCTGTACATGATCATGGGTATTGGCTACCTTGTCTCGACAATGAACGGATTCGACTCGTCTCTCATGGGAGCTATCAACGCCATGAAGCCGTATCAGAGCACTTTTGGTCTGTCTGGCGAGGGATCCAGCACTGGTATCATCTTCATCATCTACAACTTGGGACAGATTGCAGCTTTCCCCTTCTGCGGTTTCCTTGCTGATGGGTACGGTCGCCGTATGTGCATCTTTGTTGGATGCGCGCTTGTCTTGGTTGGTACCGCTATTCAGGCCACTGCGCACAACATGGGACACTTCATCGGTGGCCGTTTCCTTCTCGGATTTGGTGCCTCGATCGCTTCTGCTGCTGGACCTGCCTACACCGTCGAGTTGGCCCACCCCGCCTACCGAGGCACAATGGCTGGCATGTATAACAACTTCTGGTGGCTGGGCAACATCCTCGCAGGATGGACGACATACGGAACCAATAAGAACTTCGGCAACTCTTGGGCTTGGAGACTTCCTACTGTTGTACAGTGCTTCATTCCGGGACTTGTCATGTTGTGCATCATGTTCTTCCCGGAAACGCCTCGCTGGCTGCTCGCTAAAGACAGGCGTGAGGAGGCTATTGCGATCATGGCCAAATACCACGGCGATGGTGACGAGAACCACCCCCTTGTCCAGCTTCAGTTGCGCGAAATCACCGAGGACTTTTCTGTCACACGCAACGACAACCCCTGGTGGGACTTCCGCGAGCTGTACAACACAAAGGCAGCTCGTTACCGAATGATCATGGTTATCGCTATGGCTTTCTTCGGTCAATGGTCTGGCAACAACGTCGTTTCCTACTTCATGCCCGTCATGGTCAAGAACGCCGGTATCACCGACCCTGACAAGCAGCTGCTCATCAACGCAATCAACCCCATCTTCAGTATGCTTGGCGCTATTTATGGAGCCACTCTCCTTGACAAGCTTGGCCGTCGCAAGATGCTGCTTGGTGGTTTAGCTGGTGCGCTCTTCTTCTACGTTCTGTTGACCGCTTTCACCGCGACCGCAAAGCCCACCAACGATCTCGCTTACGGCACCATCGTCTCGATTTACTGCTTCGGTATCATCTTCGCTTGGGGTTGGACACCACTCCAGACTCTGTACGCCGTCGAGTGTCTCGAAAACAGGACGCGCGCGAAAGGCAGTGGAGCCAACTTCCTCTTCCTCAACATTGCCATGGTTGTCAACACATATGGTATCTCCGTCGGCATGGAGAAGATTGGCTGGAAGCTGTACCTGGTGTATATCGGATGGATTTGTGTTGAGATCGCCTTCATCTACTTCTTCTTCGTCGAGACGGCTGGAAAGACTCTAGAAGAGCTCAAGGAGATCTTCGAGGCACCCAACCCACGCAATGCGTCTCTCAAGCGTGCTAAGATTGAAGTTGCTGGTGGACAGGTTCACAACGTCACTGAGGCTTGAAATGGTGAAACGAAGCAGACTTTGATATACCCCTAATGCGCTATAATGCGGAGCTTTTGGGCTCCATCCACGAGTTCAATCACATATCAATCGATTGTAATGAATAACAACATTTTGCCTTACTCAAAATCTCCTTTTCCGTTTGTTTGCGCAAACAACATGTCGATGCTTCAGCTCCCGCGTCTTAAGCCACATTTCCAGCACTGACTTAACGTCCCACATGACATCCACGTAGATATCATAGTCGATTCAGTTTGACTGACGCACGCTCGTGTGTCTCGGTTGTTAGATTACAACATTCAGAACCACATTGCTAATCTGGGCTGTGCAAGATAGCGCACTTGAGCACTGATATTGTTTCACACAACCAGCAGAGGACAATACGACAGAGGAACAGAAAGGAAGACGACCATCACCCTTCGATCGTTAGGCCCGGTAATCTCATCTCAATCGTCGAGTCACTAACAACAGCAACACTGACCATGCACCTGGCTCGCGTCAGAGCCAATTCTTTATCTATCGCCATCCCTACAACCGGGGCTTTGGCGTCTTCGTCGCCCATTCACTCCTCGATGAGAAACACACCCTCTTCCGACCGACTGTGATACCCTTCCTGTCACATCACTTTCATTTTAGGATCCAGAGACCCCATCGCCACTTCCTATGAACTCACCATCAATGCCTTGTACGAGTTCGCCATCAATCCTCCCTACGAGCTTCTCATCACCGCGAACGTCACCCATGTCACCTTTATAACAACACCATTGTCTTACTACTCTGAACCTGATCATCCCGAGTTGTCACCACATCAAGCAGTCACGGCAAGGCCACCTGTGTCACCACGCCTATTGCTGCCTCCGACATTACCGTACTAGGTCCTCTCACCATACACACCAGTAACACCACGCTCATCTCAATTCCCATACTCACCAATCTCGCCTATATCACCTATGTCGCCACAATCGCCAGTCAACCCCACCCTCTCACCTCCATAGCCACGCCTTACCGCCACAACGTTCTTTAGAATCGCCTCGCCATTGCTCCCAGCATCCCCGCTATCGATCTTCGACCGCGCCATCTCGCCTACATCGCCAACCTTCTTGCTGAGCACGACTCCATCGCCAGGTACGCCTAGCTGGCAGCCTACGTTCCTGAGGACGGCGACCCCGAGTATGGTTGAGGGCGATACGTGGAACGGCTCGAGTCCGACGTTTCTATGGCCTCGAACGCCGCCTGCTATACCCTATGCCGGCAACAGCGCAGCTGCTTCTAGTAATGAGTTCGAAGAGGTGGAGGGCTTGGAGCGGCGGTGCTCGTTTGCTGATCCACCCATCGCGGCTGATGGGGTTGATGAAGTGGACGCAGCGGACGCCGAGCGGAAGAAGATGAAGATCGAGTTCTACCACTTTCTCGCTGCTAAACGGGTTGCGGCTATGAATCGCCTCTCTGCGTCGCCTTCTTTGGCGAGTTCGACGAGCCGGTTTACAAAGCCGTGGACGAAGCTGTTGCAGAGCCCATGACGAGCAAACGTAGTCGCTTCAGCGTGTGGGGTGGGTTTGATCTCGAGCTTGATCTTGGATGGTGTATGTGTGCGAGCGGTATCGGCGGTCTGCTGTACACCTGAAGATTGATGGTATCTAGAGTTGCTCTATTCTGGATCTGAGTTGTGTTGCTGTTGTTACATCCGTATGGCGGAACACCTATCAGGTTGTCCTGGCTCTGTGCTTACTTTGCATCTCGTCCGTCACGAACTCGATTCGCCGGATCTGAAGCTCCTTCCGACGGAACAATGCTCTATCTGTACCTTATCTTCGCGACGCGGCTTTACATGGGGTGGACTTTAGTGCTGCATGTTCCTCTCTCACCAAGATCAGCGGACACTAGCAGCGGAGCCCAGGCATGGGTCTACGTGTGCTGATGGGCTTTTGTGGGTTCTTGTGGTTTCCTTGCGATTTATAGACAGTGAGCAGGGTTATTGGTGTACGTGGACAAAAATTGAAGATTTTGCTTGAGAGCTTATCGAGTCTGAGTATCTGTACGTAATCTGAAATAGACAATATCATACGCACTGATACTTCCGCCAATGCCTGCCAGGTATGAGCGCGTCAAAAGCGTCAATGCTGCGTGGTCTAGCTACGCTTGAGCTGAATGTTTTGTCAGGCCTCCTAGGCTCCGTGCTTACAGTATGGCTGCTTTAGTTTTGCGTGAATTTCTTTCACGTAAAGCGTGCGGGCGGTAATGCACCCCGCAGACTTCGCAAGACCTCAATACGATGGTCTAGGAAGGTAAGCTGGGGAAGGTCCACCATGACATGAGTAGCAATCGTGGTGCGCCTCAACTCAGCTGGCCCGAGGTTTCAAAATGGATTCTCTCACGTAACAGCTCCATAATAAGACGGGCGGGAATGCGCCCCGGGAACCCTCGTCTGGGAGATCTCGCGAAAAGCTGGGGTGATCCGGCGGTGCCGCGTTGGTGCCGTGATGCGGCTTGTGTCGGCCGATCAAATCTGTGCCTGAGGCTGAACGCCGCAACTCAGATTATCCGTCAAAGATTGAAGAACGAACTTCAACACTCGGTGCGCCTCTGGAAATTCTTGCATGCAGGCGATCGGCGTCGTTTGTTGCGCTGTTGTCATATCACACCAGTGGCTGAGGATAGTGTATCTTTGAAAATTTTCATGCCTCAACAACGTGCACGAGGAGCTCAAATGCGCCCCTCAAACAAGCTCTTACTGCGGGCAGACGTTGTGCGGCCCGACTCTCGAGTCCCTATCGCACGAGTGGTTGGACCGGTGAGAGGTGGTTAGACCACACTTGTACAGAGCCTCAGGATCAGCTACACGTGTAAGACACCAACGCAAGGCACATCGCAGGAGGTCTGACCGAAAGGAATGTGCTGCCGAAGCCCTGCATTGCTCACAGAACCTTGTGCGGGGCAGCACGTTGCGAACGTTGGATACGTACAATGTATGGTAGGTGGAAGAGAGTGCAATGTCGCGCTCACGACAAGCGTTGTGGTGTTGACAGTGTATGGTAGTTGCACGCGCGTGGACCCAGATATCGTGGGTCTGCAAAAGTGTCCGTGTGGGAGATCATAAGCTTAGACATCCCAACTGTCAGTTATCAGTGGAGCCGCCTAACACGAGGAAAAGTGGATTTCCGAGTGCCTCTTTTGACGTCTTGCGATAAGAGTGATTCAACAAGGCAAATAATGGTTGTCTCGATTCATGATGTCAGCGTTCTCAAATTGCAGAAACTGCGTCCATACAAGATTCGATTTGAGTGCACACTAGTCTGATCGCGTACGGTGCTTAGCGAATGGGAACGACGCGAGTAAGCTCGATGGCCGTTTTTATTGATTGCGATTGGCTGTAATTGGCCGGTAAAGGTATAGTCATAGGTGCGAGGCGCTCTCTTGGTTATGACGGTAATGCGCAGCAATGTTTTGACGATGGTCAGCGTCGTAGATCTGAGTTCGATATCAGCGACTGAAGAACGAGCTGCTCAGCCTCTTATGCCAGCGTTGCGCCTCGCAGGCAAGAACGACCCCCCACGTACTGATAAGGGTTCACCGAACATCGTGTTTGGCGATGTTAGCTTGATGCAATGATAGCAGCGCCGAGTATCCGTGTTCATGGGACAGGGTCCAACGTAACATAGGGGTATCACGACGCAGGCGCGCAAACAATACATCGCCGCGCCGCGCAGACTATTGTGTTGGCTTGGCCATACTCTGGGGTAAGTTGTCAACCTCGGTGGCTACGGCCGTCTGCTCGTGTCGACAGTTGAAAGACATGAGACGCCTCAACAGCCACTCTTTCCATTGTGACAAAGACAAATGAGAGGAATGGTGGTGATACGGCGGTCAAGTGAACGATGCCCTGAAAGGGTGCTGATTGAAGCCGTGGAGCTAGCCCAAGACGGCAGGTGAGTAGCGTAGGCGAGAGACGGGAACGCACACGTGAGCACGGCCAGGCTAAGCACGAAGGAATTCGTTTTCAATTCCCTTCCAATTGCTTGGCCTCTTTCACAGCCACTGAGAACGCTCTTCTCGAAGGTCGCTGCAGTGTAGCGCGCCGCGGCAGGGTGGCATCTTATCTGCAAGCTCGCGCCTAAGGTGGACATGCCCAGACGGGCAGCTGACAAGACAAAAGGCGTTCCGTCTGATGAGTGAAAGCATCCGCATCCGACAGCAAGCGGGGCCAAGCTGGTGCCCAGAAGTTGCTCTGGTTCTAGAAAGATTGCTGGAACGTAGTGCCTACGGATGAGAGGTGTGGTTATCAGTCCGCGTTGGGCTTCATCTCCGCTCCAGGCACCTGGTCTGACCAACGGGCCTCCCCAGAGTCCACAGTTATTCCCACTGGCCTGCCCAGCACTCCCCGCCACCGATGCCAATGCGCAGAACGTCCCCGCGATGGCAAGAGCCAAGCACCGCCGTGCCCCCACCCCTGCTAGCGCGCTCTCGTCCAACGCTTCTTTGACAGGCAGAGCGGCCGTGATCGTGTGCGTCAGCCATTCACGTTCGCGCGCGAGCGTATCAGTCCGCTGCCCTCGAGCTCCGGCTTCCCACCGTGAAGGATGCGCCGGTTGCCAGCCAAGTAGTCTCTCATTCTGTGTGCCCCGTGCACACGCATCCAGAGGGGATCGCTACCTGGTCGGTCGCGCCGCGAGCCCCAGTCGACTGTTTGCGGAACAGGCTAAAGGACTCGCTGCACTCCCTCTGCTGATCCCGTTGCACATTAAAGAGCGCGCCTGCCCGGCCTCTACCTTGCTCTTGCTCTTTATTCTGCCCTTCCTTCTTGCGCAGACCGCCCATCATGGACCACGAAAAGGTCGCTCCCGTCGACGAAAAGGCCCCCCATGGCGTTACTCAACCCACCGTCTCCTCCCAGGAGGGCGAGTACCAGGGTGAATGGCGTGAACAGGAGGACTTCATGACCCGCAACGGTCTCAACCTGAAGTCCTTCCAGCGTCGTCCCAAGGGTGGCCCATTGATTGTCCTCGACAAGTCCATGAAGACGCGCCATCTGCACATGATTGCCATCGGTGGTTCCATCGGTGCTGGTTTCTTCGTCAGTTCTGGTAAAGCTCTTGCTACTGGTGTGAGTTGTGTCATCCGAGCATTCACTGCAGAAGCACGTACTAATGTTAAGCCTAGGGCCCTGCCTCGCTCTTCCTGGATTTCTCCATCATGGGTATCATGATCTTCAACGTCGGTTTGTAGCTCTGTGGCACTCTTAGTTAACGAACGTGGATCTAACAAGCTTCCAGTATACGCTCTTGGTGAACTCGCTGTCATGTACCCGGTCTCTGGTGGTTTCTACACCTACTCTACTCGCTTCATCGATCCATCCTGGGGTTTCGCCATGGGTTGGAACTACGTTTTCCAATGGGCTATTGTCCTGCCGCTCGAAATCAACGTTGCTGCACTCACTATCGCATATTGGCCGAGCGCCGCTGGCGTCTCCATTGGAGTCTGGATGTTCATATTCTGGTTTTTCATCATTCTCATCAACGTTTTCGGAACCCTGGGATACGCTGAGGAAGAATTCTGGTCTTCTTGTCTCAAGTTGTCTGCGACCGTCATCTTCATGATCATTGCGTTGATCTTCGTTCTCGGTGGAGGCCCCGATAACGGTATCTACAACGAGTACTGGGGTGCCCGTCTTTGGTACGACCCCGGCGCATTCAGGAATGGCTTCAAGGGCTTCTGTAGTGTCTTCGTCACTGCTGCCTTCGCCTTCTCTGGTACCGAGCTTGTCGGTCTCGCGGCTGCCGAGACGAAGAACCCTCTCAAGTCGCTTCCCGGTGCTGTTCGTCAGATTTTCTGGCGTATTACCCTCTTCTACGTCCTCGGTCTTACCTTCGTCGGTCTGCTCGTCCGCTCTGACAACAAGGATCTTCTCGGTGAATCTGGCGCCAACGCCTCGCCCTTCGTCATTGTCGGTCGGGATGGCGGTCTCAAAGGATTCGACAGCTTCATGAATGTCGTCATTCTGGTTTCCGTTATTTCCATCGGTGTCTCTGGTGTTTACGGTGGTTCTCGTACTCTGACTGCCCTTGCCGAACAAGGATACGCCCCCAAGGTCTTTACCTACATGGACCGTTCCGGTCGCCCGCTCTGGTCCGTCGTGTTCGTCCTCATGTGGGGTGCTCTCGCCTACATGAACATGGCCACGACCGGTGTCACAGTCTTCAACTGGTTCGTCTCGCTTTCTGGTCTCGCCGCCCTCTTCACCTGGGGATCCATCTGCCTCGCCCACATCCGCTTCCGCAGGGCTTGGGCTTACCACGGCCACACTGTGGATGAGATTCCATTCAAGGCAGCTGGTGGTGTCTACGGATCCTGGCTCGGTCTTACCATCATCTTCATTGTTCTTGTTGCTCAGGTATGCTTCTCTTCTCCTCGCACTTGGCTATTTCAGAATCTAACGTGGAACAGTTCTACACCGCTGTGTCCCCCATCGGCAGCAAGACCGGTACCGCCGAGCAGTTCTTCTCGGCTTACCTTGCTCTCTTCGTCGTCGCGCTTTTCTGGATTTGTGGTTACTTCTGGAAGCGCACTGGATGGCTCAGGACTTCTCAGATGGATGTTGACACCGGCCGTCGTGAGCTCGACTGGGACCTCATCAATCGCGAGCGCGAGGAGATGAAGACCTGGCCCGTATGGAAGCGGTTCTTCGCCCGAATCTTCTAAACACACTATTGCATGACTTGTCGTGTTAACGGTATGTTATGGGATGCTTTAGGGAGATGTCGCAATGTGGTGACGCAGAGATGATACCTATTAGTTATGTGTGTAATACTTACCTTCGCTCGAATGAAAGAAAGTTCTCATACTTTTCTATTCTCGAGACAATACCTTTTTACCTGCAATGTGTTTGAATCATCAGCTCCAGGCGGCTTCTATGCCATGGCTTTCCTATAGTCTAACTTGGACGCAGGCCTCTAAAAGCTCTATTTGTTGCTGCGCCCTAGTTTTTACCACATCCTACATGCCAGACCGAGCCCGTCGATACTGTATGCGAAGTGTATCAGGACTGGGCAATGGCAAGGGCAGCAAGAGTTTATCCTGGCATTAGAGCTGCATGGCAAACTTGGAAGCTCCAAGAGAAGTTATGCCGAAAGAAGAAGTTGTGTCTCTCTTCGATATTACATCCGACAGTGAGCTAGACCACAAGTCAACACTACACAATGGACTTTAAAGCCTGCATCGAATCCTGTTCTCGCATTATCCGTGGTGCTTGATAAAGACAGTGGCTCGTGATTTTGTACAGGGTGTACCAACCTCAAGCAACAAAAGGTCCTGCTATTCAAAGGTAACGAATCTGAGACGTTGCACTCGTCTTCCTCGGTCCCTGATTTGTCCCTTACAGAGATAAAAGGAGCAGGGGTGGCAAAATGCAGGGCAGCTGGTTCCACGAATAGTCTTTGCAAGTTGGAGCTGCTTCAGATTACCCAACTACACAATGGTCGACGCAAGCGCGGTTTCTCGAGCAAGATGCAACAATTGCACCGCAATAGAGTGAAGGAATATCCAGTGTATGTCGAGCATGCCGAATAAGGACAAGCTATGTGTTGTTCAATGGACTGGACAGCTCCCTAATGAGAATCCTCCATTTGAGCAACACTCCGAGATAGACAATTCGCGCCTACAGCAGTGCTTCGACGGTCCGATTTAGACTTGGCTACGCTCTCCATGAACTGTGCCGCAAAGATGACCTTCCGAATCTCAATACGCCGCCTAGGCAAGACGACAGGTTCATCCATCAATGAGGTAGGTTACGAGGTCAAGGGGAACCAAGACTACTAGAGAACTGTATGATCTGGCAATCCATGTATCAGCCGACAAAAAGGAGTAGTGTAGGTCTAAATGGAGAACGAAGAGTCCAGCTATTTGGTAGATTGCACGAAGAGAGAAGGCAGTACTCGCTAGTAGCTGATGGGGCTACTACGCATGTACAGGTAGGCCATGGTAGCATCGCTAGTGTTGATTATGCGTTGGCATACAAAGTGACTTCTCTTGGCTTGCTGTAAGACAAAGTACTTAAGAATGGCTGAAAAGTTCTCGAAAGGAGACACAGGCTCGACTCCAATCCTCACTGCTCCTACTCACTGTCTTCTCAGAACAAGTCATACCACAACTTCACCATGAAGTCATCCCTTATCTTCATTACCGTACTCAGCACCAAAGTGCGTCCTACCTCATTCTCCCTGCCATCTTCTCCACCGAGTTCTGACTAAGCACCAGGTCTTGCTGCAGCCGTGCCAGACAAGCAAGACTTCTGTCCCCGCAGCGCCAACAAGATACACCTTGGCGACCTCCCGATCATCAACATGAAAGTCACTGACGATCGCTTTCCCGGGCAGGTCTTCAAGGGCACAGTTGACTCTGTGTACTATGAGATGCAAGCACTCAGGCCCGACCTGCTACCCGAGGCATCCGAGCCACTGGCCGGGCGCAATTAAACAGAAAGCAGCGCCTTCAGCCCGATCGAGAGGTGTTAGAGCGGACGTCGCCACCCTCTCGTAATGGTGATGTTGCGTTGAGTTGAGACTGACGTCCTGGATCCAGTTCAACTGCGGCTAGGCCTCCAACCCCACATCCAACCGTGTGGGCCAATGGTGGTGGTGTGTCGATGGTGAGACGTATCTCAAGAACCTAGGCAAGGCGTGGTGCGAGTGTCAGCTGCTCGTACCAATGCGGAATGTTCCTGTGCAACAAGGTGAGCCCCAAGTATTGCGGAGTTGCCGTGTGTTCTTGATATGGTACTGATCAATCGTTCAGATAGAGCACCGTTCGGGGTCCTTTGCAAAGACACTGCTAGCGATGTTGGTCCGATTGCTGGCCAGTGCAGCGATAAGGTTGGGAGGGCTTGGGTGCAAGAGATTTCCCTATGCACTTCATTGGTCTGAGGAGCCAGTCGTGCTAGAGGTAGACACTCCTGTTCGCCGCCCCTCCATCTACCTGCGCGCATGTCCTTACCGTAGCAAGATTGGAGTGCTGATTATAATGTTGCTCGTCTTTGGTTGATTGACATCGTGGGCTCAGTGCCGTGAATTCTGATTAGCTGGGTGGTAAAAAGCAGATATAATCAAGTCATAATTGGAACAGGTACTGAGCACTGCGTAAACAACAACAACAATGCGCGTGAACAGCTGCTCAAGAGCGGTGAGAAGTTTATCAATGCCGGGTTGTTTCAGACTGCAAAAAGAGACAGAGAATATCGTTGGTGGATTTACCGTTTGAAATAAAAATAACAGATGCTTTTGACACAAGAACCATCTTATGCATCCTCCGGGAGTCGAACCCGGGCCAATTGCTTGGAAGGCAATTATCCTACCGTTGGACCAAGAATGCTAGATGTAATCTAATAAATATGTAAAGTATATATTCTATTAACAATCTTGGATAGTACAATGTTGACGTTCACTTTTCCTCATGCATGACCGGTCCCCTTGCATGGCTCGTGCATTTCTACGTGCGCTCATCGAAGCGATTGCCGATATCTACTCTACTTCATTCGCGTGATCAAACAAGCACTCGTGATCCATGTATTCTCCAGGCCTTAACTTCTTGCGATAGACCGCTTGGGAGGCGTGCCGTGTATCTTCCTCAGCATGACGAATCGTACACATGTTTGACTCTTGATGAGAACACCTGTCGACACCGACCAATCGCACAAAGGACACTCTGTCAAAGTCGCGTCCGCAATGACGTGTTACACTGTCCCGCAATCCTTTGCATAAGCTCTCATGTTGCCAAGAAGCTCAGACTGATCCTTGCGTTGACCATGAAGCCTAGAGTATATATGTAGTATTCATGTCATCCTCATGTACCCAAAGCTACTTGCAAGGTGTTTTCTATATAGGAATTGATCACAATCAACCAAAGCTGCTTTGACTGTGTTCCGTATTTGGAGTTCGTGGTGTTTTCGAACATCATGACCAGCCCCTGCCATGGACCCTGGAGGTAGTCGCAATCGAGTTAGAAGACGACCCCACGTGTTCCGAGGCGGTGAGGACTAAGACCCCTCAAAAGACACGAAGTTCAATTGAAGCTCCCTTACATACTTTCACTCTTAAATCCTCAAAACGAGTAGCTATCGCTCATACGATTGTTCAATTACCATCCATAAGACTCGACATCAGCACAATTTTCAAGATGGCCGCTGCAGCTTCTGTTTACCCTCCGCTCGACCAGCGCCCGGTCAAGAACACAGTGCTTTTGTTTGATGTCGATGACACACTTACAAAGCCGCGTCAGGTAAGAAGTTTTGTTGCTCTTTAGAGCTTCAATGCTTGCAAACCCTACGAACGAAAGTGCCCAAACGCTTTCGGCTCCTCAGGGCTCAGCAATCTTCTCTGTTACCACCAGAGCAACTTCCCAGTTCTTCCAATCGCAATGTTCACGGCGTTATGAACACTTTACTAACACCTCAATCAGCTTGTCAAGCCAGAGATGCTCCAGCTGCTCTCTGAGCTCCGTCACAAGGTCGCCATTGGCTTCGTAGGCGGCTCGAACCTCGCCAAACAGCAGGAGCAGCTCGCGACTGCCGACGTCAACGTCACATCCCTCTTCGACTTCTGCTTCGCCGAGAACGGTCTCACAGCATACCGGTTGGGAGAGCAGCAGGCCAGCCAGAGCTTCATTGGGTGGATCGGGCAGGAGAAGTACAACAAGCTCGTGAATTGGTACGTCTTCCACTCTCATATGAGCGCACTGCGACGGGTGTGATCAGCCGGGTATTCAGCGGGCAGAAGAGCTCAAGGCTGACGTAAATTGTCAGGATTCTTCACTACATTGCCGACCTCGCTATCCCAGTCAAGCGTGGTACTTTCGTCGAGTTCCGCAACGGCATGATCAATGTCTCTCCCATCGGCCGTAACGCCTCGACCGAAGAGCGCAACGAGTACCAGAAATACGACATCGAGCACGACATTCGGCCAACCATGGTTCGCAAGCTGAAGGAAGAGTTTCCCGACTACGGTCTCACATACTCGATCGGCGGACAAATCTCCTTCGACGTGTTCCCTACCGGCTGGGACAAGACGTTCTGTCTGAATTTCATCGCACAAGAGAAGGAGAGGGAAGGTGGCGTGGACTACAAGACAATCCACTTCTTTGGTGACAAGACACACAAGGGTGGCAATGACTACGAGATCTACAGCGATGAGAGGACGATCGGCCACTCGGTAAAGAACCCAGATGACACATATGCGCAGCTGCAGGAGCTGCTCAAGTCGTTTCAGCAATAGGCGGTTGACGGGCAAGCTAAATGCGAAATGTATTGCAAAGAATTCAATCTGAGTAGAGTCCGAGCATCATCACAATAGACTTGAGATTGCACAACTCAACTTTAACCTCATGTCCAGAAACTATCTAGCAATCACCACTATGGCATGTGTGGGCTTGACTTGGTGTGCAAGTCAGGATCAGCAGGATCAATATGCGAAGCAAGCAATTGTGGTAAACACATGTTTTGGCTTATGCTGAGTGACGACGGGGTTCTTCATTCTGTCTAATTTCGTTAAGTCCTGCTCCACCAAATTAGGTCTTATCACTTACGTAAAGGCTATTGCGAGTCAGTATTGTTTCCCTTGCGTCGTCCAGCCGTACTCAATTTCGCTCACAAAAATATGCATTTCCTGGCTTTTGTCAGTATGATGCCAAACTGTGGTGCCGTTCTAATAGATGGCAGAACAAGAATCACGATTGGAACACATCGTTCCAGATTAAATCACATTGCTACGCATTACTCCTAGCATCTGTTCATATCAGCATTCTGCGTCCATCACCTTCACTACCATTTAACTGGGACAGAATCGATATCGTGTATACGGGCAGGATTCGTTACTTGCTAGTTATTGCATCAACATACTCATTCAATGGGGATCTTCATGGCCGCCGGAAACCAGTGACTAAGATCATGCAGTATTCAACTTATCGAGTATCAATTGTGTGGTCTACCACCACTCCGAGGAAATGATTCAATCATCCTGGGCATTCGCAAAACTCCATAAAATTCGCGTAATTGCGTATGTCCTTGACGCTTGCAGGTTCCCGCAATCACAGCGACGTCGCTAGAAGTCGGTCCCCGGCATCGTTGGTATGTATTGAGGCATCATGGCCGTGGAAGTATTCAAGCACTCACATTCTACACAACAATAACCAGAGTTCCACCATACACGGAGTCGTACATGCTTCCCCCGGCACAAGAACACGATAATATATGTGACAGACTATGCCACTGGGAACCAGTTAATCTGCGCCAGCTATCCGTATTCATATGCTACCCTAACTACTGCCGTGACCCGCTGTCACTTTGTCCACCGGCGCTCTGTTCAATTCGACTACCACCTTCGTGGTAGCAAGTCCGACGGTCAAGTCCAGTTGTGGCGGTACCAAGGTTTGTATCACATTGTGAAGGTTTGTTGAACGGTGTGGCAGGGGCTCGCTTCGCAGCCGATGCTGGGATGTGCACTGCATCTTGAGCAGTGTGATGATACATCACAAGTATTAGCTACATTGAGGTATTTGCAGAATGTGAAATGGAATGTTCGTAAGACTTCGTTTCAATTCATCGTGATATGCTACCTATGTCTCCTAGTCCAGTTCAGTTCATTCTGTGAACCATACAGTCTGGTTCCATGTAACGACAGCTTTTGTGTATCGGTCCCAAGATGCTAAATGCCATTATCAACTGTCCATCGACCTTGCGGTCTGGTCCACCACCGAAGTCTTTGCGATTTGAAGAGAAGTGCTATGCTATGTTATGGAAAGGGAGGAGTTGCAAACCAAACAAGAGACAAGGAATACTCGGAAGGGTATAATAGCGGTCATGATATATTAAAGAAAGAAACAATTCCAACAAAAGACAACAAAAGTGTGCGAGCACGTTGATGCGCTCACATGCCAGCACCATTGACAGTGACCTCGTAGCCCTCATTTTTGGCCTTGAGAGCTTTGGCGAGCATGAGCTCGCGCATCCAGTCAATGCGTCCATCACGGCCTTTGGTGGCAAAGTGATGTACCTTACCGTGCGGCATGACCTTCTTCGTGTCTCCGACGGTAGGCACGAGCTGGAACTCAAAAGCAGAGGGGTTAGCCAAAACCTCTTCCTTCTTGCTCGATGAGAGCTTGAGGGCACGAAGTTTAGCAGAGAGCTTATTAGACGCAAGCGATGAGCAAGCGACAGCATAGTCGTCGACGTCAATGGTCTGTAGCGCAGATGAAGAGGGCAGCTCGTTGGGGTGCATGGCCAGCACTGTGCCGTTGAGACGGAAGTGGTGGTCCTGCCATTCGTGACGCAGCATCTTGGTCTTGCGCTTCTTCATCCACCCGTGATGGTTGACACCTTTGTACTCGAAGCCCCCCTTGCTTGGAAGCGGCGCGAGCTTGTCTTCGGCTTCTTGGATACCCGCAAGCTCCGTCTCCTTGACGGGTGACGAGTCAGGACTATTGTCGAAGAACTGTGTTCCACGGTAGTTGTCATCATCGGAGTGGGCACCTGTAGGTGTGAACACATGGTCCTCATTAAGCGCCGGCATGGTCAACGAGGGACGGCGTCGTTCACTGCGTGATCCAGCCCTCTGGAGTTGGATCTTGTACTGCATGTTCGGTGGTACAGACTGGCTTGTGTCACGAGCCACAGGTTCGACGTGGATGGCCGTTACGGGCACGTCCATCATAGAGGCTGGTGTACCGAATCGATAGATACCGCCTGGAGTAATAGCAGTTTCACAAGCCGGCGAAAATGCAGTGTCCGGCGTGACATACGAGCTCTGTGGTACAGCATGGCGTGGGTTACCTTGGGGCTGGGCAGACATGGAACGTGGTATTGTGAGCTTTGGGAGACTCCTGAGGTTCGAGTGCGGGGCTGGCGTGGTTTCTGGAGAGTACAGGACGGGGGTTGGTAGGGTGGCAGGGTCGAATTTCATCGTGTGAGCAGAGGTGGACGCAGAAAAGGCCGAGACTTGCGGATAGTGCTGAGTTTGGGGTATTATCAGCTGCGGGCGGGAAGGAAACATGTCCATTGGCGGTGTTGGCGGCGCTTCAATTGGTGTAGCCGTTACGTAGGGGTGATCCATGCCTTGTAGCGAAAGGAAGTGTCGCACATTGTCCTGAGGATCGCATTGCTCCAGCTTCTGGAGATCCTGCAAAGTGAAGTCTGGCAGTTCGCCCGGTCCGAGAAGGTCGGAGGATGCTACCACGGAAGGTACGATTTCTGATGGTGCCGCATCAGACACTGGGCGATGCACGTTCTCAACGGCGCGATGTGCAGTGTGAGCATTGCCTGGATCTCCTGCAATGAAAATCTTGCCACCCTTCTCCGGAGAGATGGGGAATCCATGCTCTTCTTGAAGTCTAGCCAGTTGACGTTGTTGCTTTCTCCATTTGGCGCATCGCTCACCCTTCGCACACACATGCGGCTTGGGCAGCAATTGCTCGATAGCAACAATGGAAACGGATTCGGCAGGTGTGATCAAGTCGTCTGCAGGGTTGCGCCGGCGTCGTCCACCTCGGTTTTTGCTCTTCGATCTTTCCCTCGCCTCGGTGCAAGGGCGCTCGATGTCCTCGAACGGAGTAGGTATCGGAGCAGGTGCGACAGGAGAAGCGAGGCCATCTGCTGTACGTAGAGAATCGATCTGATGCCACAGCTGATGCCTCTTGCCAAACGATTGGATCTCCAGCTCTCTAAGATCATCGAATTGCAGGTCCAATAATACTGCGCCAGTGATATCGTGAGTGATAAACTTGTCGATCACATCGTCTTCAAATCCATTTTGATACATCCAGGTAGCAACATCGCGCGAATTCCAGGCGCGCACTTCAATATTATCCAGATGTGCCACAGCAGATGCGATGTTGTTGTATTCCTGTTGCGGTACGATCGTGGCGGGTGTGGGTTCTCTCGAAGATGTCGGAAAGCGGGATGTCATGTCCTTGGGGAGGAGCGGGGACATCTGCAAAGCATAGTCGAAGTCGTTGGAAGACTGTGAAGCGCGGAAGAGATGTGGGCCCCTCGGACCTTCCACAGCTTTTGGCAGATACCAGTCAGCATATTGTGGTCTTATATCGTCTCCCGGTGTTCGCACTTCCTCGAAAGTCGAAATGGTAGTCTGGCTTCGCCTGTTATCGCTCTGATATATGTCAGCCAAGTAGAACGGCTGAGTTCCCTAAGATGCTTTACAGATGAGCCACTATACTCTTCGAATTCGCTGGAGTCATCCTCAATGTCGGTATATGCGACGCTTATCCCGGATACCGGTCGTTCAAGTGAAGATCGTACTGTGAGATGTGAAGAGAAGAAGGAGTCTCTTGACTTCCCTCTCTCGAACATCTCTACGCCCGGTTCTAATGGGGTAATGGGTGTCATGGCCTGCTTCGAGGTCGTTAGTACTTCCTATTCGAGTTGACTGGATCTAGTGTTTCCTGCTTACCATGATCACGGGTTTGGAGTGTGCACACTCAGAAACAAAAGGTTCAGTCGCTCAATGGCAGTTTAACAGTGTATCCGGGCTAATGCCTCAAGCATGGCACGCGCACGGGGTCAGAACAACGTTGGAAAATCGGAAAGGGACCCTTCGGGTAGAGGGCGCTTGCAGGTGTTCTTGTAGAGCGTGGTTGAGTGACCGTTGAAGGCTGGTGGCTTGAGACTGTCACAGTTCAACTGCTGCAGAGAAAGCACATCTGCCGGGTTGTATCCTCCAGTGAGAGTTCTCGAGTCCAAGATAGACACGAAGCCTCCGCCAATCCGCGAGCGGACCTTTCCCGCCCGCATGATGGTCGATGTGAGGCCGGCGCTTGTACGACATCGTTGAGAGGGCACGACAGCAACGCTATTCGTGGCTCTGCAGATTGAAGATGGACCTAAATGCTCCCAAATAGGCAAAGCAAATGCCATTAATATCTTTCACCGCAGGTCACACTGCACTAGACCAGGATCGAAAGGGGCCCGCACTGGATCAGGCTCGCTTCGGGACGACGGCAATGGGCGCACCGTCAACGGGACAGTGCTCAAAGAGATTCGTCCAGAGGCGCCAGAGGCGATCATCGCGGACGCCGGCTTCGAACACCAGATGCACTGCAGATCTGAGTTGGCCATGCTGTGTACGCATGCAATGTACGGTGCCTACTTCGACACGTCGCACAGCCTCACAATGGTACGTTCTTAGAAGTACCTCCGGTCCGGAGCTATCTTGTTTTCTTGTCGCATGAACAACTTTTGCCCGTCCAGCGGTCAACTGACTCTGGCTTGGGCTTGAGCGGCGATGATAGGAATCCCTTGCCGGTAATGCTTCGGGCTGCAAGCGTTGTGGCTGGCCAGTAAGGTTGGGGGAACGTTTGAGATGAATTACAGATTGCGGGATGCGGACGGGCTTTTCCGACAGGGACCGCGGCCTCGCGAAAGTATGAATCGACAGCCTCATCTCAAGCCATCTGCAACACGCGATATTGGCAACAGCTCATCACAGATTGTGCCGGGATTTCAGCACAACGCACGGCTGCTGACAAGCCGCGTGCACTCGCGTGTTCGGATGCACATCAATTCCGTATACGTCATCGGTCTCTCATTCAGTCTCAACCAGCCTCCATGCTCGAATCTATCAAGAAGACTCCTCGGGCCACTCTGCTGTACAACGCGACCATCTGCGACCGATAGCGGTTGAAGCGTTGACTCACCGTGACGCCAGCACACGGGACTCAATGACTCCACCGTATCAATCTTCGACCCTGACCGCTGCTTCTCCGGCCGCGAGAGGCTCACTACTCAAGGGAGCAACTTGTGAGAGATCACGATGGAACCCTCGCCAGGCCTTCAGCCAACGATTTTGCAAGAAACACCCACACCATGATCCCGTGACTGAAAACTCATGCGGGTCGAACTGACTCTTCTGCTCTCTTGCCCTCCGCTACCACGATGGGCCTGTTGAAGCGTGGTTGAGCAAGACGAATCAGCTTGTAAAAGTGCTCTCTGGAGTTCACACTACATCTCGCTAAAGAAGCTTGCGAACAGGCATTAGCCTGAACCCACATCGACGCTCCATTGCCAAGAGAACTGTGAAAAGCTACTTTGCGCACCTTTCGCAAATACGGCGCCGACACAACGGTCGTTGTACCGTGCTCGACATTCAGAACTCTTCCAGACCTGCGTCGCGCTCCGAAGAGTTTTACCGATGGCATACGGCTTACGTTTAGCTCATCTTCATCAATGTAAGCTGAGTCGTTCACCCTGGCCGAAATCTTGAAAGGAATAATAGGTTCCAGGTAATTTGCCAAAGAAATTCGACGAGCGACCTCATCCTTTGTGTTGACGAGGCCCACAACCAGGCAAGGGAGTAGAAGGGTCTCCCAAAGACCAGGACGGAGACCACGGGTTGGAGTGGATACCAGGGCGTCCACGCTGTCAGGTGAGCAAATCTCACGCATGCTCGAAGCCCGAGGAGTACATGTGTACTCGAGAGCCATTCGTGGACTATCAAGTATTGATTGCCACGGTCGGTAACCAATGGCAGGTTGCAGCAGCCGTATGTCATCCAAACAGGAAAACTCTCCATGCTCACGGAGGCCCGATCAATGCCCAGCTTAATTAGCTACAATTCCCCGAGGTCAATGACCTAATTAAGGGAATATAGTAGCAAGCCTGCGCGGAGCTGTCCCTGTCATGTGGCTGGGCCCACTGTGGGAGCTAGGCCTCTATGCAATCTCATTGGCCGGACTGGAGAAAGCTTGTCAAGCAAAATCCAACTCCCACGCATGCATCTGCACCACTCAGCGCGCAATCCCGCGCGGAGACAGCCATCACGCCTTCGCTCTATCGCTTCTGCATGTTGCACCCATGCCAGTGTGCCGCGTCACACGAGAAGTCACAACTCGCGTAGCTCGGACATGCGCACCAACCGACCTGCCCCGTTGGGTTGACCATGCTCTCTGTCTTCTCGTCCGTCTAGCTAGCTCGGTTGTCGAGTCCCGCAGTGGAAATGATCACGACAATTGCGACCTTGAATCGGGCCAGCTCCAGTCTGCATGACCCCTCTCTTTTGCCCCAACGTTCTGGCCGCACGTTGCACGAACGAATAGCTTCGAGAAACAGCCGCATATTGCGGTGCCACGAGTCACCACGCATTTGTCGGTGTCGACGCTGAAGCAGGAACAAACCTCATGCTGTTACGCTTCACGACATCGAACACGTTCATTCAACGCTCCACATGCACTTCACAGCCAAAGATCTGCGCAGACGGGTCAGGTCACTAGCAACGTTCGGGCCGGCCAGTTATCGCAGCCGCTGCAAGTGCTCACGGATGCATTTCTGCTGCCCCGCAAGAGGTTGGGGACAGTGACCAGCCAAGAGACACGGACCTTCACCAAAGCTCCCGAAGCGAACCAGGGAATCCTCTTCTAGCACCGAAAAGGTCAATTTAACGTGCTCGACAAGCTTGCGAAAGCCTTGCAACCGATCGATAACCGTCTAGATATGCACCCCTCCTAAGCGTAGTACTGCAGCTGGTCTTAGCGCGGCGGGTAAGTAAGCCCCAAAATAGGTGCAACCTCGAAATGTCCCAAATTCCGATATCTGCCTGTACGACTAGTCTGACCAATCACTGCGCCGTACGACGTGCATAATGGCGTTCGCACTCTCATGCCGTTGGATGGATCCTCTTGACCACTGGGTCGATAGTATGGGGTCCAGAAATAGATCGAGCAGCATTTGCTCACATTTGTGCCGTTCGTGGCATTCTTAAGGTACATATATGCCAGTCCCCTTCCCTCCAAGGAAAAGCAGACAGCAGCATAATTTGGTTCCCTCCTTTTCACACTGAAGTCCGCTGGTCGAACTTCGTCTACCTATCTTTAATTACGAGCAGCCGGCCGAGCCCTGCCATCCTGTCCCTTGCAAATCGTCCCGTCGCGCGTTAGTCGTTATTGCCGCATTGTTTACTAGCTTTCTGTACCATTGCCCGGGGCTTTAGTACATACATCGCCATGTCGCCCTCTTCAGCACTCACATCAGCTGTCAAGCAACCTTCAACCATGGTTGGAACCACAACAGCTGCCAACGCAGCAAAGCAAGCTGCCTCAAAGATGCACCGTCGGTCACGAACAGGTAAGGGCAACCCTTTTAATTGTCATGCAGGGATCCATCCCGCTTGAACGCTTAGCTAATTGTAGCTCTGCAGGGTGCTTCACATGCCGTCTGCGACGGAAGAAGTGCGACGAGGGTAAGAACTCGTGTCGTGCCTGCAAACATCTTGGTCTCAAGTGCGAATACAAGAGACCAGTATGGTGGAGCAACAACGAGCAGAGGAAAAACCAGAAGGAGGTCATCAAGAACATCATCAAGCGCACAAAGTTGAACGAGAAGACTGCACAAGGAGTCGCAATGAGCACCAACACACCGCCAAGTCTCTGCCACTCAATGCAGACAGCTGACACCTATTCTGACGGCATTGCCTGCACTCGCGCACAATCAGTCGACTCTCAGAACTCCTTGGACTATAACTTCAACACAGTAACACCACCCAACTTCTACAACGTGGCGATGCCTCCGCCAATATTCGCTCCTGTTTACCAACAACCTGGTCAATTCGCGCCTTACGAGATCGACATCAAGACTGAGAGCCAGATGTTCATCAATGACGTCCCCACTCGCAGGGACTCCACATTCTCTACTTTCAGCCACTACCAGACACCACCAGCCGTCGGTCAGGGTTACCCTACCGACAACTGGATCCAGCATGACTACTTCGAGAGGCACCGCGAGGCCTTCACAGAGGAGCCACTTGACTTCAACACTTTCGACTTCCCTACCCACAGTGCCTTCAGCCCTTCCCATCAGCCTATGGTTCAAGTCGACGAATGTGATCAACACCTTCTCACTCACTTTATCGACAATGTCATGCACATGGTCTACCCGGTGCTCGAAGCCAACCAGCCTGGATCAGCCCGCGACAAAGTCATTCTGCCAGCGCTGAAGTCTAACAAGGCTTACCTGCATGCCTGCCTGAGCGTTTCCGCCCTGCACATGAAGACCACTCAGGGGCTCCAAGGTGAGGAGGTCGACAACGATGTCTACAGGAACCGTTTCGCCGCTGTTCAGCAGCTCACAGACTCCCTGATGAGCGATCGCGACCACGCTGAGACCTTGGAAGCCACCCTTGCCATGATTTTCTTCCCTTGCTCGGTCGGTCGATTCGACGATGCTCTGGTTGACATTCCCTGGCACCAGCACTTCCAGGCGGTTCAAAGCCTTGTTCACAAGCTCGAACTCCCAAACCAGCTTGTCGCAATGAACGGACAGCAACAGGCTCAGCCTCCCTTCAACATGACCCTCGCTTCATGGATAGACATCCTCGGCGCAACCATGCTCGGCAGGACACCATCCTTTGCTGATACCTACCGCGAGAAGCTTATCGCTGATGCGCCCTCCGGCCTTGCCGAGCTCATGGGCTGCGAAGACCGAATCATGTACTTGATCTCGGAGATCGCCTGCCTCGACGCTTTGAAGCAGGAGGGCATGGACGACGTCCAGCTCTGCCAACACATCCAGCTTCTTGGTGAGCAGATCAGCCTGACAGAGCCACCTGTTGGCTCAAACAATAGTGCGCTCTCGTCTACTGGCGAGATCCTCCCCAGGCAGCTTCGCAGGAACATGACCGCAGTCTACCGCCTGGCGGCTCGCATCTACCTTTGCAGCCTGGTGCCCGACTTCGATCGCACTCAACCCATCAACGCCAACCTTGTCAGCGCGCTCAGCAAGGCTATGGACTACATTCCAGCTGGACCTGAGGGCTTTGACCGCTCGCTTGTATGGCCCCTGCTTGTTGCAGGCACAGTCTCTTTGCCCAACTCATCTTTCCGCAAGATGTTCTCTGAGCGCACTAGCCGCCTCGGTGATGCCTCCAACTCCGGTTCATTCGGAAGGATGAAGGCGCTCTTGAACGAGGTGTGGGCTGTCAACGACTACAACCTCTCCAAGGGCACCAAACAGAGTGTCCACTGGCGGGACACGATGCAACAGAAGGGCTGGGACTTCTTGCTCATCTGAGCATCCCCGCCAGTCTGCTGGACAGCATCTTCATCTGTTTTCACATTCACTTCAGGCGACTTTCGCCAAAAAGCTCTTGCTTCTTTTTTGCATATATTTTCTTCTCGCACTATACCCACTTTCTGTTCTTTCAGCATTATCTGCTCTGGCGAGCTAGAAGCATTTTTACGGCGCGGAGCATCGACTGGCGATGCAGCACTATGACGATACGGATGCATACTTTGGGTTGGGAAAGGGGCATTGGGAAGCTAGTGCAGCTCCCACTTTCTGTACAGTACTTGATAGGGGCATTGCCCAGCTCAGGAAGAATTGAAGTCAACACTGGCGTATCGCTCAAACCTTTTGCCGCCCTCTTGCGTTCCAGATAGTGATTGGATACCAGTGCTCGAGGCTGCAACCTCGACAATTGGCTTGGAGTCGGTGGGTCCTGCCCCGTTTCTGACAGGCTGACGTCTAAATTTAGCTAGGGTACCGAAGTTCCATCGACGCTGCATCTCGACACGGATTACGATTCTGTCCTGCAGTCTGTCTGCAGCGCATTTTCTGGTTGCTCTACCAAGACGGAAGAAGGTTTTGCCTGAGTGTAATTAGCCCCAGCTGATCTGGAGCCCGTCGATTACGGGCCGCGCCTTCCTCCAGGGCCCGCAACTCAGCCGTCCTGCGTTAACGCAGCATTTCGACTTCGTATTCCGCCCCCACCCTTTCTGTATACGCCTCCGTACCGTGCTCTCGATCATCGTACTCCACACAAGCCCATGGCGTCCCCGGCCACACAGCCCTTTACGTCCGTAGACACGACGACGCAGGGACCGCACAAGGACGAGGTCGAGTCGCCGAGCATCTCAGTCACAAATGCGCTGGCACGCTACGAGTACGACCATGCCACACCCGGGGGCACCAAGATCCTTATGGTAGAATGGGAAGATGACGACTCAACGCACGGTGTGCGCGGAGACTGGCACGTGTCATGGGAGGGGAGCACAAGAGTCCTGCCAGCGGACGACCAGCAGGCCAACGATGTGAACCGCATGTATTTCCTGCTGCCAGCAGGCAGTGCCGTGCCCAAGAGTGTCACCCTCACACACCGGCCGCAGGAAGCTGGTAGGACACCAGTAGTATGGCACACGAACCCGCTGCCTGCACTGTTTCCACCAGAACTAGGAGCATCAGCACGCGCAGCGGGGAAGAAAGGTGTCTTGCACACAATATGGGCGAAGAAGAGATTACAGGTGCTGCAAAAGGAGATTGAAGCTGAGTCGCGAGACAACGTTGAGGGCATCGGGTTGCTCATGGCGGTGCAAGAGAAGGAATGGATTGAGCAGACATTCGGCGTCAATGCGCGACCATCCGGTCTCAGCTTCTCGCTCCCAACAGGACCACCAACGAACGGCCCTGCAAGTCCCAGATCGCCTGGTGGAGGACGATTGCTTGACAAGCTGGCGGGCTTGAAGCTAAGCATCAACCAGCGCGATCTTACACCCAAGTCTGAAGACATAAACGGCGATGCGCCGTTCGCCAACCCTCTCTCACCAGAAGGCTCAGACGTTGCCGTATCCTCATTCTCTTCCTTCGCGATGCTGAAAGGCGAGAACCCCTCGTCACTCGCAGCGAAGCCACCTCAGCCTCCTCAGCCATTGCAAACAACAGCGCCACGGAAGGTTGCAGTCCAGGTTCCACCTCCCTCGATCGTTGCCCGCCAGGACTCTACAGGAATGGCATCACTGAATGCACTGTCAAGCCCAGCCCCCATGTTCCAGTCCCGGGGACCTATAGCCACAGATGACGACGACAACGATGAGGGCCTTTTCGCAAGTCCAATCGACCCGAGGAGTCCTGAGATCGGAAAGAGTCCGTTCTCATTTGCGGGTAACGACACGGCGAAGTATTTACATAGGGACGATGTCTCGTAGATACAAAGGGAGTAAAATATGTGTCATTTGGAGTTAGCGGTCATAGCGTATTGTAGACATGGATGGTGGACGGTTTTGTGCATGTTGATAACTGGGTGGTTCGCTGCCAAAAGCATAGCTTTACGAATGAACGAACTCCATGTATGGAAGGTATAGAATCCAAACGAACCCCACATGCGTTGCACATCTTTCATACTTTGTGGACCAACAGTCAGGCTCTCTATTCGGACACGTGATAGCTGCCGCGGACCCTGCCAAGCATCGATGTCATCACGCAAGAAATGTTACAACAGATTCAGCCAACTCAACGCCAAAGCTCTCAATCGCACAGCTCTCCTGGTTCGGCAAAACTCGACATGCGCGCTTGAAGACCAAGTTACGTTTACATTCGGCGAATTCTCGAAAAACCTACTCCCACCACCATGGCCACGGGCGGCTTCAAGATGTCGCTGGGCGGCCTGAAGGCGAAGCCAGGCCTCAAAGCAGTCGCTGCTAAAAACGATACAAAGCCAAAGAAGGCGCTACTCGGTGACGATGAGCCCGACGACACCAACAAGGCGCAGGAAATAGCAGGGTTCGACGCAGCAGAAGGCGGTGCAATCGACATCAATGGTCCGAAAGAGAAGAAAGGCCCGCTGGTCATACCCTCGTTGCCAAATCGCAATTGGCGCGAAGAAGCGCGCAAGAAGCAGCTGGAACGCGCACCGCACACACAACAGAATGGCGACGTGGTCATGGACGAGCCAGAGAAGGAGGTCGCATACGGACTGACCGTGCCTACAAAGCCCGCGGAAGCGCAAGAAAACGGAACCACAGAGGCCGCAGAGCCCATGGAAGTAGACCCCCAAGACGGCTTGACCGACGCGCAACGCCTCGAAAAGCGCGCCCTCGAATCCCTCCTCAACGGCAAATCCACCGACGCTACGCGCATCGTCCCCGTCATCACCGACGAAGAAGCACTCCAAAACGACCTCCAAGATGCGCCCGACGAACCAGACCTTGATGCCTACGAAGCCACGCCCATTGAAGGCTTCGGGCTCGCAATGCTGCGCGGCATGGGCTGGAAAGACAGCGACGGCGAATCACGCAAGAACGGCGCAAAAGCACCAAAAGAAGTCAAGCGGCGGCCTGCGCTACTAGGTATCGGCGCGAAGGAGGATGCAGCCAAAGATGTCGAGCTGGGCGAGTTCAATAGTAAGGCGAGGGGCAAGAAGGGTCCGAAGAAGGATGCGCCGCAGGGGTATAATCCGGTGACGCTGAGGAATAAGAAGACGGGGGAGATTGTTACAGAGGAAGAGCTTAAAGCGAAGTTGGTGAGCCAGGATTTGGTGACCGAGGAGGAGGAGCGCGGGCGCGATGACGATGGTGAGAAAAGCGAAAGGAGGAGGGATAGGCGGGACGATAGAGATCGAGACCGACGGCGCGATGAGGACTATGACAGCGAACGACGACGCGATAGAGATCGTAAGGATGACCGGCGGGAGAAACGGAGGGATCGAGACCGTGACGACGATTACGATAGCGAGCGGAGGAGAGAGAAACGCAGAGACCGTGACAGGCGGGACCGGAGTAGAAGTCCGAGAGACGACAAGCGGCGCGAGCGGTACAGGAGTCGGAGCCGAGACTCCAAGGACAGACGAGATAGACGGAATAGAAGTAGGAGTCGAGATGACGAGGAGAGGCGGAGACGGAGGAAGGAGAGGGAATATGACGATGACCGAGATGATCGTAGGAGGAGAGATAGAGATGAGAAGAGCTCGAGGAGGTAGCATCCGCCTCTCCGGAGGCACACAGCACCATTTGCTTGATACCAATCAGGACAGATTACGATGACGACCGAGGTGATCAGAGGGACAGAGAACAGGGACGATAGGAGCCCATGAGGGTGCTGTGCCGTGCCGACTTGACTCGACTCACGCGTGGCACCAACCTTGCATTCTCAAACACTCACCACTGGCTCAACTAAATGTTGTCCACAATCCTTATATCTCAAGTCACCCCTCCCGCTCCACAGCCAACTTGACATCGAAGATAAGCCCATACACCTGGCCCGTAATGTACGATGCTTGAATCGCAGCCCCCCTGCTGGACATGTCGATGTGGGCAGTCTGCGTACGCTTCAGCTGATCCCTATCCGGCAGGAATGTGATGTCGGCACTGGAATCATCAGTCTGAATAGCGAATGCAAGAATTAACAATTCGTGACTCACATCTCATAGCGGTGCTTCCAGAACTGACGCTCTATCTCCTCTTCATCCGCGCCAGCAGCCAGATTGGAGACGATCAGGCGACGCTGTAATTTTGTCTCTTCTGCTTTGCGACGGGAGATTTCTTCGACTTCCATGACGCTGCTGATGATCTTGTTCAGCGCGTCTTCTGCGTGTGCTACTGCGACTTCTTTCCCTTTCTGCGCTTCGTAGCTGTTCAGACCGGAGCTGTACAGACATGTTGTCCATCCTTGGACATGCTCCCATTGGCTGTTTGAGTGTCCTAGCTGTAAAGCAACGATATACGGGATGACCTCTGGCTCGAGACGAGTGGCAGCGACCGTCTTGGTATCGGCTTGTTCAATATACCCAACTCTCCTGTCAGAGTCGACGTGGTCTGGTGGTAGTTGTGGATAGCCATTGGATGACGAGCGCAGGTTCTGGAGTCTGGCGCGGAGTATGCTGGCATCGTCGTCGTCTTCTTCTTCGTCTTCCCTATTTTCGTTTGTGTACGAGCTAGTTCCTCGAGGGTGTGGCACTGACAATGTAGCGAGCTCTGCGACCATTTGCTGTGGATCGTCATCGTAACCCGTAACTGTTGTCGAATGTTGGTAAGAAGCTGATTTGTCAAGCTCCGCAAGCATCCGTCTGATGTCGCCCTCGTCTCGATCTTGGTCATTATAATGGTTTTCTGATTTGTGCGTGATTCCCTCCAGGTTGCGCAGCTCAGCAAGCATAGCTCTTGGGTCATCCTCGTTGGGTGAGGCGTCGCCGTCTCTCATCGAGGGCATAGAAGCGTCAAAGACTATGGGGCGTCAGAAAGACAGTGCAGAAGATATGGATCCAAGTGTCTCACTTGATGTGTCTGACGTCTCGTTCTTGCGGGCAATCTTAGCAGCTTCAGCTTCACGCTCAGCTCTGCGTGGGGCCTCTTGGGCCTTGATCTTCGCAGCCTCTTCTGCTTTCTTGCGCCCCATGTCCTCAGCATAGCGCTTCTCTTCTTCTTCGCGTCTCGCGTCTTCTGCTTCCATCCCGGCGACCATCTGCTGGAACTCCACCTCTTCCTTGCGCAATCTCTCTGTTTCGTCGTCCTTAGAGGCCTTAGCGACGGCAACTTCTGCCTGATACCCGGCGATCACACGATGGAACTTCTCCATTTCCCGACGCTTAATCTCTGCATATTCATCCTCTGAGGCTTTGGCAGCAGCGGCGGACTCTTCTGTGTCTTCAGCTCCACCATCCAGCTGCGCAGGCGGAGGCTCTGGATGTGCATGATCTGGCTCTCCCGCCAAGATAGGTGCTGCAGGATCGGACGAAGAAACGAGGTCTGTTGCCATGGGCGCTACTCTTGAGGTACGGCGGGATCTCTTGACCTCCTCATCGCGCCGCTGGGAGGCTTTGGCGAGTATGTCCGTGATGCTGGCTAGCTGCCTGTTCAGCAGGCTCTTAGATGTGGCGGAGCTTGCCCGTCTCCTACGGTCCATGTGTGGCACGTTGTTGTCGTGGGGTAGGGAGGTGGAAGTGTCGAGAAGTCGGGAGAGGATTAGAAAAGCTCCTTGGGATGTTATCTTGTAGGTCACTTTCTTAGAGATAGGCCATTAGTGTAACGGTGCAGTAATTCTGGTGACCGAAACGGAGCGAGGCCAGGTAGACGATGTGGGCGGTCTGAGGTTGTTTGGAAGAGGAAACCGCAAGGGCACAACAAACGAGCGGTGTCCGGTCGGCGGCACCCAGATTGGACTGAACAGACTTGAGACGAATTGAGACTTTGCAAAATGCAATTGAACAATGAGACTACCTTTTCGTCACCATATAGTATTACGCATCGCACCCGCCGCATGCGCAAACGATCAACTCTCCAACACCTTGCAGCATCCTCAGTTCTTCTTCTTCCCCATCGTCTTCCTCTCCTCCTCCTTCCTCTCAATCTCCTTGATCTCATTCTCCTCCGCCCTCTTCGCATACCACTGCCCCGCCTGCAGAACCAACACACCGACCAGCACCAATGCAAGGATAGTGTTGCTCGCGGCAAAGACTCGCAGCGTATCCTCGCGACTAATATAGTCACCCTCCCCATCATCCGCGACAGCGTCCTTCATCTCGGGCGTAACGTTCCCATAGATTCCCGCCGTCACAACGCGAAACCCCTTAACAATATTCGTCAAATACACCGTAATGCCGGCCATATACAGCACCAGACTGGCGCCATCAAACAGCATATTGCTTTCACTCGCTTTGAAAAGTTTGAGCAGGAAGCCCAGGATTCCCGTGCCGATGACCATGTTGAGGATGCGGCTGATGATAGGCGGCGACGCGTAGAGGAACTTAATATGGTCTTCAAGGATCTTAAAGTACGCTTCGCGGTCGTCGGGGACCGCCCAGAGCGCGTTGTAGTCGTAGGGGAGAGACGCGAAGAGGATGCCGAGGAAGAAACATGTCGCTGTGGTTTGTTAGTTCCGCTGATTCCAATCCATAGCATGAAGCGTGAGGGGGTCATGGCCTGAGGCGCACGCGTAGGTGTGGGCTACGTACGTCCGATGACCAGGAACTGCGCAAATGTGTTGCCAGCCATGGTTGCGGAGTGAAGCTGTAGGTCGGTGTTGCGAAGCTGTGCGCGGGGTTCTGGGGGTGTTCAAGCAAGGTTGAATAGGTGGTGTTGTGGGAAGGAAGCTCTGGGCGGGCCGGTGGCTTATCGTTTGCGGCTCCAAAATTGACTACCAACTAAACGCGGTTGGTAATGGACGGGTCGCCGTTTCCTATCTGAGAAGTGGTCGGGAGGACTCGTTTTCGCAGACGAGCTTCACTGAAGGATGATAGGATATTTCACAAAGGTTGTCGAAGCAACACACTGGAGTTGCACAAGAAGCCTGGAGATGATCGACCCCGCAAGGCACCATGACGTTGAGCTGCATATCGAGCCTTGGCGAATGCAATGCTGGTGAGAATACGTGATCTGAGATGGTACAATTGATGTTCTCTCGCTCTTACGAACATGCCTGTTTACTGTAAACCTTGTGCCCGAAGCTCATAGGCCCGCGAACGCCGTTGTGCGCCTTATCCAAAAAAAAAAACCCCCCCCTCCACTGCCTGCCACTATCTTCACTTTTGACATCGCTCAGAAATCATTGTCGGCATCCATATCTTCATCCTCGTTCCCGGCCTCGATAAACACGAGTCGTGTGCCTTCGCCTGTAGTTTGCCAGACCTGTGTGAAATTATTAGCATGTGTAAGATGAGCTCGAGGAGGATATCACTTACATCGAGCATGGAATACTCGTCGATAGCCTGCTCGAACTGGTCCGCTGTGAAGCCCTTGGCCAGTACTCGTTCCCTGACACGGCGGAGATCCAATTCGCCTCGTGTGCCGTCGCCGACGGCTGCAGCTCCGCTTGCCTCCATGGACTTGATGAGGTGATAGATCTTGCTGCTGGGGGTATGGTCGTCCCTGCGCTTCTCATCTGCGTACAGACTGGCCTTGCTGACTTCAGTAAGACGCAGCGCCTCATCGACGTCCTCTGATATGACTTCCTCGGCAAACCGTAGGCGGGCCAGAGCTTGTGCCAGACGCAATACACCAAGCAATGTACGAGGCGATGTGTGAGTGAAGGCCTTCTTCGAGCCCTCATCGCGCTTCTGTTGCTGACGCATGCGAACGTACGCGCCGACCATGTAGTCCGAAACCTCCTTGGGCACAGTGGGTCGGTACGAGCGGGCGCGGGCAACCCATTGTCGAACCTCAGCAGGACTGAAAACAACACCCCCAGCAGCCTCCGGGTGAGCATTGTGCATGTGGACATAAGCAACGTGACGCGCTAGCTCCTCGTCAGAGTCTCGCGAAGGGGTATCAAGAATAAGGAAAAGTACGTCGAAACGGGACAAAAGCGCGGCGGGAAGATTGATGTTCTCGACGGGGGAGATGCGAGGGTTGTATCGGCCGTAGAGAGGGTTGGCGGCGGCGAGAATCGATGTGCGAGCGTTGAGGGTGGTAGTGATACCAGCCTTGCTGATGGAGATCGTTTGCTGTTCCATGACTTCGTGAATGGCAGTTCGGTCGCTGTCATCCATCTTGTCAAACTCATCAATACAGCACATGCCGTTGTCAGCCAGGACGAGAGCACCGCCTTCAAGGACCATCTCGTCTGTAACCGGATCGCGCATGACAGCGGCAGTCAAGCCAACACCACTGCTACCGCGACCGGTTGTGTAGACACCACGAGGAGCCACCTTGGTGATGTACTTCAAAAGTTGCGATTTGGCCACACCAGGATCACCCATCAGGCAGACGTTGATGTCGCCACGGATACGCATACCGTCCTTGGCCTCCTTGGTAACACCACCGATCAGTTGCAGAAGAAGCGCCTTCTTCACATCAACATGGCCGAAAATCTCGGGAGCAATCGAACGTGACAGATACTCGTACAGCTGGCCGGTCCTTTCCAGCTCGTTCATCCTCTTCAACGTCGGCTGAGCAAGAATCATGTCGTCGTATGCCTTCTTGTGCTGCATCACGAATTGAGCCTCCAGGTATGTATCTGTGAGGAGTCCAGCGCGGATAGCCTTGAAGCCAGTGTACGGGGTAGGGAGGAAGATACCAGCAACGTCAACAACATCGCCAGGGTTGATCTTACGGACCAGTGCACCGTGGCAGTGGATCGTCAGTTGTCGAGGAATATGGCCAACAGGCACCTGATCAGCCATCTCCTGGATCTTGACTTCCTGGAAGGCGAGGAATTTCGAAGCGCGAGTGGACAGGAAAAGCTGGCCCTTGGTCTTGTTGTTCTTGCAGTCTTCCGATGGGCATTCGACCAAAGGGGTGAACTGCTTTGTGCTGACAGGCTGGAAAACCTCGCTTCCGCAGCGGTCGCAAGAGTAGGCGTTGACCAACACCGCCGGCTTGACATCTGACACTCTGGTCGCGATACCGCGGACGGTAATGAGATGACCCAGGTGCTCGCCCTTGACGTTTCGAACGGCGAGGGCCTTGATAGGGCGCTGGCTGCTGGAGCCTGATGCTATCCTGGGTGCAAAGTTGAGCGTGTATCGCCGAGTCAACGCTGCGGGGAAGATGGACTCGGGCGCGGCTTGCGCGGTGTCCTCTACTCCCTGCAGCTCCTGTATCCTCTCGTTGCGCTTCGATCGCTGTGTCATGATAACGTCCAGAACGTCGTCCTTGAAGCTGTGTTACGTTAGCGTCAACCCTGGCGTTGATCGACACGGGGCGTACTTGATCTCTCTCGTCGGCGGCGGCAGGCATTTGTCCACGGCCCTCGAGAGGATTTCGAGGTAGTGGTGCGCATTGCGCTCGATTGACTCAACCAGCCTGTAGTTGCTGTCTTCGTGCATAGCCAGCTTCTCGAACTGTTGGAGTGCGTTAGCTTTGCGCCGCTATCCTCATGCATGCGCCACATACTGCCTCAACATCGTTCAGGTCGATCAGAACATCGCTGCGCACGCGGTTCGCTACGTCCTGCAGTATGTTCATGTATTTGCTCTTCGAAGGCCGGCTGCGCTGCGAGCCCGGCGCTGGATCGTCTGACTCGTCGACCATGTCATACTCGTCGTCGTTGCCGTTGCCGTTGCCGTTGCCGTTGAGGGTCAGGCCCTCGAGTTGCTCTTCAGCCTCGGACGACGACGACTTGAAGTGCTTGAGGAAGTCCACAAGAGCAGCTGTGGTTGCTTAGCAGGGGCCCTCCGTGTTTTGCGCCCGTGTTTACCCACCTTCCTGCTCCTCGTAGTTGACGAGCGCCTTCTCGGTAAGAAGCGCCATTGCGTCTCGGTGTGTTCGGGGTATAGAGACGTCGAGTGCGGGAAAGTGGCCGTCTGGAGTGGTGCAGCGGGGAGGGGGGGGGGGGTGGAGACAAGAATTTGGGAAGCGCGTTGCTACACGCCAGCGCGTCGCGTAGGGCAGCCAGCCCGTCCCTTCGAAGGTCATTGGCTGACGTTCCTGGCGGTGTCCCCTCCCCCTGTCGCGCGGCCGCCTTCATCGGCGCCGACGAGAACCTCGGCAGCAGCTGGGAGCTCACGGGTCGGAACATGAATGTCGAGGTCGCAGCTGTGCCCTTCACCCTCCACACTCACGCATCATGCCGCCGAAGAAGCCGGCTGGCCACGTCGTCCAGGCTGAGGTCGCCCTGCAGCAGTCGCTGAAGAACTGCCTCGTCAACCTCCCTGCGTCGCTTGTCTCGGTGCTTGTGAATGCGAACGCTGTAAGCCGTCCTCCGCCGTGGCAAGCCCACAACGCTGATGCGTCTGATGTAGGTCGCGCAGAACGTGGTCGTCGAGCTCTCGTACCGCCAAGCCCCTCCGCCTGGCGCTTCAGACACACGCAATGCATCCCCGCAGAAGTCGATATTCGTGGGATGGACGGGCATGCAGAGCAAGCGCAGGCTGGCAGCCGTGGTCGACAGGAACGGCTTGAGAACAAGTGCAACAGCCAGTCAGCAGGACGTTCCCGCTGTCGAGGTCGATGCGACGTTCGCCAGGCTCGTCGGGCTGAACGAAGGTCAGAAAGTGGGGATACAGTTGCACTTGGACCCCCCGCAGGCGCATACTATCAACATTGAGCCCTTGACCCCAGTCGACTGGGAGATGATAGAGCTTCATGCTCAGTTCCTCGAACTCAACTTCCTCTCCCAGATTCGCGCATTGCCAACCCCCCAGGCGCAGACACCACATCCATTGACCCTCCACCTCTCCCCAACAACCACCGCAAATATCATCGTGACCTCGGTCGCGCCTGCGCCGCCAGCCGGTTCGCTCTTCGTCAAGATCTCTCCTGACGCCGAAGTCATCGTTGCGCCAAAGACGCGCCAGAAGTCAGATGGAAGTTCAGCAAACCGAGAAAGCAGAAGCGTTGGTGCGGCGTCGAGAAAGAGTGGGAAGAGTGCCGCAAGCACCGTGCGGCGCCGAAGCGGTAGAGATGAAGTTGCTAGCAAGGGTGCAGTGTTCCTTCGAGGCGTTGACCGCAGCGTGGCTCACGAGTGGTTCGACGAAGACGAAGATGCAGATGCAGATGGCCTCAAGCTCTGGGTGGACAAGGACGTACTTTGGACAAAAGCGCTCAGAGGAGCAACATGGGTTTCTGTGGCTATCATCAAGCCTGCAGGACTGCAAGAGCCGGTGGACATGTCGAAAGAGCAGGACCAAGAAAGACCTGCTGCTCGTGTAGTTGCGAGGATAGGGACGTGGGAAGATGCGCCAGACAGCCGGCATGTTGCACTCTCGGCTGACCTCTGCAAGGTTCTGGGTTTCGAAGGCTTCGTTGGCGGGCTAGTTCGCATCGAAGGCGCCCCAAGTCAGACGCCAAAACCGTCGGCCATCAAGCCATCAAACCCAGCTTCCAAAGACGCAAAGGAGGCAGTCGTCAAATCCATCAAAGTCATACCGTTCGCTTCGGCCGCGTCACTGGGCAATGCAAACCTCAGGTTTGGTGGCGAATCGAAACAGGAGCAGGAAGATGCGATACAAAGGCTGAAGACGATATACGGCAAGAAGAATGGTCTTTTGGATGGTCCCGTCACAGACGGCATGATACTACCCCCACTTTCAGACTCAGAGTCGAGCTGGCAAGGAGGCATTGTCAAGTTCGAGCCGTCGCAACCCTCGAGCGGAGTCTCGTGGGTGCTCTTCCCCGAACGAAAACCGACTATCGAACTGGGACCTGAGATCGCGACGCCATCGAGCTGGGCCAAGGGCTGGCAGCAGGGTGGTCCATTACCCAAGAGCCCCCAGGAACTAGTTGGCATCGATCCTCTCATCGATCAGCTGCGCTCACACTTGACACATAATTCGTCCGTCTTGCTCAGTGGTGGACTAGGGGCCGGTAAATCGGACTGCGCGCAACTACTTGCACACCAATTACGAACAGAATATCTCTTCAACGCCATCTACTTCCCTTGTCGTAAACTGGTAACGGACGAAACAAGAGTAGCGACTATCAAGGAAACACTAAACAGACTTTTCGCGACTGCAGCCTGGAGTGCAAGGTCGGGTGGTAACGCTGTAGTGATTCTCGATGATCTTGACAAGCTTTGTCCAGTAGAGACCGAGCTTCAAGTGGGTAATGAGAACGGCCGCAGCCGTCATGTCAGTGAGAGCATCGTCTCCATCGTAAGACAGTATTGCTCGATCGGCTCGGGAGTAGTACTTCTTGCCACAGCGCAAGGGAAAGAGGCACTGAACAATGTTATCGTTGGCGGCCACATCGTCCGTGAAATGGTCAGCTTGAAGGCGCCAAACAAGGACGGAAGACGGAAGGTGCTCGAGCAGCTAGCATTCAAGGATGCCAAACCTCAGTCACAACTACAGACAAACGGTCACGCTTTCCCACCATCACCATCGAACAGTCGGCCAAGCACATCACACCGCAGCCAACCTAGCGATGGCAGCATACAGCACAAGAAATCAGACGACTACGGCTTTGTCGTCGATTGCACCATCGACTTCCTCGACCTCGCCGGTCAGACGGACGGGTACATGCCAGGGGATCTTGTCCTTCTCACCTCAAGAGCCCGTAACGAAGCTCTCATCCGCTCAGTCAGCGATTTATCGAACACCGTCACCTTGACAAGAGATGACTATGCAGCGGCAATCAAAGGCTTCACCCCAGCCTCACTTCGAAACGTAACGCTGCAGTCCTCGACAACCAAATGGGACTCTATCGGCGGCTTGACAGCAACACGGCAGACCCTTCTCGAAACACTGCAGTATCCCACTACTTACGCACCAATCTTCGCTCAGTGCCCGCTGCGGCTACGCTCTGGTCTGTTGCTCTATGGCTTCCCCGGCTGTGGTAAGACACTGCTTGCATCCGCTGTAGCAGGAGAGTGTGGTCTCAACTTCATCTCTGTCAAAGGTCCCGAGATTCTCAACAAATATATCGGCGCATCTGAGAAGTCCGTCCGCGACCTCTTCGAGCGCGCCGAGGCCGCACGACCCTGCGTCCTCTTCTTCGATGAATTCGACTCCATCGCACCAAAGCGTGGCCACGACTCCACCGGCGTCACAGACCGCGTCGTCAACCAGCTGCTAACACAAATGGATGGTGCTGAAGGCCTCAGCGGCGTCTACGTCCTCGCCGCAACATCGCGCCCCGACCTCATCGACCCCGCGCTGCTGCGTCCAGGCCGTCTCGACAAGTCCCTCCTCTGCGACATGCCCGACGTCGAAGAGCGCATCGACATCCTCAAGGCCGTAACCCGCAAACTCCACCTCGCGCCCAGCGTCCTCTCCACCTCCCCTATTGGCCAAAACCTCCGCGAGATCGCCCAGCGCACAGAAGGCTATTCCGGCGCCGATCTGCAAGCCGTCGTCTACAACGCGCAGCTCGAGGCCATCCACGACGTGCTCGGGGACACGGATCTCAGCGCGTCGCCCAAGGGCAAGAAAGGTGCTGAGGCGAAGGGAGATGCGAAGGGGATACCGGACTTCAGCTACTTCCGGTACGGCGACTCTTCCTCTCCCTCGGATTCGAACGCGACTTCGTCCCTCGCGACTTCCCATCAGCTCACTGAGCGCGCCCTCATCGCCCAGAAAATCCAGGCCCTGCAGGCCCTCCGCCGCAAGCAGAAAGCTCTCGCGCGTCCGCAGAGCAGCGGAAAGGATAACAATGACGACGACGTGGGTGAAGAGGAGCAGGAGAGGAAGGAGCCGGAGATTCAATGGAAGCATATCGAGAGCTCGTTGAGCAGCGGACGAAGTAGTATTAGTGCGCAGGAGAGGCAAAGGTTGGCGAGGATTTATAGAGAATTCGTTGAGGGACGGGATGGGAATTTGCCCAGTGGGCAGGGAGGAAATGAGATTGGGGGGCGGACGAGTTTGATGTAGAGATCTGCTGATGATGATGATGATGATGTTTAGATCTGGTGTGGTTGTTGTGTGGTGTTCATGGCATGTTGATGTAGCACCTTGACCGTTGTATAGCTGGATGTAGATCTATCGTGTAGCACGTGTCCAAAGCAGTTGTTCTAAATTTTGCAATTGCAGCAGCGACTATCCACACTCTGTGCCTCATAAATAGTTTAGTGATGGTCAAAATGGGTTTCCTTGATGCTGTGTCCGGTATCGCAAATAATATACACATGCACACCTTTCTACCCCGTCTCTTCCTTTCCCCTCCCCCATCAGTCTTCTATTTGCTCACAGCAGCCTTCGCCTTATCCGCAATCTCCCCCGCCTTTACCACCGCCTCATTCCCCGCAGCCTTCGCCTTCTCACTGAGCAGCGCCTCTTTCCCGCCAAAGTGGAAGTAGTTGATGTACCGGTAGCCCTGGACAAGCTGGGACGTGAAGTTGATGGCGTGGCACCCGAAGAGCAGGTAGTTTGCTGGGCTGACGGCGAGCGCGTAGCGCATGAAGGTGCCGGAGTAGAGCGTGAGGGCGCCGGTCATGCGGCCGGAGATACTGGGAGGAGTTAGCTAGGTGCTGGAGGGAATTGAGGCGGCGGAAGGTTTGGGGGTGAGGGTGTACAGGGAGGGGTAGTGAGGCAGTGTGGAAGACGTACATCTCGGGATCTTTGCTCATATCCGCGATCGCAGCGATGGGGATACCGAAGTTACTGACGGGACCCCAGAAATCTGTTCGCAAGCTGTCAGCCGTTGTTTCTCTATATCCTGTACGCTCTTGACTGCGTCGCGTCTTCTGTGCATATCCAATGCGTCGTGCTGTTCCTCCTCCGTTTCAATTCAAGCTCTATCGGATGCGGGTACCTACGGGTTGAGCAGACGTAATCGGTGTACTTGTTTGAGCGAATCTTCGCATTGAGGGCTTTGATTGCGGCGGCCATGGTGGGCGGTTTGTACGGCGAGGTGAACGGACGGAAGGGTGAGTTGCGCGTTGGACCTGGCGAGTGGAGCTCGCAATCTTTGGTGTTGAGATGCCCTCGCGCCAAGCGTCGGGTCCCGGGCGACAGGTCAGCCTTGCGGACGACCGCTTTTCGGAGGATGTCACGTGCGCTTGCCAGCCTGAACATTACGGAGTTATTGGTCCATTCTAAAGTTGTTGCAATGTCTGGGGCACGTGAGAACGTGAGGAGAAAACAAGTAAGGTAGTGATTGTTATTCCTGATACTGTAGGGCATGCGCCCATGACCTCGCTGCTTCTAGATAGAACATCCAAACGGTACGCTTTTAGAGCCTGTTACACCTTCCAAAAACCAAACACATATTCGAGATGTGTTGGAGATCAGCTGCATCTAATCGCATCTTTCGCTTTTGACCACCTTCCCGGCTCAATTGGTGTGCGTCCCTAATGCGCCAGTGAGAAAGCTGCTTTTTCGAAATCTATCGTGCGGCGCAAAGGGTGAGGCGGATTGCTGAGGTAACTCGATTGTCGTGTGAGCTTCCTATGTGTCTACCGTCCGCCAAAACCGGGAGGGCCACCACGGCCCTGGAAACCAGGTGGTCCACCAAAGCCTGGGGGTCCGCCAAAGCCAGGAGGTCCGCCAGCAGGGGGGAATCCAGCTGTATAATGTGAGCTTGCATCTTCAATCTTGCTGAATGGAGACATACGCGGTCCACCTGGGGGTCCACCTCGTCCACCAAAGCCAGGAGGCGGTCCTCCAAATCCTGGTGGGCCACCAGCAAACGGTGGTGCACCGAAGCCAGGGCCAGGTCCTCCAACACCGGCAGCGGGTCCGGTGAGGCCAACTGGCAGCCCACGTCCTGCCGGTCGTGCGACACCAGGTCCAGCAGCCAGAGTCGCAGCAGTCGAAGGTCCACCAGAAGCTCCTCCCAGTCGTGCGGCGGGGTCGGCGGGCGGTGGTCCATCAACGGACAGGGAGATAACGTGCGCGCCACGAATGATGGTTAGTCCAATGGCGCGGCGCTCCTCAGTCTCGGTGACCTGCTGGGTTGCGCCGGGCGCGGCCTTCCCCCTTCGTCGTGTGCGGCGGAACTCTTCAGTGTCGGCGAGGACGAGGTTCATGTGCTGTCGATTACATTAGCAAAGTCTTCTTTACAAAGATCTGAAGACATACTTTGTCGAATGCGAGCATCTGCCCGACCATCTGCCTACCGTCTTGAAGTGTTACCTTCATGCGGTAGTTGATCTGCGTGTTGTGAGTTCGCGGCGATTTCAAGCGAATTGGAGGGCGCTTACTAGGTTTTGCTATATCAAGGCACGTCAGTCAGTCTCTATGCGCGTCTTCTCTCAGGTCAAGGATTCGAGCGTCCAGGCAGAAGAACTTACCATCTTGCCCTGTCTGTTTGCGGCGGCCATGATGTTTATTGCGCGTCCGAGGACGACTTGAGGCTCAAAAAATAAGGTAACAGCGATTGTCTGCGCACAACCCCTTCCTACGTGCTGTCGGTGGGGTGGATGTGGAGCTGCACGTCTGTGATGTTCGAGCTCTCAAAGTTGCGCTCACAAGGCGCTCGGGCCACCAGGCTAATCCGACTAGCGCGCCGCACGACACCCACAGCCGAGCCCAAATTATCACTTGCACTTTCGCCAGTCCGACCTCTCTTCGACAGTCCACCTCGCCTACTAACACCGTAGCAGTCACCATGGTATGCGCCCACCGACGACAGCAGCACCGCGATCGAATGCTAATTGACATGGCAGTCCGACTCCAAGGCCTCCAACCCCATGCGGGAGCTCCGCATCCAGAAGCTCGTCCTCAACATCTCCGTCGGAGAGTCTGGTGACAGGCTCACTCGTGCCGCCAAGGTGCTCGAGCAGCTTTCTGGTCAGACTCCTGTCTACTCCAAGGCCCGCTACACCGTCCGTACCTTCGGTATCCGCCGTAACGAAAAGATCTCTGTCCACGTCACCGTCCGCGGCCCCAAGGCCGAGGAGATCCTCGAGCGTGGCCTCAAGGTCAAGGAGTACGAGCTCCGCAAGCGCAACTTCAGCGAGTCCGGCAACTTCGGTTTCGGTATCTCCGAGCACATCGACTTGGGTATCAAGTACGACCCCAGCATTGGGTACGTGGAATCAATCAGATGAAAGGAAGAAGAAGCCATCGCTAACAGGGCGCAGTATCTACGGTATGGACTTCTACGTCTGCATGACCCGCCCCGGTGAGCGCGTCGCCAAGCGCAGGCGTTGCAAGAGCAGAATCGGCGCCTCCCACCGCGTCAACCAGGCCGAGACCGTCAAGTGGTACAAGAACCGCTTCGAGGGCATTGTCCGATAAGCGTGTTATGAGTAGGGCGAGAAGGGTACGAAATGAAGATTCTGAACGATTCACCAGCATATTCCGTCTCGGAGGGTTTGGTCCTGCGGAGTCCCGGAGTGTACTTAAAAGAGCAAGCATTGAACTTGCAAGTTCAGGCCTATCAATGGAGCTGACCTCGTCTCGAACGAGCGGGTCTTCGATCACATTACAATGGAGGATTCACTTGGGTGATGTTCCGCATAACCATTGGTGATCATTACCATGTGCTTGTCCTCTGCATGTGCTGTTTGTCTCGGTGCGACTGACATCATTCGACCAGAACGCCCCTCCACCCCTCTGAGCCCGTCTACATATACCCCAGGCAATGCACTGATTGCCATCCATCAGCAGCGCGCTGTTTCCATGCTGGTTCTCGGTGATACTTCCTTGTCAAGCTGATGTTCACTAACGTCAGGAGCATTGTACTCGACAACATCAGATGTTCTCCGGCAACCTCTACTTTCAAAGACTTGGGCTTCGTCCTTCCTCCAGAAACGCACAATACTTGCGATTGATGGATGCAGTATATCATGAGCTCAAGGTCAACAAAGGCACGGTAATTTGATGTCGTTGCGCATAGTAGTAGCAGTTGTCAGTTCATCACAACACTAAATGGCAGTAGTTCCTCCAATGATCGTGCCTTCTTTCTCTCCGTCAAACCTCCCGCCATTGTTGATGCGCTACCAACGTCAATTGCTTCTTGTTGGCCCTAATGTAACGGCGTTTTGTTTCCTTCCTTCTTTAAGTCTATTTTATGTTGTTATCGTTGCGTCAGCCTTGTCCTGCGCACAGCCTTAGCCTAGCGCCGAGGCAGTGGGGTAGCGTTGCCTGGCCTTGCAATCCTTTCATGTCGCAGACATTCAACCACTCGCTTCCCGACTTGTTTCACGAGCATATTTCTTCCTCACCTGTCGAATGCTCCGACCGATATTAATCAAATACAATTTCCTGTCTTGAAGAAGTTCGAGTACGACGAGCTGGCTCAGCCTGATGGCGAGATCCGCGTGGCTGTCCTACAGCCAGACTCCTTCAAGGATCTGATCGTCGTGCGGCTCATTCGCCGAAGATTCGAAATATGACATACTTTGCTCTAAACAGATATGTACGATGTTAACGCGATGTCGGGATGAGACTCCCGCCTATGGAGCTCTCTCATGTGTATGGTGCTCGGAAGACGACCCTTCACATGTCAAAGCGAGCTCAATGCACGAATCAGGACTTGCCTCAATCACCGAGAATCTGGACGTTACACTCAGGCATCTTCGACACAAGAGAAAACCGCGATCTGTATGGATAGACGTACTGTGCATCAACCAAGCGAACAATAAAGAGAAGGGCACTCAAGCGGCCAATATGGGCACCGTTTTTGCGACAGCCAACTGTGTGATATCGTGGCTAGGACCCGAAGAGAATAACAACAACAAGGCAATAGCACTATTGCAGAAAGTGGCACAACATCTAGATGTGGACTGGCGAACATTTACCATGCGTCGCCATACAGACGAAACCGCAGGAAGACTACGTCTCCTTACTCGCTGGAAACTGAGATGACACAAAATACAAACGATCGAACTGACAGAAGAAAGCGGGGCGCTTCCTTGGACGATCGGGGAATGTAGGTCAGTTCCACTTCTTACTTGCGCGTCCTTACTTTCGAAGAGCCTGGATAGTACAGGAAATTCGGTTAGCAGAACGCGTTGTGTTCCAACGCGGCTACGCAACCTTTCAAGAAGATGATTTGTGGAAGATCATGTATGGCCTTCGTGTGAAAGGTATACAGAATGCCACATTAACATCCTCTGAACAGTGGTTCGAAGTATTATCTCGCATATTTGAGTGCGCGGCAGGAGACCTTGTCATTCATGAATCTTCGTGCGTACATGGGCCGCTTTATGTGTCGTGATCTCCGCGACAAGGTGTACTCGGTCCTGGGTATGCTAGACGTGCAAGAACGAAGTTTGTAGATCGAACCAGGTTACGAACGGGAGACGAAAGATCTATACATAGATGTCGCGCAACGCATGTACACGACTTGGTCCTACCTGGAAGCATTTATGGCCTGCGAGCTCTTATCCAAGGTACTCGATATTCCATCATGGGTTCCAGATTGGTCAACGCCGTTGAAGCGCGAAGACAACTATTTCACGACAGGGAATACCAGCGCACGTATCGCAGCTCAGCCAACGTTCGATAAGACTGGCTTGCGTTGTACTGTGTCAGGTGTCAGAGCTGGACTCGTTCAGTCGAGACGATTTACTCGCGAGGAATTCAACCGGTTCGTGAGAGCACTGAAACCACCTGAAGAATCTTCGACCGACCTATATATGACAGGCCACACTCTGTCGGAAGTATGCTGTCGCGTTCTCGTCGCAAACGGTTTCCGAGATACAAGGCTGCCTCCAGACCCAAGACTCCCAGACTTTGCCCGAAGCTTAAATCTGCTAAAGCTGGCTTGGTCTGACGATGCGAGCGGTACAGACTTTGGACATGTCCACAGCAACCTGCACTTTCATCATATGCAACAAGTCACCCAGACTCGATGGGTGTGCAAGACACCAGAAGGTTATCTCGGACTTGCACCTATCGAAGCGCAATTCGGGGATGTTCTTTGCGTTTTGTTGAACTGTGCATTCCCTGTAATATTGCGCATAGCTGCCAGTTACACCTGGCTGCTGGTCGGTCCTTGTTACGCACATGGCTTAATGAACGGCGAAGGTATATACCGTAACAGCCGTTTTAATCGATCTGGACGCGATGGTCACACCGAAATGTTCAATCCGGAGAATGGGCTTCCATATCTCAGTGCTGAGGAGACTTTGGAAGAAGGGGGTATCAAGGTCGAGAGTACGCGGGAAGCGCCATATCAACCCTTCGTAGCTCCAGAGATCTTACGAGCTGCCGGCATACAAGTAGAAGACTTCGTCTGATCTGAGGCACAGCTCAATCACTGGATGCCTCTACATTCTCTAACTCTCGAAGTATTGTAGTCTCCAGCAGATCTATACAACCAGGAACAGCCTGCATATCCACGTTGAGTGACGCCCTTGATTTCGATCGACCCGGTTCTATAGAGAACTCTCGGTGCTACCTCAGAGTCCCGGTGACTACCCGTCTACCAGCCCTCTTGTCCATCCGCCACCACCTCCTTCCAGAAACCCACACATCACTGCGGCTCCACAACATACCCGTCGAACCACATCGACCCATTCTGCGACCCAGCCATGTAACGCACACTTCGGAGGGACAACCCTTACTGTCCTAACCAGCCACCCGGCCTTCCATGAACGGCACATGGTGCACGCGCTGTGGCACCGCAACTGACACAACTGACACAACCCGCGGTGCTACCAAGCACGCCGAGCGGGTGGCATGGTTGGTACGAGAAGCACCGGGCGGCTAGGAGGCGGTTCGAAGAAAGTCACTCATCTGTATAATGAAACCGTTGAGAAGGCTGCTTGGACGCGCGAAACGCAATGTTGATCGAATGTGACAGCTGCGTCATAGCCACATTGCGCAGTCATTGTGAGCAAGAGAAGCAACAGATAATGTTTGTAATAGTTTTAGTTTCTTTGTCTGTACGTATCAGACACTGTCTGCTCAAACCACGCAATCTCATACCATATCTCTTTCTCATCACAAGTGAGAGGCATAACTCAAACGCAAAGGTATCTCGCGGAGATCACAAATGAACGACGACAAAATAAAAGACCCCAATAAGCCAAGGCCGAACTCATATATCCAAGAAAAATGTACAAAAGCACCTGTGATCGCCAGCCATACCCAATAATGACCCTGATCTCAGATTGAAGAAGAGAAAGTAACGATATGCGCTATGCCGCCTGAGCTAGGAAACTTACACACGTGCTGACTTATCGAGCAACATTGGGACCGAAGTCGAATCCTTGCTGTTGCTGTGGTGGTGGGTATGATGGCGATGCCAACGGTGTGTAAGCTCCTGGGATGGGAACAGCGGCGTATTGCTGCTCGCCCGGTGCGGCGGCCACGTGGTCGTTATGTCTCTCGAATCCTGGGGATAGAGGAGGCATTGGTGGTGAGACAGTCTGTGTTCGTGCGGGCGCATCGAAGCCATCCTGGCTGATCTTAGGTGTTGCGCCAGTGACCTTGATCGGCGGCGCTTGCAGGGTGAACGGCTGTGGCTGGACAATCTCACGAACCTGGGCGTACTGGACTTTGCCATTCTCGCTGTCGTGAGCCATGCCGTTAGGGTCCACGTAATCCGGATGGCCCGGAGGTGGGCGCCAGCCGCCTGAGCGGGGCGAAAGAGGACCGAACCCTGGAGTGTTGGGTGCTGACTGCGAGCGGAGCTGAGCAAGGTAAAGATCAGACCTGGCCTTGTCGCGAACAGCCATGGACTTCCTGAGCTTCCTCTTGGACCAGAAACGGTAGAAGACGATTCCGTAGATGATGATGCAAAGAACCTCAATGACGACCTCGATGATGCAGCAAACGAGTGCCCAGTTCTGGAGACGGCAGACAAGACCGTAAGCAATGTCATCTTCAAACAGATGCCGCCTCTTGTTGTCCACGCAAGACCAACCCCACATGTCTTTGTTGTTGTTTTGCGCTTTGCTTTGGTTGAAGACAGCCGCACCTACAGCCCACATGATGATGCTGAAGATGAAGAAACCGACAGCGAAGATGGTGTAGTAGGCTGCTACTTTTTCGGCTCGATTATGACCTCCTCTGCAATACGCGATCATAACGGTGATGGACATGACAAGCGAGATAACGGCGATGGTAAGAAGGAGGATCTGCGGCCAGGTCTTGGTGTTGTCCGCCCATGGCGGAAGGTTGTTTCGTTTTGGAAGTGACTTTGTTGCGTGGAAGACAGCAAGTGCAGTTGCGATCATGGAAAGGACGATGAGACTGCAAGCAAAGTTGATACCGCGCAGGAAGATCTTCGCAATCCTTACTCGGACCTTGACTTTCTGTTCATTGTTAGCTTTCGAATTAACCAATTAGTATGTGAGATGGACTTACAACATCCTTCGCCTGCTCCTTCTCCAGTGAAGCTTCTTGCTTCTCAAGGTCACGCTCTTCCCTGAAAGTAGGGCTCAAGATCATGCTTGGCCTGCCGGGCGTCCGTGGTGGCGCACCAGGCGACTTCAAAGCACTCTTGAGAGGGCCCTTTGGTGTTGGTGGAGGAAGGTATTTTCTGTCTGTTTCCTCCATCTCGACTGACTGAACGTAGCCAAAACCTACGTCTGATACTTGAGGTTGCGGCTTGTAGTGGTTGGTAGGGTACGACGCGAATGGTGACTTGGGTGCGTCGATGGGCGAGTACACTGATGTTGCTTCAGCGAAGCGTGCTGTGCGAGGTGTCTTGACTTCTGATGAGGTCGAGTCGTCTGTGTTCCGTCTTTCAATCGTAACTGTAAGACCCTTCTTATTGTTGGTTGACATCCTTAAGCTTTAGAGCGTTTACGTGGTGGGAGAGAGCGCTCTCATGAGAGGGTTGCGTCAAGATAGAGTAGTAGAGATGTGTATAGAGGGACAACGACTATAATCCAGGCCAGCTTAGACCAGTCGCAAAAGTACAGAGCTGTGCAGTAAGAGAGACAGAATGCAGAGACGCACAAGGTATTACAATGAGACCTGCTAGAGGAGAAAGAAGAGGCAACGGGCAAGCGCTGACTTTAGATAGCAGGCGCTTCGAAGGCTGCAAACTCGTGGATTGGATAGAGGGGAGCACGGGTAGCAGCCGGTGGAGAGAGATCGGAACGATAGTGGGCGGGTACTTACCACGTATAAAAAGCAAGATGCTTGCACGACTGCAGGTGTCTGCCTGATAGGTCGAGCGGAGAGACGAGGTGGTTGCAATGGCGCGCAAAGGAGGACGCAGAGTGGTGGCCCCAGAAATAGACGCCCGGATGAACTCAATAAACGATGTCCAAGAAATGCGCGTCCAGACCAACGCGCTGCTGCGCAAAGATCTTGGTCTTAAGATATCTGACAGCTTGCTGATCCTGCTGTCAGCACAGTCGCAGAATGCAGTCCAGAGCCGTGCTATCGTCAGTCGTCAAGGGCGTACGTATGCTCTCTTGCGCCCCAGAGACGGTGAAGTCTTCCAGAGAGAAGGGAACCCGCAGAAAAGGGCCATGTTCGCACCGCGTGCCCCTTGGGCGCAAAGCTCTGCCGAGTCTGTGGGCGCTCGAATTTCAGGGCAATGGATCTCCAACGTCCAATTGCTGGGAGCTGTTTCGCGCCTGCAAAACGTGACATGGCCGTTGCGAAAGGTGAGTGGTTGGAGGACGCAGGGACTGTGCACCGAAGTACATTCGCGCTAGGCGAATTAAGCTCAAAAGCTGAGCGGGTAAGCACGCATCCCGCCAATCGTGATCCGCAGGTGCTCTGAGACCTGAGGGAAGGCGCCGCCCGGCTCTGGTAGCCCACAGTAGTGTGGAGTCCAGCACAACCTCGAGTTCAAGACAGTCGACGTGGACAGAGCCCCGAACCCTTGTTTTCCTCGACTCGCTGTCTCAATTGCCGCCTGCCCAGGGCATAAGAGCATCATGCCGTCCGCACTCTTATTATAAACGATCTGCTTGGGTAAGTTTGCCACAGCTGTCAGCTCACGTCTTACCAGTTCGTAGTGACGGACGGCAGGCTGGGGATGGTGAGCACGGTAGCGTCGCCTATCAGCGCAGGCTTGTGCCGCAGCTGCAGGACGAGGCACATTGCATAGAACGTTAATTAGCCACGCGTTGGCCTGGTTGTGCAACACACCAGGATGAAACTTGGATATTTACCTGGATATCCTCCCTCCTCTAGCCACATCAAGGTAAATCTGTTTCGAAACTCTCATGCCTATTTTTGGGGTCTTTTGCACATCGCGGAGTGGCACGCAGGCCGCAAAGATCTGCCATGCGTTCAACGGTCGTGGTGAATAAGTGTGCTGGCATCCTCGACAGGCTTCTGAAAGTGTCCACGTTGTACCTGCAAAGCGTGGTTGCATTTTCATATCGCGCAGCTCTTGGTATTGGACAAGGTAGAGAATCCCCCTCTCAGAGAGCTTGTCTCTGCAGGCCACCCAACCAACATGCCAATATGCACGAGATCCCAGCCGAGGAACATCGCATTGGAGCGGTATCGGTATTTACAGGATTGCCACTCTGCCTTGCTTGGAGTGAGACATGCAAGACAGGCCAAAAATCTAACAGGTCACGTTCCTACGATCGACAGCTGTTGTGTAAGTCCTGACTGCAGAGAAGGCTACTTTTACTGAACGCCTTACATTTCTTCACGTCTCACTACCACAATTCTGGTGTCTTGCGCGTACTGTGTACCACCATGTAGGCCGTTCGATGTCGTCACCATTGTGACTTCTTAAAATGGAACGTACCGGACTACATTGTGAACGAATAAGCAAGGGGGAAAGGTATGTTCCTCAAATCGAAGTTGGATTACCTTTCGAGCAACATCAGAGAATACGGCTTAATGCCATCAAATTTACAGGTACAAGGACAAAGCTGAGCACGCAGAACGCTTTCGTCAAATCCACCGCCCAGTCCTCCTCTGGTTAGCATAGACATCCACCACATCACAACGGCTCTCATCAGACAACCGCCATCCACCAGCATCCGTCCCCGTAAACAGCGGCGCAGGCTGCAAATACATCCCCCTCATCCTCGGCTCACCATCTTGCACACTCAGCCCACGGTCACCCATAATCTCAGCATACACACCCCCCTCTCCCAACCCCTGACAAGCAAAGCTCTCATCCGAGTCTGGTCGCTTCTTCGTCTTGTGCATTGTTGGTAGCGTCGGTATTGTAGGGTGCGCCAGCTTGTTAAGCCAGGTCGGCGATGAAGGAATCTTTTGCCTACCTTTCGCTTTCTCACTCATAGTGCCTGGGTGTGGCGCGAGGTGGGTTGGACATAAATTGACGCTAGGTGGTATGGGGATAGGACGGGAGATTTTAGCCTTGAGAGCGTCGTGTGCTTTGTCTGCTTTGCTTGGTTTCGACTTACGAGTGGAGTGTAGATGAGCATTCAAGGGCTTTTTTGTTGAGGCTTTCAGCCAGATGGTTGGCTGCGTTTCTTGTTCGGCATGCTTTGAGCGCCCTTCATTGCCTTGCCGCGGTGCCTCAGGCTGATATACTGATGGTTCAAGACCTACCGTTTGCATGTGAGTAGGAGACCAGGGTAGATTTACAGGAGACGCGTCTACTGGTTCCTGGATAAGCTTCGGTGTATCTGAGAAGCACGAAAACGGAGTCCGAGGAAGCGGCTTGTTCATATCTAGTACCTTACCTTTGGCTTTCCGCGTGCGCTGTTTAGGCGCAGCGCTCAATGGAGAAGACAGTGGCAAGGGGTTGTTCGTGTCTACAGCCAAGACTGTCCGTCGGATCTTGATCGGCACTTCACGTGATGTGCGTGAGATGTCACTGTAACTTACTGCAGAGCCTTTTCGTGCTCTCGGCTTGTCTGCCCCTTCGGACATGCCATGTACCATTGCACGTGGTTGGCGTAGCGGTTGATCTGCCGCTTGACATCCAACAGCAGACTCTGATGACGGTTTGTGCATAACTTCACCCGTTCGTTTGGGCGAGCACATTTCAAAGACAACACCGGTCTCCCTTTCGTTCAGGTAGTTCCTGACGCCTGCCCAGAGCATTTGGCTCTCACCTGGTGGTCCGTTCTGGTAGATCTCATTAGCCCTTTGGTGGCGCTTTCTGAGGAATGATTGGCTTTGAGCAGGTGTGCCCTCATCTCGCCCGGATTTGCGCTGTGCAACGTCAGCATCTTTCAGCGTTATATCAGACGCTACGAAACAAGGGAAAATGATATCAGTGGAAGCTTTTCGAGTCTCGATTGCGTGAGACGTGGCGTGGTTATCGCCTGTTGATGTGGCATTTGTAGCTCGTGCGACGTATAGAGGTCGCTGTAGTATCTTGACGCTCTAGGAGATAAGTCCTCATCATCACTGTACCAAGAGATGGCGCCTGGAGGTGTTGCGTGCTTGTTTGAGAGGCTCAAGACTTGCCATGTACTGTAGATACCATCTTGCACTGTGTGCATCGAAGTTGTGAAATTAGGGAGACTTACGGTACGAGCATAATTCTGCGTGACATCGATATGTTGGTTCGCTGTGGACGTGTTAACGGCAGTTCTGCGATGAGACATTACCAGTGGTGATCGTATACGGATAACTCAGTTGAACAGACCTAAATGGTTGGGAATACCCAAGGATGTTCCATGTTATAGAATTGCATCTTGAAGGTGCATTGTGCGGCGACACGACAAAGTCACGATGAGATAACCTACGACTTAAGGCTTGTAAAACGTGTAGAACAAAGAACGAGGAGTTCCCGCATTCCGTCGAATAACCTCGCACCAACCAAGAAGTTCTACTAGTGATGGGTAGGCATATATCGCAAAGTGCTCGATTGTCAACCGAGCATATCCGTAAATTCGTCGTTCGGTTAACGCTGCAGGACAATCGCTAATATACGGAGATATGCGGAGAGTCGTGGTAGTCAAGCACCTCGGGAATGGTTGTTCGAAAAATGGGTAGTCCCGGAACCTACATGCGCCTAGAGCTTAGTTAGCCACATACACAGATCTAACGACAGGAACGAGAACCGTAACGGTAGCCTCGCTTTGAGGAACAGCGATCAGTACGTGATGCATTTGGGAACATAACGATTCTTCATGATGACTATACAACTCTGTCAGCTTGTTCCAGATGAGAGTGAGGAAGAAGTAGGCTCGTAGAGTGCATTATTAACTTGGGTATTGGATTGCATTTGTTGCATCTCGTGTATAGAAAACGTCGCTATATCATAATCATTGCACTTCTTTGTGGTGCTTTTCGTGAATCTTCTCTCCCTCGTAAACAACCTCTTAGATGTTGACGGAGGTCCTGAACTTCGAGCCAGCGTAGATGGCGTTGTCACCGAGCTCCTCCTCGATACGGAGGATCTGGTTGAGCTTGGCAAGACGCTCAGAACGGGCAGGAGCACCAGTCTTGATCTGACCGGCACGGAGACCGACGACGATGTCAGCGATGGTGACATCCTCAGTCTCACCGGAGCGGTGGGAGACCATGACACCCCAGTCAGCACCGAAAGCATCCTTGGCAGCCTGGATGGCCTCGGTGATGGTACCAATCTGGTTGACCTTGAGGAGAAGGGCGTTGCAAGACTTCTGCTCGATAGCCTTCTTGATGAACTCAGGGTTGGTGACTGTCAGGTCATCTCCGACAATCTGGAAGTCGGAGGTCTTGAAGAAGTAAGACCAAGCCTCCCAGTCGTCCTCAGCGAAGGGGTCCTCGATGGAGACGATGGGGTACTTCTGGGAAAGGGACTTGTAGAGCTCAGCGAGCTGCTCGTAGGTGAGCCACTTGCTCTTGTCGCTGTCGGGGTTCTTGAAGTCAAGGTCGTACTTCTTCTCGTCGGCCTTGTAGAACTCGCTCGAGGCAACGTCCATGGCGATCTTGATCTGGCCGGTGTAACCAGCAGCCTCAATGGCCTCGGTGATGAGGTCGAGAGCCTCCTCAGGGGTCTGGATATCGGGAGCAACACCACCCTCGTCACCAACGTTTCCAGCGGACTGGCCGTACTTCTTCTTGGCGAGGGTCTTGAGCTTCTGGTAGACTTCGGCACCCTGGCGCATGGCCTCGGTGAAGGTGGGAGCCTCACTGCTGAGTGTTAGACACGCCTTTCAGAAAGTAAACTTGAGAGGAACGTACGAAGGAACGATCATGAACTCCTGGAAAGCCATGCGGCCACCAGCGTGGGAGCCACCGTTGAGGACGTTCATGAAGGGAACGGGCAGAACGTAGGGCTTCTTGGTGCCAGCCAAGTCGGAGATGTGAGCGTAGAGAGGAACGCCCTTCTCAGCGGCGGCGGCCTTAGCGATGGCCATAGAGACACCGAGGATGGCGTTTGCACCAAGCTCAGTCTTGTTCTTAGTTCCATCGAGCTTATTCAGGAAAGCATCGACAGCGGACTGGTCCTTGACGTCGAGCTTCTCCTTGATCAGAGCAGGGGCGATCTTCTCGTTGACATTGGCAACAGCCTTGGTCACACCCTTACCACCCCACTTGCTCTTGTCACCGTCGCGGAGCTCGCAAGCCTCGTGAGAACCGGTGGAGGCACCGGAGGGGACGATGGCGCGGTGGAGGCCAGTCTCGGTGACGATATCGACCTCGACGGTGGGGTTACCCTGGAGATAGTCAATATACCGTCAATGGCCATAGTTGTGGTTAAGTGGACATACGCGAGAGTCGTAGACGGAGCGTGCGTGGATCTTGGTGATGGCCATGATGCGTGTTTGTGTAGAGGCTACAATAGATTAATCAGTAAAGAGTCAACTGCAGAAGTGGAGCTGAGCAGCAGTCAAGTATATATAGGCGTGGACCAGCCCTATGATACTGTGCTTGGGAGACTACAGCGTTCTAGTCAAGCGTCACCGGCCGGTGATGAGGTGGATCCTGAAGAAACGCTCGACCATTGCCCAGCCCTTGACTGTTAGAGGCCGGCGGAGCCTCAAACTGGCATAGGTGTGGGATGGTACGGCCGGCCGCGGATGGAAGGCTGACGAAGACCTTGACTTACCAGGCGGATGTGAAAAAGTTGCACTGATGTTTTGTTTGGGTGGGGTGAATCCAAGCTTAAGTAGTTGAGGAGGGGCAGTCGCGACCTCAGCAGATCTGCCCCGCCGTGAAACTCATTGGCCGCCGCCGCGCATGTGTCGTAAGAGGATGCATTAATGGTATCGCAAAAGCATCGGAGCGGCTGTCACGGCGATGACCGCCTTCTAGAAATGTTGAGATGAGGCTTCCACGTCAATTGATCGCCATTGGCATTACCCCTCCAGTCTTCAGTAGCCACTAAAAGTACGCAACAGCTTCGAAAGGCTTCCTCCAGGACACATCAAAGCTACTGGGGATGCTTGCCACAGCTTTTCCAAGCTTTACACCGATAATACCTTTGAGCAACTGAGCGTCTGTTCCAATCCGTCGCTCTGCTGTTCTACTCAAAGCTGTTTCAGGATTATTTATACCATAAAACCTCCCAAGCATCTCCATGCTCAAATTAACAGCCATTGAGCACCTGATACGAATGGTGAAAGCAACCAAATGGGTGTTGATTAATAGCCATGAACTCATCTCAGGATACGACATGTCACAGTATCTGCAAACGGTGTTGTTTAATCTTCAGATTACGTTGAACGCGCTATGCACCTGACAGGGCAAGCACCCTGATGACGCCAGTGCGCCGATCGCCCAAAATGTGCAAATCCGCCAAGGCTCCGTTTCGAAGCATAGCTAAGTGTAGACTTCAACCACTGCGCAGTAGAAAATGACGAGGATGCCTAATGGAGATAGCAGGAGGAGCCACGCCTGCGGTTGCTATACTTTAGTATAAGCTACGCGCATTGAGCGTCAGCAACGTATGCGCCAGCACACCGGTTGGAGCCGTCTTATTAAATGCGCTCGCAATTCACCGTCTCCTCTTAGGCGATCCTTCTCGACTTCTGTGCTCCAGTTCCTTCCTCTTGCCTGCATTTTGCGAAATAGATGCCTTTCCAGACGGGGTGCTTGTGCGACTCGCGCTACCAGATCTCGTGGCAGAGACGAAATCAATGGCTTCCCTCGGTATCTTAGATTTCTCCTGTTCCCTTGTCTTGAGAATCCTCTTCTGCGAGGCCCTCAGCTCCTCGACATAGGCCCAAGGAGGGAACACTGCAGGTACAGCAAGACCTTCTGGAAGCGTAGAAGCGTATTGTTCCTCCTCACTGATCCTAGCAAAGTCCATCAGTTTTTGCGAATGGCCTGGGTCACGCAGTACTGAGGAACTCGCCAGCCGTTGATTGAAGTGCTGGCCTTTCGTCTTCAACTCAAGGAATTGAGCAAACTTTTTCGTCGCCCGTTGCGGCGGCGGCCCTGGCGGCGAAGGTGGTATGTCGAAATCAGGCACGGTGGGCAAGGTAAGGTTTTGGATGATGGCTCGACTTGATGTGTATGGCGAGCCCGGAGGAACACCGTCGGCGGCATCGTTGTCTACTGGAGGCGGCGACACAGTCGGATCTTGCGCAGGTCCATTAACTGGAGCAGACAATGGTGGAGTGGCTTTGCGTAGAGCCGGTTGAGGAAGGACCTCAGGCGCGGGTGCGGCTGCTACAGGAACATTTGCCAACTCGATATTAGTAGCTATCGAAGTCCTCCTAGGCGCATGTTCAAGACTCACCTTAGTCGCCGTCGCTGGGAGCTCCTCTTCTTCATCACTACTCTCATAATTTACTCCCAGCATTGTGTCTTGCGTTGAGGTGAAAGAGCAACCGCGGGAATTGATGTGTAAGGTGGCCCGAGCTCCAGCTGCACTTGCCAAGCATATCGTCGCCAGCGTGAGCTGCCTGCCATCATCACCCACTCACCTCCGAACACCGCCTTCCAGCTAATACACGCCGTCAACGCCAGATCAGTACAGTCCGCCTTACTACCGAAATCTCCAAACTATATACGGCACGATGAACCACCTTCCGCAAGCTTGGGGCCGTGTAAGACGCCTCCCCACTCGACAACTAACGCCATACTGACATCGATATAGCCTAGAGACGATGTCTACGGCGCGTACGACCACTCACATTTCCAGACTGCTGGCCCTACCCAGCACTCACAGGCACCCATCGTCACCGGTACTTCAGTGTTGGCGGCAAAGTTCAAGGACGGCGTGGTCATAGCGGCGGACAACCTGGGTATGATGCAGCTTCCTCTTACCGAGCTTCAAGGTGCGTATGCTAATGCTATGCTACAGCCTCATATGGATCGCTCGCTCGCTTCACCGACGTCAAGCGACTACGGAAGTTCAACGACGAGGTGGTGGTAGGCTTTGGCGGCGACGTTTCGGACATGCAGTACCTCGACCGCCTCCTCAACTCTCTCGACATCCGCGAGAACTACTCCTCGACCGACGATAACCTCAACGCCAAGAACCTCCACACATACCTTGCCAAGGTCATGTACAACCGCCGATCGAAGTTCGACCCACTGTGGAACCATCTCTTGATCGCCGGTCTGGACGGCGAGGGCAAGCCGTTTCTTGCGAGCGCAGACCTCCTCGGCACCACATTCTCTTCACCGTCGATTGCTACAGGGTTTGGAGCGCATCTTGCACAGCCGATCATGCGAACATTACTGCCTGACGAGGCGTCAGTGCAGAATGTCACCAAGGAGCAGGCAGTAGAGAAGGTCAAGGAGTGCATGAAGGTTCTCTTCTACAGAGACGCAAGGAGTATGGACAGATACTCCATCGCCGTCATCACGAAGGAGGGCGTTGACCTGAACGAGGACGTCAAGCTGGAGAACCAGAGCTGGGCATTTGCAGAGAGGATCAGGGGATACGGCACGCAAACGGCGTAAGACCGAGCTGGATGTGTCTGGCCGTGTGGAGATGACGATATGCTCAGGGCCAAGGAGCTTTTGAGGCTAAACGGCTGAACGATAGACATGAATAAATGTACAATCCGATGGAATGATTATCAATCTCAAACCTACACGATCCTTCGGGCAAGCCACACGCGTCTGCTGCATTGGCTATCACTTCGGCTGTATGCCGATGCCAGAGCCAATCGCGCTAGAGCCGACGCGACCACCTCCCAGACGATGCGGGGAAGAAGCTCCGCGGTAACCAAACTACCGTATAAAGGCTCCAAGATGGAACATGCCCTGTTGAAAGACCTATGTCCCATTCCGCGTTTCCCCTGCCATAACCATGTCGACCGACTTCACATCAGGACCTAAGAAGCGCATAGTGATCACCGGCGGCTCAGGCGTGGTGGGCCGCTACGTTATCCAGAAGCTGCTGAGCTACGGCCATGAGATACTCAATGTCGACCAGACACCACTAGACAATCCGAATGTACACACGCTGAAGGCGGATCTTACGGATGGTGCGCAGGCGTTTAATGCACTGAGCTGTCATTTTCAGATCAGTGAGCCATTTTTGGAGGAGATGCGGACGCCGGATGTGGTGATACATCTTGCTGGTACGTATTTGGCAATGTTTTCCAATATCGCAACAGATTCGAAAGAGGAGGAAGCGCATCGAACAAATATACGGGGTCAAGTAGATTGGCTTTAGAGAACTTCTGCAGAATTCATTCTTCGTCTGTTCATTCATGTAAGAGACAGCTCACGAATCCAGGCATTCCCCAACCCAACCGCATCCCCGACAACGAAACTTTCCGCATCAACACCCTCTCCTCCTACGCCATAATAGAAGCAGCCTGCAAACTCGGTATCAAGAAGATCATCCTTGCCTCCAGCATCACCGTCTATGGCGTCACCTATGCCGAGACCAACATCTCGTTCCCGCATTTCCCCATCACAGAATCCACACCAACAGAGCCCATGGACGTTTACGCCACCTCCAAAGTCTGCATGGAGCGCGTCGCCGCCTCCTTCGAGAAGCGGTTCCGAGCAATGGGAAAACCGGTAGATATCTACTGTCTGCGGATCGGCGCCGTAGTGACGCCCGACAGGCATCAGGAGGTCATGACGAGTTACCTCGAGCGGCCGCGGGAGTGGAAAGTGCACGGGTGGTCGTATATCGACGCACGAGATCTGGGAAACGTCATTAACCGGTGCATTGAGACGGATGGGTTGGGGTTCGAGGTGTTCAATGTGGTGAACGATGAGAATACGCTGCCGGATGGGAAGGCGCAGACGATTGACTGGTTGAGAAGTTTTTGCCCTGAGACCGAGATTTTAGACGAGCAGGCGCTGAGGGGGCAGATGGCGCCGATAAGTAATGAGAAGGCGAAGAGGTTGTTGGGGTTTAGAGAGGAGTATCCGTGGAGAGAGGAGAGGAGGAAGTGGGTGGCAAGGGAGATCAGGGAGGAGAGGTGAGGGGTGTAGAGTACTTGTACAGTACGAAGTCAATGATACATATAGTACTTATTGTGACCGAGATGAGCAGGTCTGGTATAAGTCATGTCAGCCCGGACGTCCACAGAAGGTCAAATGGTTGTGTGAATGAGGTATCTTCGATTTCGAGCAACGGAGAGAAATGTACTTTACGAAAACTACCACATGATTCCTTTCCAGTCGAAGGACCCAGGCCCATCGATGTTCCTCCAATTCCCTTGTACAATCGCCTTGTCCCACCCCATCATCACAGCCAGCAACCTACACCCAATACTGCTAACCGTGCACACCATCGTATCAGCCTTACTCAGCACCGCCAGATCAAGCAGATACGCCCGGCCCACCAATTCCCTGAGTTTCATCGCCTGCTCAGGAACATTGTTGTTGTCGAGTTTGTGCATATCATTCGCGTTTCCAACAGGCTGGCCGAGGCTGAAGAACACATCGCGGTAGAACCCGCCTTCCCACCCTGTGATCTCGTCGATCCAGGGATTCTTCTTGCCCTGAGCAGCTTCGAGCGCGGCTTTAGTAGCGAGAACGATGCGGTCCTGTGCGCGGATTGAGTTGGGGCCTACTTCCGAGGACTCGTAGACGAGGGGGTCGTCTGAGGCGAGGACCATCTTAGAGGTAGTGTGGCGTGCAAGAAGTGTGTTGCCTGCGTCTGCGCTGCGCTTCTTGGACTTCTTGCCAGCGTTCTCGATCAAGTCGATGTAAATCTCGCGCGCGGTGTCGGTGTAGCGATCCAGCGGGATGTAGTCTTTCTGGTACTGGTATTCCAGGGGGTGCTTGTCGCCGTGGCGGACATGCATGCCGATGCTGATGCCGCCTTCTGATTTGATGTCGCCGTACAGTTCTAGGGCACGGTTCAAGACGTACTTCGCATCGTCGGTGCGGAGCTTGAAGAGCGCTTCGTAGCCGGTGCGCAGCAGGTCGAATATCTTGTGCTGGCGCTGGACGCGCATTTTGGTGGCGTCCTCCCACTCTTCAGTGAAGGCATGACCGAATGTTGACTGGACCGTGGCTCCGGAGACTACGATGTGTCGGGCGTTGTGTGGGCAAGGGACCATGTGCGACTTGGGCGGAGGAAGGCATCCTGCTGTAGGGGGGTTGATGAAGTACGACAGATACTTTCCGTATGGCCTGCTGGTGATTAGTAGATGTCGGATGTCAGTTGGACAACTTCGCACATACCATCGGCTATCATCGATGAAGAAGGTGCGGTTCTCAGCTTTCGCTAGACCATATGACATCCACAATCGCATAAGGGAGTTACCAAATCCTGCATCCTCTGTCTCCAACACATACGTCAAAGTCCTGCCACAGACCTTGAGTCCGGTAGTTGAGAACCCATCCGCAATCATATCATCCGCCACAAATCCCTTTGGCCTTCCACTCGCCTTCGACGGCGGCAACAGTGCCTGCTCTTCCGCCTCTTGAACATCGATATAGTACTGATCCTTCTGATAGTAGTTGAGCATACGCTTCGCAAAGCCAGAAGACGTCCGCGCTTCCTGACGCATATCTCTAGACACCTCTTCGGCCTGGTGGCATATATCGCGATACTGAGCCGGTCGCAACGGGAAGTCAAAGTTCGAGGGGATCGATACAGTCCACCTCATCTTCCCTGTGCTGTCAGCCATAGCAACGACGGATGGCTCCTGAGGTAATTGCGCTCCTCCTGCCATTTCCCACTCTTCTCCATCTCCATCGTAGCTCGATGACGACTGTGCTGATGCATGCAGTTGGCGGACTACCAGCCAGAGTAGAAATATTACTGCTAGACCTCCGATGAGAACACGCTTGATCAGACGGTTGTGGCTGGTTTGTGGTTGCTTCTTCCCATGGCGGGGGATCAAAGACGGAAGACTGGGCGAAGCGGGTGGTGATCGTGAAAGCAAGCCTCTCCGATCCAGATTGGGAGACAAAAACGCACCGGAAGTCGCGGAGAGGACCGGTGGAGTAAGCTGGCTATATGCCGCCGTGGATTGAATGGATAGGTTCGGATTCCGTCTAGCATGCATCCTGGAGAGCTTCTGTGTTGCTTGGTTCAGCATGTCGAAGGTCGGGATCTGGGATGTTCAAGTCACTGATATTAGGGTCGGCAGTTCGGGCAGCTGCAGTGCGATGATGAGTGCTGCAGATAGTCACCTGTCCCTGCAGGTGTCGTGTAACCGAAAAGAGGGGACGAGGCAGCGTCGAGTTGCCTTCGGTCAAGGAGTGTAAGAATTGAAATAGAGAAGAAAGAGAAGAAGTAAGCTTCAGTCGGACTTCAAGAAGTCATTGGAAGAAACAATGAAGGAGGGGAGAGGGGGGTTCTTTGCCTCAGATGTAATATCCCGAGCGCGAGAAGTTTCACGACATTAAACAAACGAGCAGGATCTCCATCAAGGAGTGTCCCGAGGCTCGACAAAGTGAGATGGATAGTGGCCTGTTCTGGTAGGTGTAATTTGAGGGAACCGTCCAAGGGAAGAATCCCATAGTAGCCCTAGTGCCAGCGGGCACGGCCTGCATAGCTAGCATCTTCAGGAAGGTCGACTCTGAAGCGAGGAGCAAGCGAGCATCATTTGGAGGGGCAGTGCATGGATGGTGTGAGAGTCTGAAACACTCCAACATGTATGATGATGGAGCCTGTCAATGGGTTTCGCCCAATCGGTGCAAGCTCCGTCCGCACCGAGATCCACCTCCAGCATGGCATCTCCGAACAACAAACTCGCGGACAGCAAAACCTTTCGTTCTGCTCGCCACTCTCGTCTTTCATCTTTTGCGCACTCCTCACTCAATCACAGAAGGCACAAAGACGCGAAACCACCATCTGTGTGAGAACCTGAAACACTCCAGTCTGTGTGACGTTGACGAAGTGGAACCTGCGGAGCGCTTGGCGACTGATGCGTTACTTTAGAGAAGCGCACGAATCCTAGCTCCCTTGTAGCGCTCGTATGGTGCTCACTGGTTTCAACGGCCGCCAGCACGATAGGCTGCTTGTTTGAACGACGCCTCATGTAAGATGAGGAGCGTTAATGAAAGGTGATTCACATGAATTTTGGGCGAAGGCGACGAGCTTAACGGCGCTAGCACAACGTTGCCTGTAAAGGGAAGGATTCGCTCGCCTTACATTGGAGGGAGAGCGACTGACGAGGAACTTTCCAATATGCAGCGTGACTGTGACAGCTTGCTGTACGAGTATGTGAATGCATCTCATTGGCAACTGCAGCTCGCCGACACGATGCTCATCAACACAACATGGAGTGTCATTTTTAACATTGTAGATACGAGTTCCAAAGGTAAAGCATATGAGCACCGTCGAATGAGTGCGCAGAATCCAACGACCGCCACCAAGGGAAGAGCTTCATGAGAGCGGCTCCTCCCACACCCCCGGTGCGAGGCGCGTACTCCACATACACCCAATCTACATCAAACAGATCTGCATCGATGTAGGAAGTATTCAACCGCAGGCAAACGCGCTTGTTGCACACAAGTAGGTTGCGGACCGGCGTGAACCACAGTGCTCTGTATACCGATCACAAGCATCACTCAGCAACCTGAAAGAGAGCAACTGAAACAAACACAAAGCGTCATCTTCCAATTACAGTCCTCTAACCAAGACCTATAGATGAGCGTACGGGGGTATCAGATCGCCTCTCCCTCTCGGCCATTCGATTAGAAAAGCCTCCCAATGTCGATATACAGTATGGTACAAACAATATGTGAAAAGCAAGGTAATATAGATCAAGCAACCATGCGTCGCGTCGCGTCCCATCGCGCACAACGCCGCGAGGTACCGGTTCCCCATGCACATTCCGAAGTGCCGATAACGCCAGGGAGTGAATCCAGATATGTAAATCGCAATACCTTCTCGGTTCTCTTTCGCCGTGCTGGTGCAGGGCCGTGTCTCATCCTCATTACGTAGTGTCCATAAGATCGTTTGTGTTTCTGTTCAGCCCGTGCGGGGAAGCCAAAGGACGTGCCCCGGTATTACGTGTGCATTCGCAATCCTCGGTTTGCGAGTGTCGTATGATAGTTGTGCGTCTCAAGCGCCCTTGCATGCGTTCAAGGCCGTCGGACCTCTGTGGCGGGCATGAGGCTACTGCGCCTTGCAGCCCTATCGACTCTGCCTGTGATCATCTCGTCTAGCATACGAGTCATTTCCTCGATGTTCTTTCCTGGGTTTGTGGGTGCGGGAGGGAGGAATGGTGCACTGTTAGGACTAGTGGGTGATGTTGGGCCCTTGGCATGTAGTATGTTAACGCTGCTGCCCTCGCTGCGCTGGTAGGAGGAAGTTCGTCGGCTTCCTGGTGAGCCATCGCTACCAACGTCGTGTGCAGTATCATTCCTCTTTCGCGCTGCTGTTAGCGCAGTTATCATTCGCTCTTTGTCTTCGAGCTGTGCCCGCAGAGTCGAGATTTCGGAATCCCTTTCAGCAATGGTAGCGAGTAGACCACCATCCTCGCTATCTCCGTGCCTTGAGTTGATCGACATGGAAAGGCGAGAGTGGCTCGACCTCCGTGCCTGCAGGAGTCGCTTCTCCAAAGTGGCAATGTAGCGGTTTCTATCTGCAAGATCAGCCTGCAACGCCTGGATTTGAACACCCTGACTTGCAAGACCGTCCCCATTCTCGCCAACCGAGTCATCTTCCTCCGACCCTTCTACAGGCGAAGGGAATGACTGGATCGAGGCGCGCGGCACTTCGAGGGTGGCGTGACTCGCAGAGGATCGTACGGACATGGGTCGGAAGTCGCTGACATGACTGAACGTAGAAGCACGCTGGAGGCTCATCGATGAGTATGCCCTGCCGTTGTTGACGCCGAGTGACTTCGAACTCAAGATCAACCGATTGAGGTGCTCAATACGCTCCTTAAGGGCAGTGCGAGCAAGCTGCATTTCCAGCATCTGCTCTTCGTGTCGCTGCTTGTCTTGCTGCTCACGCGCCCTCTCTTCCTCTCTGTCTCGTCTAAACTCATCTTCCTCTTCGTCTTTGTCCTCCTTTTTCTTGCCCTCTTCTAGTTGCCTCTTAAGGTCCTGGATCTCAAGGCGGTAACGGTCCAGCAGTGCTCGGCTTCCTGCATCTCCACCTGCGCCCAATGAATCGTCTGCTTTCTTTGCATGGCTGACGATGTTATTCTTGGCCCGGGACGCGAACTTCAGGGTGTTCAACGTCTCATTGGCATGGTTGGACGATGCTGCAACGCTACCGCTGGCGCCGATCTGGATTGTGCAAAGAATGCTGACCAACGAGTTACCTGACAGAGCACCCTGTAAGAGACGGGTAAGTTTACTGTCTCGGTACGGCAGATGGTTGTCCTTCTTTCCGTCTTTACCCGTCTTGTTGCCCGCCAGTCCACCAACAACAGCTCCTAGAGTGAGCAAACTCTTGTTAATGTGAGATCCCTCGGTTCGTCTTTCCTTGTCATCGGCTGCCTTTTCCGATCCGGCTAAATCGATCAAACTGAGTGTCGATACACGAACACCACCGGGTATAATGGCTGATCGTTTATCACCAGCTAGGCTAGGGCCGGGCGCGCGTTCTCTGCTTTCCACAACAATCTGCACAACGGCGTGACTGCGAGAACTTCGAGAGTTGAACTGAGTGCCGGCGACCCTTCGCGCCTGATCACCTCGCGAGATGACTCGCAGGAGTTGTGTTGGACTCTGGACGATCTCTTCCTTCAGAGGCGTTGCGTAGACACCTCGCTTACTGTCCTCGCGTAGCTTGATCTCCTCTTGTGGGCCGGGCTGGCCTCCCATGCCAATGACAGGTCCTGCTAGCAGATCATTTATCTTCTCATTGTAAATCTCGAGATAGCTGACACGTAGAAGGAACTCTCGATATGGCGTTTCGCGGATGTACGAGAAGATGTCAGTAATCGCCAGTGGGATAACACCGGGACTTGTTGCTGTTCCTTGCATGGAGAAGGTCTTTCCTGTTCCGGTCATACCATAAGCGAATACGGTTCCGTGGTAACCTTCCATCACTCTTCGGACCAGTCGTTTTGCCGTAGCATCGTATACGCGAGCGTTGTTGTCTTGGGTGTCAAAAACATTGTCTAAGATGATATTAGTGGAACCTCAGCGCGACCTACACCGTATGTGCTTACCGTAGATGTAATCTCCACCCCCGTCACGACCGTGGTATGTGACCATATGACGCTTGCCGTTGACATCCCAATCTCGGTCTTGCTGGCCATCTTTTGGCCCTACATCTGGCCGCACACGCACACTGACAACAACGTTGCCCTTGTTGGTCGATTCACCATCTGTCTTGTTGTTTTTGCGCCCTCTTGCTTCGTCGTCGCCTTCTTCGATGGTAGTTGCGCTCGTTGACCGCGATCTGTGAGGCGAGGAGTTGCGGCTCTGTGGTGGAGATGGTAGGCTGAGATGGCTGGTGTCTACTGCGACCGACTCTGCGCTGCCGTTGCCGTTGAGGAAGCTCGGGGGTGACAGTGGTGACTTTGATAGCAGACCCCTGCCTCCACCAATATTTGACGCTCTAGGTTTCTTGAGACTGCTTTTCCTTGACGGTATCGAGGCTTTGGAGCCTGTCGATAACCGCTGATCTACCGAGTCGCCGTTGATGGAAGCACTGGACGCCAGCGGACTGCTTGGGGTTCGCAAGCCATGTTTGGGTGGCTGCGGAAACGCGCCGATGCTGACAACCTTGCGCAACGACTTTCCAGGTGCTGGCCCTCCTGCCGCATGTTCGGCTGCTATTGTCGGGACGGAAGGGGAGGTGATGTGTTTTGCTGCGCCTGGACGGTAAGGCGAATTGGAATACGAGACGGCGCGGTTTGACGGACTGGGAAGGCCGCTGGAGGGTGTTCGAAGACTGGCGGGGCTGGCGTTTGACGAGCGTTGTTTCGGCACTGGCAAAGAGGGGAGCGGACCTGTGGGAGGAGCGATGGAGCGGCGAGGAAGCGTATTGCCAGACATATTGCTGGCTGTGGTGGTGAGTACGAGCAATCACTGTGCTGTACGATGCATGTATTGACACTGCTCCAGGCGTTGCTCCGTGGAGTGCCAGGCGACCCGGGCGCAGTTGCTTTTTGTTTTCTTTTTCACCCCAGGCTTCACGACGTCACACGCATGACAAATGTCACGGCAGGCGTCGTCAACAAAACTCTAATTCTTTACAGCAGTTTGCGGGGAGCGCAATCCGAAGAGCGCTGGTGCAGCTCGCCCGCTGGGAGGGCCTGGTGCAGATGGTGCGGCAGCAAGCGATGGTAGCAAGCGCGTGGTGCAGCTCGAGCGGGTGCTTGCAGCGGATGCAGGGTACAACGGTTTGGCGATTTTGGCGGTGCCGGGCGGTATGTCGCTGCGGTGCGCTGCTGCTGCGAGAGTGCGACCAAGGTGAGCTATGCGAACGAGTGACGAAGGTCTTTCAGGGTCCTGGCAGCGAAGAATGAGAGTTCGCGGGGAGAAAGGAGCGCGTAGCCAGCAGATGGTCGGCGGCCCAACAAGCGTGCAGGGGATGGATGCTCGGCCATGCACAGGCCTCAATGCGCCTGCGAAGGGATCGATGGTCCAAATTGATTTGGTGGAGAGAACTCACGAGCGGATAGGCCAGCTAGCGACCAGGTAATGAGTGTGGGGGGAACGGCAGAAGCAATGAAAAAAGATGCTCTCACGGTCGGCACAGGAAAGGGGTTCACGCGCCGTAGTTCTCGAGACCAGCACATCGAATCACAGCCATAGTGGTTAGTCCTCCCAATGCGGCACGGCGGGTCCCTAGCAGCAGCTTCCGCGCCCTCCACTCCTGCATCCCCCGGCTGCTTTAGGCGGACCATACCGGCTGTTACAGAGCCTTGCCAGAGCCTTGCCAGAGCCTTGCCAGGAAGTGGTCGCTGCACAGTTCATCACCCTGAGCTCGTGTCTGTCGTTCGACTCTGTCTCGGCAATCTATCTGGGTTTCGTCACGCCGTTCGGTTTGTTGCTCACAAGCATACACGAAAACGAAACTGTGGAGAAGTACTCGAGCTTTGGACAATCATTTCTATTGCTGCGCCGTATCCATGGATCGGAATCTCGAGCCCCATTCTGCATTGCGGCTCCACAATCACCCTCGATAGGCCATCCAGACTCGAAATAATCTCCGAGTCACATAAGGATTGTCGAATGCTGCACCCTCATTCGCGTTGCCTCCAATCAACACGTCGAGTGCTCGAATACAACGCGCTATGGCCCCTGGCGCTACCGATGAGCGCCATTACACGTGCCGCCGCCTTTGCATCTTTGTAGACTTGAACTTGCTCGTCCGACGGCCTGATGCTGCAGTTCGATAATTGAGGGAGCGCACATGCTTCGGGAGAGCAGAAGGTGAAATAGTCTCTACTCCGATTGCAAGGTACCTTCCCATGGCAAGTGATACGTGGAGCCTACAATGAACCAGACTACATTTCGTGCTCAATGCAATGAAGCGTGTTGCACTACTTTCGTGTTCATTGACGTGTGTGAGCTTTCGTTTTCCAGAGCAGTGCTTTAACGATGGGTATCTTGTAAACCACAAATAAACAATGGTGCCTGCAACGCTTTGTCCTACGTGCCAGACCTGTCAAACAAGAACGTGGTCAACCTCTTTTGGTTTTGTGCTCCCAAGTAACATTTTCGATGGCTTTTGTGCCGTGTTGAACCGTTCCAAGCATACGACTGCCGACTCGTGGAGGTCAACACTCGATGCTAAAGCAGCCTCATGTGTCAGCCACTTATGCTCGGTATCCACGGCGCCATCCGAGAAGCATGAAGATCACCGGAGTCGTGTCCGATGGGCGAGGCGCAACCAAATTCAGCTCCCATGCGCAACCAAGAGCTCCCACAGGGGACTCGGAGAATTTTCCGTCGACTCTGCCGCTTTATCGAGCCCATCTCGCTGGCGAAACACCCCAGCGAGACGTCCGGGTACCTTCACGACGGTGTTCCGAGTCAGAGTCGTGCAAGTGCGTGCCATCCACGCGGGACCAGACGACGCTTTGATGTTTGTCGTACAAGATAACTCTCCTAGAGTGCACCCCATCCAAACAGACTCTTGCCAGCGGTGGTGACAGCCAGATATTGTATGCTCCAAAGGCTGAGATCAATGGCCAGTTCGGAGGCAGCACAGAGCGCTACGCGTGACATGCCAATACCAATAGATCGAATGGTCGTGTCACTGAGGCCGGGAAACGGTTCGACAAAGCGTGGCATAGTCCCGTTGTGCTCTAGACTGGCCAAATAATGAGACGCAACCAGCCGAAGGACGACAAGCTTGAAAGGAAGCACTGCAAGTCCAACGAGCTGTGCTTTGACAATAGCGCCGATCATCTGTGAAGGCTCGGTAGAAAGCTGAGTCACGCGGTGATGCGGTCGAGTCGCTATTTGACGGTTGGTTCTTCGTGAAGTGAGATGGTTGTGGCTCGAAGACGTGGGCTGAGCATCCAAGACTTCGGTGTGAGAGGAAATGATTCGCGGGGGCAACCGTACTTCCATCTCTACGATGCCTTCGCGCGAGGTAATCCTAATCCTCGGGTCATTGTCATTGTGGTCAGACGCTGTAGGCGTTAGCGGTGTGGTCAGATGTATCAAGTCATCTGCAGTCTCAATGGGTATAGTGACAGTGTTGTCGTTGGCGCCGTCGGTGGCAGGTCTGTCGGTACGAGAAATTGGCATGTTTATAGGCGTCAAGTCCGTAAGCTGGGCGCCAGCGACTTCCACACTCTGTCCCGCGCTTGTTACAGAATCGAGCGATGGCTTTCGTTCTGCCTCATCCAGGTCAGCAGGCTCACACCAACCAAGCAATGCAAGTAGTCTGTTGATAGTTTTCCTTATCAGAGACGGCGATCTTCGCTGCAGTCCCAGGATGGATGTAGCACGGTCCTTACTGACAGCGTCCGGGCTCTCTATATCCGCATTATCGGGTCGAATGATGAATGTCTCAACGGCTTCGAATATTGCAGAGTAAACCCAGCGCTCATAGAAGTGCTCCACAATCATCAATACCACAGGAGAAGTGACGATGGCTTTCGCAACGCTCATAGCAGATCCAGATGCGTCATGGTGAATGGACAGTGGTGTGAGAGGCGACCACGGCGAGAAGGGGATGAAAGACTTCCAGTAGGGTAGCAATGGTCGTGCTGCAACAAGACCCAGTCGTTGCAGATTAGCATGATGAGAGAAAGGATAGAAGAGGACCTCGAGGCCTAATCGGAATCTATACGGCATGAGTCGTGCTAGATCAAACGTTCAAGAGCACTTACCCAAATGTCAACACGCTCCTCGTGCGCCGAATAAAGCGACGCGTCTTGGAACTCGCACGCGTGACTTGCACCAAACGATCGATAGGCTGGTACACGTATGCACCGTAGACGAGTGCTTGGATGCCAATCGTGGAGACAAATCGAGAAGTGAAGCCAGTATACGCAATCGAATTGTCAGAAGCCGCGCGTTCAGAAGCCACAATCTGGACGAAAGGAATCGCATTTGGGATACGAAATGTGAGAACCCGGTCTCTGATGGTGCCGATCCACCAGGTACATAGGTTCTCCACAACAGTGGACGCAAGGGCAAGCGCGTTGCCTACTGTCTCTTCAGACTCAAGCTCTTCGAGGCGCTCTTCGTACGAGCCAGGAAGCCCCTCAGATGGAGACCTGCGCCTCTCAACTACACCTACTGAGGCTAGAACGTCGTTCTGTGCATCCCTCAGTCTCTTGCCGTATGCATGAGAGCGCGGATTGATAGGATTGCCGCGCTCGTCGTACAGTTGAATGTAGTTGTTAGCCTTGGCTTCACGGTATCGTTGAGGCAGAGGCTCGTCAGACTGAGAAGCTGCAAGTTGTATATACTCGTCTGATTCCGTGACCTCATCAGTAGGCTCGAATGCCGACCGTCCCTAAGTATTCATATTAGTCACGTGGGATCATAATCGAGTCGTCTTATGAAGACGTTCACAGGAGCAGGGAAACGTACGAAAGCGATCTTAGCCAGGTAGGCTTGCCGGCCCATATTGATGTGCCTTGTCAGTGGTGAGGAGACATGGCTAAAGGATACATTGCAGATGAGGGCGTGGCAGAGTCGTAGTGGTGCCTGGCGTCAGTGTCGCTAGACGTCAGCCCTGGAGACGCGCCGGCCGCGCCTTCTGCTTATCGATAAGCAACTTTTCTTACTTTCCTCCACCAGCGCGAATCCTGAAGCAGTACTTTCGGCTCGAAGCAACTCAGCGCAACGCCATGGCGCAAAGAACGACTGTCCGGACGACCTACGAAGTCGAGCGCACGTTGCAGCCCATCTACTCTGGTGGAAGCATAGCGCTTAGTGAAGACGGGCGCATCTTGGCCGCATGCCTGGAGGAAGAGGTAGTGCTCACAGATCTTTCCACTGGGAAGGAGCTGGCGAGAGCAGAGGGCGATGGCGAGGCCATCACGTCTTTGGCTCGTGAGTATAACTTTGTGATTTTGGCATGCAGTGGCTAATTGCAACAGTAACCCCCTCCGCATCCCACCTTATTGTGTGTTCGCGGTCGCTGTCGATGCAGATATATGCCCTGCAGCCCTCGGAAACGAACGATGAAGGGATAGAACTCGAGCTTCTTCGATCGCTGAAACCGCATACGGGTCCCGTGGTAACACTCGCTGTTGACAGCACAGGCACGCTTGTGGCAACCGGTGGTGCAGATGGCGTTGTCAAGATTTGGGACATTCGCGCAGGATACACCACACATACTTTCCACGGCCATGGCGGCGTTGTTTCGGCGCTACATCTCTTCCAGGTCGAGGTGGCAGCGAAAGCCGACACTGCAGATAGCGGCAAGAAGAGGAAGAGGAGCAAGTCGCAACAGAGAGCTGAAGAGGCACAAGGAGAAAGCACGCTGGAATACCGATTAGCTTCTGGTGCTGAAGATGGCAAGATTCGTGTTTGGGACCTGCACAAGAAGAAAAGCATCGCAGTGCTGGATTCGCACGTCTCCGTTGTGCGCAGGCTGCAGTACTCGCCAGAGGAGAAGGTGCTGGTGTCAGGAAGCAGAGACAAGACACTGATACTCTGGACGTCAGAAAAATGGAAGCAACAGCGAACAATCGCAGCGTTGGAAGGTATTGAGAGTGCAGGCTTCCTTGCAAACGGGCAGATTGTGTACTCCGGTGGAGAGCATGGCAATGTTCGACTTTGGTCGACAGCGACCGGCCAGGAGCTGACTCGGGAGCAAGAGCCTGGGAACGAGACCGACGAGATTGTCAACATCCTCTACTACCCCTCCCTCCCTTACCTGATCTCAGTCCATGCTGAACAGGTCCTCAACTTCCATTCGCTGAAATCCGTCGAGCCGCCCTTCGTCGAGGAGACTATCGAGCCACTGTCCGTCTTTCGACGCGTATCTGGCACACACGACGAGGTTATCGACATCGCCTATGTTGGACGAGACAGATCGCTTTTAGCCTTGAACACCAACTCAGAAGACATCCGGATAGTCACATTGAAGGAAGACGTTGCGGAAGGGACATACTTTGGTGCGGATGTTGGAGTACTAGAGGGACACGAAGACATTGTCATCTGTCTGGACGTGGATTGGTCAGGCCATTGGCTTGTCACGGGTGCCAAAGACAATACCGCACGGTTATGGCGGTTGGATCCCGGGAACAACTCGTTCGAGTGCGCAGCTATACTCACTGGCCACGCGGAATCTCTTGGAGCCATTGCTCTTCCTCACACGGTGCCCCAGGAGTCTTCGGCCGCATTCACAGATCCCCTGTCACATCCGCCAGCATACATTGTCACAGGTTCGCAAGATCGAACAGTAAAGCGATGGGATATCACTAAAGATACAAAGAAGCTGCGCGCAAAGTACACGCGGAAGGCTCACGACAAAGACATCAATGCCATTGATATTGACACTTCAGGCACCCTCTTCGCGTCAGCATCGCAGGACAGAACAGTCAAGATCTACTCCGCAGCAGAAGGCGAAGCCGTTGGTGTACTCAGAGGACATCGCCGTGGTGTCTGGACCGTCAAGTTCGCACCGAAGACATCACAAGCTCCCAATTCTGGCAGCAAGGGTCTGATAGCCACAGGAAGTGGAGACAAGACAGTCAAGATCTGGAGTCTGTCAGACTACTCATGTTTACTCACCCTCGAAGGCCACTCCAACAGTGTTCTTAAGCTCACATGGCTACCCTACCGACCTGTCGATGCGCGCGACAAGCGCGGTCCACAGGTAGCATCCGCTGCCGGTGACGGTCTCGTCAAAATCTGGGACGCATCATCCGGCGAATCCATGTCCACTCTCGACAACCACGAAGACCGCGTATGGGCCCTCGTCGCCCACCCCGAAACAGGCGCCCTAGTCTCCGGAGGCGGAGACAGCGTCATCACATTCTGGAAAGACACAACAACTGCAACACTAGAAGCCGCTACAACAGCCGAAACGGAGCGTATAGAACTCGACCAAAAACTACAGAACTACACATATTCGGGCAACTACCGCGAAGCCATTACTCTGGCACTACAGATGGACCAGCCAGGCCGCCTCTTCGCTCTTTTCAAATCTGTCGCCGAGACAGAACAGCCAGATGAGGGAAGCATGTCCGGCCTTGCCACTGTCGATGACGTCCTAGCCAACCTTGCAGATGAACAACTCTACAAACTCCTCTTGCGCCTGCGCGACTGGAACACCAATGTCCGGACTGCTCCTGTAGCGCAGAAGATCCTCTGGACAGTCGTCAAATCATATCCTGCGTCGAGACTTTCCACCTTACAGCCCAAGGGTAAGGTTGGAGCGAAGGGCGGTCTGAAGGATGTACTTGATGCGATACGTGCGTACTCGGAGAGGCATTACAAGAGGGTCGAGGAGTTGGTTGATGAAAGCTATCTTCTGGATTTTACGCTCAGGGAGATGGATGAGGTTGGTGATGTCAAGGCTGTTACGAATGGGACGTCGAGGTTGGGCTTGGACCGTGATGTGGTTATGGCCGAGTAAGGTGCGTTTGTATAGATCAATATACCCCGTTCTACATCTTCTGCATTGGTATTCTGCGTGCTCTGTACACCTGGCTCTAATTACAGTGGTCTATATGCGAACTCTCGTGAAACTTCGGCGAAAGCGAAATCAACAAAGCCCGAGTAAGGGACACGATCCCGATTCGACAGTGAAGTGTGACCATGGCATTAGCGTGGCTATGTTGACCGCGGCCATCAAACTTCCATGTTCCACGAAAGTCTTTGGATGATCTCCAAGGGTCAAACCACGGGGTCTTCTCTAGATCTCGAACATCTTCGTGGTGCTGACGTTGATTCTATGCGCAGTCAGCAAAACATCCTTAACGGTGAAGACACAAGTCGGTACTCACCTGCTCCATGCCTTGCCCTTGTACAAGCACTCCAAGAACCTCGCCGGCCAATACACGTGATACAGCACAAAGAATGGCCACGGATCCGCAACCGTAAGCGTGCCATCCTTCCAGTTCGAAAAGTGATACCAGAACGTCGCCACGCCATCGAAGAACTGGCCCCACGATCCCGCACCAAAGATAGCATCCAAAAATGGCAGGATTAAGAAGCTGACCAAGTCGTGGCCAAACCAGTAGTAGCTACTCGTCGGCGTCCGGGGGAAAACAGGCTTCTCCTGCTCGCCGGAGTCCTTGCGGTAGTCGAGCGCTGAGAGATATGCGTCGGCCATTTCGGGCGTCTTTTCGAAGAGCACGACGGCTGTGTGCGCGCGCGGGTTGCACTCGATGGGGTACAGTTTCACATTGTCTTCGTCTTTGACTAGGAAGTCGAAACTCAGGTGTCCGGTGAAAGTGTTGCCGCCGTCTGCCACCACGCGCTCGGTGAATGCGAGCATTTCCTGGTTCAGCTTAGAGTAGGCTGGCAGAGGCTCGTAGTGCATCAGAAGCTCTAGGGAAGGACAGCTGCAAAAGGCTTTTACTTTTCCGCGGATGACCAGGGCGTGCGTGCAGTATTCGTTGCCTTTGATGAATTGCTGGAGCTGGAAGGGATTGGACTTGGAGATGTTGAGGTTGTGGATGTATTTCTTGGTCTGCGAGGGCGAATCGAACGGGACAAGGGTCATCATCGCGTTGCGAGCGTGGTCGTCTACACCGATTGGCTTCATGATGAATTTCTTGTTGCCATCCTCACTGTTGCCAACATTGCAGAGGAGTACGTTCAGGGCCTCCTCGGGAGACGTGACACGGTGCGATTCGGGAATCGGGAGATCGAGGGATTGAATGTAGTTGATGAACTGGTCTTTCTCGTGGAACTTCTCGACCACATCCTCGTAGAACTGAATGGCTTCGAATCGCCGCCCAGCATCCTTCGCCTGCTTCTGCGCAAGTCGCACCACTTGGCCATCCTCGACTGCCGCGATCACTGATGAGCAGCTGATCCAAAGGTCGACCTTCTCATTGCGGATAACCGACAGTATGGAATCGATGTACGGTTCCGTATCGTCGCCGTTCGGTGTGTCCAATTGGTAGTACCTTGCTATTGCGCTGGAGAAGCGGCCTGGAGAGAGGGGAGAGATGTCTGCGCCAATGACACGGTGTTGCGTGTTTTGTGATAGAACTCGCGCAATTGAGAGGCCTTTGGTCATCGAGACCCCCGTCACGAGGATGGTCTTGCGTTGTGTGACAGCCGTGCTTCTCTTTTCTGCTTGCAGGACTTTGTCGCGGCCATTGATCCGCTGCACGATGAGACTGAACAGCACGAGAACCGCCGAGACTGGCAGGCAGAGAACGCTCAGCGCGACAAGCGACGCATTCTTCCACACATGAGAATAGTAGAAAGGCTCGACGCCCTTCTGCTTCTCACCCTCTGCGCCCATTGCTGTTGTTGAGATGTTGTCACAAGCCTTTCTCTCCGCGATATAGCTAGCTCTCCTTAGTCGTAGCAAACAAACCTCATCAAAAGGAACAAAAGCCTCAGACCCCATTAACCCAAGACAAAGTCGCAAAACAGAGACTAAGAATTCCTAGCGGCTAGGACGGCTGCTATCATGCAAGGAATTCACATGCAAGTCGTGTATGCATGCAAGCGCGGACGCGGATGTGTTCTTGTCTCCCTTCTGAATGCGGATTTAGTCTCGACGTCATCGTTATACGTTGATGCATGTGGACTCCTGGTAAGTGTGAGTTTTGCAAGTCTCGTATACTGTAAGGTTCAGCGGGCCGAGGCCCAGGTGTCATTAATCGCAAAAGGGTCTTTTTGTGTGGTAATGAGACATGCATGGTGGAGTACATGTTTGTTTGGGTGGGGTATGAAGTTTGGCAGTAAGAATGGCGACAGGCACGAGCGAAGGATCGCCGAACATCAATTCCAAGTATCGACGATGACATTGAGTTTATTGAGTCGTGTTGCCTCTCAGGAGAGAAATTTGAGAGATTTGGGGGGTCTTGAGGGTTTGCAATTGATCTAGTTGTTATTGCGCAGCTGTTGCTGCTCTTGCCGCAGGAACTATGTCCACATGCTGGAAGCCGCTGAGGGTGTCCTGACAGCTCTTGCCGTCCCATTTATCCACGGGTTCCTGCGTCTTCTGATGACACATCTGTACTACCAGAAGCCGATGTCAAATCTATACCAACATATCGCGCTGTGCGAAGTCATCGCTCATTTCTGCTCTCCGGTACAGCGAGTGATCTCAATGCCATCCTATGACAAGTCAGTGCGTCGTTCAGATGACTGAAATTGGTGTGAAGACTTACGGGTACGCCAGTCGGCTCGTAGCTGTTCACTAGCTTACTCTCGTAGATGAGAGTCGGCTTTCCAGGGCTCTGGTTGAATTTGGCCTCACCGTACCTCTTCTCATACATCTTAACGTTGGTCTCCGCAATACCTTCTGTGTTGCTATTGCCGCTCTGCTTCGCCTTCTTGAGCTTCTCTTCGACGCTGCTCCTGACGTACTCAAGGTATGGTGGGTTTCCAGGCTTAATCACGTTGTCGGCAGCCAGCACTGAGCCTTCGGTAATTAGTCCCAGCTCTTCGCAAAGCTTGAGATCGGTCGTGTAGGCAGGTTTGTAGTGGTCGAGGAACATGAGATCAATGTGCTTCAGCTGCCCAGATTGGTACAGGCGAGCAATTGATTCATCACTGGAGCCAACGACGACCTTGACGATATCGGAAAGACCTGCCAGGTCGACAAGAGACATGATGACCGCGGCAAACGCAGGATCACGCTCCAAGCTGAAGTACCGTTGCCCTCCAGCTTTGCGGATTGCATCACCGAAAAGGACGCATGAGTAGCCAACGTAACCGCCGAGTTCGACCTGAATTTTTTTGTCAACTCAAGAATTTCAGCTCCAACAATCTAGCAATTGACTTACCATTGTCTTAGGCTTGACATCTGCAATCAAATCTGTTACTATACGGCCCTTGTCCTCTCCAACGTTCATGAGGTATTTCTTCGTGCGCCCATATTCGTCAATGGCTGAGAGAACATTTTCAGGCGAGCCCCGAATCTTCTCGATGTTGGGATGGGAGTAAACGAAGTGCAGGAGCTCGATCTCACGACCGTCGTCGAAGAAAGCGCCCTCCTCTTCCTGTGCTGCGTATGCTTTGCTCTGATCGAAACTGCCCATGATTGTTGATTGTACTGATTGTGTGCAATATCAAATTGCGGTAGACCTTGGAGCTCGACGAAGCTCGACGAAGCTCGACGGAGCTCGACGCGTCCAGGGTGCCCAGGGTGCCCCCCTCAGCGGATGCCCCTCAACGCGTAACTTAGTGCGGGGCATCAGATTAACGATGACGGCGGTACTGCATGCGCGAGGTGCATAATGGGTCCACTCGTTGGGTCTGATGCGAGCCAGGCAATCCTCCCGGGAATGAACACCTAGATGAGCAGCATGGTGTCGTCAGGTGTTAGGAAATCATCTTAGCAATGATCCCCTTGCTATGCCCATTCGTTCCCTGGTCCTGCAAGCAACGCGGGATGTCACTGCAAGTGCAATGTACCGTTTTCGTGGCATGTTGCCATGGCGCCATACAGTGCATATCAAGGGTTTGTCTCAGCCCTGTTCTGGCAAGCTTGTCGCGCAAGCATGTGGATACGCGACAACACGACAGTGGTGAGGCCTTGTGTGGGGCATGCGATTGGTGCATTTCGGCATTCTTTTGAGTGTTGACGTTGAGACAGTTGTACCTGTTCTGAACGGTTCTAGGCATGTTGACTATACCCACGTTTAGCGGAGACAGCTCCACAGAACATGACATGATTAATCGCACTGCCCGATATGGTAATATCCCTCAAAGATCTGGGATCATCCAAACTCTATCTATCCGACGCGGGAGCTAAGATCGCAGGATCTCGCAAGACGTTACACTGACTCCTGGCCCTGGTGTTGAGGGGTAGTAGAGAGCAAAGCAACGCTCCTTGTGGCTGAGCGACAAGCAAGGCTTTAGAGGCCTCTAGACTACCAGTTCGTTGGCCTATATTTCCGTCCGCGTGTTGTTGAGCTGTGCCTACCTTTGAATGTGTATAAGACGGGACAGTGGCGTGGCAATGAAGTGATCCTGATGAATGCCCCGCAATATAATCGACTCTATACCCACCGGACGGTACTCCGTGTGCAGCACTAAAACGGTTAGTCCTTGTACTATGCTCCTTTGGCACCTGGGCCGCAAGCAATTACGATTACACTGTTTTGTCTAAGCCATGCAAAAGCCCCTGTTCGCATCGAGGAATTGAGTTTTCCCATGTGCCGGAACCGGAGTCTGCCGTTGGAAGTTCGTTGGCTCTCAAGTCATTTCATCATGTCCAACCAGTAACAGTTTAGTCCTCCATGTATAGTCGTACCAGATCCACACAAACAAGGCCTACACAGGCCCACGGCATAGGTGCGAAGGATCCTGCGTATGGTTGACGTTTCTACGAAGCGTTGCCGGCATGTGTGAGCCAATTGAGTGACACCGTGTACTCAGGCCGCTATGCCTGGTCAGAAACGACGTCGGCCCTGGAACAATTTATATAGAACAGAAGGACCCCATAACTTGGCCCAGCAGACACTCAACGTATCTCTCACACACATTTCTATCTCTTCATCATGTCAGACCTCAAAGCTACCGTCGCCGAGACCAAGAGCGGCTTCCACGTCGAGGGTTACGAGAAGATCGAATATGACTTCACCTTCTTGGACGGCGTCTTCAACCCCGCCAACCCCCAGCTTGCCAATTGCTACGAGCGATGGGGCCGCTGCCTTGCCATCATGGACTTGAACATCTTCAATGTCTACGGCAAGGACATGCAGGCATACTTCGACCACTACAACATGCCGTTGACCATCCACAAGACCATGATCGGTGAGAAGGCTAAGTCAATTGAGACATTTCTCAGCATTGTCGACTCCATGACCGACTTTGGTATCATCCGCAAGGAGCCCGTCCTGGTTGTTGTAAGTTGAACGGCAAGTCTTTGCCTCGATAATATACTAACGTCTGTTCAGGGTGGTGGTCTAGTGACCGATGTTGCTGGGTAAAATTATCTCTAAGGCACTCTGGCCTGAAAGCGTTGTGAAGACAGGACTAACTCGACGTTTCTAGATTCTCGTGTGCTGCATACCGCAGGAACACCAACTTCATCCGTATTCCCACCACTGTCATTGGTCTTATCGACGCCAGTGTCAGTATCAAGGTTGCCGTTAACTACGGCAACTATAAGAACAGGCTGGGTGCTTACCACGCTCCCATTCACACCTTCTTGGACTTTTCGTTTTTGAAGACCCTGCCCGAGGCACAAGTCCGAAACGGCTTTGCCGAGTTGATCAAGATCTCGACGTGTGCTCACAAGCCCACATTCGATCTTCTTGACAAGTACTGCGAGAAGCTGATTACTTCCCGTTTCGGTCGTGAGGGCGATGACCAGGAGGTTCGCCAGGCTGCTGACACCATCAACCGTGCTGGTATCCACGAGATGTTGAAGCTCGAGACACCGAACCTCCACGAGATCGGTCTTGACCGTGTCATCGCCTACGGCCACACATGGAGTCCTCTCCATGAGGTATGTTTTCTGAATCTGCCCACACATAACCATCACTGACTCGAAACAGCTCTCTCCTCCCACACCTCTTCGTCACGGACACGCCATCTCCATCGACATGGCTTATTCCGCGACATTGGCCAACATGCGTGGTCTTCTCTCAGACGAGGAGCACCGCAGGCTGTTGAACCTCTTCTCCCGTGCCGGTCTGTCCATGGACCACGAGCTGTTCGATGAGGACATGCTCGACAAGGCCACACAGGCTATTCTTAAGACCCGTGATGGTCTTCTCCGTGCTGCCGTTCCCAATCCCATCGGTACATGTGTCTTCCTGAACGATGTAACTGCTGAGGAGATGAACAAGGCTCTGCGAAAGCACAAGGAGCTGATGAAGGAGTACCCCCGTAACGGCGAGGGTATTGAGGCCTACGTCGATGCCTCCGACACAGGGTACACACAGAACGATGTTCCCGTCGAGGATGCGTTGCAGAAGGACAAGGTCGCCGAGAAGCTGAGCAATGGCAAGGCTGACGGGCTACCCAACGGCAAGCAGCAGGCCAACAACGGCATCCCTGCTGGTCTTCAGGGTATTGCCAACGGCTACTCCAATGGTTATAAGAACTAGACGGAGTATGTCGAAAAGAAGGAAAGATGAGGAAGACTCAGGAAAAGCACTTTGTCTGGCGGCAATCTGAACAACGACAGTAAGATAGATCGCGTTGCACTCGCAACTTATACCTCTTCGATACCAAACATTTCAGTTCACACAACATCTATTCGACTATGCATGCTCGTGACTTCTTCACTTTGGACGCTTCTCACCACGCCATTCAATCTGCTGGATGGGAGATGTCGACTTGCATTATGGCCTCAGTTCATGAATAAATACCGTTGCCTTATGTCATAATCGTGCGCAACTTCGATGACTGCATTTTGCTTGCTTGTGTGAGACGGCAAGGTAAGAGTTGTTTACACGACTGCAGTCATTCTTGGTCTGTAAAAGATAGCCACCTTGGCGCACGTGGTACGAATGATACCTCACCATGGCATTTTTATATGCGTCTTGGAGAACTGACATGTCTCTTGCGAAGAGTTGAAGGTTACGAATCACTTTGTGCGCGCACTGCACTTTCAATGATGCACAAGCACGCTCAGTAAGAAGGTATGTGCTCCCTAAAATCGACACCGACATCCCATCGCCATCACTAAAGACGACCCAACGAGAAACCAGTTTCCTAACAGGAGAGTTGTTCGCGGGGCCCACGCCACCGTAGTGACTGGCAACCAAAAGCAGTGGGTGATGCTAGTGGTCGTGGCTGGGCCCCTGTGCTTTTTTGATAAGGAAACAGAAATGGGTGTGGGCGTTGCGAAGATTTTATAGCAGCGGGCGGAGCAAGCAAATCGCCGATGCACTAACCATATTTGGCTGGGAGGTTCGCAACCCTTCTGCAACAGGAATTTGATCAATCGACATCTTGATTGTCTGTGTAATTCCATAAGATGGCCACTTCATGTCTTCTTGATAGGATACTCTGCTATGGCAATGATACAAAGGAGTCCCAAAGGATGTGGGATAGTTTTTCTCTTCCAAACAATTGTCTAACGTTGGTTAGCCGCATTCAGATCTCAAGGATTTAATCTCGAATTCAACAGCCTGCATCGCGAATGCACGCGACCGCTATCCCAGAAACCAGGAATCTGACGTAGCTCAACCGCCGTTAGCGTGATCTGCAGCAAGCGACGTCAGTGACATCTACCATAAACACACATTTTGCCCAGGCTTTCGTTCGCATTCTCGTATCACTAAAACCATGGTTTCGAAAACGCCTACACAGGCGACTACCTCAACCGACGCCGAAGACCTCAGCACACCTCTAAAGAGCGTGCTCAACTTCCGAGATGTTGGCGAGTCTGTCAGTAGAGCCTCAGGAAGAAAGTTAGTAAACCTGCGCTCAAGAGGTTGCAGAGCTGACGCATCACAGGCATTTGAAGACGAGGCTACTGTACCGAGGGGCGCGACCAGGTCAGTGTCACGCCTTCCTCTAGGTGCATGCAGCTACTGATTCGAGCAGACGAGGCAACAGTACGCGACAGAGAAAGGCTTGTAAACGAATATGGGGTCAGGAGCATCATTGATCTTCGAACAAAGTACGCAGGACAGATTCGTCGAGCGTTGCGCAGACTAACAGAGGCAGGACTGAACACATCGAACAAGCTCAGAAGCGGGACGCCAAAATCAAGGCATCTGCTGCAGTTCCTCAGTCCAACGATGATGTTGCTGGGCCGCTGAAGATGCCGGAGGTCGTCTATCACGAGATCAACTTCAACGGCTCAGCGTTCTCGCGTATGCTCATCTCCAAGCTCACATGGATGGAGTTCTTCCGGCTGGTCGGACTCATGATCTTTGGATACCGTCTCGATGCAATCAAGATCCTTTCACCGCATATGGAGGAGATGGGCCTCGTTGGTCTGGCGAAGAACTCAATAGACGTCTGCACCAAGGAGGTGAGGCAGGTCTTCGATGTATTCGCAGACGATAGGAACTGGCCAGTGATGGTCCACTGCACACAAGGCAAGGACCGAACGGGCTTGATTGTGATGCTCATCTTGTGGCTGACCCAAGTTGACGACGAGGTTATCGAGGAGGATTACTTGCTTTCGGAGCCCGAGCTTGCGCCAGAGAAGGAGTCTCGAATGAAAGAGATCGGCGCGATTGGCCTGTCTGAGCAATTTGCTGTATGCCCGCCAGGCCTAGTAAAAGAGGTCCATTCGCACATTCAGGAGAAGTACGGCGGCGTTGAGAGGTACCTACTGGAGAAAGTTGGGGTTAGCAGCGAAACGCTAGAGAACGTGAAGAGGAGGATGCTGGCAGCTGATTCGTAGAGAGCCACGCGTCCGCGTTGGTGTAACACCGAGATTCAACCTTCGAACCTGGTCTCAATCGCAGATGTTCAGATTGCGCACTCAAGAAACGCTGGATATCGCAATAGATAAGACTTTGAGCTCAAATTCTACAGCGCTGCTGGTCCTGGGACCCTGATCAACACGTCTCCCCCTTCTCTTGTGCTCGTTATCGCGGGGTGTTGACGTTTCAGGCGTAAAGCTAGGACTCGAAGCTCCCCTGGTTCGCTTAGTGGGCTACACCGTTCAATCTTGGCACATGCAGCTGTCCTTCGAAAACACCACGTCTTCTTTTCGTCCAGCAAAATTCACTGGAGTTGCGCAAGATGAGCGGCAACACCTCTGAGGAGACTTTCGAGTTCATCGAAACGCCTGCGGCGTCTTCGACCGTCTCCGAGTTCGATTGCGGGGTCAAGACCACTTCGGTACGTATCATCTCAATATTTTGGCGCATGTTCGGCGAGCCATTGAGCGCTGAGGGAAAAAGCAATTGAGCTGACATTTGGTGTGAACAGTACCCTACGATTGCCAATGCCCCTCTCCCCGCTGAGGGTTCCGGCCGCGACTCGTTCTCGAACTACTTCCTCATCTCGCTGCTAGTCGGTGTCCCTGCCTACTTCACCTGGAACTTGGGCGGTGGCTTCAAGACATGGGTTTTTCTCGCCCTTCTCTTGGCTCTGCCTATCCTCGGTCCCTTCTGGTGGCTGACCTCTGAGTTTGCGCCCCGCAAGAACGAGAAGGCCAGACTGCCTGGCAAGAACATTGAGCACTACTTGAAGTTCAAGAAGGAGGAGGACCGCGACGCCTACTATGGCAAGAAGAAGATCCCCATCGAGACCTTCCAGGAGAAGTACTTCGATGGCGAGATCGAGCTCAACGGTGACATGCTCGAGGTCCTCGAATGGCGCCACGACTGGTCCAAGCCCCGCTTCACTCTTGGTCTGATCAAGCACTTCCTCTTTGGCATGATTCCCGAGATGATCGTTCACTCCAAGTCTCAGGGTACGTCCTAATCGCTCACAATTAGCCAAAGCTTTCAATCCAGCTAACACCATCTCAGACGAGGAGCAGGTCCGAGACCACTACGACCGCGGCGACGACTTCTACGGCTGGTTCCTTGGCCCACGCATGATCTACACTTCCGGTATAATCTCTGACATCAATAAGGAGGAGTCTCTCGAGCAGCTCCAGGACAACAAGATGGCTATTGTCTGCGAGAAGATCGGCGTCAAGAAGGGCGACAAGATGCTCGACATTGGCTGCGGTTGGGGTACTCTCACCAAGTTTGCTTCCGCCAACTACGGTGCTCACGTTACTGGTGTCACACTTGGTCGCAATCAGACTGCCTGGGGTAACAATGGTCTCAGGCGAGTTGGTATCCAGGAGGACCAGTCCAAGATCCTCTGCATGGACTACCGTGAGATCCCCGTCCCCGCTGGTGGCTACGACAAGATTACCTGTCTCGAGATGGCCGAGCACGTCGGTGTTCGTCACTTGGGTGGCTTCTTCCGTCAGGTTTACGACATGCTTGAGGATGACGGTGTTTTCTTCCTCCAGATCGCTGGTCTCCGTAAGGCATGGCAGTTCGAGGACTTCACTTGGGGTCTGTTCATGAACAAATACGTCTTCCCCGGTGCTGACGCTTCCACTCCGCTGGGTTTTGTTATTGACACCCTTGAGGGTGCTGGTTTCGAAATCAAGATGGTCGACACGATCGGTGTCCACTACTCGGCTACTCTCTGGAGATGGTACCGCAACTGGCTCGGTAACAAGGACAAGGTCAACGCCAAGTACGGTGCCCGCTGGTTCCGCATCTGGGAGTACTTCCTTGCCTACTCTACGATCGCATCCCGCCAGGGTTCCGCCACTTGCTTCCAGATTACCTGCGTCAAGAACCTCAACGCCGTCCACCGTGTCGATGGTATCAACACCCAATTCTCCCTGGCTGGTGCTCTTGAGTCGAGCAAGGCCAAGAACGCTAACCTCCTTCCCAAGAATATTTGAATCGAATAGTTCGTTCGACAATCTGCGTCGGCAGATCACCAAGAGCATCGTCGGCTCGAGTAGGAAATCGGCGAAAAAGATGCACAGGATACATTCGATGATCGTGTAGACAAAAGTATGGTTATGACTTCGTTCGATGTATCGATTTTGGCCCTGGCAATGAGCATGACATGTATGATGATACGGAACATATGACCGTCATGATGTAGCGCTTGTAACAATGAAATCTGCTACCAATCCTGCTGGCTAAAGTTTTGTGCTCTTCTGATAATCACTTGCGAAATCAACGCGTGCTGCTGCCATCAATAGCGTACATGTCAGAGGTTGTGCGTCCAACCTTCCTCTACCAGTGACACTCGAGCTGCGATAGAGTGACTTGGTGTGTACTCGATCACTGTTCCAACGTGTTGTCGACATCTTGCGTCTTGTTTATATTCTTGGTCGTTAAGAAGGAATGCTTTGAATACCTCCCATCCAAGTGTTGGTTTTGAACCTCGTAAGATCGACCCAAGAACTAGGAAAAATTGCACCGCAACACAACCACGCCGTTCGAGGTTTGAAGTGGGGTTAATCGATACCCCGCCCCGCACGCTCGATTTACAGCTCACATATGCCGTCTCAGCGGTAAATTGACAGCCTCGCTACATTGATTCGATACATATCAGTCACACTATTAAATATATAAGCGATACATTTTTCAAAATATCCATCAAAACAACACTGTTCAGAATAACAATCTGACCTTCGGTGGTATGGGTAAGTTTAAATCATCCCACATCGTCCTCGCAGCGTTCTAACAACCCCACTGTCTAGTGGTATGACGTCGCGTTGTGGCTGGCGAACACCTAGTGTTCCGATCCAGATCCGCGCCAGCCCGTGTTCGATTCACGGTACCGCCAATACGTGCGACATCTTTTTTGCTCATGGTCGTCCTCGGCCTGCATCCGGGGCTGTCCAACTATCTTACTATGCTTTGTTTTTGCATGTTGGGTTCAACAGCGCGTGCTCGTCTCCAGAAATCAGTTATTTTAGCGACAGGTTGTCTTATCTCTACACGGCAGTAGTCGGCAGACGTCGAGCAAGTATGGTCACTCAACTTTGGATTCCAACGTCCTTGAAAACTGGCTTGGCTCTGCCATCATAGTACCGAGACACATTTGATACGTTGTGGCGGAAAGGTGCGCTTGAGCATATTCAACGCAACGTCGCCCCTTACATATAGTTGCACAGGAGTTGGCAGTGTCGCAGCTGCTACGCTTGCACGATTGGACGCATTGCTTCGAAGCTTCACTTCCGTGGCGCCACAAGTCTGACTACCTCCAGGCTGCACTACCAGCCCTGCTACCGCAAGGCAATGCTAACGATACCATCCCCAAAAGCATGTTTGTTCGCACAGGGCACCGTTGTTACTCCAGAACGCTGCAGCATGCTATGAGATGTGGGGATCTCCATAGCAACAGAACGATTTACTGGGGTAGTTTTAGGCTTTTGACATGATTGAAGTAGAGTTGGTTGTCTTTGTTGCGCTTCCTGGTGGAAAAGTCGTGGCGCTAGACCTTGGTGTTTCCTAAGAGCCAGAGACTGACGTCGAATCGCCATACATAAGCTGGCTACCGATCGAAGCTAAGCATCACCCCGTCAGTGTCAAGAATGCGTTACTGTGCATGCGATGTGTTCTCTCATTCCCTTCTATGCAACCGTCAACCTACTGTTACGCACCCTCGTCCATAACAACAACCCTCTTCTTCTTTTTCTTCTTCTTGGCCTCCCCTTCCGGCACCTCCTCCGCCCCCTCCATCTCATCCTCCGGCTTGGCCTTCTTCTTCTGCTTCTTCTTCCTCTTTTTGACCGGCTGTGCATCCCCCTCCCCTTCTACCGGCGGCGTCTCCGCCGGCTCATACCCCTCCACAGCAACTCTCCTAACCTTCTTCTTTTTCCTCTTAACCACGCTCTCTTCCTTGTAATCAACTCGCTCACTCGCCCTCTGCATCTCCAGTCGTGAACGTTCGACGGCTTGCAGTGCGCGTGCCATCTCGGCTTCTTCCTGCTCCTTGCGCTCAATCTCCAGCGCTGCGAGGCGGCGATTACTACTTCCGCCCTCGTCATCGAGGGACAGAGAAGCAAGGCCTGCGCTGTCAACCTGTAGCAGAGACTTCTTGTTACGCGTGTTCGTTGATTTGGGCGCAACGATATCCTCGCGCTCCGGGTCCTGGGATGCCGGGCCAAGCGTCTCGTCGCCCATGATTTCCACTCTGCGGACTGGCTTGCGGGGGCTGCGGGCGCGGGGAATATTGTCCGAGGACGCGTGGCGACTGTTTGTAGAAAGATCGAGGTCCATGATCGGTATCGAGTCGATGTCCAGATCGGTACCGTCTTTGTTGCCGTCGCGCACGATCTTGCTGAGCGGCGTGACGGCGCCGCTGCCGCCCTCGGGGTCGATGTAGAAGGGGTCGTCTTTGTAGCGCTCTTTGCGCTCTGCTTTCCGGCGGGCGATGATGTCGGGGTCGAGATACTCTTCTTCCACGGCGTTTTGGTAGGATGCGGGTTCTTTGTGTGGAGCGTCGAGGCGGTCGGCAGCTGCAATTGGAGTGGGTTCGGAGGAGGCGTAGGAGGCGTAGGAGGCGATGGGCTCGCTGTAGGCGGCGTAAACATCGTCTTCGTCTGTCTCGAAGCCCTCTTGCTCGGCTTGAGAGAGGAGAGAGTGTAGGTCCGGGTTGATGGGGGTATCGAGGTCGAGGTCGTCTGGTATCGGAACCTTGCGCTGGGCGCCTGGTGCGACTGGGTTGAGCTCGGCGCCAGAGAACAGCGCGGGTATGGCTTGCGTTAGCAGGAGCGGTGGTTCTGCAAAGTCTCCTTCGGTGTCAGTCGGTGCTCCAGAGGCAGCCTCGGCGGCTAATCGCATCAGTTCGAGATACTCAACGGCACGTTCCTGAACCTCAAGACTAGGATGCGTCGAAAGTGGTTCAAGGAAATGGATGATGCGAGCCATGAGGAGAGACATCAGTGTCTTTCGTTCCGGGGTCCAGGATATCCGCTCGTTGCCGGCTATGCTTGAGAAGACCTTGGGTATCGCCTGGAGATATACAGCGAGCGTTTTCGAGGAGAGCTGCAACGATGCAGGGTGTAACAGCGATGTCATGACGGGTTCGGGTTGTGAGAGGTAGGATGCATATTCGCCGACAAGCCAGCCAGCGTATTCAAGCACACCTTGCCCACCGTTGCCCGAGGCTGGGAACATTCGGTCTCTGCGGTCCACGAGCACCAGTGACTGCGCTGCGTCAACAGCTTCGTGGCGTACGCTTCGGACTCGTACCGCAACATTCTGTAGCTCGTGTCCGATGCCAGCGCCTACATCATCATCAGAGTGCTCTGCATCTTCCTCGTCGTCTGCGGTCGCTACATGCTTGGTGGCGGGTGCGACCCGAACGAGTTGAGTCAGTACGTCGATGTACCACTCGAAGTCGGTGACGTTGCTGTAAGTATCGCGCGAGCACATGTCCAGAACTCTTCGGATGACGTTGACCCTGTAATCGTCAGGCAGTGGCGGCGGCTGATCCGATCTTTGCTCGTGTGATGGAAGAGCGTCTTCAGCGTCCTCGTCGTCGGAGTCCGCGTACGGCACCACGCCCGTGTTTCTGAATCGGTCGTTCTCCGGTTCGTCTGCCGCAGTAGCTATAGGCGCGTTCCGCAGCTGGCGCATGAGGCGTCCCACGATCGCACTGAGGTTGTCAGGGTTGACCATTCCAACGACAAGGTCGAGAGCGCGCATCCGTATCGAGATGTCGGGGTCGTCGATGCATTCCAGTATTACGTCTTGTTGTTGGCCGACGAGGTATGGATGCGAGCCGACGATCTTGTCGAAAGCCAGTAGCGCAACGTATTTTACTGCAGTTGGTGAGAACCGACTCTGGAACGATGGATTGATTGACCGTGAGCTTACAGTTGGAGTCGCCTTCTATGACCATCATGCCTCTCAGCTTGCCGACGCACAGCTTTGCTACCTCTTCGCCCTCTGTGGTGCCTTCGACAGCTTCCAGAATGCCACCCTGTATTATGCCGCTGATGCACTCATACAACAGGGACATGGCCGACGTTTCGCGGATAATCTTGGTGAACGGAGGCAGTAGCTTCTTGATCAGTCGAGGTTCGAGGGGGGTCAACGTCGCGAACTAAAGAAGACGTTAGCAAGACTCGTGAAGCTGACAGGGACCGCCGCATACGAGCTTGATGAGCTTGATGGCCATCCAGTTGTTCCCGCCTTCCACCAAGAGATCGAACAGCCGCGGCGCAAGTGGCAGGAAATCCTGTGGTCTCCTCCAACCCAGCTCGCAGACGACGTTCACGATAGCAGCCGTTACGCTGGCGTCCTCGCTCTCGTCCAGCAGGCGCTCCTTGATCTTCGGCCATGCAGGTCGCAGCGTCTCGGGATACACGAGCGCCAGTCGGTACAGCGTGACGACAGTCTTCTTGCGAATCTGCGCGCTCGAGTGCGTCAAGCGCGGTATGAGATCGGACAGCACCGAATTGGCCATGCTGGGGTTGATAACGTGGGGGATAGCGCCGAGCGGCAGCGAGATGAACGGCGGCGTAGGCAGCATGATGTCCTTCTTCAACTGGTTCTCCGCGAGCACGAGGACCTCTGTGTCTCTGCGGAAGCTCTGCACCGCAGCGAGGTACCCCGTGCGCTTGTGGCGGAACTTGGGGCTGGACATGACTTCGAGCACGTTGAAGGACGCCCAGGACATGTCGTGGCCAAACATCTCGAGGTAGGTCAGCTTCATGAGCGCGGTGGACTTGAGGTCCATGTCGTTGGAGCGGATTTCCTGCCGGCATTCCCTGATGCTGTCGGCGATGTACTCCTTCTCCGAGCCCTTGTGGTTGCGCAGGCCTCGGATGAGGTCGTAGAGCGATTTCTCGAACATGGCCGCGCGCGCCCGCTCAGGGCGAGACCTGCGGTTGAGGGGAGAGGTGCGGGCGTAGGAGCGGCCGGTGAGGGGCAGGTGGGCGGGCGGATGTCGAGAGGGGGGCCAGTGGGCGTGCTCATGGAGACGTCGCGCACATGTGCGAGCCCTTCCTAGCGGCAATCGTCTGTTCGAGGGCGCAACAGCGCTGTGTCGTGCCCGCCGTGGAGCACGAGTCGAAGCGCATCCCGCCGGCGACTCGGCGCCGACCCCAATGAAGCTTGGACGCGGGATCGACCTTCGTCCGCATGCACGAGCAGCCACCCCCCGCCGCTGCAACACGTACACAGTCGCAACAACGGCCGCCGCAACAACGGCCGCCGCAGCAACGGCCACCGCAACAATGGCCACCGCAAACCTCCTCGCCCCGCCGTCCAACATCGCCCCTCCAGCCGCCCTCGCCCTCTCCCAGAAGGCACCGCTCATCCTCTCCAACCCGCCTACCTCTTCCCTGCCGTGGCCGCTCTCCCTCCTCTTCTCGCGCGAAACGCCCGAGTCCTGGGCGATCCACGAGAACCTCTTCCTCTCCGCGCTCCGCACCGGCGACGAGGAGTCCGCCGCCCAGCTCCTCTCGCGCCTCGCGTCCCGGTTCGGCGAGCACAACGAGCGCATCGTCACCCTCCGAGGGATATACAACGAAGCCACCGCCCAGACGCCCGCCAGCCTAGAAAAAGTATTCGAAGGCTACGAGAAGATCCTGCGCGAAGACCCGACCAACATCAGCATCCGAAAGCGACGGGTCGCCGTCCTCAAGAGTCTGGGGCGGACAAGCGACGCAGTCACCGCGCTAACCGTGCTCCTCCAGAACAGCCCCACAGACGTCGAGGCCTGGGCCGAAGCCTCAGAGCTGTACGCGAGCCAAGCCGCGTGGGGCCAGGCGATATACTGCGCCGAGGAAGTGCTGCTGTTTGCGCCGACAAGCTGGAGTGCGCACGCGCACGTCGCCACGCTGCACTCCCTGTCCGCCTCGTCCACCAGCCCGCCGTCGCTGAGCGGGCTGTCGCTGGCATTGAAGCATTTCTGCCGCGCCGTGGAGCTGAACGAGGGATACCTGCGAGCGTTCTACGGAGTCAAGATCGTGGCCTCGAAGCTTCTGCCACTGCTGTCCGACACACAGGTCTCGTCCAGGAAGCGGGGCGAGCAGGACGATGAGGATGTGCCAGTTCCGACGCTCGCGAGCGTACAGAAGCTCGATGAGATTGCGACGAAAAAGCTAGGAGAGTTCATTAGGGATTTTGGGAGTAGAAAGAAGGGACAGTCTGGGTATGACGAGGCTGAGATCGTTGCGGCGAAGGAGCTGTTGAGCCGGTAGAACGTCATCTGCGTGTCGAGCGCTGTTTATGTCGAGTCTGTCCCGGCGCGTGGAGTTCAGGCGTTCATGTAGACCATCCAGACATGTGGTGCACGTCGAAACACCACACACATTCGGGAGGCAGCCCGGGTGCAGATAAGGCTGGTTTGATCGGCGAACACATCTCGATTGTCGCTCACAGTCAGTAGTAATTACACGACACCAGTTCTTCGCTTTACTATCAGTGGTCAAAATCTGGTCTTGCGCCATGAGCTCTTGCCACAGCACAGCGGTTGCCCGTTCCCCAGCCTCGTCACCTCAAGCATCTTACCTACGTTACAGTCGCATGTTACTCACTTGTCTTCAGTCCTGTGCTGATACATGATCGACAAGTACATCGATACAGCACAAGTCAGCCTGTCTGAAAGACGTGCCGCACCACGTCCCCACGACGAGGCTCCAGCAGAACACACACCTTGTTACGAATCACTACCCGGTGGAGCGACTCGACTCCTTGCGTGCCTTCCAGGTGCGCGGGGACAGGACAGGCTGCGAAACTGTCATCGCTCTCTTGGAAATGCGTCCAAGCTATGGAGCGGTATCGTATACTTGGGCCCCAGCTCTCCAGGACGGTAAGATACCACTGTGGAGTGATGGTATGGGCGGGAGGAAACTTTGATCACTTGCCTGCGTCAGCTTCGGGATGAGGCTACTCCTCGAACCATCCGGGCGGACGCTCTACGTAAGCATTTTTCCAGCACTGACAATGCCGGTGCCAATGCTGGTCCCAGACCGCACTTCAGGTATCGACCAAGGGAATCTCAGCGAGAAGAGTGCTCAAGTCCGACTGACGCCGCAGATCTAATCTCTCAGCATCTGCGACCATAATCTGGCCCGGCAGCGACCACTCTTTCCGCACTACAGGCCCTGGCGTAAGTCTACGCTGGCCTCGGGGGAAACATCGCTAAAACCGACGTGCAGCACGCAGTCACCACCACGCAGGATTTTGATTGGATCGAGCTTACGAAGCTGTCACGATCGCTGGATCTGCTCACCGAGCTCGCACCGAACGAGCACTTGAGTTACCAATGGCACAACTGGACATTCGTTTCGAACGCTGCTGGCCTAGCTGCCATCTTCGAAAGGCCTTGGTTCAGCCGGATCTGGGTCGTACAGGAGACGTTGCTTTCGGAGTCAGCGTATCTGGTCCTTGGAGAACGAGTGCTTCCCTGGAAAACGGTACTTGAAGCAGTTCGGAATCATGTTACACATTGTCGTCCGGGTCCAGAAACTCACTCTCGGACTAACTGGGTACATGTTCGTACGAGGAGTGTCGTCCAAGTGACGAGGTCGTTTACCAAAGCTCCAGCGGGGACCAGGAACGAATTGCTCGCCAATCTTTGGATGTCCCGCGACCAGCTTTCCACGTTACCTCGCGACAAGAACTACGGTATTCTTGAACTGATCAGAGAAACGGATGTCGCTCTAGTACCAGATTATGAGGAATCGTTCCTTGACTTCTGCTGCACTTGAGAATATCAAGGTCAGCGAACACCTGCATGCGATTAGAAGGAATCATCCGGGACGCTGGGCCCAAGAACAGTATCCTGGTGTACAGACTGGAGTTCTCACGACTACTGGGCCGAAGACCGATCTCGCGTACTGGCCGAGATATACGCGCCCACATACTCCACTTCCGGACACCACCGCGCTCAAGTCAGTGCCTGCGAGGATCCAGTCTTCAAAAGACCATTGAAGTCGAGGGACAAATCTCGATAAAGTCGGACAATGTTCGAGCGTGCTTCCCTACAGACTGGACCGCGTACATGATCAAAGCGTCGACGTCGACGTCCGATCGCTTGAAAACCTGCGTCAAACCACAGGGTTTCCCACCTTCCTATGGTCCATATGTCACAGGCGGGGACCCGTTCAACGCATTCTGGAGAACTCTTCAGGGCGACTGCGTTCTGCCGCACCGCGAGGGTCAGTACATCTTCTACAATGAGCACAGCTCAGACGGAACAGCATACAAATCGTCTATCCGCCGTACGACAGCTAAACACTTTTTGCCTTTCCCGCTTTGGTGGCTGGCTACGCGTGATCACCTCATGATGGAGTACGTGCGCTCTTCCAAAGGTGGTAGGAGAAGAAGAAGAAGAAGAAGAAGAAGAAAAGACGTACAAAGCCAACGCATCACGATGGCCCGACAACCGCAGAGGTATGTTACCGCGCTCGACAGCCCTAGGGAATACTTCACGGGTCGAGCAATCGGACACACCATGTCTACGGGAAGCACGGACAAAGTCGTCAGAAAGTTTTTTTCCTGCCCTGGCAGAGGAGCGTGGCGAGGTCCTCCTGCAAAACAGAGCGACAGACATCAAGGAGCTGCTGTGCCTACTTGAGTATCTAGATGAAAGGCACAGACAGAATACTCAAGGCTGACAATCCAAAGAAACGCTTCATCAACTAGAGCAGCTGCTGCAATACGCTCACGCCACTTCCTACACGACCGCTGCATGGACTCGACGCTTGGATGAAGACGATCAAGACACAATGTGCCATGCAAGATACCGCCAAGCAATCACCAAATAAGACCAGAACGTCACAGCCGCAAGGCCATATATAGCAAGGCCATATATAGCAAGGCCATGTGTGCAAGCATGTCAAAAAACGAGTAGAGAGAGGAGCCGAAGCATATGGTATTATAATTACAGCGAATTCTATCCTGTCACCTCCCACCCAGACCTAGACTACGAAGAATACGGCTCCAAGGAGCCTTGAGTGAAGTCCCATAAGAACCTTAACAAAGCTCCACAGGAGCCCCAAATATGCATGCAATACCCTCTTCCCCCCCTCAATGCCATGTTGTCAATCGATGAGCAAAGGGGTAGTCGCGTCGATAAATTTCCGTACAAGTCTCGCAAATGAGGAAAAAAAAAAAGAAACGCCATGCAATGCAGTATCCCAACCAAACTCGCTCCCATATCGCAGATCCCCATCAAATCTTCAAATATCTTCAATCTTCAATCCATTAGAACATTGTTTTCTCAAATGTTGAGACCACGCGTCAGGTCTTCCAGGCCTGAACTCGAGTTCTCCTTTCCCTTGCCAAACTTGCTTTTGCGGGCCGCCATCGAGCCCCAGTCTTCTTCGTCATCCTTCTCTTCGACGTTGATCTGCGGGCTCTTCTTCAGTATGCCCTTGATGGCACCCGGCTTATTGGCGCCGCCGCTGGTAGCTTGCAGCGTCATGCTCGTGCCATTCGAGACTGCATCCGAGTGGTTAGTGACTGGTCGGTACCGCGCAGAAAGACCAATGTTTGAACGCTCAGAGGGTGCAATCGACGGTGTGTATCCGGGACCTGGTCCCATACCCATGCCACCTCCAAAGGTCGAGAATGGGCGCTGCTGCGTGGACATAACAGACATGGGCCGGTTCTGAGGAGGTTGCATACCATTCTGCATGCCTGGCACATTCAGAAACGAATTGTTGCCCATCATGTTCTGACCCTGACCCATCATGTTATTGTTGAACATGTTGTTTGGCATAGCCATCGACATCCGGGGATCTTGTTGCTGCTGCTGCTGCTGCTGCTGCTGTTGCATCTGCTGCATCTGCATCTGCTGGAACTGCATGGCCATCATCTGCTGCATCTGCTGGTACTGCTGCTGCATCTGCATAAAGTCCTGCTGCTGCGGCATGTAACCCATCTGCCCCATACCCATACCCATCATCGGCATCTGGCCAGGGGAGCCCATTGCACCTCCCATCATGCCGTTCATGCCATTCATGCCATTCATGCCCTGCATACCGTTCATGCCGTTCATCATTGGCATCTGCGACATGCGCATTGGGTTCTGGGGCTGACCCTGCGTGTTCATCTGGTTTCCGAGCATACCGGTGAATGGACCTTCTGCAGGCTTCTTGCTGGATGCACCACCCAGATACTTCTTCTTAGTCATGTCGCGCATCTGGATTTGGTCGACGAGAGACGGCGCAGCCATGCCAGCGTCTTGGTACATGAGCGGCGGCGGTGCGCCCATAGGACCTTGCCCGTAGCCTCCGCTCATTGCATCGCCAGCGACAGACTGTGGGCCACGAGGGAAGTTGTTGAAGCCCAGCGACTCGCGGTTCGCGTGATGGACTAGACCACCACCAATGAAAGAGTTGTGTGGGTCCATTGGCAGGTTCCTGGCGAAAGCAGGGAGGGTCGATGCACGATTACCACCCATCGCGCCAGCAGAGGCTGGACGGTCAGGGAAGTACGATGGCACTGCGTTGGCGGGTTGGCTGGGCACTCGGTTGCGTGCTGTGCTGGGGAAGCCGTGTTGCGCAAGGATACCAAGAGGAACATCCTCATCCTCCCACTCGTCTGCCTTCATCGAAGTCTCCGAAGGGAAGCCCATGCTGGATGATGCAAAGGCACTGTCAACAATGCTTTCAGGCCTATTGGGGTCCACTGGTGCTATTGTTGAGCGACGCATAGCTTCTCTCGCAAACGACATCTGTTGGTTCTTCCGCCTCAGCACCTCCTCCTCTTCACGTTTCTTGATGGCATCCTCTTCGTCCTCGTAATCGTCCTCAGAATCGCTGTCCTCAGGGGGCGGCGCAGCGGCTCGCTTCTTCTGGTACTCGCGGAACTCTGCCTGTGACATAACACGCGAACCTGATGGATCGACAGGACGAGGAGGATCCTTTGCAACGGGAGGAGCTTGCCTGGGCGCAGGCGATGCCTGAGCTTGAGGCTTGGGCGGCGGAGGTGCGAACATGTTGTCCTCATCGTCATCATCGTATGCAATGGCCGACGGCGGCAGCGGTGCTCTCGGTGTAGCGTTGGTGGAGGCTGACCGCGATGAGAGAGGTGTCTCCAAGGAGTTGGCGGATGACGTCGAGATGGAGGTAGGATGCTGCTCGGGGGAACTGTCCCCACCTCGCATGAAGGGCTCGCGGGCGGCTCGACCATTACGATCTTGGAATGTGGCAGATGATTGCAGGTCGGGGCTGTCGGGCGCCATCGAGACGGGCGCGTACTGTTGGTACTTGTGCGGGGGCGGTACGGGCGGGGAGTCGTTGTCTGAACGCGGAGAGTCCATGAGGTTGTCGGCTGATCCACGGCTGTCCCAACTTCTTAAGGGTGCCTCAACGTTCGTCTGTGGTAGAACTTTGATGGGCTCTGGCTGGAATGTGCGCTTTTCCGCAAGGAGCGAGCGGCCCGTCGGCTCAGGCTGTCTCGACATTTCAGGGGAGGCCTTGCGGTTTAGTCCGCTGAAGATATCGTCGAAAGAAGAATCTTCTCCAAAGGACAGTTCCTGGTCGAGCTTGGGCGGCATTGCAGTGCTGGCGTAGCTGGAGGTTGTCATAGCGCGATCTCGCTTACCAAAGCCGAACGGCATGTTGCTATTATTGGAGGGGGCTCCTGAGCTAGTCTTGGGCAAGGCTGGCGTTGACTTTTTGGAGCTGAAATACGAGCCAGGGGAGCTGCTGTGCTGTGCGATCTGCGGACGCGGGACGTTGGCAAAGAGGTTGTCGTCGGAGCCAGTGTCGGTGGAGGACGGCAGGGTGGAGGTCGATCCATGCTGGCCGTTAATATAGGGACGAGACGTCGAAAATTGCGTCCCACTGCTGGACTTGCTGTCGCTAATGCAGGAGTCAGTTACGCCGGCGCTACCGCATGGGCCAGGCTGCCTTACCGCTTTGAGGATCCTGGAGAATCATCTTCAAATGACTGATTGCGAGCCTTGTTGCCTGCGCTGCCAAAGCCGCTGAAACGGGGGAAGGTGCTCTTCTTCTCTTTTTCCATCGTCTTCCTGCGCTCTGCCGTCTTCTCGACCTCCTGCCGGCTCATCAGGCGGAAGCCGCCCGAGTCGCCGGGAGGGGGTGCAGGCGCCGCGACATCAGGGCTCGCGGGTGCGCCGCCTGCAACGACGTCCTCCAGCACGTTGCTTTGCGACTTCCTGCGCCCCGTGAAGAGTCCTAGCCCCGGCTTGCCCATGGCGCGGTTGTCTGTGTCCCCGTTGCGCGGGAGGCGCTCTCAATGCCCGATGTGGCCTGCGTGCAGCGGTAGGGCTATCTCATGTACGCGGGGAGCTGCGAGGAGTGGAGCACGCGGTGGACAGTGGCCGACTATGTTTAGAAACTGCAGAGTAGGAATGCGGTGCGGTAAGAAGCGAGCGTGGTGCGTGTGTGTGTGTGTGCGTGTGCGTGTGCGTGTGAATGTGCTGAGAGGTGATGTCAGCGACAGCAATTGAGAGTGAGGCGTGTTCGGTGCAGGAGCGACAGTGAGAGTGCAGCAGCTGAGAAGGCAAGAGGTCGACGAGGCCAACGTCAGGCAATGTCGATCAGACAGTTGTGCATGCGGTCAATGCGCTAGCACGCTGGCGACAGCTCCCAACAACCGCAGAGACGTGCCTGGGAGGCGACTCTGGCTGCTTAACGCTCGCTCGCCAGACCCTGGATGTTTCTCGCGCCCTTGCACTGCCTGCGATGACGTTTCGACGTCTCACACTCGCTCGCCTGTCCGAATGTGCCGGATCGTCTACACAGTGTTCCCGTAGCGCTGGGAGCCCGGGGTAGGGGTAGTGCCGCGACTTACCAGACACAGGCGCGGGTAGCAGCCTCTTCTCTGTAACAAAGGACAAAGAGCGAAGATGTAAGGAGCGGGTGAGGGCGCGCGGAGAGGGATGAGGCGGAGAGCACGCACGGGCGTACAGAAGTACTGATGCAGTTGCGGGATAGTAGGGGTTGACCACTCGCAAAAGTCGCCAAACGATCTATCGATTGCAATAAAATCGAGCCGCGGATAGGCTAGCGTGCCGAAGTGGCCAGGAGTCGTTGGTCCTGGACAATGCTATGCTCCGCTATAGCACTGCGATAACACAACAACTGAAGGCGAACGCAAACGTGAAGACGAATGTGAACGTGAACACTGCAATGGCCACAATCGACGACGACAGCACGGCAGAGCGGGGAGGAAACTGTCAGGCCAGCTCTCAGCCACCAGAGTTTTATGACACTGTCTCTCCCACTGGGTTGTGTTGCTGGTCGTGTAAGCCCGTCCGGCGCACCATCCATGCTGGGATGGCTTGACCCCCAGCAACCGTACCAAACTTAGACCAAGCATTATTGCCATCCAGGCACGCTTCTCGGCCTGTCACCACTCAGGTAAACACAGCTGCTGGTCCAGTGCTCGGCTGCCATTGACGCGCAATTGTCTGGCAACACGCCATCATCGAGCCCATACATCCCACACCGCACCCCTCGTTGAGCTGCTGTTTCAGAACTATCGTCACAAATCCATCTTGTACGGCGTGGGCCGCGGCGTGCGCGAACTTGTTGACCTTGACAACGAGAACCCATGTTTAGCGGCTCTGCTGCTAGAGCCATCCACTTGGGTGGCTATAAGACCACCCAGCCTTGATACAGCGTGCAGCAGCACGCCTTCGCTCGCAGCGAGGCAATTGGGTGCCAGGGCAGATCATTGATATCCATCGAAGAGCAAAAGGAGAGGCTGCATTCAGCCTGTGGGCCTCCGAGCGGCGCAGAGGATTGGCTCGTGCCCAACCTGCACCTCCTGCTGTGGTCGCTTCCGGGGAGCGGAACTCGGAAGAACTGCCAGTCCTGCGCTGTCCTACAGTAAAACCCTCTGGTATGGTCATGGGCATCTCATAGGCCAAGTAGTACAACCGCCTAAACTCCGCCCAAGCAATGCCTCTTCCTGTATTCTTATATTGACGCCGCCGAGTGGCTTTGCCCTTTCCGCTTTTCACGCGCAGCGCAGACTGCAGGAGCGGAAGCCAGCGTTCCTGAGGCTGTAGGATTCGGCTGGGGCTCACCGAGGTGTTTTTTGGTGTTGAGTTGACCTGTCGTCTGCACATGTGTAAGCTCTGTGCGGATGAATATGCATGCCTCAACACAACAGCACGCGATTCGTACCCCAGGCCCTCTCGACGTCACTTTGACCACTGTATCCCCAGCCCCTCCCTGCCCTCGTTCTCGAAACCAAAGTTCGCCATGTGCTACAGCTACGTAATTGCGTGCCCATTCACCATTTCCCACCGATATCATTGCACATCCAGCATTCTTTTTGCAGCATCCAAATGCATTTGCTAGCCGCATATCAAGCTGCGGCGGTGCGTCTTTCGCTGCATCCGACTGGCCACGGCATTTCCTTTTCAGCTCCACAGTCATACAAACTTCAGGACAGCTGCTAGCACTCCCGCCCCTCGGATTTCCCAGAGCGTCCGTCCTGCTGAACGCTTGCAACGTGCTCTGGCCTCTAGGCTCTCCATAGCACGTCGAACGCGTAATGCTCCCCGCAGCCGGTTGATCTTCAGGCCAGCAAGCTGATCTTCCAACCTGTCCAAGACAGCCAACAAGTGAGAAATGTGGGTGTTGTGGAGTTGAACACGCGGGCTGCCTCCAGACCGCTGGCCATGGTCTCTGACGGTGAGATCGAATCGACGAGCTGCAGCGCCATGTAACAGACCTGTCGGCCTGTCGCAGGTTGATGATGCGAAAGGGCGTTGAGGGTCTCCGTTTCCATCCATCATCTCCATCCATGATGATCCAGCCCCACCGCCAGGGCACATCAGCTTGCCCTGAGTCGCGACCTCATCAGACTTTCCGCTTCCCTGCCATTTCCCTGCTCTCAACGTGACGTTCGTTATCTTATCGCCCCGTGGACGACCCACCAGCCTTCAGCCTCCCAATTCTCGATTTTCTTTTCTCATCCCTGAACCATGCCCGGGTCCACATTGTACCGTATGCCAAGTGGAGTTCGAATCCAATTTTGAGTGCGCCATCGATGTGCACGCCGTTGAAAAGGAGATTGACAACGAATTTTGGTGTTCTGCAGAAAAACAACGCTGTGGCTCGTATGGAATGTTGTTTCATCTCCGAGTACGACCGCTATCAAGCAACAAGAACGAAAACTCGGTGATTCCACATACTGAGTTCTGACAACAAACAGTCCTGCTGTTAAGATAGGATCAAGTGCTTGAGGGGAAATGTGGCATTCGTGGTAACACGCAGTGTGATTAGGTAGGTAACAATAACCAGGAGTTCTCCAATATCCAATCTTGCAAACCCAAGCTCAGCATCCAACAAATCCTCCACCAGCACCACACTATTCAGACCTCATACCAAGTAACAACATCTCCCCCTCCCTCAAACCACGCATCTGCGCATCCAGTAACATCAATATCATCGACCCAACTATCATTCTCCACCGCCAGCGCCTTTGGTATCCTCTTCAATACGCCCGATGCATTCCCATCAAAGCCCACAATGACCGATCTCTCAGCCATCGGTCTCTCCCACTCTTCTCCTTCGACATGCAGATCAATGGTGCTGCTAGCGATCGAGGATGGTGGTGCATCCTGCATGATGACGTCCCTAGAGTCATCGACGTTGAAAGACTCGTGTACCAGACCGCTTCGATCGATGAACTGCTTTGCCCTGATGACTGGATCGACATAGTCGTGGAGACGCCAGGTCTTGCATTGCGAGGTGTACGTGAAAGCCCAGATCAGAATGTCAGGTCGAGTCTGGATAGCCAGCTCGCAGATTCCGGATAATCTGCCAATCTCGGTGCCAGAGAGGGAGATGGGCCAGATGGGACTGTCACTATCGGCCTCAGACCTGTTTACCGGATCGAAAGCTGTAGGTTCGTCCCACCAGTTGAGCCAGTGGTCGTAATGTCGGTCTATTGAAGAGAATGGCGGTGCGTTGTATACATCCCAAGCATCCGCTGCTTGCTCAAGTCTTGATAGAGCCAGGACGTCTGGTGGTATGCTGTACAGCATTACGGTATCTCCATAGACCACTACGATTCGAGCTCCAGACGACATGTCCGCAGCTGCAGTGTAGGCTCGCGGAACGACCTTCTCTTCTGGTGGGTTGAACACAACCTTGCGTAGTAGCCTCGTAGGCCCGCCAAGTGGTGCATCACACCCCAGTGTCACTCGGTCGGTCGATGGATCGATGAAGAGCACATGATGGCCGTCACTCAGTGGTATGGCGTGGTAGTGATCACAACTCTGGGACTGTCGAGAGCGCGACTCGAAGCCAAAGGAGCCCCAGAACGAGCTGATGGTTGGATTGTTGAATAGTTTTCGGCTGATAGCTGGTCGATCATTGGGATGCGCAGCACTCGAGATGAGGCGCAACTTCTTGGCTGACTCGAAACCAGGACGAGGCGATAGGAAGTACAGGTGATCACTCGGTGATGTGAGCGGAAACTATCGACTCAGACTCTGTCCCGTCAGTGCGTCGATCCAGTGTAGTTCAATGCCAGCTGAGCAACCAAAAGCAACGCATCGACGCTGTGGACATATCGAAACATTGCGTGGCGGGTCGTCTTCAGAGCAGAGATGCCGGTAGAAAGTGGAAGTACCGCTTTCGATGGGGATGTTCTGCACTGGTAGCGTTGCTTTCGAGTTGGTCCGAAGATTCTTCAATGGGCCGCGAAGGTTTAGATTCCACGTTTGAGCGATCAGATTTCGATCGTGGGTACTGGTGTCATCAGTGCCTCGGAGACTGAACCCTTGGTTTTGCGCTTTGAGCTCGATCGCATTGAAGGAGTCCAGATCCGGGTTCTGAACATACGGAAAGCTTTGAAGAACTCTAGGCAAAGTGTGCTCTGCCGAGTCTATTGCATCTTGTAGGTCGCTAGTGTCCCCAGTAGGTGTTCTCGGCTGAGCACTCGCTCGGGGCGGATACCCATCGCCTTCGACGCACTTATCTCCAGAACCAGGCTCCGGTGATGGATGACCGTATCGAAGCTCGCATACCATGCCCATCCTCCCTTCTAAAAGAGCGGCAACAGCATCTCGACCCACAGACGCGTTCATGCTCATGGCAAGAACCCTTCTTGGACACACAACACTTGTGAGTGGTTGTAACAGACCGTCTTTCAGACCGTAGATGTAAACCAGGGTGCCGTTCGCAACCAGCAAGTACTTGCCGCAGATGCTCGATGTGAATATCATGCCACCGCTGGCTTGCCCTTTCTGAGGAGCATAGCCATGGGCTAGCTCTGAGAAATCGATCTCAGTACTTTCGACAATCGCTGGCCGAGCATCCAGACCGTTGCCGGTCCATCGAGAGGCTAGAGCACACTGCCGCGAGAGAAGTCGACTTAAAACCCATTCCTCGCTGCTGGCTGTAGCCAAGCACTTCTGTGTAATTTCTTCCTCTCTCATCTGACCATCGCTATGCCACCCTCCTCGACTCAACATTGCGATGAGGAGGCTTTTGTTCAGGCTTGCCATCATCCAGCTTCGACATGTTCGTCGAGCTGCATTGCAGTCTTTTGCATTGAGGTAGTTGTAGATGCCTAACAGTATCTCGGTAGGCAGTCTGCTAGAAGCTGGACGTGCAGGCGGTATGATGGAACTGACAGCGTTGTACCAGGATCGACAAGTCAGTCTGAGGCTCTTCCATGTTGGTGTGTTAGAATGACGTAGAATGAGTGCCGTGACCGCGAGGTTCTGGAGCAAGTCATTGGCAATGAGCGAACTCCTGGGCCAAGAGGCCTTGCTTGACGGGGTATCACTTTGCGTAGGGGTTGGGCTTAGCAAAGCTGTCTCGTCATCAAGACCCTCAAGCAGAGGGTCCCCAAGTTCCTCTATTGGTGTGTTGATCCCGAGGAGCACATCTGACATGCTTCGTATTACGCCCTGACCCACAACAGGCTCCAGCAACTCGTCTTTGCCACTGGCATTATCAACCATAGAGAACGAATCCGAACGTACACGGCGGGGTATGCGCGTGTCACCAAACGATTCCGTTAGACTTGAAAGTCTGGAAGTTGAGTTTTTGTAAGATCCCGCAGATCGAAGACTGGGTCCGCTGAATAAGAACGCACCAGGCGAGACGAGATCGAGACTTGGGACCGAGCCGTGGGCGGAAGATCCTGGTCGCGAACCGAAGCTTGACGCTCTTGATCGCGCCTGCGGACTTGCACTGTGCGCTCCTCGTCCTGGAGTATTACCAAAGAATGAACTGATGACTCTATGAAACGTGCCTCTGGGTTTCAGCTGTCGCCTGTACAAGAATGCGCTTCTATAATTATCGGGTTTGGAAACACGGGGTGTACTTCCTTTATTGTAAGGCGTAAGACGGCGTGATGAGCGAGGAAAGACATGGCGAAGCACCTCTGAGCGTTTTGTTGCTGGGATGTCTTGGTCTTTGTTTGAAGGGAGCGTTGATTGTTCGGTCACATGTCCCGTGTCTGTATCGATACATCGCGCAGGGTCGACCATAACCTCTGATGCTTGAGACATCTGTCTAGGGAGATGATGTATGGGGCTGAGCGAAAGTCTGCGGATGCTCGGTGACTCGAAGAAGGACGTGACCTGAAGAAGCTCAAGATCGAGTACAGGAAGAACGGGTTCGGATTTGGTCCCGGCGACTCCCCTTGAGAGATAGATCTGGGAAGACGTTGTCGCTACACCCCCGGTTGGAGGCTCTTCAGAACGGCGGCACGTGTGCAGGATTCGGGTCGAAGTAATAGGTGTATAGTAGGGATCAGCTAATCAGACTTTGGGACGATACTGAGTAACAATAAGTAAAGAGCAGAGGGTGATGTCAATAGCAACGCATTCGTCGGTAGAATGCTGGACTAGCAACTTGGGGTGGAGCGAGCCGGGTCAAGGAGCATGGAGCGGCAAAAATCCAAGTTGCATTTGATTGGGGTATCAGTTGGGTGGAAAGAACGCCACGAGCTTATGCTGGAAGGTATTACAGACAACATGCTACAAGAAGGTGCTATGCAGACCTGGAAAGAAGGAGAATATTCAAAATGGGAAGGGCAACTGCTCAGCACCAGTCTAGGCGTCGCCATTGCTGCTGTATGGAGTCGATCCATTGAATCCGTGTGTGGATCTCACGTTCTTGTTCGCGAGCCAAACTTCGTTCAGGCTGCAAATTCATCAGCTTTGTATGTCAAGCGCACTGGTGAACTTACGGCATCACAAGACTTGGAATTTCGAACTTTGATCCACTCTCCCTAGCCTCATCCAGGGTGAGTCGTCCTGCTGGTCTTCTTCGCCCATCACGTTCCGCGTGAATGGCTTCTTCTTGGACGTCGCGCCCTAAGTCTGATCGCTCGGGGTCCCGCAAACTTCGAAGAGCGATGAATTTCATCAGGGGCCGATACGTTCGTGCGTAGACGAACAAGAACCATACGGTGCCGATTGCCAACGGTGCCACCAAGATGGCGCGCTTGAACGCTTTTTTTAGAGCCAATTGTCCAGCAACGGTGGCCTGGAACAGCACCACACCGATAATGACACGATCACACATCATCGTCCAGCCTCTACCCGTTGAATGCTGGCGATGCTCCATTGCATAGAGCAGCTGATATTTGTGGACGAATTGGCCAATGATGAAGTAAGCCAGACCCGTAAGCAGAACCTGCCAGGAGTCTCTCAAGACACTGTAGACCACACAAATGATGAAGATGAGTATAGTCTGAGGCAAGAAGAAACCGTAACTGAAGACAGGGGGCTGAACAAGTTCTGCGTAATCTAATGTCCCAGTGAGCATAGCCACCTCCTTTTTGGAGCGGTTGCACTTACCTCGAGGAGTCTTCGCTCCGATCAGATAGACGGGATACAGCGAGAGGGCACCAAATTCGAGAAGACGAAATGGGAATAAACCAAAAGCTTGTAGAAGGATGAAGTTGGTGTAGAAGCCGAGCAAGTTCGCAAGAGAATTGGCCAAGGCGAAAGCAATCTGAGTAGCGCTAGTCAATTTTTCCCCAAACTTCGTCAGCAGATCCACAAGGTTAGACGCAGTTCCGAGGATCGTGAAGAGGATAAAGAAATTGAAGAAAGTGAAGAAGAAGTTCTTCGAGATGACGGAGAGCTCAACGTCGCCCTGCGATATCATGCCTTGCTTGTTTGCCAACCCTAAACAGCGTTAGTCATTATACCGGTAGCATAGAACGTAACTTACAATCATAGAGAAACGGCACAAGTACGTTGAGCAGGGTCAATGATAGAGTCGGCAGTTGTGTGTTGACCAGCGATTGCAACAGCTCATGTCGGTCAAGTGCGTCCGCGATACCTGGGAAGACCTCGTGGATGGAGCAAGTGTTCAAAGCGCCAGCGATCGGAACAAGTAGAACAGTCCAAAAGATACTCAAGACTCCAATGAAAAAGGTGATGGTCCAGGATCGGAATATGCGCTGATTCCGTGAGAGATACGTGTTGGGCCAAACGACATCAGAGGGGGCTGGGCTGTTATTCGCAAGGAGTTGGAGTGGTGATGGATCCAAAACGGCCTGAATCGCCATCTGAGCACTTGCCACACTGTCCATCGTCACAAAGGCAAGTGGTGTTGGTTCGAATTCCTTCTTTCGCAGATCTCTGATCTCATCATCCAGCCTGCGAAGTTTCTCCTCGTAGTAGTTGATAGCGTCGACGGTCCTGTATCGAAGTTTGAATCGGCCATACCAGATTTTCGCTGTTGGACGCTGGCGTGCGTATGGAGACACGTAATCAGGGTCTCTGTCCGTGTTGTTGAGAAGTTGACTGTCCTCACGGTCGTCCCCATCGGCCTGAGGTGGGCGAGGCTGGATCACGGGCAGGGTCTCCAAGCTGCGCTCAACTCTCCTGCTTCCCAAGTGAACCGTCCAAGCCTCCTCCAGCTTCCGCAGTATGGTTTGTCGCCTGGTAATCTTATCGTCCAGCTCTTTCCAGTTCCTACAAAGTGTCACGCTTTCGACTTTGCCAATCCCAAGATCCTCGATGAATTGCTTTATCTTGTCCTCAGAGCGAAGGTCCAATGGGATTCCTGATAGTCTGATTGTGCGGTCGGTAATTGTCGTCTGGCTGCCCAGGTATTCCTGTCTTATATCGATAATCCGTCTGGTTTCAGAGACAATCAGGTAGAGTATGAGCGCTGTGAAGAGGTACACGAAGACGAGATACATCCAGAGGTAGTCTGTGTAGTATTCGTAGTCGTGCCCACCGAACGTCGACCAGAGCGTTTCCGAACGCATTTCGAGACGTTCACCTTTCTTATCGCCATCGCCGCCCAGGTATGGCTTCTTGCCCTCCTTTTCCTGATGTGTGTCGTGCACCGGCTTGATAACGGCGAGGGCGAAGAAGAGCGTGACGAGGAGAAACTTAATAGCCATCTTGAAGAACGCCAGGTACTGAAGCCCTGTTAGCCTGACTTCACGTATCTTTAAATTCTTAACATACCACATAAGCGTCCAGACCAGCCGAAGCCAATACCTGCTCGTCCGTGATCTTCCATAGTGGTACGATCCAACCGAAGAAGGTATCCGGGAGCTCAGGAAGTGCAGTCGCGAGGTTATTTTGCTTCTTGCGCGCGGCATACAGGCCCTTCCATCGTGGTCGCAGGAACTAGAATAGTTGGTTAGCCCATTGTTGCTGTGTTGCAACGCGCAGGAGTCGTACACAAAAGACTAGAAATGCTCCCACGCCGAGCGTCAAGGAGATGTAGATCTGTAGTCGAATATGGCGCGGGCGGGTCGTGCCCAATATGTCGTCGCGACCAGCCTTACAGGTGTCGTTTCTATGGTTTATCATCGCCGAGTGGTGTATTTGGTAGCCATGCCAAAAGGTAGGAGAAAAAGACAATGGAGGGTCGCGGTAATTGTAAAGGCGCGTGCACAAAGAGTGGCCCGGCGGTGAGCGTCATCATGCATGCGCGACGTAACCGGCTAGCCCCTAACGCTTCCTTGCAGCCTCAACCTATCAATCCTCACTTTACACACAATATAGCGACCCGCTGTTTCGCACTCACTCTGTCTTGGAAGAAAGCGAGAGCATTGCCAACATTAGGCCCGTGGATTTTCGACACTGCGAGACAACTAGGTAGGTGGTCTGCGCTCGCCGTCCACTGTTGTCTGAGTGCTCGCAGACGAACACAGCATCGACGCTTGGTATAATTTGGACATTCGCTCCGCCATCGAATGAATGAAAGACACATCCCTATTCAAAGTCGTCGAACCTCCTACCTCTCCTGCTCAATCCAAGTCCTACAGCGAGACAAGACTTGAAGTCAACAATGATGCGAGTCAGCCCACAACAAAGAACCCCTACGCTAGGGAACGTAAACATGCAACCGAGAGTGAATAGAATTTCCGACGCAGAACATGTGCAGTCCGCACCTCGTTGCTCAACATCCACGTAACATCTCTACTCTATAGTATTCCTCATGATCCCTAAAATTCTGCTTGGGTGTCAATGCCTTGATACTCAGAGTAACTATTGACAAGATCAAGCAAAAGCTAGAGTAGCAGCATAGTATGGCAGAACCACCAGCCTTATTCATGTCGATATGTAGGTGGGATTGGCGACTGACGGATGTGCCGCATCAGAGGAGAGCAAATTGATAAAGTATCAACGGTCACGCTATTTCTACACAGCGATACGGCAATACGGCACAAAGCATCCCACCAAAGCGAATCACAATCAAGAAAGGCAAGCTTATACACACTAGCTGGAGCCACCCAATCCTGCAAATCGAATAACGTCTCTCGGAGACTGATAGCCGGATCGACGATTGCACTCCTCATTTTGGTGCGAACACATGATCTGTGTTGGAATGCACTGCACCCCCACTGCTAGCGTGGAATGATAAGCATTAGAGTCAACCCTTGGCGAAGCTTAGCCCGCGTGTGATGACAGTCGACGTTCTCGAACACTTGTGGACATGAGATATTTGGTTGACAAGCCTTGCCAGGACGCGCAACCTTGGTTTCAAGAATCGGTCCCTTTGTCGATTTGATATGGGTTACAGGTGATAGTGCGACCTCGAACGTCCAGGGCTAGCAAAAGTCGACTCTGCATCTACGTGGCAGAGGTCAGTGTGCGATGTTTGAAGCAACGTCCAGAGCTGCGACACGACGGGCCGAAGGGGGTTAAACGCTCGTTTTGGGCACCTCTTCGACGCAGAGGTCGCCAGAAACGCTAAAGCCCTGCCCTGAGCGCTGTCACTGGCGCTCTTCAGCTGCTTGACCGCACTTGTGCGGCGCGTAACAGCCATATCCCAGACGCCTTTCCCGTTCCGCAAGGCATGAATTGGGGGCACGGTGCGTCTCTAGGGCAGCTCTCAGAAGATCAATATCGACCACCCTGCCCCGGCCATTCTTTCTCCTCACATCGCTCCCAACGCCAGACGAAACCTCCAATATTCTCTCGTCTCGCAACCAGATCCCGTTTCCTGACCCATATCGACGGCTACCCCAGCTTTCGTATTCGAGTTCTTCTGATCTGCACTCATCCAGACCCTGTGTTCCGCAGCGTGCGTCGCCCTTGGCAGCCAAGATTGATGCGCCTCTTGGAACAGCCTTGATCCTACCTACCGACGTCAAGTGGTACGTAAACAGCCACCCGCAATGCAAATCTCCACAGCTGCCAGTATTGTCTGTGCAAGTGCTGGGAATGGTGTTGTTGCGCTTTCTGCGATCGGCCCTCTATTTGTCGCGCTAGAGCAGCACTGCCCCGATTGCTCCCCACGCCCGTGAGGTCGACTCTGATTGCCCCTACCGCGCATGTAGCCATCCGCAATGCTGACTGCAAGCCAGCGCATTCCAGTTTCTGACCACCGTCGTCACTGTGTCGCTCTCCACAGCCCCCCGTCGACCTGAGACAGTTGCGTGTCGGCCTCGACTCGCACCCCTCCGCAGCGCGCCCAACACCGAAGCGGCCGCCAGCCCTCGCCATTACGCCCAGTTTGCGCACTCGCATCGCTCTACTTACCCGAGCACCCCCTCGAACATCTGTAGCGCATTCCTCGCCCATTCGTCACGTCCTGCTGCTCCGCAAACGCTCGATATCCCGTCTGGGCACCTCTCGAACATCTCTACCGCGACACCACCAAGCTTTCGTAAGCTCGACCTGCATCTCCGGCCCCAATCGTGCGGCATTGCTGCGCACCATCCTGCGCAAACGTAGCTTGGCGCCCACTGGGTTGTGTGCGGCTTGTGCCATCATACATCGGTCGCGGGTAGCCGCAGCATGTGCGCGTTGCAAGTAGCATGACTTCCAGCTCTAAGCGCGACTCCGTCTCCTCGAACTCCCCAGTGCCCAGCAGATCATTTCTGTCGCGACTGAAGTCGCCCTTGTCCTCCAAGTCGCGCAACTTCACCGACTTCTACATCCAGTCGGACGACCCACATCGCCAGTACGTCCCGGGAGACATAATAAGTGGGACCGTCATCGTCAAGGTCGTCAAGCCTCTGAGGATCACACATCTGGTTGTCTCGCTGCACGGGTATGCTCAGGTGTTCAAGAACCCAAATGCGCCGGGAGATGCATACAAGAACTACTCGGCAACAGTTGGGTTGGGGAGAGGCAAGAAGCAGGGAAGCTACTTTGGCAATGGCTTCGTATCACTTTTTGAGGATGAGGTAGTCCTCTGTGGTGAGGGCAAACTGGCAGAAGGTGTCTACCATTTCAACTTTGATCTGGAGTTCCCTTCCAAAGGCTTGCCAAGCAGCATTGACGTAAGGATAATGCACTGACTTGCTCACTAAGGATCCTGTTGCTGATCATTGTTTTAGTTTGAACGTGGTACAGTATGCTACATGTTGACATCCACGTTGACGCGGCCGACAACAATGTCGCCTACAACTACTTGCGATGTCAAGGTTACTCTCAGGGATGTCATCGACGTTGCACCAATCGCAGAGCCTAAACCTCGTGTCATTTCCTTAGAACCTATTTCACGGCGAACGCGGAACAAGCCTTCTCGGACGCGACCAGACACTGGAATATCAGAAAGTGTTCCTCTCACACCCAGTGGCCCAGAAGCACCACGGTTAGCTCCGAGATTAGAGCCTCCAAATGGAACACCGGAAGAGACCATCAACCCCCGCAGCCCGTCACCAAGTGAAACAAGTTTCGCGAGTCAGATGAGCAGCAGTGGTGCTTCAGGTACAGAGTACGGTATTCGATCTGTCAACACCGTGACTGACGCGGGTGGTTTCATCGCTGCCAACGGGAGTCGACCGACAATCAAGGGGAAAACCATCACAGCCACAATAGACGTTCTTAAAGGCGGCTTCCTCAGTGGCGACCAAATACCGATCAGGGTCACCGTTAATCACAACAAACACGTCAGAAGTTTGAAGGGTATCATTGTTACACTTTACCGTCAGGCAAGGGTAGATATGCATCCTGCACTACCCGTTGCACCTAACAGCAAAGGTGACAAAACGAAGTCAGAGGAGTACTATCCAAAATCTAGGACAGGACTTGGCGGGCTATCTTTGTCATCTGCAGGATCGAGCCATACTTTTCGCAAGGACTTGGGACAGTCGTTTGCACCGTTGTTCGTGGATCCCAGGACGCTTACCGCGGACATCAAGTGCTCTGTCCGAGTACCAGACGATGCCTTCCCCACGATATCGAACGTACCAGGCGCCATGATTTCCTTCAAGTACTACATTGAAGTTGTTGTGGATATTCAAGGAAAGCTTACTGGTCTGGATCGTATGGTATCCAATGCTGGTGTGGTCACCGTCCCAACGTCCACAACAAGCACACCAGGCGGAATGGGACGTGATGAAGCCGCAAGTAACACGTTTTCAACGTGGGGAGGAAACTTCGTCGACACGGATGGCATTCGCCGAGAAAAAGGCGTTATCTCATCACTGTTCGAGGTTATCGTGGGCACGAAGGACAGCGAGAGGAATGGCAAGCGGAAACAGACACAAGGGCTGCCGGCCAACAGTCATAACGGCGTTCACGAAATGCCCTACGGATCTTACGACGACCCCGATGCACCTGGCGGCTATGATCAGTACGACTATGGGTACGATGAGCATGGTCAGTACTATGGCGACTACGGCTACGATCCAGCGTACTACGAAGTTCCTGGATACAACGATCGTGGTCCGGATGCAGGCCAATCATACCATGCTCCACCTGCACCAGCATCCCAGGAGGAGGGTCTTTCAGAGAAGGAAAGGCTACGACGAGCAGAAGCTCTGTTATTACCATCACAACCACCTGGTGCTGCCGATGGCCCTTCAACACCAGGTGGGGTTGTCCAACACGGCATACCCGCGTCCGCACCAGTGCTACCAGAAGAGGAGGATGACCTCAACCAACCATACCTTCCTGAGGCTTCGTCGTCCTCCTCAGCCCCTTCTCACCCTCCACCACCATTTCGCGCCGCAACAGAGCCCTCGATGTCCTTCCATGCGCCCACTCTCCCTCCATCAATACAACGCCGTACAACCGGCCTTACAGAAGAAGCACCGCAGACCCCCGCCACCGGGCCATCGCTCACCATCAACGCCACACAAACACCCTCCGCTCCACCAACAAATGGTGCTGAAGACCACTCCAAATCTCTCCCACCACTCCCCCCTCAATCCCCACCCAGCGCGGCACCAGACTACTTCTCCTCCTTCTCGCACGTCCCCGCTACAGACGACAAGCAAGAAATGCAGCGCCAGCGTCTAGAAATGGAGAGCAGCGCGCCCCCGCCCGCACACAATTCATATGAGGGAGAGAGCTCGCGGGGCCCGTCGGCGCTGCCTGTCAATGGCATGGACAGCATGCGTCTTGCACCCGGGCACCTGGCGCCGTCGGCACCGATGCTGGATGATGACGATGAAGAATTGGCGGCGGCTATTACGCCTGTGAGGAGTCGAGTGCTGAACGAAAGGCCGGTTAGTGAAGCGTTGCCTGAGTATCAAAGGTGATGTGAGAGCATGGCGTTTTTGGCGAAGCGTATGGCCCTTATAAAAGAGAGGAGTTTTGTTTTGATTGCGACTTATAAATTTATGATACCTTGTTCATGTAGAGATTGATGACTATACCACGTTGCATCGTTCGAGGGTTTTCTCTGCCATAGCTTGTATGTGAATTCAATGCTTCAGAGTCCTGTTCACTCTAGTTACAGTTGGAGTTTGAATCAGTAGAGATCGCATGCCTGAGCAAAACCCGCCGAGCCACCACTTGCACCTAAGCATTCGCGTCTGATGCTTGATAACTCAACAAAAGCTTTACTCTCATGGCCCTCCTTGTACACCGCCCAGCCATACCACACGCTCGGCTTCATCACACCGACAATTAGCACATGTTTCCTGTCCCCCTTATCCACCCAACGCAGTCTAGAGACTATCAATCGATTTGCTGAACCAACACCGCAGTGATGGGTCACTCAATGTCCTCTTGGCTGCCAGGTAATCGGGAACCACACACTCCCATACGAGGAGTCGCGAGTCCAGACCGTGGGCCACGGTGTTGATTCACTTTAGTTCCTTGATTCGAGAGTCGACAACGGTTGATAGCTCCTTTGAGTGAGCGTCGTAGGCTGCGCGCAGGTGGGCGAGTTTGCTGGTCATTTGTGATTCGAGGGTGGCTTTCATGGCGAGTAGGTCAGCAAGGCGGTTTAGTTGGGCGCGGTGGGCGGTGTCTCTGGGATTTGTGTTAGTTGGTCAGTTCCTCAAGAGGCGGTCGCGAAGGTTAGTGGGTTGGGATGTATATGAGGTTGTGGAGGTCACTGTGCTGGTGAGATGGGAGGCGGTCAGTAGTTGCGCGGCGTGCGGAGAAAGGAATGGAACGAGCTTGGCATAGCCAAGGAAGGGGGAATCGACAGGCATCATGCTTCTGCGGCTTGTACAGCAACTTACGACTGGTCTTCATGCTCGTCAAAAAAAGCAGTGATATTGTCCTGCAACTTGGTCTTGGTGCGGCTGTAGTCTTCTTTTACTTTCTTCTTGTTCACGACATGACGCTTCTTCTGCTGTTCGGCTGTTAGATAGCCTCTAGGGCAGTGTGCAGATGAACAGACCCTGACGTACGTTGCTAAGACCTCCCATGATGACATTCTGAACTGCAGTGCCTTGTGATGAATCAAGCTGATCATCTTCAACTTCGTCGTCCATATCCATGCAGTCGGTCTGAGTGTCTTCGTCGTATTCCTCGACGACTTGTTTACGGGCAGTGGGACCTTGACGTGAGGCAGTCTGTGCAGCTGTGATGCTTGACTTCTTGGCCGTACGTGGAGGGGCCATGCTGCTGAGTAAGCGCTAGTTGTTAGTTGTTTTGATGAAGAGAATTTGATCAATTGAGGCTTGCGAGCTTTTCACTGGGGCCTTGGAGTCTTCAGTTGACGACTTTGTTCTTTGTTTTGGCGTTGTCAAGTCAAGGAAGGAAGAGAGCAACAAGGGTCCTTCGAGTCGGGACCCACATGTGGGTCGAACTCTTGGCGTCTGCTCTCCACAGAAATTTGTTGCGGACTTCCGCAAGCCCTCTTGCAGCAACTTCAAACCGAAGCAACTAGCCGTGAAGATGGGTCTCGCACAGCAGAAGAAGTACGACACAAACACTCTGCAGACTTCAACAACTCGACAAATACTAACAGTTAGCTAGTCGCTCCAAGATCTCCAATGACCCTCAGAACACTCACTGGGCGAACAACACCGAGCGGTTCGGTCACAAGATTTTGGCTGCACAAGGATGGAAAACTGGCGACACCCTCGGCGCCAAAGACGCTGCCCACGAAGCGCACTACACGCAAGCGTCGCAGTCGCACATTCGCGTTTTCCTGAAGGATGATAATTTAGGTCTGGGCGCAAAACGTGGAAGTGAGCGCGCAGAGAACTTTGGTCTTGCAGGTCTAGAGAGTATTCTGGGACGTCTGAACGGCAGGGAAGAAGAAGTCAAAAAAGAAGAGGCCAGGCGTGAGGAGGTTGAGAAGAGGGCGTATGTGTACAGGAAATTTGGCTCGATGAACTTTATCAGTGGTGGCTTCCTTGTCGGCGACAAGTTAGTTCCCAGGGCAGAAGTCAAGCTAGAGCCAACGAAACCCAAGATCAAGGAGGAGCCGGACAGCGACGATGGCACAAGCAAGAAGCGCAAGCGAGAGGTGGCTGATGCTACTGAAGAAGACTCAAGCGAGCAGAAGTTGAAGCGCAAGAAGAAGAGCATGGACCTGCGCGAGGAGGCAGACAAGCAAGACAAGAAGATCAAAAAAGAGAAGAAGGACAAGAAGGACAGGAAGGATAAGAAGGACAAATCCAGCAAGAAGGTCAAGAAGGAGAAGGTTTCATCTGACCCCGAACCGATGTCTGACGATGCGCCCACGCCTGCGTCCGATCCCGAACCCCTCACAGACAAGGCGAGACGGAAGGCCGAAAAGAAAGCTCGTAAAGAAGAGAAGAAGCTTAAGAAGGCTCTCAAGAGAGCTGCAAAGGAAGCCAAGAAGGCCAAGGGCAGTGCCGACGACTCCAGCTCAGAAAGCGACGACGACGATACCACACCAAGCTCCTCAGTACCAGCGACCGGCACATCTACACCCAGCTTTGTACCACGAGGTGTGCAGACAGCCAGACATAGGCACATCATGATGAAGAAGCGCGCTAGCATGGATCCGCAGGCACTGAAAGAGGTATGCGAAAACACTTACGATAGACGCTGCTTCATAGTACTAACATGTATCCCCAGATTTTCATGATCAAGACTCCAGTAGCATAGTCAACCGGACATTGTTACTTCCACGTGCATAGCGAGGCGTTTGGGACATCTGTTGTTAGTATGAGCATTAGGGAGCCGTTGTTCGTTGCACATGGGTAGATTAGACGATTAAAAACAGCTGTTTGACCCTTTTTGATTGAACATCTACTCACATCTGGTTGTTTAAACATACGATTTAGACTCATGAAGGAAGCCTGGAGGTGGTGGATGGGCACATCGTACGCAATAGTACTTGCGTTGCAGTCGAGGCTGTGTCATCCGGTGCGCTCCGCCTTTGACGGCAGTACAGAACGCGTCTACACTACGTCTACGAGGAAGAAGTCTCCAGATGCGCAATTATTGTGAGATTCCAAGGTGGATTGCCAATCTAAAAACAACGCTTTTGGTGGTTTGCCGTGGTTCGGTGTCGGCGTCTTTAACCAGGAAGGTTCAGAGTCAAAGACGCCTTTACTATTGTTGCTACAACCCTAGAATCCAAAGGGCTGGCCTTGCGTCTCTTTGAGCTGCAGCTCGTGTGCGCAGCGATCAGCTGTACAGTGACGACGCTATGTGGCAGTGAAATGTCTTGGTAATCGGAAGCAGCCCTATGGCGACCGAGGAAATAGCCAGGGTTGTGGAGTCTCCCCGGTCGTTACCGAGCGTTCCTGCATGGCGGCTTGGAGCGTCAGTTGATCAAGGCAAGGCTAGCGCGCCATTAGGATCGTCTATGTAATGAATCTCGAGGTTACCCAGCGCTCAACGCCTCCTGAAGAAAGCGTGTCGACGCATTCTGCCCCACACAAATACACTCCTTGCAATACACGGGCATGGCAGTCAACGGCAGTGTTCGTAGAGCCAACTTCGTCTCGCCTCGTGAGTCTTGGGTGCACAACAGTCCTGAAGTCATGGCTAAACTTGGACCGCAGTCACACACCAACAGCGCTCAGCGTCACAATCTACTCAAATACCTGAACACTCGCCCGCCAACTCTGCGCGCGCACAATTGACCTCCAAGATGCCTTCGGTCATACCCTCAACAACAAATGTCGCGCCCGCTCTGAAGAGGAAGCAGTCATCGCCGATGATGCCTCCCTTCATGGTGTCTGCGCCTGGAAAGGTCATTGTGTATGGAGAGCACGCTGTAGTGCATGGCAAGGTACACCAGATGCCATACTGATATTGGAACGCCAAGCTAACAGTGTATAGGCTGCGATCGCTGCTGCCATCTCGCTCCGCTCATACTTGCACGTCTCGTTCCTTTCAAAGTCGAACCGAACCGTTAAGCTGCGCTTTCCCGATATACAGATGGAACACACATGGAACATCGACGAGCTGCCTTGGGACGCATTCTCCAAAGCAGGGAAGAAGAAGTACTATTACGACCTTGTCACAGCATTGGACCCTGACCTCCTGGCCGCTATACAACCCTTCATTGATGAGGTGTCGCCGAAAGCTCCCGAATCGATACGCAAGATACAGCATGCCTCCGCTTGCTCCTTCTTGTACCTCTTCCTTTCGCTAGCTTCGAGGAAGACACCACCATGCGTGTACACACTACGCTCAACAATACCAATAGGGGCCGGGTTAGGCAGTAGCGCTAGTATTTCCGTCTGCTTGAGCGCCGCGCTACTCATGCAAATCCGCGCCTTGAGCGGACCTCACCAAGACCAGCCTCCGCAAGAGTGCGAACTGAACATTGAGCGCATCAATCGCTGGGCCTTTGTTGGAGAGATGTGTATTCACGGCAACCCGTCTGGTATCGACAACACAGTTTCGTCAGGCGGAAAGGCAGTCTTATACCAGAGGATGGGAGAGGGCAAGCCACCTCGCGTCGAACCTCTTCATAACTTCCCAGAGCTTCCATTGCTCCTGGTCAACACACGACAGTCTAGGAGTACAGCCACCGAGGTCGCAAAGGTTGGGACCTTGAGGACATTGCACCCGGCCCTTGCAGAGAACATTCTCGAGTCGATTGGCATGGTCACCGAGTCCGCTCACCAGCTCCTCACATCACCAGATTTCGACCCCACATCTCACACCGCCCTCAAACATCTTGGCGAGCTTGTGACTATAAATCACGGCTTGCTCGTCTCGCTCGGCGTTTCACACCCCAAACTTGAGCGTGTTCGCGAACTCATCGACCATACCGGCATCGGCTGGACAAAGCTTACCGGCGCTGGCGGCGGAGGCTGCGCCATATCGATCATCAAGCCAAAGCCACCAGCGCTCACCAACGGCCACAGCAACGGCACTCACGAACTCTCCTCTGACGAATCAGATAACTCTTCCGAAGCCGATTGTAGCGCGTCGATAATCTCAAATGGCACAAAGCTCAAGCACAAGATCTTGGATTCTCTTCAAGTCAAGCTTGAAAATGAAGGATTTGAGAAGTTTGAGACTACGCTCGCTGGCGACGGTGTCGGAATCCTGTGGCCGGCCGTACTACACAACGGCAATGAAGAGGAAGGTGGAGAAGAGATCGACCAAGAGAAGTTCCTAATGGCTGAAGGAACCGTTGGGATAGAGAGGCTAGTAGGTGTAGCGGGTCCTCGAAGAAAGCTCGCGAAAGACGTTCGTGAGGGCTGGAAATTCTGGAGGCCATGGGTTACGCACGAGGAATAAGCTGAAAAGCCACCTTATAGTAGGAAGATCAGCATTTGTTCATTCGCCTACCTAACATTCGATTCGAACCCGCCTTTTTGGTACGCATGTTGTATGGTACAGCAGGGACTACCGTGGAAAAGAAGGATGCAAGATTTTGGACGCAAGTCATCTTTTTGCCAGCAAGCTGTTGGTTCTTTTCGCGGTTCTGTACAGTTATGTTGCATATACTTTTGTCAATATCTAATACCATTCTCATGACCCAAGATCGCTGCTTCTCTTGAACGAACACAATCTACTCTGAGGAAGTCGCCGCCGACTCAACTGAAATACGACACTCTCCATACAAGCACAATAAGTTCAAGACAGAACGAAAAAGGTTGAATCAACAAATTCACTGGTCGTCGCATTCCAAGTTCACATGTCGGGGCAGCCATCAGACATGATTGGGCAGCAGGCAATTTTCACCCAGACCGGAACCGAGCTGGTCTTTCGCGTGAGCCCAAACAGCCGCGAACTTCTTTCGTGATTTCAAGACAATCCACTTCTTCCACCTTCTCCTCCCGCACTTTACGCGCATACGCCAAGCCTTACTCGTGAGCCTCTTACCGCACTCGACGACCGTCTTCGCGCCTACACACCCCGCTACAATCATGGCTCCTGGAAAGTGGGGTACGTCATACTCTGATTTTGTGCGCCTCAGATCATGACTGCGCGTTGCCCCCACGAACACCATGGCTGATCAGCTCAACTACAGATGATGAGGAGTCCGGCTCCGACTCTGGCTCTCCTGCCCCTATCATCGCCCGCCGTGGCAAGTTTGACGATGAGGAAGAAGATGATGTGCGTCAGGCCTTGCCCCGCGCCAGCACAACTTGTGCCCCGCCATGCATAAGAAAAAATATACTGATGTACAACACAGGTCCTAGATGCATGGGACGACGCCGAAGATTCCGAAGTCGAGCGCGAGAAGGCGAAGAAGGCCGCCGAGGCAAAGGCAAAGGCTGAGGCCGAAGCAAAGGCGAACCACAAGAGCAAGGCACAGCGCATCGAGGAGCACAGGCAAGCGGCTCTGCGCCGGCGACAGATGGAGGAGGACTACGAGTCGGAGGAGGAGACCGAGGAGGAGCGCCGCCAGAGGCTGCGACAAGCCGAGCAGGATGGCTCACGCGCCCAAGCCGAGGAGCTCTTTGGCGAACTCAGCGTTGGCAAGTCCAAGACCGCAAAGGCTGTCACCATCTCCGACGACAACGACCCTACCAAGTCCGTCGACCTTAGCGCTCTCTCCATCTTCAACCCCAACACGAAGGACCAGTTCACCAAGCTGCGCGAGACCCTCACACCGCTCCTTGCCAATAACTCCAAGAAGGGGCAATACTCGCTGTTCTTGCAGGAATTCTGCAAGGGCATCGCGAGGGATTTGCCTAGTGACCAGATCAAGAAAATCGCCTCTGGTCTGACCACATTGAGCAACGAGAAGATGAAGGAAGAGAAGGCTGCTGAGAAGGGAGGAAAGAAGACCAAGGCGGCGAAGACCAAGACAAGCTTGAACGCTGCAAGGGACGTTGGCCGTAGTGCTGATACATCGACATACGACAACGATGATTTTGGCGAGTAAGTACAGACGCATGCAAGATGAATGCTCTAACACTAACGATACTGTAGTGATGACTTCATGTGAGGGGATTACTTCTCCCAAGCTAAGACACGATCCTCTGCTACTCCTCTTCCCGCTTCAACACCACAGCCGGGCAGTCACCGAGTCCGCTTTCACGCTTCGCACCTGGCTGTAGCGGTCTGGCAGCCACTTCACGATTCCCATTTCTGCTTCGTTGGCTTTTCTAGGGCGGAGATGGCATAGTTTGCATGCATAGCGTAAGATGGATATGGAGTGATGGCCAAAATTTGATAGACGTTGCTGATGAATACATATATTTCACGATCTATTACTTTACTTGTTCTCAAGACTCATTTCTTGTCAGTTCTGAGGTTCCATACACCACGACAAATCGGGCTCGAATTTCCCATGGGATATTCTTGGATGGCTCAGCAAATCTAATCTTCCGTGTGACGATGACGCCAAGTGGTGTAGCGAGGTAATCGTCAAGTACACTCTGTAGACTCACACGTTTTTACACGAGGCAGCTATTCTTGTCACTCAGCTACGGCTGCTCTTGCGCACGATGTTGTCAATATAGGGCTGAAGTGATTTCAAAATCGCCATGGAAAGCAAGAACTGGCAATTCGGACCTTCTATGGCTAACGTAGAAGCTTTGAAGGTCTCGATAAGCCGCTGGAAGGGCGGATGGCTTGTATTCACGACCGAAGTGCAGTGGAAACTTCAGCAAATCAAAGCGACGCCGGTGTCGGGCCTTTTCTGCTGTCATGGCTGATGCAACGCTGTGAGCAGCGCAAGTCAGCATGTTAGTATGATAGCAAAGCACTCAGGGAATCAGTTGCTGAAGGTCATCGTAAAAGGAAGCAAGATGATCGGCGAGTAGAGGTGTGTGGTCTTTACCCCACACTTCAGAACGTGCTTGCCATGTCGGAAGGATGCCGTAGCAGGCGTCTAGAGCGAATGCGGCGCGTTTATCGCAGCTCTATTCCCCACCTCGTGTTAAGCCTCCAAGCTCACGATGCAGGAGCTGGCAGCCTTTCGCAGACCAAACAACATTGCGCCAACGTCCAAAACGCCTCGTTCGAGCAAGGACTACTACTACATGCGCCGCGTTGTCGTATGGCGCGCTACACATGCAAGAGTTGATCGTAGTATCCGGGAAGCTCGTTGACACCCCCCGCTCCACCAGTGCACTCAGCTTGAGGCTCCAGCTCAGTGCATGGCAATCTTCCAGCTGCCATAAAACACCTCGTACCCAGAACCCTGGGACATCATCGCCACTTGATCTGCACTTGCCCGTTACAGATTGACCCACCGCTTCCCAATTCGCGCAAAATGCCTCGCCCAAAGAAGCCCGGTGTCGAACCGAAGAAGAGATCGCGCAACGGCTGCTGGCAAGTTGATGCATGCCCGTTACACTCACCTACACTAACCTCTTACGTAGGCCCTGTAAAGCGCGCAAAGTCAAATGGTGACTATTACTTATTCAATGTGTGATACGACTGGTAATGACCATTGTACAGTGGAGAGGAAAAGCCGAACTGTTTGAACTGTGAACGTCAAGGCGAGCCATGCGATTACAACATCAGACTCAACTGGGGTGGACGCATGAAGCGTGAGCCAGCAAACACGGGTTCAGGAGCATCGAGCACGGGATCTGGCAATCCTTACACGTCGACTTTCTCATTTGGGGATGATGCATCGTCCTGGTATCCGCCAACCCCAGAGGCATCAGTGCTGCCAAATACCGCAAATCGGCATGCTCGTTCATTGTCAAGGAATTCTCCTCCTCGATCAAGGCCCACTGCCGTCGATCCTGAGTTAGTCAGACTAAGTCAGTCGGGATCACATCAATTTGGAAGTAGTCCCGGTCATCAGCAAGGTCACTTCACCCAGAATGTAACTGGACTGCCCGCATCGGCACCTTTCCACCAGACACAATTCCAGACACAAATCGAGTTCCCATCATCGGCCGGCCCTGCCTTTGAGAGCTTCGCATACAGCAATGTCGGGTTCACTTCTGTTAGTGTGGAAGCACCTCTTTCTCCACCATCGATGCCTCCGCCGAGTGGGTCAGCAGACTCGATGTACAAGCGCCACAAATCGAATCATTCGGCAGACTCACCTGCGACGACCCTCTCTGATGCATACTCTCCAAACACAGGTCCGCCTACACCCTACAATCCCGTTGCTACGATGCCGTTGACCCCGAACTCTTCAGTAGGCTCGGAAGATCCAAGCGTGCGTTCTTCAGCGAATCATCAAAGTCCAACACATCCTCCTCCAGACATATTCCGATTATCAGTGCAGTCTCTGGTCAACAACACACATGACAGCAGATTGCAAGAGTACGACTCCGAAGGCGAACCTAGACAAAGATATCCAGTCATGGACTCTGTCTCCACGACATACGGATACGACATGGGCCTACCAGACTTCGACACACCCAGAAATAAAGATCACTCTGCGATAGCTATCTTCAGCCCGGAGATCGGCACTGTGGAACTCAACGACGATTTTCCTTTTGCAGATGCAGAACCTCGCACGAGAGACATGGCTTTCGGTAAAGGTGGCTACTATGTCAAACCAGTCCAGATACGAATACCAAAGTCACTGGAGCCACTACCTCCAATACTCATGGAGAACAAGATGAACCTTCTCTACTTCCACCACTTCATCAACCACACAGCACGCATCCTCGTGCCCCACGATTGCGAAAAGAACCCCTTTCGCCAGATTCTACCAGAGAGTAAGCACATGCTCAATTACCTGAGACGCACCATCGCTGATACCTACAGTGGCTGTACGCGACGAAAACATCATGAACCTCTTGCTAGCCTATAGCGCTTCACATCGTGCCCGCATGCTCAACCAGCCGGAGCCTTCCAACCGGATCGCTGTCTGGGTCCAAGACGTCTTCCCTAAACTGCGCCAATCGCTCACAGAAAACCCCAACCACATCTCAAACAACACCCTAGCCGCCGTAATCATGATGGCAAGCCTCGAAATCATCGCCTCCAACACCTTCGAGGTCCCCATCTCCTGGCAAAGCCACCTCCAAATGGCACGCCAATTGGTCATGGCGCGCGGCGGTCCGCAAGGCGTAAACCGACAAGACCGCGTCGCCTACTTCCTGTCGCGCTGGTTCGCATACCTCGATGTCCTGGGCTCGCTCAGCGGCAACAAAACAGACACGCCGCTGGGCTCGTTCTACTGGTCTTCTGAAAACGCGTCCGCAGACGAGGCATTCGAGATCGATTGCCTGATGGGCTTTACAAATCGCTGCGTCGGCAGTCTGGCCAGGATCTCGGAACTCGCAAAACTGTGCGAACCGCTGCGCATCGATGAGGATGGCAATATTAAAGAGGACTGGCACCCGAGCCCGGAGATTTATGCACAGGCAATGCATATTCGGCATGAGCTTGAAGAAGGCCTGTCGGATCAGTATATCCACAATGGATGTAATCACCGCAGCGATTCTACTGCTGAGTCAGACGGCGCGTGGGATGCGACCGAGATCTATGCTACGAACGAGATGTTCCACTGGGGTGGGCTTGTGCATCTTTACCGCCGTGTGCTGGGCAAGCCGGCTACGGACCCGGAAGTGCAGAATGCGATCTGCAAGATTGTGGAGTTGTTGTATAAGGTGGGAAGAGGGAGTTCGGCGGAGGCGTGTTTGCTGTTTCCAATGTTTGTGGCTGGGTGTGATGCCCAGGATGAAGGGCAGAGGGAGAAGATTATGGATCGGTTGAGGGGCGTGGAGGGGTTTGGGATGACGCAAGTGAGTACTCCGATGTTACTTCCAACGACATGCTTATGCTAATTTATCCGTAGATTGACAGAGCGAGATGCCTCATGCAACAGGTCTGGGAGACTGGAAAGCCATGGGAGTCACTTGTCAGTGGCGAGTTCTTTGGCTAATCGTCACGACTCTTCGTGACTAGAGCAAAAAGTGCAGCTTGATGTTATGCGCTTTGTGTGATGTTTCAAGATGATCGACGATTTTCTTCATATGCATCACTTCCGTAAAGGTCGAATACCCCAAGATAGACTGCACTTCGCAACGCTTTTGACAACGAGCCATTCTATTCGATATCATCTACCATTCGTATTCTGTTTTCCATCGCGTGACACGAAATGGTCTAATCGTGTCTAATCGTGAGTTCTCGAGTTCTCGATCTTAGTGACCAGGATATCGCAAGCGCCAGCCTCGGTCAACTTGTCCATAACAATAGCAATCTGCTTCCTCTGCACCATAACCGAGATGGCGACCCAGCCGCTCTCCTCCAGCGAAGTGACGGTCGGCGCGCGGTTTCCGGGCGTGATCTGCTTCGCGATATCGAGCTTCGAGCGCTCGATGTTGTACTGGCAGAGGACATACTTTTGCGCGGCTACAAACGTACATTAGTATTCCTACTAAGCATAGGGAGGATCGAAGAGGAGAGCTTACTAATGACACCCTTTATCCTAGCTGTGATCAGATCGACAAGCTTGGGATCTGAGGGGTGCTTCGACTTGATCAAAATAGCGCTGGACGATACAACTGTAGAAATAGCCTTCAAGCCCGCAGCGCGCATCGTCTCCCCAGACTCGACAAGATCGACAATACCATCTGCCACACCGAGCGCGCATGCGGCCTCGACACTGCCACCAACGTACTTGATGTTAGTCTTCAGCTTTGCATCCTTTGCATCGCCGTTGGTTGTGCCGCTCTGCTCAGCCTCCAGCTTCCTGAAGTACTGCTCCGCAAGATTCGTGAAAGACGTAACCACGTTCCTGCCAATCAGGTCTTCTGGCTTGGACAGGTCGCCCTTCTGGGGTACTTGGACTTGGAGACTGCATTTTCCGAAGTCGAGGTCGAGGACTTCGACGACGCCGGTTGTAGCTGTGGGGGGAACGGCGCATTCATGCTCTTCGACTTGGTCGCGGCCGGTGATTCCGAGGTCGACGCGGCCTTCACCGACGAATGTAGGGATGTCGGCGGCGGGCAGGAAGACGAGCGCGAGAGGGAGGTTCTTGACGAGTGCGATGTCGAGGCGCGAGTGGCGGTGGAATTGAATGTCTGAGCCGTGGAGGAGGTCGAGGCAGACTTGGTGGAGACGGCCCTCTGTTGTCGTAATTAGATATGTCGAGCGGTTGAGGCGTAGATGGACTTACTCTTGGGTACCGCGAAGAGCAATCGGTCGTTCAGACTGTTGCCCAGTGTGTCAGTCATAAATGGCAAGCTTCGACTGCCCTGTCGCGCTCTCTGCATAATATACTCCATTTCATTCGCGTCATTGGCTCCATTCAGGTGAGGCATCTTTTGACGTTGTACAGGAAGGAAAGAGGAAGCGGAGTAGAAGCACGTACGAGTTGACTAGATCCATGTTGTTTATACCTAGCACGCAATCCAAGGTATGGGGTGTTGCAAACAATGGTGCGATAGGCGGTAGGCGACAGGCCGGTAGTTAGACTTGAGTGTTTTGCGCGCGGGCTGAGACCGGGTGCCTACGTAGGAAGGTCTAATTGGATGCTGCTGCGTCTGGCGGAGGACGGAGATATACGCGTGCTGCAGGTGTATGTGGGTGTAAGTGGGTGGATGTGGGTAGATGTGTCTTTTAGTAGTGTACAACTTTTGCGATGACTGCCGTCTTGCCTATCGCGCCCGCAGGTGAGTCAAGAGGGGTTGGAATTCTGCACGTGGAATGATTCAATGGCTACTGGATACTAGGAAGACCCTTCTACGGTATCTAATGTTCACTAGAGAAGTTACGCTTTCAAGATTGTACTCTTCATCATGTCTAACAAAGAATTGCTGGACGGACCTCCGAAGTACGGCTTCGTTTTTTGATGGATGACGTCCAATCACCAATCGATAACACATGCAGCGCGGGGCAGCCCAGACCGCGTTCCTGACGGGCTAAGCGAGGCTGTGAGATCTTTGGCGTCCCTCAACACCAAGTCCATGAACGTGCTCGACTGGATGGAGTCAAATCAGTGTTACGAAAGTACCTTGAGATGAATCGACCCTCATCACACCTTCGGCCTCGCATGATTGCCACGTAAACATCGTGATCTTATTGTTGTACGAACTCGTAAGTACAGCTTTTTTAAGAGCACTTAACAAATGCTTTACCTACAGGCACGCAGCGTTCTCGCATTGCAGAAGGTACGTGATAAGTACGCGTTATTCGGAAGACCAGAGTCTTTGACACTTTGCGATCGTGCTTGTATCGTTTTGTGTGTCGATTCTCTAGGTTGTAGTACGAAGAGGAGACGGGGAACGTGTCTGAATCAAGTAGATTGTGTCAAAGACACATGGGTTAGCTTTATTCTGAGCAAGTCTACTGTGCTTTCTATATGCACAAGTCGTATCATACAATGGTCGTACACCTTGCTGGGAGGATAGGCCTTCTACAAGGCCTTCTCGGCCTCATCAATGAGCCTCTCGACCTGGAATCCTGCATCACCAGTCGTGAACTGCTTGAGTAGCTCTCCTCTCCCCTTACCTTCCTCGCTCTGCACGTAGAATTTCTGCATGCACATGACCAGCCATCTTGCCTCATCCACGCTGATTCCCCTGTTCTCGATGACAAGTCCTTGGCCGAGGACCAGGTTGTGGCTGTTCGACAGCTCTTGATGAAATGTGATGGTCGTGTGCGGGCTGGCGAACTCGCCCCGTAGCTTAAACTCAGCGAGAGATGTAAACAGTAATGTTGTTGTGTCCTTATGCGGGTGAGCGAACTGGAGGTAGTGCAGCTCCGCGGCTTGCTGTGTCTGGCCGGTGGCTTGTTCGCCTTCTTGGTGCTCGACGGGGATCTCTCGCGGCACAGGGAGCACGAATGCAGGGTGTTGCTTGGCGGTCTGGAGTAGCGAGGAAAATATATTCGCAGGGACGGCAAAGTGTATGCTCTGTGGGTTCGAAGCGTGGCGTAGCCTCCAGAGCGTCTCGACCTCTTTGTTAGGCAGTGTGCTGATCTTGGAGACATTGAGGAAGGACTCAAGCGTCTTGACGCCTGGTGGTGGCGCATTAGGGTCTCGTGGCTGCGGTGGGGGAGGCGGTGATGGCCATGGCGATGACGCTGCAGTGGATGCAGACGGCGACGCACTCGATAAGGATGAAGGCGAAGGTGGTGGTGTCAAAGGTCCTGTCGCGCCCGGAACGACAGCTGCCTTCCTCAGTTCCTCAATCTTCTCTTTGTGCTTCTCCTTCAACTCGGCGATGTCCTTCACTCCCTCCTTCTTTGCCTTGGAGGCGAGCTTGTCCTTGTACTTCGACAATATTCTCTCCTCGGTACCGTGAGTCGCAAGGAAGCGAACATCCTGAACTTGAGCCCAACGGCGTTGACAGAATCGTGGGTTTGACAAAGGCTGACGGAATGCGTTCCGTAGGGTTGGCATACGGAGCGCCATGGTTGTAGTTGGTGTTGTCGACGATGACGGAGCTTGAAACTGCATCTCGAAATGCTACCGCCGCAGATGCCCGTGGACTCCTATTGGCTGGTCAAATGCAGGGACCGGCAGGACGATCACTACTACTTCAGGCCACGGCATTGAACCGAGTCAACTTCGGAGATGAACAACCCTCAACAGATTGGGAACGAATCGATGCTGCTAACTGGAGAGTGATTCCAAGTCGAAGAGGTCAGAGTCTACCAGGTGCTTTAGGTAGCTCACGTTGTGTGGAACGAATGCCATCCTGTTCGAACATCGTTACTAACCGTAGATGCGCATCATGAAGCTGGCTCATATCCCGTCACGATTCCTTGACTGGAAGAGGTCTTGAAAGATCGTACATGATTTCTATGCCAGTGGATGCTTGCGTGCGTGAGTCCATCTCGTTATTGCCCGTCTAGACAACCGTATTCGTCATGTGGCTTGGAGCTCGAAATAGGTAGACATGCATGAAGGGACACATTGCCGGGTGACGCACATAGAGATGCAAGCAATACTTCTGCCTGCTCCAGGGCGTCGAGTCTGACGAGGCACAAGATGTATATTGTGGCTTTGTGAGCAGGCAACGGCCGTGCGAGTCTGAACAAGTGCTTTGTTCATGTCTCACCATCCAACGTTCCTGCGTGACAAGCTGTAGCGTGGTCTGGTGTCCCGCGCTGCGCCTGCCTGTGATCGACGCGCACAAAGACGCTTGATCGCAACCCGACGTCTGGCTTAGTCTCTGTGAATGTTCCCCGAATAGCGCGCTTCGTGTTTTGGCTACGCACGCATCATCACCGTATAGCGTTACCCAGCAACATACTTTGAGCCCTCAGCTCCTAGGTAAACCCCGCCCGCGCAGCGCCCGCAAGCCATAGCGTCGACATCCCCTCCGCGCGCCGGGCAACCCCATATTAATTAAGCGTACGGTCCTGGACCTCGATAGATACCCGAATCTCGAGAAGATCCGTCTCCCTTTCTTGGGCCAGGCATGCAGTTCCGTCTGTCTACCTCTATCTGCGCGCCTTGAGTACCCATTTGCGACTCTACATACAGTGCTTCGAGTCCACCTTGGCTGCACGTTGTTATTTGGACCCTTGAGACCATGGGTCAGGTCGCCAGCAGAGCAGGAGAGGGCGAGTCGCTGTACTTGCGCGACCAAACTAGATGTGGGCAATTACCCTGATCGACCAGCTTGCGAATGCGCTGCTAACACGCTCAAGTCTCGATCGCTGCCTGTAACATCACCAACGCACGCGGTCGCACGCTCCTGAACATTACGCCGAATGCCTTCCCCGCAACGAGATACAGCCCGAAGAGAGAGCTTGGGGACGAGAGTGTCATAGAGTACATACAGGTACGAGTTTCACAAGCTTCTGGGCAACATGTGATGCTGAACATTGTTGTATAGGATCCAGACGCACCACCAAACACCGACGGACCGCCATTCTTCCTTATTCGCTTACCAAACGACGAAGAGCTTACGTTCAACTTCACATTTATACTCCGCCAGCAACTAGCGGTACCTTCGAGTTACAATGCCAGCAGCGCGCCAAGCACTGTCGCGCCGACTGGGTTGATTGATACATTCATAAATGGCTTGACATTTGTGTTTGCGTCAAGTTCCAGAGAACTTGACAATCTGGTCACGCGGGAGTTTCACGCCAACCCCAACCTCCACAAGAATCCGCAGGTCGAACTTGTCGGGGATTATACCACGGGCGGGAGCCCCTCGGTTTCGTTTCAGTGGGCTTGGAAGTTCTCTCCTCCCAAGACAAATGAGTGTCGAGGTGGAGGGTGGCGCACCAGCTGTAGTGTTCGTATACAATGTCTCTTCAATTCCAACACCCACTGACAGCATGAAGTTTGTAGAGTACGATCAGCGGGCGCATAGGTTGGAGACCTTGGCCAACTTTGCCTTCTGGGTACAAAGTATGTCCCTAGCATTTGCTATTCGAACACAGAGAACTGACCTGGTTAGATACAGCGAAGGCCCTTCAGAGTCCCAAAACCACAACTCCGCGACTAGAACTTGGTATTCCTCCGAGACTGCGTGTACCCTCAGCGCAATCGATAGACTCGCGAGTCAGCGACTCAGCAGATGAGAACCGGGAATGGGATAACATACCTCCGAGGTCTCCAATCTTTGAGGCAATACCTGAGAATGGATTGAGCTTGGTGCCAACGCAGGCCACAGCACTCACAAGCGCCTCAGTCAAGGTCGATGTTTTGCGGCCCGGGGAGGACCTGAGCCAAACGGACGATGGACCCTTATTCCGAGCGACCATGAAGTCGCTGGAGCAAAAAACCGGAAACATGCGCATGCGCTGGAAGAAGGTCCTGAAGCGAGCAGAGTCTGCAATGGAAGCGCAGGTGAACTGCAATAACGCCATGTCGGACCTCATGGATGCCCTAAAGGAGGCCTCCTCTTCAAACGCAAATGCTGTGCAGCCTGCAATCGATCATTACTTCGACAAGATCGCGAAAGATATCCTCGCATACGAACGGTCCAATGCCACCAACATTCAGAAGCTTATCATCGACCCAATATATAAGCTCTACAATATCGACATTAAGCAAGCGGAGACCAAGCGAAAAGACTTCGAAGAAGAGAGTAAGGACTACTACCAGTACCTCGGACGATATCTTGGACAACGGCAGGACTCCTTGAAAGAAAAGAAGCGGGCAGAAACAGACTCGAAGTACCAAGACAAGAGGCGGAAGTTTGAGCTGAAGCGGTTCGACTACTCTTCGTTTATGCAAGATTTGCACGGTGGACGCAAAGATCAGGAAGTGCTGTCACATCTTACAAGATATGCTGACACACAAGCCAACAACTTCCTCTCGACCGCAAAGATTATCGAGACCATGCTCCCCCAACTGGAGGCATTGAGCCAGGAAGTCAGAGAAGCAGACAAAGAGTTCCAGCTTCAAAGAACAGGAAGAGAAGAGAAGAGAAGAGCATTAGAAAAGGATAGCAAGTCGTTTGACGCACCTTCGTCACAGCAGGCTCCACCCATGGCAACTGCCAATGGTAGCGTTCCAAGGGCTCCATCAAGCGCAGACGGAGAGCTCCCTGGTCGAAAATCGAGCATAGCGCCTGTTTTCCAAAGCACAGTCAGCCCACCTCCTCTCCCAGCGTCAACGGGCAATCCTTTCGTAAGCTCTCCCCAGAGCCCTGAGGCAAGCAAAGCTACTCTGGCTGCTGTAACTCCTCAACCAGACAAGTTCAAAGGCATCAGAGACCTTGAAGACCGAGCTTGTGTAAGCGAGCTCACACCCGGTGCTCATCGCAAGGAAGGTCTGTTATGGGCTTTGAGTAGGCCAGGCAGCCATGTCGACCCTAAGGGTCTGAACAAGCAGGCCTGGCACAAGTGAGTTCTAGGGTGTGTCTGTTCCTGATGAAAAGCTAATGTTGTTAGGTTCTGGATTGTATTGGATCAAGGCAAACTTTCCGAATACACAAATTGGAAGCAGAGCCTTGAACTACACATGGATCCAATAGACCTGCGTATGGCCTCAGTTCGTGAAGCACGCAATGCAGATCGCCGATTCTGCTTTGAGGTCATCACCCCTCAGTTTACGCGCGTTTACCAGGCCACAAATGAGGACGATCTTAGATCATGGATATCTGCTGTCAACAACGCTCTACAGAGTGCAGTCGAATCTGCAGGAAGGAACGATCGTCCGTCAACTGATTCACTACCTGGCCAGACTCGTCGAGACATTGCATCGGTCTTGACAGGGAAGAGTCCTTCTTTGTCCAGCAATCGCAATAACTACAGTTCCAGAGCACCATCTCGGCACGCCACAGTCGGCGACAAGCCTGGTTACAGGCGCGAAGAGCCTGCAGGCGATGACGGCAAGCTCCTTAGGCAGGTGCGAGAAGCCGATGCCGGGAACAGAGTATGCGCGGATTGCGGTTCAGAAAGCAAGGCCGACTGGGTATCAATAAACCTTGGTATTGTAATCTGCATCGAGTGCAGTGGTATTCACCGTTCGTTGGGTACGCACATCACCAAGGTGCGGTCCTTGACGTTGGATGTAAACTCGTTCACGCCCGATATTATCGACATACTTCTGAAGATCGGCAATCGCGTCAGCAACATGATCTGGGAAGCGAGACTGGACCCATCGATCAAGCCAGGGCCGATGTCAACAAGGGAACAAAGACTACGATTCATCACCGCCAAATACTCGGATCGCGCATACGTTTCCCCTATTTCGCCTACTGTCTCACATTATGGAACTCCTGATGAGACGTTGCTTGCTTCGGTCAAGAAGAACGACATCCAGAATGTCTTGTACGCTCTCGCGTTACGAGCGAACCCCAACTCCCGAGATCGTTCACGGGGGACACATGCTGTGTTCCTCGCCCTCGCAGCGGCCGATCCTGCATCTCCCTCTGCATCTGCATCGCCTGCAACTTCCCCTGGTCGTGATGCACGACCACCAACACCTCAGCCAGTACGCAAACCTTTCCCTGTAGCTGAGCTGTTGTTGCAAAATGGCGCAGATCTACCGATAACAGCGGCACCCATCCCACTCAGCCCGTCTGCACGGCAATATCTTGACTTTAAAGCGGACCAGAAGGCAGGGAAACGTGTAGTGCCTGTAGTACCTGGAGGCCAGCCAAACCCCAGTGGTGATGTTCTCCCGGCACTCCCACATATCACAGCCGGCAATGGCAGTACTCCTTCCGAACGAGCGCGTGAGCGGGAGGCACGACTACAGAAACGCGTCTCTGCTAGTGGAAGGTTGGTGAAAAACACATTCCAGGATTTCGCTGAAGGTAAGCGCGGCTCGTAGGGCTAGCCGACGCTTACTCGTTTTGTTTGCTTCTAGTTTATACCTGCCCTGGGTGGCTTGCGGAATTGCTCGATGGGCGTCGACATGATGACAGCGATGTGTACATGACTGTTCGGCGACTGACGGCGTGTTGGAAAGCGGATCGATCTTGGATGACAGCTACTTTGCTTAGTGGGTTTTGGATAGCCTCGATAATGTCTACACACTGCAGCATCGCTTGTGAATGCCATCTCTTCAACCATGTCATTGCTTCATCTTTGACTGAAATTGTAGAGTCAGGAAAGATATTTGCCATGCTCCCTCAAACCTACCAAAACTTTGTTACAAGTGGTGTGACCAAATGACAGTATGCAGCCTCCCCAGAAACATGACCGCTTTAGCCAGCCGTTATTGACTCAAAGCACAGCCCGGGGAACTAGCTATTGTTCCTTTTCAAAGACAGCGCTGCCTGACGGTGTTTGGGTACCGCAGCGAATGCCACGAACATGATGACTGAGCAACGTCTTTTGGTGTCAAACAAAATCCCATTTCGCAGTCACGGTGTTAGAATGAGTCAACACTTCGTGCAGCCTTGAGGGTAGTGTAAGTGCAGTGCAGCGCACGTGATCCTTGTGCCCCACTAGCGCCGGGTTGCGCAGCACGCAGAATTTCGACTTTGGCGAATTTAAGACGCCGGGACCCCACCTAAGCAACGACAACACGAAATGGCGCCTTCATACGAGAACCTCCCGCTGGAGGAAGACGACTTCGACGAGTCTCAAATCGACTTTACCGATATCGAAGAACAGTTCCAAGTGCGCCTTGATGAGGGCCTCGACGCCTTCGTCGTTGTCGATGGCTTGCCTGTTGTTCCCGAGGACAGCAAGGCGAAGCTCGTCAAGTTTGTGTTGAGGAAGTTGAACAGCGTGGGATGCGTCAAGGACGATGGCGTGCATATGCCAGTAGGCGAGGATGGCAAGACCGAGGGGTATGTGGGAATCTGAGGGTGCAAAGATCGCAAGCATTGTTCTTGCGACTGCGCGACTTGGAGGTGACCCTGTACTAACTGCCTCACAGCTATGCCTTCGTTGAGTACAGCGCGCCCGCTGAGGCTATCGCAGCTGTCAAGCAGCTCCACGGGACCCCGCTCGACAAAAAACACACCATGGCCGTGAACAAGCTTACCGACATCGACCGCTATGGAAAGGAGGGCCGCATCGATGAGGAGTACCACGCACCCGAGATCCCACCGTTCGAGCAGAAGGAGCACCTGAGGTGGTGGTTGGGAGACCCGGACAGCCGTGATCAGGTCGCCATGTACCGCGGCGAGAAGGTCGGCGTGTTCTGGAACGACAGGGAAGATCAGCCCGAGGTTGTTGTCGACCGTGAGAACTGGACAGAGTCTTTCATTCAGTGGTCACCGCGCGGAACATACCTTACTTCGATTCACGCGCAGGGTGTACAGCTGTGGGGTGGCAAGGCATGGAGCAGACAAAAGCGATTCGCACATCCTGGTGTCAACCTGGTCGACTACTCGCCTGGCGAAAACTACCTTACCACCTGGTCGCACCGCCCTCTGCAGGTCGACGAGAACCACCCGGTCCCGTCCCTTTCGCTCGAGGAGGATGGCAAGAACTACATCATCTGGGACATCGCGACTGGCAAGCCGCTGCGTTCGTTCGCTACAATCGACGTTCCCAGCGGTATTGATGCGGACGGCAACCCTATCAAGAAGAAGATGCAGTGGCCGACATTCAAGTGGTCAGCCGATGACAAGTACGTTGCGCGTCTGACCCAGGGTCAGTCAATCTCAGTCTACGAACTGCCCAGGATGAACCTGCTGGAAAAGTCCTCCATCAAGATTGAGGGTGTTGTAGACTTCGAGTGGGCCCCGGCTACCCCCAAGCGTGAGGGTGTCAAGACATACGAGCAGCTCTTCTGCTACTGGACTCCTGAGCTCGGCAGCAACCCCGCGAAGGTTGGTCTGATGTCCATCCCTTCCAAGGAGATCGTCCGTACACGAAACCTTTTCAACGTCTCTGATGCTAAGCTCCACTGGCAATCTGAGGCCGCCTACGTTTGCGTTAAGGTCGACCGTCACTCGAAGTCCAAGAAGTCTCTTGCCACAAACCTCGAGATCTTCCGCGTTAAGGAGAAGGGTGTTCCCGTCGAGGTCGTCGACTCCATCAAGGACACGGTCATCAATTTCGCCTGGGAACCCAAGGGCAACCGTTTCGTCCTCATCACCACTGGTGAGGTCGTCGTCCAGGCTGCTGTTCCCCCTAAGACCGCTGTTTCTTTCTTCGCTCCTGAGAAGCTCAAGGGCGGTGCCCCCGGTAACTTCCGCCACATTCGCACTGTCGACAAGAAGAACAGCAACGCCATCTACTGGTCGCCTAAGGGACGATTCGTCGTCGTCGCTGCTCTCCAGTCTCAGCAGTCCTTCGACCTTGACTTCTGGGATCTCAGCTTCGAGAAGCCCAAGGATGACTCTGAGAAGGGCGAGAAGGAGCTCCTCGCCAACTTGCAGCTCATGGATACGGCCGAGCACTACGGTGTGACCGACATCGAGTGGGACCCTACGGGCCGCTACGTTGCCACCGTCGCTAGTGCCTTCCGTCACCGCATGGAGAACGGCTACCACCTGTACGACTTCAAGGGTACTCTCCTGCGCGAAGAGCACATCGACGGCTTCAAGCAGCTCCTGTGGCGCCCTCGTCCCCCTACACTTCTGTCTAAGGAGGAGCAGTCCGAAATTCGCAAGAACCTCCGTAACTATTCCAAGGTCTTCGACGAGCAGGATGTCGCCAAGAAGAGCTCTGCCAACCGCGCCGTTGTCGAGGACCGCAGGGAAAAGCTCCAGGAATGGCTCCAGTGGCGCGAACAGGTACAGCAGAGGCTGCGCGATGAGGGCGCTGACCTCGAGATTGCTGCTGCCAAGGGCGAGGTGCCCGGCGATGCTGAGGGTGGTGAGGCCGAGGAGATTGAGGAGATTGTTGAGGAGATCATTGAGGAGACCGAGGAGATTATCAACTAGATATCACGCAGGGTGCAATAGTTCGATGTATGTAGATGCGAAAACGGATGTACGAGAGACGATCATACGTACCAAAGCCATCTGTACTGTGAGTGTTGTGACGACCTCCAGGATTCTCTATGAATTGACCGGTTGGTCTCCAACTACATTCTTATGACCAGCCACCATTCTCCTTCTTCACAGACCGTCTCCGAATCAAACCCTTGTACCACTTACAACTCCGTCTTACCCCCTCATCCAAGCCCACCTTCGGTCTATACCCCAAAACCCTCATCGCTTTATGAATGCTTACATACCGATCTCTACACGCATCGTCTACTATGCCTCTACTCAAAGTCCCTTCCGCGCCCGTCACCCACCCAACAATCTCCGCACCAAGCCCCATCCACCACGCCACTCCCTCCGGAATCTTAACCTCAAAAGCTGGAACATGCCCAAACTCTTTCCAAATACTCAGACACAGAATCCTCAGCGGAACGGGCGCGCCATTAGTAATGAAGAAAGCCTCGCCAGCCGCAGTCTGCGAGTTTAGTAAATTGGCAACAGCGAGGACGTGGGCGTCTGCGACATTGCTGACGTACACGTAGTCCTGGAGGTTCTCAGCGGCGGCGCCGAGGACGAAGGGTGTTTGGTAGGCGGCGATGCAGGCGTGCACTGTGGGGATTACGGTCGGGTCATTGGGGCCGAAGATGGGTGCTGAGCGGAGCGAGCAGGTTGCGAAGGAGCGGGAGGCGGTGGTTGCTGAAAGGACAAGATTCTCGGCTATGGTCTGGAGATTGTCAGACGTTGGAACAGATGAGATCAATGCGGAAAGGGAGGATATAAGAGTGTGATGTCCCCGGGGGGGGGGGGGGGGTTGGAGACAGTCAACACATACTGAGGACTACAACGGACTTTGCCCGTAATGAATCAATGGCTGGGGTCTGCTGAAGACCTCCAAGCTTCATCATGTAAACGGGGTATTGAGTATGAACAGAGGATTGAGAGTGAAGTAGAATATTGTAATGGAATGTCGATTCTGGACCTACCTTACTCTGCCCATAGCTCGTCTTCGCCCTGCCAGTCGGCCACTGCTCATCCACATTCCTGAAATCCTTCCCCAACTCATCCAGCACCACCGTAACACTACTCGTATACACGAGCCCCTTCGCGCCACACTCTTTACTTGCATCGAGCACATTTCTCGTCCCCTCAACATTAACCGTAAACTCGCCTTCTTTGTTCTTCATCGAGTACCGCGCTGTGCCTAGGCGGTATACACCGACTGTGTGCACCACCATTGCAGGTTTTGCTTCATCGAAGACCTTTTGGAGAGCGTCCCGGTCAAGGATGTTGGCGCGCACGTACCGCACGGATTGAGTGAAGGTTGAGGTGCCGAGGGCTGGGGGGTTGATGTCAATTGTGGTTATGTCGTAGCGCTTTGTGGCTAGGAGCGCGGATACAATTTCTGTGCCTAGGAAGCCGCAGCCACCTGTCACTAAGATGCGGGTTCGTTCTGTGGACATTCTGCCCAGGTTGTGTTGATGTTGGAAGGATGGACAGCTGGCTATGCGGGAGGGTTCATATGTTGCCAAGTTGGTTCCTTGCTCTTGTCCGCATGTTCGTCCGTTTCTTCTTCTCAATAAATGTCTGGCTCTTCAAGTAAACCCACGCGGTATCTTAAGTCATTTGATTACTCCGATACTGTACAATTTGCAGATGCAAGTGCTGGAGAAAGGATGAAGGCAGTGATCGATGCAGACTTAGAAGTAGCCCTTGCCGTAATAGGCTAGTCATCAACACTCCATTCCGAAATTTCGGAACTCTTTTGAGCAGTCACAACCGCATCTTTGACATTGAAATTGAAGACCTCTTTTACACCATTGCGGATATACAACATAAAGTCAGTCCGAAGAGCAAAGTTTTGGAGATCGCGGACCGAGGTCGCCGTACTTCCTAGACCAATATAGCAGCGATCCAGTCAGTATTCCTCCGTTGTCAGAACCTCAGAGAAAGTTCCGTGTGTACCTCCGAAGTCAGATACCGCAGCCATGAAAATCAACGAATTCACCAGTGAGTCGTTCCATACCCACGTTACCCTCTGTAGGCCTTTTGTCTAAATATGTCAGGTTTAATGACCCCGCGCATCCTACTTGTCCCATACAGCACCCACCACGTGCCCACATACCATGAGTGGATGCAAGATGAAGTACATATCCTTCCTTTCTCATCCAAATTCGCACCCGCTAATCTCTCTATTAGGAGATCCAAAAAGCCACAGCCTCCGAGCCCCTAACCCTAGAAGAAGAATACTCCATGCAGCGCTCCTGGCGCGAAGACGCCGACAAACTGACCTTCATCGTCTGCACGCACTACGGAGAGCAGTACTACAACGACATCATCAGGTCTCCTCGGACACGTTCGATTATCCCTGGTCAGCAGGATGCGCCGGAGTGGATGATTGGGGATGTGAATTTGTTTCTTTACGATGATGAGGATGAGGGCGAGGAAGATGGCGAAGGTGGTAACAGCAAGGGAGGAGAGAAAGATGCACCGAAAAGCGTGATCGGCGAACTTGAGATAATGATTGCCCGCAAAGATCAGCAAGGGAAGGGCATGGCGCAGGAAACGCTGAGAGCGTTTATGTCGTATATTCAGTCTCAGTTGGATGGCATGGGTGTTGAGTATGCTGGGAGAAGAGGGATTGCGCTGAAACATGTACGGGTCAAAATCGACAAGGACAATTTGCGAAGCCTGAGGCTCTTTGAGCGTGTGGGGTTTGTTAGGACAAGTACGGAACCTAATTACTTTGGGGAAGTGGAGCTTAGGACGCCGGTTGTGGAGGGGAGGTTGAGGGCTGTTGAGAGCAAGATTGGGCTAGAGGGTTTTGGCAGGACCGTGAGGTATGAGATGGAAGGCTATGGAGAACCAGAAACCAGTGCGTATTGATGCTTGTGCGACGACGGCTTTGAAGTGGCAAACAGCAGACAGAAGCGCGCGTCTACCCAAAATGTGGGAGGTAATTGTTGCAAGTTTAGAAGCTATTTGCAACCTTTTAAGGTGTTACACGACTACAATGGTTTTTGTGATTTCGTAGAGCCTTCCTACTTGTGCTAAATCCTTCCAGCAGCGTATGGTTGAGGTGAAGATCAGGATATTGCAGTCTGGTTTTTCTGCACCTCAAGAGAAAGGTGCTTAGACATGTATGAAATGGAAGAACAGTCTGACAGGTGGTATATGGCTATGCAGTGCTAAATGTGGGTTCAAACTCATTTAAGACTCTCAGAAGTATGTGAAGACCTCCAGCCTTTCTTTAAGGGTTGCGTTTTCGACCGTCTACGCTTTACTCTCACCCTGCTTTTTCTGTCCCTTCCCCTTGAGCTTGTCCACGACTTTGCCCAACGTCGCGAACAGCTTTCCAAACCCGAAACTCCACCCCCTGATTCTGACACTCCACACAAAGAAATATACCAGTGCCCAATTGCTGATGCAGAAGGCAAGGAAGATACCAAAGTTCCTCCATTTCTGACTCGCCTGAATGTTCAGCGTGGCGAGATAGTCGTTGCCCGTAGTGTATGGACAGTACATGCAACCGGTGCTGGCATCAGGGTTGAGGAGATAGCCAGGGGCTTGTTGGACGAAGCTGCCGGCGTAACTGGAGCACGTTTGGCCAGGTGGTGCATCAAATTGGGCAGTCTCTTGAGAGGTGCATTCAACGGGAACACCATCGAGTGTTGCAGCGAGGACGCCACCAATCCAATAGGTCGAAGGACTAGAGCAATGTTAGCATTCATCCAAACTTGACCCAGGAGGTTTTCCTTACTTGACATAGTACATCCACCACTTCCAAAAGACAGGGAGCATGGAGTACGGACGAACCACACCATTGAAAAGACCGAACATGACGAAGAAGAAAGGCAGCACATTGCTGATGACGGTGAAGGATGGTGCAAAGGCGCAAATCCATTGTCCCCAGCTGCTGATGAATAGCCAAAAGAGCATCGTCATGAGGAAGACGTAGCCAGCTGTAGAGCTGTCGGTGGGTAGGCCGGTTGGATAGTACCAGATTAGCCAATACAGCACCGAGCCGACAATGGCACTTGGAATTTCGCAGACTACTTGTGCGGTGACCTGGGACGATGTTAGTCATTGTTTGGAGGTATTCAGTATCTTGACACTCGTTGAAGGCAGTACGAGGTTGGAGCCAGGAGGGCTACAAGGGTGGGAATTCTGTGTGCAGTAGAGGAAGAAGAAAGACTGTAAGTACTCACAAATGCAAACCATCCATAAATCCTGGATGGTAGCTCGCGTGCCTGCCACAATGCCATGTTCTGGTAGAACTTAGGCACGACAGCGTTGACGATTGTAGGTGGAATTAAGATGATCAAGAATGACGTGAACATCCTATTCTGCATATCGCCGATCGAGTTGCCAAGCTGCCAGAAAGTGAAGCCGTTGAAGATGCCGATAATAACAGCGGTGAACAGCTTGCCATAGACATAAGATGGATCGCGCCATTGCTGGACAAAGGTACGCTTAGTGAGCATCGTTGTCTGCAACCAGACAGAAGCAGCGAACTCAGACTCTCCCTCAGTGTCTTGCTTGGCTAGAGCCTGACTGCGCTTGCTCTTGACGCGGTCGATTTCCTTGAGTACCTCCTTGGCGTTGTCAGACTTCAGCCATTCTTCGTTCCAGTTGATGCGACTGCCGTCTTTGCGCTTGACTGGCTTTGCAGCTGTCTCGAGGATGAATTCAGCGACGTTTTTGCTCGGTGGACACTGAACGCCACGATCGCCGAAGTACTTAATCACGTCTTTTCCGTTCTCGCCAACGGGGCCGAAGTAGAAGGTGTTACCGCCAGGGTTGAGAGCGAGGATCATGTCGAATTGCTGGATGAGAACACTGCTAGGCTGATGGATTGTGCAAACGATAGCTTGTCCTGCAGCAGCCAACTTCTTCAAGAAGGTGACAATCGAGTAAGCCGAGTTGCTGTCAAGTCCACTAGTGGGCTCGTCCAAGAAGAGCAGGAGCGAAGGCTTCGCTGCAAGCTCAACACCAATGGTGACACGCTTCTTTTGCTCGACACCCAAGCTGGACACAAGAGCATCCTGAACGTCTTGAAGCTCGAGCAGGTCGATGACCTTGTTGACGTAGTCGAGCTTCTCCTGGCGTGGAATGTTCTTGGCTTGACGCAAGATAGCAGAGAACTCGAGTGCCTCTCGGATTGTTGCAGTGCCGTCGTGCAGATCCATTTGTTCGCAGAAGCCAGTCCCACGCTGAAAGGCCTTGCCGAGATCTTTTCCGTCTACAAACATCTCACCCGAGACAACGCCCGTGCTCTGGCGTTGCGACAGTGTATTCAATAAGGTTGACTTTCCAGCACCGGAGGCACCAACGAGGGCGATCATAACTCCGGGCTTTGCGTAACCATTGACCTTGTTGAGAAGCTTACGTTCGCCGCCCTGGTACGGTACAGTGTATTCGACGTCTTTCCAGGTGAACACGCTCTCGCTGCTTGAGATTGACGCAAGTGCATCCTCCTCTTCTATTGTGCCGTCGCCGGAAGAGCTACCACTTGAGTTGCCAGTCACAACTTTCTCTTCGTCAGTCGGTTCTTCCTTGACAGCCTGCTTTGCGCGCTTTGATTTCTTGAAGACTAGGGCTCCGCCACCTCCATTCGCAAAAGACAGAAACTCGGTCGCCCAGACAGTGACAAGCAGGTACAGGACTGAGAATGCGATAATCACACCAAAGTTACGCCAGAGGTGCGACCGTGTGTACTCGAATGAGGTCTGTAAGTACGTAGCTCCATTGACAGTATTCGAGTTTGGCTGAGCACCAGTCAAGCTGCAGCCTTGGTACTGAGGATCAACGCCTGGGCCTTGAGGAACGAGTTGAGAGGGCGCGCATTCCATGACTCTGTTGGAGAACTCATTGGTCAAGACCGCCTCAAACGAGTATGACACAGGGTTGATGTGGAACAGCCAACCGAACCAAATGTACTCGGAAAGTAGTTGCGGCTTTGGGATCACGTAACCGGTGAACACGATGAGGATATTGAGCGCAAGTCCAGCAAAGCGCACAGCATCATCGATCGTTGGTGACATGGCCGCAAACATTCGGTAAAGCGAAGTGATACAGAAAGTCGTAGTATAGATGAAGAGGAAGTAGATCCAGAACTTGCCAGCGTCGACATCAAGTTCAGTCATGAAGTACATGATGATCGAGAATGGGATAACTTGTGCCAGCAGGAGTGGGAGATCTTGCAGAACTCTGGCCAAACTGACAGCACTAGGTCGATAGAACGCGTAATCTTCGTGCCTCTTGACGACATGTCGACCAGAGACTGCTTTCATTAGCTCGGAGAGCTGAAGCCAGCCCAGGAATAGAATAGAGAAGAATGCTGAACCACCTCTAGTGAAGGCGCCAGATGTATCCAAGGATTGTCCATAGAAAAGAGATCCGACGATCAAGCCGTTGGAGACAATAATGAAGAACTTTGTGTAAAGCGTGGTTTTGTCACCCCATGTAAGCCAAAGCTCACGCTTCGTACACGCCAGGACTTGTCGCACAAACGATACAGTGAACGGCGAATCCTTGGACTTCAGCTTACTGTTGCTCTTGCTCTCCGCCACAGCACCCTCAAACTCTTTGGCATCAGTGTAGTCGGTCCTCTTGAGCTCTTCTTCGTATGCGCTGATGTCTCTTTGAACTTTTTGATATGCTTCAGATCTGCGGAATGCTTTCTCGAGATCCTCAGCTGTTTTGGGCGCACTAGCCTCGTATCCTTCCCGGAACTGACGCCCAGTAGGATCGGTGACTGCGGTAAGAAAGTCCGCAGTAGTCTGTCGTTCGGGGCAATGGAAACCTAGGTCGAGAAAGTACTGCTTTGCCTCCTTTGCAGGGCCCTCGTAGACGCATCGACCCTGGTCAATAACCATGACCTTGTCCATCTGCTCATAGATGCCCTCTCCGGCCTGGTATAGAGTAACGAATGTTGTGCGGTTGCTCAGGTCGGTCATGATGCGAAGCGACTTTGCATAGTCAAGCGCGGTCGAAGCGTCAAGGCCTCGAGTACTGTTGTCCCAACAGACGATTGTAGACTTCGCAGCGAGCGTCTCTGCTATAGATACACGCTTTCGTTCTCCACCAGACACACCACGGACATATTCATCTCCTACCGGGGTATACTTTGTGTGCGAGATACCAAACATTTTCAGTAATGCTTCAAGGATGATCGGGATCTCTTCCTTCCTGTTCTTCCTCGTCTTGGTGATGAGGGCGAACGTCAGTGTCTGCCAAACGTTCAAGTTGGCAAAATGGACGTCATCCTCTTCATTGTAGTTGGCCTCGCCGCGGAACTGCTTCGCTTGCTTCTCAGCTGAGATACCGCCGTAGTGTACGTCACCCTCGACTGCTGCGTAGCTTTCTCGATTATTTGCAATTGCTTTCAGGAAGGTCGAGCATCCAGATCCTGGCCGTCCCAGGACAAGCATCATCTCTCCATCCTTGAGTACACCGGAGAAGTCATTGATGAGTGTGCGAGTTTGTTGGTGGCGTCCAAGGCGCAGGGCAGGAATGAAGCGTGTGACAAGGCGGTAGAGGTCAGGACCGAACGTCCCCATGATTGCATCAGGGACGGTCTTTGCGAAGGTAGCTGTCGACCCAACGCCCTTGACATTCAAACCCTTCCAGACAACGCCCACCTTCTTCGCTGACTTTCCATCTTTCCTCTTCTCAAGATATCCCTCCTTCATGAACTCGCCGAGCTCGAATTCATCTTCCGTCTCGGCTGCCACAGCAGTATCTGTGGTGTCTTCGTCTTCTGCGGCTATCGAGTCACCGGTTTGTATGTGAGAAACACATGGTGCCTGAAGAGACATGTTTCGGCATGTGCTCTTTCTACTAATGGTGCGCATGAGTCCGTCATGGTTCCGTTCTGAGCGAGCCGTTTGCGATCGTGTACGGGAAAGCGTTGCGAGTTCCTCTCTCAGAGCGTGTATGTCTGCTGCAGCAGTGGTAGGGTCGAATCTGCCTGCATCAGGTTCACCCCAGGTGCCTGTCCTGCGAACGCCCTCAGAGTTGCTGCTGTCGCTGCTGTCATCTCCACTTGCTACTCTTTCTCGCCCATTCTCGATGTACTGGCTCTCATTGTGCCATGGATTCCTCCTAGGATCCTGATCGTGCGGATCTTGGAAACTGTTGCCCCACAACATTTCTGCGGTCCAAGTGTTCTTGAATGTAGTCGATAGCCGGATTAGGCAAGAGCAATTGAGCTCAATGATGAGAGATGTTGCAACGCGCAGGCGAACGTAGCAAAGCAAGAAAAGAGGGAGTGTAGAGGCACTCAAGTACCTGACGGTGAAGTGAGAGTAAATTTACTCTTCGTTCACAAACCTATTCCCTGACAGACGCAGGGGATAGCGGACTTAACGCCGGCCACAAAGCCATGCATTGTCGTCATTCCGAAAACGATGAAGTAGCGAGGCGCTACCAAACATCACTACCCGCGTCTAACTCCACAACGTCACCGCGAAATCTCGAAAACTCGCACTTTGGGCACTTTGTTGAGCCCTGACCAGTGCCTAAATCACAAACTCAGCAAGTGCGACGCACATTACCAATCACCGTGACCCGCTGTATCGGCACGCAACCGCTGGAAGAGGTTCTGTTCCTTGCATATCGCGACCGGAATATGGATTCCTGGTTCAATCCTGAATCAGATGGTGGATGGGCAATGGCGATGTCTGACAAGCTTGCGGCGATCGTCCCGCAGAAATTCGTCGGCGATCCCTGACCGTTCATTGGGTAACGGCATGGCGCATTTCTAAGCTGAAGCCTGAGAGTACAATTGTGCAATGCAGGCTTGTTTAATGAATGGAGCTTGAGGACTCACGAGCGCAAGGACTTCAGCATACAAAACATAGCAGTGCAAGATAGTCACAATTCACACCTTCTCGTGTGCAAGGCTGCAATCTCCCCAGACACACCAATAAATTTCCTTATCATCGCAGACTGGTCAACTGCGAGAAACCGATGCCAAGCTTGTCAGCAACTTGCATGCTCGGAGTTTGGCGGTGTTTGCGTAGCATAAGAGTGGTAACAATCTCCTTGGCTTCGTTCAACGGTGTTGAATTGCATGTGCTGTGTGCTGTCATTACTCAGTGAGCACTATGCATGTATCTTGTGCAATTCACCGGCACGCGTACCGAAGAGGTAGAACTTGATATCGAATCTGCGCCCTGAAAACGATACTTTCTCCACAGAGAACCACAAACATGGGTTCATTAGAAATCTATAGTGGGTATTGCTTAGGAACCCGGACACCTGCATCCGACTCCACCTGTTTGCTCCGCCTCGAGACACACTGTACGCCTAGTGCTTCGGCTCAATGAGCTCAGGAATATCCTGAGGCTTCGCCTTGCCCTCCAGAATGTTGAACACCGCAGTGAACAAAGGGAAGTCTGCCTCCTTGCCCTGGGACTTCAGGAACTGGTTCACCTCAATGGCAGTGCTGGTGCCTTGCAGCTTCTGACCGTTGAGCTCCTTCTCCTCGATAGCGCCAATGGATTCTTTACGTTCGACGGCCATCTTTGCACAACGGAAGTTGCGACCGCCTGAGCAGGATGTGATGACATCGGCAACACCACAGCTCTCCTCAGTGAACGTGCTAGTGCGAGAGCTCTCCCCAAAGAACATCTTTCCGAACTTGACCATTTCGAGTATTCCCACACGCATTACGGCTGCCTTGGCGTTGTCACCCCAGCCCAAGCCATCGACAAACCCAGCCGCAAGAGCGATGATGTTTTTCAGGGCTCCGCCGAGAGACACACCGGCGACATCGTTGACTAGGTGTACGTGGAAGTAGGGGCGGTGGAACAGCTTACGAATGTTCTCGTGCGAGAGAGGAGGGTACTCGGACGGCAAAGGAGTCAGATTAGCAGATCGCTTGCCGGGCTCAATCTCAGGATTGATTAGGTTGACCTGCGAAGAGCTCGGTGACCCGCTTGGTGTTGGATGACGAGAGTCCATTGGCGGTGGGTCATAAGCAACTGTGGTCTCGGAGTACAGCTCCTTGGCAATTTCAGAGGCAATGTTTGCGCCTGACAGAGCACCGCAGTAGATGTTCAAACCCTTCCCAATAGCCTCTGACATGAGCTGGATGCCCTTCTCGCTCACATCGACACCCTTTGTGCAGCAGATAGCTCGAGCATATGGGAGGATTTTTCCTGACAGCTGGGAGCATGTCCTGGCAATGAACTGATGTGGGAGCACAAAGACGAGCATCGTGGAGTCTTTGCAAGCATCGGGCAGATCAGGGTTGGCGATAACGTTCGGAGGCAGCGTAATGTTCGGCAGGTATTTGACGTTCTCGTGGACGCTATTGATGAGCTGCGAGAGCTTCTCAGGCTGATCTGAGCCACTGTAGTGTCGCGAGTTCTTGGGGATTGTGTACTCTTCCTCGAACACCCACATCTGCACCTTTTCCTCAAACAGAGAGGGATTGTCCTTGGTATTCTCAGCTACGAGCTTGGCCATTGTAGTGCCCCTACATCTGTTAGCCGGCTCTTTTGCACATTTGACTTTGATCGTGTCTAAATCGTCCGCTGCAGCTGTTGCAGCTTGTCACATACCAATTGCCGGAGCCCACAATGGTCACCTTGTGCTTGCGCTGAGCACTGAGTGTCGCCATGGTTCTGTATAGTCCGTCTTTCACTTGCTGGTGTCTGGCGTGGGTGTTGACGTTCGTCGGGGCTTTTTGCGCAGATATGGGGCGGTGACAAGCTCTGACGTAACTTGCTGGTGAGAGCGGCGAGAAGGACAATGGCCTCAGAAGCTTGAAGAGAGCCAGCTTATATGTCTTGAACAGTCTGAATGTGAATGGAGTCAGAAATGCAATAGCCCAGCCACACCGCGGCTTAAGATTTCAGCTGCCACGCACCGATAGACTTATTGCTTCTAGAAGCGGAAGGAATACTCAAGCCTCGGCTGCCTGTGATGCGGTGAGGCCGAAAGCTGTGATGAACAAGTCGGAGGGTCGCGACGACAGTGGGTTGCAATGCTTGGAAGGAGGGGCGTCGGAGATGAGATGTAGACGAAGCTCGCAGGTCAAGATACTGCAGATTGTTGAATGATGCAGCTCGTTCAACACCCCTGTGAGGATCGTTATCGATTATGCACGCCGGAAGTCGGGGCGAACCAGCTGAGCAACGCTGCAGGACAAATTGGCCAATGACACTAATGCGCTGCAACGAGGCTGACATTGACAGTGACTATGACATTTGCGGTTCTGACGCAGTTGACAGCTCGCTTCCAAATTTCCTTTATTTGTTTGTAAAGACCCTGAGAAGGATACAACCTCACATTAAACATTGCCGGATGCAGCAGGCTTGTTCGCTACATGTGCGAGCAACACAAGGAAAATGCGTTACAATGACCGGCAAGCTGAGCGGATGTAAGGTTGCATGTAACAAGACTTCATGTATGCAGAGAGAAGATATTTGAACAGTTGAAGATTTGATTCGGGGTATTGCAAGTCGTGTATCCTTCATATCATCGCATTAAAGCTCCTCGAGCTTCTCCTCCACCATATCATGCGCAAGCGAGCATACAAGACCCTGCAACGTGACGCCAAAGTAACTTCGTGAAACCTATATCCTCCTTCATTATTACCACAACGACCCAATAGGGACCGGCCCGCTATCCGCACTGAGATAGTTGAACCTTTCTACAAGGCAAGGCCGAAGATGGCGAGGAGACCACCAGCCAGAGCAGGTGTGCCAAGGGCGAAGTTGGCGACAGCAGCACCAGCGGAAGCAGCTGCGGTGCTGGAACCAGTGGCAGCTGCGCCAGTGCCGGAGGCAGCAGACGTGCGGGAAGCGGAACCGGAGCCCGAGGCAGAGGCTGACGCGGAAGAGGAGCCGGATGAGGACTCGTCGATAGTAGTGTTACCGCACTGGGCGTCGCGAGCCTGCGTGCACTGGAACTGCTGAGCAGCGTTACCCTCCTTGGTGGTGGGGTTGATGGTGGCGTTGATGCAAGCGTCGTACCAGAAGTAGCACATCTGGGCAGGAACGGTCTGCTGGTAAGTCTTCATGGTGTCTTCGGCAATTGTGGTGCCATTAGAGCACTTGCAAGTGTATTCGAGGGTAGACTCCAAACAATGTTAGCGAGCTTTCGCAAGATCACTCGCAAGCAAACTTACAGCATCGCAGGTGTTGCCGTTGCTGGCGATGTCACCCTGGCCACCGCAGAGGTCGACGCAGGTGTTCTCCTGGGCGTCACACCATGACTGCCTCAGATCCTCAGACACGTTGTTAACGGGCACCTCGCAGCAGGCGATGACGGTGCTGTTCTGAGCAGCGGCGAAGCCAGCAAGAGCCGAGACGGCGACAATGACGGAGGAGTAGAGCATGGTGAATTGCTGTATGGCGCAAAGAGTATCAATGCCTGCAAGAGAGAGCAGAGTCAGCGGGAGATCAACAGTGATCGGCGGTGGAGAGCAGTTGCGCGGTGGGCAGGCAAAGTGAGCGCGCAATGGGTGGAACACATGCGCGCCAGACATATATGATTGCGGAGAAAAGTAACTTACTGTGATGCGGGCTGTTTTCTGGGATGAGAAAGGCGGTTGCTGGGAGGCGGGTGTGTCGGGCGAGCGAGGCAGTCTTAAATGATACGCGGCACAGACTGCACCTGCACTAAACTGCACTAGTCCACTTCATTGAATGCAGTTTCCGAAGCAGGGCATGGAAGAAAGATACGCTCGGACCTGTTTGCTTCCCTTCACCGAGAGGGAAACTGCTGCCCACGGCTAATCTATCTGCTGCTCATCTTCATTGACACTCGCTCTCGTCGAGCTGGCGCAGTGCCTTGGAGCCCTCAATGGCTTCTCCCTCTCTTGCAGAAGCGGTTTCAAAGGAATGGCCACCGTGCCCGTGCCGCACTGCCGCAACACTCAATCGCACGCTAAGGGAATACGGTTGGCTGTGCATTCCACCAGTCCACGCGCCAAATGACGCACACTGGCACTGAGAGCGCGCAGAATGCATCGACTTCGACGGCGGGAAGCTATTGCTTGGCCTGGGGCAACACGCATTTGAATCGAAAGCCGTGTCGTTGTGGCCGTGCTCAACAATCATTTCCATGGAAACCCCAACCACTGACACTTCGGCTCGTACAAGCGTGCCAGTGTTCGGACAGGCATCTTGCAACGGGCCGGGCTCCACATCAGCCACAGACTGCATCATCGGCGGCGTCACAGTGCTGCCAGCCTTGCTTGTACCCCATCCTTTTGTTTGATGTCGTACAGTCTCAGACAACATCTCCTAGGGAGGGCGCAGTGCGCGACAATGGCTGGTGAATTGACTCTCACAAACACACCAGGCAAGGTCCCCCGCGAGTCCGACGCGTCGCTAAACAACAAAGCGTCAACACTTCCTGTTTTTTCGAGCGCTGTTGCCCGATCTGGACAAGACCTTGCATAAACCGCTCCAACCAAGACCTCGGGCCGCATGGGCCTTGTGCGCGAACTCAACACCAACCGTGAACTTTTCCTACTTGACAAACTTTCATAAAAGTCGCTCACGAGTCTGCTTGGGCGCTCGCCACCAGCTGTCTTGCCACACACCAAGGGACGCCCTGCAGAGCCGTTTTCTATCGATTTTGCGCACCACTGATGCCAGCCAGGATGCATATATCCGCATACCAAGCGTTTGCTGGTGGCTGGTCTTGGTATCCCCGCAGTCCGATACAGCCTCAAAGCATCGCACACCGCGCTTTTTACCGCGAGGTTGGTAGCTCTGACCCATTGAGTGACGACGAGCAGTGTCACGAGCACACAGCAGCATTGTGCGCTTGTCAAAGCTTTTGATCGCCTTGTGCACAAATATAACTTTGATATCGCCTGATTGAATCACGGCTGGTAGGTGCGCACCTATCTTCGCTAAGATTCAAGCACGATTTGCCTACCCTTCACACTAGTCTACTACACCTCTTGACTTCACGGTCCTCTATATCATGCTTTGCTATACCTCGAGACAGCACACCCTCAGACAGAGGATCGGCGTACCCCCACACTAACACACCGTAGTATTCACTGAACGACGATCCAATTCGGCAATGACTTGTCCAATCAGCTTTGAATTGAAGGCTTCGAGCCTGCTGTTTTACAAGTTGTTGGTGGTCTGTCTCTTAGCATTGTCAGCAGCTTACGCGGATGCTGTAGTGGACGACAACCTTCTCCTCCGGCTCCATCAGTCGTCCGCGACACGACGCCCGGTTACGACGATAGTGGAGGCGCTGCAGGGTACCTTCTAGTATTCGACTTATTCAAGTTCCGCTGATGAGACGGCTCTGTTGTAGGTCGACGAGTGCCAGACGTAAGGTTCGAGCGTGCATCTTGTGCTTTTGTGAACTTGAGTTTTACATCAATTCGTGTGGCGCAGTGGATCCAAGTTCTAATGCTGGAGCATCTGCAAGTCGATGGCACGCACGATGGTTAGGCAAGAGCTCGGTCGATAGAGTAACGCTTTGAACTTGCAGATACGTGAGCGGCATATTGAGAAGTTGGCCCGTGCGTCTCATGCTGTCTCGATGTTGGTTGGCTACTACTTCCTAACGGCTACCTTTCGCATTCCAGATGCCAATGATGTTTGTTTCAGTAGTTGTAGATTCAGTTTGTGGTATCGGCTGCAGTATTATGAGTTGATTGTACGATGCAAGACTTCCACCGCTCGCTAAATTCAGGTCCTGCATGATGTCACGACTTAAGCGCCATTCTGGAACTTCATTTCAGCGCCCACATAAGATTGAGCGCGTTTTTGCGTAATGTTCAAACCTATTACAAGGCCCTGACTACGGAGAGATCAATACAGTCTGAAAATTTCTTTTCTCGTACCGATATGCAGACCAACTACTTCGTCTGCACCCTTGGACAAGCTGCCAGCTTGAACAGCCGGCCCAATCCGTACACTACGATAGGCCAGTTTGTTGGCTACCAAGCACAACACCACCCGTACCTGCCAGCCGTTGGTTTTCCTGTACCACAGTCGAAACAGGAGAGATGGAACTACAAAGTCCTCGCCTTCGGAGATGTTGAACAAGGCACGAACGTATTTGCGGAAAGATTACTACAAGCTTTGGGCAAATCTCCAAATGGTCCAGAAACAGTAGCGCTTTTATGTCACAGCTCGCCAGAGTTCCTCTTCGCGTGGCTGGCATTGATGAAGTTGGGTTACTCGGTACTACTGATCGCACCTCAATGTCAACCTGCTGCCATTCTACATCTTTACAAATCCTGTAAAGCCTTGGCCTTCTTCTATGACATCGCACATGCGGACCGGGCAGAGCAAACTTTCAGCCTGGCAAGAGAAGAAGACGTGACTAGCTTCACTGCCAAGTTACTGCCGCTGCGTGAAGGAGAAGACATCTATCAGGCCATCAGCGAACCAGTGGAGCCAAGCTTCGAGACGCCCACTTTGGATCAGACAGCAGTTGCATATCTACACCACACCTCAGGAACCTCATCTGGTTTGCCAAAACCCATACCGCAGTCTCATCGAGCAGGACTGGGGGTTCTTCCTCATCTTCCGAAGATACCTGTGAAGGCAACTTTCACCACAACACCCCTTTACCATGGAGGAATCGCCGACTTGTTTCGAGCATGGACCAGTAACGCACTCATTTGGCTGTTTCCAGGCAAGGACATACCTATCACGGCTCGGAATATCTGCAACAGTCTGGAAGTAGCAGCATCGTATTCCTCCACGGAAGGGCTTCCGGGAGTAAAGTACTTCTCGTCGGTACCATACGTGCTACAGATGATGGAATCTGACGAGCAAGGGTTGGCTCTGCTGCAAAAGATGGACATTGTTGGTGTTGGTGGCGCAGCGTTACCGGCGGAAGTTGGTGATCGTCTTGCAAAGAGTGGAGTGAACCTGATCTCAAGATTTGGAAGTGCTGAATGCGGTTTTGTCATGTCATCGTTCCGCGACTTTTCAGCAGACAACGACTGGCAGTATCTGCGAAACTACAATCCGGCGAAGCTCTTGAGCTTTGAGCCACGAGAAGATAACTTGACTGAGCTTGTGATCAAGCCGGGCTGGCCACACATGGTATATGCTGCTCAAATGACGAACAAATCACAGGCTAACATGTGGTGCAGGCCAAACAAAATCGCCCAGATGGATCCTTCGCAACTGCGGACCTATTCGCCCCACATCCCACAATCCCAGATGCATGGATATATAACTCCCGTGCTGACTCTCAGTTAATACTCATCACGGGCAAGAAGTTTGACCCTACGCCGCTTGAGGATGCAATAGCCACCTCACCCCACCTGGACGACGTTTTGATATTCGGCACAAATCGACCTTACCCAGGAGCGCTATTGCTACGATCTCAACAAGCCAGCGGAATGAGTGATCAAGGCTTGCTTGACACAATCAAGCCTGCAGTAGAGAAGCTCAATCGCGATAGCCAGGACCATGCTAGGATACCATACAACATGCTGATCCCTCTACCACATCAGGAACCACTCGAGAAGAGCAGCAAGGGGACTCTTATTCGAAGAGTGGCAGAGGCCAGATTCGAGGACATTATCAACCGTGCTTACGATGAGCAAGACTCAAATCAGTCGGTTGATGTGTCTGACGAAGAACTGCCGCAACACCTCAAGGGGCTGATACAGTCTATCACGTCCCAGACTGCGGAGTTGACGGATGATATGGACCTGTTCTCGTATGGAGTTGATTCCATCGCATGTATGCAGCTTCGAACACGACTAAGAGGGCTAATACCCAATTGTGACAAACATCTGCCGATGAGCGTTATCGAAGACTGTGGCTCAATCAAATGTCTGACTGACTACGTGTTGCGAAGGAGACACGGAGAGTCTGGTGTCGTCGAGGAGGATGAAGAACAGTTGATGAAGGACCTGGTCAAACAGTACGGTTCGTTTGACGAACGTGCCTTACAACCTACTACAAACGGTCAGCCCGAGGATGGCAAGAAGGGGGAAATTGTTGTGTTGACTGGAGCCACTGGTGCTCTTGGAGCGCACATCTTGGATCTCCTTCAGAAGGCTGAGACAGTCCAAAGCATCTACTGTCTGGTAAGAGGAGCGGACGAGCATGCAGCAAAGGAGCGAGTCAGCAAGGCCCTCGAGCAAAGAGGCTTGACGAGTCTACTCGTGTCTGGCGTGGCCAATGACAAGGTCAAAGTGGTTCCAGCACAACTCAGCGACGAGCGCCTTGGGATGAGCGACAAGCTATACAAGCAGCTGGCCAAGGAAGCAACATGCATCATTCATGTAGCGTGGACCGTCAATTTCCGCCTCAAACTACGAAGCTTCGTCAAAGACAACATCGCAGGTGTCCGAAACCTCCTTGATCTTGCTTTAAGCGCGGGACGCAGTAACCCTCCACGCTTCGCTTACTGCTCATCCACGGCCGCCATCATGCATGGTGAGCTAGATCAGTCCGGTTGCTGGCCCGAGAAGCTTCTCTCCAATCCCTCGTCAGCTTCTCCACTTGGCTACTCGCGGTCGAAGTGGGTTGCAGAGCACATCTGCGCTGAGGCAGACAAGCGGACGAGTCTTCGAGGTCGGATTGCTGTCGTCCGTGTTGGGCAACTCGCTGGAGACTCAACATCAGGGGTATGGAATACTAAGGAGGCATGGCCAATGATGTTGAGCACTGCAAACATCATCAAATGTCTGCCTAATTTAGGCGATGAGGCTTTGGATTGGCTGCCTGTGGATATCGCGGCGCAAGCCTTCCTCGAGTCGATATGGGAGGGGAACTGCGGCCAGGAGAACATACCTGTCTATCACGTCTTGAATCCGCATCGTCAGCCTACTTGGCACGACATGCTGCTTTGGCTGAGGAATAAGGCAGACTTCGAGATTGTCTCGCCCCAGGACTGGCTTCAGCGACTGGAGGAAAGCGATATCGAGCATCCAGCGAAGAAACTGCTAGGCCTGTGGAAAGAGGCCTATGGTAACGGTGTACAAAGATCCTCGTCCCAGAGACCGCAATTCGCAATGGAGGAGAGCAAAAAACATGTGCCGGTCTTAGGGAATGTAAAGCCGCTTGACGAGGCATATGTGCAGAGGTTGTGGGTGTGGGCGCAAGCGAATGTACGCTGAGTAAGATGCACATATTGTGGTGGGTCGCACCTTCTCACAGCGTTCACCGACGATTCAACAGTCGGGAGCATGAGGTTCATTCTGCGATGATACGTAAACCGACAACAGGCGAAAAACGGACGCTGTTGTTGATCCAAGACTTGCTATTGTGCCATCAATGCAATGAAACAAACTCTTGAATACTGTTTAGACTCTTGGTATGCGGTTTCCATCTTTAGCAATTTGTCCACGTGTGAACCGCATACTACAGCTGCATTTATGGGTTACATGAGGCTGATACAGCGGACTGGGCATCGTTCACAATGGGCATCTCGTTGCGAGAGGGTCACCGAGGCGCCGTTTGTAGGGCGACTCCTTTCGCAAGCGTTCGTGATGGATGTACTATAGTGCTGTCATCATCAAGCCTCACCAGATCGCGAGGCAACAAGCAGCAACTACCTGACCGGTGCTCATCCTGAGGTAATCCGCCCCACTTGTGATGCGATGACAACTCGAAACGAATGAGACGAAGATGAAATGTCGGAGGTCGGACGACTTTTCCTGGCCGCTCCGACATTTTTCACGAAGCGAAGACGGGTCGAAAAGCCAAGTTCAAGCCACAAAGCAAGTCAACCGATCACCTGCACACAATCAGATCTTCAGGCAACCAAGTTAGCCTTGCATCGACGGACGAAATCTCAACACCATGTTGGCGCCCACGATAACGATTTTGCTCGGACAAAAGGTGCAATCAGCCTTTTGGTTGCTAACGAAGGGTCATGAATCGATGGAGCAGTTTACCCATGGAGACATTTCAAGCCTTCTTATACTTGGCTTGCAACTCTTGACATGTCCCACTTTCCGTAAGATCCACAAAAAATGAGAGAGATCGCATTTGCGGAGTAGCTGCCCGTGGATCTGGTGGTCTGGAATCGTTCTATCGGAGCGCAAGGACACCGCAACGGTCTTGGCTTACGGGCTCTCATTGAACGCCAGGTCGCTTGCCAGCAATTTGGGTAGCTGCACCCGGCTAACCAGACCAATGCAACACGGCGACGTGCAGGTGTGACTGACACAGGCGCCCGCTGTTGTGCTCACACACGAAGAATGCGCAAAGGGCTTCAGGCGGCCAAACTTTGCAAGGCGTCGCAGACCAGGGACGAATATTCGACCGATTCCGGATCCGAAAAGAGGCAAGCGCAGTCTCAACCCTTTACCAACTGTGAGCCGGGCACCTTGTTTCGCGCATTCCGAAGCGCAAGTAGATAGCTCCCGCACCCTAATTGTACCGAGCTGAACGAACCTCTTGGTATTGCAGCTTGACCATAACGTTGACTCCGCCCTTGTGAATCATCTCGCTCCTTTCCAGGTTTTACTTATAGTCCCTCCTTCCCTCAGGCTTCTATTTCTTTCCTCACACTAGCTACTCATTCTGAATCACAACCACTACCTTGGACCCTTACTTGGCGCAAACCCTTATATCACCACACGTAGCCTCGCAGCCACGACTAGATGAGCGAAACAAACAACCAAACACTGCGGCCTGTCAGCATGGCAGACTCAGAAAAGACAGCCGCCCGTAGCGTCGGCGATCTTGAGAAGAAGGAGATGGGTGTTGGCGAGAGTGGCCTGCCTTCGGCTGCGCCCTCCATACATGAGAAGACCACAGACGAGAAGGAGCCGGAGGTCAACGAGAAGCGCAACTCAAAGGCCAGCAACAACGATGAGGAAGACGATTTCGAGTACCCTACGAAATGGAAGCTCGCCATCATCACATTAGCATTGTGCCTCTCAGTTTTCTGCATGGCATTGGTAAGCCATCGTCACGTCGATGTAGTGCAGAACGGCGAGGCTGACCATCGTAGGACAACACGATCATCGCGACAGCTATTCCTCGCATCACAGATCAGTTCAAGGCACTTAACGACGTTGGTTGGTATGGATCGGCTTACCTGCTTACGACCTGCGCGACACAACTCCTCTACGGCAAATTCTACACCTACTACTCGATCAAATGGGTCTACATCAGCGCGCTATTCATCTTCGAAGTCGGTTCTCTGATCTGCGGTGTTGCGCCTAACTCGACGACCTTGATCATTGGACGCGCCATCGCCGGTGTAGGAGCTGCTGGTATCTTCAGCGGCGCCATCCTCATTATCGCAAGCACAGTTCCTCTGCGTCAACGTCCGGCCTATATGGGTTTGATAGGTGGTATGTACGGTATTGCGTCAGTTGCTGGACCCTTGGTAAGTGGAGATCTCCAGAATTGCGGAGAAGTGGAGCTTCGTACAACCAAGCATTTGCTAACGAAGCTTTAGATGGGTGGGGCCTTTACTGACCATCTGACTTGGCGTTGGTGCTTCTACATCAACCTGCCTCTTGGTGCTATTACTGCTGCGTTCATCATTCCGTTCTTCACCATCCAACGCCGTGGTAAGAAGAACGAGGCCACCTTGATGGAGCAGGTCAAGAAGTTCGACCTGGAGGGTACTGCTCTGTTCCTGCCTGCTATCATCTGTCTGCTGCTTGCTCTACAGTGGGGTGGAAGCAAGTACGCGTGGGGCAACGGACGTATCATTGCTCTCCTTGTTCTCTTCGTCGTGCTCATTAGTGGCTTCATTGCCGTACAGTGGTGGAAGCAAGAGGACGCTACCGTGCCTCCTCGCGTCTTCCTCAACCGCAACGTCTGGGGATCAGCCCTGTTCGGAGCCATGCTCGGTGCATCCTTCTTCGTCATGGTCTACTATCTCCGTAAGTCTCCGCTACATTGATCCTCGAAACACAGCTAACGAGTTGCAGCAATCTGGTTCCAGGCTGTCAAGGGAGTGTCTGCAACGAAATCCGGCATCATGAACTTGCCTGCCATCCTCGGTCTCGTCATCATCTCCATGTTGGCCGGTGGTCTCGTTACCTACTTCGGCTACTACACACCGTTTATGCTCCTGTCATCAGTCCTGATGGCCATTGGAGCTGGTCTTCTGTCGACATTCGAGACTGACACCAACTCGCCCAAGTGGATCGGCTACCAATTTATTTTCGGTGCTGGTGTTGGTTTCGGTATGCAGCAAATTCTTGTTGCTGTCCAGACGGTCCTTCCTGCAGACGACATTCCTATCGGTACCGCTACCATGATGTTCAGCCAGACCCTTGGTGGTGCACTCTTCATCTCGGTCGGCCAGAATGTCTTCACCAACCAGCTCATCAAGAACCTCCACAATGTTGTCCCTGAACTCGACTCAGGCTTTGTCCTGACTGTGGGTGCGACTGAGCTGAAAAACGCAATTGAAGCCCGCTTCCTTCCTGGTGTGCTCTCCGCTTACAACCTCACACTGATACAGACGTTCTATGTGTCGGTTGCTGCAGGCGCAGTGTCGATCGTCGGCGCTGCTTTTGTGGAGTGGAAGAGCATGAAGGGCAAGAAAATCGAGATGGCGATGGCGTAAGCCAGCCAGCCACGAGTCAGCACTTGTGAGAACCAGACTTTGACGACACCCACGTGTCACTTGAGTCTTGACGTCTTTGCGTGATACCCTTTCAGAACGAACAGCATCAGCGAGCGGGCGTTTGTATGATAGCCTATACACTTTGATAAGCTTTTCTGTATAAATTGTAATAGACGGAGGTAGAGGTCAATGTTGTGGCCTGTAGCCAAACATACGGTAGACTAGAGCATCTCCTCTTTCAAAAATCGAGCTAAACTCTGCCACTCACGATATGACCTCATGTTCGAAGATTTCTCACGAGCAGATTACAGTCGTTCCAATGCAGTTACGGTATGACGTCTTCAGGCTCACATGTTGCCGAGAGCCGTGTTCCCGAAGCCTAATGCGCATTTTCTCGACCAAAGAGGAACAAATGCATGGTTGGGTCATGGTGTGACAAATGGAACAGCACAAGAACAAGGATGGGACACAGCAACTGGCAGGGTCAAGCCTTTGCCTAGACGACCATCAAAGCTTAGCACAGCCCACCCGTCCCGTGGTCAGCTCTGGAAGAGGGCTCCGCCGCATGCGACGCGCGGGACCCTTATCCAGCCACACGGCCTCTCCTGCTGCGCCATTTCCTGCGATACTCCTGCACGGTGATGCTGCAACCGCATTGCATTCCTCCACACACATAATACTGCGCCTCGTCGCTGTGCGCCCGCGGATTCCGCCGAATTGTATACAAGGGCCGATTGTGAGCTGAGCGCAAAGAGAGTTCCGGAAGAAGCCGCCGAGCGCAGACGCACTGCAGACAGCAAACGTATATAATCGCGCAAGAAAAAGAGGGCAGCGGCATGGAGGAGACACACCAGGGCCAGGCGACGGGCGTCACGGCCGACGCTGAGAAGCAGGACGAGCAGGCCTTCGAGCCGTCGAAGCCACAGACGAGCAACACCAGCGAGAGCAACACCAGCGAGAGCAAGAAGGGCCCCGAGGGCGGCTACGATGACACGCCCATACCGCGCAGAGAGGTACATGCTCGAGAATGCCATGCGCAAGAGAACAGTCGCTGAACGCACTACAGCCCGGGTACACAGTCAAGTTCACCTTCCACCGCGCGAACAACCTGCCGCTCGCCGACATCAACACCCTCTCTGCCGACCCCTTCATTCTCGCCGAGCTGATGACCGCCCTGCCCAACCGCCACAAGGAAGACCCGCCGCTGACATTGCGCACGCGCACAGTGCGCCAGAACACCAACCCGGTGTGGAACCAGGAATGGATCGTCGCAAACGTGCCCTCGAGCGGCTTCAAGCTGAAGTGTCGCATCTACGACGAAGACCCGGCCGATCACGATGACCGCCTCGGCAACGTTCACGTCGAAGTCGCTTCGGTGAATGAGAATTGGGGAGGCATCAAGGAGCAGTTGTATCCTCTGCGAAAGCGCATGGTTAGCAAGCGCGCATTCGTGCTGCGCGCTGTCGCAGTCTGCATACGCAAGGCCGAGCATATGAGCGGCACCCTGACAGTCAGCGCAGAAGTGCTAGGGAGAACACAAGACGAGCACGGTGGTCGCGTATATACAATTGGGCCTCAGTTCTGGATACGGCACTACTCGCCTCTACTGGGCCGTCTGCTGGGCCAGAAGGAGCCGGACGAGTCTGGCAATGTATCGCGACGCACTGGTAAGACCAAGGCAGAAAGATACAACTTCCAGTCGAACCAGCTGCAACTGCGCGGCCCCGTCCCCGAACACATGTACCACCGCTACGTCGTCTTCAAGCCCTTCGTCAAGAACATGTTCACAGCGAAGGGCGTACGAGGCTTCATCCTCTCCAAAGCCCTCCACCACCAGCACGCACGTGTCTACAATTTCGACCACGCCACCGAATACAAAGAATTCCCCGATCCTTGCAAAGCCTTCACTCAGAAATTCCTCGAACTCGTCCACTACGACCAGGGCGGGCGAATCTTCACCTACGTCCTCACCCTCGACGCGCTCTTCCGCTTCACCGAAACCGGCAAAGAATTCGGCATCGACATGCTGTCCAAACACACCATGCACAGCGACGTCGCAGCCTACATCGCCTTCTCCGGCGAGTTCTTCATCCGCCGCCTCAAACACCCGAACAAATCCCCCGAAGACCCATCCCAACAATCCCATCCGCCGCAGGACATGGACGGCGGCCCGCCCAAAGAAGAGCCCAAGACCGACCCCTCCTACTACGAACTGATCATCGACAACGACAGCGGCACATACCGCCCAAACGCAAAACTGCTCCCGCAGCTGAAAGCCTTCTTCGAAGCGAACTTCCCCGGCCTGCACATCCGGACCCTCGACTGCCAGGGCGACGCGGAAAAGATGGAGCACATGAAGAACGAGCAGCGCGAGAAGAAGAAGAAAGAGGGTGACCACGTCATCTACACACAAGCCTCTCGCTCGTCCTCCGTTTCATCCTCCGATATCAGTGAACTCGACCACCTCGAACAGGCCGGCGAGTACCAAGAGAGCCATCTACGGCACCAAGTCCAGGGTGTTGCGGGCGCAAAGGCGGGCGCGTTGAAGCATCATATGGGCGATTTTACACCGAGCCATAATAATGAGGGGTGGAGGGGGAAGCACCACGATGCGAATGAGGATAACGAGGAAGTCGAACGGCAGAGGAAAGAGTCGGGACAGAGCAAGGGGAAAGGGAAAATAGAGCGGAATGAGGCGGAAGTGTAAGCGGGGCAGCCCTGAGATGGTGTGCGAGAGGCCATCAGTTGTCTTCTTCTTCATATGTTGTTCGTCTTCGCGCCTCAAGCGTGGTTTGTGTTACGTGGTTCCGTTTGTCATTGTTCACGAAGGAGGGAAAGCGCGGGCGAAGTAATCTGGACGCTCTCTTATCGAGATACCCACCATTTACTGGTCAAGGTTTTCCTTGTCAATTCTTAGCAGAGTTCTTAGCTGTAATTTTAACATTGCTATATAATTCACAGAAATCATCAAGATTACGTAAACAATCATGTTGAACTGATCACAGCCGGCCCGATGGCGCAACGGTAGCGCGTCAGATTCCAGTTTGGTGTCTCCTGAAGGTTAGGCGTTCAAATCGCCTTCGGGTCAGTTCTTTTTTGCTTCCATTATCAAAAATTTGAGGAGGCATTCCTTTTTCTTGTGCTGACTGAACACTAGGTTCTCTTGATGCTGCTCACATTGTCTTTTCTTGCGTGCCTCCTTCCTCTCGATTTCTACTTCATCTCTCACATCCACACCTACTTCAACTTAACCGCCAACACCCCCTTCCACGCCTCCACCGCAGCATCCGCATACTCCCTTGCATAATGCTCCACATCATCCTCGCTAACCAGCTCTCTCAGCGCTTCCCCAGTCTTCCCCCACCGTACCTGCGCCTTGATAGCTACCACTCCCCTCTTCTGCAGCAAATTGATATAGCTATTCGCAACCCTACCAATCGCTTCAAACGCACCCTTTACCTCAGCATCAATCTCTTTCGCCCAGTCCTTCGGCACCTGAGCCTTCATAGGGTGCGGTGTCTTGCTCTGGACAACGCGCTCTTTGATCTCGTTTGCAAGGCGCAAAAGCGCGCGCAGGGCTTCGAGCGCGGAGTAGGCCGCGATGAGCTGGTTTTCGTGGATCATTGTCGGCTCGTCGACGGGGTCCGCGCCAGTCGGTGTAGAGACGATCAGTTTCTCTTGGTCCTGGCGCAGCTGCGCGAGGTGCGTGGTGAGTGCGGTGAAATGTTTGGTGTCGACTTTGGTGTCGGGGTTGAGCGCTGAGTAGAGGAGGGTGGAGGTCGGGTGCCAGAAGTTTTCGCTGATTAGACGCTCTGCTGCGGTTTCGTTGGCGGTGTTTGAGAGAGCGGCGCTGGGTGTCCAGTTGCTGGGTAGACCCTCGCGGAAGAGGATTTTGCTGACGGATTCACGGTTGTGGCTGTGCGTGAGGGCGTAATCCACAGATGGGATGTCGGCGGGCATGAGGAATGAGTAGGGTCGGTGGACGTCTGAGTGTTCGTATGCAGGAAAGACGGACCGGTCGATGTTATCTGAGACGGATTGAGCGCCTAATGTTCAGGTTAGCTTTAATGTCTGAGCGTGATATGTGTGCATCTTACTCCTGTGGTGCACATCTGGTAGATCGCCCGCTGGTTCTCCTTTGAGGCGACCAATGCGACGGCGCTCGAGGATGGAAGCATGTCTCGTCAGAGATGAAGTCAATTTTTCGTTCATGGAGATCAGGTCCATCGCAGAATCCCAGTGGAAGCGCTTGATATCCCTGAAGATCAAATCTTCCTGGACTTTCCTCATCCTGTCGATAGTATCGACGACATGCTTCAGTTCCTTATCTGCGGAAAAGCCTTGGTGGTGCTGGACATCGAATGGTTGTGTAAGAGCGACGCGTGACAGGAGGTATGGGGACAGAGTGTCCACAAGCATCTCCTTGACCTTAACATGCTTCCATAGTTGGAAGGCGACCCGTCCCAGGCCAAGGCTGAGATGCAAGCGAGCGGCCAGCAACGCCAACGGGCGGTTCTCTTTCTCGGTGTCTCGCTCTACAGCGACCCGTACTAGCATCGTAGCTTGTAGAAGGAAGCGGGAGTTCAAATCTGAAGCATCACTCAAACCTGTATTTTGATGATGCATATTGTTAAGACAATAAGCGATCAACATGATCGGATCGGGATCTTTTGGTAACATCTGGCTGACCTTCGACGCCCTTTCGACCAACGATTCCAACGTTTCAGTCGAAGGTCGAGACGCTGTCAGAGAGACGGTAATCAGATAGGTGAACTTCAGGACACAGATCTCGGCCCGTGTCCACTCCTCAAGCTTGGACTGAGAATCTTCAGTACTTGGTTTGGTGGCAATCATGTCCTCTTCAATATATGTGAGGAAGTCTGCCCTCCCTTGATCGCTCATCTTCTCAACAGCACGGCGAAGGTCGGTGAAGCAGCTGGGTATCCGTGAGAACTGCTTCCAGAAATCTTTGCAGTCTTGTAGGAGGCTTTCACCAAGGTAAATGCGTAGTATCAGGCGTACAAGACACAATGGTCGATCCAGCTTCAGTATGTCAGGAGCAAAGACACGATCCTTCACCAATGCAATCTTGTTCTTTGATCTATACTCGTAAGCTGCTGATCGAAGTATTTGATACTGGAAACTGACTCTTCAGGAGAGTATAACTTCGTGGAAGCGTCAAGCAAGTAGGTCCAAATGTTCGCTCTCGCTGAGCATAGTTGTCGTAGAGGCTCAGAGTCGTCTTTACTCCGTGATGTGATTGCGTTCTCAATCAAATCCAGGATGTGATTCTCGAGTAGTTCATGTTGCTGTGCGCTTGCAAGCATGTCGACCGTGAGTAACGAGATGTCAAGAGCGTGCTTTTCCACGACAGGTTGCAGATGAGCAGGTGGTGCTTTCCATAGTTTCAGAAGCTCAGCGCATTTCCCTTGTCGCGCATAGATCTTGGCCATGAATCGAAGGTCCCGGATGTCCTTGACACTAATAGGGTCGCTCTGATATCGTTAGATGAGTTTGGTGCTGCGGATGTGGACGAGCGTTACCTCGGGTCTTTCATAGGCGTCTTTCATTTGCTTCAAAGCTACACCCAGCTGAATCTCGGCCATCCGGTCGGCAACACCCGTTGCTTGGCTTGCCCGAATCTTCTGTTCGGCGGACATCTGTTGTGCAAAGATTTGTGTGTAGTAGGTTAGCTTGTCGGAAGATGCTCCCTCTGCTCTGTATTTGACGATCGCCTGCATTATCAGTGCCATGATTAAAAACAACCAAAAATCTGTATGTGGCATCAACATACCGTGCGAACATCGTCCCAACATCCGTGTCGCATAGCCGTCGTGAAGAGAGCATTCCATATGTCTTTGCGGTCTTTCTTGGTAGTCTTGAGCCCTGCAGCATTTTGCCATGCTTTGACGCCTTCATTGCCCACAGTACTGATGCGATCGAGCTGAGGATTTGATCTGAGTGTTGCTTCCACGATGAGCCTGTAGGCGTACTGGAGTAATTGTTCGTCCTGTAATGTTGACTTGTGCTGACAGACATCCTGCAATGACTTAGCAACTGCTTCAGGCTGCGATTGCAATTGCAGAGAAACATCGGCTCTCCATGTCTGTTGGATATCAGTTAAGTAGTCACATGACATTTGAAGTGACTTACTGTCAGATATGGGTTGCCAGGATTCTTCTTCAACAACTTGTCGATGTAAGAGAGCGCAAACTTAGGCTTGGGATAGTCGCGCTGAGCTTTCGAAAGCTTATCCCAATTGAAAGCCATAACGGCCGCGACCCAATGAGTATGTTGCGAGGCGATGCTGGATCGCAAAGTGTAAGGACGAGAAAAGGCTAGACAGCCCACCTTTGGCAAACCTCGGCTGCACCTGCCTTGTGGGCGTGATTGGCCCGTGCCCATTCAGAATTTAATGCGAGCAGATTCACTCGTAAGCACCATTCAGTATACACGTGATAGCTGAGCATGCCAAATACGATATTGAGAAATGAAGCGCCCATACAGCATGGCTTGATGTCAATCCTCGCTCAACTTTGAGCGTCCCAACATATCGTCGCAATGCCATAAGTCTGGAAGTACATATATTACAATATCGTGACAGGTCCATCTTACTACTCTTCGCTCGCCAGAGGAGGGAAAAGTACGCCCTCGTGCTTAGAACCTAGCATAACCATGGGCGTGCCGTAATCAAGGTCGGCGCCAGGCTGGCAATAGGCCAGAGTTCGTCTGTCTTCCTGTACACCAAGCTGATCCAGGAGCATCTCTGCTTTATTCGGCATATAAGGCTGGAGCAGGATACCCGTCATGCGCAAAGCTTCAGCGGCAAGATAAATGGTACGGTCAACATCTTCTCCAGGCTCACCAGGAGCAAATTCGAGAATGTTGTCCCACGGTTTCGACATCTGGAAGAAAGCGTTTGCCTGGGCTATGTTAGCTGCTGCTTCATGAGAAATGAGAGTCACTCACTCCTCGCACAAACTCAGTGATCTGATACAGTGCCTTCCGAGGGTCGTAGGCATCGAACGAGCCATTGACCTTGGAGGTGACAGTGGCCAGAGAATTGGTCCAGAACTGCGAACCGGGCCCCTCGTTCCAGTGCTCCGCCGGTGCACTCCCCATGCGTTCGACTGCGCCGCGGACGCTCCACTTCTTACCCCTAGTGACGCGAGACGCAAGGTTTCCCAGCTGCTGGTTCAAGAACTTGTTGTACAATCGAATGATGTGAACATTGTCGTAGCTCGAGTCGTCCTGTATACCGCCATCATGAGCCATGTAAAAACGCATAACATCTGGTCCGTATCGATCCAAGGCGTGAAAAGGATCCACTACCCTACCAGTCGACTTTGACATCTTTGCACCTCCAAGGGTCCAATGGGCGTGGGTTAAGATCTTCTTAGGAAGTGGAAGGCCGAGTGCCATAAGGAACGCCGGCCAGTAGATGCAATGGAAGCGAACGATGTCTTTACCAATGACATGGCAATCGGCTGGCCAACCGCCTTCCTGTTCCTTGCCCGGTATGAAAGGATAGCCCGCTTTGGTCGCGTAATTCATGAGGGCATCAAGCCAGACGTAGATGGTTTGCGACTCGTCATCTGGCACCCGAATACCCCACTGAAGTCGATCGTAAGGGCGAGAGATTGACAGGTCTTCAAGACCGGACTCCACAGATTGCACAACCTCCTTCATGCGATGCTCTGGAGCTATCCAATATGGGTTGGCTTTGTAGAAATCGAGGAGCGGTTCGCGGAAGGCAGAGAGGCGGAAGTGGTAGTTCTCTTCTGAAGACCATTCGACTTCGCTACCTGTCTCAATGGACGTCAATAGGTTTGTCAGCCTACCGTTCAAATCGACGTCGAGCCAAGCCTTACCATGATCTTCCTTCCTGTAGATGGTTCAATCCATGGCTGTACCCCTGACTGCGGGTAGAAGCACTCGTCGGTAATCGAGTACCAGCCTTCGTGTTTCTGCTCGTAAATGAGACCCTTCTCTTGTAGCAGGAACTGTCCACTATCAGCCGCCGTTGTATGCAACCAAACTGCATTCATGTCCTCATACCCAAGCATATTGTACAGCATCCTTGTGGTCTTGGTCCGTTGTTCGTACGAAGTGATCATTGGAAATGTCGGCCTTACGCGCAAGGTCCTAGGTCGTGTGAGCCTCAAGCTGGATTATGGGCTTGGAATCGCATTGCGTACTCGGAAGATATCTGCACCTTTATCGCAGAATGCTTTGGGGTCGACGCCAGCTTTGGCAGCTGCTCTTTGGACCTTCACACAGTCAGCACGTTCAAGACCAGCCCGCAAGGGTACCCACCTTCAGGCCATGCTCGTCTGTTCCTGTGCACATGATCGCCTTCTCCCCTCTGAGCACACCCCATCGTTTGATAATGTCCGTGAGGACCATGGTATATAGGTGGCCAACATGAGGGGCGGCGTTGACGTAGAAGATGGGTGTAGTAACGTAGTACGGCTTCTCAGGTGTTGGTTTGGTCGAGATGAACCGTCTCGGACTGCTATAAACCGAACATGACCTGCAGATCCAGGGCGAGCTTCTGGAGAGGCTCAAGTATACGCTACGCAATGCTGGAACCGTCGAGTTGGCAAGTCGTGTACGCATCCTGTCTCAATGGCATCACGACGCGCACATCTTTCGCGACTTGCAGCTCCAAAGCTCCAAAGCTCCGAGGTACACTAGCCATTTTCGATATAGTGTGGATGACTAAACCTCAACCTCTAGCGCCGCACTGACATCGCTCTGCGATGCTTAACAACAATTATGATCGCAGCACCTTGCACTCTCAAGCGGCTGCGACAATGGGCTTCTGTCTTTCACCTTCAAGCATACTTCTCGATTGGATGCCATTGCGTTTCTATACTCGTCTCTATTGACACTCAGTGCGCCTTATTGACGTTATTGACATGCTACAACAGAGACATGAATTTGCTTCTTTGTTTCTACATAACGAACTTCGGCTATAAAACTCCATTCCACCATCCGCAATATACTCACCATCGACTCATCGACAACACACCAGTCAATCATCTGGTCACAGTCGATCGATCGCCCACTTATTCATTCACTTAGGAATACTCTTCGGAAACGATCAAGATGAGGTTCAGCGCTGTCATCGCCGCCACCATCCTGGCTGCCACCGTCTCTGGTGCTGCCATCGCCAACCCTGCCCCTGAGGCCACCGAAGTCGCTGAGGCTACTCTCGAGGCCACCATCGAGGCTCCCACTGAGGTTCCCACTGAGGTTCCCACTGAGGTTCCCGCCGACTTCCCTAAGGGCGACCTGGTCTACGTTGAGGATGGCGAGGACGCACTTTCCAAGCGCGATGTTGAGGCTAGCAAATGGGTCTGGTCTCCCAAGTACCGCCCCCTTGGCATGCCTGTTGGCAAGCGCAAGGCTGAAGCTGAGGCTGGCAACTGGGTTTGGTCGCCCAAGCACCGCCCCATTGGCATGCCTGTAGGCAAGCGTAACGCCGAAGCTGAGGTCAACCCCCAGTGGGTCTGGTCTCCCAAGTACCGCCCTATCGGTATGCCCGTAGGCAGACGCGAAGAGTAACTCGTCACCAACGAATTCGAATTTTGACAACGAACGCATTGCAACTTTTCACTTCTCCATATTCGACGGACTCGGCAGCGATACGAAAGGATATGAGCATCTTGTACATAAAAGCCTTTAAACATACTAGGACCAGCATGAGACAGGCATGTTTCCTCTGGAGCCTCTACAGGGCAGGACGGTTTCTTGGCATTTGATGGCATATGTAAGAGGGATGTTGTGACGATGATGGGATGGCTGGCCTTTTACTCAATATCAATATGTTGTTATGCATAAACATGTGTCTCGCTACAGCCTTAGTGATATGTGAGTGATGACTGATTTTGCCCATGAGTACGCTGAAGTGACATATAACGAGATTCTACGGATGTGAGATCCAAGATGCTACATCTCGTGCTTCTGGCTTGTGTTCAACGTGAGTCCAAAGTGCAACAAGACTAAAGATAGTGATCCGGAGAACAGATTGACTAGCAATTAGAGTGATAGGAAGCATGGCGAATGTCAAAGTGCAAGCCCATGTTCGGAAGGTGTTGAAGTGAAGTAAATAGGTGCTCCCTACCAAGCTCGAAAGTGATCATGCTGCAAACGTACCGAAGAGTGGCTCTGCACCCGAGTAGAGCTGGCACGATTGTTGAGATCATCACACAACTTGGGCCCAAAGAACAGCACTCGAAACAAAGGCTGGAGGTTCCTTAGTTCTGTTTTTTTTTTTTGGAAAGTCACACGAGGGGCTTTTGTGTTATGGTACTTTCTCGCGCTCAATCTCTGGGTATCATTCTAAGACTTCTTCTCCACCGTCAGTTGCCCTTCTGCGCCGTCCTGCAGGGCGATGAGTCCGCTCGACTCGATCTGCTTCTTCCACTTGTTCGACTCGTATCGCGCGGTGACAACGGTCAATCGGAGCTCGGGCTCACTGTTCCCTGTTGTGGATGATACCTCAGGAACATGTGTGAATGTCCACCGCCCGAAAGCCCAGTTCAGGATGTATCGTCCTCGCCCTTCCGAAGCTGTTAACGTGCTGATGTCCTTATCTGAAGATTGCGGAGGCGTTGATGCGTATAGCACTCCTTTGATGCGGTAGACTTCGTCTTTCGTGGGGTCTTTGAGCAGTTTTGCGAGTTTGTCTGTGTCAACATTGCCGTTTCCGTCTTTGCTTGCCAATGTGATGCTCAAAACTTCCACCTCACTCGAGTGGTCGTGATTGTGCTCGTGGCTGTGGCCGCTCTCAGTGGTCTGCTCTACAGCTCTTGCCAGCTTTGCATCCAGACCGAACACGATATCCTTGTCCACCCAACCTTTGCTGCTCTTTTGCCTAGGGATCGGAGGATCGACATCCAGATCCAATATTCTGTCTTCGACATTTTCTAATCGCCTCTCATCCACAAGCTCCCATTTGTTGAGTACGATCAGGTCTGTGTACCTTGCCTGGATCTTCGCTGTATAACTTGTGTCCTCATACCCCTTCCAATTCTCGACATCGATGACACTCATTACTCCGTCAAGTACGTATTTGCTCGTTTCTCGCGATAATCGGTTGACTTCCATTGCTAGTGTGGCAGGGAAGGCTGATCCGGAGGTCTCGATAACGATACGGTCGGGTTGGACATCATTGGAAAGCTGCTCAAGAGCATCGGACAGTTGGCCTACGAGGTTGCAGCAAATGCAGCCATTCAGAAGCTCCTGCACACCAGAAATTGCTTGGAAGGAAGCAAGTTGCGAGTCGACAGCAACATCGCCATATTCGTTCTTGAGGAGGGCGAGCTTATAGTCCTTGGGTAGTTGTTGTATCAAGTTCAAGATCAAAGCTGCAATACATCAGCCTCGACATTGAAAATTGAGAGTGTACCAACTTTGTTGAGGATCCTGAGTAACTTACTGGTCTTTCCTGACCCCAAGAAGCCAGTGACGATAGTGACGGGTATCATGACGCCAACTTCCAAGTTTGCAAGCAACAGCCGTTCGGTGGGATTTGTATCACTCCTTTTGCAAATCAGTCGGAGGTACCGAAGTGGGATGTTTGGCACGCGTCAAGTCGCGACTGCTTTTTCCAATCTAATGCGGGGTCGCCGAGCGTGGCATTGGCAGGGGTCTGCCCACCTATGACGTAGCGCTTTCCTCGGTGTTGCTAGCACGTCAGGTACGCATTATCCTGCAGCGCATCATTCGCACTACTGCTACCAAGACCGCTTAGATCCTGTTTGCTCCCCTACGCAGCCTACCAAGCTTGAGCTTTGCAACAGCTTGTTCCCATATAAAGTCTGCCTTTACCTACCTGAACCTGCATACACTCTTCAACCACTACACTTCAATTAACCAACCAACCAACAACAAACCAACAACAATGGATTACGTCAAAAAGTTCACCGGCGGCAACAACAACCAGAGCCAGGGTCAGACCTCGAACGAGCAGATTCAGTCATCTGGCTCTGCTGGAGGACAGCAGCAGCAGAGCAGCGGCGGCTTCCTCAGCGGCATTGGCGACAAGCTCAACTCAGCTGCCGGGGGTGGTCGCGAGAGCGAGAAGAACGAGGACTACCTTGACAAGGGTAAGCTCACATGATCGCGTGCTACAACTGCTCAGGTACTTACACATTGCAGGCGTCGACCTCGTGCAGGAGAAGTTCCTTGGACAAGGTCCTCAAGACAACGAGGTATGTCGTCACCTTACCCAACGAACGTTGTGCATATGCTAATGCAGTTACAGTCCGCTGTGGAGCAAGCCAAGGACGAGCAGATCTCCGACTTCATTCGAGGCCAGTACAAGAGCGCCACTGGCTCAGATATCCCTATCAAGGATAAGGAGACCAGGCTCGGTTAGTGATTGGGTTTTCAAGCTCGACACCTCTACAACATGAAGCAGCCTTCATGGTCATGAAGTTATGATTATGATCGTCACCAACTGACAAATAATCATTCTCAACCTTTCCATTGTGCCAATTGTGATTCCCGCAGTAAGTGCGTGTTGTATGCCACCATTCCTGCGTCGCGTTGGGTATCGTAAGCTCTCCATGTTCCTCTTGACGTGCTCTTTGTTTGCAGTTACTCCATACATTTTATTTCTCTTTCTCCAATGTCTCAATACAATGCTTCAGCAACATCATCATCCTGTTCTGTATGCTTCGACCAGCAGGCGTGTCTGCGTGCTTCCCAGCACCCCAGCCAAACGGTAGCACAAGTCGTCGACGGCCATTCTTGTCGACGACCGCGAGCGCATCTAAGGGAAACTTCCCTCCACCGAGAGGGTGCAATAACCCTAGTCGGACAAAGTGGTTGTTCGGTGGGTCAACAGCTGAGATCAAAGGCAGCGAGAAAGGCGCAGTGGTAGAAGGCTTGTGCGTGGAAGGATCGTGGCAGAGGACGAGGGCTTGTAGCGAGGGCGCGATGGCGTAGAGGTCATCTAAAGCAGAGCTGTAGCTAGTTAAAATTCGATCTGGTATTACATCGAGTTACATCGAAGCAGACTTTAGGAGCTTTATAACACGTACCATAGCAGGTTATAGTGCAGTTGCAGGTTTCCCTGTACACAGAGTACTATAACAGACTCTCCCTTCTTGTATCTGTGCCAGTTATTGTGAGGCTTGAGTCCACTGCCTGGTGGTGCAGCAAGCGTTGTATTGGCTAGAATGGCGCCCACGTCAATAATCCATGCATCTTTTGGCTCGATGATATCCAGCTCGTCGAGTTCGCATTGGGTTTTTGATCTCTTGAGAGTGTCGCTGAGTGAAGAGAGTGCCGGTGAAGGCTGCTGTGCTTCGTCGTCGTCCGAGTCTGTTGCAAGGCGCGATCGTTTGCGACTGAGTCGTGCACTCATGGCGCGCGGTTGAGGGAAGAGGAGGAGATCGACCATTTACGTGCGTACATTGCCGTGAATTGAATTGAGGGTGAAACAGGAAGGAACAATAGTCCTGCAGGATGTCACATGGCGAAGGTGCTGATTGTTGCAGAGACGCGTGAGGAACGAAAGACGCGCAAGCTGACGAGGTAGCTTTTGCTTTGTTATGGTTGGCTGCAGCCGAGATCCCTTACACTCTGCTCCCCGCGCTATTCGTAACGCCGCCTACCCCACAATCAACTTAGTCTATCCAAGTCCGCCTTACATCTTCGTTGATGACTTCGAGAGACGTCACGAGCAGACTGCGGGAAAGCGTTTGGAATGGTAGTATACCTCTAGAAGTGCGGTTGCACAATGGAGATTGCAGAACCTACGATGAGTCTGATCCATACATGGTGAGAGCATCGTCTCTGAGTTGAAATCAACCTAATAATGATTTGCAGATCCAATTCCCAAGACTTTCATATCTCGGTTTACTCATCCACAGACTACACGCCTTCTTTTCACCAAATCTGATCTATCCTGATATTTCTCCAGCAGATCTGTGGCTATCGTACGAAGGTGTACCATTAAAGTGGCATTACCCTCTCGGTTTGCTGTACGATCTCTACTCTGGAGCAGAGCCAGCGTATCCATCAGACCCATCATCGCCAACTCACAAACCCGAAAAGCCAGAAGACGAGCACCGCCACCTACCGTGGAAGCTTACAGTCCACTTTTCCGATTATCCTACAGAGCAGCTCGTCCGGCTTGACATCGAAGACAAAGTCATGCACGACCTCTTCAGAAACAGTGTCAAGGAAGCCGACTACTTACGCACCGGAACTGGAAAGACTGTCATGTTTCTAAGTGAAAAGGACAGCACACAGCTCTGGATTGCAGTCAAGCAACATGACTTCTCGCTCTATAACCCTATTAATCAGAAGCTGCTGAACCCTCAAGGTGCCGCATTACGACACCTGCCAGTGCGGATCTACCTTCCACATGCTGCGAATAGCAGCGAGCAGAAGGGAACCAGTCCCGGCAGCTTAAGGGTTGTACAGAGTCTAGTGACGCCAAATCTCTCGCCTCGTAAGTGCGCGGTGCGGTGAGTAGGCAGCAGACGGTCAAGCTGACAACACATCAGGACAACCACAAACTATTGGCACAGCATTGAATCAAATCCTTCCAACACTGTTCCCCAGCAGACGCAGTCCCCTCCTAGCACAGGCAGTTCTGCATGGTGCAGTCCTGCCTCTGAGTGCTAATGTCGAGGACCTAGTGCGCGCAACTGCGTACCTGGATGGCTGGCTTCACATTGCTGTGGTGATGATGGCGTAGGGTTGATGCTTGTAAGCTACATAGGGCTAATAATGCGAACCCCGTGATCTCACAGTAGTGTCATCTATTGCGAAAGGGTTTTCGGGCCTCTCTCTACGCTGCACGGACAAAGAGAGTCGACGCATGCCTCGGGAAGGGAATGCGACTCTACTGAAGATCTCCATACATACATGTGAACCCCCTTGCCAACAATGATGTCGAGCGTTAGGACATGGGAATGTCGATGAGCGGTCACGCCGAAAGCATTCCGCACTTATTTATGGTGGCTGAGCACGAGCCTAGCTCCTTGATTGGCGAATACAATGAACCAGTGTCCTAATTGAGCATCGCGCCGTCCCCGAGACCGCAACTTCCTCACCTGCATCATTCCACCCTCCTGCTCACCATCGTGCCGCGACGACACAGGCCGTCTTAATCGCTCACTGGGGATTATCAGCCATCTCCGCTCTTACATCACCGTGTAAATTCGCGCTCCGGCTAAGTATAGGGAGTTTCGCACTTGATACCCATTCGGCGCATTGTCTGCGCTCACATGGGCTACCATCACGTAGGGCATCAATCTAACGAGCCGCCCATTGTGCAGGAAACAAGCAGCAAGCTTCACGTGGTGGTGAGAGGCTGGAGCAATTGTGTTTATACAGCAAGTGTCATACGCTCTATTATTCGTTATGCCGAGCTCCTTTCAGCTCAATGTGTAAGATTAGGGCAAAGACTCGCATCAAGACAATCTGATCCGGAGGCTGAAGCATTGTCTCCCGCTGCTCTAGGCTAGATCAAACGGTTGCCCATGGCTTGCACTAGGTTTGAGGGACGATTGGCAACCAATTCAGCCCTGCGATAAGGCTGCGACCGGCCTTACCGACGACCATACCAGTCCCATGGTAGCGACCCATGCAGGTACTTCCACGGGTGCCTTCAATCTCACTCACCGGGAGCTGCATGGCGTTACCTCGATCACTGACACACCAATCAGTTGTTGAACCTAAAGATGTTTCGCGTTTCACAGTGGCTGAACGGTCCGCCGTGCAGGGCTGCGGAGGTAACGACTGAACCGTCACCCTTGCCGGTCAGCACCAACTATCTCAAAGACGTCATAGGTGCGGCCCATACTCCACATCACGGGAGGGCCGACTACACAAGGCTCCATGCATTCTGCATTCGTCAGAGTCAGTCAGTGGGGATGTCATGGCAAGAGGCTGAAGGCCATGTGTCGGAGCCCAAGTAGGGTGTTCCGCCATGATCCTTTCGCGACCTAGTCCCTCCGATGTAAGATCGACATGACTACCAATTGCCTGGCCCCGCTGCGGTGTACCCGTACATCGTTAAGGCTTAACCCAGGACATCAACCCTAATTTCGTTCAACGTCCGACACCAGTCTTTCGTTCTTCTTCGATGGACGGACTTCAAACTATGTTTCAGAGTATACATAACCTTCTGTTATTTGGTCTTGACCTCTTACCTTTCTTAGGACATGCGTGCGTGCCTATTTTCAACTACTTCACAGCTCCGAGCATCACCTTCATATTCGCACAGCCATTCCGCAGGCTACAACGACCCACAGCTAGAGGGAAACACTCTTATATCAATACTCTTCTTGCCAGAATTGGCCGGACGCCAGATCGCCACCAAGCTATGAGACACACTTCGATGTTGCACTTTCGTTTCCATAGTCGTCTAGCCGAACCACGAACTTCGAGCAGAGTAGAGCAGAGAAACAACGCCTATTTGTCTATCTTCTGAACAATACTTTCTTGTGTTGGCTTAGCATTTGCATCGCTTAGACAGTATGATGTACGGACAACCCGGTGAAGGACAGCAATCCCGGTCTTCAGCAGGCGGGCATTGGGCCTCCAATACATCTTCGTCAGAAACGCGGTCCCCAGAATGGTCAGAGGTAACGGATCCTGTGGAGCGACGGAAGATCCAGAATAAGCTGGCCCAACAAAGATTCAGTGAGTGTTCTCTTCCAGATGTAGGACAACAGGTCACTGATACGGTACAGGAGCCAAAGCGAGAGAACAGAGAGAGGACGCAGAACGCGAGGCAGAGAATCGTCGACAGGCAGCAAGTTCCTACACGCCTCCAGAAGCAGCCCAACTTGAAGACCATCACACACTCTCGGGTCTTCCCTGGGGAGGGTTATCCTTCAAGCATGTCGTAGTAGTAGGGCAGGATAAGGAGCGAAGCTCCCAACAAAGCTCACAAGAGAACTCTGTCTACGCTATGCGAGCGGGAGGGAGTAGCAGGTGAGAAACCCAGCGTGAGTCTGTGCTTTCCTTCGGTGTGCGTACGACTAACATGACCTCAGATTGGGACTTCGCCTTACCGATCGTTTCGCCCGGGGCCACGCAGCGTGGGGACCTTATGGGACATTCCCACAGCGCTTCTCCGAACGATACGAACCATGAGTCGAGCTGTGCTCGGTTACAGTCGCGAGGTGTCTTCATACTACAACGCCGCGCACCATGAATACTACGCACATCCGTCTGTTGCAGCCGAGGGGCTTGGTTGTCTGACTGCTCTGAGAGCATAGCCGCAGAGTTGTAGCAGTCCGCTAGGATGGAAAGGGTTTGACACCCGTTTGTTTCTGTGCCTTCTTGCTTTTCAGCGGCTATATCCTTTTTCTTAGTGGTCAATGTCAATTATTCGATGATCAACATGGGTAATTCTGCCTGTCTACCTCCAAAGCACCGGTTCGGTATTCCCAAGTGCCCGGCTCTCTTCCTTCGCTGCAGGATATGTGGAAAGGAGGCACACTCTGCCGCGCTGTGTTGTTGCATGCCGTCAAGGCAAGAGCGCGGTGCAATGCTCCGATTTAGACGCACAAACAAACTATGCAATGCACTATTTGTCAAACAAGCGACCTGAAACTTGACCTCTTGCTTTATTTTCGTGTCCGAGTTCCGTGCCGCTTCAGCCCTGATTTGGGGCTGAAGCGGAGTGTGGTTGCTTATGCTGGTCGCTAAAAGTTGGCCCAAGGCATTTTCAACGATGATGGCGGTGTCTCTGGATGACAGAACACAACAATTCCCGAATCTATCAGAAGCTCGTACCGGAGGCTTTCGATCCTTTCAGCTAATCAGCCTCGCAATTTTTGGAGAAAACGTGTTACAGCGTGGAACAACTGGCAGGTGCAGGGACAGCCCCAGAAGGTTGAGCGGACCAAACTCTTCACGGCCCTCCACATCACCTGCGTTCCAACATCAATCTTCACCATCGCGACTCAACAGCCGCAATCGTATCTGACTCCGAGCCCCGTTTGCGTGAATTGACGGCGCCTACGCGCCTCTATTCCGAGATGCGCGGCATCGATCACGAGCTTTGATGCGGCTGCAGTGACGTGAAATGCTTCCTGCATTGCAGCGCGCACGAACCCTCCCCCGCAATGGCTGGACAGAGCATATTAGCGGCATATCTATGACCAGGGCACGGCGGCAAAGGACTAAAATTGCCCGTATACGGAAAGCTATAGAGTGCAATTGGCCCCTAATAGCGCCGTATGTGGCCAAAATGGCTTGGAGGTGATGTGCGGTCTTCGTTGATTGGTGCGCAAATGGCAGCAAATTATCAGAAATCACACTCTTCACAACATGTGTGCTAGGAACACGATGTTGCTGACGGCAAGTTTGATGCAGCTCAGGAATAAGAAGATATACGGCACTGCAGCTATTGGCCTTTCAAGGCTCGCTGTCTGTTTGCAGTTGGTCATGTAGTCTTGCGGCGTCCCGAATTATCATTGTCTCTTACAATTCTGCTCTGAACAGCCACAACCGGTCCACACGCCTCAACGCTCCACGGCACAGAAGGCCAACTTCTTAAGCGCCCACGACAAAATGAACAACAACCACACATTACTCGGAGAATTTGTTAGCTTCGAGGCGCAGGACACGCGAGGTTGATCGATATATATCTTCTCGATGTACTTTGAGCAAGATGTAGCACCACAGCTTGTTCAGTCTTCATGTCAGTGGAGCAATTCTCACAGCTTTCTCTCGAGGAGGCCATGGTGACTACTCGAGCTGGGGCCGCCAAGGCATCAAGGAAGGGAACTCCACCTCAGCATCTTGATCAAGACTCACCTCTGCCTTCCGTCGAACCAGTCTCGCCAGTATCACCTACCCCTTCTCTGGTCATATCCACGAACAATCTGAGCTACAATGTCTCCTCATTCGATACCAATCAACGTCGAAGGGTCAAGCGAGGACTACAAGACAGTGGAATCCGAATGAAGTATTGTACAACTAACGTCGACGACGAAGACCCAAGCATCCAGACACAGTACTTCTACATCAACGACGATGTCGAAGTCGCGATGGGTGGAAAGCTTCGCAGGCCTCGATGTTCATGTGGAGCTAATGAGAACGGTGTTGCTTGCAAGGTACATTCATCCGTTCCTTACACCCTCTAATACATAACTAACGGTCACCTAGCACATCTATTGGGTTGGTGATCATGTTATCTCCACCGTCCCAGACGTCGTCAAAGACCAGCCCTTACAACTCTCTACAGATGGATCAACTTTCCAGCACGTAAAGCCAGCAGATGTGCTACGTAGAAAAGGCCTAGAAGATGTCGCTGACGATCTGGACTGGGTCTATGAGGACGAGGATGTACCCGAAGACGAAGACGACATCAAAGAAACAGTTATCAGTATGCTCTCGGTCTTTGAACCCCAGGAAGCATTGCCAGAGGAATTCAAGTGTCCGGAGTCGCCTCTTACATCTGAACGCTCGAAGAAGTATCAAGAGCTTGCTGCTTTGTTCACTCAGTACGCAACTAGGGATCCTGGACTTTTCCTGCAAATGCGCGACATCATCGATCCCAACTTCCAGAGTCGTGTGTTTTTCGAGAAGATCGAGAATCGTATTACTCAGACGTTCAGTGCCTTGGACGAGTACATCACGCATGGTCCTACATATGCTTCTGTATATGCACTGCGATTTGACCTGCCAACCACTGCGAAAAAGCTCAGAGGTCTGGTAAAGGCTATCAACGACTTCATTGAGCAACAAGTTGAGGATGATCCTGACTTCAAGAACATCGCAATCCGGGCAGCTGCAGCATTAGTTCGGATTCTCGACCTTGTCACGGATCGCAATGTCGATGCTTACGAGAGCATCACATGGGGTATGCGACCTGGTAGCCCGAGTGAGAACAACCTGTACTACGCCCTCATAGGCAAGCCAACAACCGGCACCTCATTTTTTGTGCTCAACGCACTCCATTCGCTGCCCCACGAAGATGTCATCCGCAATCACTGGGCGACCTTACAGGGCATCGAAACAAAGCTCGTTCAGCATGACGCACCTATCGATTACCTGAACGCGTTCCGTCAGGTCGTGCACGACAATCGCAAGAGGGCTGCTTCAGAGCTCCGCGGTGGCCAGCTCAAGAGACCCGCTTCCTGAAAGACGATGCGCAAGATAGTTCTTTCCGTTTTTCCTTCTTTCACTTCACAACATCAGTTTTCCATGACTGATACACGTAGGGTATTGCTTACATTTTGTCTTACAGCGTTTGGCGTTGTTAGTGTTCTTGTATTTCTTCCACTCCTTCTCATTTTCCAAGGCTTCGCTCCTTCTCAATCTCATTCTTCTAGCATCTTCTTCGACAGCCTTTGTCGCTCTATACTTTCCCTCGATACCTAGATTTTGACTATTCCGTTTCACTTCTAGACTCTCTTTGATACCCTTTATTCTCTTCGTACTCTCTTTCATCGTGCATTTGCATACTATTGAGTTCCTTTTATACTTTTGCCTCACCGCTTCTTCGAGACGACAGCTCTACTTCTCCGAACTCCAATTTTTGACGAAGTTTCCAATGCAGTTTCTTCTTCTTCCTTCACTTCTGACATTCATTGTACATACATTACACAAACCACCTTTTATTTTCCTGCTCATACGACTAGCGTCTCATGCTCACGTGAAGTCCAGCAGTCTGGGCTCTGATAAGCCTTACAACATGCCGCATGCGGCGATGACCCACTCAAATTGCAAGATCCGCGTAACAACTCAACATGCAGTGCACGCGAGTCGTAAGACGTTCAGCGGATACCTCGCCCCCGCATATGTACAATAAGCGCTGCCAATATTCAGATTGTAAAGTTCCAGGGCTCTGGGATGTGGCCGACAGCTGCGCAGCCGTGCAGTAAGATCATTGAGGTACGGCCGAGTACGACAGTGGAGCCGGGTGCAACTTTCAGACCGCAGGTACTTCGTGTCCTTTTCATTCTCAATCGACGGGCAAGATAAGCACATTAGAGTGCAAATAAATGTCGGAGTGAATGTCGGTGCTGCCGATCATCCACAACAAAGATTGTACTGAAGGCCCGGAGAGCCAATTAGGGCAGCAACTGTCACACGTCGTACAGCAACTCGGTCATTCGTCTGCGCAAATGGCCGGCTGGAGTTGCCGCTAAACAGACGATGCAGAGTGCCTTCGCCCCCCGAGAGTGTAGATCAACGACGTTCGGAACCCTTCATATCATCACTTCGTCCAAATGCTCTCATTCCAGCGGTGAAGCCAGCAGTCTGCCAGCCGAAACGCGCATCCAGACCTGCATCCAATGCATCCAACTCCATAGAGCTTGCTGGAACGGGTCGCTTATCTCGCTCTTGGTTTACATCTTGCACTTGCTGTTAGTCAGCCCCGCAATGTCGTTACTTGGATGAAACAGTGCCGCGGGTTCCACAGCAAGGACATGTCACATAGCTGTAATCGTGGCAACTGGACTTCCGCAGGAGGATGCATGCAGAACACTCGTATCATGTCAAGCTGGCAACAGCACAGGCATCTCCTGAGGACGAGGTGATGGATAAGATATTCATAATCAAGATGCTTTATGCAGTCGGACATCCTGGTCAATTCGCATGTGGGTGGATACGCGAGGCACCAAATATGCATCCAAGTCGTTAGCACCAAGGCTTGAGCAGAGATGGAGGGCTCCACGCTGATCATGGTGCATGAGGTTGGCACAGCTCGACCAACCTTCCTGCGAGGAGCACGGCTGGTCTTGAGCTGGCCGTCACCTGGTTGGCCCACGACAACGATGCTATCCACATCAAGCGCTTTGTTCCTAGGTCGGATTGCGGGGAAAATGCGCTATACCTGTAACGTGACTAGCACCTAAATCCCCCCGTCGCGCCTTCTCTACTCACCACTGCGGCTGCTATATTACAGCTCCGTCCATCACTCGTCCTTGCCTCTGTCTCCATGCACCTCCTTGTTCTCCACTATCAGTCACCTGTCACACCACGCTGTTGCTATCGTACCTCTCTCTAAAACTGAGCTCGCTTGTCACGCCACCCCACCCCACTGACGTACTGCACTTGCTGTCCGTGCGAGGACCCTGTGTCGGAGCGCCAATACATCAACCATCTTCTCGCCCTCCCCTGCTTCTCCTGACGCACACTGCAACCAACCACCTTGCTACGCACACACGACGAATCTTGAGGCCATTGCCTGCTACATTGAAAAAAGTTAACAACACGACCAATCCGAAACTCCCGCCGACACCATGTCTTCTGGCAGCAACTCACCACCACATGCTTCTCCGGGCCCTACGGACCGCCGACGTGCCTCGATCACTGGACAGACATTCCAGGATCTATTCGGCCGATCAGGCAGCTACTCGGGACAGCAGGGCAGCCGACCAGGAATGTCGGGCCCTATCACCACAGCTGCTGTGAATGCTCAGCAGCGACGCCTTTCGCTCACAACTATTGGTCTGTCGGCATCACCGGGTCAGACATCACCTTTCCTCACCAACCCCCGCACACGAACCGAGAGCCTGTCTAGCGTGAATTCTGGCTCAGTAGATGAAAGTCCCTTCGAGGAAGACTACGCCCCTACAGCATCTGCTCCTGGCAGCAACCCAGCTACCCCCTTCGCACGACGGCTCAGCTTCGGTGCACGAGCACTGCGGGATGTTAGGCAGGGTAGTGGTAGTGTTGGAAACCCAAATGGTAGACCTTCCACCCATAAAGCCTCTCCCCCGACTGGTGGTCGAGGACGAGGTCTGTCTTCATTGTCGAATTCTCTGCCCACTTCAGCACCCTTCCTACACTCTTCATCGCCTCCTAGTCACTCCTCGAGGCGTTCTATATCTATATCCTCTGTTTGGCCGCATACTATCGCAGAGAATGTCGAAGACTATCCCGAGTATGAAAACTCGCTGACATGGTCATCCACAGGCGAAGGCTACAACTTCGCGGAGAACCTCCGCTCCCGGGCCGAGCGTGGCTCTATCTCGGGCCCACCTCCGATGCTGAGCGTCCCATCCCACCAACGTGCGAAGAGCGTTGCCGTCATGGAGCCTCCCATCCGCGAGATGCCGAAGCAGCCCAAGCAGCCTGACGCTATGCAGGAGCGAATCCTGAAGGGTGACTTCTACATGGATTAGGCTGCCTAGAGTTGCCAATAACATCATCTGCGGTATATTGAAAATCAGCCGCGCCTACCACGCAGATTGCAATGGCTGAAATCCGCAGAACCATATACAAAGCAAGTCTGTCTACAAGACTATCACGAAGATGTACGACCCGCATTCACTAGCGTTTCCGATCGGATTGCATATTTATGCCACGTCATGTTTTGGAACAAGCCATTGCTCGAGGTTTCGAGGATGGGGAGACGCGACGGCTACTGAGCGGATGCTCATTTATCTTCTCAGCACACTTTTCGCTAAACTTGGATTTCGATGCCTGAGCTCAATCGGCGTTTGTCAAAGTTATGATACGTGTCGCTATAGTACCTTTCGCTCATGGGAGGCAAGGTCAGATTTCCTTGTCAGATTTACCGGCGTTAGCTTTCTTACTCACTGTATGTTTTGGTTTGGAATACTGTCCAGGTCTTGTATCCTTTACTCTCAACAGTGTTGTCAGGAGGTGTCCACAAGCCCTCGCCGGGAGCTCGATGGAGTATGAGGGAGGTATCAAATTGCTGGAAGCCATGGGAGGCTCTTGTCAAGGCTGGCGTTTCATGGGACTGTGAACAATGAGGATGACCTTTGTTCCCTCCTACAAATCTGTATCTCGACGCACAGGGTTGCACCTGTAAAGAAGGGTGATAGCATGTGGGTTCTTCGATAATACACTCAAAGCGTGTAAAGAAAACTATTAATACAACTGTACGCAACAAAACTACACAATCGCTGCACTTGTTCGTCTCAATACCCTGGCTGTGGTGTGACACGACGAATTGTGATGTGCATCCACGCATGTACATCCTTTCGTTATCTACATTCACCCGCGCTGCGGTCTCATATCCAGCGTTTCAGTACCGCAGACCAATCTACTTCGAGCTAATGGACGAATGTAGATAACATGCTATATCAGCAGTTGGCATTGTATAAGAATACGGTCGTGGATCCTGCAAGCAGAGCAGATCAGCACAACTCTTACACCCACCAGTTGAACTGACGTAGGACTACTATGCTATGATTGACGCCAGATCTCGCATGTTCAAGATCTAACATAACCCATCATCTACAGCTGCACTCACGTTATTCCATTATTTGCCATCTTATCGGCATGCCTCAGCATCCTACTCCACCAACCGCTGAGTCGACCCGGCACAGCTCCATCTCTCCTGGCTTCTTGAACGCGTACACAAACCCTCTGTCTTGGAAGAACCCACCGATGCTTGGATCCTCATCACTTCCCATAACCTTGTTTCCCACCCTCTTAACCTCCGCACCGATGGTCTCAACAAACGCTGCGCTATACGTCCGGTAAATCTGCTCCCTCAAAACCACAACTTCCAATTTCTGCAGACCAGGCTTCAAGCAGCTCGCAACCTCCAATGGTGACAGGTCGATCCGTGCATTTGGCTCTTCTCGCACGAGCTCGAGGACTAGGCGGACGTCTCGCGCGTTGTTCGTGGAAGAGACTTGAGACATCACGCGAGCTAGACACTCGACGTTCTCTTTCGACGGCCGAAGGGTTGCTTCCTGAATGACGTGCGGCCACCGCGGCCTCGGGCCTTCGAGCGGATGTGTGAGCGTTACCGTCAATCGCCTCGCCAGGACTGGTGACAAGACCTTGCCAGCACGTTGCTCGTCGTATTCGCTGCGTAGTCGGACGGTCCAGGTTCCGTGCCGAATCATTTGTTCGGTTGCTTCTGAGAGGATTTGCTTGGAGGTGAGGAGCCATAGCGGGAGAGCGGCTTCAGGGGTAAGGAGGGATTTATAGCAGGTGATGATGCGGCCCATGGAGGGGTGGTCTAGGAGGGAGATTTTGGGTGTGGATACCCATAGAGCGTCATAGATTTGGTCGCGGAGTTCGCGGGGGAGGTCGAGGAAGGATATCGGCATTGTTGAGTTGGGGATTTGGGTCGTAAGGGGAGATTACTTGTTGTTGATGTTAATGAAGGTACTGCTTTGGGCCGGTCGTTGATGCTGTGCTTCAATATGTAAAGGTACCAACACTCAATGCTCACAACAGACAAATCCTAAGGTACAAGCCCTGCGACTCTGCCGTCGATATATGTACGACCCGTCTTGTCACCCGACATTTCATCCGGCCGCCCGTCGTTCCTTCAGCCATCGCTACAACTCGTGCCGAGAGGGGTTTTGCTCGGGACGAGCATGTTGCCGCGCGCCACACAAGTCACGGCATCCTTCATAGAGGGTTAGGCCAACACTCCAAACCGTCTTGGGGGTGTCTAACGAGATGGACAGGTGACAGCCGGTTGTAGAGACCAATCAACACGTTGGACCCTGAGTGCGTTGTCGGAGTCTGGGGGCGGGGAAGGCCTGGAACGCTTCGAGGAGGTGGCACAGATCTTCGCACCTTCCTCTTCAGTCACAACATCGCATGTCCACCTTTCATACTTCTTTGGAATACCTCAACAGTAAGAACAGTCAGTTATGTCTTTCTATGATAAGTGTAACTCAATTCGATTTCGAAATATGCTACGTCTCTCCCCAAGCGACCTGTCTTTCCTGAGGGACTTTCGTGGATGGAAAGAGCATCCTACGTCTGCAGGTTAGCGCTGCGGAGTGCGCATTCTGTTGTCTAATCTTACGATGGCCTCAGACCAACGATCACTTCAAGAGCAAGATGCAACATGGTGGTCGAGATACCGTTTGGCTGAATATGCACGCGGGGAGTGGTGCCATGCCAATATATTTTAGGCAATGAAAGGCCAATCAGTTGGTGGGAGACTATTCTTACTCGCTACTCCATGTATGAAGCCGTGAGCGTGGAGGTTATCACACGGCTGAATACGCATGCTCAGATAGTTATATGGCGCAGCATCTCAAGGTACTCGCCGTAATACTAGATCCAGTTCACCCTGCAGCTCTAGGATCGCTAGATTGTTGGCTTGAGGGTTGCGATAGCAAGCACCAGGGCTGCTCCCTTGAACGAGACCGCAAGAACGTTATACCAACTCGACTTCTCGACCTGAGCAGTCTGCCGGAGCGGCAGGATGCTATTTCTGCTGGAGGCAACTGGCGCGAGCTGTTCGTGAGCGGGTCGTGCAGACTGATTGAAACGGAAGCGATAGATGTGGGACAGTATGTCGCGCTCAGCTACTGCTGGGGCAGGAGTCTTTCCATGATAACAACCACGGCATATTACGGCGCGTACATGCAGCAGGGGATCAATTTCGAACAATTGCCAAAAACCCTACAAGACGCAGCATTCTTGGTGCAATACCTTGGACTGCGCTATATGTGGGTCGACCGCCTATGTATCGTGCAGGACGATGAGGCAGACTGGCATTGTGAAGCTGCTCACATGGCTGATGTGTACTCAAATGCCTTCCTGACCCTGGCTGCAGCGCGCGCTAGCCATTGTGATGAGGACTTTCTATATTTGAGGCTCGAACCATGATCACATTTCTGGACGATGAAGGGTTTTTCACGTTGCACTTCGAATACAATCACGATGACAGCACTGAGTTCCCTGGAGCACCAGCAACCCTTTTCAAGAGATTTCCTCTCAGATATGAAAGAGCAAGTAATGACTTCCCATCGCATCCATAGAGACTAACCAGGCTTAGAGCGAGCCCATGATAAATCGCGCATGGTGTTTTCAAGAAAGAGTTCTTGCACGATGTGTAGTACACTTCACGTAGTGAGAAATGTTCTGGGAATGCTGCGAAGGAATATTTGCGGAAGGACAGTTTGTACAAGTAGGACGAGTTCTTGATCACAATGCTGCGTCACCCTCCTAACGGTACCATTCCGCAAGGCCGTTCGGCGTGGTTTGATGTGGTTCAAGAATACACATCGCGCGATATAACGTACCCGTCAGACAAGCTTCCTGCACTCTCTGGAATCATCGCAGCTCTTCAACGATTCACAGGAGATGTCTGCTTTACAGAATCTGGCGGAGCTGTTTTTTCCAGAGTCTTTTGTGGCGCTTCTACCACCCAGACATGGACTTCTGTGTCTCGATGCCGAAAATGCCCCGAAAGGTTGCTAGTTGGAGGGCACCAACATGGTCGTTCGCGGCACATGAAGGTATTGTGTTGTACAATTCTGCGTGGCAGGTGCCTTCGTGGCATGTACCTGCGTGCACCAAACTCGAAGAATACTTCCTTGCCCCCAAAGGCAGTAATCCTCTTGGAGAGCTGAAGTCTGGTTATGCGCGAGTCACAGGCCTGCTGACAACCATCATTGATATCGAGCATACCCCGAGATGCGAAAGGAAAGCATGCAAGATTCGCTGCCACGACCAAAGTTTGAGGCGAGCCTCTGTCCTCTCCGATATAGCTCGTTGTGATTCCTGCGAAGCCCTCATGATCTTTCCTGGGACTGGATTGGCTATCATCCCAACTGAGGCAAAAACACAGACATACGTCAGAGTTGGAATCATTAGTCGTATTCAAGACAAGGATGAGATTCGTACCGGCGTTGTAATTTCTGGTCCGCCCTTAACTGCATTAGACTGGCCGGAGCCTAGCACTATCATCAAAATAGTCTTGAATATCGCATAGATTCGCGCCTTGACGCCAAGGCTGGCCCTCCGGGGCATCGCTGTTCATCAGCGCCGTTCCCTGGGGGATAAATGATACCTAGACCCGTCAACACTCCTTCCATCGTTTCTGACAAAACATGCCCAGATGGCTGAGTACATAGCTTCTCCAGTGTCGATGATCCACCACACCCCATCACTCCCATTCGTCAACGAAACGAAATCAGCCGGATAATCCACATCTTCGGGCATCAGAAGCCAGTCGCTCAACCTTGTCCCTTGGCAGGAGTCTGCAGACAGTCTCTGAAGGAGGCCAACGCCACGGAGGTAGGAAGTCGCAACGGTTTCAATGTAAACTTCGTACCTGTTCGAGTGCGAGAGGGGGCGGATCTGGGGTAGGCGGCGCAGGAGATCAATGACTCGTTCTGAGCGATTGAATGCGCGGAGAAGGTCGACGGCTAGTTGGGTGTCGGTCCAGCCTGAGGGTGTGGGCGTTCGATGTCGTCTGGGTTGAGATAGGCTGCGCGGATGAGAAGGTCGTAGTGTCGCGTGATGCAATTTGACAACGGTGTCGCAATCGTAAGGCATTGAGGATGCTGATGGTATTGCAGCCCTGGAGGTAGTCAATCGTTGGCTACAAGAGTGTGTAGTAGGAATTACTTTCCCGAGGATGTTTCGTTCTTATTTTGAAACTGCGAGATGCATAGGGCACAGTTGCCATATCCAAGCATGTCCACAATGCTGCCAAGAGCCAGGAAATTGGTAGAATGTGAATGTATTGGTTCGCGTACATGTCTCCAAAAATACAGGCCTAACTCAGAAACACCAACTTGAAAGTCGATATACGTGCATACAACAAATGCTAATTGTCTTCATCTTCGCTCATCTCTTTTCTATTGACCCCTTTAAACCCCATATCATTATCCTGCTTAAGTGAAAGCCATGCTCTTCTTAATCTCAGCAATCGCCAACGCAGGGTTCAGACCCTTGGGGCATGTCCTCGAGCAGTTGAGAATGGTGTGGCATCGGTACAAGCTCATGCTGTTGTTGAGGGCGTCCTGGCGCTCGGCCTTCTTCTCGTCACGCGAGTCGGCGATCCAGCGATACGACTGAAGGAGAACGGCGGGTCCAAGGTACTCCTCCTGGTTCCACCAATAGGACGGGCAGGATGTCGAGCAGCAGGCGCAGAGAATGCATTCGTAGAGACCGTCGAGCTTCTTGCGGTCCTCCTTGGTCTGGCGGTATTCACGGCCCTAAGCAATGTTAGCAGACGCTCGATTGTTGGTAAGAATTGGTATATACTTACGTCAGGCGAAGGGGTAGAGCGCTGGAGGTAAGGCTTGACCGAGCGGTATTGCTTGTAGAAGAGCGTCATGTCAGGGACGAGGTCCTTGACGACGTACATGTGAGGGAGCGGGTAGATGCGAGACTCCTTGGTAGTATCTGTGGGGATACGGCACAAGCAGGCCAGGGTGTTGACACCGTCGATGTTCATGGCGCAGCTTCCGCAGATACCCTCACGACAACTCCTCCTGAATGTAAGGGTAGGGTCGACCTCGTTCTTGATGCGGATGAGTGCGTCCAGCATCATGGGGCCAGTCTTGTTCAGGTCGAGGGTGTACGACTGCATCTTGGGCTTCGATGACGGCTCGTCAGGGCTCCATCGGTAGATGTGAAAGGTCTTTGTCTTCGCATCCTGGCTGGGCTCGGGCTCCTGCTTTGTCGATGTCTTGTTCTCGGGGATGGGCTTGCTGGCTGGGTCTGGAACGATGCTCTCAGCGATCTTCGAGATGGGCTCGCGGGCGGCTGTGTCGGTGACGGAGGCAAAACCGCGCGAGAAGACAGCCGGTCGGAGGGCTGCGTGTTTGTCGTCAGCAGGGCTCAATGGCGCGTATAGCTGGTGTATGGCGTCCGCCTACCTGTCTGCCTCGTAGCCAGACGAGCGAAAGTGCGTGTGCAGGCCATTGTGGGTTGTGTGGAGTGGAGAGTGCGGGATGTCTTGGTGTCAGTGTGTTGCGTTCATCGAAGTTGTTAAGGTAGGGACCTCGGGCGAGGATGTGGCCAATAAGATCTAGCCTATTTGCTGAGCACGCTGGAAAAGCCTCGGGGAGAGCCGGCTGGATATTGTTTCCGGCGACTTTTCTTGCCACGATCGTTAAGAATCGAAAACGTCAACACTCGAATAGGCTATCTTGAGTGCTTTCGAGACCACAGCTTGTCCAAGTTGATTTTCCAGAAGATTCAGGGTTCAGATTGCTGAGGAAAGAACGAAGCTCTTGTGCAGCACGTGAGAAACAGTGCTTGCTCCTTCACTCTCAAAGTCTGACGTAGCCACGACACGACTTGACGCCAGCTCTCAATACAACATGGAGACGATACAAGCACTTTGCGCAAAAGTTGTCACGATATACTGCAATTCGGAGACTCCAGTCAATTGCTTTTCCGGGAGTTGCTCACTGCAAGTTCGTTAGGCGCTCGTATACAAGGTCACGTGAGCATTTCGTATTGCGTCTTCATTTCCAGTGACTCGCTGCAATCAACCCTTCCAGTTGTGTTTGCGAACCACGTCACCTCAACGGAAGCTCTACTTAATGTTACGAACATTCCCAAGATTTTGCGGATCTAGATCTCCCGTTACTTACTATCAATTTTCTTGCACGTCTACAAAGCTACACTGCACAATGGCCGCAAGACCTCCACTCGACCCTTCTCAACCCACACACTGGATCCTGGACTGGGATGGCACAATAACCCGACGCGACAGTCTCGATGCGCTCGTCAGTATCGCAGCTTCTTCCAAGCCCAACTCGCCTGTGCTTGAGGAATGGAAACGCGTTTCAGAAGCCTACATGTCCGACTACATCGCTGCGATGGAGAAGCTTGCACCCGGCGGCAAGCTACCGAGGACCGTACAAGATGAGAAGAAGCTGCTTCAGGCTCTTGCGAGTGTGGAGCAGGCGAGTCTCGACCGTGTATCTGAATCGCAAATATTTGCAGGCCTGACTAGGAAGCTTCTAGATGAAGGTGCCAAAAGTCTCATCGACTCAAAGAAGGTTGAGATGCGCAATGGATTCGCTCAATTCCTGAAGTTAAGGCAAAGCCGAGGTCATGACGGTTTGGATCTTCTGAGTGTCAACTGGAGTCGTCACTTCATCAGCTCCTGTCTGAGAGCTGCAGGGGCACCTGTGGAGAAAGGTGCAATCAATGCCAACGAGCTTGGCGGCATTGAAAGGGACCTAGTGTCAAATGGCAAGATCAGTCCCGAGGAGGACGCGGAGATGTTGATCATCTCCAGTGGTGACAAGTTAGAACACATGGCGCGGTTACGGAAGCCGGCTTGCGAGTCCAGAAATTCGAGTCTCGACTCTAGCAGACCGATTGTATATATTGGGGACAGCTGGACAGATATTGAATGCCTTCTTGAAGCAGACTTGGGTATTTGCATCCGCGATGAGCCACTCGGCAGCTCACAGAGAAAGCTAGCTGAACGATTGCAAAGTTTGGGCATCCACTGTCCTCATTTGCATGACTGGAAAAAAGCAGATGAGCGGCAAGTGGTGTGGGCCAGGAACTTCACTGAGATCCAAGCGTGGATGGAAGCACAGCAAGCAAGAAAGGTCTAAACTTCGCGAAGATTTCCTTGTTCGCCAATAGAAGAGTAATCGGAATGGCCGCACATCGAAACTCCTGGTAATATACATTCGGCCATCTACCCGGGCAATTCAGATTGTCGCGCATCGTCCGATACCAGATGTATCCTCGAAGTCTCGAGCTCGACGTGCGATTCGCTGTCCGCTTCCTGCACACTAGCGTCATGATTGAGCTCATATAGCGGTTCTTGTCTCATAACCTTCTGGTAGTACTCGACCGAGTGCTCGTCCATCTTCTCGGGGTACGGCACAGGAGACGTCTCATCGCGCTGTCTTCGGCGCCAGAGGAACCATACCACCCCACTGAGTATGCCCAATCCGACAACGACACCGATCACGATCCCCACAATAGCACCGGCGCTCAATGACTTGTTTGACGTCGGGCTTGTGTTAGTGTGTATATAACCTTGGTGATAGATGGCGACAAGTTTCCGCGGCTGGTAATCGAAAACCGTTTGGTGCACCGAAGAATTCGACCTCTCGTAGTATGCAATGACATACGCCTCTTGCAGAAACGCTCGACCAAGAGTGTACTGCGTATCGTTCGCAGCTCGTCGGATCGGAAAGTAAGGTGTCGCCTTGGGATAGATTGGATACGACGCCTGGAGATCCAATGCTGCGAACGGCAGCGTGATCTGTGTCAAATCATCGGGATCATTGTCATTACCCAACACAATCACGACGGAAGGCTTATCATTCAAGAGCTGGGAGTGCTTAGCCGAGTCGTTGAAGATGTACAGATCGGTGTGCGGATCGTACGTTAAGGCCGAAGACCTGCTCAAACTGATCGCATACGGACCGTGGCAGCCAAAGATGAGGCACAGTAGAATCGATGAGCACCAGAATTGGATTCGAAGCACTGGAGAGCGTGACCGTGCCCATCAGAATTCTGATCGCAGTTATTGCCTGTACACCATCACTGAGCGCCCTCAAGAAATGCGGGGGCGGCTTCTGCTTCGTCTCTGGGCTGATTGGCTGATAAGCTTGTTACTGCGCAATTCCATATGACATCTGCTGATCTTGATAGGTATCTGACGTTTCATCTGCTCTTGAAGGACTCGATTGTAGAGCTGCCACTGTGCGACACTTCTCGGTACTTTGTAGAGGGAAGCTCAGAGTCCTGATCCCCTGCGGGAGGCTGGAGTCCCAAGTGCAGATCTCGATTTTACTTATTCCTGAGTTCTAACCGGAAAGCCGTGAGATGCATGTTTGATCCAAAGGCAGATGGAGTTGCGGAGGATGAGGTAGTTGCGATGAATAATTGCGAACGCGTCGGATATTGTAGTTCGAGGAGCACTAGGCGGACGTTGGTTGGCTCGACTTTTGTTGGCGCCACTGTCAGTATGTATCTCGATAAGCACTGCAGTGAACACGTTCCTGATAACCGAGGGACCAGCAAATCGGTATATATCGGCTGTATTGTAGTCTAGCATGAGACGCTGGAGGTAGTCACGGAACTGTCTCCTCCTCAACCCCGAAGTCGCCGTTATCGAAGCCCCGCGATTGGGCAATATGTGGGTACATAGTACGCAATATGTAGCAAGCTCAGCGTGCTCCAGCATTCACGGCCATGGGAACGCCGTGGCCTGCTGTTATGAATTCAGTCGTGTTACTTTATCGCCATTCTACCCAACAATGGCTTCCACGAACGGCATAGACAGCACTACTACTCATAGTAACGCGAAGCAAGTCCTTTCCGCAACCCAGCTGTCTATTTGAAATACAAGCAGAAGTGGAGCGAAATCCCAAATGATGAAAGTGTCTGGCTCCAGCGCGCTCAGGAAGTCGCAGATGTCCTTGCCATTGACGCTGCTTTGAGGGATCAAGAGAACAAGTCTCCACGAGCTGAGATTGCACTGTTGAAACATGCTGGCCTTCTAAAGATCCTCGGTCCAAAGAAGTACGGTGGCGGAGAGCAGCCATGGAGTGTTGGGTACAAGGCCATTCGAAAAGTCGCCGAGGCGGACGGGTACGTGAACAATATTTCGTCAGGTCCTAAACTGACGAATAAAGCTCGATCGGAATGCTACCAGGATACCACTCGCTATGGAGCATAACAGCGAACGTCGTCGGAACCGAAGAGCAAGCAGACCGCTACTAAAGCTGATCATCGAGAACAACTACTTTATCGGTGGCACAGTAAACCCACGAGACAACGACCTCAAGATCACCACCGAGGGCTACAAGCTCGTTTTCAACGGCTTTAAGCACTTCAACACCGGTGATGTAATCTCCAACTTGACTGTGCTGGAAGGCGACTGTAGACCAAAACAAGCAACGCAAACAAAAGAATCAAAATCGAACCATCATAGTGCCTTCCAGTGTCAGTGCTCACATGAGGTTGTTACTAGACTGCAGCAGAAGGAGAGGGACACTTGACATCTTCCCAGACAGGATGAATGAAAATCTGGCGACTGTGCATCTCAAAACCTGCGGGTCTAGAACCAGTGACGAGCCCCAGGCTCGGGGCGAGAGCACTAGGGCAATGAGCAAAGATGAAGTGACGATGGAAGTCTTTGTGGTGATGGAATTGGTCGGTGTGGGGGCACAATGGGCAGACTACCTTCAGAGTGGTTGCATCGTATTCTTTCCATCCCAAGCAGCCCTGCAGACCTCTGTCAGCATCCCAGTTCGTGTTCGGCCAGATGCTGTAGAAGACAATCGAGTGAGTAGTTGGCGGTAGTATGCAGCACCTCGAATCCGCACCTTGGGATTGGCATTTCCGGCCGTTTGTCAAGTGCGCGAAGCGGCGATCATGGATAGAAAACTCATCGCGCGTAGAAACCCTGCCACAGCCAGACTGATAACACTTGAAGGTCGTGTTGTCGTCATGTCCAGCTAGGACATGGGCCTTGAGTTTGTTCTTCCTAGTGAAAGCTTGCTCGCTACTGAACCTGCAGCCTTGCGCTGGGCAGAAAAAATGTGGTATTCCATGCTTGAGCATGTGCCAATCCAACTCAGCCTGCCGTCCGAAGCTCTTGGATCGACAGCCTGGATAGAAACAGACAAGTTGATGCGGAATACTGGACAAATCCGGATTACACATATCTTTTTTTCTACTCGCCGGTAGGCAAGGGCACCAAGGCCCTGTTCAGAGCCATCCAGCCACAGAACTACAGCCCGGAATCATCCACCTCTTCCTGCAAGGTTGACCAGTCCCAATCAGATGGATCTTCACCCAATAAGATCAGTTGCGTGCTGTATTCTGGGGGTCCAGCATTGTCTAGGGGAGTTTTTGGCTGTTCCAATCCTGACGGAGAGGGCAACGCGCATGCAGTAGGCATCTGCCCAGGTACGAGGTCGCGAAAGGCCCAATCAGATACAACGGACCTGTCTTCCTGGGGCGCCGGGAACGTATTGTCGGTAAAGGGTTTAACGTGGTCGGACATCTTGGCGTACAGGGCAACAGCGTGAGGCTGAGGATTGTTGAGATCTGGTTGGTCGAGCGTTCGGAAAGGCTGGTGCGGGTCGTTTGGACAGGGAGCGCGAGGAGGTAGGAAGTGGGAAAAAAAGCAGGTCAGAAAGGGGATGGGAACATCGTGCCTTTATGCATTTCTTTTCCAGTGCCAGTCGTCACTTCCTGCCAAGCCAGAGAGCAACAACCCCTGGTCAGTCATAACGTGTATGCATTGTGGTCTATGTGACTATAGTCTAACCCCTCTAACAAGCACCCACAACACCACAGGCACAATCACATTATCGTTTCCGCCTGTCAGTACCGCCTCGTTGAGACTAGCACCCACAGCACACAGCGCTGCTTTCGCGACCGTGAGTGATGCATCAACTGCTAGCTCTATAGTCGTCTTCGGTACTGCATTGACATCGCCCCAGCCAAAGTGCAACCAGACTTTAGCAAACACAAGGCCAATGGTGACAGCCACGGCGAAAGCCAATGAGCCTTCGAGCGACTTCCCACCAGCCCATGGCCACTTGCGTCTGCCGTAGCGCCTGCCGATGAGCGATGCTGCTGCATCACCCATACCTACACAGACGACGCCTGCGACCATACTGACGTCTCGCGATGTGGCTTCCCAGCCTTCCCATGGCTCATCGCCTGTGCGACCAACAGCTGCTAAAGAAAGCCAGAGTGGGATAGCGCAACCGATCAATAGGAAGATGTGTGAGACGACAACGGGTCCACGTAGATCTCGTCCATCGACGTACGGCGTGAGGAAGGTAGCGATAGGTCGAGATAGAGGTGGTAGTTGACTTGCGCGGATCAAGTCAAGGAGCAAGAAGATGGCAAGGACAAGACTCAGTGCAAGTGCGACGAAACAGGGATCGATGTAGATGGTCGGTAGCAACATGGCTACCATGGTGCCGTGGAACACTTTTCTGCGGGTGTCGACTTCGACTACTGAGGATAGTGAGAAAACAGATAATAGGCCAAGGACTATGATACCGGCGCAGTAGGCGCATAGTAGGAGTCGAGTGTTTGCTTCGCCGAGGAGGGTACTGCGAATGTAGTCTGCCGGTGCGAGGTTTGCAGCTGTCTGTGTCAAGTCATCTGAGTCCTGTATTAGTGGCAAAGCTATCCACCAATCGAGGTTCCAGTAAAACACTTCCCAGCGCACTCTCTGGATGTTACCAAAGAGGTAGCTAATGGCCCAGCCGAATGGTTCATGGTTATGAAGTGCATATTTGCCAATGAAATACCTCAGCGGACCGAGGATCATTACCACAACAACCATGTAGAAGTACCCAGCGTACGCCCACTTCCTAATCATTGCCTGAGTCGGTGTCAAGGATAGGTAAGACTGTGCGATTGACTTTGAGCGTCTCCGATTTGAGAGTCGGTGCTTCGACGTATGATCATCCGCCACCAAAGCGGGCAATGTGTTCCTGCGCATACGTCTCACTCCATGAGCTTGATCAGCGACATTGTTGAAACCGTCAAAGCTGGTTCTCTTCGCATCCACTGCTGACTGTGGTTCGTGCCCATTGGCCAAGTTGTTGCCGCGCATCGAGTCTAATATATTCAGCTTGAAGCTAATGGTTTTCTGGAGTGGCCATCCCGACATGGGCTCATCCTCGTCCGCATCACTGTCCGAGATGTGTCCTCGTGCTGCGCTCTGAGTTCGCTTGGGTCGCAAGCTTTCGTTCAGGGTTTGCAGAAAAGATCGCTGGTTTTTGATGATCTGCCCGGCACGTCTGAAGCGCCATCGTGGGATCCTAGCAAGCGCAACACCCCATTTAAGGACCTTTCCGCATGTTACGAAGAGTCCTACACCGCCCAGCCACATCAGGGTCTTGAGAATATCCGCCTGCGGGGATGTCGTAAAGAGCAAAAGGTTGATCAAACCAACGGAAAGCAGATGCAGTTCTGTCGACAGCAAGCTCGTTGTGGTTAAATAGTAGAGAGGTGGAAGTAGAGCTTGGTGCAACGGGAAGAGTGACACCAGTATCTCGGGGTCAAGTCCTTGTTCCGGCGGAGGTAACTTGAGCTTGTATGGCCGCGATGCGAGCAGTTTCGAAGGTATATCGGTATTTTCTGAGGCTAGAAGCGGTAGGATCGAGATGAGCCAGTGAGCTGAGGAGTAGCCCAATAATGGCTTGCCGAACGGTACCAGCTGCGGTGGCAATGCAGCCAGTCCAAGTATGATGTTAGCTAGTAATGGTTTTCGGTATGATGCAAAAAGGGAGACCGAGATGAATGCAGGCAAGGCGACAGGGTATAAAATAGGCGCTGGGTCGAACGAAGCAGGTATTCGTATCCGCTGGCGAAATCGAAGCGTCGAGGGAGGGTCTGCCTTCCATGAATGGTAGAGTAGTCTGAGAGGATACAGTCCTATGGCGCCTGCCATGACCGCGGCATGAGTAGCGAACTCTGCTAAGCACAGATTAGCCGTGGTGTTTGTGCGACTATTTTAGAACTCCAACGCACCTCTATGCCACTCGAGTAGCTTTAGCCAACAATCGCAGCCATTGACAGCGAGGAGGCCTATTCCAGCCAACAGCGCTGTCTCAGTTGTCCTCCTAACCACTTCATTCCGCCGCCTCTTGGTGTACTTTTGCCGGGCTGCCTTCGCTTCCTTGTCTGTTGGAGGTGCTTCTCCAGCTTGTGATTCATCTTGCTTCTCCTGAAAATACCCCTCGGAGTATTTGCGCACTTCTTCTTCGATTTGTGCTGGGGTCAGTAGTGGGCTGAGCCCCTCCTCTCGCAATCCCTGACTGTCACGGAGACCCTTGCGTGGCCTTAAGGGAGGCGCAGGCAATGCTTTTACGAATTGATAGCCTTCGTCATCTGCCTCTGTACCACTTTCGCTCGGCGACTGTGAATTGCGTTTCCTGCGTTTCCTGCGGTCTTCGTCGGATATTGTGCGGTCGGATGGGCGAGGGGGTGTTCGAGATGCCGATGCATTGTTGCTTGAGTTCTCGCTGGGAGTCTGAGCATTGCTCAAGCCTGCTCTGTGACGAAGGTATGGGTGCGGTGAACGGCGGAATAGCTCGAGTGTTTCGACTTCAGAGGCAGTAGGCGCATCCAGTTGCGCGTCTGAGGGGTCTGGTTCGTGCATTGCGCCGTGCAGCTCCAGGGCTTTAGACACGTCGTGGATGTGGAGTAGGGTATATGGCGACCAGTATGACGTGCAGTGCGTATCCAGTGAAGTGGTCTGTTGCTATACGAAAGCGTCGTGTTTGGTGGATTTGATGAGCATTGTGGTATTCTGAAATCAGCGAGCGCATTCAATGCCAGTCGTGCGAAAGTTGGAGGGATGGAACGAGTGAATTGGCTTGCGTCAATGTCGAGTCCTGCATAACCCAGCAAATGTCTTGTCCAGAGACAGGCTTGAAGCCTTGACTGACTGTCCTCACATCTAGCGGCATGGCGTGTTGGGGAAACCCGTGCTGACGTTGCGTCTCCACTTTCGGAAGGCTCACGGCAACTTTAACCCAAATTGTCGCTGTTGAGTCCTGCAGCTGCTGTGTCAGCGCATTTTTAAACATTCACATGCAAAAACGATAACCGAGTGCATGTGAATGTGAGTGATGTGTCTATTGCTATATTGATATTGTACAATTGTCTATGTCATTTCTCTCAGCTCGAAATACTGGAGTTGTGAACAACGGCCACTGCAATCCGCCCTTTACAAGTACTTGTGCTCCTTGAGCCAGGCCTTGACGTCTTCCGAATCACGCGCTAGCCAAGCAGCTTTTGCGCTGACGCTATCAAGAGCCTGAGAAAGCGACATGTCGAAACCCTTGGTGTTCTTGTCCTTGAAGAAGGCCTCGATATCCTGGATGTGCTCGCGGTGGGTGAAGCTGGATGTAGCAATGGCAACGACGGAGCTCAACAGCGGCAGACTGATGGGCAACTTCTTGACAAGCTCGTCCCAGTTATCCTTGGTGAACTTCCAAAGCGCATTGCATCCTTCTGCGTGTCCGCGAAGACCGGACAATGGCAGGTAGATGTCCTGGGTCTTGACATCCTTGCTGAGCGAGAGGTCAAGTGTGCGCTGGATGAGTTCTGGAGACTTGGCTCGTCCAAGTGCACGCAACGCAGTGTTGCGCTCAACGCTTGTCTCGGCATTGATGGCCTCATTCTCGACAATGTCGTACTCTGCCTTGCCGCCCTTGTTCAGCACGATGGCGTAGACACTGCCTCGGAGGTTGGGGTGGATCGCCTTCTTGTCACCGGCCTTGAACTTCTCCAACATATCGAACGCCGCCTTAGTGATGGCCTCATCAGTAAGACCAGCCGCGCCGAACATCATAGCCTTGAACTGCTGCTCAAGATGACCGTCGTTCTCAGTAAAGGTCCAGCCCAGCTCGTGCGCCTTGCCGCTGCACAGATCTTGTTGGAATGCCTTGAGGGCATCCCTGACTTCCTGATCCTCGAACAGCCATGCGCCGCGCAGTGTGGCAATTCGGGTAACAATCTCCGACCAGACGACAAACTCAGGCTCCTGCTTGAAGCTGTCGAGCAGCGACAGTATACCAGAGGTCTTCTGGTAGCCAGAAGCAGCCAAAGAGCCGGCATCGGCAATCATACCAGCCCGGTCTTCTACGGTGAGAAGACCCTCCTTAGCAGCGACACCAAGCTTCTCCAGTCGCTCAGGGGTGTAAGAAGTACGGTAGAAACCGGCATGGTCAGCGTTAAGCTTGAAGAAGTCTGTGTCCTTGAGCTTGAGGTTCTTCTCACGTTCGAACAGTGTGACATCCTCGTTCACACCCTCCTTGGTACGCAGAGCCAGGAAGATTGGGTAAAGGGTCTCGTCTTCCTCAGGCTTGACGTCACCTGTACGAAGGTAACGGTTCTGCTTAAGATGGATGGAGTCGGAGTTTTCGGTTACGCTGATGACTGGGAAGCCGACCTTTTTGGTCCAGATGTCCATGACCTTCTCGACGTCCTTGCCACTGGCATCGGACAGAGCGGCCCAGAGATCACCAGTCTGGGTGTTACCATAGGCGTGCTTCTTGAGATACCTGCGGATACCCTCCATGAAGACATCCTCCCCCAGGTACTTCGAAATCATACGAATGACACTCGAGCCCTTTGAGTACGAGATAGCATCGAAGATCTGGTTGATTTCGTCCGCCCGCTTGATGGGTACTTCGATAGGATGACTGCTGCGCAGCGCATCGAGGGACAATGCGCTCGCAAGTGTGTCTGTAACGTAACCCTCCCAGACCTTCCAGTCAGGATAGAAGACGTTGCAAGAGTACCAAGACATCCACGTTGCAAATCCTTCGTTGAGCCACAAGCCCTCCCAGAAGTCCATGGTGACCAGGTTGCCGAACCACTGGTGGGCAAGCTCGTGCTGTACGGTCTCAGCAACTCGCTGCTTGGTGGATGCGCCGGCGTTCTTCTCATCGATGAGGACGTCAACCACGCGGTAGGTGATCAGACCCCAGTTCTCCATGGCTCCTGCACTGAAGTCAGGAATGGCGACCATGTCCATCTTGGGAAGAGGGAAAGAGCTGTCGAATGTCTCCTCGTAGAACTTCAGAGTCTTCGCAGCGAGGTCGAGCGAGAACCTGCCGTGCTCGATGTCGCTACCCTTCGGAGCGTAAACCCTGACAGGGACACGGAAGCCCTTGGTCTCGATGTAGTTCAGCTCTCCAACAATGAACGCCAGAAGGTATGTCGACATAAGTGGGGTGGGGTTGAATGTGACGGCCTTCCTCTTTCCGCTAATGACCTTGGAGTCTACCTGCTTCTCCGAAGCCACGTCCATGTTACTCAGACATGTCATCTTCTCGTCTGCGACCAGCGTCACGGTGAACTTTGACTTCAGTGCCGGCTCATCGAAGCAGGGGAACGCCCGCCTAGCATCGGTGGGCTCCATCTGTGAGGTAGCCAGCCATGTGTCTGACCCGTCTGCTGCCTTTGAAGACGAGCGGTAGAAGCCCGCCATGTCATCGTTCAGCGTGCCGGTGAAGGTCATGGTGAGCTTCGCCTTGCTGCCGCCGGGGAGTGTTTGGTCGAAGTCGACCTTCGTTGTCTGCTTGTCCTCATCGTGAGTGACCTTGGGGTTGCTCGAGATGACCTGGTCTCCGGCGGTGATTTTCGTCGAGTGGATCTTGAGTTCGTTGGTGTTGAGGGAGATCGAAGTGCTGTCTTCGACAACATCTAGACTGGTTAGGTTAGCACAAGGGCCTACTGGTACCATGGTCGCCTACGTACTCAATTGTCACTGAGCCCTCGTATGTGAACTTCTCGAAGTCTGGCTCGAGGGTCAGGTCGTAGTGGATCGGCTTGACATTGGTGGGCAGCACCTCGCGGGACTTGGTGACGTCCACATGGGAGTGAATGTCTGCGCCAGAATGTCTACACATATTGCGGCGGTGGGAGCAGTGTCTGACGGGTATGTAGGGAGTGTGTCGGGAGGGCTGGGTGGTCCGTCGCGGGGTTGTGTTTGTGATGCGAGACGTGTTGGTGGGGTAGCAAGTAGCTTTCGTGGGGCTATTTGTATGCAGCAAGCTGCGGCGAGGGCTCAGGAGCGGGACAGACAATGGTAACGAGGCGGTGACCGCGCGCCTGGGCAGCCGCCCTGTCACTGTTGTGAACGCGTGATCTGCTCTGCGCAGGCCGCCATGATGTCTGAAGCAACGCATCTACTTGTCTATCTGCGATGCAGTGAACCCTGATCACTTGGGAAGACTGCGCGCCGGCGGAAGCAGACGCGAATCTGCAGGCACATCACGCCAAGTCTCCAGGGCTGCACGCGCCCCAACCATAAAACCTCGCATCTCGGCCAATCTTTTCTCTTCAACACCGCAATGAACAGCTCCAGCGCACACCCATCACGGACGCGCTGGGGTCTGGCGACATGTCGTCAGTCTTTGCCAGACTACAAGCATTCGTTTGAGCCCTTCACGAAATTTCATGAGTCGTCGGGTATAGAAGTACTGCAACATATTACCTAGATAGTGCTGCGTCTGGACATGCAGAGAAAAATCGGAGAAATAGTCTTGTTGCACGGCCTTGGAGGTTAGCGCTCACGACCTGTTCTGGAAAACCTTCGAGCAGATCAGACGAACACCTGTTGTAGCCAGTGACGTGAGATGCGTTGCTGTTCTTGGCTCGTTGCATCTTCGTCAATTTGAGAGATGTCATATGCTCGAGGATAGCCTTTGAGGGTACTCGAAGACTTAACTCGGAGTGTCATATCCTGTAGCCTCCAGGACCTACCTAGGTCGAGAGCTTTCTGCACGTGGTGCTCGTGCTGACCGCTGTTCTGCACAAGCTGAGGGCTTTCACACTGTAACTTCCAAAAGCAGCGCCTGATGGCAGCACTGGCAGCACTGCATAGTTTGCATGGCCACCTCCCTTACCTGAAATTGGACTAATTGATTAGCGGTTAGGCTTCGAAAACACACGTCGACCTGGCATCGGAATAACTTGTCTGCCCATTACTGCATCTGCATTTAGGTTTTCAGGTCAAGCTTGTTGACCTCAAGTGCAGAGCAGACATCACGGGGTTGGAGATTTTCGGGAGAACCCGGGCGTGTACTCATGGCCTTGCTGGAGTCCTTCAGCTGGATTGCGCTCACAACGTGTAACATGTGGTACCAGTATGAAAGATATCTCGAGATCTGCAAGAGACATATCGATGCAACTTGGTCGCCGCATGGCACTTGCAGGACCCTTGAACGTAAGGAAGAGCATACTGCATTTCCGGCACGACCGATCGTTAGGACTTGCTCACAGAAGCTGCGAAGTGCCTGCGCGTACATTGAAAGGGCAAGAGCTACATCTCGCTACAAACCCGAGGCTGTCTCGTGCAGCTGAAGTCTATGGAATCATTGATTTGAGGGTGGTCGAGATGGCTGACCAGTGAGAAGCTAATCAATTGAGCGCTAACCAATCATCTGCGTGCTGAATAACGTGCCAAGAATCGTGCCTTCCTGCTGCACGATTCTTGCGCTCAACGTCTGGTATCATCACCGCCGTCCACCCCATCGACCCTCTCCCCTCTCCGTAGGCTCCGAGCCACCTTCACATCACCATGTTGGCTCGATCAGCACTGCGTACGGCGCGCACAGCCGGCGCTGCAGCCCGCAATGCTGCCAGCAAAACAGCTTCGGTACGACACCCGGAAGCCCTCTACAACCCGCCCAGCTCCTGCGAGCTTAGACGACTCCATCTGCAGCCCGGCGACATCGGTCATGGGATTTACAATGCCCATTGATACAATTGCTGACGAATTGGGTGATACAGCGCTCCGCCTCTACTTCCTCCACCGCCGAGGGAGCTGGCTCTTCCTGGAAGAACAACGCCCTCCCCGCTGGCGCCACCATCTTCTCGATCGGTTCCGTCGCATGGTACCTCCACCTCTACGGAGGCAACGCCGATGCCATGACACCCGCTGAAGAAGGGTGAGTGCCCTTCGAATCCACAATTGATTGCAGCGAAATTATGGCAGGGGGAACACAGATACGCGCAGAGGCTGACAGGACGTCTACAGTCTACACCCCACTCAGTACCCATGGGAGCACACCAAGTGGAACAAGACCTTCGACCACCAGGCGTAAGTGCACAAAGTTCCGGTCAGCCAATGCCTGCTCTAACCACACCAAAAGTCTCCGCCGTGGTTTCCAGGTCTACCGCGAGGTCTGCGCATCCTGCCACTCTATCTCTCGTGTCCCGTACCGAGCGCTCGTCGGTACCATGATGACCGTCGATGAGGCCAAGGCTCTCGCCGAAGAGAACGAGTACGATACCGAGCCCAACGACCAGGGCGAGATCGAGAAGCGTCCCGGAAAGCTCTCTGACTACATGCCTGCTCCCTACAAGAACGACGAGGCTGCCCGCGCTGCCAACAACGGTGCTCTGCCCCCGGATCTATCGCTCATGGTCAAGGCCCGCCACGGTGGTGTCAACTACATCTTCAGCTTGTTGACTGGTTACCCCGAGGAGCCGCCTGCCGGTGCCGTCGTCCAGGAGGGCCTCAACTTTAACCCCTACTTCCCTGGTACCGGTATCGCTATGGCCCGTGTGCTCTACGACGACTTGGTCGAATACGAGGACGGAACACAGGCTTCGACGTCGCAGATGGCTAAGGACGTTGTTGAGTTCCTCAACTGGACCGCTGAGCCGGAGATGGACGACCGCAAGAAGATGGGCTGGAAGGTCCTGGCCGTCACAAGTGTGCTGTTCACTCTCAGCGTCTGGGTAAAGAGGTCAGTTTCTCGAGGAGGAAATAATTCTGGATATTTGGGGCTGACATATGTAACAGGTACAAGTGGGCACCGCTCAAGACCCGCAAGATCCTTTACAGCCCGCCCGCCGCGAAGAAGAGCGTTCTCGACTACGTTCCTAAGCCCAACAACCAGGGCAAGACAAACCAATAGACGTGGCGTAGTTTTGCATCCGGAGGAGTTGGAAGGACCGAGTAGTGGAAGCGTGTGTTCTATATCTTGTACAGTGCCAGCTACTTCCAAAATACGATTTCTGGAATTTCCTAGCTTAGTGATACGCTGTAGAAATTATCTTTCTTTTGTTCTTGCGCCGTATTCTGCTGATACGTCTGTAGTGCTACTAAAGTTCCGATATCGATACAAGCTTACGATGGGAGACGATACGTGTGGGTAGCACTTCAGGCGCGCCAAGTCAGTTCCAGGACGACGACCGATATCAAGAACTAGATAGCAATGGCAGCTACGAACAACTATCCAACAACCCGCTTGTAACCGTACTTGTTGTGGAACCACGCCGTCTTCTCCCGAATCTTCTTCCAAATATAATAAGCAGCATCGTAATACCGAAGAAGATCGCCCACTGGATGACGGCCATCCCGATGAACAGCTTCTTCACTGCATCTCGGGCCAGCCATTTCGGTACAATCTTGCTGATCGCGAACGGGATGAGATGCGTAAGTGCATTCACGAAAGCCATGACCTCTGCCGAATCGTACGGATAGCTGTCGCTTGCGTAAGACAACACTATCGCAGGCACGAGTACAAGACCTGTGGCCTGCATTGCGTACCCGACCGCTGGTCCTTGGTGCGAGCCTTTGATGTATGTGTAGCCGAAGAGCAGGAGACCGGGTGAGCATAGCAGGAACGGGATGACTATGCTGTATAGACGGTACTCAGGCTCATGGCGACTATTGAGCTTTGTCATCCACCTGGAAAGAGCGTTTGTAACTGGCCCAGCGATCGGGAGAGCCAAGATGATGCCTACAAAGGCGATACCGGTCCCATTCCCCAGTTCCACGGGTGTGAAAAGGAATGGCGGCGGAGAGAAGAGCTGCGCGGTTGTGACGGATATGATGAGCACCTGGAGGTTGTCAGTATACGTTGCAAGAAGACAAGCGAGCATTGGCTTACCAGGACAGCACGATGCCCCACAATCTACCGGTACACAAGATGATGGGGTCCAGCACAAACTCTAACTGCAAGACAAAGCTTATGGCTCATTGCTTGAGCCCTTCGCTCCGAACATGCGGATGTCTCCACACGACCGTGTTGTTCCTCAATGCCTCCCACATTCTCCCTTTTCCTTTGCTCGTCTGCACCTCTTCCAACTGCGCATCAAACGTAGCAGCAGTGGCGCCTGTCCCAGCATCGAGCCTAAACGCTGTTTCCGACAAAAGGAAGATAGCTGCCAACACATTGGCGCCGATGAGGATACATCACAGCTTGAATATCCACCGCCAGCCAAGGTTGAGGGCAATGTGGCTGTCGAAGAGGAGACCGAGTTGCGCACCTGCGCATAGAGAGATGGAGTACACGGCTACGGCAGAGGAATAGTCGCGTTCGAAGAAGACCTCTGCGTGCGTATTAGAACATCGTGTTCCGTCTATCGTACCATCAGAAACAAAATATGAGTGTTCAGAATAGGAGAAGGGGAGACGTACCGCCAACCACACTCGCCCTAACAGCCTGTACCGCACCCGCGCCAAAACTCGCTAGTACCCTACTCCCTAACAGACTTTCGAGACTCTTGCTGTACACACTCCATATGCAGCCTGCCAGGAATATCAGGTTGGCTACGATTAGGACGAGTCGTTTTTCGAAGACCACGCCCGCCAGAGTCCAGAGGAGACAGCCTAACCCGATGACCAGGACGGAGTAGGATACCAGTGGTGCGATGTCAGGGTATCCGACGCGGAATTCAGCGATCAGTACACCAAAGGAGGTCGTGATTGAGGCCTGGAGACTGTCAATCGTATCATGAGAAGAGAGGTGCGAAGTGTGGGAACATACCGCATGGAAATTGCCGTTGAACACCATGAGGCAGATGTTCGCGAGGACGATCATCTTCAGAGGCTTGGACCAGAGCTTGGGGTGGTCGTGTACGGCCAAGTCTGCTCGCGCGGCAGTTGAAGCTTAGCAATTCTCTCGTGTAGAAGGACGTCTTCGAGTACTCCCTTTCGGCGGGCGAGTGCTATTGGAACTGCCTGTAAGATTTCGGCAAGCGACACGTTACACAAGAAGAGCAGCTTGTACGTAAACTTGTGCTAACCTGGGAAGATGGCCGTCGCCTTACGAGTTCATGTATGCTTCGTGCGTAGGGCTTTGCGTTTTTGAGATTTGAAAATTGGACACCAATACCTGCGACAGCCAGAATAAGCAACGGATCGACTTCTGGCAATAAGAAGGTAGGTTTGTGGAGGATAGGAAAGACAGGGTGGAAGTATTCGAAGTACAGTTGAACCCAAGCATTGAGTATGGGTTGCGGTGGCAGCTTGGTGTTGGTGGAAGGAGGATGATAAGGCTCTCGTTGTATCTCTTCGGCAAGCTGTGTAATAGCATGCACTTTCTCGCTCGTGAGGGGATCCACGTGAGCGAACTTCTCTAGCTCAGCATCCAGAAGCGAAGCCGGGTCAACATCCGGAAAGTGTAGAGTTGCATCAACATCGATTGAAGTGGGATGATATTGTCTAACTTCGACAGTGTCTTTGTCCAGGGCAGACGAGTGACTGCGGCCGTAGAGATCTGCAATATCGGAAGCCGGTGTAGGAGGCAGTCCAAGGGGTGCACCAGCTGCTGCGGATGCGGTTGTCTGCCTAGTGGTCGCATCTGGACCGCCTGTGTTTTGGAGGATGTCAAACTCCTCGCCCAAATCGAACGACATCGGCCGTAAGTACGGGTCGAGGCTCCCTGTCATCCACCCGAGATTGTCAAAATCATTCTGAAACCCCAAAATGTTTGGCGCGTTGAAAAGATCGAAAGTGCTGCTGTATGGGATCATCTCGTTGGAACCTATCAGATGATCCATCTCGGGTTGGGATTATGAGCTTGACTGGCCAGAGGTATGTATTGTGAAAGACTGCATTACGGTGTTCATTCCCAACAGCGGCGCCAACGCTATAGGTTGGGGCTGGACAGCTGGTGTCTGTTGGCCTTCACTGATATCACTTGTACCCGGGTCGTTGTTGGTGATGTCGTTACCGTGGGCTATTCGCTTAGTTGGCTGGTTACTACTTGGATGTGCTTTTGATTTTCGCTTCTTTGGTTCTTCGTAATAGGAATGGCTGTCCGACAAGGAACATTTTTCGTATAGAAGCTGGCCATCACATCTGATCTTAGAGGTGTTGCAACGCTTACAAGCCTGGGAGACTCGTTGTCGTTCCACAGTCCTTGACGAGACCATCTGAGTAATGGGTTCAGCATGGGTAGAACTGTGATGTCGTGCCAGAGAGTTGCTACAGTATATCTGAACACCACTGATATGTCTAATAATTTATTTGATGAAGAGCTTACATCCTGCCGAAGGTCTAGTATACATCAATCAACATATGCGTTAGACAACTACGACTGATGAACTCACATGTCTACAGACCGAACATTGAAAAGGTCTTTCTTTCGTGTGAGTGCGTAGATGGCGCAAACAGTGCTCGCGCCGCTGGAAGATCGAGCTGCATTGATCGCAGGTTAGCTGTTCTGGCATGATGAAGATGAAAGTGTCATGAGAGATGGTGTAGTATGGAGCAATGGAAGGAGAAAACGGTCGCATGCCGGAACCTGTCGAAGGGCAGTCCAAGCTGCTGCACCTGCTTCACCCTGTTCCCCACAACACCTTGCCCCCGCAAACTCGTCTCGTCCCGAGATCAGTCTAACTCACTCATGGTAAGCTTGGCCATATAGTGTTCGGCCACATGTAGTGACTGGCCACTCCACCACAACGCGTTACCCAGTTTTTGACGCTCTATATTATCAACACCACACTTTCAAAATGGATACCTGTGAGCTAGCTATACAACCTGCTATCAGCAATCTCAATGCTGGTGTTTTTACAAGTCAGCGGAAGGCTGCTAAGGCCTATGGTGTTCCCCGATCAACGCTCCAAGAGCGCACCAACGGTTACCAACCCAACACAATAGCTCATCAACAACAACAGCAAGTGACTCCGGAACAAGAGCACTTTCTAGTAGAGTGGGTACTTGAAGAGGACTCACACGCACAGCCGCCATCTCACCCACGCGTACAAGAAATGGCAACCCAAATCCTCCACATGAACGGCAATTACAAGCTACTCGGGCAACTCTGGGTACCCCCATTTCATCCAACGCAACCCATGCGTTGCATCTATAGTTGGCCTAACCATTTAGAGTGCAAGGACTACAGCAGCTAGTTATGACATTATACGTGCCTTCCTTGAGCTATTTGAGCGTACTAGGATTGAGCTAGGCATACAGTATGAAAATATATGGAATGTGGATGAGACTGGAGTTGCACTTGGGGTATACACAAATGCACAGGTGCTTGCAAGCTCTTCAAAGAAGAAAGCTTGTATCAAATCTCCAGAGGATTGCGAGTGGGTATCTATCATTGAGACCATCTCAGCCACCGGTGTCAAGCTTCAATGCCTAGTCATCTTCAAGGGCAAGCATCTCCAATCAACCTGGTTTCCAGCACAAGGGGTACCTGATTGGTTATGACAAAGCGAGTTAGATTCCGCACTCTGCATCTGACGCGGGCTTCCAAACCTCCGACATGCACATCGCACATCACGTACACCAGCCAGAGCAACATGTTCATTTACTACGATGATTGATTCGTCCTATTTTGGACTACTCGACATGGCAGCACGCTTCATTTACCCAAGATCGCGCGCAACGCCTCGTTGATTCGTCCAGGTAGCCCTCGCTTCGCGTCTCTGCCCTCCCCGCTATGAAGCCATCGGGCTGCACCAACAAGGCTTCACCTTGCCTAGCTTGCACTTCGCCCTAAGTGTGCCCTGAGCATCCTGAACTGGGCTCGAAGACTCATGCAGTACGTATGAAGCAAGCTTCAGGGTGGTTACTGCCTTGGCGGCTTCAATCCATGGCGAGTTGGCTTAGTGGCGACCAACACCAGGTTCTGCTTGATCAGATCCAGGGTAGAAACACGTTGCTCACCATTTCCGAGAGAGACGTGCGGAGGTCGGGATCCTGCAGTTCCCGAAGGCGATGATGGGCTTTCAAAGCCTTGATCACCTCTTCTCCTTGGCTACGAACAACAGCGCCTTTCGGATGCCGATAACCCAATTCGACTGTCAAGTTAGGCTGGACGTGGTCGATTCTGTTGTAGAATCGAGCTGTCGCTTGGTCGACTGTAAATGCGTTGACAGGCTGCCGCTCAATCGTGTAGCCCTCAAGTAACGATAGGGATGCTTGCCCTTTGAGCACGAAAGCCAGCTTCCAGGCCAAGTTGTGTGCGTCCTATTCAGCAATTCAGCGATAAGAGGTTTCGATCCACGATTCGAAACTTACACCGATACCCGTGTTTCCTCCCAAGCCTCCAGTCGGCGGCATTGTGTGGGCAGCATCACCAGCAATGAACACAAGGCCTCCATGTGACTGCAGTCTGTCCGTAACATACGAGGTCATCGTCCAGTACGAGCACGACTTCACTTCCAAGTCTGCGTCGTCCAGTAGCCCACTGAGGCTTTACACGTATTGACGCGCCTGATCGAGTGTAACGCTGCCTTCCGGAAAGTCGTTCCGGCCTACAGCCCTGTTGATCATAGCGATTCCGTTCTGACCCTGGTTTTTGAGACGAAAACCGCCGTTGCTGTCTCTTGATCTGCGAACAGGTTGTTTAGGAGAATCGACGATCAATGTTAGGCATTTGGCGGCTCTTGTAAGTGATGTTCGACGTGCATACGGATGGTGCACGTGGGGCGGCAGGTCTCACCGAGAACCTAACGCAGGGTTCAATCTACGTCATCGGCTCGACGGCTTGTACCTTGTACCTGCGTGATCAAATATGTCTCTGAAGAAGCATCACTTACAATATATTTGCGGTCGTACCAAGGTCATGTCGCTGCTGTCACTATGGCTTAGCATGAGGCTGAATGAAACACGCCATGACTCCTCAATGCCGACCGCATGCCGATTGGAATGATAAATCGATGAAGAACCAAAGCCTCGTGCGAGTCCCTGGTCGGCTGGCACTGCCATTCGGGTGTTTGAGGCTGTCGCTGGAGTTGCTTTGCTTGGAAATGGATGAAAGTAGCGTCATATGCTGAGTGAAGGCTGTCCATGGTAATTGCGCCATACCGCGACTTAGCGTGAATAGCTGAGAAGGGGACCAGGGCGATCTGAAGTGCTCCACGGTACTCGCTCCTGCATGATAAACGGTATGCATAGACGATGTTGAGGAGGGGTCGAGCGCAGCCGGCAGCCTATCAATGCCGGGCGCAGGCACAGGTGCAGCTTGGACAGTCTTCCCCACGATAAGCATCTGGGGAGCGAAAGGGCAGCGTTGATGCGGTAAACTCTCTGATTGGCCAGGCAGCGTGACGCGCCTCCAAAGAGGACAATCCGCAACGCGGCGAGTCGGCATGGTATGCAGAAACCCATGTTTGCGATCGGCTGCTGCGGTCATAGAGTCACAGTTGCCTGTTTGGAAAGGGCATCGAGGAATGTCAAGCGGCAAGACGTCTTTTTTGGCGTGGCACAAGGCGTGACTGTAGGGCAAACTACGAGCTTAGGCGTCATTCGGACGTCCACCACATGACTTGTCCTGTCTAAACCAGCGGAGACGATAACGCCACGAGACAGCAGCAGTACCGCCAGGACCGCGCAAAAGGGGACGTACTGCGGGGCTGCGCGCTCTGGTGTAAAGGTCAGGTCTGCCGCTGAGCTCGCGGTGGTTCAGAGACGTCAAGTGCATACACAACGCGTGCAGGGCAGCTCCGCTATCAGTTGCGTTATCGCCAGCACTAGCGCGTCCGCCTGGCGTGAATGACTAGGACCGCCATACCCATGCATCACACCTTCGACTGCCTCGCAGCTCCGACCCCCCCTCTCCTCTGAGCCTCCTCTTCTCTCTGACTAACTCGTGTATTCTTCTCCCCCCCCCGTTTCGCCGTTAATACTGCATCAACATCCACAGGTCGACTCATCGCTAGTCCGCCTGCACCTCCGCACCGTTCACCGGACAAGATCCCCAGCCAGTCGCTCGCGGCCGCCTGCAGCCCAGGCACCTCGGAGCCTACGTCGATATCTGTAACACACTACCGCGCAGCTTGCGCACACTCAACAACATTGGGTTGACGGCCTCGCTGTACATCTGGGTGCTCATCCCTGCCCACCGCCTCGCCGCCTAGTACAAGACGCCAGCAACGGCACCGACCACGACGCTCCCCGCTCGACACAGCTCTCCACTGTCGCCGCCAGCCCATGTTTAACGCCCTTACAGCTACTCTGTATCCACACCTCCGTTGGTAGCCGAACAGCTATACACGTTCTGAGAAGGAGCTGGCCCTGGCTGGTTAGCCAGCACCGCCATCATGGCAGCACCAGCATCAAATGCCTACGCCCCTCGTAGGTCGGCAGCGTCGCCGACCTCATCAGGCTCGACAGACCAGGTCATCGGCAAGTTCAAGCGCCTGGAACACATCGGCAAGGGAAGCTTTGCTGAAGTCTACCGAGGAATACACATCGTACGTCACTACCCTGCCTCGCTCCATGTCCCGTCGATGTTGCTTGTCAAGTTGGGTTTTGGTTGATAAAACAATGCTAACATGCTGGTGTTCAAATAGGAGAAGAAAGCTTCCGTAGCCATCAAGTCTGTCAACATGAACAAGCTCAACAAGAAGCTCAAGGACAACCTCGTGTCTGAGATCTCGATCCTCCGAAGCCTTCACCACCCACATATCGTCTCCCTGATCGACTGCCAGGAAACACCATCGCGCATGCACATCATTATGGAGTTCTGTGAACTAGGAGATTTATCAGCATTCATCAAGAAACGGGCGGACCTCACCAACCACCCGCAAACACAGCGCATGATCGAGAAGTACCCAAACCCGCCCGTTGGAGGACTGAACGAAGTCATAGTGAGGCATTTCGCGAAACAGATGGCCAGCGCTCTGGAATTCCTGAGGTCCAAGAACTACATCCACCGTGATCTGAAGCCACAAAACCTCCTGCTAAATCCGTCCTCTTTGTACTACTCACAGAGCGGCACTCTCGAACGCATGCCACTGGCCGCTGACGCAAACTCGCTAATACCTGCCGTTGGAATCGAGACGCTGCCTATGCTCAAGATTGCTGATTTTGGTTTTGCCAGGATTTTACCAACAACCTCGCTGGCTGAAACACTCTGCGGTTCTCCCCTCTACATGGCGCCCGAGATTCTTCGATATGAGAAGTACGACGCGAAGGCCGATTTATGGTCTGTAGGGACTGTGATGTTTGAGATGATGTCTGCACGTCCTCCTTTTAGGGCGAACAACCATGTCGAGCTTCTGCGCAAGATCGAGGAACGCAAGGATCAGATTAGGTTTCCGGAAGGCCTTGTTTCCAGCCGAGCAATGAAGACGCTCATCCGTGCATTGTTGAAGCGCAAGCCTACAGAGCGCATGTCGTACGAAAGCTTCTTCTCAGACCCTGTAATCCGCGACGAAATCCCTGGTCTCGTCGATGAAGATCTCCCGCTGAACATGCAAGCCTCGGAACCAGAACCACCGGTCGAGCAACCTAAGCGAGTCCAGAAAATGCCTGTTGATATGGAGCGCCGCGCTTCAGAAAGCCCGTATTCACGATCGCCTAGAGACAGGACTGGCCTCGCAGGGACACCACCACTCCGTCCCGTCTCACGCGCCAGTCCAAGCAACCTCTCCGGTACACCACCTCGTGTCCCAACAACCCGACGTGCCAGCAACACCCCCATTACACCCATTGAAGAGCATGCACCTGCGCCTGTACGAGAGCAGCGACGTCCGACCCTTCCCAATGCGATGACGGCACCGGCACGCCCTCCAATGGTACAGGACCCATCAATGGCTATTGGGCATCGTCGTCGCTTCTCAAAAGATGACCCTCCTCCGGTGTCGTCAGGGCTGAAGCAGCGTCTTGAGCGCGAGTGCTTGCCACAGAAGACAGAGACCGGCGCTATGAGGGATGCGGCAGAGCGAGCTGCGCAGGACACGGCCCTAGACGAAGGCTTTGTTTTCGTGGAGAAGCGTCGTGTAGAGATCGATGCCCTTGCTGATGAGATTGCTGCAAGTCCACAGACTCAAAGGGACCGTATGGTCACTCGAGACGGTGCGCTGCGACGAAGGGCTACTACTCAAGGATCGCCAACGTCCACCACCGGCGCAACTGTCCCTTCAAGAGCAATCTCTATCCAACAGAAGATACCAGCTGTCATCCAGCGACCTGGTTCCTACGAGCGACGTCGACAGTATCGTCCCAGCTTTGAAAGTGCCACTTCTGCACTCTCGAAAGCCATGAACATGGTGAACATTCGAGGTCTCGGCCTTTCGCCGCCAATGATGAAGGGCATCTCACCACCTCAGGGCTACGCTGCATTCCCTGTATATCCCACCGCACAGAGCAGCCTTTTGCTTGTTGGCGACAGTGGCAAGACGACAGCCAAGGACGAAGATGCCACCTCCGTAAAGAAGATCGAAGAGCTTGCTCAACTGAGCCACGTCATCTATGGCTTCGCAGAAGTCAAGTACAAGCAGCTGGTACCCGTTGCACCGAGCGATCAGGGACTCGGAGTCGGTCCCACTGGAGTTGCCAGGAAGCCTAGCAGCGATGTAATCGAGGATGACGACGAGGACGATGAGTTGACTCCGGAGACGATCCTGATCATCTCTGAAGAGGCCTTGGTTCTGTACGTCAAGTCGCTTGCCATGCTCAACAAGGCTATGGATGTGGCGGGTAGTTACTGGAACCGACAGCGTCGTGGCAGTTCATCAGCCGAAGCAATGAGTCGCGCGGCCGCAAACTCAGAGCGTCTGAACCGAGTTGTGTCCTGGACTCGAGACAGGTTCAACGAATGCTGCATCAAATCTGAGATCGTGGCTCGCAAGCTCAAGCAGGCACAACAGCAGCTACCAGAGGATCATCCAAGCCACCCACAGAATCTGACAGGTGCTTCAGGCTCTGCAACCACTGTTGGCTCAGCTGAGAACATCCTCCTGACCACCGGCGTTACGGCCGAGAAGTTGATGTACGACCGAGCACTCGAGATGAGCAGGACGGCTGCTGTGAACGAGCTTGTCAGCGCAGATCTGCCGGGTTGCGCTCTCAACTATTGGACCGCCATCCTCATGCTCGAAGCAATTCTGGAGGAGGAAGACGAGTCGTCCAGTCGTAAGCTCGAGGGCGAAGAGATTAATGGACTCGAATCTGAGGACCGTCAGTCAATTCAAAAGCGTAAGTTTACTTATACTAATGATGACGAATACACACTAACGTTTGGCAGTCCTCGAGCAGATGAGGGCCCGACACCGAGCACTGAAGAAAAAGCTGGAAATCCAGAAAGCACAGAAGCGCAATTCGATTACAAGCGCGCCATCGCCTTATCCTGCCAGCCGCAGTTCGCCATCGTCTCAGGGCACTGCACGATAGCTGTTTCTCGAACGAAACACTGCATCAGATCGACACAACAACATAAGCGGATTAGCAGCACCGCATTGATTGGCGTTTTTTTTTTCGGGTTCATGGGGGCGTTATGGCTACAGCGCCCCTCACTCACATACCGTTTGTTCTGATTTAATGATTTTGGCTAGTGTTTACCTACGGTGTTCTGCGGCGCACACGCAGCATACATCAGCATAGATACCAGGTTGCGAACCTTGCATTTCTCATCATACGGCGTTTACTTTTCGGCGGGGTTGGGTATGGATAGTCGCAAAGGATGCGAGCATAGGACGGCACAGACATGACCAGCATGGAGAAGATGAGTGAGCACCTAGAATGGACCACAAGGAGCGATTGGATGAGCAGGGGAGGAAACCTCATACCTAGTGGACTACAGCATCGAAATTGAAAAACAAATCATATCGCTATCACAATAGCCTGACATACACAGCCTTTTCGCCTTAAGTTCAGCCTCACTAGTGCATTTCCTGGTTCATGGTGTAGCCGCCTGCTTTGGGCAAGGACAAGGGTCCGGCCCACCTGTGACCCCCAGATCGACCCGTGTGGGCCACTCACTCTACTACAAGCCTGAAAGTTCCCGCGCTTCCGAGGACCTCCAGCCCAAGCCCAACAATCGCTCTTTCCTCGTCTGACGCCTTCGTCCGTTAGGTAAATCGTCCTTTCCCGTACAACACCTACACGCCCTCACAATGCGCTCTTAATGTATAGTTGAACCACCCAGGGCTGGCCGCGACGAAGTTTGGTCCGTTCTAGACGTTCTCCACAATAAACATGGGCCTTGGGATCTTGGAGGATCGACACTTGGAGCATGTCCCTGGGACGGCCTTCGTGCTCGATGGCGACAGGAAAAGAGAGGTCGCGCAAGATGCAGCGCGAAGTCATCTGAAGTACGACAAGACGGGCAAGATACTGCTCGTTCCGCAGCCTTCAGACGATCCTAATGATCCACTTGTAAGTCGCGACTTGGGCCTCAGCCTTACCCGACATCCACTAAGGTACGACTGTGAAGGCATGTATACTGATGTTGACAGAACTGGCCACTATGGAAACGTGACCTCATCATAGTAATCCTCTCCCTCCTCTCCGTCATCGCAGCAACCCTGTCCCCCCTCCTCGCCGCCAACACCGTGTCGCTAGCCATCATCTTCGAGCGCTCCCTCACTGACATGGCCCTTTTGACTGGGTACCACCTCCTCGGCGTTGGCATCGCAGGATTACTCTTCGTACCCAGCGCACGCATATGGGGAAAGCGACACCTCTACATCCTCGGCGCCGTCATTGTCATCTTCAGTTGCGTATGGGGCGGCGCAACGGGACCGCACTACGCTTCCTTCCTATGGGCACGCATCTTCCAGGGCGTGGGACTTGCGCCGTTCGAAGCGCTCGTCAATGCGTCAGTGGGCGATTTGTATCATGTGCATGAGCGCGGACTGCGCATGGCGCTTTCCAACCTTGCGCTGTTCGGCGGTGCGTTCTTGACACCGGTGTTCGTGGGACTGATAGCAGATCGCATTGGGTACGAGTGGACATTCTACTTCGTTGCTATCTTCGCTGCTGTACTGCTGCCTCTAGTCATATTCTTCTGCCCAGAGACGACGTACAAGCGCGACGCGCGCTTCGACATCGACACCATGGGCAACCTCGTGATTCAGCCCGGCTATGAACTAAAAGACGTTCGCAACAACGGAACGACCTCAATCTCCACCTCCGACGAAACCGAAAGAGGCGGCGTCCTAAAAGAAGGCCACGAAACCTTCGTCCAACCCAGCACCATACCGTCTCCACCACCGCCCAAAGCCACCTTCCTCCAATCCCTCGCCCCCTTCAACGGCCGCAAAACAGACGAGCACTACATCCACCTCCTCTTCCGGCCCTTCCCTTTATTCTTCCACCCAGGCATCCTCTGGGCATGTCTAATCCAAGGCGTAATGATCGGTTTCACGGTGCTCATCGGGGTCACGCTCGCTGCTATTTTCCTGGGCCCGCCGCTCTGGTTCGGCGAGCTCGAGACTGGATACATGTACACGGGGGCCTTTATCGGGGCGATCCTGGGCTTTGCGTTGTGTGGGCTGATAAGCGATTCGAGCGCGAAGCTGCTGACGAGGTGGAACAACGGGGTTTATGAGCCCGAATTTCGGATGGTGCTTGTGTTGCCGCAGATGGTGTTGGGGGGTGCGGGGTTGTATGGGTTTGGGTGGACTACTAACGAGCCGTTGAAGTATGGATGGCTCTGGCCTGACTTCTTCTTCGCTTTGGTGGTTATGGGCATGGTGTGTGGGGCGGTGGCGAGTGCGCTGTATATCGTCGATGCTCATCGTAAGTCTCAACTCCTTCGATATGGCTGCGTGGAACGGAGTGCAAGGGAGTTTGACGGGGTGGGAAAGAATTGTGCAATGAGTTGAGAAAGCGGTTTTGGCTAACAGTCCACAGGCGACATGTCCGTCGAAGGCTTCACCTGCCTCCTCGTCTTCAAGAACCTGTTCTCCTTCGGCCTAACCTTCAAGGGCTTCGACTGGCTCGTGCAAGCCGACAGCACAAAGAAGATGTTCATCGCGCTCGGCTCGGTACAGATTGCTATCTGCGCGCTTACAATCCCGCTATGTAAGTTCCACTCTCTTCGCCTCTCAGCTCTTGGCCTTACTTCTTTGTATTTGGATCGGCGGCCTGGTTCATTGGGAGGATTGCTTAGGATGAGTGTAGAGATCAGAGCTAACAACGATTAGATATCCTTGGCAAGAAGAACAGGAGTTTCTTCCACAGACACAATGTCTTCTTCAAAGCAACAGACTGGATTGCAAATTGCACGCTTCGGATTTTTGCACGCGGCAGCGAGGCTTTGGGATGATCAATTCTCCCCAAAGAACGCTCCAGCCCTCTTCGTACATGGGCTCGACAAGTTCAAGGTCATATACTATGGTTCTTTTTCCGAGTATATCCAGGGCTCTTTCCCGTGCTGTCGGTGCCGTTGATCGAACTGCTCTTTCTACCTTCGGCTTATGAGATGCTGATGCTTATGATCTTGATATCCTCCTCCGGTTTTTCCTTGTAGCATTTCGCGTTTTCGATTTTGTGCACAACGTCCATGCCCTGCACCGCTCGGCCGAAAATGGTATGTTTGCCATCAAGCCAGGGCTACACTGTTGTCAGCAAACATGCCACCCCCTCTCCATATCCGCCAAGAATCTTCACTTACAGCTTTCTCCGTCGTGATAAAAAACTGACTCGCATTCGTGCCCGGCCCCGCATTCGCCATGCTCAACGTATACGGCTTGTCGTGCTTAAGCACAGATATCTCATCCGCAAAGTCCTTGCCCCAGATGGACTCGCCGCCTGTGCCGTCGCCCAGCGGATCGCCCGTCTGGATCATGAATTTGCGGATCACGCGGTGGAAGATCACGTCGTTGTAGTACCCGTTCCGGCTATGGGTGACGAAATTCTCGACAGCCCTGGGCGCTGCGTCGGGGAAGAGGCGGAGTGTGATATCGCCGTAGGTGGTGTGCAGGACCGCTGTGGTGCCGGTCGCTGCTTGTCTCTCGTCTTCCTTCTTGGTTCGTGCGTTGTCGCGAGGCTTCTCATTCTGCACATCGCGGTCTTTGGACGTGTTGGTGTCGTTCGTGTACATGTAGAACCGCACTTTCCCGCTCCCCGTGCTGACCAGCATCGCATCTCTCGCCTCCGCTTCCTGCAGCAGCGGGTTCTCAGAGGCCGCCATTTCGACGGTCGTCACGCGCTTTTTGTCCGGCTGGCCTTGGTACAGGGACAACCACAGCGACCGCAAAGGCTCTTCGCGCCCGTACAGTTTGACGAGTTTGTTGGTTAGCGTGTTGAGGACTTTGATGCCGTACATGGAGCCGTAGAGGATGAAGTTGCCTGTCTCGTCGAAGATGACGTTTTGTCGGGCGCGTAGTTGAGGCGTGTCGAGGTCCCGCTCAATGCCTAGGCGGCGCCCGAATTCGATGTCTTCGAGTGCTTGCACGGCGGTGCCGGCTTGTTGCATGGAGGTGATTGTTTCGATGGACTCGTCGTATGTGCGGTGCAGTTTGGCCGTTGGGAAGTCGAAGATGCGGATTTTGCGGTCGGGGAAGGAGAGGGTTGCGAATTGGTGGCCTGTGGGCGAGATGGTCAGGGTAGAGGGGACGCATTTTGCTTTTTTGAAGTCGAAGAGGCTGGTTGAGGATTTCATCGAGAAGACGTTGTCGGGTTTGGAGAAGTTGCCGGAGGGTTGCCAGTACTCTACCATGCCGCCCTGGTCTACGCTGACCACGCAGTCGTATGCGTTGTTGTATGCCATGAGGCTCACGGGGGCTCGGTGTATGCTCTTCAGAGTGTGTAGTGGCTCCAGGTTCTCGCCTCGACCGTCGTATATCCGGATCCAAGCGTTGTCTTCTGCGCTCACAGCGAGCTGTGGAAAGCTTGCGCCGCGACCGTGGACCCAGCATACCGCCTGAGGACTGTAATCCAGGCTCAACATAGCTAGCAGATCGAATGTGACAACGTCGAAGATCTTGACTGTTTTATCTGACCCAGCAGTCGCGAAACTGCGTCCGTCTGCGCTGACATTGACGGACCGTATCTCGCCAGTATGCGCCTTGAACTCTTTCACGAACTCGATTCCTCCGTAATCTTTCTTCCAGAACTTGACGACGCCATCTATGGAGCTTGTTATGAGGAAGTCGGTGTATGGCGTGAAGACGGTGAAGCACAGTTGGTCGCGGTGCATCAGCGACTTGGAGTAGCGTGGGGCGGCGGGCAGGGCAGCAATGTAAAGCTTCTCATACGGGAGCTTGCGCTTCTTCTTCTTGGGCGCGGACGAGGGGAGCGCAGGGCCAAAGTCGTCATCGTCCGAGGAAGAGTCGTCTACACATGTCAGGCAATATGCGCGTGAGCTTCAAAGGACATGCATACCGTCAGTTGCTTGCGCGGCAGGCTCCTTCATATCCTGATCTTCTGCCTCCATTTCAGCGCGAGAGCGCTTTGTTTTGCTAGGCGACTCTGATCCGTTGGAAGCCATGGCTGCGCAGGTGGCGTTGTGTGGTGATTGTTGGTAACAAGGCACTCTTGCGGCGCGCAAAAGTTGAAGTTCGTCAGAGGCCGCCGGAGCTGGCGCGCTCTCACGTGTCACTCTCAACATATCGAGGTACGACGGTCGGAGCAGATTTTCTTTGACTATGCTGCCTGAGCCTACAGGAATTAGATGTGCGTCAAGAAGCCTCAATCGCACCAGAGAAGAAGTGAGTGAGGTATCAGAACAGATGTCGGAATGGTATTGGTATCTAGATGCAAGACTCCGCTCCAATGCAAGTATGTCGCTTTTCACTCCACGTCTTCTTCCTCGTCGTCCGCGGCATCCTTGTGGAGAGCCTTCCTCGGCACCTCGAAAACATAGATACCGTTCTTGACCTTCCCTGACATCCATCTGGCTAGCCTGGGCTCCTTGCCAACCGCAGCTACTACACACAGGCCCTCCTTGCCCCTGTCTCCTCTCTCTTGCACCGACAGACCGTTCACTATGCCGCGGATGAGGATGCCATTTTCACCCTCCTCTTCTGGGACTCGGCCAATCTTCCCTACTGGCTCGATGGTGCGCTTCTCGGGACCGACTCGCCATGCTCGTATCCAGCCATCCCAGCTCGCTGTGAGGATGAGATCGGCGTACGGCACGGTTGCAAGCGCGGTGACATATCTTGGTAAACGGGGTCCTTTCTTCCCTGAGGTCGCGGCATCGTCGTTTGCGGACATCGCCTCAGCGGGCAGAGCTGGGTCTCGACCATGAGTGAGGGGGTAGGTGAAAAGCGGCTTCTTCCTTTGGACGGACCATAGCGACAATGAGCCACTATCGGATGCTGTTACGAAGAGGCTGGCATCGAGAAGAGCCACGCAGTCGATAGAGCCTTCTGCGTAGGCGATCGGTGTGTCGTCGTCGTCGTCGTCGTCGTCGTCGTCACCGTTGACTTGCCTGTCCTCAGCCTTCTCGTCAAGATATGAGACGTCCTTGCCAAAACGGCCCTTGCGCAGCTTGTCCAGACCCTTCTGTCTTGCTGTGCCACCGCCATGAAACACCAGCTGGTTCTCTTCAACGACTTTCCACAGTCGTGCCGTGCGATCGCGTGCGCCAACACTAACGCATGTTTCTTGGTTCATCTCGACTCCTCCTGCAATGCCAATGACCGCGTCCTGGTGTCCTACCAGCGTCTCAATGTATGCAGACTCGGGCGCGCTCCAGACGATGACAGCCCGGTCCGCTCCCCCAGAGAAGAGCTGCTCGGTCCCCCTCCTGAACGACAGCGACAGGACAGCATCTCGATGCCGCGTGAACAGCTTGCGCGGAGTGAGCGTTTCGGCGTCCCAGATGATCAGGCGTGCGTGCTTGTCGCCAGTGGCCAGATATTTGCCAGAGTCGGAGACAGCGATAGAGACGATCTCGCCCGTGTGGCCCAGGTAGTCCCTGTCGCCCTTCTTGTTCTTGTCGCCCTTTCTCCAGAAGAGCCTTCTGGGTGTCCGTCGCGGCGTGATATTTGAGGAGCGCCCCGGGTCTGCAGCGTACGACTTTGGGTCTGCGATGTCCCACTTCTCGACGACCAGGTCCTTGCTGATTGTCCATGCGTGCGGTAACCTGACGGCGCATCCCGTGATAGCTTTCTGCAGCCCAGACTTTCCAAACACGTGAGACGCCTCCTCGAAATCGAGCTTTTCTGCAATCTTGCGGTAGATCTTGCCCTTCGTCTCTGCAACGTCCTCCTTCAGCCGCTCTGCGATCAGGTCCTTGTCGATCTGCGCGGCATCGAAGCCCACCTCTTCCTCTACCTCGCCGCGGATGTTGTCGAGGTAGCGCTGTGCCAGCCGCAGACGCTTCTCCGCCGCCGTCTCGCTCTCGTCGTCTGAAGTCTCAGACTCATCGTCGGTCGCGTCGAAGACGTTGGCGCGCTCGCCGTCTGAGCTTTCGCTTTCGGTGATGGAGTCCTCGCGCTCAGCGCGGGCGGGGGCTCTCGACTGCGATGCAGCGGGTGCTCGCTTCCGGGGGACGGTCGAGCTGGCGTCGGGCCGCTTCCGCTTGCGCTGCGAGCCAGGCGCGGTGAAGAACGAGGACATGGCGGTGGCTGTGAAGGAACGGCGAAGCTTGTGCTTTCCAACCCTTTTGGAGAGTGCAATCGGCACCATTTTTTTTCGAACGCCGACCGCCGACATACATGCCAAGCACTACGTCGCGCTAGGCCAGTGCGCCCTGCCTCAGAGCTCCAGCGGCCGTGTGAGCGAGAAGCTTCCGAAGCCAGAACACCATCTCGACGCACACACCAGCCTCTCGCCCAGGTACCCGCATCCACGACCCTGTCCGCACACAGTCTGCTGCTGGCACGTGTATTCGCTTGGCAGGCAAACGCAGTGTTTACGCGACATCACCGCCTGGAGCTCGCCTCTCGGACCGCCTCCGCCCTCCGCCACCCCTTCACATCACCACGCCGTCACCATGAGCAGCGATCCGGAGCGCGAGCACGCCCTCGAGGGCTACAAGGGCAAGCTGCTGGAGTCGCGAGAGTGGGAGGCAAAGCTCAAGAACCTGCGGTTGGAGATCAAGGGCCTGCAGCACGACTTCGACGTTTCAGAGGACAACATCAAGGCGCTCCAGAGCGTGGGCCAGATAATAGGAGAGGTCCTCAAGCAGCTGGACGAGGAGAGATGTACGTCTGCGTCTACAATGCCCAGAGCGGGATACTGATGGTCGCAGTCATTGTCAAGGCATCGTCAGGGCCCCGCTACGTCGTGGGATGTCGGTCCAAGGTCGACAAGGTCAAGCTGAAGCAGGGAACACGAGTCGCCCTCGACATGACCACGCTCACCATCATGCGAATGCTGCCCCGCGAAGTGGACCCCCTCGTCTACAACATGTCCCTGGAGGACCCCGGCCAGGTCAGCTTCGGCGGTATCGGTGGTCTGAACGAGCAGATTCGCGAACTGCGAGAGGTCATCGAGTTGCCGCTAAAGAACCCCGAGCTGTTCCTGAGAGTGGGCATCAAGCCGCCAAAGGGCGTCCTGCTCTATGGGCCGCCTGGCACCGGAAAGACGCTGTTGGCGCGAGCTGTGGCGAGCAGCTTGGAGACAAACTTCCTCAAGGTCGTCTCGTCAGCCATCGTCGACAAGTACATCGGAGAGTCGGCGCGTCTCATCCGTGAGATGTTCGGCTACGCAAAGGAGCACGAGCCCTGCATCATCTTCATGGACGAGATTGACGCTATCGGTGGACGACGTTTCTCGGAAGGCACATCGGCAGATCGCGAGATCCAGCGTACACTGATGGAGCTGCTGAACCAGCTGGACGGTTTCGACTACCTCGGACAGACCAAGATCATCATGGCAACAAACCGGCCAGACACACTCGACCCTGCCCTGCTGCGTGCCGGGCGTCTCGACCGCAAGATCGAGATCTCGCTGCCCAACGAGGTCGGCCGTCTCGAGATCCTGAAGATCCACTCGGCTAGCGTGCAAACAGACGGCGAGATCGACTTCGAAAGCATTGTCAAGATGAGCGACGGCTTCAACGGTGCCGATCTGCGAAACGTTGTCACAGAAGCGTGAGTCCTTCCAACATGCATACTTGGGGATTTTACTGACATGATTCCAGCGGTCTCTTCGCCATCAAGGACTACCGAGACTCAATCAACCAGGACGACTTCAACAAGGCCGTGCGCAAGATGGCAGAGTCGAAGAAGCTGGAGGGCAAGCTGGACTACCAGAAGTTGTAGACGAAGGGAGCGTATAAGAGCCTATTGCTGGCTTCGCATGATAGCATGAGCATGAGCATCAGCATGATCTTCATGTACGATAATACGACACGTTGGTAGCAGATCAATGAACACTCTGCATCCACACACATTCCACACACATTCCACACACATTCCACACATTCCACACATTCCACACATTCCACACATTCCACACACTCCACACAGTATACAACAAACAACCGCAATGCATTCAAAATCAACTCTACCCAGGATATCATTCTCCACAAACCCAACAAAACAACCCGCCCTCACATCTCCCAACCCCCAATCGCCACAAACCATCATCTCCTAACACCCCCTTCACACCGTCTCAGGCAGCTCAAGCACCGGCGGCTTCTTCCCCCACCGCACCGCCTGCACATAATACTCCAGCAGCGCATCCACCTCCGACCTGTTCTTCCCATACTCGGCTCTCACCTTCTCCAGCCCCCTTCCACTCCCCTTCTCCTTGCTACCCAGCCACATCGCCTCGCCGCCAACACCGATCCTCTTCCGCATCGCAGCGCTGTAGTCCATGGCATGCCGTACCGCTTTCCTGTCAGCGTCCTTGGCCTTTACAGCCACGTATGACTGTAAGTTCAGGAATACGGCGAGGTCGAGACTCGTTGTCAGCGGTATGCCGGGAAACGATGGTAAGTCGGAGCTGACGACCACGGGCGCGGAGGGGTAGGAGCTTGTTGGTCGTTTGCTGCTTGCTAGACTCGAGCTGCTCGAACTCGTCGGGGATTGCGTGTGGTGCGCTAGCGCGGTGTCCAGTGCGCTGGACACGTATGTAATGTGCACTTTGCCGTCCTGAGCTGTCAAGGCGAGAGAGCACTCGATGCAGCGCGCCAGCTGGGCCCAGATGCTCATTGTCCCGCTTGTGGATGGCGATGTGAGGGTTTTAAGGCAAGTGAGGTGCGAGGCCGACCATGCGGATGTTGTGTTGAAGTCGTTGACCAGGAGCTTTCCCTTCTGTGCGGGCGAGGAGAGGAAGCAAGTCCGTATAGAGCGGTGGGAGTATGTTACTTTCAGACTCTCTGGACTGTCGATGGAAGGGGTGAGTTGGTCTGGTGCTGAAGTGTCGAAGATGGAGAACAAGTTGCGGCATTTGTAGGTCAGGATTTGTCGCATATCGTCTATCCTCTGCGCCACCTCAGCAGTCTTCAGGGGGTGCCGACCGGCTGCTACACTGCTCTTTTCGTCACTGGAGAGTGCGAAGGAGAGAGGCAGGAGGCTTGGGTAGCCGTGTGCTTCGATCAGGACGCTGATCTTCCACGCCTGTTCGAGGTCTGTGGGCTCGAAGTTGGACATGATGTGTGAGAGGAGCTCGTCGAGATCTGATGGCAACATTTCTGCGCGGTTTTGAAGGGTTGTGAAGTTATCGTTGCCTGTGAGTTCTTGCAGCAGGAACTTGGTTGCGAGGATACCCCAGAGGAAGATCCCGCATGAGGTCTCGGATAGCATGGAGACAATGTCCATTTCCTCTGGCACGACGGTGTTGCCGCGTAGTTTTGCGAGAGACTCGTCTTGGCCGAAGTTGTGAAGGATATACGCGTGCACATCGTTTGTTGTGTAGTCGTCGACCCATAGTCTCGGGCGCTTTTCGAATGCTTCTTGGAAGGCTGGGGAGGGGCGACTTGATACGAGGATTTTGACGTTTTCCTTTTTGCTAGCGTTGATGAGAGGAGGGATTACGTCGACCAGATCTCCCGCTTCATCGATTTCGTCAAGGCCGTCAATCATAAAGAGGAACTTTTTGCTTGTATCTGAGATCATGAGTTCGAATGCGCAGCGTAGTTCGGTGTAGGAGAGGGAGTCGAGGCCGCCGCCGTAGGAGCGGAACTGCTCCCATCGGTCTGCAAAGAGGTATTGTATGATCCCCAAGTCCTGCTCTAGAGGCCCATAGATCATGTCTTGCAGAGACTCGTACAGTAACGAACGTAGTAGTCCAAGTCCAGATTTTTGCAGCTCGGTCCCGCTGTTCCAGAAAAAGAATCCAGATGTGATACCTGGTGCATGTCCGGACCATGCCTCCAGGTAGTCGAAAATCCGATCATTCCGGAACAGATTCTTCATCAGTGTCGTCTTGCCCGCACCAGGTCTTCCTGTAATCCAAAATAGACTCTCTCCCCTCTGATTCCCCAGCCACTCGAGCACACCCCCTTCAGCAGTTTGCTGTTCATCAAACGCCCACTCCAGCGTACCCTCGTGCGGCGTAGCAATGGAATGCAACCGATCATCCAGTTCTTCAAAGGCCAATATCTCAAAAACCTGATCGCAGAAATGCGCCTCGTTCGCCGCGGCAATCAGCTGGTCAACCTGCTTCGAGAACTCTTCAACATTCTTCTTGCTCTTCGGTTTCCACTCATTAGCATGCACAGCATCCAGTGATTCATTCTGCCACTTCTCCCAGTGCGGCATACGCGGTCCTTCCTCGCTGAACACAGGGAGTCCTGTTTCAGCGGACTGATCGAGATACTGTCTAGCAAGCCGTCAGCCCCTTTCCCCATTTTCCTCGTCGATGATACCAACCTCAGCGCAAGCAAGAGCGCAACATCAACCTCTTTCCTCACAGCCCTCAATTTCTTCTTCAACCCCGTAACATCCCTTTCTTTCCAGACCCCATTACACAGCGCTTCACGCGCGGTGCCCCATCTCGGATCGCCAAAACTGCCTTTCGCCTGCGTCTGCAGCAGCGCATCGACCAGCGGGCCCGTCAGTTCCTTCGTCTCCTCGCTGATCTTGAGAAGCTGTTGCGCCGGCTCACTCAGCTTGCTTTTACTCCCATCGCTGAGTTTCTTGAGTTCAGAATGATCAATCGCATCCGTCAGGCGGTACAAATTATCCACAATCCTCTGCAGCACCTGCGCATTCTCTACCACAGGGGTGGATTCAGAATCGCTGGGTTGAAATATTTGGTTCTGCTTCTGCAGGCACTTGATGGAAAAGTCGAGGATCTGGAGAATCGCAGACGCGAGCCCAACGGCCGGAATGGGTCGGTGGGTCATGGTGTTGGCGAGTCCACCATCAAAACGTGACGTTGCAAAAACAAAAAGAACAAATGGCAGCAACGAACACCTCCTGCGCCGCTATGATTGAAGGAGGTGAGGCTTGTACTCGAATCTAAGCGAATCGCTCTCCGTCTCACGTTTAGCGCAAGTCTGTTGTCCGAACACAGTATTGAAACTTGGCGCACAGTCGCTATTTTGAGCAGGTGGGGGTCTGATCGTTGACTGACGCGTTCCATGGCCGCAGCAGGGAAAGGGGTCCTTACGAACTCAAGGATCACATGGTGTTCGAAACTGCAAAAGTTGACAAAAGACTTCAAGTGGGTAGGAATGGTATTTGACACCTAAGCTATACACGCTAATCACACTTCCCATCACATAAAGAATATATCAACACCGAGCTACACACCAATACAACGATTACTACATCGTCTGCCCCTCAAAGTACGGCCTAAACCTAGGCTCGTTCTCGAGTCGACACTGCTGAACAGCCTCGTAACATGACATGAGCAGCGTGGGGAACTTGGTAGTCCAGTACCTCAGGTATCCATGAGGCAAAGGACCGACCTTAGCCTTCACGTTCTCATCCATGTCCTCGTAGTGGTTCTTCTTGTTCCTTAGAGCACGAAGAAGATCCAGTATTCGATCTCCGGTGTACTTGCGCTGCTTGCCCAGTGAGTTGATGAAGGCGGTATCAAGCTTCGCAAGGAAGTTCATCCTTTTGTCCAGGATCTCCTCGGCCCAGTCTTCGAGGATAGACAGGTGCGGGGAAGGTGGGTCTCGTGGCTCACGTTCCCAGTGATCTGAACAGTCGCAAAGGAAGTTCAGGCGTTTCTCTGACGACCAGAAGAATGGATGGTTCATGACCTGGAGAGCGGTAGGACGATCCTCAGGGCGTGTCTTCAACATCCACTGAATGAGCCAGTAAGGCTCCTCAGAGTCGTCGCCCAAGCGAAGCCCCTCAAGATTTGCCTTCTCCTTCTTGATGTTGTACTCACGCATTTGCATCCAGCCTTCTTCATCATCAAAGGGATGACAACCGTTGGTGAGTACGTAGTAGAACACACAGCCTAGGGAAAATATGTCCACAGCTCGCTTGACACCTTGCGCGACAGGGTCTGTGGAGGTAGAAGAGTCGCGAGAATAGCCAGTTGAGCTGCCTCTGTCTACATCCCTAGGCTGCGAAATCAATTCAGGGGCCTTCCAGCCAACCGTACCCGCATTGCCAGTAGTGCCAATGAGGGTGCTGACGTTGTCTGGCAATGTCTTACAGAGTCCGAAGTCAGATATCACCAGACGTGGTCCTTTATTTTGGGTTCGTTGCGGGTACGCGATCAGGATGTTCTGAGGCTTGATATCGCGGTGGATGATTCTCAAACTGTGGAGATGATTGAGACCATTGGCGAGCTGGTACAGGGCGCGTTGTACATCCCTGTTGATCTCGTTTACCAGGCGTCGCTGAGAATCAGTGAGATCCTCGCCAGGCCTGCCATCTCTGAACAGGTCGAAGAGACTGGCTTGACACATTTCGACGGCGATGTACAAGAAGTTCTCGTCCTTCTCGTCGTCGAAGTAGCGAATGACATTCGGATGTAGATCACTCTCTTGAAGGAGTTTGACTTCCTGCTCAGCCAGCCCAAAATATTGAGGAAGCATTCGCTTGATGGCAACGTCACGTTCCTAAGCAATTGTTTAGTCAATATTGCAACAATGTAAATGTCCAAACACTTACGTTCCATTTCCCCTCGAATACGAAGGTGCCGCCACTACCGTTGCCTAGGAGCTTGTCTTGATCGATGGTAAGCTTTCCAATCCTTTTCATGTTGGAGACGTCCTGCATGTCATCGCCGTTTATGGTGACCTCATCAGGATGTAGGGTTGTTGCAGGATCGAGTTGTTTGGCAGCGTCAACGATCCGGTCGATATCGTCCTCTTCCTTTTGCTGATTCTTGTTGAGCTTGCGCCCACCTCGCTTTCCTCTGTGCGTCTTCTTCTTCTTTGTCGGGGTAGCAAGGGCGGCACTGGAACCCTGCGTGGCGCCTTCGGTGTTGCTGGTGGCAGTAGCCTTTTCACTTGGGACCGGTGTGGCTTCATCCGAGTCACCCTCCATTGGAGACGATTGTTCAATAGTGGTGGTCCTCGAAAGGGGCTCAAGGTCTGCCTCTTCGTCTTCTGGAATATCGAAAGTCACCACCTTCTTCTCCTTGACCTCTTGAGTAAGGGGAACCTCGACTGCAACCTCTTGGACCGGCTCTGATAGGGTAACAACTTCAGCAATAGGCTCTTCAGCAGCTAGCACCTTCACTGCCTTGCTCTCTGGCTCAGCTTCTGGCATCACTTCTGGCTTGGCTTCAGCTTGAATTTCAGGTTGTACTTTAGGCTTGATCTCGACCAGGCTGTCTGCCCTGATTTCTGGCTCTGAGACAGTAGAGGCAGAAACCGAGATAGGCGCCTCTTTAGCCTTACGAGGCTCAGCCGACTTGACAAAGAAGCTCTTGAGCGCGTCCAGCTGTGGAGGATATTTCATGACTGACACGGTACCAGCCATGACCAGAAAGCACAGCAGGATGGTGTAGACGGCGGCCGCTCGTGTCTCAATCATCGTCTCAGCGCGAGGCGGAGGATCGATCATTGGCCTCTCCATAGGTGATGTCTCTGGCGGTCGAGAGATGGGCTGACCTTCTTCTGCATGATAGGCAGTAGGGGCCGCAATTGCTAAGTATCTTGACGGAGTCTCAAGCTTGTGATCCAGCTCGTGCACTCCTACCAAGCTCTTCTGGTCAGGGAGGGAGTGAGGGCCATCCCAGTCGAGCAGGTCCTTGGGCTTGTAACAGGAGGCCTTCGGGGCACCATCTGTCACAACAGGATAGTTCTGCTCCGATAACGCGTACCAAGCTCCAGTTTCAGTTGTGTTCAACCATACATGCTTGGCCATCTCTTCTAACCGGGCCTTCCCAGCTGGCTGAGGAAGTAGGATCAGGGCAGGCTCCGGTGAGTCGTCGTTTGTGGGCCGGGCAACATCGAACACTCGTGCTACAGGATAAGGTAGCTCCTGCCTAAAGAGAGGCCTATCACGAGACTTTCCGAGTCGATTGTGGTCAAGGGCAATTACTTCTCCATTGAACCTGCTGTAAATGTATTGGTTGTCCATAGTAGCTGAGTACTGCATCTGCAGATCACGGTCGCGGTTGTTCGGCGCCCACTCTGCATACTTGATGGTGCAGATATGCTCGTTCGTCTGCTTGTTGTGGATGCTGATCGTGTATTGCGTCTGTCCCAGATTGATGGATCCTGAGCACTCGCGCTCTTGCGGGTGAAAGTAGTCTCTGCCTTTAGGTGCACAACTCTCATCGTCAACTGAATACGTTCCGCTCGGACTGAAACTCTTCTTGATCTTGCCTGATGCGGCCTCGACGACGAGCATGAACGTAGACTTCTCGACATTGTAGACTACCGGAAGCGCAGGGTCTTCGCTGGAGTATGGAGCCAAGTTGGCGAGTTGTTTGACAGTCATGCCGAGCCTGTGGAGTGCTGGGTAGGGGCCGGGCGTCAGGAAATAGAGAGCTCCATCTTCCTTAGGTTCTACGATCCAGACAAAAGGCTGGTCTTGAAGCTTTCCGGTACCGCCGGAGGCATTGTAGATGGTCTCGAGCATGGGCTGCCCGGTCAGCTCCCATATCTCCTCTCCTGTGTATCGATCTCGTGCGTGGATGCGGCCATCGACGGTCGCCAAGAGAACAAAGTCCTCAACTTCCCAGTCCTGCAAGGAACGCGCACTCGGTGCAAGGGCATCTGTGGCTGCGTTGATGGCAGAGGGGGCTCTGACAGCGGAGACCGCTGGAGCAGAGGAGACATGTGTTGCTAGGGCGCTCTCGTCCTGGGCGAGCACGGGGGAGTTCGGTCGACGTCTGGCGACATGTCCCGCACTCTCCTGTGAGTGTGTGGATTTCCCGTGATTTGGGGGGATGGTGTGTGCAAGCACACTGCGGGCTGGCTGTTGCTGCTGCTGAGCAACTGCGAGGATGGACGGTCCAAGGATGACGATTGCGAGGAGCGTCGTAAGCGTGAGGCCAGCACCCGGCGGCCGGCGCGGGCGTGGCATGGTGAGTGGGCGTCGTCTACGATGCGAGCGGTGATGCCTAGGGCAGGCTGTGGCGGTGGAGGTGATGGGGCATCGATGAGCGAGGGATGGGATGACAAAAGACGATGGCCGAATTTCGAAACCTCGATATTAAGGCGGGCGGGGGAGCTGAACGTGCGACGTGCGCCTCTCTCGGAGCGGAGCGTTCGAGGCTTGGGCCGCTGGGGGCTAAGCGGGAGCCCTGGTTTCCCAGATTTAGATCCCCGCGGCGCTAGGAAGGTTGTAAGGCTGAGAGTTGCCCGCGGGCTGTAAAGATAGTGGGTTGACAGTAGAGGTCGTGTTGACTGCTTCAAGGGTTGGCACAAACGGAGGGCTCGTGGGCTTTGGTTCTTTGTGTGACAGCAGGTGAACCATGGACACCTCCAGTGAGCCGGTCCAGCCCTTTCCCCTTCAAAACTTTAGGAAGGGAGCACCGATCACTAATACCAAATCGGTAACTATCTATATCAGCCCTGCATCGTCTGCAGCTTCTCCTGCATTGGGCTCGCATCATTACTACCTTGCACGTGTGCCCAAGCATTCTCTGCTTGTGGGATGTAGTAGTCCTTTATCTCCCCATTTTACATCGCCACGACTGGACTGAAGGGCTCTGGCCTGTACCTGATCATCAGATCACCAAATCATCGTTGCCATCTTGAAAGATCAATATCTAGATGCTCAGCCGGGAATCCTGCAGAAGTCACATCCTCGCATCGCGCCAGCAACGGCAAGGCGTGGTTTTGTGTATCAAACACCGGTCCCACTCAGCGCGTCTGGTTTGACGTGTTTCGTGGGCTTTCGATCACCGAACTTGCTTTCGATCACCGAACTTGCTTTCTGAGTTTTAGATGCGAGAACAGTCGAACTTACAAGAGGATTTCGGTCATACTTCGGAAGTTCTTGCTAAAGCTACAGTCTAAAACGGAGGCATTGGTCATGTTCAATTAGGATGTATAGCCTGAGTAGTCCTACGGACACCATGACTTCTTGTAGTTCGTGTCGAGTCTGTATCGACGGGTGAAACTGTCGAGCAAGGATGCATCTGCAAGGTCTGCAAGCGTTGAAACACAGGTTGTCCTGCGCCCAGCCACTCGCAGATGAACGTCATGTTTGAGGTCAGCTATACTTCCAAGGTTGGGTTGATGCCGGGCCCCTATTACTGTGATCTTTGCTACGCGTCACTTGTTGGAACACGATCAAATGTCTTTGACTGCATGAATTTCGTTTCGTGGTATACACATCGTCTAAGCCATTACGGTATCATGCTCGTCGTCCCATGTCGTACTACAAGCTTACATACGCTCACGACGACGAGGAGCAGACCTGATGATGTTGTCAACACGCAGGAGCAGCTCTGCGGCTTCTGAAGCCGAGGAGACGACCGCACGCTTGAGCTTGTAGCTCTCAATGACGCCCAGTTCCCTCATGTCCGCAATGCCTCCGCTGGGCGACAGCAGGTCGAGTCCTGAGCTCGTAAGACCTGAGTAGACGGCCTTGCGGAGCCGTGTGACCAGGTCGCTGGAGTCAAGACCAGCGTTGTCAGCCAGGATCGTAGGCAGCTGCTGTAGTGCCTTGCCGAATGACTCGACGGCGATGGCCTTCTTGCCTTCCACGTTCTGCGCAGCCTCAGCAACGGCCTTCGCCATATTCATCTCCGCACATCCACCACCAAGCGTTGTCCTGGGCTCCTTGACTGTTTGTGACAGAACCGCAAGGGCATCGTGTAACGATCGCTCAGCCTCGTCGAGAAGCTGCTCGGTAGCACCACGGAGCACAACCGTGCATGCCCTGCCTGCCTTGACACCAGAGAACCTGATAAGTGTATCCTCACCAATGATCACCTCTTCGATCAAGTCGCACTCGCCGATCTTAACCTGATCTGGGTGGTCGAAGGTCGATGTGATCTCTCCGCCAGTGACCAACGCCAATCGCTCAACACCATCGAAGTCTGCGTGCTCGATGGAGCAGATGCCGGCATCTGCGAAGAGCTGCTCTGGCCAGTTGTAGATCAACTGTCGGTTGACGAAGCAGTTGATGCCGTGTGCCTTGATACGCTCGACCTTTGCCTTCATCTTCTCGCGCTCTGCCTTCTCTAGCTCGGCCAGCTTGCCTGTCGAGTCGACCTTCACCCTGGCGCCGAAGATCTTGATTTTGTCTGTGTCCATCGATGTGTTCGCGACCAGGATCTTGGCGTTTTCTATCCTCTTGGGTTGGTTCACACCAAACTTCTTGTCCAAAATGAAGCCATTGTCAAGGTAGGAGTCCTTGAGCTTTCCTCCTGCCTTCTTGATGATCTGAATGTGTGTGAGGTCGGTCGAGCCACCGAGCTTGAGAACAGCATCGACTGCGAGCTTGGAGAACTGGTCGCGATCCTGACTCAGCACCTTGGAGCTCAGTGTTGTCCTTGCAATAGCCTCGAGGTCTCTCCTGAAAGCCTGCTCATCCTTGCTGTGATCTGTCGCGATCTTCTCCAGAGCATTCAGCGCAGCGCGGCTCGCTATCCTGTAACCTTCGATGATTGTCTGGGGGTGGATCTTCTGGTCGACAAGCTTTTCAGCTTCGCGGAGGAGCTCTGCAGCAAGCACAGTGACTGAGGTTGTGCCGTCACCAACTTCGTCGTCCTGAACTTTCGAGATATTGACAAGAACTTTTGCGGCAGCGTTATCGAGGGCAATAGCTTTCAGAATAGTAGCACCATCGTTTGTGACCAAGATTTCACCTGTGGAACTGCATTTGTGTGAGTTTGGCACAACCCACACATGTCGGCGGGGTAAACGTACGCAGATTGAAGGATCTTGTCCATTCCCTTCGGCCCCAGTGTGCTCTTGACCAGGTCGCCGACAGCAATAGCTCCTACGAATGCGGAAAGACGCGCATTCTCACCCTTCTCCTCCGTGACATCGTCGGCAAAGATCTGAGTGGGGTTCGACTACACACAGATGGTAAGTATACAAGATTGACTTCCGATTATAGTTCAACACATACCATCTTGCAAGTGGTGGTAAACAAGCAAGGAGGGGTATCTGAGGAGATGTGGGGTTGCAAGCTTGCGGTGGCCTGCGGACGCGACTTTTTCGAAGTTGCCCGCGATTTTGCACTGTTTGGATGCAGCACGGGCCTCTCAGATGCCTTAAGCTTCGAAGCTTCAGACCTTACAATAGAACAACCTAATGCGCAGCGCCCGGCATATATTACTCGAAAACCTATACACAGATCTCATATAATACCTACTGGCCGGCCACTTGTGCAACTCCACGAATTCGCCATGTCCAAGCGACAGGCCTTTGAGCCTCTCGAAGATGTCCTTGATGCGCCATCCCCAGCTTCGAAACGAGCGCGAGTCGAAGATGTCGATATGGGCAGCCCGCAAACGAATTGCGCACCTACAAATGGGCGGCTCATGTCTCCGCGACCGCAGGATCAGGGAAAGGTGGACATATTAGGCGCAGACGCAGAAGAGCATGCGGAGCTCGAGGAAGCTGGAGCGCTGGACGATGTTGACGAAGACGAGTCCGCCATGGCTGCGCCGAAACGACAAACTGCGCCCGAAGCTGGATATACCGACCTGTACCTCGATACAATAAACCGCAAAGTCCTTGACTTCGATTTTGAGAAGCTATGCTCCGTCACACTTTCGAACATAAACGTCTACGCCTGTCTGGTCTGCGGGAAATACTTCCAAGGAAGAGGGCCGAAGTCGCAAGCATACTTCCACGCCCTGGAAGAAGGGCATCACGTATACGTCAACATGGAGACAAAGAAGGTCTATGTACTTCCAGAAGGCTACGAAGTGAAGTCGAAATCACTAGATGACATCAAGTTTGTGGTGGATCCGCGCATGAGCAAGACAGAAGTTGCGCGTTTGGACAAGGAACCAAAGGTGTCGTGGGACCTCTTCAACAGAGAATACATCCCAGGCTTCGTGGGCATGAACAACATCAAAGCGAACGACTACTTCAACGTAGTAGTACAAGCATTGTCGCATGTTGTCCCTTTGCGCAACTACTTTATGCTTGAAGACCTCTCGTCAAGACCGCAGATTGCGCAGCGATTCAGCACTTTGGTCCGGAAGATATGGAATCCTCGCGCGTTCAAGACCCACGTATCACCACACGAGCTACTACAGGACATTGCGCTGCGATCTTCAAAGCGCTTTACCCTGAGTGAGCAGTCGGACCCAGTCGACTTCCTCTCTTGGTTCCTTAACAACCTCCACTTAGCTGTGGGAGGTTCAAAGACAAAACCAGGGTCGAGTATCGTTCAGAAGGTCTTCCAGGGGATACTGAAAATCGAATCACAAGAGATCACAGCACGTGCAGATGCCGGGGATCGTTTGAGATTCGAAGACGCCGCAGTCAAGTCGAATGTCTCCAAGTTCTTGGTACTTACGCTGGACCTGCCAGCTGCACCGCTGTTCCAGGACGCTTTAGAGAAGAACATCATTCCTCAAGTGCCATTGACTACGATCCTCAACAAGTACAACGGCATACAACCGCAAGAGAAGATGAAGGACCGTGTACGATACCGCCTTCTACACCCTCTTCCGCCATACTTGCTCTTCAACATCAAGCGCTTTAGCAAGAACAAGTTCGTTTCGGAGCGCAACCCAACGATTGTCACGTTTCCTGTCACGTCGCTGGACATGTCGCCATACGTGGAGCCTAACCCAAAGGAATTCCCACCAGGCGAGCCGATCTACTACGACCTCGTTGCCAACATCACTCACGAAGCCGTCAAGAAAAAGGATGATAGTGTAGAAGGAGAACAAGAATCCAAGGTCTGGAGGGTACAGCTCAAAGATAGGAGTCGAGACGACTGGTACGGCATCCAGGATCTATTTGTCGAGAAAGAACAAGCCGAAACACTGTTCACAAAGGAGGCCTATGTTATGGTATGGGAGAGACGGAGAACGAAGCCGGCTGCGAATGGCAATGGTAAAGGCAAGGCTTGATGAGGTGGTGAATCTTGCCAAGAGCTGTCCACATTCGGGCGTTGCAGTCTCAAGGTTGTAAGATTGGACATATACACTGTCAACCACATCAAGTGCAGATAGGCCGCCTTCTGTTGTGGCATATATGCAAAGGCTGGAGGCCTTCAACGCTAGCGCTGACTGCGCAAACCTTACAACTCACTCGAACCTATACTTAGTGCGATGTGTCTCAAGCCTCTTGTGCAGCGCCTTGAAACTTTGTGCAAGAAATGTAAAGGAGTGCAACTTAATCTTATATAAACACTACTCGCGACTGCCGTTGCTGCTCAAACGTCACTTTCCTACAGAAAACGTGCTCAAAGACTCCCGGCGCCTGCCGAACCTGATTATATACACATGTGTTGCCGTTCGCACGATCGATACAAGCCAACACAACAGCTTCAACATTTCAACACACTTCAACACCGAGTCCTAATGCTTCGGCGCATACAATCATCCGATTGCCCACCTTTGCCGGCCGCTAAACACGTTCTGAGGCATCAACAAACGCCAAGGGCATGGACACTCTGCATGGATGCGGTGAAGAGATGACAAGGGCTAAGCACCAACTACGCAAATCAGGGAGGTAACTCGCAACTACAGGCTGTTTGCGGTATTACTCAATCTTCAGTCAAGAAAGAGCTGCGAAAGAGCATAACTCGTCCGTCCAACGAGCAGCGCAGGTAGAGTCATACACATGAAGCTCATATTGGCTGTCAGCAAGACAGTCACGGCGACTCAATCAATGCGAGCTCTCGGCAACCGCAAGTGGAGGGTCGTGTGAAGCAATGCCGGCTGCGCAGAGCAAGAGCAAAGGAAAACATTCAGTCTAAAGGAAAAATCACCAACTCTGTCGGCTCAACGTGGGCTTAAATCATCGCATTATATAATCACTTGTCTCGCGCAGAACGAAATAGCGATGTTGAAGACAGTTCGTCCGGTGAGTAATCCATATTCCACAGAACACAAGCTTTAACCACCCGCCCGTCAGTTAAGCGATCGGAAAGTGGGCCGTTATGGTTTGTTTTCGAAATGCCGGCTACACCCCGTGACCTGAGATCCTGAGCATAGATAGGCGTAGCCTGCGTACATGTGCCAAGAGACTATATCTTAGCTTCCTCATCACAGAGTGAATTGCTAGCCGGTGTTTCGAAAACGCCTATGCCGATCCTGGGTCAGCTGCGTTAAATACGTCAATACGACATGTTGAGCCGTGGAGACAACAACGCGACAGACAGCTGTCAAGGAGAACGTGGGCGACGAACTACATTCAGAGTTTGGGTGCATTATTCGATTGATCGACAATGACTCAAACAAACAGCACCGACTCCCGACGTGTCAAGGCAACGCTCCGCGGGCAGTTGCAAGTCTGAAGGTCGGGACGTCGGGCAAGAACAGCACCCGATGGCGTAAAACATTCTTTGATGCTTAGCAAACCCCAGATTCTGCCGCTCTTCGCGTGTTACCTGATTGATGACGCATTACGTCCGTTTTGTCCGAAAGGCTAGCCTCAAGATTCGCACTGATTTCATGACTGCCGCCAGGATATATCATCTAGCCCTGCATCACGCAGACGTGACAACTCGCCTCCTCAAGGCTTTCGCGACACTCACTTGCTAGACTTCTGCCCCAAGGAACCGACAGTCGCTTCCATCACTCAGGGGCATTACAGAATCGATTTCGCAGAATTATCCGGACCGGCTCCTCTCGAACAATTGGATTTCGGAAGTCGGCTTCCCGCCCTCGCCTCCTCAGGCGTACAACGACACACGATGTCATCTTCAGCATCATCGTTTCGAGAGAAAGAGAAAGAAATTGGTCTTGGAGAACCTCAAGCAGCAGCGGAGAACCCTACAGAATATGAACCGATAAGAACGGAACCCAGCGCACATGATGCAGAGGTGGACCCTAAGAGGCGGCAAAGTTTAACCCGGCTTGAGAGCAACACCAGCGCAGTATCGGATTTCAGCGATAGCGAGACAAGTACGAAGGCCTCGATAAGAAAGAAGAAGTTTTACAAGAGGCTCAATCCGCTGAAATGGGGACCTAAGCCATCAATTCCGAAAGAGCGGGAAGTTTGCCCAGAGTACAATGCAAATGCACTCAGTCGAATCACGTTCCAGTGGATGCAGCCCCTGATGGCTACAGGCTACAAGCGACCGCTCGAGAAGACCGACATTTGGGCCGTGAACCCTGACAGGAGTGCGGAAGTGCTGATTGAGCGCTTAAATGCAGCTTTCGAGAAGCGATTGATGGAGGGTGGCGACAAGCCACTGTTGATGGCCATGTTTGACACGTTCAAACGCGAGTTCATTATTGGAGGTCTCTGTCAACTTTCAGCGTCCGTCATTCAGGCCGTGGCACCATTCGTGCTGCGATACTTGATCAATTTTGCCGTCAGAGCTTACGTCGCTCAGCGTTCCAACGCGCCGGCACCAAACATTGGCGAAGGTATTGGACTCGTTATTGGCATCACAGCAATGCAGGCCCTGCAAAGTCTGTTTACCAACCAGTTCATGTACCGCGGAATGATGGTCGGTGGACAAGCTCGTGCTGTATTGATCACAGCTATTTTCGACAAGGCGATGAAGCTGTCGGGCAGAGCAAAGGCAGGTGGCCAAGCGGTCCTGGAAGCACCACCTTTAGGTGTCAAACCTGGAAGTGAAGAAGAGAGGAAATGGTACCAGAAGATCCTCAAGAAGAAGCAAAAGAAGGCAAAGACAGGAGCTGAAGGTGTCGCTGGAGGTGGCGAAGGCTGGGGCAATGGTCGAATCGTCAACTTGATGTCCACTGACACATATCGTGTCGACCAGGCCAGTGGTTTCTTCCATATGATCTGGACTGCACCAATCGGTATCTTGGTCACAACAGCTCTCCTCCTGGTTAATTTGACATACAGTGCTCTTCCCGGTCTTGGACTGATCCTGATCGCCATGCCATTGCTCGCTCGATCTGTCAAGTCTCTGTTCCATCGCCGTGTCGCTATCAACAAGGTCACCGATCAGCGTGTTAGTCTGACGCAAGAAATTCTGCAGGCGGTGCGGTTTGTCAAGTTCTTCGGTTGGGAGACCAGTTTCCTCAAGCGTATCCAAGAAATCAGGAAGCAGGAGATCCGCGGAATCCAGGTTTTGCTCACCATCCGAAACGCCGTCCTCGCCGTCGGGATGTCCATGCCTGTCTTCGCCTCTATGCTGTCATTCATCACTTTCTCCCAAGTTAATCCTTCCTTGGACCCAGCGAAGATCTTCTCTTCATTGGCATTGTTTAACTCGATGCGTATCCCATTGAACTTCTTGCCTCTTGTCATTGGCCAAGTCATCGACGCAAACGCATCAGTCAAGCGTATTCAGGAGTTCTTGATGGCGGAAGAGGCCGAGGACAGCGCCAAGTGGGACTACAACGCCAAAGACGCTGTTGTACTTTCGAACGCAGACTTCACCTGGGAACGTCACCCCACTAGCGATGAAGTTAAGGACGGACCAAGCGGAAAGAAGATTGGTAAAGAGACCAAGGCTGAGACGAAGTCTAGGGTTCAGACAGAAAAGGACGAACACGCCGCAGACTTAGAGAGGAAGAAGAATGCAGCAGAAGAGAAGCCCTTCGAGATGAAGGGCCTGAACCTCAGCTTTGGCAGAAACGAGCTCGTTGCTATCATTGGAAGCGTCGGCTCTGGAAAAAGTTCCCTCCTTGCTGCGCTCGCTGGTGACATGCGCAAGACCAGTGGCGAAGTTGTAATGGGTGCTTCCCGTGCATTCTGCCCGCAGTACGCATGGATCCAGAATGCTACGGTACGCGAGAACATTGTCTTCGGAAAGGAGTTCAAGCAGAAGTGGTACGACCAAGTCATCGATGCGTGCGCCCTCAGGCCGGATCTTGAAATGCTTCCTGTTGGAGACGCAACTGAGATTGGAGAGCGTGGTATCACGGTGTCTGGAGGCCAGAAGCAGCGAATGAACATTGCACGGGCAATCTACTTCAATGCTGATATTGTGTTGATGGATGATCCGCTCAGCGCCGTTGATGCGCATGTCGGTCGCCACATCATGGACAATGCTATCTGTGGGCTGCTCAAGGATAAGTGCCGTATCTTGGCTACCCATCAACTTCACGTTCTCAACCGTTGCGACAGGATTATCTGGGTCGAAGAGGGTCATGTACAGGCGGTTGATACATTCGACAATCTGTTAGCTCACAACGAAGGCTTTCAGCAGCTCATGACCATGACCGCCTCAGAAGAGAAGCATGAAGAGGAAGAAGAAGAGCTCGAGGACGAAGTTGAAGACGAGAAGAAGATTGCTAAGAAGCAGAAGAAGCAGAAGAAGGCCGCAGCTCTCATGCAAGTTGAAGAGCGCGCCACCAAGAACGTATCTTGGGACGTCTGGATTCAGTACATCAAGGCTGGAGGCGGCATCTGGGTTGGGCCACTTGTCTTCATCTTGCTCGTCCTCTCGCAGGGTGCCAACATCGTCACTAGCTTGTGGCTCTCGTACTGGACCTCTGACAAGTTCGGCTACAGCGAAGGTGCATACATTGGTGCCTATGCTGCATTTGGCTTCAGTCAAGCTCTTCTCATGTTCCTGTTCTCGTGGGCTGTGTCCGTGTTCGGTACTGAAGCTGGCAAGAAGATGCTGCACATGGCTATCACTCGAGTGCTCCGCGCACCGATGTCTTTCTTCGACACGACACCTCTTGGACGCATTACCAACCGCTTTTCGAAGGATATCGATGTCATGGACAACACCCTCACCGATGCGATTCGTATGTACTTCTTGACACTTGCGATGATCATCTCAGTGTTCATCCTAATCATCGCCTACTATTACTATTACGCCATCGCACTTGGACCGCTGTTCATCTTTTTCATGTTCTCGGCCGCCTTCTACAGGTCCTCGGCTCGTGAGGTAAAGCGCCACGAGGCTGTGCTACGCAGTACTGTGTTCGCACGCTTCGGTGAGGCTGTCATGGGTACACCCACTATCCGAGCCTATGGCTTGCAAAATCAATTCTCCCGCACCGTACGGGAGGCCATCGACGACATGAACAGCGCCTACTACCTTACTTTCGCCAACCAGCGCTGGCTCAGCACTCGTCTCGATGTAGTCGGTATTCTGCTCGTCTTCACCACTGGTATCCTTGTCGTCACGTCTCGATTCAATGTCAACCCCAGCATCGCTGGTCTGGTCCTATCGTACATCCTCACTATCGTCCAGATGATTCAGTTCACGGTCCGTCAACTGGCTGAGGTAGAGAATAACATGAATTCCACCGAGCGCATCTACCACTACGGCACACAGCTTGAAGAGGAAGCTCCCCTCCACACCGACGTCCAAGTCCGACCCACTTGGCCCGAGCTTGGTGAGATCATCTTCGACAATGTTGAGATGCGCTACCGTGCTGGCCTGCCTTTGGTGTTGAAGGGTCTGAGCATGCACGTTCGTGCTGGTGAACGCATTGGTGTCGTTGGACGTACGGGAGCGGGTAAGAGTTCGATCATGTCTGCTCTCTTCCGTCTGCAGGAGCTGGCCGCCGGTTCGATCACCATCGATGGTATGGACATCAGTAAGATTGGTCTGCAGGATCTGCGATCGAACCTGGCCATCATCCCACAAGATCCCACCCTCTTCAAGGGAACTGTAAGTGACATTCCAAAAACCCCTAGAGTAACACCATGCTGATCTCCGACACAGATTCGAAGCAATCTTGACCCATTTCACAAGAAGACGGATCTGGAGTTGTGGTCTGCCCTGCGCCAAGCCGATCTGGTGTCAAACGACACAGAAATGGGCGACAAGACTGGACGTATTCATCTCGATACTGTTGTAGAGGAAGAAGGACTCAACTTCTCTCTGGGACAGCGTCAACTGCTTGCCCTGGCTCGCGCACTTGTTCGTGGTTCGCAGATTATTGTCTGCGACGAGGCAACCTCAAGCGTCGACTTCGAGACCGATCAGAAGATCCAGCAGACGATCGTACAGGGCTTTGCAGGAAAGACACTGCTCTGCATTGCGCATCGTCTCAAAACCATCATCAGCTACGATCGCATCTGCGTCATGGACCAGGGTCAGATTGCCGAGCTCGATACGCCCATCAACCTATATGATCAGGGTGGTATCTTCAAGGGCATGTGCGAGCGCAGTGGGATCCGGAGAGAGGACTTCTTTGGGAAGAACCAAGAACCAGGCGTGCGATAGAGGCACAGGTGCAGGCAGCGTGCCCTGTAGCCATCGTCGTGTGTTATCGCGCTACGATGGAGGTGTTATCGCGCTACGATGGAGGTGTTATCGCGCTACGATGGAGGTGTTATCGCGCTACAATGGAGGGGTCAAAGGATGAAGGTACCCGCATCCACCGTTACCGGCTTAATTTGTACACTAATTTTGCGTGTCTTCCTTGTTGTGGACGCGGTCTGATTGACGCGCATGAGCATGGCGTTTGTAGCGGCATTTTGTGACGTTCTTCCTCCAATGTTGGGCTGGGTTTGGCATGTCTAGCGAGGGTCTGTTTCGCACCAGCAGAGAATGAGATCCCAGGGAAAAGATGCAATGTCCGACAGTTCACACTGAAACTTGGTTGCATTTAACCGGGTACAGATATTCGTTTTCATGTGGTGTTCGGCTGCTGATGGCGAGGCTGCAACTTCTTCACCAGCCGCAGCGAGGCTTGAAGCAGCAGCGCAAAATGTGGTAGGATCTAGCGGCTTGGTGTCGAAGCACCTTTGCTCCTCAAGCGTCTTTTCACCCAGCGCTGGGCCACCCCGCCAATCTAGTTCCGCGAATTTCAGAAACATCAACGGGAGCAGCTGGCACCACCCAGGCGCTTAAAGTCACTATCGCAAGGCTGTTGGGCGTGCCAGCGCGGCGATGCCGACGCACGCAGTCGAGACACTGTGCCAGACGTCTGGAGGCTCTTAGAGAAGTCGCCTTCGCGTGCGTCTTCTCTTGCCAATCACTCGCGTCGCAAGCTGCATGAAGTTAAGGCGCCGCCGTGGCTCTCGGCCAGCCTCTCCGTATGGGCATGATCTTGTTAACGCGTCCAAGCAACTGGAGCCCTGCAAGCTCTAACCGCAACCTCACTCGCCCGCGCTCATGCTTGCGAGCCAAGCTCCAGTCGTTCAGCACGGATTCTAGACCAAGGGAGCTTGACCTCTTTGAGTGCGGCGTCGTTCAGAGCTCGCTCAGGGACGCCGTGACGAGTCCATAGATGGCGTGCAGCAGCGTCAAGACTCTTGGTTCTTGGGCGCCGTGATAAGCTCTTCAGTCTGTAACAAGACGGCAGCTGGCCGCGAGAAGAGCAGTGTTCGCGGCTGCAGTGACGTTAACCGCAGAGAGCGTTGAGAGTGGAGCGCTGCTGCGACAGACAAGTGAACAATAGCGGCTCAGCCTATCAAATGAAAGGGCCGAAGATCGTCACTTTGCAGGGAGCATGCTTCATTGGGTCTAGCAGTTCGATCGGCCCTCTAGTCTGGAACTCAGTGTTCGCTCAGACCTTCCCCCGGCCCTGGGCCTGGAGTTCTCCTCCAAGCTCATTATTATGGCCTGCGCCCACCAGCTACGCTTCTTTTGCTAGCCGTACCATTCTCCTCCCGCTGCACTCTCGTCGCTCTCTGCTTTTCCCCCCGCAGCAATTGTAGCTGACGCACGCCGGTCGACCAGCTACATACAGTCTACCTGTGTTGTTTGCTCCTTCCTTGTAAACGGCACCCTTATCGAGTTGAGCCTTCCATCTCAGGAGTGAAACCACCTCACGGCAGTCGATACCGAGCCAAATCACCTGATCCGCGTGTCATTCTTGCTGTGGACTCAGCTCGATCACCAAACGTCGCACAACATTACTCCACTGCATCTGCAGTCAGCCATCATTGGAAAAGGGTCCTCCTGACGACTTAGTCCCTGCGGCACTGCGTACATCACAATTACAAACACTGTCCTTGCTACCACATCGTGAACCACTCCTTCTACACCACAATGGCAGCAAACAACGAAAAGTACGACCCCGTCACCTTTGGCGTCACCATTGAGGGCAACACCGACGTCCCCAAGTCAACTTCGTCGCCCGCACCCTTACTCCCATCGTCCAACGCGTCGACAATGACGACAGCCACAGCAGAGGCCGCCAAGAAGGAGATGGCTATCGACTCGTCGAACCCCTACTCTGCCTTCTACAACCACCCAGATGCTCGTCGCTCCTTCGGCAATGTCAGCGCGCCACAGAGCAAGACACATCTCGAGATCAACACCTACGAGCGCGACCTCGAAGCGGGTGTCCCACTATCGGCCGCTACCACACAGCAGCTGCCCAAAGTCTCGGTCGACGGTCGTGTCAGGGAGGTCAAGGAGTGCACAATGTGGCCGTCGAGGCAAGCTGTGCTCGACAAGCGAAAGGACCACAAGCGCAAGAAGGGCTGCAACCTCTTCCAGGGCTTGACCAGCAAGCAGAGGTTATGGATTAAGATCATCATCGCTCTCCTCGTCATTGGCGCTGCGGTCGGTCTTGGTGTAGGCATCTCGCGAGCGGTCGGTGGTGGTGTATGGGCCGGCGAGGGCAAGAGCAAGGAGATCCCGCACAACTGAGCTCTTCATGGGCTCCGTTAGCAACAGCACTGTCACAGGTTCGTTGCCCTATATTGCGCGCAGTCGAGACCACAGCTAACATCTGCTAGAGTCGCTCAGTACATCATTTGAGCATGACCATCGACTACGACTACGCGCGTACTTTCTTCGACATCATTATGATATCCCCTTTTACTGTTTATTGCTTGTACCTAATGTACATATTTCTGTCTTGCTTCTGTCTATATTTCAACGGGACACATCTGGGGTCTGGGCGCACTGGGCGCACTTCACCGGCATATCAATGCATTTGGGCAAGGATCAAGGAGCTTGGTGTTTACATGGGGTTTTCCTACAGGTGCGACAGATCCACAGTAGAGCTACAACGCACGAGAGAGACCGATCAATTGAACATCGCCTTTGCTTCTCAGCAAGGCTGAACTCCCAAGACTCACATTTCCGAAGTCTCTGTAATTCTTGCGCAGCTGTTGCATCTGCACGTCATTCTGAACACACTTGTGTCACGACCTCAACGGTTTCACTAACCCCACTCATAATGGCATGTCAAGCGCGCACGGTGTGTTCCACATGTATTGGTGACCCGTCGAACAAGGCACCGTTCTGACGTACCCGGCGACAATGCGAAACGCGGAAGTCCAAACGTGCAAACGAACGCGCGCCTCCAACACTTCACATGTCCATCAAACCAACACCTCTCACACAGCGCAAACGCGGCCGCTGCCCGCACCTAAACGAAAGCGAAGCGCGAAAAACCAGACCACCCCTTTCAAAGGATCTGAACATCGCAATGAAAGAGACCGAATACGGAAGTTGTGCTGGTCCCTGCGTTATCGGAATATTGGATGTGGGTTCGGGAGAGGCGCAGCACTATCCTCATCATCGCGATTGTGAAAGTGCACGGAGATCGGAATACGCTGCGTATTTGGCCGTATTTGTGTACAACCATAGTTCCTTCGGCTCCAGGGTCTGTTTGTTTTTGAGGGGTCTGTTCGGCATGAGCCGAGCGGTTTCCAGAAGATTGGTAGGTTGGATGGGGGATGAGGAATGCTGGCATGTTTGACATTTGACGCTTTCTCTCTTTGGGGATTGAGAAAATGGACTGGCGATACGACAAAAATTCATCAACTGCCAAAATAGATCAATGAAAGGTTTCCAGTTGATTATGACTCATGGAAAGAACGAAGCCACTACCTTGTTACCATTGGCAAATGCTTTGTGTATACTACGTGTAACGCGCTCCTTGGTAAGCGGATGGAAAGTCTGCCACCGCACAACCCTAAACTTTCCCTGTTTCTGCACGTTCGACATGCTTCGATGACAATGAGCAATATCCAGTACTCTCAAGAACCCCCCATCTCACCTTCGCTAGGTGCGGATCTACTTCATCTGGAGCCGGATGGCATGCCGCACTGATCATGAGACTGCAGTTCTCTGCCAATGGAAGGTTGGGTACCATGCGTCGTCGCCCGACCCATCGGACTACGATGACCAGGATCGTACAGGCAACACAGAAAGTGATGAGGCTCGAGAACGAGATGCCGCAGGCGGACGTCCACCGATCTAGCCTTCCATCGCGACTGAGATAGTCGATACGAGATAGAAAGAAGGTCTGCGATAAAAGCCAATGCAGCCCACCGCTAGCGACGATGAGTGGAGTTGCAAATCTGTAAGGAAGTTGTAGGAAGTAGGTGCTGCGTTGTTCGCCGTGCGGTTTCGTGACTCGAAGGCCCTTTCTGGAGGTTGCCAAGCTGTTCCACTCAACTGCACTTGCCATCGAAGTGCAGATAGTGTTAAGGTTGAGATAGCACAGCGATAGAAGGACCTGTGGCATATTGGAGAGCCATGCATTCCAAATAGTGCCTTTTGTCGATCCTGCTCTGGAACCAAACGAAATCGAGCCGCCAGAGGCAGATCCCCATTGCCAGATACTAACATTCACAGCATCGATCCTGGTCGGAAATACCACGAGCACAAGTACTAGGCAAGTTCCGCTGATCCAGTGTCAGGCTGAGATGTATGTGGAGGGAGTGTGAACTTACGCTATGATAGCGGTCCAAGTCTTGTCGTAGCCGATTGAGGAACAATAGCGTCGCAGCCGTGGCTGCCATATGACCTTGCTGTAATCCGTAGCATCTTCATTGTCGAAGCTTAGCAGCATCTGATCCAACTCCAGCGCACTTCTTCCTTCAGTCAAATCCTCTGGGCGTTCCAGGTAAGAAGCCGCGGCGTCACCTAAAGTCACAATATATTCTGAAGTCTCCATCATCAGCACACTAACCATGACAGTCAGCTTGAGAAAGTTGAAAGAGAGCACGACCACCATGAAGTAGAGGCTGATCTGGATGCGACTATTGCGACCGCTTTCGGTTGTCCAACCTTCCACGATATGCATGCTTTCCGGTAGCGGTGCAGTCGTCGAATTTAGGCCTTCTAGAAAGGGTGACCAACCTTCTCTAGACGGCTTGTAAGAACTGAAAAGCTTAGGCCCTGAGATATGTTGTGGAAAATATTCAGAAAGTGAGAAGTTGAACTGCGTGACATCCGGTCGCGTCTTGTACGAGATCTGATCGATAAGCAGAAATAGATCGCCGTATCGCGTAATCGCTGGCGCATTGTAGATGCTCGTCCATTCACTATTGGTGAGACGGACAGATGTGTTCTCGGAATTGCGTAAACCAACAAGAGATGTTTGGTTCAAAGACCTGGTGTAATTCCACGCGGGGGAATGCCTGTCGAGCAGTACGATCTCATAGTCGCTCATAGTGATGATCTTAAATATCGAAGCATTGTAACTATTTCAAGTTAGATTCTGAGCTCAGCACATGGGCAACTGTTCTTACAACAGATGTAAAGGGAGTGATGAGGCAGCCAAGATCAAGCAAAGGGCTGCTCTCTTCAGGGATATGATCCTAAGGTTGTGCACGCTTAAAAGGCCGATGTCGAGCCACTTCCCGCTTGTATGAGCCCGGTCCATCTCTTGCCGGGTAGGTGCGTTCAAGACTTGCATTGTGTAGTTGCTTGCCGATAGAAGCACAGTGCTGAGGGCGTTAATGAAGATGTGGCATACTGTGTTCCATCTGGACACGGTCGCTTCGTTGCCCTCCATCACCGTAGCGACGCCGTCTCGGTCGTATCCGGATCCTGTCTGACTGCCTACAACCACCACAGCGATGTTGCAGAGAAGCACGAATGCGGATACGCATGTGCCAAGTAGCACCCCCATACGCCAACCGTGAAATCGGCTTTGCCTCAGTCGAAGTCTGTAGCTGTCATCAACTGCTTTCAGAGCTTTCCTTATCATCCGGTGGGGGCTTTTGCCATCTTTCGAGCCGCCTTGTGCTTTAAAATATGACTCGGCATTCGGGCTCGAATCTCGCGGGTCGATGTCGTCGAGAGAATTATCGCGCCTGTCCACATTTTAGCACGGGCGGTGAGTTGAGGTATGTCCACCGCACTGATATGAATGGCCTCCGACATCGCTATCAGTCACCAATAGACCCCTGTATTCAGTGTCGACGTTTCGGCGATCAACTGAGAGGTGGATGTCGTTGGCCTGTTGCTGCGTGCCGGGCTGACGGCTACCCTTTCGAAGTTGGTAATGTTTCGTTCGGACATGACTTGGACGATGTTCTATATAGCTCGCCATAGAGCCTGGAACTGGGCGTTGAGGAGTGGATTCAGGGTATCCCGTTGTCGCATGTGCGGTCGAGGAAGGCGGACCATAGTCATAGTAATTGACCATGCATCTTAAAGGCTGGTCTTCAAAGATACGATCTCGAGACATGTTGCGTAGTTGAGTGAGAATGCGACGTGCTCATAAGGTATGTGATAAAGAAAGAGCCAGGACTGTGGTTATCATTCGACAAGGCTGAGTTCTTGTACTCGAGCATGCGGTGTGCCAGTGCAACGCCTTGTGGCGCCGTGCCATGCATTTTTGGCCCCCGTTTCATGTCTCTGGCTATTTCAGAAGCCAATAGTTTGGTGCATTGCTTTGCGGCTTTTGAAGCTCTGTGGGTGACAAAGGCTGGCTACGATGTTACAGCCTTGCACCGTGACAAGTCTTCAAACTGTGTTCAATGTGAACATTGCCAGGCTGTTCTTTCGAAGATCTGGCGTTGTTCCGGTTTGTATCGGCAGTGCAAGACGCTGTAATCCTTGTTACTAATATGTTGTTAGTGGTGCAGCAGGTAAGCTGCGGTTCGTGTGGTTGTTCGATAAGGCTGAGGCGTTACATTCTTAGTACGCTGACATGCAGGGCTGGATCACCGGCGGTTAGTGGCGCATTTGGAATGATCGTCTTCAGCAGTTGTGGCCAGGAAGTCGGCAGGAGACATATGCCCACGTGCCTGCCCAACAAGAACTCTTGGACATCTGTAGCAAACTTAGACAAAGTTAAGAAGGTTCATATGCTGAATTCCTATTCGATCCGCTCGGTCGAACCCTCCAACCTGGATGATCTAATGCAAAATTACAGAAAGCATGCAGCAACAGTAGCTGCGAGAATATTGCACAAATGCCCACCTTTTATGTATACGTGTTCATACAATACTCATTACAGTTCGTTGATTTCTTGTACATCGTCTCCGTCACCATCACCAGTGCTGTGCTTAGGGAACTTCCTGTACCAGTCCTTTGGGTTTCCACCAGGAAGACACAGACCAAGACGCCAGAAGTAGTCCCTGTGCGCGAAGAATAGCTGCCAGAACTTGAAGCGTGTAGGCACGCCCCATGCAGGGCGGTCGTCATCACTCCCTTCGATGCAGTGCGGGTCTTCGTCGCCTTCGCAGTAGTGTACATCGGCCAGCGAGAACGGAAGGCTTGGTTCTGAGATGAAGATCTCTTCACTATGCATCGAGTAGCCCCACTCTTCTAACGGTAGCAAGGGAACCGGATCACCAGCATGGGTGACACGATGCAAGTCATTTGACTCGTGGTTGTCCGTGATTTTGAAGCGGTCGTCGATGTATGCATTCAGATTCTTGTTCCCAAGTCGCGGCTCGCCAAAAGTGGTCACGCGAGGGTTCCACCCACGAGCCTTGAAATCTAGGCCAGCCAAAGTCGCAATTGCGCCGCCCAGCGAATGTCCAACGAGCACCAGCTGATAGTTGGGGTACTTCTCCAAGGCCTCAGATACGTGTGGTAGAACCACTTTGCGCGTGCTCAACCAAGAGGAGTAGAAGCCAGTATGCACGGTGCAGTTGGTGCACTTGGGCGGTTCTGCAGGCGGTGGGTCTCCCTCAGACGGCGTGGACGACTGCATGTGAGGTGCAAGGAAGTGGGAAGTAGACCCATCGTCGTCCTCGCCGGGGTAGGGGACATATTCCTGGGGGATAGTCGAGAGGTCTGCGATGGTATTTGCGATAGAGTAGGTTCCGCGAAAGGCGAGAATGAGTCGTGGGTTCTCAGGGGTGTGCGCCAGGGCGATGTAGCCGCAGGAGTCGGACAGGAAAGGTCCGGTGTTCCATGCCTGTCATCGTCAATACAATACAACAAAGAACAATGGGATGCTGCATCCGGCGACCCACTGTTACAAGCCCAAAGCTCTCGAAATCAGGGTCTGAGCAGCGGCTGGCACACTGAAAGGGCTTCTGGATACCCAAGCCAGCAGTGCCAACGCAGTAAGAGATATCGACTATGCGCGCGAGTTCCTCCAGCTCCCAAAAGAGCTTCTGCGAAATCAGGGTGTCATTGCCGGGGTGGACGAGCGGCTGCTGTGTTGCGTCGCCATGGCTGCCAGAGACGGCGGCGAGTATCACAAGACAGTGCAGGATGAGGCCGAAGACGGTGGCCATGGAGGCTGTCTATCACATATTCCTCGGAGGCGGCCTATGCTGATTGCAGTGGAGCGAGAGTGAGGTCAGAGGATGATGCATCCGGGCATGATCAGGTGTTTTAGCTGGGGTTGCAGCCATTCCCGATGCGCGACGGCGGTGGCTTGCTGGGCGCCAAGTTTAGAAAGATCGGCGGCGACGTCATAGTCGTTTTGATTTGAGGGAGACCCCCGGATACGATGAGTTCATCCAGCAAAGCGGCTGCACCCTGCTTACAGTTTTCTCCAAGACACACCACTGCCGCACACAAGACGCACGCTATCCGTTGGCATCCGCATAAGACAAGGCGAAGACACGATCACTTCATCTTGAGGATCGCTTGTTTCCCTTAGACAGCATCTACACTCATCATTACCACACATCACCACGCCCATTATGACCACCGAACACACGTCCACCGAGCCGTTACGGGCGGCCACGCCTACAATGACAGAACCTTCACGACCTGCGACAGCGCACACAGCAAATGGTTCCCTTCAACTTCCGGGCGTCGACGGGGTCACCGATGCAAACAACAGCACAACAGCGGTCAACGCCAGTGCAACCCCCAGCAGACCTGTCACGCCAAACACATACAACCAACTCAACGCCAGGTTTCCGCACACCCAAGTCGCATACGATGACCCCGACTTCAGACGGCCCCCGCCGCTGAAGTACTCGTTGCGAACGCGCAAGAAGGCCATTTTCTGGTTCTGGACGCTCATCATCCTTGACTGTATCTTCATGCCCATCGGGCTGTACTTTGGCATGTGGTATGGTCTCACACGAGATCAGCTCTCTGCAAATGCCACTTTCAGTATTAGTACTGCCTTGCTGGGTACCGTCTCGATTGTCGAATACTTCATTCGTTTCCACCGACTTTGGAAGAAGGACTCCCAGTGCAGAGTCATCGGTGCCAAACGAGCCTACGTGAGTAACTAGCAGTGCATATCAAGTTTATGCAACTAATCGAATGCAGCTCGATTGGTTCCACTGGAATTTGTCTTTCGCATGGTTCTTCATCATGATCGAACTTATCGCCGGAACGTGTCCCCATGACCCTCCGATCCGTGTCCTTGCCATGCCAGCAGCCACTATGCTTTTCGCTATTGGCTTCCAGCTACTGCTCCTCGATATCCTCCGACTCCGCGGCGTCCCCGCCCCGTGCCGTATCTCTTCGCTTCCCAAGGGCGCACCTCTGCGACCTGGTATCTACGCGTACATAGAGGACATTTGCGCTGTCGATGGATCTGGAGGCACCGAGTTCAGGCAAAGACTTAACCTGCGTTACCAGGCTAGCAAGGCCTTCCGCGAGATGTTGCACCGCTTGACATTGTTCTGGGCCATTGGCGCCATTGTCTGCGCTACCGTCACCACTGCTATCATCTTCACCATCCAGCGTGATGCTGCCTATGTTGTAAGTTCCTCGACTTCTCTTGAACATCAGCAGGTACTAATTCATCACAGGTTGGCTGGATCCTTCCCTTCCTCTGGGCCGGTGTCTGGGCCGCAATCACTATTCCCTGGGTCCAGCGTGACCTAGAGAAGGAGTATAACGACTGGACCGAGGCCAGGTGGAAGGCTTAGATTCCTTGTGCATTTCCTTTGTATCAATACCTTATACTGTACAGTGGGCACCCATGGCGACGGCGCTGGCGTTCGGTTTTCAAGACATGATGGGATTTACTTTACGATACCACGGTTGCTAAGATTGTCTTTCAGTGCACTGCTATTCCATCCCCATCCGACATTGTTTTCTTCAAAATTCTCAGTGTTCATCGTAATCGCACTTTGCGACGCTCGGTATAGCTCCACGAGACGCATACAACGAAGATCGCTGACATCACAATGATACCACTTGCAAACTTCCCCATGTGCAGATCTCCATCATCAACAACTCCACCGATGTCAGCCGCGTGTAAATTTCCCGGATTCGGAGCTCGACAAAGCGCGGCGCCAACGCTCTTGGACGATGTCATGGAAAGCTTGTATCGTGACGCCTGCTCGCTCGAATCGGTATGGTGAGAAGGGAGATTCATCCCCGGTGGGGTCGGTGCGGTACGGTGCACACGAGAAGGACGCTAGAAGGCCACCAGAAACAAGGCGGCACCTTCGCGACCGTTCTTGACATTTTCATGATTCTGCATTAACACTCTAGGCATATTAGCACTTTAGGCATATTAAACTTGTCATTTCCTTTCCATTTTTAGTGTACCAGTATAGCCGGCAACGCATGAACTGCAAGGCACCGCCAGAAGCTCTGAGGTTGACAGAATCTCTGTGGTTGATTGGAGTGTATGGAGATAACGCAGGTAATCCAAGATGCTTTTAATTCCGGATTGTACTTTCTTTCGTGCCATTGCGTGGTCTCGCACTTTCCAATACGTCGTGCCTATCCTCTTTCGTTCCTTGCTTCTTTCCGCCCACCAAACACTCATTCACCATGCAAGCCTCCCACTGAAGTCCAGACCATCAAATTCCATCAATTCACAATGACATTAGCCACAGCGCAAGGTCTCATTGGCTCTCTGCATGAGCCTTCACCGATCGGAGGATCCCCGCCTCTGCGGTCAGAGTAGTACGAGACACAACACCTGTGCCAATGCCTACGGGTTCTACAGCACGAATAGCAGGCTGTATTGATTAGCGATGTAGGGCTGTCGTTGGTTCCGCGGGTGAACGACTCTCGCAGACTCGTCTTTTTCCTGTCCCTGCAAACTTCTTCCAGCCTCTTTTCTATCATTTACTGCTCGTATCGTTTCAGCTATCCCGGCAATTCGAGATGCCTATCGTAGGTGCGACAACCGTAGTCAGCACCACCACTATGGATAGTACCACATACGTCTCGACTGTCGGGCTATTGGTGGTGTCACCTATAACGCTAGCGAACACTCTCACAGTACTGTCTTCATCACCCATGCAGCTGACGACTCCTCGTTTACAAACTTGAACGCACCGCCGCTTACAACATATTACACCGCGCCAAGTGAATGTGCTGATAGATAGATGTTAGCTAGCAGTCAAGAGGTTACTACAAACTCGTAGGTTGCCTACAGCACAAACCCTCATTGCCCCTAGCGACACAGCATTGGTTGCGCCTGTGACTTCGGCTAGTACTCCCATTTCCACACCTCTCATAGGAAGTTGGGCCTTATGAATGGAACAGCTACGGATCCATCATACCGGAGATGTCAGCCATTCAAGCTTGCACCAACGTATAGTCCGGGTATATGTCCGGATGGTCAGGCTATTGCAGAAGTCAATGCGTGACAGGTGCATGCATCTACAGGATATCGCACGTTCTGGCAAGCTAGCTGCTGTAGAAAGCTTAGTACTTTCTCACCAAAAAGTGTCGATTTACGAACGTTTGTTGAAAGTGGCATGACCTTGGGGCCCGAGTACTATGAGGCGTGAATAAACACATTCTCTATTCCTCTGCAGCGTTTCCAACGGGCAGTACTACGAACAGTAACCGTACAGTAGTACGGCTTAAGTAAGCAGTCAGTCCGTAGTGAGGGTACAGGCAGTAGCGTAGTCGTACCGCAGTAGCAATAGCAACCGTAGTACTGCCGTAGTTGGTGTAGCCCTGAGATGGTTATGGTGAAGTATCAAGTTGGACGGGGAGGCCTTACAACGTCTCAAGAATTGGCTAGGTCACCGGCTTGTTGTGAGCCACTACAGGCAGCTGGAGGATGAAATAATTGGGCAAGATGAGATGGGTACAGAGGCCTCCCAAACCTCCAATTCACCGACTGACGTTGAAGTGTGGGGCGGCTAAACTATATCAGGCAACTACGGACCGTAGTTCATGTCAATCAAACAGTTATCACTACTATCCGTGCTCTCCAGCTCCTTCACCGTAAACCGTATAGTAGTACTGACTGTTGGGGCAGCGATTGGAGTTTCCGCAGTCGTCATAGCCATTGTGGTGCTTTGTCTGGAAAAAACGACGAAAGACAAGAAATCAGGCAGTTAGGCAGGGGATCCTGAACCCGAGATGGCTGATACAGATCGAGACTTTGCGAAAAAGAAATGGTGGACAGGTGGAGAAATGGAGAAGTGAAGCAGACGCTCAGGCTGAGCAGCAAGAACTGGATTCGAAAACGGTGCATGTAGTTCCGGGACCTCCAGCAGAGCGTGATGGGGGCGGAGTTGCAACACCCGAACGATGCGGGTCACGCTGTGCTTCGCTGACGATATGTACATCTGATTTTCTGAAAGATCTTGACGAGATTACATCATTCTCATGATTCATGTCCTCAACCGGCTGTTAAAGTAGTAATGAGCCAGCAGTCTCCGACCGAATCTACGATCTAGATAAGGATAGTGTAATCCCTCTATCCAACTTTTGATTACAGCCGGATTGATAACAATCACCTATCCGGCCTCAACACCTCCCACCCATCCAACCCCTTCATATCCCCCTCATCGTCCAGCAAATTGCTCTCCCGCCCATTACTCCTACCACTCAACCCCGTCCCCGTCCTTGGCGGCAGCGCAGGCGGTCTGTCACCCCCATCAATCAGATTCGGCACTGGTTTCCTCGCACTCGCACTAGGCGGAGGGGCCATACTTCGTCTCGGACCTGGTTCCGGATCATCGCGATAACTCGGCGGCGGCGGCGTGGCACTCGGACTCGAAGCCTTGCTCAGCAGCGAGGGTTTCTTGTTGGGTATCGGCGGCGGTGCTGGTTTGCGGAGGACTTGTGGTTGTGGTTTGCTGTTCATTGAGACGGCGGGGCCGGGGAGCGAGGATGTGACGGGTGGGAGGTTGCGGTTTGGCAGGATGGGGAGGGAGCGAGTGGATGCGTTGGAGGCATTGCGGCGGAGGTTGCTGATGGGATCGCGGGCGCCGTCCATGTAGGTTACTTGGTCGGGGTCCCTGGCGTTGTATTGTGGGACTATCATTTTTCGTGCCGTAGGATTCGAGAGGTTGGTTGTTGAGCTAGATGCGGAGGAGGGCGGTTTGCTTGGGTTGTTGAAGTCGACGGTTCGTGCGCGCTGGGAGCCGCGGGCGGGAGGAGGCTCTGGTCTGCTTCCGAGTTTGTTGATTTCGACCCAGTCGGGTTCTGGGCTAGGTGTGAAGGGGTTGCTTGGTCGTTTGGGGTTCGGGATGTGGTCGTTTGATGGCGGTTGCATGCGTGCTTTAGCTGGCAGACCTTCCGAAGATAAGTATCGAAGCGGCAATGGGAATAGAGAAAAATATACCATTGTCAAGCCACCATTTCCTCCGGTCTGAACTTGCAGGTGGCAGGCCAGGTTCAACGCTCTCATAGCCGATCAGGTCTTCATCATCCGACTCATCTTCACCAGGGTGTCCCGCTGCCCTAGTGTCTCCGACGAAAGCTTTTCGTGAGTTGTACAGCTCCTCCTTGAGAGCGTCTTTCTTCTTCTCGTCAATCTTCCGGACCATGACTTGGAATGTAGCATACACAGGACGGTGGTCCGAAAATCGAAGAGGTGCGGCATCGTAGTGTATTTGCCGGATATTGTCACCTTTCCGAAGCACGCGGTCGCACCAGGCGGGAATACGCGCTTTCTCAGAGGTGTCATAAGTGTCTGTTCCAAGGTCGTACTTGTAGGTAGGAGGGAATGTGATGCGGGCTTCAGAGTAGTAAGGGAAGGTCAAGCCGGCGACCATCTGGAGGTTGAGCTGCGAACGTTAGCATATGACCCAGAGACTTGGGGGAGGGACCATACCTGATCATTGTCATACAAGGTCTCAAGGTCGTTCATTTGACATAACCTCTGAACCTTGTCATTACTGAGACCAATCCTGTAGTTGAAGTCGCCCAGCCAGATGACCGTATCGTGATCTTCAATTGATCGGTTCCTCTGGAAGCGCAAACCGTGGCTAATTGTTTTGTAGTCACGATTCCGCTCTTCGTAGTTGGCAAACCCAGCCGCAAGATGCGCCGTGACCAAACAGATCGAGGTGTTGGCATACTCCATACGGATGGCGACAGCTCCCTTGTTGCCTGCCATACCAGACATGCCAGTCTTCTTTAAGCTGCCCTCAACGTTCTTGATGTTCTTGAGTTTGTCGTTGCGCACAAACACGGACAAGCTTGCGCCGACAAGCTGACCGCCTCGAAGCAGAACGTATTCTTCCTTCCCGTGTCTCGCTGCATTCTTGTCCAGACAATGCTTGACAGCGGATTCCCAATCCTGTCGCCTTGTCGGCTCTGTAGACATGATTTGCTGCGGACTCAATTCGACAATTTCTTGAAAGCCTACTGCGACGATTTCAGGACACTGTTGCGAAGCATCGACATCTGGACACAGCCATGGAGATAGGTCTTGGTCGATACCAGTTGTCTTGCCGTTAAGGTTGAACGTGCCCACGAGTATGTTGATCACATCGGTATCCGAGAACTCGGGCGCGCGCCTTGTGAGCTCCGCGATGACAAAGTCGTTGATAGGGTCGTAGAGATGGACTGGCACTTGTCCCATCAGCCGACCAAGGAGCATGTCGATGGTATTCTGCCGGCCCTTGTCGGCGAAGTTGTTGATGTATGTTCTGGTGACACTCTTCCTTGCGTCCGCCAACGCACCAGCTAATGACATCTTGCCATGTCTCGTAAAAGACGACTTCAGTGCGCCGGTTCCCGCGTAAATCCTAGACAAAGCATCACCATTGTCTGCCCACATGGTTGAGTGCCGGACCCAGAAGTCCTGACTAGCTCGCAAACCTTTGTGGCTAAGAAAGATCTCCAGCGCCATCTTGCTAATAATCGTCATGACGAGGTTCGTACGGTCAAGACAGTCAAGACAGTTCGTTCTGAATACACCTTCTTGACCCAAGATAGGTGTTGAGCGCCTCACGACGTGGTCCTGTCCATTCGATCTGATGTGTTCGTCTACATCCTCTGACAGGTAGTACGCGAACCCGTCGGCCGAGTCTTGTATCCATCTTGCAATCATGCTAGCCATCTCATAGCCACCTGGACCTCGTGTTTCAGCATGAAAGTCGTACTCGGTAAGCTTAATGAGCTCATGTTCGCGATCGCTCTTCTCGGATCCAAAGTTTAACGGACTGTTCTTGATGTGGTCTCGATATCTATGGGTGAGCTCTATCTCGTTCGGCTTCTCGTTGCTGAGTAGATTTACTACATGAATAGCGCCGTAAGCGAGCTCCAGGTTCTCAAAGTGCTTGTCGAATGCAGGTTGGGTGGCTACCGGACCTCTTGTGATAGTGATCTTCTGCTGGCCTGGAAGCAGACCTGACTGTTGCTCCCAGAAAATGGGAACGCTACCGCGTACCTGGACGTACGAGAAGCAGACCCCTGACGGCGCCCAATAGACGGTTTCTGTCTCGACGAAGTTTGCTACATTGCCATCATCGTCGATGCCACGGGAGTTGAACCTCGTTCCAGCTCTTCTGCAGGACAATCTCGAGATCAGTGTCATGGAAGACGGTAGCCCCGATCCGCGGACCTTGATAGGCGCCGAAGCAATAGGAACCGTCACCGTGAGCGCAAAGCCACGGATAGCAGACGTCAAGATGCCTGACGCATCCAGCGCATCTTTGTCTCTCGGCGCAAGCCTGCTCCGGAAGTCGACCAGCGGCTGTATCATGTATGAGTTCCACAGAAACCCAGCATCCAGACTGTCGATGGACACTGTCGCCGCATCAGACGATCGGTCCTGCAATCGCCGTGTCAAGTCGAAGTCTGAGCTGTAGTAAAATGTACCACCGCTCAGCAGCTTCTTGAGCGCCAGACACGGGTGCTCGAGCGGCGACTGCTCCTTCCTGCCCCCAAAGCCCATCTCATAGCCTTCATCGTCGATGGTGTCGGTCGGGTAGGGATTGACTTCGTCGTTGAGGAGCGCATCGTAGCTCGAGCTGGTCAGGCAGTAGAAGCCCACCGAATGTATGCGCTGCACTGTCTCACCCGGCCGTACTGTTGCAACTTTGCTTGCCCCATTGACGACTACTAGGAAGATGTCGCCGTTCACTGTGATCAGTCCTAGTGTGCCATGTACGTTGACAGAGTGCAGGGCACGGTAGTCGCTCAGGTCCACGTCCTCTGCCCGAGAGAACTCGACCATGCAGCGCGCGGCGCTGGCGCCATTGCTTCCCAGCGACGTCGAGGACGCACTCGGGTTCGCATTGTGTTCGGTCGAGGAGGAGCTATGGCGGAGGACGAGGGCATGCGAGGACGTGCTGAGGGCGATTGCACGGTGGGGGTACTCTTTGATCAGCACCCGAATGGACATTCTTTCGCTCTGCTACGCTGCGAGCATGCGCGCAAGCGGAGTGTACGGGTAGTTGCGAGCAAGCACGTGTGCTTTGGCAGTCGCACGCAAGCTTCACGTTGGCTTGAGGGCTGATTGATCGCCGCACGTCCAACTGCCTCACCGTTCGGCTGGTGCCCGAATGCTTGCAGGGCTTCCTTGACGGCGTGCTGACCAACGCGACCGATGTGGAGATAAGTGGATGATCTGGGGACTGCCAAAAATACACCATGCCGCAATTCCCATGGCAAGCGGAATCGTCGGCAGGTCGCTGCCGCTGCTCAGGGTCAACGATGATCTCACAGTGCAAACAAAAGCTGTTGTCCTCGACTTGGACAATGTCAACAGCACTCGAGTCGCAAAGCAACCCGAACGCAAAGACTCAGATCCCAAAGCCATAGGATGTCTTCAGTGTTAGCTTATGGACATCTGCAATTGAACAAGGTGTTACAGGACTACACAAGATTCGCAAGTATGGTAAGGGGGTATGGCTTCGTTACAGCATCAAATCATCTATAGACATTACTTGCGAGAACTTGGCGTTACCAGCAAAACAACCAAACGCTACGCCATGCAGAAAAACAAAATCGTGGAAGGAACTCAACTCGTGACTTCCACCTACTGCCTGTAATCCCTCCTCCTCCTGCCATCATCATCCACAATTGTAACCCTCGTCCTCTCATCAACATAGCTCCCCCTACTCCTACTCCTCTGCCTCCCATAGTCCACGTTAACCCGACTTCTCGACCTTTCCCGCCCACCATAACCTCTCCCGCCCCCAAAACTGCTCTCACTCCTCGCCGGCTCCACATACCGGTAGTGTTCATACTGCGGCCCGCGCTCGGGACTATACGCTCTCTCACGCCTAACCTCGCGCTCCCTGTACACATACTCTGACCGATTGGGACTCGAGGAGCGCGAGCTGTAACTCGACCGCGGACTCACTTCGACATACTGCGGCGCGCCATGGTGACTGTGCCGACTACTGATATGGCTCGGCGGTGGTGGAGGAGCAGGCATATGGATCGGGGCCGGCGGGGGCTCTACAAACACAGGCACAGGCTGCGGAGGCGGGATCGCAAGGGGTTTTGGCTGCGGGGTGGGGACCGCGACGTAGGATGCTGAAGGGCGAGGGGACTCGTGGCGCGATTCGCGCACGACTTCGCGCGAGTAACGGTGCGTTGATTGACGAGAGGCGCGGCGACGAGGCGGCGAGTGGTTGTGTCGCGAGACTACGCGGTAGGGGACTACGACGTCCTCTTCTTGTTTAACTTTGACGAGACACATCGTCTTGGATCGCTGTAAGTTGCCGTGTTTGGAGGGTTGAGTGCTGGGTATGCGCTCGTGATGTGATTCGTGGGACGATCCAATGTGGGGTTCAATGAGGGTTTGTGAACCGTGGAGAACGAAAGTGGGCGCGCGAGTGTATCAGAGGACACAAATGCGCAGGATATCAGCGCAAAGCGAGCGGCAGCTGAGAGGCTGACGAGGGAAGCAGAAGCGCCTTGGTCTGCAGTAATCGGGCTGGCAGAAGCCCAGCCACACCTGCATCCATGGCAGACCCCATGTCGAAGTCAAGCGCAAGTTCGGTGACGACCTTCCAACCACATCTGGTCAAGTGCCCTGTCAGCCGCTCCTTAGCCAGGAACCGGCCCCGGCGTCAACCACCTTTTCGCATCGTCAAGTGTGAAAAGTTGGATGTTGTGGTATGTATGCTCATGATCATTGCCAGTATTAACAAAAGAACCGCCAAGTGGTCAACAAATGATTACATGCTAGTCGCTGATATCGTACCCGTAACAACGTTAGGCATCAAAATCTCCTCCCAATATCTATCGGTCCTTCGTTAGGTATATTATGCTGGAGTTGGGCTCAGAACAACCACTAGTCATCCATAGGCTTGTCCTCCAGCGTAACTCCTCGAGGCGCTGGGTCCTCAAGTGTGACGCCGCTGGGCGCATCTTCATTGTTGGCATTGGCGAGACTCCTGAGACTACCAGTGGAGTCGCGGTTGCCTCCCCTCTTAAGACTGCCTGTCGAGTCTCGGTTGCCTCTCGCCAGGCTTCCAGCGTGCTTCCTCCCGCCGAGTGCTAGTGGCACACGTGTGCTCGAAGGCGCCGGGTGCTCAACAGGCGAGAAAGGAGTAGGCTCGTACATCTCCGTGGCGCGTGCGGATGAGGACGAGGGTGCAGATGCTTCAGATGCGTTTTCTGTTGTGCCGTTCGTAGTAGCAGCAGGAGCGCTGGCGCTGGGACTATCAGGGTCAGGAACCTCAAGAGAGCCACGGTTTGTGGGAGCCTTCCGTGCTTCGGTGGGTGAGTTGTTGGCGTTCACGGGGAAACGTGTCTGACTTCGGTCACGGCGGTGAGAGCCGCTGCTGCGGTTGCTGGGACCAGGTGAGACGCCTCGAGGGGATCGTTGCGCGGCGATAGCTCGTTGACGCTCCTCCATGTTGGCACGTCGATTGCTTTCATCAGTGGAGATGGCGCGAGGGCGCTGCGAGCCGGAAGCAGAGTGAGTGAGGGTGCTAGCACGCTTCAGCTCTCCAAAGATAGCATCCTTGTGAGCAAACAGATCGCGCACGAGGCGGTAGCTGTAGCGCTCGTTCATAGTCAGGGTGTTCTCCAGCCTCGGGCGAAGGATGCATGGTGCAAGTGCATTTGCCAAAGCGGCCACGTACGTCTCGTCAGCTGAAGTCAGTTCGATCAAGCGTGTAAAGTGAGTGCAAATTGCGTCGAGAGTCGCAATGTTGGCGAGACGAAGCTGACCGAGTGTCGACTGCAGGACTGCGACTCGTGTTGCTTCGTCCACATCCGTCGCGGTTGTGCTGTAGATGGTCTTCACAATTTCGTACACGTGAGATGAAACAAGGGAATCTGCCGCTGTTAGTGAAGCTCATGTGTGAACCAAGAGTACTTACCAGGAAGTTCCAGAAGATAAAGCTTCAGGACGCTCGCAACAATGGGTATATCGTACTTCTCAAGGATTTCATCCTCGAATTTCTTGCCGGTGTTGATGGCAGCTCGCAGGTTGTGTGTTTGAGACAAGGGTACGTCAACAAGCCAGATACCGCGGCGAACCTCGTCGCCCTCAAGGTCAGGGTAGTGGTTGTCCAGGAATGTCAAGATTGTGGTAATCAAGACAGGAACGCGCTTCTTATCGGAGCGAGCTCGTGCCTCGAGATCTACACCGAAAGTCTGTTCGTCGACCGAGTTGTAGTAGTTTTCATAGGTCGTGACCTTGGGCACAAACGGCCCAGTACGGTAGTTCTCCAGCATGTAACGGAGATCGCCCAGAGGCTGAACGGTCTCCTGGAACAGCATCATCTTGTCAACCGTGCTCTGCAAGCTAGGAATGACGTTGCTGACGGCACCAGAGAAGTCAAGAATGACAGCCTTGATGGCCTTCAGCCTGTCCAACTCGCAGCGCTCCATGAACTTCAGGTGATCAATCATAGCCTCTTCCAAGTTGCATCGCAGGGAGTCCAGCTTTTTGACAGCAGCTTTGTAACGCTCGTCAGACTCGCGAGCCTCTCGTCGCAGCCTCTCTGGAGGCGTCTCGTTGGGGTACTGGTTATTGAGTGGGTTCCAGCCCTGGAGGTACTCCTGAACGACACCACCTGGTGAATCCACGCTAAAGCTGTCGTTGGACATGGTGGACGCCGCGGTGCCTGCACGTGCCAGGGGTGTCTTCTTTTCAGGGACACCCGTCATTGTGAAGACCTTCGTTTTCCATTGGTAGTTCATGCGCGAGCTGTTCGCGAAAGCATTGCCAACGTTTCCAATAAGACGCAAAAATCCATGGGTGACCATATCCTGGCCGATCCTCTCAGCATAGCTGACGCTGGTTGCGCCAAGGTGCTTCTGGATGTACTCGGTGATATCCGCGCCGGTAGAGCAGTTTTGGTAGGTTCCAATGATGGGAACCTTGACTTCTCCGATCTTGATATTGTCCAACATGTGCGTCAGGATCTTCTTGATTTGCTCAGGCTGGTAGGTCTCGTCACCCAGATCGATAGGTTCCTCCTCATTCTCCTCAGGCTCTGTCATCTTGATCGTAGGGACCTTCGCCTTGGGACTTGCGAGTGCTTCGCTCTGAGGATCTTGGAAAGCCAGCTTGTCCTCCTCTTCCAGGTCCTCCACCAATCGGCACTTGTTGTAATACTGCGAACGGAACTTGCGCACAGCGTCAGCTTGTCGGTCGTGGATCTTGATGCGCGACTGGAGGTCGTCCTGCGAGTTCTGCACACGGGCAGCGTGCGCCTCGCACCAGCGGCCGAAGGGGTTTATGACGAGTTCGCGGATGTTCGAGGCAATCTTCTTGTGGTTGGACGCAGCAGCCTCCATTTCGGTGCGCACACCTTCGTAAGCCTGGAAATGGTGAGTTGTAGTCCATGTGTCTCTGCAGGCGTCCACACACCTTTCGCACACTTGCACCCTCATCTCTCGAGAAGCCTCCACTTATGCGCTCGGTCGCTGGAGTAATGCCTGACAGGCTGTTCCCATACGATTCTTCAGCGTCTGCGCGCAGGCGGGCAACAGTGAGGATCTGCTGATTCTCCTGCACGCCCTGTTGCAGCTTTCCGAATAGCACTCCTAGGCCTGCTCATGGTCAGCGACGATAGCTACAGCAACTGCGCCGCACAGCTTACCACCCGCATAGTCTTGCGACCAAAAGGACGCAGCAAAGCCCGTATTAGCCATCGTGATGACGTCGCTGGGGTATCAAAATACAAGAACTCCTCGTAGACCGTGAGTAAGGAAAGACGAAACTAGGCCGAGACAAGCTTCGACGGGCGTTGGTAGTGAGCGTGGAGAAGGAAGGTCTGGGGAACACGCAAGCGCAGGCACTGTGATGTAACGTCCGTGGTGCTGCCTTGGTTGGCAGAGCACAATTGGACTGTGAATTGGTGTTCGGCGGTGGGCGCACTGTGCGACGGATGGCTTGTTAAGATAATACAGGAGATGATTGAAGCTCTTCAGGAGTTTTGCAGGCCAGCTGTGGCAGAGCTGAATGTACGAGGACCCCTGTCGGCCGTTTGTCACTTGCTGGCAGCTGGGACCCTAGCCTTGCCTGTCTAGCAACTATAAATATCAAACGTCAATTCACCGAACAGCGCTTTTCCCTGCAGGGATTAGGACCATAACCCTGTCTTTCAAGCACCCTACAGTCAAGGCATCATAAGGGGACGAGGCCGCTAGCAAGAGCACTTGAGCGTTGCAGGTCAAACAGAGAACACCGTTTCCTCCAGCACCGACCAGAAGAAGCGCCTGCTGTGCCACACATCGTTGAACAAATCCTATCCAGTATGTCTACGCCTTAAAACTGCTAGATGCGACAAGTATTGAGCTACAAAGATCGAACCTGAGCATCTCGGAACTGGTCATTTCCAGCGCCTATAATTTTGCCAGAAGTTGAAATTGATCACCATCACCCCCACCACTAGATCCATCTCCCGGGAAATTGCCTCTGTACGTCCGGCATCGAACACCGACTGTCTCGGCAAACTGCACATATCGACTACCACCGTCATGGGTCCTTCTCAATCAGAAAGCGAGTTCAACTATGCTCGCCAGATAAAATACTGGAGGCGAAATCTGAAGACATATCTCCCACACTACTACACCTGCAATGACGCCAACCGGATGACCCTGGCTCTGTTCACTATTTCTGCACTCGACATACTGGGAGATCTAGATGGAGCTTTGTCCGCAGACGAACGCCAAGGCTACATCGACTGGGTGTACAGTTGTCAACTGCCAGAGGGAGGTTTTCGACCATGGCCCGGTTCTAATTTTGGAAAGAAGAGGAACGACGAAAACAAGAACTGGGATCCAGCGCACGTGCCGGGCACCTTCTTCGCGCTGCTCACTCTGGTAGTGCTAGGAGATGATCTAGAAAAGGTGAACAGGAAAGAAATCCTATTATGGTTGATCAAGATGCAAAGGCCTGAAGGTGGCTTCGGCGAGACGTTAGGAGTGGATGGTTTTATTCACGGCGGAAACGACTCGAGATTCGGATATATGGCCACAGGCATTCGCTGGATACTTCGTGGAGATCTTGAGGGGCCATGCGGCGACGTGCCAGATATCAGAGTCGACGATTTCGTAACCTGCGTTCGCGGAGCAGAGTCCTACGATGGAGGAATCTCGGAAGCACCTTACCATGAGGCTCATGCTGGATTCACAAGCTGCGCCATTGCGGCTTTATCTTTTGTCAATCGACTGCCACTGCCACCTGGGCAAGCTCCGGACGGTCGTAGGCGTGGTGTCACGAACCTCAACAACACATTGCACTGGCTTGCATCCCGGCAAACTGCAACGCTCGAAGAAGATGACAGCATTGATACATTCGACGACGAGACAGACACAGCAAACACATGCCATGACGCTCACTCTTTTGTCAAAGCCAGCACGAACCCAACGATATCCATGAAGACCACGATAGGCTCTCAAGCCAAGGTGCCGTACGATCTCGCCTGGGTAGGAATGAACGGGCGATGCAACAAGATTGCCGACACATGCTACGCCTATTGGGTCTCTACACCCCTCCAAATTCTCGGTCGCATGGATATCATATCGCCAAAGCCGATTCGCAGATATTTACTCGACAAGACACAACATGCACACGGAGGGTTTGGTAAGGTAGTGGACGACCCGCCAGACATGTACCATTCATTCCTGGGTATGATAGTCTTGGCGATGTTCGGGGAGCCGGGCCTGCAGAACGTTGATGCAGCGTTGTGTATCACAGACAGGGCGAAACGGCATCTGGAATCGCTGCCATGGAGGCAAGAAGCATTAGCTTCGGTGAAGAGGAGTGGTGTGAACGGTGCAGGAGAGAAAGGCATAAGCCAGGTTGCGGCGGACAGGATGCAGATAGATTGATAGAGTATTTGCATTGCAATAGACCTGATGTTTCTGCAGAATCACTTAACCTATACATAGCTGGTGTTCTCAAGCTGCAGCACAAGGTAGAAGAAGCAACCGTTAGCGCCATATCCAGCCAGTCGGCTCATCCTGCCCGAGCCATCAGACCCCTGCAACAATTTCTAGCAACCATCAAGCTGCCCGCCAGCGATACTCGACCCTTCGACACCACATACCCACACCTCTGCTCATATTTCCACAATGAGGAACGCACCACCCCCTTCGAAAAAGCGCAAGATCAAGACCATCACCGAAGAGAAGATCGACTTCGACCCAGCCGCGCGCGAAGAATACCTTACCGGCTTCCACAAGCGCAAACTTGCGCGGAGAAAGCATGCAGAAGAGGAAAACGCAAAGAAGGAAAAGGAGGAGAAACTGAGGTTCAGGCGCGAGGTATGTTAGCCGAGTACTCTCCACTTGCATTATTTTGCGAAGTCGGCCAGCAGCGCAAAACACAGCACACGCGCAAGCTGGCCTCCGTGGAAAGCCGCCGTTCGCAAATCAAGACTCTAAACTCATGCTAACATGTGCCCATGCAGCTCCGACAACAGCGCAGAACCGACCTTGAAAAGCACGTCAGCGAAACAAACCGCCTCATGCGCCTCGCAAACGGCGACATCCCCAGCGAGCCCGAAGAGTCCTCAGACGGCGAAGACTCAGCGACCGGCGAACCAACATTCACGGGCTTCGACGACCCGATAAACCACGAAGACGAGTACATCGACGAAGACAAGTACACAACCGTCACCATCGAGACGGTGGGCATAAATCGCACAGGCTTCTCGAGGCCGGGCGAGGAGGAGGCGGAGTTGAGGCGGGAGCGCGAGGCGAGGGAGGAGAAGGAGATGGAAGAGAAGAAGAAGAGGGTGTGGACGAAGGAGAAGCCGAGGAGCGATAGGCCGAAGAAGAAGAAGGTGAAGTTTAGGTATGAGACCAAGGCGGAGAGGAAGGTGGAGAGGATGAAGCAGGGGATGAAGAAGAAGAAGCTGGCGGAGAAGAGGAAGCCCAAGGAGTGAATGGGTGGTATGGGAGATGTTGGTTGATATGGCTTGATACCCAGTTATGGATCATATGCATGGGCGGAGTTTAGGCGCAGTATAAAACAGGTGCAGAAACCTCAAAATCAACATGAAATGTCCTCGAAGTTAGCAAGATATTCAACATGCAATCTCAGAGCACACATTACAAGCAGAGCATACGAAAGTGGCGGTGAACGTAGAAAGGGTGTGATTGTGCAGACCGCCAGCAGTGTTGCTCCCTCAGGACACATCAACATTGTACAAGCCCATCAGCGGCTACAGAAGACGAACCAGTATATGCAATAGGGGAAAAGGGGGTGATTCTGCCTCCTGTCCGTCTCCACCACAAGCCTCGTAGATCCGCACGGTCGCACGGTCGCACGCTCGTCTCGGTATGGCTCGAAGAAACTGGAGATTTGATGCTTCAGACAGGATACTCCACTGGCAATAGTCAACAACCGCAGAGGAGAGATGCAGGCAGGAAGATCAGATGTTACCGATCTCCTTGACAAAGTCATCGAGCTCCTTCTTGGTGTCGGCGTATTTCTTGGCCATCTCCTCGTACTTGGTTTCCCACTGGTCTCGGGACTGCTCGAGAGCCTGGACTTTGCGTTCGTAGTGGCCGGACTTGACGTCGGTTTGGCGGAGCCTGGGTGTGTCAGCCGATGTATACGTGTCAAGTGCACGTGGGGGCTCACTTCTCGTTGAGCTCGCGGATGGTCCTGTCAGACTCCTCAGCCTCTTCCTCAAGCACCTGGATCTTGCGCTGCAGGCTCTCGGCCTGGGTACCAGCCTGAGCGCCTGCACCGGCCTCGTCCTTGAATTGCTTGACTTGCGCTTCGAGCTTCTCGACCTCGCTCTCGAGGACCGAGTTCTTGTGTGAGAGCGAAGTGATCTCCTGCTCCTTCTGTGTCGTCTCGCCCTCGAGCTGCTTGACCTTGGCCTTGTACTCCTCGGCACGGGCACCGCTCTCATCGGCCTCGACGCGGAGAGCCTCCATGCGCTGCGGGGCTGTTAGCTCTCTGGCTCAGCAGGTGCAGCCAGCCAAAGGAAAGGGTCCGGCGGGGTAGCGGGCAGACTCACCTTCTTGATCTGGTCCATGGCGGCGGAAAGTGTGGTGTTGCTTAATGAAGGGGGGTTGTGGTAGTGTGGAAGAGCGTGGGTGAGGTCGAAGCTGGCTGTGAAAGAGGGGGGATGGCTAAGGTGTTGACTGTTGTCTGAGAATTGGGGTTTCGCTGGCAGGCTGATAATGCGGGCATGGGCGCCGCTGCCGAAAGGGAGTACCCCTGTCTCGCCAAAAGCACACCGCCTGCTAGGGCAAGCTCGACGGACCCCGACTTGCCCTTAGCAACGGGTCCGTAAACAAACGAACTCCGAGCGCAGCCCTGCGCAACGTCACCGGCAGCAACACCACGACTCGCTCAATGTAACCGCGACCATGGCCACTCTCGCAGCACACGACCAGGAGAATGCAGTGCGCAATCTGCAGGTCGGCCCCGGCGGAAAGCCGCTCAACGCCGGCGCGAAGAGCTTCGGATCCAAAACACCAGGAAACAAAGCCCCGAAGACGCCATACAAGGTCCCGCTCAACGACGAGAATATGTTCACCAAAGGAGGAAAGGGCGATGGGAAGGGAAACCTGCTTGTGACCACCAAGAAAGGCGGCAAGCTGGATGCAAGCGCCTTTGTAACCCCAGCGGGTAAGCTATGAGATCATGCAGGGACAGCCACAAGAACACTCACACAACTTGAAGGTCCACGCAACCGCGCTCCTCTAGGCGCAAAGACGACCAACGCCAAAGGAAAAGCCTTCCAAACGCCTGCGCCCCTCGGATCCTCTGCCAAAACCCTGAAGGCAAGCCCGCGCCTCCGCCGTCCGAAAGTCAAGGTCCACCAGCCTGAAGCCGAGGCCGAGTCTGAAGATGATGTCCCCGAGATCGAGTACATGCCACCGAAGGAAATTCCGCTTCTGGATGACATGGACGACTACCTCCCTAGAGACTGGGACTTCTCTGTGCTCTCAGGCGAGAACGCGATGCGCGGCATCACCAGCGCATACCACAACCCAATCGAGGACGACGGCCGCACGAAGGGACAGCGAGAGTTTGAAGAGAGCTTGGAGCGCGACCGCAAGAAGCGAGACGAGGAGTTCGATAAGATGTTCGCTGCGCAGATAGCCAAGGATGATGCAGAGTCGAAGCGCTACTTTGGGATCAAGGAACCGAAGAAAGAGGCGCCCAAGCCCACTGTCAAGGCCACTTCAACCGTGAGGCCAGCTACCGGTCTCTCGACCATGCGTGCCCGTTCAGCAGCTGCCGCACTTGCTCTGCCAGACCGCTCTACACCAAGGTTCGGTGCGTCAACGGCTGCTGCAAAGGCACGTGTACCTACTGGTCTAGTATCTGGCAAGAAGACTCCAAGGCCCCTCGCAGAGCCGACAGCTGCCCGTCATGCCCGCCATGCATCTGCTGTGGTTTCGTCCAAGAGCACCATCGGCTACGCCCAAGGTCGCGCAGTGCACTCAGGCTCAGCCATGCGCCCGCCACTTTCGAACGTCACCAGGCCTGTCGGCCACAACCTTTCGACCACGAAGCGTGCCGGTACTACGACTCGTTCTCTCGCATCTGCACACCAACGCCCCTTCAGTGCTGCTGCCTCAGCCAATCCTCGCCCATTCTCGCGCTCAAGCTCGACCTCCACGAATGCAACACTGGTTGCTCCACCCCAGGCAGATCCGTTCGAGGAGACGGCGGAAAGCGTGGAGCGTGAGTTGGAACTGTTGGCCCTCCAAGACGATATGGGCGACGATGACGCGTGGATGAACAGCTTCAACAACCAGCTGGGCGGTGTCGATCCTCTCGATGAAGAGCTCGAAGACTTCCAACTGCAGCTTCCGGAAGGCATCTAAGTTTCTTGTCTGGTTGAAGACAATCACAATCATGGATCTCAGCCAAAGCCGATTGAATAGGGCTCGACCAAAGTTGTGTGTTTCTGTATGCCGATGGAGGCTAAATTGTTTTCTTGTGTATTGCTCCATCATGATTCTGGAGTACTGTTTTGGATACCTCTTTTTCAATTCCGTGGACCTTCGGCGACACGTTGAGTCTGTAGTAGTAAATGTGCGCATTACTATCCATTCGTTTGATGAACTCCATGTAAGGTCCTCCGATGGTTGTGTAATCTGGTCATCATTTGTTCATTCGGCTGCAATGTGACAGTCTTTCACGATGCAGAGAGAGATGAATACAGGCGCGCGATCTGTGGGTTTACGGGAGGTAGGCAGAGCAGACTGGCTTGAGTCTTGTAGGCTTATAATCAGACTGAGGACTACAAGGTACTTTGTCTACGGTGGACAACTACCCAGTTCCTGACACAGACCCCACGCTCTGCTGTCTGCTAAAGTTCTCACGCTCTACTGCCAAGTTTGAGCATTGGCAGTTACTACTCCTCGCCTTTCCTGCAACATGAGAGACGAGCTGGTAACCGATTACGATTCATTGATGTTGTGGCTCTGAGCGATGCACATGCTTCACCCTTCAAGCATCGACCCTCCATCTGTAAGCCGATTAAAGGAGAAACTCATAAGGAACCCAGCGCGATGCCCGGCAAGAAAATGCGCACAAAAACGCCATGCTAGATATTCACAATTCAAAACCACAGTCTTGCTCCCGTTCATCCCATCATTCAGAGCCCAATGCACACTCCTCATCAACACCTTCCTCCAAGCCAGATCCACTCCGGCTTTTGCGCATCGAAAGTCTACTCCGAGCCGGACTGCACCTCCACTGGCGCCGTAGTGATCTCGTCCACCGCGTACAAATTCTGGTTGAGGATTTTGTTCATGGTGAACATGTGCACCCTGTCCTGCTTGAAGACCGCGCGCATCGCATCGTCGCACCTGATTTGCCGCTTGTCGCTGGGGTCTTGTAGATCTCGTTGTTTCACGTACTCCCAGATCTTCTTGACTGTTTGAGGGCGCGAGAGTTGTGTTTCGTTCAGGAGGGAGGAGAGCGCGGGGGAGAGGGCCATGGGTTTCTGGAGATCATTAGTAGGTGTGCAAGAATGGATGGTAGGCGGAAGGCAGACGCACATGAAACCCTCCCTTCCGACTGGGACTCTTCTTCTCCTTTCCGCTTCCAGACGCAATGTCACTGTCATCGTCGTCCTTGACGCGATTCGAGCTCTTCTTCTTGGTCTTCTTCTTCGGCAGCGGCGCCTTCTTCCTAGTATTCCCACCGCGTGTCGCACGGCCGCTGCGCGCGTTCTCCTCGGCTTGTAGTTTGCGCGCAAATGCTGCGTCGTCGTCCTCGGTGGCTCGACTCTTCTTTGCTTTCTTCTTAGGTGGCGCAGAGTCTTCGAGCTCAGATAGCGCTGACTCGGAGTCGGGCGAGCGCTTTTGGTCGGGAGTCGCTGAGGTAGAGGCGGCGCCGTTCTCGACTGTGAGTATGGGCTCTTGGGACTCGGTTGTGGTACCGTTCACTTCGGAGTTGAACTTGTCGAAGCGCTGCATGATGAGAGCGGTGATCGCATCCTATGCTGGTCGTTAGTATACAGGGTATGTTGCGCGTGTGGATTCAGCATACCTTCTGATTTGAGGTATCATGGCCGATTCGCTCTTGCAGTCCCTTGCGTATGCGCTTTGCGGAGATTGTGTTGAGGTCGCCGGCGCGAAGAATCTCGTCAATAATGACAGAGTAGGAAGCCTCGACTTCAGTGGGGAGAGGATCTAGTCGATCTGAGTGAGTGATTATAATATGTGACGTTCTCAGGCGAGCGCTTACCGGACATGGCTGCTGTGTTTACTTGACTCTCACAAAGCTTGGTGGCAGGAGTGTAGGTGTTGTTCCAGCGGAGCTGTAAGTCAAGCTATAGAACCACGGGTCGGCGCGAACCGCGTAGTATGAACCACGGTATTCGGTCCAGAGGGTGGACGACCTTCGAAGTTGACGACCAACAAAAGAAAGAATATATACACGAAATGTCGCGTAGATCTTGTATAAAGAATGTCCCTCAACCAAAGAACCAGCGAAGCGTGGCTTAACACACGTTCAAGACAAGTGGGAGAGCCGGGCGGTCTAAAACGGTAGTGCCGGCGGGGTTCACCCTGCAGCAGTGCCTGTAGAGTTGTGCGGAAATGAGAGTCTTTAGGACGATCAGAGTACCAGAGAATGAGTCGCGGAGGTGAGCTTCAGCTGGAGACAGGTACAGGAAGTTCAATTGATGTTGCACCAATGAGTGGTGATATGAAGTGGTCACCCGTCGCTCGGCCGTACTAAGCCAGGTACCGATTGGAAGTTGGAGAGGTTGGGGAAGCTTCCAAGGCTGAGATGCAGTTTGCCAGCACGACGACAGCGTTTGCAGAAGATGCGCAGATCAAGAAAACAACGAGAGCGATTCGGCAGGGTGCAGCAATGAATCTGGGACGAGGAACGGCACTTGTCTGTTGTTTATCCAACGAGTCGCCTGACTTGCTCCGCCAGAGCACTGCACATTTTTCCGAATGCGGCAATCACGCTAATTACCTCATCGTCGCAGAGCCACATGTTCAAGATATTAGTTACATGACCCAACAGCCAACACCATACATCTGCTTCTCAACTGCGCTCTTGATCTGATACCAATCGGCTCTTCTTTCCGCATACTCATATACCTCCTCTGCCCTGAAGATACCATGGTAACGATCCGTGTCCGCTATAATAGTCGCGATTTCTTTTGCCTCTTTTGGCGCAATTAGATAAATCTGCGAAAGCTCACGAAGAGCAGCAAAGTACTGCATGAGTGGTTTATTGCGTAGCGAGACGATGTAGGCGTTATACGCATTCATGTCACTGCGCAATGTCAACAATAAACTCAGGGACTTCTCTCGAGTGCAATCTTACCTGATCAGCACAATGGCACCATCGACACTCACTCGTTGTCGCTTGAGGTGCTTGCAGATCGCAGTGAACAACCGCACTCCGACTTCCTGGTTGAAGACGTCGAGCACGTTCTTGTCTGTGCTACCAACCAACATGCTTGTGTGCGACGACACCATGTCAACTACCCTTTTCGCTGTCTCGCTAGGTCCAATGTCTGCCAACTGTGCTATCCCATTGGGTCCAACTGGAGGATTGAAGTCAGACGGTTGCTGCAGGGTGCCACAAAGATATTCCACTTCATCCATGAGCACGTCAATGCCCTTGTTCAATCCTGCAGCAACACGCTCGTCAAGCATTTGCTCGAACTTCTTTTTCTCTTTCGCTGCAAGACTGAGGAAGTCATCGCGATCGGTAAGATTGGCGGCGACCAGCTCCTGTAGATAGAATACCTCCACCATCTGCTGGATCAAGTCACCAACGTTAACAAGCTCCAGGAATGCCACCAGCGGTGCCACGCCTTCCTTGCTATGATCCGCTACTTCGCGAGGCTTATAGTCAGCCAGATGGCCGACAGCCTTATCGAAGCCTAGCTTCATATGCCGATTGCCGAGGATCTGCACAAGGAAGATGAAGATCTGTTCGCACTGCTCTTTTGCTTCCTCACCAGACTGTCCACCAAGTCTGACGAACCGGGCCGCTCGTTCAAGACTAGACTTTGCCTTGTGTGTCAAGTCGAGGGCCACTTCGATACTGAAGAGCGTTCGAATACCTTCAAGGCGAGAGTTCATAATCGCTGCCTTCGCTGCGAGCTCGGTCGTGGGTGCTTGCAGCCCTAGCGAGCGTGTGCCATCGCCAGAGGGTGTATCCGATCTTGTCGGTGTGTCTAACCCTCCACTACCGTTGACTGCAGGTGCAGCAACTACTGAATTCCTAGATCCAGAGCCACCGATGGTTGGGAGGACATTGACGGGCATCATTACGACCTTTTTGAAGGACGAGAGGAAATCCTGCTTAGCCGCCTTGCGATTGACGTTAGACATGTAGAACGTCTCCGTTGTTTGCTCCTCTTCAGTCAGCCGCTTCTCCCACGCCTCGACCTGCTCAACCGACTTTCGTTTGAAGAAGTCCAGCTCCTCCTGCAGGTACAGATCGATATGCTGCTCAAAGCATCGTGAAATGATACGAACTGCCTCTTCCTGGAAGTCAGCCTTCGAGCCCTTCGTTGGCTTTAGTGAAATGGCAAGTTGTGATGCTTGGTCGAATACGCCTGCTACGGCTTTGAGGTACACATCGGTGCTAACATCGTGCGCTTCATCGAAGAGCGATGTGATGTATTCAGATATGATGTCTTCAGCCACGCGCTCTAAGAACGGTTGGAGTACGTCAAAGGTGGGTGGGAAGACACGATCGATGATGGCTGTTTCGTTGTTCATCGCGATTGCCAACCCATGGAAGAACTCGCGTGATGGCTCCAACGTAAGTTGGCTTGAGTTCAGCCCAGGTAGACAGTCTCTGGGACTGCCTAGCTTCTCCTTATCCAGCATCATTGGATGGTTGTGGATGAACGAATCCAGACATGCAGCACCACCGTTCAGGTGGAAGAGGACGGACGCGAATCTTTTCATGCGGCCATCGTAGTCTTTCTCTTCACAACCAGTTTCGAACTCCCTCAGCACGGCATTCTCGAACATGCCGGTCATGGTATCTAGTTTCTCCTCGCGCTGACCCCAGCCCTGCGCGAAATCGCTCTTCGCAAATATTTTCAATTGCGCAAGCATTTGTGCCTGCTGTTCCGGATCGCGATATGTGCGGAACAGAACAGGGTCTGTGTGACTCCTTGATCGTGCCAAATCAAAGTAGTATGGTGCCAGCGCTCCGTACACTTTCCCGTATTCCTGACGTGCTCTGCCTCTGATGGAGCGTACACCTGATATGACCTTTAACGCAGCTTGTGGGTCGATCATCGGTGATCTTTCTGGCGCTGCTGTAAACGTGGGCGTTAACGTCATGTCATTGAAACCTTTGTCGAGTGTCGATGATCTTCCTCTGCCCTTTTGCTCCAGTGACCGCCGTTGTATATCTTCGTCTGCATCGAAAAGTGTCATGCTGCCACGAGGTTGTTCGATTCCGCCTATCCCGAGTCCAGCACCACCCCCCTGTAGCGGTACGCCCGTTCGTTGCGCTTCTTCCGCTCTTTGGGCCTCAAGTTTCCGGCGCATAGCCTCTTCGAACCGTTGTTTTGCCTCGACATCGTTCCAGCAGTCCATGCTTTTCAGTCTTTGTATCCACCGAGTATCATCGTAGACCATTTCCTGCATGCGCTTCGAGGTCCGGGCAAACGTGAACATGTCGGCTATCGGGAGGTAGTCGAGGATTGTGTTGATGAGTTCTTTAAGATTTAGTTGAGTCTTGCTCTTAGAGTTCCAGGACACATACCTGCCGGCAGAATAGCTTTCGACTCATCCACCATCTGAGTGGTGCGCAGGGGGGCCAGGACAGTTGGCTGCGCCTGGGGCAGCACCCGCTTGAAATTCGATCTCGTAGCCATTTTGCTGGCTATCGTATGTTCAATTCAGACTACATATGTGATCATTAAAGTTGTGGTCATGTCCGCGACCGTTTGAGAGTTCGCGCGTGAACGTTGCGGGAGCGAGTGAAAGTGCGGGCGGACTTGATGGGTGGAGACATGACGCTTGAAGCTTTGACAAACGTGGAGCACGCGAACTCCGTGTTACTACGCTCAACATCGCACAGAGTTACCCAAGGGATATCACGTACTCGCAATTGTAAACTGCGATACTAGTAGCTGAGTATGAGCACGGTTCATGTGTGTTCCCCGCAGCATCTGGCACCAGGGTTTGGAATTAAGCTAGCATCTATCACCCAGGGTCTGAGCATGCTTGAAATGGGACCTTATACAGTGCTGAACAGCGATATGTCATATGTACAAGTTTGCTACAGTCATTTCGAACGTTGTATACTAATTGTATCCTCGTACACTTTATGGTTATTATCCATACATCGCCGACTGTACCAGCTAGCCACCAGTAACCAGCATCTACAAAGCAGCGAGCATGCCGACGACTGCCACACCGAGACCAAGAACAGGGCCGGTAGTTTGGAAAGAACCAGCACCAGTGGCAGCAGTTGCTGCTGCGCTGCCAGATGCAGTGCCAGATGCAGAGCGAGTTGCGCTGCCAGATGGGGTGTTGGTTCCAGAGATACCGGTCAGTGAAGCTGAGCTCGATGCTGAGGCTGAGCTCGATGCTGCAGCAGAAGCAGAAGCAGAAGCAGAGGAAGAAGCACTCGAGTTCGCCGCGCCGCAGTCGGGGTTGGAGTTCAGGGTCACGCCGGCTCCCTTGCAGAGAGTTGTGGCGAAGGAGATGGTAGCTGATTCTCGCATTAGTCACTTGAGATCAATCGAACTGTGAGGTGCTTACTCTGGATGTCGGAGGCACTGCAGGAGGACAGAACGCAGCAAGCAACTTGTGTGATAGCTGAGCTACCACAAATGCAGGCAACATCGATAAGACTACAGCTGCCGAGGTTGTCAGTGCCGAAGCATGATTGCTAGTTGTAGTTCAGTTACTGTAACTTCAGGGCTTGGTGCTGTACGTACGGCGCACTGGGGGATGTTGGCAAGGTTGCCCTGGCCGAGAACAGTAGCGCTAAGGGTAGCGATGGTTGCGATAACGGAGAAGCGCATGATGAAGTCTATGAAGAACAAAGGACAAAGATACGAGGTAAGAGAGACCCTAGGATAAGAATCTACTTGTAGGGTGTCAGCAGACAAAGCAATTGAGGATGACGCCGCAAGCCTTGGGGAAAGCTGGAGTAAATAGTCTGGATCTCCACCTCCTCCAAGACTGATCTGCGCGATTGGTCCGTCCGAGACTATTGATTGCACAAACGTGCCCAGTTCAGCCAACGCGCTCCAAGTGGCTTGCGGCATCCGCTACCACGCCGAAGTTGCCGGCATCTGGAGCTGGCCGTACGAGAAAGCGCTGCAACTGTTACAGTTTTGAGGATCGATAGCCCATTATTGCAGTTTTCTATACAGGCCGTTGCTGTGCTTGTTGTTTGCTAGCTCGCCAGCGTGTCTCTCATTCAGACGGGTATCGGAGTATGTGGTCAGCCTTTAAGGGATTATCTCAAGACAATCGGACCATTGGCTAATATCCGGTCTTATCAAACCAGCTTGTGCATGCTACGCTACAAGAGGCTACTTGTTTGTGTCTACCGTGTTGTTGTCTAACCCAGTGCTATTGAGATGGAAACCAAAGGGTTGATGGATCGACGGCGAGCGGGAGCTTGCAGCGCGTCTGTGCAAATCCGGAGGGTACCCACAACTCTCAACTCTAAGCGACCTTCCTTTCGATGATGCCACAGCAACAGGTATTGTGGAATCGAACCTACCTTCTCTGACGGCATGTAGTGAGGCTGCTTGACGATCACAATGACCGAAGGGCCGAGACGATCACCAAAGAGTGTTGCTACGCGCAATCACTGAACGTATTATGCGAAAAGCAAAGCTCAGTTACCATCAACAGCCATCACGATCACAAGTTATGAGCTTCGAGAGATCGGTTGCAGACCTTCAAGTCACCACTGAGGGTATGGCTAGGCAACGAGGTCCTTCTGGATAATGTCTGAGCAATGTTGTTTCTTTGCGCTCACTGCAGCCGCCAGCCACCAAAGGGCATCGAGTGATGATCTTCGAAGGACCTTTGTGAGTCCTGAAGTGGCTTGGAGTAGACGTAATTATCGTATATGCCGCACAAGACAACGTTTTTTCATAGAAGAAGGGCAGTGCAGGGCATGTTCGACGGCAGCTTCGGTGCCGCTTCAAGCCTTTTAGGGTCTGTTGCCTGGCTCAGGCGGGCGGCGATCACAGGGTCAAAGGGCGACGGGGCACAGCTGTCAAACAACCGCCGGGGGGCAATGGTGAGGGTCGAGCAAAGGACCCTGTTTCAACAAAGGCCGTGTTCTGGCTGCGATTAAGGGATGAAACATGGGCGCGCTGGTCGAGAAGGCCACGCGAACACTCGGCGAAGAAACCCGAACACACCACGTCTGTTCCTGTGTTGAGATTTTGAGGATGCTGCCCGACTGGGCAGAGTTCATCCTTATGCATCGTGGCTTGTCTCTAACGTGACTGCGTGTTTAATTAGCCACACATGTGACGCTGTGTCGCCAGCGCATGGTGGTTTCAGTGGGTCAAATGGCTTGAGACGCGATGTTTCTGCAGCGACTTTGCTCCATCGAAGCCGCAAGAAGGCGGCTAGAAGCCGCGCACGAGGGATGATGCCGGAGGTGGTGGAAGCGTAGGGCCGAAGGTTCCGCTTCAAACGCGAGCCAATGGTGAAAGTGAAGCAAGTGGACTTACCCATCTTTGCCCTGAGTCCTTCAAGGTCCTTGCTCATGATCTCGCGACAGCTTATGTTATCAACCTTGGATGTCAGTGCTGTAGACGTCAGACTTGAGACACCGATTGATGAGGCGGAAGCACGATTGGGAGGCGTGTCACAAATTATGGGTCACAGACCTCTGTCTCGTTCCATCCCCTTTCAGGTACCGTCCTGGAGCTTCCTGGAGGGGCAATTCAAGCTTCACTCGTTGAGCAGTGCTCGGAAGTACCTGGAAGGGCCACGTACCGTTGATTGCCCTCTGTAGTTTGTCGCCTGTTGCCCCGTGCTTGAGTAATGATGAAGGACGCTCAGAATAGTTGTGAAGCTGGGAAGGTCACTCTTAGTGACTCTCGAATACAAAAGCATCTCTGCAACCCGCTTGTAACAGAGTACCGATACTTCCAACGCACTGTTGCTGTCAAGTTTGCTATTCTATCAAGTCTCAGACATCAGACACTGTCTCACCGTTACACGCTCTTAAACACCCTTTGAGATCGCATTCCTCCATATTCCCAAATTTGATCTCAGAACAACGGCATCCATCATGAAGACGGCACCGAAGACCCCTGGCGGCGGTGAAAACCGCGATGGAGGCAGTGAGTAGCTCTCGAACCATTCATCGACAATAGAATGTCATCTCTAACATGCTCGATAGGGAGGCCATCCACCAACCGGGAACTTTAAGCGACTGCGCCTTCCTAAGACTTCCCAAAACAACACTTTGTGCGATACCACGACCATTCGACGCAGCGCGTCATACGTTGTACTCGGACTATAAATTCGTCGATTCCAGCAACATAGCCATTTCGACATTGCGAATTGTTACGCACGGCGGTCGAATTGTCTCGCATTTCGGTTTTCGAGACAGCGAGCACCTTGAGTCTGCGCTAGGCTGGCATGCAATCGATAACGGGAGTTTTGAGGCGCAGCATCTTGGAACATCAACACAACGACAACATCATCAATTGTACTCACCGACGCCGGGCTGTGTTCTCCGGTGAATGAGGCTCGCAAGCAGCGAAGAGTCATCTCCCATTGTTCGAAAGGCCACCGGGGAGTACTTATCGACAAAGGCAGTGACTCTGAGGCATCTTGTGTGCCTTGAAGTCTGCCGTTCCGCAGCAGTAGCAGCCCCCAAAGCGGCTGTGCGCCCGGTCACGCTTTCACGAAATAGTTCAGCCTAACAGGCAGCGAACTGGGGTTCGTCAACTAGACACCGCAAGCCGCCCTTCTGCCTGAAGGTAGCCTCAAAAACATGGCCTGTCTCGTAAATCGGCTTCGGTGAATGTGGCTATGACCCACTAGGAGGCCCTCTCACGGTGGGCGAAAGGAGTCACCAGCTCGTTCTCCAGGACCGTTGGCCTTTCCAGAAGGCGCGCTAGAAGGATGGCAGCCTATCAATCGCCTTATTCATCAGGCTTCAGCCAATGGCATAATCAATTGGCAGGGGTGGCGCAGCAATATCGTTCTTTCATACTCACCATTGAGTGCAACGGAGGAATTGAATCGAGTTCTGCGTCATAACCCGGGCAAGAAGGCAGTTGTTTGCCTGTTCCTGAAGTAACTGAATGAGGCAGTACAGATGGTGGCGCCTCCAGCAGGCCTCAGGGCGTAACGGTTTATATACGCCTTGATCTCCAGGCTGTTGTAAGACATCTACTTCACACATTAAGCCTTACAACCTGCCTACATCTACACACGATACCATAGCCTGCAACCACTACCAACGCCATCGACCACCAAGCCACATACCCACCAAGCATTTAATAACATCGACCACCACCATGCGATCTCCCAGCTTCAGCAACAACAACCTCAACTTCTTCGGTGGCTCTGAATCTCGTGACGGCGGCGCACCCAACCGATCTGCCAAGTTCAACTTGCCCATGATGAAGGCTATGCGCGGTGGTCCCGAGTCCCGCGATGGTGGCTAAGAGGCCTACCCGCTCAAGTATGTTGATCATCTGAGCCTGCTCTTGACTTGATCTAACAGCTTCAAGATCTTGCTACCAATACGCCTCATATTGGTTGTGCCGGTCACTCCATCTCTCAATCAACATTGAGAACCTGGAAGTCCCGGTAGTAGAGATGTTCGATCTCGGTCGACACCTCTAAACTCGTCATTGGCTTCGGCTTCCCACACGACTCGGCATCGACCACTCTTATTACGCCTTCTGGGTCTTCTCGCGCCTCATTGTCTTGCAGCGTTCTGCATTTTTGAAAGCATCTTCGGTGTTTTGGGACTTGTTTTTGTACAACATTGGGATGGCTGTATGATATAATGCGTTTCGAACGTACATTTGGTTTCGGGTTAGACGGCGCAACTACAGGATGGAGGGCAACCTCGGGTTATTAGATGCTACTTGGTATGATAGACCATGATTAGACGAGCATGACGTTTGTGCTTTGGTTCATACCACGGCTTGGGATGGTCGATCATAGACGGAGAAGGATGGTCACGATAAGGATAGTAATTGGGAACACATCAATCAAGGCTTTGATAAAGCAACAGCTTGTGCCTAGCTTGAGCGACTGATAAAAATGGTTGTGACAGTTAAAATAAAGCGGACAAGCCGATGTCAAGCTCTAAGCTTGTAATGTTGAGTGGTGTTGGATGGAAGTGGAGATGTGAGCTGTGATCTGGTGTTCGCATCTCATATACCCCACGCCTTGGCATCAGTAATGGCATTACATGCATGTTTGCTTCTTACCTCCAGATTATGAAGAGCGATCTTGCAATCCAGCTCCTTCACACCAGTTCTCCTCATCTGAAACTGTCAACCCGCAACCAGAATTCAATCGAAGTGAGTGCTCTCCAAGCAATCTTACACAACGCAACAATGTCTCGAAACGAAGATCTCGAATGACGTATCCGGACGATCGTGCACGTTCTCGGACGCTCCGCCGAAGGGCACGCAAATGACTAATTCCAACCCGAAAACAGTGTCAGGCACGCGCAAAACAGCAACTTCTTACCGGGTCACAGGGCAGCTGGCGCTGAACGTGCCCAGACGCGAAAAGACGGGTCATGCTGAAGCTCAAGAAAACATGATAACGATATAGTACGCTGGTGCGCATCGGTCACAGTCTCTCTTGGAACTGCTTAGCCGCTTGGTTTGCTCGCGGGTACGGTGTGAAGCCAAGAGCGATTCAAGAGCATTTAAGGGTCGACAACCGATCGCGTCATATGTTAGTTACTGTCTTTGTCGTCTTCTCACCTTACTGTCCAACGCTCTTACGCAAACGTGAAGACCTCCAGACTACCGTGACAGCTACAACTTCGCACGTCTGCACCACACATATACCACAATGACTACGCGACCAGCACAGGACCGCATCGCGTCCCACGGCCGCGGCGGAGCAGGTAAGTTTGGACCTTGCGAACACTCTGCGCATGTTCAGACATGCCGAATGCGCCCAAGATACTTCCGACGCCTGCTTTTGGATCCTTGCGACTATACCACGAGACTCCACGATATTTGGAACTGCTACTGACTGCAAGAAGGCAACATCGCACCCGATGTCAACACCGCGTACACGAAGCCTGAGGACCTAGTCACTCCTACGATCAAGTCGAACACATACACTACTGGTCGTGGTGGACAGGGCAACATGGCCAAGAACGACAACCCAGAAAACGCTCGTCTTGCGCAAGACGTCGAAGGTCCTGCGAAGATCTCTGAGCCTAAGGGCGCCGTGCACTACGGACGAGGCGGTGCTGCGAACATCATTACCGACAAGGAGCGCAAGAGTGGCGAGGCTAAGCGCAGCGAGTCTGGCGCTTCTGCTGAGCAGGGCCTTCTATCCAAGGTCAAGGGCTTCTTCAAGTAAGCCAGCAGTGACTGTTGAATATCGATGGCGGAGGGGCCGCTTAGCTTGAACAATCTGGCATTCTTGAGGACCTCAAGGTTCGGCCTCAAGAGTAGGAATGATATGGGGGCAGGGTGTCTTTGTTTGGTTATGATATACCCTGGAGTTGGAATGTGTTTCTTTATACCACTCTCAGTTTATCACATTGAATACGGGAAGGGCTCGGTTTGCAGTGCGGCGCTGCACAACATACTTAATACAACTCCCTTTCGTCAACAGCATTTGTCCAGAATCTGATTGTTAACCGCAACCGCGCTCTAGGTCAGTTACTTCAGCCTTGCCCGGGTTTCCACACGCGTCTAGCTCGATACGCATTTCCCAAGGCAAGCCAGGGTTTCAGGGTCTCCTGCAGGCTGGCAAGCGCGATGCGGGGTCGTGATGGTGGCGCAATGAGAAACAACAAGCAAGAGAAGCCGACTCCAAACATTCTGTTTCACATCTTGCATGAAGTCCACCTCTGCCTGACTCGCTGTTCCACTTGCTGTAGGAAACAGTCTGGAAAACAACACTTGCCGAGATCGACACAGGCACAACATCCTGCTTCTGTGCGTGTGAATGAACCTTATCAGATCAGGCGGCGCTCTACTCCGTCCCATTGCTGTGGTCTCAGTGCTATTGCCATTTGCCCGTCGCTGGTTCTGCTCACACACAGACAGGCAACTCCGCAAGCTCGGTATAGATTGACATGACGACTTCTCACCATTCTATATCACGGATGTCGAACCACCTGTACTAGCAACACCCACTTTAAGCATGGTGTGAAGATCGCTGTCCACACCCGGAAGTCTTACCGAACCACCATGCTAAAAGCCAACGGCTCCGCTCCATTACAGATAAGTGTGTGAGAGATGTGACTCGGCGAGCAGCGGCGTGCATTGCATTGTGCCATTATCCGTGAAATTTGATGTATTCACATGAAAAGCCCACCTCTCACATCCTTGGTACCGTCCTTCGTCCTCCAGTACAACTTCGATCTACCAACGTGTTTATCCGCTATTGGTTCTAGAGATACCAACGAAGACCCAAGTGAAACATCGTTACGAGAAGCTTGTTCGGACCTGAGGTCAATATAAGAGACGGACGGACATCAATACTAGTAGAAGAAAGATATTCACTGAAGTGGTTTCTGACCTCGCCGTGGAAAGACTTCAAGCACTGTTCCTGCATTCTCGAATTGCAGAGACCGACTTGCACATCACGATGTCCACGACAATAACAAGCGAAGAGACCTGGGTGCATTACCACGATGGAGGGATACCTGGGCGTCGACGAGTCTTAACAGGGACCGCCGCCAAACCCACCTTCAGCGAGCTTCCCAAGATTGATTTTCGACGCATATACTCCGACAACCTTTCAGACCGCCAGGAACTGGCAAAGGAAGTAGGTACCGCATGTAGAGATATTGGGTTCTTCTACGCTGTCAATCACGGTGTTGACGAGAGCCTGCTGGATGATACGTTCGAAGCGTTGAAGAAATTCTTTGATCTACCAACAGAAGTCAAGATGGAGGTGCACAATCAGAAGACATCGAAGTTCAGAGGGCATGTTTATTGCCTCTATCATATTTGACTTCGTGACTAACAAACAATCCAGGTATGAAGCTTTCCTAGAAGGAAAACTGGACCCCAGTACGAGAGGAGGTGAGAATCCCGTCATGAAATATGCAGCCATCATGTTGACTTGTTTCTCTAGATCTAAAGGAAGGCTTTCTTATGGGCGAAGACGCTACGGACCCAGAACAAAACCGACCCATAACACCATCTACCGCAGAACCCCGGAACCAATGGCCAACCCATCCTTCAGCATTATTCTGGAGACCAGCAATCTACCGCTACTATAATGCCATGTACACATTTAGCAAGCGTCTCCTCCGCATCTTCGCCCTCGCTCTCGACCTACCCGAAACTGCCTTCGACACTATTACCACTCACCCCATGACCAATGTCCGCGCGGTACACTATCCACCGCAGAAATCAGAGTCCGACGTTGGCCTCGGTGCGCATACAGACTTCTGCTGGTTCACTCTCGTCTGCCAATCCCATACCACCCAGCCAGCCCTCGAGGTTCTGAATGCAAACGGCATATGGGTTCCTGTGCACCCCAAACCCCACACTTTCGTTGTCAATATCGCGGACTTCTTGAAGTTGGTGACGGGAGGCACTTGGCAGAGCACGGTGCATAGAGTGAGGAATATGGGTGGAGAAGAGAGGTACAGTATGCCGTTCTTCTTTAGCCCGAATGAGGATGCGAAGGTCAGCGTGTTGGAGCAGTTTGGGAAAGCAGGGGAGGTATATGAGGAATTTGGGGTGGGCGAGTATTTCCAGAAGAGGTTGGACATTGATCGGACGACACACCTGGATGGGGAGGAGGGAAGAAGAAAGGAGAGTGCTAACGTACTCCAACCGCTTTTCTGCAACCGTAATGCGAATCAGTGATTGGTATTCGCAGGCGTCTGGAGACTACGAGAAGCTCAAGGTCCCTGGATCTTGATCCCTTCCCATGCCACTCTGTAGCATGATGTTGAAGGTGGTTTCAATGCACCGTATGTTCGCGCTGTAGAGCAACAGAATCTGCAAGTAGCTCTATCTCAGCGAAGCTCTCCAAGATTTGGACGTGCCATGTCATCCTGCAAAATAATCTCTTCGCCCAGCGCTGCTTGGTCCTTCTCCAGCTCCTCGACCCCAGCAACCGTTTCGTGATAGCTGACTCCTTTTCTCGCTTTTTCACTTCATGCTGCTGATTGTCTTCCAGCAGTAACGACACAATCGTCCTTTGTCAGGGTTGCGGTTGTACCGATGATCAACTTCTACAGCTCTTGTTACACCATGCATCTCCCCTTGCTGCCGCGTGGAAGTATCAAGCTCTGCTGCGTAGAAGTGTATAAACGATACGTATAGCCTGAGGCAGGGTTAGGGTACCAGTAGGATGGAGGACCTTCATCGTAATGAAAGTCTACTTGATCGATGGATTCATGATTCTCATTCTTGCACAAGCCTTGCTAGTTCTCCTTCTCGGTGTGAGGTATTTCTGGTCAAAGGAGGCCACTCAGTATCAGACTGGATCGAAATTGACAAGGAGGAAGTGGTTATAAAAAAACATTAGAAATGGGGCATTGACAGGGTGAATGATCTTCATTTTGAGCCAAAATTCATACTGTCTGTCCGTATGATGTATTCTCACTGAATGAATTGATCTAGTCGCGCTGTTCGTGAAGATCCTTTGTGGATGTGTTCATGTCGTTGATATCATCTATTCCTCACTCTCCTCCCGCAACCTCTTCTAATCCTTCTTTAGCGGCGTGAATGTCTCGTTGATGCCGTCTTTGGTGATGATCATCATCTGTAGCCCGTCACCGACCTCGATATGCCTCTCCACCGCACTTGTGAATGCGTCTCGTACCAAGTCCTCGACGTGGTTCTGCGACAGAGGCTGTGGCACCACGGTCTTCAGGTTGTGTCCTGTCCCACTACCTGGCTCGTACTGGTTCTTGAAGTTGACCTGGTTGTCCAAAAAGGGCATGATGAGCGACGCCGCTGCACCCGCTGCTCTGCACTGCTCCCTCTCATAGCTGCCGACCGGGTCGTAGGAGTACAATGCGCCTTTGCCGTCCTCATCCAAGCCACCCAGGATGGCGTGTACGTAGTAGGGGAAGAATCGCTTGTTGTAGAGGATGTGGCTGAGACGCTGTGCGCATGCGGAGACAGTCATGGGCTTGCCGTGCTTGTACTTGTACATCTTGACGATAGTGTCGAGGTGCTCCTTCAGCGCATGGCCGTCCGCAGCGAAACCGACTACGGAGAGCACTATCCGTGCGCCCTTATTATCGGGTCCCTCACCGCCGATCTTGAAGAGCTTGGGCTCGTATCGTGTGTTGATGTTGTAGCCGGATGTTGATCGAGTGTCGCCGGCAAGGATGGCGAAGTCAGCACCAGAGATACCAAGTGTTGAACCACCGTTGTCAGTGTAGCTGCTCCCATTAGTATCTTCACCGTGAGCTCGGTCTCAACTTGACTGACGGGTAGAAGCCGTGCTGCCGCTCACCGGAGGGAACAGCTGTGGGGGTGCTCTTGAACGAGTAGCCTGGGCCACCCTGCGGAGGTGCTCCAGAGAAGATGGCGGCCATCGTGTAGGTATCGAAGTGGTTGTAGTGTACGAAGGCACTTATTAAATGCTAATGCGGGGTGGACGAGAGGTAAAGTGGCGATTGACGTGTTTGCTGGTGGTGATGCTGGAGCTTGAGTTGACGCGGGCTGCGACTGCCTACCGCCAAGGCCCGGAGCTGGTGAAGCTACGACCACCGCCGCCGCCGCGTCGTGGAGCTGCCTCAACGGTGCCAGTGACCATCAACAACGCCTCACTCGAACAAAGCTTCCCACGATCTCGCCTTTGCAAACAAGGTGTAGCTGATACGGAGCCCCTCGTTGCTCAGAGCCCCACCACGGTTTACATCTAAACAATTCAGCCACCGTCCCACATCACATTCCCCTAAGCCACTATGTAAGAGTAGCATGCTTGTGGATATGTCGACATGCTGATGATTGTGCAGGGAGGTCCTACTTGGTATCACGGGGAAGGACTTCACCCTCATCGCCGCCTCCAAAGCCGCCATGCGAGGCGCCACCATCCTCAAGGCCTCTGATGACAAGACCCGGGAGTTGAACAAGCACACGCTGATGGCCTTCTCTGGAGAAGCCGGTGACACAGTGCAATTCGCTGAATACATCCAAGCAAACATCCAGCTGTACTCGATGCGAAACAACATGGAGCTGTCGCCCGCTGCCACCGCCAACTTCGTTCGTGGAGAGCTCGCACGCGCACTGCGATCACGGAAACCCTACACAGTGAACCTGCTGCTTGGAGGGTATGACAGCATCGCCGACAAGCCCACACTATACTGGATCGACTACCTAGCCAGTCTGGCACCCGTTCCCTACGCGGCACATGGATATGCTCAGTATGTTCTGCCCCAACTTTGAATACGCAGCGACTATCCGCGCGGATCGTCCGAGACGAAACTGACACGAAAACCAGGTACTACTGTCTCTCGTTACTCGACAAGCACCACCACCCGGACATCGACTACGAGCAGGGTATGAAGATCTTGAGGATGTGCACAGAGGAGCTGAAGCGTCGCCTACCGATCGACTTCAAGGGCGTTCTTGTCAAGGTGATCACAAAGGACGGGGTCAAGGATGTCGAGTACGAGGACGATGTCAAGGTTGCGATACCGTAAGAGAAGGATGTGTTGGACAGGTCATGGCGAATTGATGATCTGGTTGATAGGTACGCTGCATCTGTCAGAAAACATGGCCATGGAGCGCTCAACATGTAGAGAGCTAGCATTACGACTGGAGTTATGATCGAGACGCCACAGTCAATGACAAAAGATCACGAACGTAAGGCTTGGACCTTCTGCCAGTGGTGTCCGATAGCCAACAGGTACTTGGGAAGTCCAATGACCGACTAGCATCGAAAGATGTAAGCTGCTGCTGTTGGGAGTTTCTAGCTGGCTTTATCAACAACGCACACCAACTATCAATATAGTTCCATGATCATGCGGGATTAGGGTATGATTCGAAAGAGTGAGTACTAACGCTCAGTGTCCGTGATTATTGTATAAGTTCACAGAAATCAATGGAGTCTAGGCTGATATCGCGATAATGGGGAAGTTTATAGAATTGAGGTTCTTCAAACAAGGGGTATCACCGTGTTGGGAACGTGAGATAAGCAGGGTTCGCGATGGACAGGCACAACCTTGACAACTTCCAAGCTCACTTTGGCGAGTTGGCACAAGTCTTGTCTGTTTTTGAGATTCGGTCGTCCGCTTGAGGTTGGAGCAGGCGTGTGATCTCCGAGGCACGTACGATCGAGACTCAAGGCGGTTAGAGGGTGTGTGTTGCGGAAGATCGCCGCGGCTCACAGTTCGCGTTGTGGCTGCGTCAGTGTGAAGAGTGACATCATCGGACCAGACCCTACAAGCTACACCAGTCCATCATTACTAGCATGGCCGCTGCAAGGCGGCTAAGATTGTGTTCATCGTATCCTCTGTTGTTTTAGATTTCTACCTTCCATCGATACCTCGAACTGATATCAACAACCCTGTGGCGATCGCCTTGACCTGGGATTTCAGCATGGCGACAACCGGATTGTCGACGGCTGTTCCCCACATTGACGATGGCGCACCCCTGAACAGCACGGAAGATGCTCCACCAAGGACCTCCACCGATACGGGCATGCGATGTCCTGATCCTTCGGCGCATGTACACCAATCTCACAACAATGCTTTGCAAAATCAGGCGTCGGCTGCGGCCTTGTATAGCACAAGACCAGCCAACGAGAAGCAAAAGATCAATCCGCTCGGACCGGACGGAAAGCTTTCGTCAGCAAGTAAGTAATATGAAATAGAAGCATTTCACTAGATGTGAGTCTGACGTAAATGCAGGCGCTGCGGCCAGTCTGAAATACGCGAGAGCAAACGACCTTCCTAGCTTTCCAGTTGTTGGTATCGACACCTCTTCCTCGGCTGGAGCAGCCGCGCTACTGGCAAACCAAAACAAGAAAAGCCCGGAGTGGTGGAAGCCTGAGCAGTCATCTGCTGCCGGAAAGGCCGCGCTGTTGGCAAACGACTACAAGATGAAGCCATTGTGGCAACCAGAGGCAAGCGCTGCAGGCTCTAAGGCAGCACTTCTTGCCCACAGGGACGGTGGAAAGTTGAACTTGTGGCAGCCTGAAGCCAGTGCTGAAGGCAATTCAGCAGCTAATATCGCCATGCGCAAGACAGGTCTGGGCCCGCAAATCGACTATGGATATACCGAGGACGGGAGGAAGAAGGCGTTACTCGCAGCAACTGGAGCACATTCAGCATCTGGTCGCAAGCGCGCGCAGTCAATCCCTATGTCCGTCCCACTCTACCCTGACTCCAAGAACTCCGCCAAAAATGCTTTGAATGCCGCGACAGTAGCTCATAGTCCCTCAATGCGAGCATCAAAAGCACCAGCGGTTCAACCACAGGACTCGAACCGACTTGGATCCGGAGCCATGGAGGCAGCAAGGATTCAGCACGCCAAAAGCACTAGAGAGATGTACACAAGCTCTCCTCCTGTCTCGTTGGAGGTCGAAGAAAAGAAGCGCAACGATGCGCTTCGAGCTTCCGCTGTTGTCATGGCGAAGAAGATGTACGATGTTCAACAACAGCATATTGAAGGAGCACCTGGTGTATCTGCTGCTCGCACAGGGGCTACTGCCGCTCATGGGCAAAAACCAGCCACAAGTGAAGGGGACCTCAAACAACAAGCCATGCAGTATATTGGTATTCAAGAAGCTGCACAGAAACTGGCGCAGGAGCGACTGGCCAAGATCGGTTACGATGAAAATGCCGCTTACCGAAGCTACTATGGTTATGAAAAGCAAGGCCGTTCGAAGCTTTCCATGCGACGAGGTAGGCCTCGTGCTCGCAGCACATCTGAGGCTCCCGAAGAGGACAGTGACTCTGACGAGGACGACTTTCGTTCGAGGCGCATTCGTCATCAAATGAAGCAGTTCAACGAGCAACTGGCTGACGTTGATGCGAAGAAGCGCGAACAGGACCGCAAGGGCCTCATTGCTGCAGCAGAACGTAAAGTGAAAGCCCAAATGCAGGGCCTCGATAAGGATATCTACGACAAGACCGGCAAGATGTCGAACTCCATGGTGGATGACTGGGACGAGAAAGCGCGCCAACGGGCGCTTGCCAACTCAGAAGCTCGCATGGAGAACCATGGCAGAGTCAACATTGGCAACGGCAAGTGGATGGATCAGGCTGAAATTGACGCCATTGCTCAGGCTAGACTTCAACCGACGTTGGATGAGATAACCGAAAAGGCTGAGAAGCGAAGAGCCGAAGACGCTGAAAGACAATTCGAGCTGGAAAAGAAGCAGCGCAAGGAGCAAGAAGAGAAGGCACGTCTTGCCGAGATCAAGGTCGAAGAGAAGAAGGGCAAAGGTAAGGTGGTACAACATCGTCCCCTTAGCAGTACTGACGGTCCACAGAGGAAGAGAAGAGGGCAGCCAAGGCTCGCAACGCAGAAGAAAAAGCAGCTGCGAAGCAAGCAAAGGAGGCGGAGAAGACTAAGAAGGCTGAAGAGGACCGCCTGGCCAAAGAAGAGCAGCGAAAGTCTAAGGAAGCTGCACGAGCAGCGCCTACGACTGGGCCTGCTTTGGGAACTGCGGTTGTTGCCACACCCACAACCGCAACTCCTGCCGCAGTCACTGCTACCAGTGGGAATGACGACCTGTACGAAGAGCCCACTGCTCCCACCGGAGTCTCTGATGTGACCGCGCCCACACGGGACTCTACCGCTACTGCACCTACGCGAGACTCTACTGTTACTGCACCTTCATCGACCGACCCTACTTCGCCCACCTCACCAACCTCATCTAAGGGCTTCAAGTCTATCTTCAACAAACTGAAGCGCCGCTCTAAGCACGACCCAGCTGTCGCTACTAACGCCGATGGCAAGGTTATGGAGAAAGACAACGCTGGGTTCATCGGCGGTGCCAGCCTTCGGGCGTCCGAATCGAAGTCCCACTCGTCGACAACACCACCCACTTCCCATGCTGAAGCAAGCTCGACAACCCGCCCAACTGGCCTGGGCGATGTCGAGCCCACAGTCGTCTCTCACGTCAGTGAGCCTGCAGGTGTACCTAATGTTAGGGAGGACCGCTACTCTGACATCTCATCGCTCACCAGTGATGATGAAGAGCTGACGAGGGGCCGCCCCCGCCCAGTACGTCTCATGAGCGACGACACCAGAGCTTCTTCGGACTTTGAGGAGGCGAGAGATCACTTCGATGAGGATTTAGCTCCTCCTCCAACGTTCACGAGTGAGGTGGATAAGGGTCGTCACGGCAGCCCAGTTCGAGACTCGAAGTTTCATGAAGTTGGAATCTAGTCGAATCACGGAAACTGTGGAGGGATGTAATGCTTGACAACGAATAATTTGGAAGATTGTAATTGGTGGACGAGGGAGGACACAACTGTTTACACTCATGATTTTGCTTTACCCTTGATACCGTACACCTGTATTTGGATTGACATGATTCCATGGTTCCACTGTATCGACAGTACCCTTACAACTGCCTGACTAGTTTCTTGGTACCCTCACCACCTTGCTGTATAGCGATTTGACGCTTGTAAGCTCCGCACCTTCACTGCAATTGTAGTTTTTTCGCAGTGAGATTGTTGGTGAGCTCGAGTATAATTGGAGGCGGCAATCGACGTCAGCCCGCTTGTAGCGCTTACCCAATTGGTATCAGCCAAGCCCGGTTCGCTCCAGCGTACTGTGGAAACCGTGGACAACAACGAGCTCCTGAGCATCACCTATCCCACCCACCCCACACCGTCGAACGACACCCTCTCATTTTCTATTGCGCGCCTCTGGAGTTGTGCATCTGGGTTTAATACTTCTTTCCCTTCCGATACCCCCGTAGTTGAGCGCCCTCTCACCCCGGTGAGCTTGGAGCTGGTCTGTCGCAAACATGGCTCAGCGCCAGGTTCCATTGCACGTCACGCAGCCGACGCTGGTATGTATCTTATCGAATTGGAGCTGGAGAGAAGCTAACAATTGACTTTGCAGCTCACGAACTTGAACATCCTCGTATGTTGAACTGTCCAAACTAGGCTCCTACTAGAGTCCAGACCAAGGGGCAGCAAACTAACAGAATATACAGCCAGCATCGATATCATGGCAAAACTGTGTATGTGGTGCTTATTTCTTACTGTGAACCATCGGCCAAAGCGCTGACTGCCGCCAGACTCTCGAGTCCGACAAGTACGTTTGCGTGCGCCAGGTCAACAACGAGGCCAACACCCCCGCCGAGACCGTCATCATCGATTTGAAGAACACAAACAATGTCATCCGCAGGCCGATTCGCGCAGACAGTGCGATCATGCACTTGACTGAGCCCATCATTGCTCTGAAGGCGCAAGGTCGGACGCTGCAGCTCTTCAACCTCGAGACAAAAGAGCGCCTGCAGACATACAGCCATCAGGAGGACATCGTGTTCTGGAGGTGGATCAGCCAGACTACGCTTGCGCTGGTCAGCTCGAAGGCTGTATACCACTGGGATGTGCTGGAGTCGAAGACCTCGACACCACGCAAGATCTTCGACCGCCAGGAGCAGCTCGAGGTGGGTAGCTCGGATTCACTTTTTGGATCATGTCTAATATACGGTACAGAACAACCAGATTATCAACTACGTAACAAACGACGATGAGAGCTGGTCTTGTTTGGTGGGCATTGCGGCGGGTCCCAATGGAGGCATCCGCGGCAACATGCAGCTGTTCTCCAAGGCGAGGAACGTCAGCCAGCCTCTCGAAGGTCACGCAGCCACCTTCGGCACACTCCGTCTCGACGGCGCGACAACAGACACCAAGCTATTCGCTTTCGCTGTTAAGTCCTCCACCGGCGAGGCCAAGATCAACATTGTCGAGGTCGACCACGCTGCGTCCAACCCGGCTTTCCCTAAGCGACTGATCCCGATTCACTGGCCCGCCGAGGGTACTGGCGACTTCCCGCTCGGCATCCACATTGCGCACAAGTACGGCATTCTCATCGTAATCACCAAGTTCGGTTTCATTCACTTGCACGATCTTGAGACCGGTACCGCTCTGTTTTTGAACAGGATTTCGGAAGAAACCGTCTTCACCACCGCACGCGACGATGAGGGCACAGGTGTCGTTGTTATCAACAAGCGTGGACAGGTGCTGCACACAACTATCCGCGAGGACACTTTGATACCCTACATTATGGAGAACCCAGCGTGTGCGGAGATCGCCTACAAGCTCGCGTCCAAGGGCGGTCTTCCTGGTGCAGACAACCTGTACAATCAGCGATTCGAGCAGTTGATGAGCCAGGGCAACTATTCTGAGGCGGCAAAGGTCGCTGCCAGCTCGCCTCGTGGTTTCCTTCGCACAATGAACACCATCAACCGCTTGCGCTCGGTTCCTCAGCAGCCTGGCCAGATCACTGTTCTTCTACAGTATTTCGGCTCGCTGCTTGACAAGGGTGGCTTGAACCGCGAAGAGACATTGGAGTTGGCCCGCCCCGTTTTCGCGCAGGGGCGCAAGCACCTTATCGAGAAATGGCACAAGGAGGGCAAGCTTCACTGCTCTGAGGAGCTTGGTGATCTTGCTAAGCCCCACGATTTAAATCTGGCTCTGGCTATCTACAAGGAGGCCAATGTTCCCCAGAAGGTCGTTGCTTCTCTTGCCGAGCTTGGTCACTACGACATGATCGTTCAGTACTGCAACTCTGTCGGTTACACCGCTGACTACAACGTTCTCCTGCAGCATGTAATCAGGTCGAACCCTGAGAAGGGATCTGAGTTTGCCATTCAGCTTGCAAAGAACGAGGGCGGCCCACTCATCAGCACCGACCGCGTTGTGGACATTTTCCAGTCTCAGGGCATGATTCAACAAGCCACTGCCTTCCTTCTGGATGTGCTTTCCAACGATCGTGAAGAGGAGGGTCACCTGCAGACGAAGCTGCTCGAGATGAACTTGCTCAATGCACCTCAGGTCGCCGATGCCATCCTTGGAAACGAGATGTTTCACCATTACGACAAGGCCCGCATTGCCTCCCTTTGCGAGAACGCTGGACTTCTCACACGTGCGTTGGAGCACAATGATGATCCTGCGACCGTCAAGCGCATTATCGTACAGACCGACAAGCTGCCAGAGGAGTGGTTGATCAACTACTTTGGCCAGCTCACAGTTGAGCTCTCGCTGGAGTCCCTGGATGCTATGCTCACAACAAACATCCGCCAGAACCTGCAAGCTGTGATTCGCATTGCGCAGAAGTACTCGGATCTGCTTGGTGCAACCCGTATCATCGACCTTCTTGAGAAGCACCGTACAGCTGAAGGCTTATACTTCTTCCTTGGATCCATCGTCAACGTCAGTGAGGACCCGGATGTTCACTTCAAGTACATCGAGGCCGCCACAACCATGGGCCAGCTGAACGAAGTTGAGCGCATTTGCCGTGAGAGCAACTTTTTGAACGCCGAAAAAGTTAAGAATTTCTTAAAGGAAGCCAACCTGACCGAGCAACTGCCTCTGATCATCATTTGCGATCGCTTCAACTTCATCCATGACTTGGTTCTGTACCTGTACAAGAAGCAGCAGTTCAAGTCCATTGAGGTCTACGTACAGCGCGTCAACCCCGCCAGGACTCCTCAGGTTATTGGAGGTCTGCTCGATGTCGACTGTGACGAGAGCATCATCAAGGGCCTCCTGGCTTCGGTCACACCCTCCTCGATCCCTATCGATGAGCTCGTCGCTGAGGTAGAGTCGCGCAACCGCCTCAAGCTTCTCTTGCCCTTCTTGGAGCAGACCTTGGCTGCTGGAAATCAGCAGCAGGCCGTCTACAACGCCCTGGCTAAGATTTACATCGATTCTAACAACAACCCGGAGAAGTTCCTGAAGGAGAACGACCAGTATGACACCCTGACCGTTGGTAAATACTGCGAGAAGCGCGACCCCAACCTTGCGGTCATCTGTTACTCTAAGGGCCAAAATGACCTTGAGCTTGTCAACATCACCAATGAGAACGCTATGTTCAAGGCTCAAGCTCGTTACCTGCTTGACCGAGCCGAATCTGAGATCTGGGACTTTGTTCTGAGCGATAACAACATGCATCGCCGATCCTTGGTCGACCAAGTCACATCTGTAGCTGTGGTAAGTACATCCCCCACTGGTTTTCCCACAATCGGGATTTGCAGTTTCACTATTCTTGATTTTGGGGTTGGTACCTTGAGTGCCTTCCGGAACTCTGCCCTGCACCCTATCTCCCAAAATCGGTACTTCAAATTTTCACAATCAATGACCTCCGGATCGATGTCTTGAGTGCCTCCTGGGTTCGTTTGGGATCCCATATTTCCCCCGAATTGGAAATTTCAATTTCCCCACTCTGGACCTACGAATTGGTGCCCTGGCTACCTCCTGGGTCCTGTTCGGGGCCCTGAAACGGGAAGATTGGCATTTCCGATTCAACTGCTCAGCTCTTTACACTAGCTCTTTGATCATACATTGACTGACTCCATAACAGCCTGAATCTACCGACCCTGACAAAGTCAGTGTTGCTGTCAAGGCCTTCATTACCAACGACATGCCCGCTGAGCTCATCGACTTGCTCGAGAAGATCTTGCTCGAGCCCACGACCTTCAGCGACAACCCATCTCTGCAGAACTTGCTCATGCTCACCGCATGCAAGTCCGACCGTGGGCGCGTAGCTGGGTACATCCAGCAACTCGAGGCGTACACCCCTGAAGACATCGCGCAGCAGTGTATCGAGGTTGGCATGTATGATGAGGCCTTCGAGATCCACAAGAAGCACGGTCAGCACGTCGACGCCGTCAACGTCCTGGTTGATCACATTGTCAGCATCGATCGTGCTCAAGAATACGCGGACCGCGTTGACGAACCGGAAGTTTGGAGCAGAGTCGCTAAGGCCCAGCTGGATGGTCTTCGTGTCACTGACTCGATCGAGTCTTACATCCGCGCTGGAGACGCATCAAACTTCCTTGAAGTCATTGAAGTTGCCACCCACGCGGGCAAGGACGAGGATCTGATCAAGTTCTTGAGGATGGCTCGCAAGACTCAGCGTGAGGTTCCCATTGACACCGCCCTGGCTTTCTGCTTTGCTCGCACCAACCAGCTGCCAGAACTTGAGGAATTCCTTCGTGGAACTAATGTTGCCGATGTCGAAGCATCTGGAGACAAGGCTTACGAGGAGGGCTACCACGAGGCGGCCAAGATCTTCTTCACCAGCATCTCCAACTGGGCCAAACTTGCCACCACTCTCGTGCACCTCGAAGACTACCAGGCCGCCGTTGAGTGTGCGAGGAAAGCGAACAGTGTTAAAGTCTGGAGACAGGTCAACGAGGCCTGCGTTGCCAAGAAGGAATTCCGTCTTGCTCAGATTTGCGGTCTCAACCTCATTGTTCACGCCGAAGAGCTTTCCGAGCTCGTCAAGCAGTACGAGCGCAACGGCTACTTTGATGAGCTCATCGCGCTATTGGAGGCTGGTCTAGGTCTCGAGCGCGCCCACATGGGTATGTTCACCGAGTTGGGCATTGCTCTTGCCAAGTACCACCCTGAGCGCGTCATGGAGCATCTCCGCCTGTTCTGGTCCCGCATCAACATCCCCAAGATGATTCGGGCCACCGAGGAAGCTCACCTGTGGCCCGAACTTATTTTCTTGTACGTCCACTACGATGAGTGGGATAACGCAGCTCTTGCTATGATGGAGCGCGCATCCGACGCTTGGGAGCACCAGGCTTTCAAGGACACCATCACCAAGGCCTCCAACGTTGAGATCTACTACCGCGCACTGGGCTTCTACTTGGAAGAACAACCCACCCTGCTTACAGACTTGCTGCAAGCGCTTGCTCCTAGGATCGACGTCAACCGTGTTGTCCGCATGTTTTTGAAGTCGGACAACATTCCTCTCATCAAGCCCTTCCTCCTCAACGTTCAGTCTCAGAACAAGCGTGAGGTCAACAACGCCCTCAACGACTTGTTGATTGAAGAGGAGGATTACAAGACACTGCGCGACTCGGTCAACAACTACGACAACTACGATGCCATGGAGCTTGCCCAGCGTCTTGAGAAGCACGAGCTGGTCTTCTTCCGCCAGATCGCGGCAGACATCTACCGCAAGAATAAGCGATGGGACAAGAGCATTGCCCTCTCAAAGCAGGACAAGCTTTTCAAGGATGCCATCGAGACGTCTGCGATTTCCCAGAAGTCCGAGATTGTGGAGGATCTACTCCGCTACGTAAGTACTCAACTATATGTAAGCTTGAGTCTTTCATACTAACACCTTTCTCAGTTTGTCGATATCGGTAGCCGCGAGTGCTACGTGGGTATGCTCTACGCTTGTTACGACCTCATTCGCCCTGATGTCATCTTGGAGATGTCATGGCGTAACGGTCTTCACGACTTCACAATGCCGTACATGATCAACCTCTTGTCCCGCCAGACTGCGGCCATCGAGCTGCTGACCAAGGACAACGAAGAGCGCAAGGCTCGCGAGACATCACAACAGAAGAAGGAGGACGACACTCCGATCCTCGGCTCGCGCCTCATGCTTACGCAAGGCCCCATTGCTTCTGCGCCATCTCCCGGCCCTTACGGCCAAGCTAACGGGATCGCACCGCAGCCAACCGGTTACCGGGGCTTTTAGAATGACCAACAGTGTTAGATGAGGTTGATGGTCTCGCATGAAGGAAATGACCAAGGGTTGCTTTCGATCTACATATTGATCTTTGGTGGGGCATGCAAAAGCGACTGCAGTCCTGGTTAGTCGGCAGCGATGTACTCTAAAGGCGTTTAATGGAGGTCTCATGGTCTGCATTGGTACCAGGCATTTTCAGGCCATGTATACTACCTAATCATTGATTCTTGGTACTCTTGCGTGCAGCGGACCATGTCGGTTACAATATCGTTGCAGTGCAAACCTGGTAGAGGGGACCCGGAAACCGGTCCTGGCTTCGACCATAACCTTGATCTACATTGCTATGCCACGCATTTTCAGTCTAATAGTCGGCGCTCTCTTGTGCTACAAAAGAAGCCGGCTAAAGCATCGTAGCGGCAACACTCCTCAATATACTGCTAGCCGCCGTCAACAAATTGCAAGGCGCTGTTAGATTGCAGATAGTCTGCATGTTCGTATTAAGTGCCTCCATCTTTTCAAGTGCCGTTGAAAGGTCCTTACAAATAAGTTCAAGATCTCTCGCTGTGCAAAAATAGAAAGTCGACTGCAACATCTGCAAAACGACCTTGTAGGTACTACTCCTGGAGGCCTTCATCGTGGTTACGAAGGCCGCAGAATGTCTATAGAAATCATTGTAGTCCTGAGAGACTTTGTCGGTTTGCTAATAGCCTGCAAATTGGCGCTGAGTATCCTCCGTAATTTCAACGTTACGCTCTCATGTTACAGAAGAGCTTGAACGCAGCAACTGCCAGTCTTGACCTTTACACAGTCCAGCCTGGGGGTATTTAGTGTCAATATGGTGGCTAACTGAGTGCAATGAAGTCAACTGTAGTCTTCAGACATGCTATCAGGTCGCAGATAACGTGCATGTCAAAATCGACTACCTCCCATAGTTTAACAACACTATGCTCGAGTCTGACTGTTTCCTGTTACTCGAAAGGTGCTCCATCTTGCACATCAGCTCCGACGAGGGCACAGAGGCTACTGCTGCGCTCCGGGAACTTAACGCATACGACGATAACTGGAAGCCCGAAACCCTCGCTGCTAGCATTGCTTTGCAGCGCTTGCTAATCAACACCGGGCCTGCAACATGTTCGTCAGCATGATGGCGTGAGTAAAGAAGTCACTGTTGAGCTCGACTGGCCCGTCAACGTGGAATCGGAAGAGTGCATGGATGCGATTTTCAGGGGACCTAGCGAGAAGCCTATTGCTGAGGACAGAGATGGCGAAGCCCAGGAAGGTGCCGATGGTAGCACTCCGCAAGACACACGACACCGGCACTAAGTACACCTAAGAAGGTTGCAATCAACCCGCCATGCAAGGATGGAATCGTATATCCGACCCTAGAGCGCTATTGAACACTTTGTAAGATTATAGCCAGTCTCGCAATCGGCACTGAACACCTCCTGTAACTTTATGGGGCATGAGCTTCTGGTCGACTTTCTCGCTATTTGAGAGTCGCGATCACGGTCTTCGCTCGGACCCTAAAGTTGATTAGTGCCGTACAGCATCTACAATAGTTATTGTAGGCTTCAAAGACTTTATCGCATTGCAGAAAGTCTGCAAATTGGCACTGACTACCTCCCATGCTTTCAAGAATCCTGGATTTGACTGTTCACGGTCGTTGCTCGGTCGCTCGGTGTATTAATGTGCCAAGGGCCCAAGACGCAGGACGGATCCGCGTTTGTTTGACGAAGCCCAGCCACTGCTGCATGATCTCCGCCAAGTCGTCTCCCACTACGATTCATGTAGAAAGCTTCCAGATCCAGCCATTCAGTGCATGTAACGACTCATCGTGAACGGGATCCCCACAAGGCCGACACAATGGCTGAAGATTTCCAAGACATTTATTCACACCGGTCGCAGGATGGGTCCTGAAAAACTAGGCATTTTGCCCAGAAGTTTCGACCCCGTCTTGGACGAGTTACCGAAACTGTTTGTGCAGCACTCGCATCGAGATGGTCGAGGTTGCGTAAAATGACCACGTCGGACAGGCAGCCGAGTCCCGAGTTGTTCTCGACGCTATGCAGGTACGCGACATGGCTGCTCAGGAAAAGACCGGAAAGGCCTACCAGATGAAGGGTATATCTCGGACCATCAGCAAATGATTGCGAGCATGTTACTCGGCTATGCTGCGCTTGACCGACGTGCGCCGAAGCAAAGCGGACCTTGTCATGGGAGGAGAGGCATTTCTCCGCAGATGTTCCACATTGCCGAGCTATACTAAACACATGTTGTGGGACGGAAACTAGCAAGCAGGCAAGCAGGAAACGTGAGGGCTGGTGGGCGGGATTGGGATGCGTATGCCGCGGTCGAGCTGGACCGAGCGGTGAGCGTCAGTGTGTAGGAAGTGTTTGGATGGGCAGTGGGCCAGTAAAGTTGAACGGCTTGGCTACATGTCACAAACTCCGCTGAGTGCGTGGGGTGGGCAGAGAGGGTTTTATGTCTGTTCGACGCTCCGGTATGGGTTCAGGGTGGGTTTATGGTGGCATGTGGCATGGCGGGGCGTTCCTGAGGCTTTGGCAATATCTTTTACAGGAAGCGTGACAGCACGGATGATGTGAGCATGGGCCGGGGGGGTTCGCGCGGGGACTTATCGACAAGCTCAAGGTCTGGTGAGGGGCAGATGCTCAGAGCAGCAACAGCTTCACCGGCGCACCAAGAGCTAGGGCATGCAGCAGCGAGTCGTTGTTGGGGGTGCACGAGCTGGACAGATGTCATCATAGCTTCGTCTGCCATCCAGATAAGAGTTTCAAGTGCATGTAGAGGCCTCGCGTAGTGCAGCTTGACCAAAGTTCAAGTCTATCTTGAGATGCATATCACCAGGGAGCTCTAGCCAATTCGTGGCCTGCCGCAAGCTCCGTTGCTTTTCCGTGCATGAGACTGGCCGACGGTCACGACGACATCAAGTGCGGGTCCTCAAGCGCGTGTTTCGATCTGGCCTTGGCCCTTCAGCTTTCCTTAGGTCGCTGTTTTGGGATTAAAGTTGCGCTGCTCCCAGTGACTCGTAGCAAACCCAGTCCGATACCGCCTATATAGTTTCCCTCGCCCGGTACCCTTAGCCCAGCAATCTCTCCTCCCCCACCTCCCATCCCTAATACCCTCTCTACCTAATACCACGCTGCAGTCATCCAGCATGGCGACGCTTGCAATTGACAAGAACGCCTCGAGTGCCATTGACGAGAATGAATTCGACGACGAGCATGGCGAGCATCACCCTCACAGAAATTCAGTCCACCACAGGCTGCGAGCAAGCAGCTCCATCATGCAACTGAAGAAGCTCCTGGGTACGTAGCCGCTAGACTCAATGGCTCCTGTCGAGCTCCCAGGCCCCTCTAACAGCTCGCCCAGTCGCCAACCGAGGAGAAATCCCCATCAGAATCTTCCGTACCGCCCACGAGCTGTCGCTGCACACAGTCGCAGTCTACAGTCATGAGGACCGCCTCAGCATGCACAGGCAGAAGGCCGATGAGGCTTACGAGATTGGGCAGCGCGGGCAGTACACACCCGTTGGTGCTTACCTCGCCGGCGACGAGATCATCAAGATCGCGGTCGAGCACAACGTCAACATGATCCACCCTGGTTATGGATTCCTGTCAGAGAATGCCGAGTTTGCTCGGGCTGTTGAGAAGGCTGGTCTGATCGTAAGTTCTGCCTTCAGTATCCGCTTTGTTTACCCTATGACGAAATGGGTGGAGGGGTCGCGATTGCCAATCGCAGCTGTTGAGCGTATCTGTGCTCGGAGAAGCTGTAGCGGGGCCGCCGGCGGTCCACCGAGCCAGCCCTGTTATGCTAACTTTGCAGCACGGCACGTCGGCGACCCAAGAAAACCTTGGGAGTCATTTGATTGCAATTTTGCATTGGCAATTTGGTGGTGCAATGGAGGCTTACAATCTGCTCTAGTTCGTAGGACCCTCGCCCGATACCATTGACGCACTCGGCGACAAAGTCTCTGCGAGACGGTTGGCTATCAAGTGCAATGTCCCCGTTGTGCCGGGAACACCAGATCCCGTCGAGAAGTACGAGGATGTCAAGAACTTCACCGACGAGTTCGGCTTCCCGATCATCATCAAGGCCGCTTTCGGCGGTGGTGGTCGTGGCATGCGTGTAGTGCGTAAGCAGGAAGAGCTCGAGGACTCGTTCAAGCGAGCAACATCAGAAGCGAAGTCGGCTTTCGGCAACGGCACCGTCTTCGTCGAGCGTTTCCTTGACAAGCCCAAGCACATTGAGGTCCAGCTTCTCGGTGACAACCTCGGCAATGTCGTTCACTTGTACGAGCGTGACTGCTCCGTACAGCGTCGTCACCAGAAGGTCGTTGAGATTGCCCCTGCTAAGGATCTGCCAATTGAGACCCGCGATGCTATCCTGGCTGATGCAGTCAGGCTGGCTCAGTCAGTCAAGTATCGCAACGCCGGTACTGCTGAGTTCTTGGTCGACCAGCAGAACAGGTATTACTTCATCGGTAGGTTATATTCGTGACATTCTACACGATTTCATGTGTGCTGACAAAATCCAGAAATCAACCCTCGTATCCAGGTCGAGCACACCATTACCGAGGAAATCACTGGTATCGATATTGTCGCAGCTCAGATTCAGATCGCTGCTGGTGCATCTCTTGAGCAGCTCGGTCTGACCCAGGACCACATCTCCACACGTGGTTTCGCCTTCCAGTGCCGTATCACCACAGAAGACCCCTCCCAGGCGTTCGCTCCGGACACTGGTAAGATTGAGGTCTACCGTTCCGCTGGCGGTAACGGTGTCCGTCTCGATGTAAGTACACCTTGACAACCTCTCGGCTGTGCAGAAACTAATCAATTTGATTTTCAGGGAGGCAACGGCTTTGCAGGTGCTATCATCACTCCTCACTACGACTCCATGTTGGTCAAGTGCACATGCCGTGGTTCTACATATGAGATCGCCCGCCGAAAGATGCTTCGTGCACTGGTCGAGTTCCGAATCCGTGGTGTCAAGACCAACATTCCTTTCTTGATCAAGCTTCTCACACACCCTACTTTCGTCGAAGGCCAGTGCTGGACAACCTTCATCGACGACACACCCGCGCTCTTCGACCTCATCGGCTCCCAGAACCGTGCTCAGAAGCTGCTTGCGTACCTTGGTGACCTCGCTGTCAACGGCAGCCAGATCAAGGGCCAGATCGGAGAGCCCAAGTTCAAGGGCGAGATCCCCATTCCCGTTCTTACTGACAAGAATGGCAACAAGATCGACACCTCTAAGCCATGCGAGAAGGGTTGGAGGAACATCCTCCTCAAGGAGGGTCCTGAGGGCTTCGCGAAGGCTGTCCGTCAGAACAAGGGCTGCCTCATCATGGACACCACATGGCGTGATGCCCATCAGTCGCTCCTCGCCACCCGTGTGCGAACCGTAGACCTGCTCAACATTGCCAAGGAGACCAGCCACGCTTACTCCAACGCTTGGGCTCTGGAGTGCTGGGGTGGTGCTACTTTCGATGTCGCCATGCGCTTCCTTTACGAGGATCCTTGGGACCGCCTGAGGAAGATGCGCAAGCTTGTACCCAACATTCCCTTCCAGATGCTTCTTCGTGGAGCTAACGGTGTTGCGTACTCTTCCCTCCCCGACAATGCCATTTACCACTTCTGTGAGCAGGCCAAGAAGAACGGTGTCGACATTTTCCGTGTCTTCGATGCTCTTAACGATGTTGAGCAGCTCGAAGTTGGTATCAAGGCTGTTCTCAAGGCTGGTGGTGTTGCTGAGGGTACCGTCTGCTACTCGTAAGTTTTCTAATCACACATAAAATTGATTATACTAACTTTATGCAGTGGTGATATGCTCAACCCCAAGAAGAAGTACAACCTCGAGTACTACCTCAACGTTGTCGAGAAGATTGTCGGCATGGGTGCTCACATCCTTGGTATCAAGGACATGGCTGGTGTACTCAAGCCTCGCGCTGCTCGTCTGCTCATCGGTGCTATCCGTGAGAAGTACCCTGATCTTCCCATCCACGTCCACACGCACGACTCCGCCGGTACCGGTGTTGCCTCCATGGTCGCTTGCGCTGAGGCTGGTGCTGATGGTGTTGATGCTGCCATTGACAGCATGTCTGGCATGACTTCGCAGCCCAGCATTGGTGCTATCCTCGCCTCTCTCGAGGGCACCGACTGCGATGCTGGCCTCGATGCCTACGCCATCCGCAGCCTTGACGCATACTGGGCTCAGCTCCGTCTTGTCTACTCGCCCTTCGAGGCTGGTCTTACCGGTCCTGACCCTGAGGTTTACGAGCACGAGATCCCCGGTGGTCAGCTCACCAACCTCATCTTCCAGGCCTCGCAGCAAGGTCTCGGTGAGCAGTGGGCTCAGACGAAGAAGGCATACGAGCAGGCCAACGACTTGCTCGGCGACATTGTCAAGGTCACACCTACCTCCAAGGTCGTTGGTGACTTGGCTCAGTTCATGGTCTCCAACAAGCTTTCCTACGACGATGTGCTCAACAAGGCTGAGCAGCTCGACTTCCCATCCTCGGTCCTAGAGTTCTTCGAGGGTCTGATGGGCCAGCCGTACGGCGGCTTCCCTGAGCCTCTCCGCTCGCAAGCTCTCCGTGAGCGCAGGAAGATGGACAAGCGCCCTGGTCTGTACCTCGACCCCGTCGACATTGCCAAGGTCAAGTCCGACCTCAAGGGCAAGTGGGGTGATGCTACCGAGTGCGACGTCGCATCCTCCATCATGTACCCCAAGGTCTTCGAGGACTACAAGAAATGGACCACAAAGTACGGCGATCTGTCCGTCCTGCCCACACGCTACTTCTTGTCGCGTCCTGAGATCGGCGAGGAGTTCCATGTCGAGCTTGAGAAGGGTAAGGTGCTCATCCTTAAGCTCCTTGCTGTTGGACCTCTGTCCGAGCAGACTGGTCTGCGTGAGGTCTTCTACGAGATGAACGGAGAGACCCGTACTGTCACTGTTGAGGACCAGCACGCTGCCATCGAGAACGTCTCGAGGCCCAAGGCCGACCCCACGGACAGCAGCCAGGTCGGTGCACCAATGTCTGGTGTGCTTGTTGAGGTCCGTGTCCACGATGGCAGCGAGGTCAAGAAGGGTGACCCTGTTGCTATTCTCAGCGCCATGAAGATGGTAAGTCTATCTTTTCTCCATGCATACTTTGAACAAGTCTCTGACAACCACTCCAGGAAATGGTCATCTCCGCACCTCACTCCGGTAAGGTCGGCAACCTGTCTGTCCGCGAGGGCGACTCTGTTGACTCTGGCGACCTTGTCTGCAAGCTCGTCAGGTAAAATGGAAGACTGGAAAAGCGTGTTTGATGAGGGTGTCCGCTATACCTGCAAGGACTGGGCACCTGTTATGACTTTCCCTTGCGCAACGAATCAGTATGGTACATAGCAAACGAATGTATGTCTATTGTTACATGTGTTCCGTCCAACTTCAAAGCAACGAAAACTCATTGTAGTTCCAAGAGAGCTTGTTGGGTTGCGGATGGTCTGCAAACTGGCACTGAATACCTCCCATAACTCGAAGAGTTCCGAGTTTGTATCCGAGTTTTGATTTACATAGATGTTGTATTGATAGCTAGTCTTTTGTGCAACGCGAGCCAAGTCCTTCGCAGCTCACACGCTAGTAGTATCAGCATGCACCATCGAAAGCCCAAAAATCGGGAGATCTTCAGTACGTATTGTAGCGGCTTTTGTAAGTCCTCAATGTTTTTGGAGACTACAACTACCTCTGCACATCACTCGTGTCAAACTTTCGACTCGGAAAAAAGGCGCAATGCCGCAATCGCACCAAAACGTTTACGTATGATACTCTTATCATGTTACTGTCTTTCCATCTCATACGCGGTGCATCTCGGTCTGCATTGTCAAGTCTACGTCTATCGTAAATGTCTCAATTCAAGACCTGACGTCTAGCTCGGTGGCCAATATCCCGAACCCCAGATCACAACCCCAGACTCCAAGCAATGCAAGTACGGTTATCCCGGGCTTAAGCAAGCCCTCCCGTGTTCCGAAAACGCCCATGGCAAGCGATGATGTGCAGCAGCGTGCGGGTCAAGGGGGGGGAGGCGCGACCCGCAGCGAAAACAAATCTTCGGGTGATATCGGACCCGCATGTTAACCGCGTCGCTACCGCACCCGACCCACGACAGGGCCACAGCAAGAAGCTTATTCTGACTCCCCGAGTCCCGCGGCAAGCACGCGACAGTACCTCCCTCCTGGGTCCTGTTTGGGGAGATGGTCCCGCGGTCAAGCTTTTGCTGACATTCGCTTTCGTACCCACCTCTCCACAGTGCGTCGGAGTGTAGTCCCGTTTCTCAAGGGTTGGCTCGATGTGGTAACGAAGTGCAGCGGCAGCCTCACATGCCACCAAAGTCAAGCTTGCGCGCGACTTTGTCGACTCTGCCAGCGCCTGCCGGCGTTTCACCACCTTTCCGCTTCAGATCCTCGCCCTCCTTCTTCATGCCCCCGCCTTCGTTGGGCAAGTTTTCTTTCTTTGTAGGCCGTGGTGCACTCGTCCAGTATCGATGCTGGAGCGCTTGTTCGGCGGTCAAGCGCTTCTGCGGGTCCATGGCCAACATGCCGCGCACCATATCAATCCCATCGTCACCCAGCAACGGCAGGCGTCCCCTCCACCAGCTCAGCGGCTGCGGAAGCTTGACGGCGCTGCGGTTCGGCGGCGGCTGGTAGTACCTCAGTGAGCCCACGCCGGGCCAGGACTCTTCGCTGGGCGTGCCGAAGACATCGATTATAACGGAGAGTTGCTGCAGGTCTGTTTCGCTGGGCAGGAAGAACTGGCGCAGCGCGAGCTCGGCGATTACGCACCCGACGGACCACATGTCGGCATTGCCGGCGTAGTGGAGGCAGCCGTAGAGGAGTTCTGGAGGCCGGTAAAAACGGGTGATGACGTTGGAGGTCATTTTTGCGCCGGGGTCTGCGAAGGAACGTGCGAGACCGAAGTCTGCCAGTTTGACGGTGTTGTCGGCGGCAATAAGCAAGTTGTTGCCCTTGATGTCGCGGTGGAGGACGTGGTTGGCGTGACAGAACCAGATGGCCTGGCAGAGCATGTTGGACCAGGCTTTGATGTCGGCGGAGCTGTATGTGATGCTCTTGTTCTTCCACAGGCCTTCGAGATCGCCCAAGGGGAGGTGCTCAAGCACGAGAGAGAGGTTCTGGTCCTTTGTACTAAAGACCGCGTGTAGCTTTATGATGTTTGGATGTGACAGCTCTGAGAGGTATTTGATTTCGCGGATGGCGTCCATGGCGATGCCGTCTTTGAAGTCGGCGTTGAGCTTGATCTTCTTGATAGCCACCAGCTTGGTAGGGTCGTGTCTGTAGTGGCCTGCGTAGACTATGGCGTAGGTTCCTTCACCGAGACGTGCACCCGACACGAACTGTGAGCGCAGTGCATCGTTCATCTGCTCGGCCATGTCTGCCTCTCCGCCATCGATGGGTGTGCGTGTGATTGGGGCGCTGGCAGGGGGCTTGGCGGCGCGTGAGAGGCCTGAGAGCGCTTTTGCTCGGTCGGGGACTGCAAGGTGCGAGCCTGGCGGCTTAGGCCGGGGGCTCAACGCGGCGGGTGAGGAGACGCCCATGGAGGGCGACGTGTGGTGTTGAGCTTGAGGTGAGGCGCAAGAGAGATGGTGGCAGAGTCTCGGGCGGAAGTGGATCAAGGAGCTTTACCCATAGCCGCCGTCCGTGTTCGCTCCTCCGCCGTCCGTTCTCTTTCTCGGGGCCTTGTCGGTGTGGTCGAGACAGCTGCGATGATTGTTGCCGTACCTACCGCGGACCATGCGGCGAGCACGCACGTCCCCGAACTTTTGACTTGGCCCGACGACCGCGAACGCGATTTCTGCGGGGAGCTCTCACCACCGAGACATCCACACATTCCCACATCATGGCCACACAAGCACGGGGGCCGCCGGGAACGGCGCCAGCCAACAAGGAGGGGATGCCGAACAGGACGCACGTAACCTCATTACACTCCCCAATGCACAGGCACTGACGACAGCAGACTATACGTCCGCAACCTCAACGACAAGCTCCCCAAAGAAGACCTGAAGCGCAATCTGTACATGATTTTCGCAACATACGGCGTCCTCCTGGACGTTGTCGCCCTCAAGACCATGAAGATGCGAGGGCAGGCGCACGTTGTGTTCCGCGACATCGATTCGTCCACCCAAGCAATGCGCGCGCTGCAGGGCTTCACATTCTTTGGAAAGGACATGGTGCGTCGAGACCTCTCTGTCTAGACCGCACGTGTATGCGCGACTGACAGATGGCAGCAAATCGCATACGCAAAGACCAAGTCCGACACAATAGCCAAGCTCGACGGAACGTACAAGATGCCCGAGCCCGATCTGCCCGAGAGGGTGGCTGAGGAGGCGCCCGCACATCCTGCTGGATTCGGCGCTGCGCTGGAGAAGGCCGTCCCCGTCAACGAGCAAGAGAGAGCGAAGGGCCAGAAGAGGAAGGCAGAGGACGACGGAGAAGAAGAAGAGGACGACGACGATGACGACGCCGAGATGGAGATGGACTCGGACTCGGACTCGGATTAGACGGGCTGAAAGCACAGGCCAAGAGCTCAAGAGAACGACATCGATGCGCCAGCGGACGAAGAGGGGAACGATACCCATGGACAGATAAGATCCCAGCGACCTGAGGGCGGGTTAGCCTGCTATGTTGATTCGCAGGTTGGACGATTGATTGCGAATGTCGGTACCAGCACGTCGACGTGGTTGAGACTGGGGCTGACTGTATGCAGAACGCTATGTAACGAGATTGGCATATCTGCCCAAGATACTACAAACATCATTATAGTCCTCAGAGACTTTATCAGGTTGCAAATGGTTTGCGGGTTGGCGCTGAATACCTCCCGTAATCTTGAAAACCATGGGCTTGCGTCTGACTTTTCCTGCTGCCCGAGAACAGATTTCAACTTTGATCATGCTTCGAAGCTATGCCGACGGAAACGATAAGAACGACGGTAGTCCCCAGAAACCTAATCGGGTCGCGAATGGTCTTGCAGATCAGCACTGCGTATCTCCTGTAATTTCGAGGACCAAGAGCTTGTGTCCAGCTTTTCGAGCTACTCGAGAACAGGTCTCGCCCTCGACCATGCATCGAAAGAACGCCCATGGAAATGCGACGTACTCGTACTGCCTTTGCAAATGCTTGTAGTCCTTCGACTACTTATCAGCTGAAGAACAGAGGCCCGGGCTGGTTTGACTGCCTCCCATGATTTCATACAACGGCCTGCTTGCAGCTGACTTCTTCTTCTACGGCATGCAAGACCCTGCACAAGCACCATCCTTCTACTCAACCTCTCCCATGTCGTTATGGAAATGGCCCAGAAAGTAACGAGTCACGTTAACTGTCAGCGGTGAGACATGGACGATGCACAACTCCATGCATACTGCAGGAAGATCTCGATGCGGCAACCATCAATCTTCGTTCTGTTCGTGAAGCCTGGAGGTCATGGGTTGTATCCAAGGGGCAGTATGCTAAAGGGCAGATTGCCTGTCGTCTTGGGTATGCTTATGACGGTCTGTCACGATGTTCTTCGCGTCTAAGGAGCAAATAGGTCATACACGAGTTTGGTAAGCAGGAAGTGCACGATATCATACTAGCGGAGGGCTGTCACTGGTCTCAACCCACACGAAGAGACATGCGCACTACCTCCTCCAGGCTACCGACGATCATCCTCTACCCAATATAGATCACACAATCCACTCAAGGATAATGCTGTCCCACAGTATACCCCTCCACAGCGTGTACCTATCTGTAGTGAAGCTGAGCACGTTCTTCCCCGCCTTTAGATCTGAAGCAGCAATTTCGTACTGCAGGAACCGCCACTCTCCACTAATGGTGCCAGAGCGATATAGCGCCGGATCGCTGGTCAAAGCGTCTTTAGTGATGGTGCCTATCGTCTTGTTGCCGTTGAGATAGATGGTGAGCGAAGTAGACTGCGAGTAGCCAGCCAGCGACACACTCAGCAGCGCCTTCGCGGTCTTAGAAGGAGCGGAAGTGTTGAACACGACGTCCCAAGAACCAAGTTTCGAGGACGCGTAGTACCAGTCGGAGGTCTTCGAGACGCCAACCGTGTAGGTGAGGTTCGCGGGACTCTTCTCGGTCAGGCCATGGACATGCAATCCTGAGTTTGTAAAGCCCGTTGCCTTCTTGTCAAAATCACCGATTTGGAAGATCTTCTCGTTCAAGGGGACGGTCCATGTCAGGCTTCCCAGGTCCGCGGTCTTGTCTTTGCTGATGGTGACAGGGGATGTAAAGTTCGTGTATACATCTCCGATGACACCGCCGTTCGATGCAGCGATAAGACCGTAGGAACCGGAGCGTACGTTGGGGATTGAGAAAGAGCCGCTGGCGTCGGCGAAGGTGGTGTAGTAGTAGTTTGATCCTTGAACAAGTGGGCGGATGGAGGTGTCAGTATCGCCAAGGAAGACTGCTGCGCCAGCTGCAGGACGGCCGTCAGAAAGAGTGAGTTTGCCTTTGATCGAGCCACGAGAGTGGTAGGCAGTGTTGTTAAGGAAGGAGTAGGGGAAAGTTGCGCGCTCGTGGGCGGCGCGAGTACGGGCATCCGACACGGAGCCGTTGTTCTTGAAAAGCGTTAGACGACATCGTGGGGGTTGCACGGGAGGTAACGTACCAAGTACCAAAGCCATGGGCCCCAGATCTTACCTACAGGCTGCGGTGTCTTGACACCCACGCGGAAATGGGATGTGTCTTGCACAACATTGAGTTGTACGGCATCGCCTGTTGCGGATTCGCGGTGCACCTGTTCCAATCAGCTCATCGTACCTTTGAGAAAGCTTTATGATAGGACTTACGGTCAAGGTCTGGCTCAAGTGATTTCCTGGCTGGTACTCATTCGTCGGATGGATGTACCAACTTCCCGTCTGATCGCCAAAAACACCCACAAAATCCCTTTCCCTTACATAATTCGCAAAATCGTACTTGGTGACATAGCTTCCATCAGGGAACTGGAACGTCTCATCCTGAATCTCCGGAGCATTGGCGTAGAGGGAAAAGTCTGGCAACTTCTCGTTCTTGTTAGTGTTGAAGCCATACGTGAAAAGGGCTGGATCGAGGCGCCACAGAGTCCGAAAGATGGAAAGGTCAGGAAGTGCTTTGTTGACGAAGTATTGGTAGGCGCCGGCTAGGTCGGGGTAGATCACCCAGTGAAGGTCTCCAAGGGAGGAGGAGAAGGCAACATCGATGTAGTCTTGAGAGTTCGAGACGATCTTGGCAGATGTGTAAACCAGATTGGCTTCTCCGTCTACGACAGAGTTCAGTCAATCACCCGAAAAGTTGGTAGATTTACGTACCGACACCAGCATAGTGGCCTTGTGCTTTGCCTACTGCGTCTGATCCTTGATACTGGAGATTGGTAGCGTAGGTTGCACCCTGGGTGACGTTCCACAGGTCATTGCCGATGATCCACTGAGTCGGAGTGACCTGCTGGAGGAATGGTCCCTTGGCCAGCGCTGTCTTCGCTGCGGCGAGTGCTGCGAAAAGTGAGGTGGTGCGCATCTCGTGATAGTGGCTGAAGCTCGACAGCTGCGTGAGGGCATCATCTCGAGTTCTTTTCTGTGCTTTTATGTACTATGTAAGTTTCGAAGCACGCAATATTGTCGCGATAAGACGAGCACCTCGCTGTATCGGAGATGAGGGCGAGTGTAGATCTCGAAAAGGTAAGTGGAGCAAAGCTTAATCGAAAGAAGAGGTCGCTACGGACCGCTATGCAGGGGCGTGAACATGAAGTCGCCCATCGGGGTGGGTCTTACCAACGGTCACGCCTTACCATCTTCCGCTGTTGCTGCATTACCGCCGGAAGAATTATGTTGTGATCGCAAGACGATCTCGTAAAGTTGATCCGCATAGCGCAAGTAGAACTACGTAAGCTGCAAGCTTAGTGCAGAATGAAGCCTGCCTCTCAAGTAGCAGAGCAAAGTAAGAAGCCCATATTAGTCCAAAGTACGAGAGGTACTCAGTGCAGATTCATAGAATATTTGCAATCAAATAAAGTCTCTGAGGGACTATAAAGATTTTGTTTGAGGCTGCGACGTTGCAGCTGGCTTTTCCTGCAACGCCAGAGCTTGTATACAACCAGCAAACGATTTGTAAGGGTTGTGACACAAATGAGTGTTTAGCATCGACAGTTTACCATGTATGATCATAGAGCCATAAATTCCAGAGAGCCTGCGTGATGGGGTATACTGTAGACAACCGTAACGCCTTCTTCACTCGTTTCCTCATATTTTCCTTCACATGTTCGCCATATATGACCACGCACATTACTTCTTGCGCCCTCGACCACCACTGCCGCTGCCACCGTTGCCACTCCCACTCGCATTTGCGGTCGCACCCGCATTTGCGCTTGCACCACCCTCTCCAAGCAACCTCGTCAGATCACCCAGTCCACCACTGCGGACATTCTTCTTCCTCCCGCCCTCCTTCTCCGCAAACGCTATAGCCATCAACATCCTCTTATCACTCTGGATCCCCAACACCCTCTCCTCAACACTATCTTCAACAACGAGTCGGAACACAGTAGTCTCCCTCTTCTGCCCTAAGCGATGCACACGATCGACGGCTTGGTCCTCGATGGCGGGCGCCCACCAGCTGTCTGCCATGATGACCTGGTTGGCTGCGACTAGATTGAGGCCGACGGAGCAGACGGACAGAGAGGCCAACATGATGGTAGTGTCTGGGTCATTGTCGAGCGCTTCGAGGGCGGCGTCACGGGTTACGGCGCTCATGGAGCCGTCGATGCGTGTGTATTTGTAGCCTGCGGAGGCTAAGTGGACTTGGATGAGGTCGAGGAAGGATGTCCACTGGCTGAAGATGATGGTCTTGTTTGTCTTGTCTTTCGCGCTGGCGGCGAGGATTTGGAGGAGTTGCTCGACTTTACTGCTTGTGTTCTTCTCGAGGGAGGCTTTGTCTGCCTCGGACTCGGCGGTGGGTTCGGGTTTTGCGGAGGTCTCGACGGCAGGTTTGACGGTTGTGGAACCGAAGGATTCGAGTTCGGCGCGGCACATGGGGCATCTGCCTTGCAGTTCGATGACGCGCTCCAGACAGGGCGTGCAGAATGTGTGTGCGCATTTGGTGATAACTGGGTCTTTGTATGTATCGAAGCAGATGGGGCAGTCTTCTTGCGAGTCGATGGAGAGCTGGAGCATCTTTTGTAAGGCTTCCTTGTTTTCTGCAGTGAGGTCGACAACGCCTTCGGCTTCGAGCTGCTTCATGATCGATTCAAGTCGCTCCTCGCCGACCAACTGCCAGTGGTTACAGAGCTGACGCATACGCAGGAGGACTTCAAGGAGGTGGCGGTAGGTATCGAAAGCCTTTTGGTTGCCGATATTCTTCTTGTAAATGTCAAGAGTACCCTTCGCTTGTGCTTCAAGTGCATCATATTTCTCTTGCTCATGTGGATGGAGCTTGAATTTGTGGACATACTCCGACAGCTCAGGAAGACGAAGGTCAATGAACGACATTTCCTTCTTGCGTCGCAAGCAGATGTCGCCCATGAGCAGCTGTAGGGCCTTGTTTCCTTGTGGGTCACCAGCCAGAACAGGACGTGAGATGGCCCCGTGAAAGATCTCGAAGGAGTCGAGGCCACCAGAAAGGCGCAGGAAGCGGACCTGACTGTAGAGGTCCTTGAGATTGTTGATGATCGGTGTGCCTGTTAGTGTCCAGCGTGACTGAGTCAGGAGGTTGCTGATGGCCACAGTCTTTTTGGCTTTGGGGTTTCGGATGTTATGACCTTCGTCGAGGATGACACGCCTCCAAGTAATCGAGAAGGGACCTGATTTCCTTGGCAGAGCTGTGCTCTTTTGTGAGTACCAGTCTGATGAAATGGATTCGTATGTGCTGATGACCACATCGTAGTTCTCGACCTGCTTGGGCGTGATAGGCTCCTTGCGCGTACCGTGCCAGAACATGGTTCGGAGGGCGTGTTCTGGCTTGATGTGCCTCTTTATCTGCGTGCTCCAATTGCTCATGACAGAGACTGGCGCGAGGATGAGCGTGGCATCAGCTGCATCAGGCGATCGGCGACCGAGCTCTTTGTCGGCCATAATGAGCGAAATGACCTGAATCGTCTTGCCCAGACCCATGTCGTCTGCTAGAATACCTCCAGAGGCCAGTTTGGGGTTGGTGACCGAGTAGTTGGTAGCCAAATTTGTGAAGGCATTAGGCATACGAGAGTGGCGCTGCCAGAGCTGGACGACGTCCTTGGTGCCCTGAGCCGGTAGCTGTGGAGACTCTTTGTCCAACATCCACTGCAATCCCTGAAGTTGGAAGGGGTGCATCTCAGTCTGAAGGGCTTCAGGCTGAGCTGCCTTGGGCATAGCGGCCAGGTCCTGCTCCTTGACGCCAAACTCCTCAACCACGTTCTCAAAATTCCTGGGGTTGAAGCGCTCACTGCCGCCAATGATGTCCTCCAGGCTGGGTCCTTGGCCCATACCATCAGACTGCGATGAGCCAGCCATGTATTCGCTCATACCATTCTCCCAGTTCTGGCCTTCGTCCACACCAACAACAGCACCGCCGTTCTTCTTCGCTCTCTTCGCAGCCTCTTTGGCCAAACGCTGCCTCTCCTTCTGCGCCGCCGCTTCTTTGCGCTTGCGATCAGCTGCGTGTCCGACTGGCAGTTTGTCCTCCCTCAGCTGAGCCAGGAGGTTCTCACGCTCAACTGGCTCGTTCGTGCCATAGAGTCTGATCTCGATAGGGCAGTCGAACATGCCCTTGGGCCCGGTGATGTGCGCCTCCACCAGAAGGCTGCGGTTGTCCATGTACTTTGCCAGTTTCGCAGCCCATGTTTTCGGTATGTGGCCAATCTGCTCTCCTTGCACGTTCAAAACCTGGATCGCATTACTGTCGAACCGATTCTGAGGCTCGCGCCTACAGATGACCATCTCTCCTACTGTTGCGTAGCCATTGTAGTATCGGACGCCTACGATTTTGTTAGGAAGCATGCCGTAGAGGCTGTAGCTGTGCTGATGCTCATTATAGCCCTGTGCCGAGTCCGATACTTCTTGCGACGCGTCTTCGTCACCCTCACTATCAATGACTAGAGCGTCGTGCTGGGAAGAGCCGGTTGCTGTTCGCGAAGGGTATGTATTTTGTGCGGTACGGGGCTGCTTTGGCGCGCGAGCGTATTGCTGTGACGGCGACGAATTCGCGTATCCTTGCGACGAGGATGTGTTCGTATAGCGCGTGGACGAAGACGAGTACGCGTTCTGTGGTGAATTGAAGGGTGAGCTTTCGTTCCCAAGATCGCCGTACTGGCGTTTCTGGGGTGCCATTGTCGCGAGCGAGGTGAGATAGAAGAGCGGCACTCGCGACCGGCAATGGGAAACTGTGATGTAGGGGAAGAATGGGGAAGCGATAAGCTCCTGGCCATGGACGTGTGCGGGGAAGCAATAGAGTCTGGGGGTTGCGACGCGCTAGAACGCGAAGCCCCGTGACGTCATCGCAGTCACCCAAACCCGCTGGAGGCCCAAATTGGGGTCACAAAATCCCCTAAATCCGACCCGCCATACCCAGATGGCTACAGCACGGTTGGCATTGTAGTTCTAAGATGCTTTGTTAGGTTGCAGATGGTCTGCAAATCAGTATGGAACACATCCCATACACTCCAGGACCCTGGGCTTATATCTCCCGTTTTCTTCTTCTTCGACAGTCTATTCCCTCTCTTCCAAACCCCCGCGCTCTAATGTTTTGCCGTCTCTTCCATTTTCTTGAATTTGGATGTATGCTTCTTCTGCTCCCGCCCAACCACGTCGAATGCCACCTTCTCACCCCCGAGCAGCACCTTGGGTAGCGCTGCGTGTGTCAGGTACCGGCCGTATATGGGGGCACTCTCAGGAACTGCTTGGAAAGAGACGATGGGGTCCAGTAACTGGGAACCCCACGGTGAGAAGTACTGACGACTTTGTCTGGGGATCGCGTGATATACCTCTGTTGATACCTAGCTACTGATGCCGGTGTAGAGGCGGTGCGAGTCTTCACCAGTCCCCCAAGCCGCGTTCCGTGCTAGTTGCTCGAGCGCCTCTTGAAATACTTGCTTGTTCGCAAGTAGGAAAGATGATGATTTCAGAAGTTCGTAAAAGTCGTACTTCTGCACATTCGGCGGCCATAGCGGCAGTGCTAGGGACGCGCGATGCTGTACCTGGTAAGCGACGCCGCTGTAATTGACCTGAACGAAACCGTTGGATTTCCAGAACTTGCCGCAAATTCTGTCTCTGATCTCAGGCGGAAATCAGAAGAACGAGATGGTCGATCCTAATTTTGTTGTCATCGTGGAGTTCAGTTGGCGTTCACGTCGTAAGGTGGTACTCCGGGGTCTTGTGCCGATGTGGGTTTCTCGTAGTGGAATTCTGCATGCTTGTATAGCTACAAAGCCCACCAGAGGGAGTATTACTTATACTGTGCCATTTCTCCGCATTGTCGAGTCCGTGTAGGCAACTGCGCACTCAACCAGACTTCGGTCAGCTACTCTAGACCCGATGATTCAGCGCAGTCAGTGCATAAAACCGTTAAAGGACTTCAATACCGCCACGGAGTCTCCAATGATCAGAAAGTGATCATAAAAGCCAACTCTAATTATGCTGAAGCCATCTAACCTGAACATTCTCTTAGGTATGTGACATCTACAACTTCAACTCACGACTGCCCTCGATGTTTACGGTAGACACACTCTCAATCTGCGCAGTCGACTGACCAAATGAGAAGTCATACTGGCCGCGATCAACCTTCCAACACTTCGACGCCTCATCAAAGTACGCAAAGTCTCGGAGCGTAAGCGACAGATCAACCTTCTTCTCCTCGCCAGCTTCCAGATGCACCTTCCTGAACGCCGCCAGCGTCTTGACGGGGTGTTCAGGGGATTGCTGCTTCCTACCGACATAAAGTTGGACGACGGTGGCGCCTGCAACGCTACCGGTATTCTTGACCGATACAGTAGCCTTAAAGGCCTCTGCAGACGTCTGCTCAACCTTTCCGTTGTTGAGGGCGAAAGTGGTGTACGACAAGCCGAAGCCGAAGGGGAACTGAACTTTCTCCTTAGACACACGATCGTAGTGACGGTATCCGACAAAGACACCCTCCTCGTACTTGACAGTAAGCTGATCGCCCTTCTTCTCACCAGGGAAGTTGCCATGAGCAGGTGCATCTTCGAGGCGCTTGGGGAACGAGACAGGCAGCCTTCCGGATGGGTTGACAGCGCCAGAAATGATGTCAGCAATTGCATTACCGGCTTCTTGACCGGGGAACCAAGCTTGGACAAGTGCAGCAATTTTGTCCAACCATGGCATTGCGACGGCTACACCGGTCGAGTTCACCACGATAGTGTTGCGGTTCAGAGATGCCACTGCATCGACAAGAGCGTCTTGAGATCCATTGCGAGGCAGGTTGAAGCTCTGTTGGTCCTGACCTTCAGTCTCCCAAGCTGGAGTGTGCCCTGTGAACACGATAGCAATGTCGACCTCCTTTGCAAGCTCCTTCGCCTGTGTGAGCAGATCGAGATCATGCTCCTCTTCCAGCATGAAGCCCATCCTGAACCCAGGAAGACCGGCTAGAATGCCCTGTTCAGAGCCACCAGTGGGTGGTAGCGTGTGGATCTGGATCTTGTATGTTTCGCCCTCTTTGAAAGGAACGGTGAACTCTTCCTCTGGGTTGCCGCCGAGAAGAAAGCCCATCGGGTCTGGAGAGTTTCCTTTCTGCTCGAACACTACCTTGTCGTTGATAGTGACAGTAGTGGGACCGATGCCGGAGCAGCCGAGGTAGTGTTTGCCTGTTGCAGATGGGACGAAGGTTGTGGTAAGCCTGACTTCCTTACCAACTGCTTCGTGATCGAGAATAGGACTGAACGAAGACTCTTTGAAGGCATCAACGGTCTTCCAGGGTTTGGACGAGTCACCGTCCTTGAATAGTTCCATTCTCCAGCCGTGGTTTCCTCCAGCGTCTTTGCAGTGCTTCGCAAGAGGTGGCAGTAGCCGGTAGGTCTGAGCACCCTTCGCGAACTTGAATTCGACGTCATCGCCGTACGTGTTCTCAAGGCCTTCCTCGGGTGTGATACGGTAGTGGGCATTGAGACTGGCACTTCCACCACCATGGATCAATGCCTCCTTGGCCAGTCCAAACAGTCCGATCTTCTTGCCCTTGACCTTCTCTTTCTTCAAAGGGAGGATCGCGCCGTCATTCTTTAGGAGTGTGATACCCTGACCCGCAACGTCTCGAATCAGCTTGCTGTGCGCTGGGTTGACGATCGACTGCTCAGGAGGTATCTCGGGGTTATCGAATCCTCCAACCTTCTCAATAAGCTTCAAAACTTCGCGGGCGCGGTCAGCGATTGTCTGCTCGGATACTTCGCCATCCTTGATAGCCTTTACGACAGCCTCCTTCGTCCGCCATCTTGTGGGACCGGGCATCTCGAGGTCCAGTCCGGCGTTCAGAGAATCAGCTGTGGAGTTTGTGCCTCCCCAGTCACTCATGACAAGACCGTCCCAGCCCCATTCGCCGCGCAACACTTGCTTCAGAAGGAATGTGTTGGAGTCTGCGTGTGTTCCGTTGACCTTGTTGTAAGCAGTCATGACAGCCCACGGGTTAGCTTCCTTGACTGTGATCTCGAAAGGCTTAAGGTAGATCTCCCTTAGTACACGCTCGGAGATGACCTCGTCCACAGACAGACGCTCGGTCTCCTGCTCATTGGCCGCAAAGTGCTTGATCGTAGCCGCGATGCCTTTCTCCTGAATGCCATTGACGGCATTGGCAGCCATCTTGCCCGTCAGGTAGGGGTCTTCTGAGAAGCTTTCGAAGTTGCGGCCACCGAGAGGATGTCTGTGATTGCACATGGTCGGCGCGAGTCTGTGTCTTGTATCAGCCATAGCTCACTGTATTCCAAGGTTGAACCTACATAACTCGTGCGCTCTTCGTCTTCGTCTCTTCCGCTAACGCATTGCCTATTCGGTGGGCATACTCTGGGTTCCATGTGGCAGCTGAACAAACCGCAGCTGGAAAGCATGCTGCTCGTGTTCCTCCGGCGAAGACTTCGCCTCGTGCGCCATTGGGTCCATCACTGGTCTACAGAAAATCAGAGTAAGTCAAAATCCGATAGCTCATGTTGCATACCTTGATAGCCGGTACGCCTTTGTCTGGGATAGGGACTGTTTCCCAAAAGTCCTTTCCAGCGAGTAGTGAGATCTTTTCCTCCAAGGTAAGAGACCCAAGGATGGTCTCAGTCTTTGCACCCATGGCGGTTGAGTGGTGTCACTGATGCAATTCACGTTGTGGTTCACACTTCCTCGAGTCCAAATCTGCTGTGTACGTAGGAACAAAGAACAAGTATCCGGAAAAGTAAACGAGAGGGTATGAACGCTTGACTAGCACTATGTACTACAGAGGCCATAGTCTTTCTTATATGGCCCGGAGCTCGCCATGATTTTACTATTGCCGGAGACACGGCGAGCGTCTCCGTCTGATTGAGGACGGTACGCATCGTGGAATCCCAGCAGTGGAGCCGGCAAACCTCGGAGACCTAGCAGATCTCACAACTATTGGCTCAACAAGGTCAGCTATCTTGTAAATTTGCTGCTAAGCCGAAGTATTTCCAGAGTAATGGCGAAGTTTAGCCAACAGTGTCGTGATTCGTGGTGTTAAAGTGCCGCGATGTGCCGCAACAGACAAAAGCCTGGCCATTGACGTCAGCTGGTACATATTGTGGAGCTGCGGGTTGCTGTTATGTATGTAAAGACGCGACTGCTTGCATCAACCGTCGATGAACAAAGGAACGAGGAGACGCAGAATGTCGCATGAAGTGTGAAGCCGGGTTAGTCACCCACGTGGGGTCATTGGCCAAGGCTCACACCAAGGGTGCACTTGGCTGGACATTGACAACACGTCATCTTGAATATCAGATAATTTTGCAAGAGGAATTGCTTTGTAACTTCCCATCTCTCACACCTATATATCCTTTGGAATACAATGAAGGCTACAAAAAAGGCTGCTGAGCTGGGCCGGCGGCATCCGCTTCAGCGATTGGAAGCTCCATCGAAGGGATTCTCGGGTGCCTTGCATGTAAGAAGTACCATTGAACACGCGGTTGGGCATTGAACTGATAACATCCAAGGCTGTTGGCCTCATCAGCTTCTACAGCTCGTTCAAATTGTAAGTTCGACAAGTAATCATTCGAACCACGCTGACGTCATGTGAAGCTTGCACGATAACCCGAATCAATTTGTGAGTATACCCAGCCAAATGTGATCCGTGGATGGAATTCTTCAGGAGGGTTACAAAAAAGATTAGATACTGTTGTTTAAACAATCATAGACTAACAGCCTCCAGAACTCCTCATACGGCTGGCACCTCCAACTCCTAACCATAATCGGCATATCCATCTCAACCCTCTGCTTCGTCTTCGGCCTCCTCGCCGACATCACCTCTTCCTCCACGGCCTCAACATCACCCACCAACGCCACTGCGTCATCACCCCAAACCCTCTCTGACTATTTCTTCGCCGCCAAAAACTACCTCTCCCTCGTAGCCGCCCCAATCGAGATCGTAATCAGCATCTTGTACTGGGGTCTCCGGCTCATCGACACTGGCCTTGTCATTCCGCCAGACCTACCCCTTCCTCCGTTCGGCGCGGATTTGTGCTTCCACTTGGTACCCGCGGTGGTATTGACCATCGATGCGATCTTGCTATCTCCGCCATGGCCCAGTAGTCCGATGAATCCGCAGGCACCGTTGTTGACTCTGGGAGTCAGTATAGGCGTCGCCTTCGCATATTGGTGGTGGATTGTAAGTGCTGTATTGTGCTTGCCGAAAGTCATTGGCACTGACGATATTGCAGGAGATCTGCTACTCGCACAACGGATACTACCCGTATCCGATCTTCGAATTGCTGACTACGTATCAGCGTGTTGGTCTATTTACCGTCAGTGGAGCGACGATGTGGGTCGCTGGTGGTGCTTTGCGAGCACTGTATGCGTATGTCAATGGCTACGAGCTGACGGAAGCTCTGGAGAAGTCGCATAGAGCGCGCAAGATGGTATCAGAAGGCAAATGGGAGTAGGACAACTTGTGGCTGCGTACGAGCATTCAACAGCGACATGTGTGAAGAAGACATACTGAACGCAGGACAAATATTTCGAAGAAATCTATTGAACCATATATAACGAAGAAGCGTATGTTACAACCCATCTGCATCCATCAGTGGCGAAGATCAGCCCGCAAACGCCGCATGCTTTCGTAGGTAGTAACCATATGATATTGATGGAATGTCGTTAGTCATGATCCATATCGCGTAACATAAGTAAGTGAACCAGCACCAACATCGTGAAGAGGCAGGCGCAAAGGTAGTGATGTCGCTCTCGCTTGTCGAAACAGAGTAAAACAAAAAGGTGGAGCGAGAGTCAATCAGTTGGGTATCGTGCCGTAAAGCCGCAGCTGGAAGGACCAAGATTATGCCGAAGCTGGGAGTGAGTATTGATAGACTGTCAGTCGCAGCGCACGTCTAGCTCGTAGCTGGGGATGGCGGAGCTGTAATAGTGCATTGATCGTCCTCGTCGTCATCCTGGGTCTGTTGCTGATAAGCACCGTTGGCGCTGAACAGCTGACCACCATGTTGAAGGCCCTGCTGGTCTTGACCGAGGCCGTAGGCGTAAGCGTGGTAATGGTAGCCAGGCATTTGGTGGCTGTGAAGGTTACCAAAGGCTGGCTGGTGAAGTGCGGGGAATACGTTTTCCTTGTTGTCATACTGGAAGGGATCGTTGAGTGGCTTGTAAGAACCATATCCTGGGAGTGGTGATGGCGACGCCTGGTGGCCGAAGCCTGAAGTAAGGTAGTTGAAGTTGGCTGGCTGGGTAAAAGATATCTCGTCGTCCTGAAAGACGTCGAACGCTCGTTTACGCTTGGGAGCGCGGTCGCCAATGCTGTAGTCAAAGCCTGGGCGGCCACGTCTGTCATCGTACTGACTACGAGCTTGGAACGGGAACATAGGAGCGCGGATGCCCGGTCGAGACCGACGAGGGATGTTGGGATCCATGCTCGCAAGGGCAGGCCGTGAGAAGACCGGCCGGGGACTCTCGGTCTTGATCTCAATTTCTTCCTCGTCATCGAAGACCGAACTGGAGATTCTTCGTTGTCGCTTGAACGACCCGTGAGGTGTGAAGATAAGCTCAGTAGCTTCCACATCCTGCGAATTGAGCTCCAGCTGCTCGACGACTGAATGGTCTTTCTTCTGATTCCTCTTGCGCCGCATCTCTGGGGTGGCAGAGTCGAAGATGTCCATGCCGGGCCAGTACACACCCTTCAGCTTGGTACTCTCGCTGACAGCCATTGTATCCTCAGCAGGCTCGGGCGCCTCATCCTCAATGGCACATGTGTCCTCTGCAGTATACTGGTATCGTCTTCTCGATCGCTCGCTGGGGTCTGAGTATTCGCTCGAGGTCTCGTAATCTGGGTTTGTGAAGCTACGGGAGCTGGCACGAGACTCGGTAGGCCAGTATTGCAGGTGAGGCGCGAAGGTTCTGTGACGCAGCACGGGACCGGGCTGCGGTGTAGGTGTTGGTGTGCCAGAGTCTGGCTCTATCTTAATGACCTGTTGTTCTGAGAGACGCGGATCGAGAAGACCGCCGACTGCGGCACGACGAGCTGGACGTGGGACGGGAGCCTCAATCCTTGGAGCAGGAATGGAACGAGCTGCAGCAACATAAAGGTTAGCAATGACCTCGAATGCATAGTGTAGGAGAAGGAGCAAGGACCGTACCAGCAGGTCTTGCACGCGTGCGACGCTTGTCCTTCTGATTCATCCGGTCTGACATGAGTTCCTCGACGTTCCAGTCGGCGTACCATCGGTCGTAGGTGTCGATGATACGGCGAGAGGCTTCTTCATGCGTTGAGCGAACCTTGACCTTGTAGTAGTTGGACAGATGCCCCTTGCTGGCAATGTGTGTGAGTAAGTGGGAGACATCGCTGAAGTTCGGCTTCTTGGGGCAAATGTTGCATAGAAGCGGTATGTTGTTGGACGCCATTGCAACGCTGTGCAAAGCAGTAACGCGTTTGTAAGGAGCGCAAGTGGTGCAGACAAACTCAAGGCGAAAGGACAATGCTTGCAACGCAATGGTGTACAAAGGAACGACACGAAAGGAGCGTGTTGAGTGTGTGAAGCAGGAGGAGTGGTGGCAACGAGAAGCCTGCAGATATGGAGCTGGTGCACACGAGCAGCTACCAGTCACTGCCGCAGCTTCTGGCCGTCTCTTACTGCAAAAGAGAGAGGAGAAGGAGAGATGCATCAACTCCGTCATGTGAAGACTGAGGGAAGGAGGCTGCTGTGCCGGAGAGAAGGAAGATTTTTGTAGGTGCAGGTTTGGCAGCTAGAGCACGTGGAGAACCCCAGTTGTGACCAAACAGGCAGCACCGTTGCTTTCCTCTGGCTTTGTATCTCACGCCTCATTGGCAGGAAGAGTGAGTTATTAGATAGCGAGAGATTGCACTGCGTAGGGAAGTAAAGGTGAAGCTTGAGATGTTTGTGTTCGAGGCTCAAGGTTCGCTGGAGCAAGCGAACCGCGCCTTTCACCGCCATCACTTTCACACACCGCACAATCAATCAAACGCACCGCAAGCAGAACAAGTCTTACCGTCATCGAGCACACTTCATTTAAATTTTCTTCATGTTCACTTACCCAAGCATCGTCTCGTCACGGACCGAGGCATGCAGCTGCTATGGCGTCAGTGTCTTCCTCAGCGAGCAATTCAGGGTCCACTCACTATATAGGGTCTACTTCCTCCAGCCCGGGGTACTTGAGCAGGCTGAGCCCAGCAATGCCGAATACCGTGTGAAAGACGTCAACCATGTCTCCAGGTCGGTCAGCTAGACCACCTAGTTCAGGGTCCTGTTCTTATCAGCTTTGTGTGTAATATGACATTCGGTAAGTCTGACCTGGCATTGCAGGATGAACTGCGTCAACTTCTCGCCGTCGATCCAGTGAAGCTTGCCCAGCATAGCCATACTACTCATAACCCACCAGCTGTAGCAGACGTCTTCCTGCTTCTCAGGCCTCCCGTTCAGCCCACCGTTCTTGAGTTGTCGTTCGCTTAGCCAAGCTCCCAATCTCTCTTGATCTACCAGATCAAGCCTCCCCGCGATGGTCAATGCTCCCACACACGTAAACACTTGACCCGAGTGAGACTCGGCTCCAGGACTCGTGCCATAACCGCCGTCGAAGTTGGCGCAGGAATGAACGTGCTGAACAGCCTTTGCCACGTCGACCAGGTCGAGCAGTCCCATAAGAGATAAGGCGTTCAGAGCACCGTACAGGAAGCGCGTGTCTCGTTCTCCCCATTCATCCCCTGCAAAAGTGCCGGTCTCAGAGTCCTGAAGATCTGCAATGACTGAAAATCATGAGCATTGACATCAAAGCAAAGGTTTCAGAGTAGACGCACATTTGCCAACCTTCTGCCGCCCATCTTTGACGCGCTCTTCAAACTCTCCAAATGCATCAAGGGTTGCTAGAATCTGCACAGCACTGACCGTGTAGAGCATGTGGGCATCATGTCCCGGAGCAGCGCCGAAGCCACCATTGTCGTGCAGACACGAGCACAGAAAGTCCAGGATCTCATTGCGCGGGAGGGCGTCCGGGTGTCCCAGCAAGTGCAGAGCAGTCAATCCCCAGTACAGGCCGTTGAGGCGCAGATGCTCGGTGAGCCAGTACTCGAGCTCGTCTTTGCGCTGGAGCGAGTCAGCGCGGCGATCGTTCGGTGGTTGCGTGCAACTTGATGAAAATGGCACGCACCGTGTCGAGGCTCTGGATGTAGCGAACGTGTTTGTCCACGAAAAGCTGCATTTCGGCGGGCATGTTGCCTACGCCTGCTCGACCCGGACCTGATACCAGCGACATGGCGGGCGGTTGAGACTTTGAAGTTATGCTGTGGAGAAAGCCTAGTTTCGACGCGTCCGCCGTGCGCAAGCCACCCCTGCAAAGAGGGTCCGCTTGGCAAAGGTGTTTTGCACGATGAAGCTCACACTGCTACAGCCCAAGCAGCGGATGCATCGTCTTGAAATAGTTCGCAACGGCACGCGCTCACTGCCAGATGGAGCGCAAAGTCAAATCTCGCAGTCGCGCGCGCTGCATGCTCCGGAGCAGCTGCTGGTCGCAGTAAATTCTGTGCTGGGTCTGTTAAACTATTTATTTGCGAGTTCGTAACATCGCGGTGCACGGTCTATCATGGATTCAGGTACGGCCGCAAATCGTTGCCGCCGCCGTCTCTCCTGCCTTTTGTAGGTCGTAGTTCAGGCTCGCGCTGAGACATGAGCAATCCCCGCCCAACGTCTGCTGCACTGTATCCTTTGTGGACGCTGGGCGACTCCTCCAGTATCAGTCTCTCTGTCCCCTCGTGACGCAGCGCCCCTCGAACCTCTCTCAGTACCCTGCGCTGTCGCTCCTCCATAACGGGCGACTAACGCCTGTAGTCAGGGCCGCACGTTTGCTGAGCCCCAAAATAGCTCCACCCTCCGAGCGAACCACTGCCCGTACCAGAGCGACAAGCCCGCTATCGAATTGGTGTGCGCAAGCCCTCCGCACGCAGACATCACGGCCACCGCAGCCTTGTGCGTATCTTTGTTTCTTCAAGTTGCCCTTGTTGACGCTGCGATTGCAGGGTGTTAAGTGGGTAAGTGATGCATGGATGCCAGCGATGAACCTCGTCTCCCTCCTAGGGCCTCTTTGTTCCACTATTGTGGCTGGCTCAATGTTGTACAACATGTCGCCCGTAGCGCTGCCGGCCCCTTTCACGTTCCGCAACCACTGCTGACTGTGTAGCTTAGGTGTGCCGACTACAACCACGACCCTCGACGTCCTGTAGACGGGCTGCCAGTGTAAAGAAGGCAGTCGCCGGTAGCACGCGCGCCGCACCCTGAGTCCCTGACCACGGGGACCTGCATACGAGCCTCTTCACGCTGCCTGCGGGCTCCAGTCTCGAGTCCTCGCCGCAGACGCATCGGTGCATGCCTGCAGACCGCGCTGGCCAGGGGACACGACAACTCCACCCAGGCTCTCGAGGTTTGTACCACCTTCCGCGCCCTTATCCTGCTGCACCTTGCCAGTTGCCTTTCCCATGTCCCGCACTCGCTGACAACATGGGCAGCAAACACAGACGCGTCGATAGCGCAACCACACTCGATCGATTTCCCGCGACTGCCGCGACCCATGTATCATATTCACTAAGACCTTCCGTACCCCACCCTCCTGCGACGCTCCACTCCCTCGAACGCACACCAGCCGGCCCGCATTTCGAGGTCATCTTAGAGGAGTGCCCTTTCGCTGAGGTACTTCGCCCACGATCGACGGACGATCAGACCGTACCAGGCTCTTGAAGAGTGAAGCTAAGCGGACAGTAGCAACAGGACAAGCCGCGCAAACAAGTCCGCAAAATGCCAAAATCGTCGACGTTGTCGCTGGCCATGCGTTCGAAGTCAGGAGGAAAGGAGAGCAGCAATGCGCCCATGAGTCCACAGAGCCCTCGATCGCCGAGTATACCAGAATTTGCATCGCCAAACCCACCGTTTCACAACATGCCAGAGTCGCCGGCCTCACCAAAGCCGCGGAAAGACTCCAAGAACATATTCTCAAACTTCACCGCAACGAAATCTTCATCCCGATTGAATACGCAAGACAGTTCGAACCGACAGAATCTTGCGCGGCAACCGTCGCCAACATTATACACCAACGGACGGGGTGGCTCTTCGACACCAGATCTGAGTCGCCCCGTTCGGACACCCAACTCTGATGGTGAGCACAACACCGTGCAGAGAAAGGCTAGAATGCTCACTTCTGCAGACAACCGCTCAGAGATAGTTCGTCTCGATCAGCGCACCGGGTCCGGCAAATCGACCGAATCAGACGCTCTTGCGGACTCGGCGAAGACAAAGGGGACAAAGTCTAAGAAGCAGGGCACACTCTTTCGCTCGAAGTCGATCAAAGGAGACGAGAATGCCAGTTCCCGTGGCAAGCTCAACAAAGCCCCTCCAGCTCAGCTTTCACCGGACGTAGGAGCAACCTGGACTACTACGAACGGAGATGGCACACCGCTTAAGACCGCACCTATGGACAAGGGGAAAACATGGAGTAACAAGTCGTCATTTGGAAAGCTCAGAACCCACTCGGCCGATCGTCACGATGCAAGCCAGTTGGTGCATCGCGAGAGCGACAATGGCCCGGCTGGTCCAAGAAGGGACAAGAGCGAGCAGGGCTCGTTACAGTCCAGCTCCTACAACGACAACAAGGGTGCTTCACTCATGTCCAGTCTTGGATCTGGCGCTCGCAAGATGGGAGACAAAATGGACTCTGCTCGCAAAGGCATTTTTGGCAAGCTGGGTCGCAGTCACAGCAACCATGAAAGCCCTACACACGTATCGAACGAGCCCTACGTATACAAGGTCATTCACACACCTCTTGTTGAACAAACAAGATTGACCAGGATATCGTCGAGGTTAGAGCAGTCTCGAGACAAGACGGAGTTTTGGATGCCAGCGCTGCCTTGGCGCTGCATTGATTATCTGAACATGCGAGGCTGCGAGGAGGAAGGCTTGTACCGTGTCCCTGGTTCTGCTCAGCAGGTCAGATACTACGAGCGGAAGTTCGACCAAGGTAAGTTTTGATTTGTTGATCCCAGGATCATCTGCTTACGCCCAACAGACCGCGATATCGACCTCATCTCTGACGACAATTTGAACGACCCTAACGTCATCGGATCGCTCTTCAAGAATTGGCTGCGTCAACTACCGGACGAGATCTTTCCCAAGGCGATCCAACACCGTATTCAGCAAGAGTGTCAGGGCGCCAAAACCACGCCTCAGATGCTGAAAGACGAGCTTTCCAAGCTGCCTCCCTTCAACTACTACCTGCTCTTCGCCATCACCTGCCACATCAGTCTTTTACATTCTTGCTCGGAGTTCAACAAAATGAACTACAACAACCTGTGTATTTGCTTCCAGCCAGCCATCAAGATCGATGCTTTCTGCTTCCAATTTCTCATCCTCGATTGGCGTAACTGCTGGCAGGGTTGCTGGACGGAGAAAGAATACTTGGCCGAAGAGCTCAACTACCTGAGTGCTTTGGAGAACGAGGGCTCAGAGCGACCGCAGCCGACACCCAGCCGCAATGGCCAGTCACAACCATCTGGCAGGAGCAAGAGCTCACATGCTTCGCCTAACATTGCTCAATCACGAAAGTCTACTTCGACGAGAAGCAATTCGGGCGATCAGAGCAAGTCATCCGTTCGCGCTCTATCGGCAGACAGGAACGGACGCGCCACGCCGCCCAACCTTCCTCCCAGGGACGCAGACATGCCACCGCAATCAGCGCCACGCCTGCGCGGTGAGCACCATGAATACGACTCTTTGGCAGAAAGAGCCATATCGACATCAGATGGACTCAACATTCGAGGCGCCCCTACACGTCCGCCGCCTTCCGTTAGTACACAAAATTCTGTCGACGGAGACAATGGCGCAACACCAACACAAGCAATGCATAGCCGTGGACCTTCGGATACACAATTTCGTTTGGACCTGAGCAACCCGCCCAGCTCACCTTTTAATATCAAGTTTTAATGGATGGACGGACACATGGCGGACGTTGCACGCGCATGAGACGACGACAAAAGGGTGGTTGGATCTGGTCTTCAAGTTTCGCATTTTCTGTTGGTTTGTGAGCTGCCACGAGGTTCGCGATACCCATGCACCAATCTTCTTGGAATCGTGGCAGCTGATCTTTGGTTGACTGTTTGTATCTTCGTATCAGCGGTGGAGTTGGGCCATATTCTTAGTAGCTACGACTTGTTGCATTCTGCCATACTGCTGCATTGAGGCGTTATTTTCTGGTCAGCGACGGGTTAGCATCTAGCGGAGAGGACAGAGGGTATTGTACGATATGCAGAGGCTAAGCGGTGAGCAGAAATGAAACAATCATCCGAGTGTGAACAAGTGTTGGCGCATTGGAGGCTCAAATGCGGCTTAGTTGCAGGGATGTCTATTGGCTGCTTGCGTCCCCATGGGCGTTAGGCCGGGAAACAGGTGTTGTTGAGCGGGAGCCCCACGCCAATGACGTCTGGTTGCAATTGCGGCTCTTCAAGGCTGGTCTGGGTCGCGACTGTCCGCAGCGCCGATCGCACACGTTTCTTGCCTCTTTCTTCATACACAGAGGGCAATTGTCCCTCAGTGCCTGCTTGTAGAGTCTGTCAGCGTTGTTTATTTCTTCGATCGAGCGCTCATCCATCTCTCCTCCACACCATCCTCCGCCTCAACAAATCCGCTCTATTGTTAGCACAGGAAATCTCTTATACATACCTTCAAGGCCATTGTTTACTAACCCTACCGTGTAAGTCAATTGCGATTCTGGAGAATTGACAGTGTGCTGACTGCCTCCAGGGTACCTGATCACTCTCAGCCATGCCTGCACAAGCCGTCTACCTACTGCCACTCACAGATGCCGGTGCACCTGATGTACCTGGAACCTACATCTACCTACCTCCGCCCAGTGAACCTGCATACAGCGTCCGCTTCCAGATCCAGGGTACGAGCTCGATATGTCGTCAAGGCAGCCTGTGGGTGAATATCCCAGTGAAGGGCGAGAAGTTTAGTCGCGGTCAGTACCGCGAGTACAAGTAAGTTCGACTGCCACACACACACACACACACCTAGACGCAACACACTGACCCCCTCCAGGCTGAAGCCTGACTTCAATGGGATCACCGAGATCGATGTCCCCATCCATGAGGCCAACGCATACTCTTTCTACACAACCTACACACCACTGCCTCAGTGGTCGTTTACAGATGTCGCGACACCGGAGCCCACACGAACGCCCACATACTACATCGATGTTTGCCCCCGGCTCACTCTTCAGGGTCAGCAGCTACCAATCGAGGCAGTCTCGCTGTTCTCTGTTCTCTCGAAGTTTATGGGCAAATACCCTAGCGATTGGGACAACCACCTCCGAGGCATCGGCCAGCGTGGCTACAACATGGTGCACTTCACTCCTCTCATGATCCGTGGAAGCTCGAATTCGCCCTACAGTATCTACGACCAGCTCGCGTTCGATTCGGCCGCCTTCCCCAACGGCGAGAAGGATGTTGCGCGCATGGTCAAAAAAATGCAATCGGAATACAACCTTCTTAGTATGACGGATGTTGTCTGGAACCACACTGCCAACAACAGCAAGTGGCTTGAGGCGCATCCTGAGGCTGGATACAATGTCGACACCGCACCGTGGTTGCAGTCCGCACTGGCTCTCGATACTGCACTTCTGAAGTTCAGCAAGGAGCTCAAAGCGCAAGGCCTGCCCACCACGTTCAACAACACGGATGATCTTCTGAAAGTGATGGAGGCCATCAAGACAACTGTGTTGGGTAACATCAAGCTGTGGGAGTTCTACGTTATTGACGCAGAGAAGAGCGCCAACGCCATCATCGAGAAGTGGATAGCCGGCCAGACCAAGTTCATCGATGACAGCTTTAGTGATGCTGGTCTTCGTGGCCTTGATGCCGTCAAGAGCTGGTCTCTCAAGCAGAAGGCCGATTGGCTTGTGGAACATGCGCTGCAGGGTGGTGACAGGATGGGCGAGCGATTCCGTCGTCGCATCGATCCTGCAGTGGGCGCTGGCCTTCTCTGCGCCCTGTTTGGTCGCTACGACAGTCGTACTGGCAACACTCCCGACGAGAAGGCAGCTCGTGAGGCCATTACCAGCATCTGCAACGAGGTCAACTTGCCTTTCTACCGTGAATACGACAGCGACAAGGCCGAGATCATGGAACAGCTTTTCAACCGGATCAAGTATGTCCGGTTGGACGACCACGGCCCAAAGCTGGGCGAAGTGACGGAGGCCAACCCGCTTATCGAGCCCTACTTCACCCGCCTGCCGTTGAACGAGACCACCAAGAAGCACAACCCAGAAGCTCTTGCACTCGTCAACAACGGATGGGTGTGGGCTGCTGATGCCATGAGAGACAATGCTGGACCAAAGTCGCGTGCGTACCTGAGGAGAGAAGTCATCGTCTGGGGCGACTGCGTCAAGCTTCGATACGGCAGTGGACCTGAGGACAACCCGTTCCTCTGGGAACACATGGCCCAGTACACACGTCTGATGGCGAAGTACTTCCAGGGCTTCCGCATCGATAACTGCCACTCTACGCCTATTCACCTCGCCGAATACATGCTCGACCAGGCGCGACAAGTCAACCCTAACGTCTTTGTTGTGGCCGAGCTGTTCTCAGGCTCGGAAGAGATGGACTTCAAGTTTGTTATGCGTCTCGGTATCGCCTGCTTGATCCGCGAAGGAATGCAAGCCTGGAGCACCCAGGAGCTGAGCAGACTTGTTCATCGACATGGTGGTGTCCCGATTGGCAGCTTTGAAACCGACGAAGTACTGAACGCTGAGCATGCGAGCGGTACGGCCGATTCGTCCAAACGCCATGCGACTATCAAAAAAATCAAGCGTAGTCCTGTACACGCACTCTTTATGGACTGCACGCACGACAACGAGACGCCTGCTCAGAAGCGTGACGCTCGCGACACCCTTCCTCAAGCCGCTTTGGTTGCCATGTGCTCTTGCGCTACTGGCAGCGTTTTCGGTTACGACGAGGTATACCCAGAGCTCATCGAACTTGTTCACGAGAAGAGGCTCTACTCCTCAACCAACTCGACGGGCGGCCCCATCAAGCCGCAGGCCGGCGAAGGCGGTATTGGAGGCGTCAGGAAGATTATCAACGATATCCACTACAAGATGGGCAAGGAGGAGTTTGATGAGACCTACATCCACCACGACCAGGAGTACATCACTGTCCATCGAGTCAACCCCCATACCCGTAAGGGTTACTTCCTGATCGCCCACACGGCCTTCCCTGGATACGGCAATGGTAACGGAGGCTTCGGCCAGACCAAGCTGCCGGGAACAAAGGCGAAGCTCATTGGAAGCTGGAACTTGGAGGTCGACAACAGTCCTGAGACACGGGCTCGGATCATTGGCGACAAGACTACGCTCCGTGGTCTACCTGCTCAGACGCACGATCTCAAGGGTGTCGTAGTTGAGTCCATCGGCGATTCGACCACAATCAGTATTCCCGACAAGTTCCCGCCTGGCAGTATCGCTCTCTTCGAGACATGGGTGCCAAGTGCTGAGCATGCCGATGGTCTCGACAAGTACGTCACAAGTGGCGCGCGTGCTGCGTTCCGTGATGTCAACCTGGCCGATCTGAACTACATCCTGTACAGATGCGACCCTGAAGAGAGAGATGCCACGGACAACAAAGACGGAACATACAACGTGCCGGGACATGGCAACCTTGTGTACGCCGGTCTCCAAGGTTGGTGGGGTGTGATCCGCGACATCGTAAACGATAACAACCTCGGGCATCCTCTTTGCAACCACCTACGAGAGGGCCAGTGGGCTCTTGACTACTGCGTTGGTCGTCTCGAACGCATCTCGGACAAGCGAAGATACCACAGGATCAGAGGTCCTGCCAAGTGGTTGAAGGAGAGGTGCGACGCTATTCGCAAGCTACCCAACTTCTTGCTTCCCCGTTACTTCGCTCTGGTCATTCAGACCGCATACAACGCCGCTGTTGACCGATCTATCGAGCTCATGGGCGACAATGTCCGCAACGGTCAGCAATTTCTGAAGAGTCTCGCGCTTGTCAGCATCCAGGTCACCGGCTACATGAACAGCGCCTCACTCTGGCCGGACAAGAGCGTACCCAGTATGGCGGCTGGTCTTCCTCATTTCGCATACGACTGGGCTCGTTGCTGGGGTCGCGATATCACCATCTCTGCTCGTGGCTTGTACATGGGTACCGGGCGCTACACCGATGCGAAGGAGCACATCCTTGCTTTCGCAAGCGTTTTGAAGCACGGCATGGTCCCCAACCTGCTGAGTGGCGGTAAGCTTCCCAGGTACAACTCCCGAGATTCGGTCTGGTGGTTCCTGCAAAACATCCAGGACTACACCAAAATCGTCCCCAACGGCTTGGACCTTCTTCAAGACAAAGCCAAGCGACGTTTCCTGCCTTACGATGATACATGGTTCCCTCACAACGATAAGCGAGCCTACTCTGTGTCTTCTACGATCGAGGATGTTATTCAAGAAGCACTTCAGCGCCACGCTTCTGGAATAGAGTTCCGCGAGTACGACGCCGGGCCAAACATCGACAGCCAGATGAAGTCTGAGGGTTTCAACATCAAGATCTGGACCGACTTCGAGACTGGTTTGATCTTCGGTGGTAACCAGTTTAACTGCGGTACATGGATGGACAAGATGGGCGAGAGCGAAAAGGCCGGCAGCAAGGGTGTCCCTGGTACTCCCCGTGATGGTGCACCGGTCGAGATGATTGGTATGCTTTACAGCGCCGTTAGCTGGTGCGCAGATCTTTACGAGCAGGGCAATTTCAAGTACGAGGGCGTTACTCTGCCAGATGGCAAGCAAACCATCACCTACAGGGCGTGGGCAGAGAAGATCAAGGCCAACTTCGAGCGCACCTTCTACGTTCCGCGCACACCAGAAGAAGACGGCGATTACGATGTCAACCCTAGCATCATCAATCGTCGCGGTATCTACAAGGACTTGTACCGATCTGGAAAGGAGTACGAGGACTACCAGCTACGGCCCAACTTCCCTGTCGCCATGTCTGTGGCGCCAGATCTCTTTGATCCTGAGCACGCTTTATACGCTCTGCAGATGGCGGATCGCATCCTACTCGGACCTCAGGGCATGAAGACGCTCGATCCTAGCGATCTCAACTACCGTGGTTACTACATCAACAGCGAGGACTCTACCGACTTCCACACCTCGAAGGGCCGCAACTACCACCAGGGTCCCGAATGGGTCTGGCCGACTGGATTCTTCCTCCGCGCAATGCTCAAGTTCGATCTCAAGCGCCGCAAGACGGCTGAGGAGCGCGTCGAGAGCTACCAGCAGGTCACACGCCGCCTGGCTGGTTGCATGAAAGCTATTCAGGAGAGTCCCTGGGCCGGTCTTACAGAGCTTACTCAGAAGAACGGAGAATTCTGCGGAGACTCGTGTCCCACCCAGTCGTGGTCCGCTAGTTGCATCATCGACTTGTTCCAGGACGCAAGAGAGTACGAACTCAAGGACTCCTCGTCGGCCTGAGTGCCTCCAGAACCCTTGTCTGTCGGCCTTTCGACATCGAGTTTGTCGATGTAGTTAGCAGGAGCACTCATAGTGTTGTGCGGGCTTGTTGTTGCATGGCTGAAGATATCCCACTCTGTACCTATTGATAACCTAATTGAACTTCTTTCCTCCTGAAGCACATCATAGTTTGTCACATTACGCCAGATTAACACACCACTAAGGACCTCCGTGCGGCTGCTCCGGAACCAGAATCTCGCTAACACCGATATGCAAGCCCGCAGGTATACCACTCTCAGTACGGAAGTGTTTGCCAAACGTAGGCTTGTAGAAATAGCGGAGTCACGTCTCGGTGGTAGTGGCCTTGATATAGGGACATGAGAGGCGTACTCGCAGTTATAGCTTAGCCCTCTATACCGCCTACTTGAGTCTCAGTAGAGTAGAAGATCTGCTGTGTCGTAGAGAATCATGATGGCAATGGGCAATTCTAGTTTACAGGCACAGGGGGATTGATATAGAAGTTGGCCATCATGCAGTCGCTGGCTAAGTGGTTGACCAGAATCTGGGGACGATGCATGGTCGTGGAGTGCTCATTGCTGCTTTCAGAGCGGATGTGCTTGAAGGCGTTGTGGCGGTCGAGGTGTTAGGGAGAACAATACCGAGAGGAGAGCTGACCAGAGACAAAGAGGTGTCCTGCCGCTGAGCATGTTGCCGCTCGGCGGCCCGAGAGTTGGGGTCCGAGTAGCCGCCTCCTTATTAAGTACTCTGCAAGAGACTCGAGTAAGTATTGAAGTTTGCGATTGAGGATCGGTATGGCCTGGAGTTTGTAGGGATGCCACCGTTGCGGCCGTGAAACCGATGCAAGCATCAGCTTGGTGTTCCAGACATAGCTTGAGGTCATCTCTACCATATATGTATTGAGCTTTGTAACTACTAGTGAGCCATAAATCTCATCACAGGTGCCATCATTGGTGTTGGTGCTACAACTTTGGTAGAGCAAGGACCATGGAGGCCGCATGATGAAGGGCTGCCCTGCAGCATCCGGATGCTGAGACGAAGAATAATAGCACAACTGTGCAGCTTGATAGTCAGATTCGTACGATCAGCTTAGCATTGTACTGTGAATGTACTTGAAAGAGGAATGGTGCTCGCTGAGCAGGGATGTTTGCACCAGTCGCTCCTCCCACGCGACCCCACCATGTCCCTGCAGTTGATTCGCAGCTTCATCGCCAACATCTTCCTGTCACCCTTCGCCTTTCTACGCATCATACTCCTCCGACTGCGCAAAGGATTCACATACACTTCCGAATACACAATGCCGCCGCCGAAATTTTACCACGACGACGAGGCATGGAAGGACGTCGAGCCTCTCCCACAGGATGACGGCGGAATGCACCCGCTGGCGGCCATTGCATATACCGAGGAGTACAGCGAGGCCATGGGCTACTTGCGCGCGGTTATGGCGAGCAACGAGTTCAGCGAGAGAGTACTGGGGCTTACAGAGCACATCATCAGCATGAACCCAGCACACTACACAGTTTGGTATGTCACAAACATGGCAGATCCTTGATTGCATAAGCAACTGGATTGACGATTTGCAGGCTGTACCGCGCAAAGACGATATCAGAACTCGGCAAACCTCTTCAGGACGAGATCGAATGGCTCAACCCGACCGCGCTCAAGCACCTCAAGAACTACCAGATATGGCACCACCGCCAAACCATCATCGACGCGCTCGGTTCGCCGGAAGGAGAGGCCGAGTTCGTCAGCCAAATGCTCGAGAAGGACGAGAAGAATTACCACGTATGGAGCTACAGGCAGTGGCTGGTCAAGCGCTTTGACCTGTTCGATAATCTGGAGGAACTCCAGTGGACTGAGAGCATGATCGATGCGGACGTCAGGAACAACTCGGCATGGAACCACCGCTACTATCTAGTCATTGGCGGTCGTGAGGGCCACGCTCCGAGTGAGGAAGTGACCAAGCGTGAGATTGAGTATGTTCCTGCAACCATTGTAGCGGCGTATCTGTGCTAACCGGGGTCCAGGTACACCAAGGAAGCCATTCGCAAAGCATCCCAGAATCAAAGCCCATGGAACTACTTAAAGGGCATCCTCCGTGCTGCTCAATTGCCAAAGTCGACCATTAAGAGCTTCGCAACCGAGTTCGCCGATCTCGAGGCACCAGATGATGTCTACTCTAGTCATGCGCTTGACCTGTTGGCTGATATCTACGCGGAAGAAGAGAACAACAAGGAGTCAGCAGAGAAAGCCTTGGACCTGTTGGCGACCAGATATGACCCTATCAGGGCGAACTACTGGAACTACAGGAAAGGTCTGCTGAGCCAGTCTGAAGTCGCAGCTTGAGCGTTGCACCAGCAGACGAGCGAGACCATTGCACTCAAAGGTTCCCGCGGGAAGGTATCGTTGCCACGGACCGTCGTGCGATAAGATACCATCGCTGCACCCATTGTCCGGTTGGGGTTCCGGATCCAGAGGCAATATGCACATTGACAACACGTGCGGCTCCGCATCATCTGCAACACAGACGCACGTCAAGGCTTTCAGACCTTCACGTCTGTAACGACTGCAACATCCCCAGACGAGCAGTCTAGATCACGATGAGAGGTGGACGTGCTGCTGCCACCAAAGCTCGCCATTGCGGTCCTCCTGACGCTAAGCCCCGCAACTTATCGACGATACCCCAGATTCTTGTTCACCGCTCCGATTTTTTCTCGAAGAACTGGACCAACCTTCTCCTTATAATCAAGCGCTGACGCAAACGCGGTCCACTGATAGGGCACCAGGTGCCAAGCTGGTACTGAACCCTGGGCGGCAAGCCCTGGCAGAATGTCCCGATTTAGGACTGCCGTTGCTACCCGCTTTAGGGAACAGAATCCACCGGTAGCGTTCCCGAATCACGGGGACCCGTCTTGTGTCATTCTCGGTCGCAGCTTAGCGGCTCAAGCCTTATCGAGAATCTATAGGGTAATTTCTGGAAGTTATAGGGTAATCGACACCAATATTGCCGTGTTCACCACAGCTATCCCCGACGGGAAACTTCTATACTGCGGGATCGCGCGGAGCTGATAAGCATTGCGTTTGAGGTGGTTGGATCCATGATCTATATTTACGGTGCCAGACGTTATCGATTCGATTCACAGGTGTCCTTTCTCATCAAGTCTTCGCCAGTCATAATCCTACCACTTCACGGACTCTTCATCTTTCCATCATGTCTTTTCTTAAACTCAATCACAACATGACTGTCAAGAGCAACTCTCCATCCGAGGAGCCATCAAACCCATGGGTTGAGACGCCCTTGAGGGAGTCCTACGCACTCTCTGAAGCAGCGGGATGGTACGGTCACACTTCCTCTACCCTCCCCTTACCATGCTATCGATGTGATGTTCGCCTTGTTGTTATGTAACGAGAGTTCTAAATCGTAGAAGCAGAATCTTCCTCAAGCTGGAGAACCTACAGCCTTCCGGATCATTCAAGTCACGGTAAGCTTCCTTCTCATCAACAGTACCACCAACAGCCATACTAACGATGCAATAGAGGAATCGGCAACTACATCCTCCGGCGCCTCGAAGTGCTCCCCGCAGGCTCTCAACCACACATATTTGCCTCCAGTGGCGGCAATGCAGGACTCGCTGCCGTCCACTCCGCACGAGCTCTCAACCTGAACTGCACCGTCGTCGTGCCTACAGCAACATCTCCCCTAATGGTTACTAAGCTGCGCGCAGCAGGCGCCTACGACGTGATCTCCCACGGCGCCGCATGGCGAGACGCAGACACTTACCTCCGCGAACATGTCATGCCCTACGTACGTCTCCATTGCCCTTTGTTACCGACCCTTAACCCCTGCTAACAACTTTACCAGTACGAAGGCGCAACCATCTACTGCCCGCCTTTCGACCACCCCGATATCTGGACCGGCAACAGCACCGTCATGCACGAGATCGCCTCTCAAATGCCTAACGGCGACGCGCCCGATGTCATCATCTGCTCTGTCGGCGGCGGCGGTCTGATCAACGGTATCTGCCAGGCTATGGACTCAATCAGCATGACCACACCTACCATACTCGCTGTCGAGACAGCGGGCGCAGAAAGCCTCGCTGCCAGTCTGTCGGCAAAGGAAATCATTACGCTCCCCAAGATCACCTCAAAGGCGACAAGCTTAGGATGTGCTCGGGTCACGGACAAGACGTTCACGTACTCGCAGCGCTCGAACGTCAGATCTGTCGTTCTCCCCGACGGCGTCGCAGCAATGGGATGTTGGCGCCTCGCCGACGACGAGCGCATGATGGTCGAACTAGCCTGCGGCGTCAACGTCGCGCTCTGCTACGACGGGCGGTTGGAGAAGGCATTGGGCCGCCCCGTCAAGCCTGACGACAAGGTCGTTATTGTTCTGTGCGGCGGCAGTAATGTCACAAGCGGTATGCTGTGCGATTGGAGGCAAGAGTATCAGCATATCGTCGACAAGGAGCTTGAGCTCGAGAGGAGGGACTCGGCGTACACGAGTGCAGAGGCGAGTCCTAAGACTGCACCGACGGTACCGAGTGAATTGGCTATGCCGGTTATTGAGGGTATTGAGATTGGCTCCTTAGCTGTGCGAGCTTGAGAATGCCGGCATGTTTACGAGTTTTCTTTCCACATTCCGGAGTTTAGGATAGCGATTGAAATAAGTCTCGCTTTTTAGTTTTAATAAACAATCAGTTTGAACCTGCTTCCACCATATCTCTTTCTCTGCTACGAAGTTCTCGCGCGTCCTTGCGTCGAGATTCGTTAGTTGACACCCGCAGCACAAGGGTGTTGACTAACTCAAACACCCTTATCTTCCTCCAACGCCTTCTTCAATTCTTCATCAGCCGCAAGCTCCTTCTCTGCGCCCTCAATGACTCCTCTTAGCCCATACGCACATTTCTCAAGCTCAGCCTGCTCATGCTCGTCGAGCTCGATGGGCATCGGCTTGACGATACCCTTTCTGCCTACCACAGCCGGCATCGAAAGACAGCAACCTAGCTCGGGCTGGTAAAACGATACAGGACGCACAGAACGCGAGTCGAAGAGAATGTATTTGCAGATCGACGCAGCAATGTTGCCGATACCGTATGCTGTGCATCCCTGCATGCTGTCAGTACCGTGCTGGTTCAACAAAGCAGACTAAGCGAATGGATATGGAGCGCACCTTTGCTGCGATGATACTCCCAGCAGCTCCCCTTGTATGACTCGCAATCTCAACCTTAAACTCTTCATCCAACTTCTCCCCCAGAACAAGCTTTAGCGGCGTAGTCCCCACACTCGCGCTACTCCACGCAATGAACTGGCTATCACCGTGCTCACCCAGCACGTACGCATCGATGCTGTTAGGGGCAACTTCGGTCTTCTGTGCTAGGATGCCACGCAGGCGCGCTGAGTCGAGAGACGTTCCTGTGCCGAGGACTTGCGATTCTGGCAGTCCGGAGAGTTTGCGTGCGAAGTAGGTTAGGATGTCGACGGGGTTGGCGACGAGGAGGAGGATGGTGTGTGGGCTGATGGGCGACATGGCGCTGAAGATTGAGGAGAGGATGTGCAGGTTTCGAGATAGGAGGGAAAGGCGCGATTCACCTGGTCGTTGTCAATTTCAATGGATCGTCGTCTGATTTATGAGCTGCGGTGTACCCGTCTTCTGCTTCGCTCCCGCAGTGATGACCACGATGTCTGCTTGCCCAGCGTCCTTGTGGTTCCCGGCGCGCACTTTTACTCCACTGCCGCCGCGGTATGTGGCATCGTTTAGGTCTCGTACTTGTGCCTCCAATAGCTCTTTCTTGGGGTCGACTAGAATTACTTCGCTGCAGATGGGCTGGAGGATGAGTGTGTAGGCGAGTGTTGCGCCTACGTCACCGCAGCCAACAATTGCAATGCTGGTCTTCAGTTTGGGACCGGCCATTGTCGTTTTCTGGTGTGCGTGTTCTTTGTTGTATGATGGATTGGTGGTGATGTTGGGAAAGTAGCGGTTGGCACGTGCAAGTAGCTGTCTGAATGCGGAAGTCGCAGATGACAGCTGAAATGTGGTCTGGGAAGTAGGTTGGTTGCAATTGATTCAACCTTCTGAAGTATTGGGTGTCTAATCTATATATCCTACTGCTTGATCAGATTACTTAAGGTGAAGCAGATGTTCGTCGTAGCAAGGTACGTCCTGCCAAGACCTGGGCTGACGGCGGTGGTGTGATGTTGGACCCATCTGCAGTCTTGCATACTCAGCCACAAACAGAATCGTGATATCGAACAGTATCGATTGCGGCACATTCGATGCGAGAACCATTACTACGGGTGCTGAATATCGTCTACCAATGGCTTAAGGTGCTTCTGCAGCTTCTTCGCGACAGTATCAGCCTCCTTCCACACTCGCAAGACATTGCCCCCCGCAATCTTAGCCGCGTCCTTGTCGCTAACGCCTTGACGTAGGAGCTCAGCAACCAAGTCTGGAAACTTGGACACATCCTCCAGGCCAGCAGGTGTCGCTTTGATGCCATCGTAATCTGTGCCAATACCCACGTGATCATACCCAACGAGCTCGCCGATGTACTTGATGTGACGGACGACCTGATGCAGTGTGGCATTTGCTGGCACAGTCTCAGGAAGACCAGAGGACGAGTTGCCTGGCACGCAAGAGATGAAGTCCGGGTTGAAGTTGACCATGACAACAGAGTTGCGCTTCTTGACGAGGTGAAGGATATCGTCTGGTACGTTTCGGGGATGAGGGCAGATAGCGTAGGCTGAACTGTGGCTGAAGATAGGCGGAGCGAGGCTACCATTCCAATCTCCGTCACTCTTGCCGACAAGAACATCCCTCATGGTGTCTGTACTGACATGAGCGAGGTCGACGAGCATGCCGAGGCGATTCATTTCCTTGACGAGGTCTCGTCCGGCAGGGCTAAGACCTTTCCAGTATGGAGTAGCAATACGAGCATCGGAGTTATACTTTGTCTCCAGGGCAGCATCTGCATACTTGTTGTGACAGTTCCAGGTAAGGGTTGCATAGCGAACACCCAGTTGATGGTATAGGCGCAGGTTAGACGCTGAGTTGCCGATCTGGTGCAGACCTTCGATAACTGCAGGCGAGATTAGACGACCGTTCTCGAAAGCCTTAGTTGCTTCGTGACTGTTCGACGATGGAGTAAAGTACTTTGGGTAGGTGTCTCCGAGACGCTTGTATAGGTCAAGCTGTTCAAGTGTAGCCTGGACAACTATTGAAAGCTTAGTGGTCTGTTGCGATAACCGAACCGAGGTGACTTACTGCTTGAGTACCTCTCATCAGAGAAGTCTGTAGTGTTCTCTCCGGTGGGACAGACGTAGAAGGCACTCCAGAAAGCGCCGCCTTGCAAGCCCTTCTCTAGCCGAGGGATGTCTGTATGTAGCGCAAGACCTCCATTCTGGAATTTCTCTTGAAACTCGTTGTCATCGATGCGATTTTTGTACTTTCCTCGAATGAAGATCATCAAATCGTTGTGGCCGTCTTGGTAGCATCAGTATACTAGGAGCAGAGATGTTATGCGACAATGCTGACCAATAAGCGGATGCTTCTTCAGGATCCTTGCGGCTCTCTGTTCAATAGTGAGCTTGCGTATGCAACGGTGCCGCTCGATTGTGAATGCTGGCCCGATCGTGGTCAATATCAAGGTAGCAACGAAGAAGAAGAGTACGCCAACGATTGCATGGTTCAACCCCTTGGATCGACGGGGAACTTCCTCTGGCTGCCTAATGGGCAGCTCATCGGCCCCAATAAGCTTGTAGTTTTTCTCCATCGCTCCTGCAAATCAACAGGATGTTGATGTGTGGTGCATGAACGCTAATGGTCCATAGATAGATGTACCCCCTAGTTAAAAACATTCGTACTGTTTCTGATGACATAATCTGCCTCACGAAATGTCGGGTTGGCAGAACTCGCCATACTAGATTGCATCGTGATAGCGCAAAACAAGTCATTTTAGCTTATTTCAAGGGTTATGAGGAAGCTGAGATGCTAGAGAATACTATTCCAATTGATTTTTGTAGTGTTGATAAGATACCAGAGGTCAATTTTGACCCAAACATTGGGGTGCTGAAACACCTGCCTACAACGGTAGGATATTTCATTCACGCGCTCCTGCACCATCTCTTGTCGGATTTGCTTCCACTCGTGCTGTAGTGCTGCCTTTAGCTCTGCAATACTATTAATAGTGATGAGCTGCTGTTTGACACGTTCCTTGATGATATTCCAGATGCCTTCAATAGGGTTGAGATCAGGTGAGTTGGCTGGATGTGGCAGCGTTACTACACCACGCCCATGCTTGTATACTGCTGGCAGCGAGATAGGATTGTGTGTGCCATTGCTTGGTCATTATCCTCCATTAGATACCAACTGTGTCGTTGTTGTATGGGTACATCAGCACGTAATAGGTCAGAGCAAGCTACCAACAAGGAGTATGCCTCACGGTATGATGGCAGAATCTTCTCCACGTAGTATGACGCCCTCATAGCGTTGCCAGGCTTGGTTATATGTGCTTCCTGTGCCTTCTCAACCTCCCATTGCCCTATGCGGGCTTTGTAGTCATCAGGTGTCTCTGTAGTAGGGCGCCTTTGAGGCTTTGGTGGATACTGCGGAGCCACGTGATCGTCATATTCGTCATTGTAGAAGGTCAACTCATCTGCCCGATTGTAGTAGTTGACCCAGGCAGCAAAGTGTTGAACTACAGTTTGAGGTGCTGAACATTCGCCAATAATACGCAGCATCCACTCAACAGGGAAGTTGTTCAGCAACATATGAGCCTCATCAGTGAACATGATAACGTGCTATTCGTCATCAGCTCTAGCGCGTGGAGTTTAGGTGCTCTTTCTCCGGAGTTTAGGGCATGACATTTTGACAGAACACCAACACCACATCTCCCACACTCACAGCTTCACGAGCCCTCCACAAAGCTCCTGCGACCACAAATATGGCTATCATTTCAGCAAACTCGATGATTCGCAGCGTAGCGCTATTCCACCTAACGCTGGCTGCGCTTCTGATCAAGAACCCAAAGCTCATCGCGAACCAGAGTGTCATCATGATCTTGGGCGGATCAATGCAACTCGTAAGGACTGTCTCTGCTTAGTGATTGGAAGCTGGTACTGACACTCGACAGCCTACACCGCGAGACTTTGCTACGCCGTCAGCAGCCATAGCCTTCATCGCCGTTCTGTTCGCTTTCATCGGCATCAACGACCTTACCGCAGCCTCGCTTCCTGAAGAAGTCTTCGACGAATACTGGGGTGCCCAGACACCCATTCGACTCGTCTTTCTGTTCGCACTCACCGGTTACACATTCTTGTTCAAAGAGGGTGGCATGTTTGGCGGAGCCAGGGGCATTGCGTACTCGAACAGCCCTGGCAGCTATCTCAAGAACAGCGTGGTGTTTAGTTGGGGTTTCATCGAACTGTCGATGTGGTTCTGGATCTACGTCACTCTGCGTGAGGAGCGACGGGAGCGTGCGAGGAAGATAATCGAGAAGCGTAAGGCGGAAGCTGACAGGATGTGAGCTGGCATGGAAGATAAGCTATTGGATCAATACACAGGCTCCTTGTCGGGTTAGCTCTTCTAACAGAGCAGCTTCGCGACCGTTCAGAGGAAGGCCATGCCTGCCATGCCTGCCCATAGAGCTGCGCCAAGGACCGCATCGCTTCGCCAATATGATGGAAGTAAGACAACGAGGCCTGCTTCGAGGGGACATAGTCTACGCTGGAAGCATGACCATGGTGCAGGTGCCACGGTTAATAATTGGGAACAGAACAAAAGCCAGGTAATACAGAATTGAGTGGTAGCGTAAGCCGCCGAACGACAAGAGACGATATGTACTCAGATACAAGAAGGCGGCCACCCATTTTCTTCTATTATTTCCTAGTCTCTGCCGTCGTCTCGTTCTAATCATGCAGCTTGCACTCCAAAAAATTGTTTCTGCTCACAGACAATTTTCCTATCTAGGGCTGTTCTGGAGAGGTTGTTATTAGTTATGTCAGTCATTGTCGACAAGCACGCTTCACTCTTAGATCATGTTACAGAGCAAAAAGGAAAACCCAAGGGCGTCGACATCTAGCACTGTTCAATAGATGGTCAGGTTGCACCTTTCGTCTCCCCTTTGGGTGGGTTCATAATGGGAGCTTGAACAGCAGCTACATCCTGACCTTCACCTTTACTTCAGATAATCAGCAGGAGAGGCAGGAAGATGTCCGAGATATTCTCAAGAATTGGACTGGGACTGAGTTTCTTTGGGTCCGCGGTGCGGTGGCGCTGGTTTAGAGATACCGTGCTGCAATTGCCGGTTGTAGGGTTATGGTTCTTGTCGAAGGTGAAGAATGGGAGTGGAATGGGCTGGCTGATGTCTGAGGCTGATCGGCAGGTGAGCGTTAGGGAAGAGCTGACTGCTGCTGAGAAGGGGAAGGTTGAAGAGGGGAGGAAATATTTATGCAGTAATACGTTTGAGGTTTTTGGGTTTGTTGAAAACCTCCGAGTTATGCTAACAGTGAGACAGCTGCCTCGAAGCCCGTTTCTCCGATGGTTCGCCTCCCACGGCGAGCCAGAAGCGCGCACATGTCACCCTCCTCATTCAAGCCGGCGCAGACACAACAGATACAGCAATGGGCTGCACACTACGTTTCCTCGTCACGAATCCTAGCGCTCTAGCTAAAGCGCGCAAAGAGATTGCCAGAGTTGATAAAGCCAACCTTCTCTCCACGCCCGACCAATCCGAAGAAACACGTCAACACCTTCCTTACTATGTAGCCTGCATCAAAGAAGGTCTGCGACTGTAGCCGCCTGGCACGAATCTGTACGCTTGTGTCGCTTTAAAAGAAAAGTAGGTGATTGACCGCTACTTCATCCCCGGTGGTACAGAGATCACATCATATGCGTACTATGTCCAGCGCGATCCGACCTTATACGGCGAAGAACGAAATACGTTCGTTCGAACTGGAAGCTGCAGAATTTACGTTTGGCATGGGGCCGCGAGTGTGTTTGGGGAAGGATGTAGCTGTGATGGAGCTGTACAAGTTGTTGCCTGAGGTGAGTAGCTGTGAAACCTATTGGTGTGACACGGGAGCTGGCGATGGTAGATAGTGAGAAGGTTTGACATTGAGTTAGAGGCGCCTGGCAAACATGTTGTTGATGGGGGCGTTGCGTACAATGGGGTCTTTACGGGCAAATTGACCGTTAGATGAGTCGCCAGATGCATTTCAAGCCGATTCAACAACGATCATGATGTCAACGGGTCTATTACATAGACTGGTTGTATTGGAAGCGTATGGTATCGAGTATGAAAGTTGTTATCATCTACGCATCGGCTGTCATGTGGGCCTTCAATATCGAAGACACTACTCGTCATCCAAATCAGACCAGCGTCCCAAGAGTTCACCGGGCTTGGTCGAGATGGGTGCTTCGTCAGCAGAAGCTTCAGCGAGACCCCTGCTTCGCGGGCGCGAAGGACCACCATCGTCCTCGCTGACCGCTCCGCTATTGACACCACTAGCCTTATCTTTTTCTTCTTTCTCTTCCTCTTCTTCCTCGGCTGCTTCCCAGTCGTCCACGACAGGGGCCTGTTTCTCCTTCTTCTTCTTGCTGCTCAAGCTCAGAACGGCAAAGCCACCCTTATTACCAAACGGCGTGCTCTTCTGCACCTGACGTGATGGAATGCCTCTAGATGCTGCAACTTGACTCCAGCCCGAGCCTGGGCCAATATCCGACTCTTTGCGTAGCACGTTGAGCGATGCATCCAGGCGTGCTAGCTGCAGGGAGCCGACCTTCTGCGCGGTGAAGGCCTGCGACAACAGAGTCTTGACGGACTCGAGCATCATCTGAATGTCACGCTCTGGGATGTTGAGGCGGGCTGCTAGCGGTGGCTTGAGTGCAACTGCTTCGCTGGGAAGGAAGCTGATCTCGAATTCGAGTGGAAAGTTGGTCTGTGAAAGGACATTCTTCATGACCATGCTGACTTCTTCAATCGTAAGAGCAAAGCGCGGATTCAAGATGAGGAAAGAGTTGTAAGGATCTCCGGTGGTGTTGCTCGGTTTTGGTCGAAGTGGAGCGGCTGCCGGTGCCGCAGGAATGGGACGCTGAACTTGGCGCGTTCTTGCACACTCCGCAAGTGTCTTCATCGGAGCCATAACGAACTTTGGTGTCTTGAAGACCGCAACATGGCGATGAGGCTCTGGGTCCATACTTTCCGTGTCGAAGCCAAAGTCCTCTGCGAGGTAATGAATGAACTTGCGCTGATGCTTTGGCATGGGTTTGAACCTAAGCCGCTTCTCTTCCTCGTCAGCTGCGAACAGCCTCAGTCGTTTCTCATGTGTAGCTGCCCAGGTCGAGTGTTCCATGTAGAGATTCAGTGTGATGTCAGAGTAAGGGACATGGTCTGTCTCGTGCTCTGGGTCCACATTGAGCGCTAGAGCAAGCTTGCGGTTGCGCTCAAGACGTGCGCATTCATCATCGCACTTCAGTGTCTTCTTGTTGTTGCCTTCGCTAGACTTTGAGCTGTTACACTTCGTTTCCTGCTTGATCCTTTGGCACTCGCAAGTGATGATGATCTTGTGTTGGCAAGGCTTATCTTCTTTGCAGGGCTGCGGGAAGTGACAACGTGCCATGTCAGGATGTCCACAGGCACTCAGCTCCTTGCCACAAGTCTGCTTGCAAGGCTCCTCGCACTCGCCGCCACGGTGGCATTGCTTCTGACACTTGTGAATACCGCACTTCAGGGTGCGTCCGCAGACTTCGCCACAGCGAACTTCACTGAGCCAGCAAGGCTGGTTTTTGATGACATTCTTGCCACACATACAGGACTTTATTGTCAAGTACGGGCACTTGGGGCAGTCCTCTTCGCCGCCGTGGCAGGTATGGCCAACTTGAGGGTGGCCGCAACTCTTTGGTCGCTCGCAGGGAAATCGGCACGGAGGCGGCCGAGTACCACAGGGAAGAGGGGGCTGCAGCACGGTTCGCCCGCAATTGCAGCTAATCTCGTCAAAGATCGCGTCTCGACAAGTTCCGCAGGGACCTTTGTGACAGAGCTCCTGGCAGCGATGCTCAGGGTTACCGCATTTCAGCTGGCGACCGCATGAACGGGTGCAAATGTGCTCTGCCTCGAAGTTGTCTCCAGGCCTCTGAGCAGCTGAGTCCAGAGGACGTGGCTTCCTTCGATTCGCCTGTCGCTCGGCTGCTTTTCGCTCTCCAGCGCAGCAGTGCTCACCACACTCGTGTCGTCCGCAATTGAGCGAAACACGGCAGATGCGCATACACTGTGGAGCCTCCTCGGTTCCTTGGTGACAAATCGTGGAGAAGGTGTTTCGGCCGCATCTGCATGCTATGGTAACTGTTTCCATACATGGCAAGCATTCGCCCTGGTGACACGGCTGCTTGCACTTGTGACCGCAGTTAAGAGTGTTGTCGCAAGGCTTTGAGCAGTTCGGTACAGGATCCTCACATGTCTCTCGACGAGCGTTCGAGATTTCCGACAAACGTGTCTTGCCACAAGGGCAGTGAGTAACAACATCGGGTGACCGTGGACAATGGGCTGAGTCGGCATTCTGTCGGTGGCATGCTTGCTCGCAAGCATGCTTTCCGCAGTCGAAGAGGCGACCGCATGTGTTCGGGCATTCGAACGACCCGATCCATTCTTCGACCGTAGTGGCACCATCCGTTGCAGTATGACGCTGCCGGCTATGCTTCGCCTCCTCACGATCACAGCACATAATGTCCTTCTGGATCTGACCGCAGTAACAACGCGCAGGAACGCGCACATCGCAAGCTCCGCAGGGACCTTCGTGGCATGGTCGAGGGCAGCGGTGTTCTCCACAAGCCATCATCTCGCCACACACCTCGCCGCAGCTCCAGCCGTGCTCGTAGTCTGTGTCTACGCAGCGTCGAGTGACGGACTTGCCACCACAGAAGCAGTGCTGGGTAGGGCCCATCAAGGAACAAGGCGGGCAAGGACCGGCGTGACAAGTCATCCCACATGGATGGGGGCACTTCTTCGGTAGGATCCTTGGTCGAGAGCAGGTTTGCCCACAAGAGAACGGTGGCAGTCCTGTAAGCGGCTTTGGATCGAGTTCCTTCTCACACCAACACGAGAAGTTCTTTGGTAGAACATCTTTGGGCAGATTGCACCCAGGGCAGCGCCACTGCCTCGGCGGTGGTGCTTCACCGTCCTGAGCCTGCTGACGAGCAGCTGCTGACCCCTCGTTGGTCGACCACTTCTTTATGCAACCCAGGTGGAAGACCGTCCAGCATGTCCGGCAAGACCATACACCCTTCGAGCGTCGCTTGATGTCTTCTGTGCAGATCGCGCATTCGTAGTGACCGTTGTCAATATCTTCGTGCGTTCTCGTGGCGATATCCGGTGCGGTCGACTTCGGTGCTTGTGGCTGCTTCTCTTTTAGTGCTCGTGGCTTGCGACCAACGAGTGGCCGCCCTGGCTCGAACTCAGGCGCATCTGCTTGCAAACTTGCAGAAGCTACTGATTCAGCATCGTCCTCGGCAGTCAACTGCCCTCCAAACTGGCGACCACCTGCAGCCGTGCGCTGGGAGAACCTCTGTGCTCCACCTCGTCCTGGGCCGCCTCTGCCTCGGTGCCCTCCTCTTGCTGGTGCAGGCGCTGAAATTGAAGCTTCGCTAGGTATGGTTTGCAAGACTTGTGGTGGTACTATAGAATGACCTCCTCGCCCCCTGCCTCTCCCTCGCCCGTTCCTTCCACCTCTTTGTGATTGTTGCTCTCCACTTGGGTGCCCCTCATCCTGCGCCTCGGATACTGCGTTCGGTGCGCGATTGCGATTGCGATTCCGTGGTCGTCTGCCTCGTGAGCCTCCATCTGCTCCTCCAGGGGCATTTGCTGGTACTTGTGCGGTTGCAACGGTCGACATGCTGGGCAGTGTGTTGATTACTGCTTCTAATGCTGACTGCAGAATGATAGTTGGTAGTGGCAGCGCCGACAGCAAACCTGATTGTTTGCAAAGAAAATGCAGGCTCTAGTAAATGTATGGCCTGGTAAACGTGACAAGAAAAGGTCGGGCTGTGGAAGCTTTGTCGTGGGGGAAGTTTGCAGAGTGGCGTGCAGGTATATTGCCTTTGCCTTGGGAAAGAAGGCTAGCGCGGGCTTCCAGAAAGTGCACTGACTGACTGATGAGTCGAAATCTGTCACAGGCAGCCAGGTACCGAGCACAAGGGTCCAGTGAAGTACGGGCCCGGATCTGGATAGCCTTCTGTGACTGTTCGCCGTGCTCGCGTTCCGGCGGAATTTCTGAAGCGCGTCATCGGCCGGGACTCTAGCAGGTCATTTTCGGCTAGTGTATCATCACTACCGCAGCGCGGCAGGCATCGTGCAGAGCTTCGTATCATCGCGACCCTCAACACCACGAGTCGACGACAACATGGCCAAGACACTGATTGGCGCCCTTGCTCTGGCGTCACAGGCACTTGCCTTCAGCAACACCTCGCCCTTCTTCCTGTTCTCCACCGCTGAGTACGCTTCGCCGCCGCCGGTCCTTGCATCTCGACGCTAACGTCTGCAGCTTGTTGCTGGAGTCCTCCAGCGCATCGATCGCCCAGTCGACCAGCATCACTGCCGATGTATTGGAAGCCCTGAAGGAATGCCCGACCAAGAACTACGTTGTTGTTGAGCAGGACGGTGTCTCTGCCGCCGATTACGCTGATGGACGCTCTACGCCACGGTTGGCGCAGTACATGGCCGGCCAGCACGACGACGTCAAGTCGACAGTTTCCGTGCCAGATGTCGTTGGAAAGGTTGACGTAGCCGAGATCACACAATACCTGGAGACAAAGTGCGGGTCTGTTAAGAGCGTACAGCTCGATACACCACCGGCGTCAAGGGCGCTCAGGTCACTGTACATGGGACAACAAGGTACGCTCGACAACATGACCATCTATTGGCAGCATCTAATACCTACAGACCAATTCCTCGAAGACAGCTTCTCCAAGTACGCCGAATCGCAAGACTACACCGTCATCTACATCACCACCCCTCCCACTGAAGCGCAAGCCAAGGCACAACTCGAGGCCGAGCAGCAGCACCAATACGAGATGGAGAACTCTTTCGGCGACAACATCCAGATGGAGCTGAAACGTGACACCACCGCACACTACAAGCGCGCGAACTCGACCAGCGACGAGGGCGGCCTGTTCGAGAGGTACCAGTACTTCACACCGGGCCTGTTCATGGGCTTTGCAACTCTCATCCCGCTGTTCTTGATCCTGCTTGTCGGTATTCGAGCTCTCACTAGCCTGGAAGTGTCGTACTTTGCCTTCAGCAAGGAGATGGGCCCCAATGCGCAGAAGAAGCAGCAGCAGTAGAGTGAACAGACTTGGCAGAAGTAGTCGACGAGCGATGTAAATCTTGTATCTTTGTAAGAGCATGGGCACCAGGCGTTTGTGTGAAATACACTAGGAACTGTAGCGAACGAGATATCGAATGGTACACACATATATACACAAGATCTAGCCACCGAACCATCGAGTGCCATACATGGTAGCTTACGTCTCTCTACTGATAATCTTAGCACAAGAGAGCTGGTCAGTCGAGAAGTGCAGCCCTAATAAACTTCCCAATCTCTTCTCCACACGTCTTCCTAACAGCCTAATCAAACTTCCCAACCTCCCGATCAAAATGCACAAAGCAATACTTCCCTCCCACAAAACACGTGGCCATCCACTGCCACCAACTAAGACTCGAAACCTGCACCCCATGCTTCGCTAGTCTCTTCGTAAAGACCGCCGTCTCAATTGCATGCGCCCCAAACAGGAAGTAAAACAGCCCACTCTGTACCCAGGATGCGTACTTCAAGCCAGTGGCCGATAAGTGTGAGAGAGCGTAGTCGTAGAGAGGCGAGCCGGGGGAAATGACTTCGCGCCGCGAGGAGAGCGCCATGATCGCACCGCAGATGATGATGGGTCTAAGGTAGGGCGGGCGGGGGGCGATGTAGGTGTTGCGCAGGTTCTTGGGGGGTTGAGGGACGGGTTTGGACATGATGAGCGAGGTTATTGATGTGGTCGTACTGAAGTGTCGATGCTTGGGTAGATGTTCGCTGATGTGTATTGAAACGTTGTTTCGGGTGGTCTTGAATGTGCGCAATTGAGATTGGAAAGCAGTTCGATTGATGTTACAAAAATCTATGTCGTCACTACGAAAGCAGCTACCAGTATCCACACCTCTGCTTGTTCAGCAGCAGCCTCGGTCGAAGGTGCACGCTAGACGCGAGTCAGTCTTCACACTCAAACTTTGATCTCGTGCGTAACCTGCCACATAAGGCAAGTACGAGAGCAAGGCTGTAGATTGCTGGAACTCATGCGAACCGAAGGGAAGTGTTGCTAGCGTTGGGCTTTGTACAGCTTTGTACGATCACGTGAGAGTGAAGGACAATCCGGGCGTGTTGATTGGCTGAGGGCTGGGTGCCGGTGAGCGCTGAGGACAGGCTTTGGAGGAAGCGGGCCGCTGGTGCTTGGTGATGGGTCAGCCTCGTCGTGGGAAGTGTCTCTTTCTCTTCATACTTTCATATCAGGGTTTAGCAAATTTTTCTTCGCCGCTCTATTAATGTTGACCGCTTCCCTGTCTTCAGTCACTGTGGGATTGGTTTCAGCATTGCTCATACACCTTCGCTGAGCTGGCGACGGCTGTTCAGCATTCTGAAATCCTCTACCGCTTCTGCCAGGGGACGGCAATGCTCGCCGAAAAAGCAGAATGTCCACACCGTCAGCCAGGGACTCCTGCCTCTTGAAGTGGAACGATTCGCTCGGCAATGCTGGCTGCACATCGAGTTGAGGTTCTTCCCGTCCCCAGCCTCGCGCAGTTCGCCTGATCAGGACTCCTAAAAATCGAATCCACCCCAAAGCAGCCGTCCTCATGCAACTTCCCTTCCTCAGCTCGCCTTTTAGGAAAAGTCTGAGAAGACTTCCTTGCGGATGAACCCACATTATGCACCATTTTTTGGTGTCAATCTGCTATTGGTGCAAAAAGCAGTAAATCCTGGAAGACAGCGGGTGACGGCGCTCGTTTACGACAACCATCACGATCTTTCATGGATCAACCTTCAAGCTGTACAGCCATCGACGGAAGACTAACATCTTACCTGAAGTGGTAACTCTAATTGACACAGGGTTGTCACGGTTGTTCATGCATTTACCGTCTACCGGAATCGTTTGCTGTTCGTAATTTGACTATAAAGTGAGTGTCGTTACATAAAGCTAACCACCAATTGGGGTATTAGTCCACACCACTACACGGTCAGCACGCCCAAGGAACGTCGAAGATAACACGAGATCATACGTATCATGTACCGTACCGCGCTGAATTGTGAGAACTAGCTTGACGTCGATTTGCTTTCGCTGATCCACAACCAGCCATTGATCATATTTGCAAACTCGGCACAGCGTCGTACCAGCATCTTGTCCCGACAAAGGTTCTCAATGAAGTAACCATCATATCCAAGGATACTATCTCGATCAATACCCAATCTCACAAGTCGTAACATCCTCCACAAAATGCTTCTCCCGATACCCTCTCGTCCACCACAAATACCACGGCACAATATTCATCTTGAGCCGGTGCCCCAACCACCCCACCTCCTGCACCGTCTTGACCACACTCTGGCTTTCATCCCATGCCGTCTCAATCCTCGCCCGCCTCAATGTCTCATACGCATCAAACGCCTCGTTGACAGGTGTTCCATCACTTCCATTCCCACTCTTCTCCATCCACCTCGCCAGCACCCTCGAAAACAACACCCCATCCTCAAACACAATCCCCGTGCTCTCTCCCTGCGGCGGCATAGCATGCGCCGAATCCCCAATCAGCATAACCCTCTCCGTCGCCCACTTCCCCTGCTTGCTTAGCGTAAAAACAGGCCACAAGTACAAATCCTGTGCATCCTTGATCCACTCCTCAATCGCTGGTTCCTTCGCGCCGGCATACCTCTGCAGCATATCCTGCCGCGTCTTCTCCGCATCCGCACCCCTTGCCTTCCACCCGTCGCGCGACTGCAGACCGTCGTCAGGGACTTGCATCAGCGCGCCGACGTAGATCGAGTCTTTGGAAGAGCTGTGATAGGAGGTTAGCAGCATGCCGCCGCGCGCGAAGTTCATGCCTGAGGCTTCGAAGTGTGGTTTTTGATGCGGTCTGAGCGGGGCAAAGCCGAAGGCGTTGCAGATACCGGAGTATGTTGCTGTCCGTGAGGGCTCGACATGGGTCAGGCGTGTGACGCTGTGGATGCCGTCGCAGCCGATTAGGATGTCTGAGGTCGAGGAAGTGCCGTCGGCGAAGGTGAGGGTCACATCTGTTTCTGTTTCGTGAATATTGGTCGTCTTTTTGCCGCATGTGAGGGTGATGTTGGGGTGTTTGGCGATTGCGGCCAGGACGCCTTGTAGAGCTTCTCCGCGCGTTATGCGGAGCGCTGTGAAGGGGGGTGTGCCGAGTCCTTTGCCATCTGGGCCGCGGAAACTGGATTCTGCGATCTTGGTGCCGGAGTAGATGTCGAAGACTTCGACGGCGGGACATTCAGCGCCGTAGTTTGAGGAGCAGATTTCCTGGAGGGCGCCTAGATGGGAGAGGAGACGGAGTGCATTAGGAGTCAGGTTTACAGCGCCGCCGATCGTTGCGGGTTGGGGGCGGATTTCGTAGATTGTGATAAAAGGTGGTGGAGAGTCGGGGGGGGCGAACTTCGTGAGGGATAACGCTGTTGTCAGGCCGGCTATACCGCCACCCAAGATGGTGATGCGGAGAGATTTGGTGGTCGACATAGTAAACTTGGGCTGTGTTGGCGATTCCTTGAAATTTCAAGTGTACACTTCAACCTGGTCTGAGGCTTGGAGCAACTTGCAAGCTCTGGAAAGGTAGCCTTTCAGTCATTCTGCTGGGTTGAAAGTTATTCTTATGTATTTGGCTTGTGGATCATGGTGGTGAACATGTATGTAGTACATCTTCGGCAATGTCGGGGAACCGACAGTACGTCTTTGCGAAATCGAACAGCAAGCTGCCGACACAGTAAGCCCTAGGATGTGGCTGCCCACGCCTTCAATCAATCAACTCTTGTGAGATGCACCTCGATCCACGAAACCATTCTAAGGGCCTCCTGTTTCAGCTGCGACTGTGAGATCCGTGGGGAGAAATTTCAAGTGCTCGTCACCGGAGATACCTAGTCAAGGTTTCGCGGAGACCGTTGAGTTATTAGGGCTTGAGTTCACAATCAGTGTTCATTCGAAGAGAGAAGAAGGAGCATACCAAAGTGCATTTGTCTATTGTTGTTGGTTACTGTGTCGCGATTGGTGACGGTCAAGCTTTTTAGGTCAAGCTTCCCAGTCGAGCAATCGTGCATCGTTGTCGAACGAAAGTTGAGCGCACCCGGACGCATCCAAGCAGAGGCTAGACCCCGTGCGGCGGGCGTGTTGCCTTGTCCTCCCTCATCCTCTCGCTAAACTCCAAGAAAGCCATCGTGGCAATCTTCATCTAGCACTAACACCTCTACCTATATGGTACTGACACTATGATGGACTGGAGGTCTATTCGGCTTTCCAGTTGCGGGGTTCCGAAGGCGCGTATATGAGCGGCGAGTGCATTGACTACGACTCAACATTTGAATTCAAAGTCCGCCATTATGTCAAAGGTCAACCCGCTAGACGTCCTCGCCGTCAAGAACATCATCGCGCGCTATTGTGAAGCACTGGATACGAAAGATTTCGCGCTTCTCGAGAAAGTCTTCGTACACGATGTTAGCGCAGACTATCCCTTCAACTCAGATCTGCAGGGCGTTGGAGCAGTCGCGAAAGCTATACAAAATCGGTATTGAAGACCTCGACGCGCTCTCCTGCACCTGGAATCTGATGAAGCGTAGACTAGGTCCCGTCCGGACTCACCACAACCTCACAACGCAGAGGATAGTTTTCGAAACAACCGGCAAAACCGCGCATGCCGTCACATATTTCCAGGGTGCACATTTCGGGCAGGGTCCGCACGAGGGGAAGCTGCTTTGTGCCTACGGAAAGTACATCGATGATTTGGTGCATTGTGAAGTCAGCGATGGCGACTGCGAGGGCGTGCCTGGTGCAAGCGGCATCTGGAGAATCAAGAGGCGAAAGGTAGCTTTCACGCAGAGGATTGGCGATGAAAAGATCATGTCTGAGCATTGAGGCCAGTGGTGCGCAACAGGAAGAGCTTTGAATCAATCTGGCAACGGCAACTCCTCAAAGCGTCACCCTAGCGTTGCTTCGTGCTTGCTCTGTCCGTTACATCGCTTACAAGCCTCATCTTCTACTCCTTGCCACGTTGCAGTCAGTCATTCCAATCGCATCTCTCAGACACAACGTCAGTATTGTTTCTATCGTTAATATACTGTACACATCATGGCGGACGGACCTGGGGCCTTCGCTGGTATTGATATGGACGCTCTCTTCGCTGCTTCTCCGGCCCAGCAGAAGCAGATGCTCGGTGAGGCTCTGTGGCCCAAGATCTACGATATTCAACCCGAATTGGCCGGCAAGATCTCGGATATACTCCTCGAAATGGACAGCAGCGAGCTTATCAACCTGTACGTACCTTCATAGTACCTGTGGTACTTCATTGGCTAAATTTCGCAGTGTCTTTGACGAGTCTGCTCTCCGCGCCGAGGCTGACGGGACCATGAGAGTCTACGATGAGTATCTCAAAGACAAGGACGGTGGGCGCGAGAAGGACGGTAAGGGTGAGCAGGATGGAAGTACTACATCCAAGGAAAGTCTTGGTCCCGAGCCGCGGCCGTAGGAGGATGCTTGGACCTTTGAGTCGTGCCAGATAAACATGTTCTGGTAAGTCTACAGCTCCGAAGCCTCTCTCCACTACAAAGCCTCGACTACCTCCTAGCTTCCCTATTGCTTACCCGTGCAGTTTTCCCGATGTGGACTGCGAATTTGGAGGTGGCGCCTGTAAGATCAATGCTGAGTTCAACCTTGAAGAGACGGACACACGAACGGCAGAAAATCGGGTGAATCTCGAAGTGTTCAAAAGGAAGAAGAGACATGACAGCTTGGATGGGATGTGGACCTCGCTCAAAGCCGATGCTAATCATGCCAGACGCCACGGTGTCAAGCGGAATGCAGTTGCGGAAGAGTTGGTTAACGAAGTCACCTTCCTGGCGAGGCGCGAGGAAGAACTTGCGCAGAGGAGAACGACGGCCTCAAGCACCATTGGATGCTTGAAGGCTGTAGTTGAGTTTGCTGAGCTTGAAAGGGGTTTTGCGGCCGACCAACTACGCTTGATTCAACGGACTGCCAATGTCTCAGCTCACATATGGAAAGCAGGCTGCGAGAGGAATCTTCATAAGGACCTTTGCAAGTTTCAAAGCAGAAATGCCGACAAGCATGAGATCAAATTCTGGCTTATGAATCTCCTGGTATCTTCAAGCCGAAACGATCCTTGGGGATGCAAGACCTCTTTGGAGGCTGAAGAGGTACAGACCGTGATCGACCTCGTCGACAACTTAGAGCTCCAGGAGGAATGTTCACAAAAGATCGAAGATGCGAAAATTGACGATGATAGCCCAGAGGAGTTCGCCTATCTCGAAGATTTAGAGTCTTCCCTTGAGGACGAGAAAAGAGCGTATATCTCACAGCTCGCAGCCACCCTTTTCAAGTACAACGGCGATGTTCAGGCCCGGAACGTACACATGGGCCAGGAGGAAGTCAACGAAGAAGTTTTGTCGACTGTTCAGCAGGCTCTTGTAACGAATGTCATGGAGGCGATGAATTCTCGGGACAGATCTTTGGCAACCAGCTTGCTGCAACAGTCTGCTTGGGTTGCAGATGCAGCGCTAGCGCGGTGGTTTGAGCGTGAGACCAGCAACCCGTCACCACCTCTATCGGGAAGCTCGGGGAAGAGGCTGTATGTGGCGGAAGCTGAGCCAGGCAGGTCGAAGAGACAAAGGACTGGAACTCCAGATCCAGAAGAGACCTTGGAGGCTGCCAGAGCACGACTTGATCGAATTCTTGCTAAAGATCGCTCAGCAGAGCAGGATCGAGCGGAACAATCACAGCAAGAGATGAGGAAGAGTGCAGAAGCAAGTTCAGAGACGTCAAAGCCGACGGTTCAGGGAAAGTCTTCTCTCGCACCCGGAAGTTACAGCCTAGAGGTACTCAATAAGATGATAACGAACGATGCGAATGCTCAAGCAAAAGCTTTGCAGGAGAAGGAGAACACGAAACCGAGTGACGAGATTCGACCTGATAACAGACGATCCAGTCTGAGAACAAGAAGCCAGAAAATCAACTACAAGGTCTTGCACAATGGCATCGGTCCGTTGAAGCAAGTAAAGCAACGAACGATTGGAGTGGAAGCCAACAGAGGGTCGCAAAACGAGCAGCAGCGGACGCAATTGCCGCCAGATCCTGCAAGTGCGCCGTCCATGGTTAACACACCTGGAGACCTCCTAGCTGCGCTGTCTGAAGATACTGTCTCGGTCACGCCAGATATAAGAATCAGCGTTTCTAGCAGGCAAGGAATGGAGGCACCAGCCGATCGCGAAATGCCCCAAATGCCACCAGTGTACGCAAACCCCTTAGGATTCATCGAAGCAAACGGCGTCCAACAACATACCAACATCCCAAACATACTATCACCGGCTCTTTACATATCCTCAAGTCCTTCGGACTCTTCCTCGGAGCGGGACTTCGCATCGCCATCGGAGATCTCGGCTGTACTGAGACCGTTTGGGCATAGGGTTAACGAGGTTGTGAGCTCGTCGCCTGATACTGAGGTAGTGGATGAGGGAGTGGGAATGAGAGAGGAGGTGCGCAGGATGATGGTGCGCGGATGATGGGCGGGGGGAGTGGTGCGACGCAGGCACAGGCGCTTGTGGATGGGGCTGCAAACAGGACATCTGAAGCCCAAGGAAGGATCGACGAGGAAGACGAGGCTGATAACGAGGACAATGGATCCCGAGTACGGTAGACGAAGAGGAGGAGGACTTGGACTTACACTGTCCGACGGAGTGAGAGTCGGAGCCTTGAGTCCTTGTCACTGAACAGATGTCTTCTTAGTATACAAAGAAGACTTGCTGTAGGAAGCAATTCCTCATCATTGCTCACCAGCGCTGTCCATCGGACTTCCACTCTGATTCAGAGCTTATCGGTGTACGAAGCAACAGAGTCCGCGAAAACACGCAGATGTACGTCCGCTGTGCTAGTGGTCCGGCTCCCTCCAGCCTACCCTTGCAACCGTATGTTGCACCGCAATGCTGAGGATGCAATCCTGGAACAGGTACATAGCACGGCTGTACGGTCGCAGATGAAATGAGGGCGTCGGATTGGATTATAGGACAAGAATGGTAAAGACTAAAACCTACCGTGATAGATTTGAACTTTTGAGACCACTCAAGTAATGCAGTGCAGGAACGGCTGTTGAACACGAGAAGGCACGAGGGCAACACCAGGAGAAGGAGAATTGATTACGTTTCACATTATCTACACACTCTTTCGGTTCCTACTGAAACAAGGTTATCGGGTATCACCCCCCAGCACCCAAACACAGTCAGCTACACAGTGCCCATCTTGAAAGCATACCATGAACGCCGTAGCGATGCCATCATTCCCATCCGTCACGTCATTACCCACTACTGTTCCGCACGAGACCGCCTACTCGGCAAACTCGACCATCAAGCTCGCGCCCTTCAACCCAGCAGCCTCGATGGTCTCGTCAAGATGCTCGATGAAGTTCTTGCCCATGAACACCAGGTCAAACTCAGAGCCCTGCTTCCCATCCCAGGGTGCGTCGCTCTTGATCCATTCGTAGACGCGGCGCACGGAGTCTGACAGGTTGAAGCGCCGGACGACGGGGCGGCCGGTGGGTCCGCGGAACTGGATGCGCGTTGTGACCTGTGGGTCTGTGACGGTGGGTTCTGTGTGGGGTGCGTGCGATGAGATGGAAGCGAACAAAGGGTTTGTTGCGGTTGCCGGCTCTTCTTCTGCTGGCGCTGGTGTTGGTGCCGAGGCAGCTTCCGGTACGGGCGAAGTCGCGCGCGCTTTGCCCTTGTCTTCGTCCTTTGTAAGCGCGTCTGGGTCGTTGTCTTTGGGCCCTTCATTGCCACTGCCGCCGTTGTCCATGCTGTTCTGCAGCGCCCATTCCAGTTGTTCCTCTTCAGTCATGCGGTTGACATCGACCTTCTTGTTCTCCGCCTTTCGCTTGGCTACAGGGTTCTTCACGTTGACATTTAGACTGTAGCGGTCGAGGAATTCGTGAAGCTGAGCGTGGAACTCGACAGGCGGGGGAATCGGTGGACCGGACCAGACCTTGACCTGTTCTCCTGTTCGGGGGTCGACGATGGCGATGTGTGGGTATGCGTCGGAGCTGTCGCGGGCGTGGAAGTAATAGTTGACATACTGCTGGCCGCGGGGGTCGTCTTTCGCGTACTGCATGAAGATGAAGTTCTCCCGTACTGTCGCTTTGATGTGCTCATTCTTCCAAATGTCGCGGTTGAGGAGCTGGCAGTCGAAGATGGCCGGGTCTTGGATGTTGACGATGAGCCACTTCTCCTCCTCCTTGCCCATGTCTCGCGCCTTCTCCCATGATCCCTGGTACATCATCTCGAACGGTGGTCGGAATAGCTCGGCGAGCATGTTCATCTTGGCACTCTGCTCGGACGCGCCACCCGTTGATGTGGCAAGCTCACGGCGTCTAGCTTCTGAGTCGGCGGAGTTGTCCCATACGGAGCTTTGGGCGGTGCGCTGGTTGAAGATGCCAGCTCGACCTGCAAACGTCATGTTAGCTCTTGTCCCCCAGTCTGAGCGCTGGTTCCTCGGTGCCTACCTCGTTGCCGACGTGCCAGCTGCTCCTGCACCATGGCGTCAATGTCGTCGTCCGCGTCGGCAGGCCCCCAATTCGACCCAGGGCCAACTAGTGTCTCTTGTGTTCGTTGGATGGGTGCGCGGACTTCGTCTTGACCACGTGCTGCGCCACCGCCGCCATAGTCTTCCTCCTGTAACCGCCGCGCCAGCTCTTCGTCGCTCTCGAGATTCGACCGTACGGGAGGGGTGTCTGTCTGTGCGCCAGGGTTGAAGTCGGACATGTCGTCGTCAGAATCGATGCCGATAGCGTTCTGCGCTGAGGAGGCAGCGGCGGGCGCGTTCGAGGGAGCCGCTGGCCCGAAATCAAGGTTTGGGCTATCGAAGAAGAGCTGTATGGCCTGCTCGAGGTTGTTGTCTGTCAGACGCAGATACTGCAGAGCCTTGTCAGGGTCACACGAGGTGATGCTGACGAAACTGAGCACGTTCTCTTCGTCCATGATGTGTGCTTGTGTGCTGGGTGTGTGGCAGAAGAAACGCGGTGCGCACTGAGACGAGTACAGCACCGAGACGCGTACAGCACTGGGACGAGTACTGCACTGAGACGAGTACTGCACTGAGATGAGTACTGCACTGGCGGGGTAGCTCTTTCACTGCGCAGTTCTCGCTGCTTCAGATCGGTACTCAGGATCTTGTTCGCTCACTATCCCACTCAAATCGTGTGCTCGGCGGTGCAGGCAGGGCAGACAGTATCAATACTGGGTGGCGGTTTGCGACGGTGGGCGGCAGGCGGTGGGGTAATTCGACCCGCTCTCTGTGTACGTCAAACAGGCCTGGTTTGTGCTGTCAAGCTTGGGGACCACGTATAGAGGTCGCTGGAAGTTGCAGGAACGAGAAGACTGCCAGGCGACTGCACAGCACAGGGCGTTGAGCCTTGGTCGTGGTGGTTACACGAGTTGATGATTGCTTCCGATAGATCTGCGCAAGCTCGGTATGCCTGCTGTGGTTGGAGATAGTGCGTTTTGCAAGCGGTGAAGCGTGCACTACGCGCTGTGAGGCGAATCGAATCTTGTATCGTCTCGGCAAGAAGCGTGCAGCAGGCAGGAGCTGGCGATGTTGACAGACACAACTGGAAGGATGCGACTAATCGCTGGTAGGCAGCGCCGTGACGCACTTCACAAAGGCGCCCGCGTCCGTGCCACCCCGGCCATTCACAGGAGCAATGCAGCACGACATGTGGCAAGCACCCGGACGAACAAGCTTGAGACGTCTGGCCAAACGCAGAGCCGCAACCTCTCCCCAGTCATTCGTCTTTCTCAGCAGCTGATAGGCCGCGTTGTCTGCCTTCTGCCTGCGGCGCATGCTCTAGTGCAGTCACATATCTCCATCTCCTTCGGCGTTGCGGGTCTCCTCTATTCTACACATCGCCATGGCCGCAGTGCAGACTCCCGAAGCCAAAGAGCTCGCGCTCGTCGGCAAGGTGGAGATGCGCATTGCGTTGACGGATTCGGAAAAGAAGCTCGAAGATTTATTGAAAGTGTACCTTGCGCCACTACTTCTCAAGCTCGGCTCGGAGCACGTAGCTGTGAGGAATAAGGTGAGATCTTCACTGTTGTGTGTTCTGAACACTGCGCTGGCTGTTTGCTTGGGGAACGCCGCTGATCGCGGTTTCTTTTCTAGGTCATCTCCATTTGCCAGCACATCAACACCCGCATCAAGTCACAGTACGCTTCAAACACCGAAATCGAAAATGCAATGCGCTAATGGACAATCAGAGATCTCAAGCTGCCAGTCGCTGCTCTCTTGAAACAGTACAAGGAGAACGCAGATGTAGCCTTAATACGCCACTTCGACATTCTATACATTCAGCAAGGCATCTCGCGGCTGCCGGTGTCCGATAGACTAGAACTCCTACCGATTCTGATCCAGGGGATATCAACCGACTACGAGAAGTCAGCCCAACATGCTTCACATCTGTTCCACCTCATTCTGCGACTCCTTGTGCACTTCAAGCTTCCGCCCAGAGGCAGCAAGGAAGACACTGAACTGAGAAGCACATTAGGCGTCACAGACAAGGACGCCGCATTCTTATCGAAGTATTTCGGCAAGCTGCTACTGCTGACTCTTGTACGGCAGAGCACTCCGGAGGCTGCAGGCACAACAAGATGTCCCGGACTATCCGTCGAGGAGTACAAGTTCCTTACACAGCAAGGCAAGCCAGACGCTTGGGATCCCAGCTCAGATGCTGGCCTTAGTCTGACCGAGTCCAAGGCTCTCGTCACACGCTTCCTGGCTAGTGGCATGTTAAAGGATGACGAGAAGTTCCTTCCAGCATTGTTCGCATCAGCGGATACCAACTCTCGGATCTCAGAAGTCGGCGAAGATATCTTGAAGCGTGTCACGCTCACTCAAGATTTGGAAGACTCCAAGTCCGTGGAGGCCCTCTTTGAACTCTACTTCGGCTCGTAAGTATCGCCCTTCTTGTGATTATACTCTATGCTCTGGAAACATTGAGATTTCGATCAGGGGCCAGAGGACATGGTACTCTTGACAGAACTTTGCGCAACCCATCTCGGTTTCTCTATTATGTTGCTAATATGTGTGCAGCACTTCTCCCGACGGAATATTGTCCGTGAAGACCCCGTTACGGATAAGAATACTGGCTGTGCTGTCAAAGTCGGTCAAATGTACAACATATCCATACAAGATAGCGGAGATCGTCACGGATGGTCTTCTATCAGTAGAGCTGAACCCAACGAACAAGACTGCTGGTCGAGAAGCCTCCAAATTTCGGTCTGCAATTTTTTCGCTTGTCAACTTTGCTGCTCGCCGTGGAGCAGCGTCTGATCTATCTGCAGTCGCATTTGATCTTGTGGGCAACCTTCGCGCTTTCATCCAGGATCAAGGTTGGCCAGCCGCAGATCGTGATCAGGACATGGAACTGCGTGGTTACGGCTACGAGACAATAGGCCTCCTAGCGAAAGCTGCACCGGAGAAGCTCCTTATTGAACCTACATTGGACCTCCTGGAGTGGCTGTTCCGGTCTCTTCGAGAGGACTCAGCTGGCAAAGATGTGGCGGTCAGTATAGAGGAGGCATTGTCATCTGTGCTTGGTGCTTTCTCTAAGCCCTTCGACAAGTCGGTCATGCCGAGATTCAGACAGATCCTATTACGGTATGCTACGGTCGGACAAGTCACAACACCAGCCTCTGCCCACTTCACGAGAAGTACACGGTACGTGGCTACAAGATTTGCGAATCGATGTCTTCCGTACGACGACGTTCTGGCAAGGTGGATCGACATCCTCGCTGTCAGCGGAGGTTCTGCGGAGCGACACGAAGTTGTGGAAGAAGGGCGACGTGGCTTAGATCCTTACTGGTTCCAGACCTCCAACATGGCACCCGAGGTCGGTCAAGAACAGCGCAAGCTCCAATTTCCTGACTTTGATAAGCTTGTCAATTTCATCTTCGCTCAAGAAGGTGAAGATGAGGATGTCATGGATCTTGAAGGGTCAAGTGACATTCTCACACAAGTACAACGCTTTTACCAGCACTATCCGGATGCGTTACCGACAGTCATCAGCTTCTGCTCCCAAGTTGCTTTGCAGTCAGCCCTTGTTGAGAAGAGCATCAATGATGACGTCTCAGAGGACTGGGGGCGTAAGCTGGACACATTGATGTCTACTGATCAACGCGCTAGACAGGCTTTCCGCGCCTTTGCGGCAAATGACTTGCATGGTCGTTCTATCGCTGCCATTGTTCGCGCCAGTTTCGACAGGCTCACCCGGGACGATGTGAGCGATGTGGGCGATATCGGCAGCACGATGGTGCGGCTCCTGTCGCTCTGTCCACAGCGTTACTGGGCACTTGCGCATTTGATGCAAGACTTCCGTGCCTTGGAACCTTCTATCTTGTCGAACAACACTGGTCGCCGGCTTGCCGCTGCCCACACGTACGGTCTCCTCGCATCTCACCCGGAATGCGACCAAGTAGCGGTTCAGACATCACAAAAACGTTTCTTCGACAAGCTTAGCACCTGGAGATCAGCCGTTGGCGCGGACGTTAATCAGATCAGCGGCATCATCATCGCTCTTGGGTACTACTTCAGTAGAACGCACTGGAGAGGCAGCAGGTCGGCCAGCGACATTCCGGAAGATCACCCTGTCCATCAACTGCTGAAAACTTTAGTTGGGATCTTGAAAGAGACACGAGACGCAACACTCAAGGCCGCAGCGTTCTCGTGCATCGACCAGCTCAGTCTTTTCCATGTCGTTGCACCCTCGACCATCGCGAGGTATGCAAAGCTCGAAGATATCGCTGCACAGATCTACGAATCGGCGAAGACAGGCACCATCAGCGCTATACTGGCACTGGGTCACCTCTCTATGATAACCGAGGAAAGCGAGGAGATTGAAGAGGTGACAGACTATAAGCTCATTGGTGGCAAGCTGTACGAGCTTCATGAGGTCCGTCAACCAGAAGTGCAGTTCTCAGTAGGTGAAGCACTGAGTTGTTTTGCAATCGGTTGGCACTCGAAGGCTCTCATCGCTGAACTCGACATTTTGCACCCAGAACAACCTGTAGAACCATGGGACGCACCTTTGCGGACGCCCACCGGCCCAATACGCAAAAACACATTCAAAGTTACTCTAGAAAAGACGCTGAGGGGATGTGTGCAGACCAAGCCTTCTCTAAAAAAGGCGTCAGTAATCTGGCTGCTCTGTCTTCTGCAGTACTGCGGTCACAAGCCAGAGATGCAAGGCTACCTCAGTCAGTGTCAGGTCGCCTTCAAAAACTGTCTCTCTGATCGCGACGAAGTCGTCCAGGAAGCCGCGTCACGAGGTCTCGGTCTTGTCTACGAGAAGGGAGATCGCGAACTCAAGGATGGCCTCGTTGGTGACCTTGTTGGTTCATTCTCGGATAACAAGTCGAAAATGGCAGGCACAGTGTCCGAAGATACACAGCTCTTCGAGCCCGGTGCATTGCCCACTGGCGACGGCAAGTCTATTACGACGTACAAAGATATCATGAGCCTTGCGGCCGAAGTTGGCGATTCGAGTCTGGTGTACCGCTTTATGTCGATGGCTTCCAACAACTCCATCTGGTCCAGTCGGGCTGCATTTGGCCGATTTGGGCTCAGCAACATCTTCTCGGACTCAAGTGTTGATGGCTATCTGGCACAAAACCCGAAGCTGTATCCAAAACTCTACCGATACAGGTATGTACATGTACTATGATGCACGCGTTGGACATACTCACGCAACATAGGTTCGACCCCAACCCTAACGTTCAGCGCTCCATGAACGACATCTGGAACGCTCTGGTCAAAGACTCCTCGGCTACCATAGACCAGCATTTCGATGCCATTATGGATGATCTGCTCGTCAGCATTCTGGGAAAGGAGTGGCGTGTGCGACAAGCCGCGTGCGCTGCTGTTGCAGATCTCATCCAAGGACGCGGCATCGATAAGGTATGAAGTCACCCATGAAAATTCTAAGACAGCTCTAATACCCGACAGTACGAGAAGTACCTCACTTCGATCTGGGACAAGTGCTTCAAGGTCCTCGATGACATCAAGGAGACCGTCCGCGTTGCCGCCGCATCTCTCGCCCGCGTACTGACAGCCATCCTCACCCGCTCTCTCGAAGCCGGCGATGCCTCTCTCAAGACAGCCAACGCCCAACTATCCCGCGTCCTCCCCTTTCTCTTCTCAACATCTGGCCTCGAATCCTCCGCCGAAGAAGTCCGCATGTTCTCCGTCCAAACCCTCCTCCAAATCGTCAAGAAAGCCAGCGCCAAAACCCTCAACCCGCACGTCCCCGAGCTCGTCGAGCGCCTGCTGGGTCTCCTAAGCAGTCTCGAGCCCGAAGCAGTCAACTACATCCACCTCAACGCTTCAAAGTACAACCTCACCGCCCAGAAAATAGACGACATGCGCCTTGCATCCGTGCGCTCTTCGCCACTCACCGAATCCATAGAACGCTGTCTCGACCTCGCCGACGCGGAGACTATGAAAGCGCTCATCCCGCGTCTCGAAAGCGCAATGAAGTCTGCGGTTGGCCTGCCGTCAAAGGTGGGATGTAGCCGCATCCTCGTCACGCTTGCGACACGCCATCGATTTCTGTTCAGCCCGTACGCCGATCATTTCTTGAAACTGATACACAAGCACATCCACGACCGCAACGAGACGGTGTCGTCTAGTTACGCCGCCGCATCGGGGTACGTCGCGCGCCTTGCGTCGGACAAGCAGTTGCTATCCACGATCTCGTTCGCCCAGACGCAGTACTTCGAGACCGAAGAAGGGTCGGACCGCGCGCGGCTTCTCGCAGGTGACATGATCCACGCCATCAGCCAGCACGCCACTGATCGCTTCACCTCTCTCGCTTCTGAGCTCCTCCCCTTCGTCTTCCTCGCAAAACACGACGGCGAGGAAAACGTGAGGAAAGCCTTCACTGGGACATGGGACGAGCACGTCGCTGGCTCCCGCAGCGTCTCTCTGTACTTGACCGAGATCCTCGCTCTGTGCAACACACACCTCGACTCCCGCCAATGGGCCATCAAACACACAGCCGCCAAAGCCGTCGCCGACGCCGTCCTTTCCATAACGTCGGCTGTCGGTAGCCAGAACTTGGAAAAGGCGGCGGCGGAGAAGATTTGGCCGGTGCTGGATAAGGCGCTCGGTGGCAAGAGTTGGGAGGGCAAAGAGGTCGTTCTGGATGCTTTTGTGAGATTTGTTGAGAGGGGGGAGGCGTGGTGGAAGGAGGAGGGTAAGGGGGCCAGGGCGAAGGAGTTGGAGAAGGTGGCGGTTAGAGAGGCGAAGAGGAAGGAGGGGGCTAATGAGAAGGTTGTTCAGCCTGCGTTGGATAGGTTGAAGGAGTTTTTGGGTGGTGCGTAGGAGTAATGAGTAGAGCTCAGATGGAAGGTGTGCATTGCTTTGCTTTGAAGTGCGCTGTGAAAACTTTTGGATCCTTCAGCCTCGTTCTCTTTATGGGTGTGTCGTGCAGTACACCACCAGTCCGCTATCGATCACCCATAACACCATCGCTCTGTTCATTACCTTGCAGACCAACCAAGTCGACTTGCCTTTTCATTCTGCCCCTCTTAAATCTTATGGATCCACTGAATCTTTCCGAGTCGCACGATTTCCATTGAGCAAAGCGTTTCCCAGCCTTCCATCTAGGCGACGGGTGCACGAGCGTTTGGCATCAAGCTCGACAGAGGAAGCTGTTCGTTCGTTACAAAGAGACGAAAGGAGTGACCAACTCGTGCAGAGCAGCACCAAACAGTGCGACGAAAAGCGATAATTTGTGTGTTACAAAAAAGATACGGTCAACAGGTTGGCTGGAAGCTTGGAAAGGAAAGAGGAAGCTGTCACAGACTAGTCCAAAACTGGTATGCTTTTCGACCTGGCAAGTGCGGACCGGCGCGGACCTTGCATCTTAATATGGCAAGAAGATCCACTCTGGTGCACCGTGTCGACTGACAGAGGGCGAGGGACTGTCAGCCCTGAAGTTAAAACTGACGACACCTCTTGCTGCAGACTGCAATTCACTGCCTGGGCATCACACTGGTCTTATCTTCTGTTGTCTCGGGAGATGTCATAGACTTCTCACTCGTGCATTCAATAAACCTAACTAAAATTGCGGCATGCTGTAGCACCTACAGACAGATCAAACATACCAGTTCCCCCATCTTGAGCTTACGATGTGTACATCGTTGCTGTTCTCCAAGAGAACCCGTGGTAAAATTGTACAATGTTATAAACACCAATTGTGATGCAAGAAAGGCCGAGCGTGATGACCTCGAAGTTAAGCAGACGCCCCTCCACTGTTCCTGTCAATAATACATTGTGGGACCGTCTTGTGATATTTGAAGAAATGTGTAACGCCATTCGAATGCAATCTCTTCCAGATAATCCTGACGACTTTGGCCTCGACCCAAAACCACCTCCGTTTGCTATTGTTGAAGAAGCGCCGAAGAATGCAATCGCGATTGTGCTGGCGTAGTTGAAGGCAAGTGCAATCCAAGGAATAAAATGTGCAGCGCGATCAGTTGAGGAAGCCCTTGCAGCCAACAGAGCCGCAAAGACAGGGGATACGGTCGGTGGCATCCATCTCGCGTTCGAACTTGTAATCATAGGTAAGTTCCTCATCTGCAGAATCGTTAGCATAATGATATGGTGTATTTTAGAAGGGTGTGATTGACCTTGACTGATATCTCGCAAAGCATAGATGACAATGCGCTTCGAGTTGTCGACTCGAATGATCTTCGCTGTGCAGTTTGGCGTACAGCTGTGGTTGATGAAACGCGCAATGCCACCCATTTTGGTAGCATCAATGACCGTATCTTCGTCAATACGGAAGAGGTAACTGGAACCAACTCCTTGCATGTCGTACTTGGCTTCGCGCAGATCTGCGACACGCTGTCGCACTCTATCACCGACGTACTCAATGATCATGTCGTTTGCAGCAATGTTTTCCTCGGCATACAGACCCCAATTGTGGATCGCAGAGCGGTCGAACTTGACGAGCTTCTTGCGCTTCTTCAGCTGGTTGAAGCGCAAAGCATCACCTTCAGCGCCGGAAACCTTGGAGATGTTGATGTCGTTGACCATACGACGGTTGTTGGCACGGTTCGCGCGAGAGTTGGCGGTGGATGCCTTCTGCGAACCAGTCTGGAACTTGAAGCCCTCCACAGAAATGACAGACTTGTCTTCCTGCTTCGCCCGTCGTTGACGTTCCTCGCGTTCCTTGACGACGCGAATACGATGAGGTAGGTACTTCGACTTCTCGGACTCGCGAATCTTCTTCACACCCTCAGTTCTCGCCGATCCAGTGGGATTGGACACGTAGTAGCCTTCGATCTTGGTCTCCTTGCGTGACACACCTGCCTCACCAGAGTTGTTGAGGTGTTTGATCGACTTCTGCTTCCAAGCCCAGGACTGCGCATCTTGAATCTTAGCAGCCTCGATCGACTGCATGGCGATTTTGAGGTTCTTGAGATCTTCTTCATCCTTGAGCATGTGTTGCCAGCCGTCGATGTCCATCACCACACTGAGATCATCCTCCACAGTTTTCCGAGGTTCGACTGAGGACACACCCCAGTAGACAGAGCTGCAATCGTCTTCATCCGGAGTTTCTTCCGCAACAGAAACTTCTGTGACTAGTTCGGGCTTCTTAACTTCAGCAAGCTCCTCCTCCACGGCTTCCGCAACTTCTGCAACTTCTTCTGTAATCTCTGCCTTTGCAGCCTTCACTTCCTCTTCAAGCTGCTTCTTGCTCTTCTTCTTTGGCTTTGCGACAGCCTTCTTGGCCGGAGCAGGTACTTCCTTCTCAGTGGTTTCGATGGGTTTGGAAGCTTCGTCATCCTGAGTGACAATAACTGTAGGCTCAAGTTTGTCTTCTGGCGGTGTTTCCACCCCAAAAATTGCGTCTGCCTCTTGTTCAATCTTTCGCAATCGCCTGAAACCTTTGAGTGCTTTATCCGCTTTCTTCCAAATCGGCGAAGAACGTGGAAGAATAGCAAGTACTTGTTCCAACTCTTTCTCTGCCATGTTCTCAGGGTCTTTGTGAATACAATGGGCAAGCAAACTCCTAGCGTGTGTGTCGTCCATCTCTTCGTCACTGTCATCGCCCCACCCAGTTTCGATGCGTCGCCGCTTTGCGCGGTGCGCTCTTGAGGATTCCTCCTCATCTTCGACGTCGGTAGAATGGGCGCGGCTGATGGGTCGACTTTCTTGCTCCTCCGTGCCACGTGTGAGTGTACTACGAGCCTCATCATCCGAGTCTTCTGCTGGTTCGAACATCTCCAGCATCTGTCGATGAAGACCACGTGCAATCTTTGGTTTAGGTGCGGATGCCTTTCTGCGCTCATCTGCGAAAGCATTGATAACCCGAAGAGGCTTCTTTCCTCGCCTGTTGTGGTCGAGAGGCCCAAGCGCATTGCGACCGCGTCGCCCACCAAAGCCTCCATGGCGCCCTTTGGGTGTTGCTGCTGCAAAAGGATCCAACGTAGGAGTCAGCATCGAAGGTAGACTCATACTGTTCTCCTTTGTCTGTGGGTCCTGTATGTTCAGCTTTCGCCGCTTTGCGGCCTGGCGCTCTGAAGACATGATATCCAGCAAAGCAGGACCCGCAATGCGAGTCTTGATGTCTCCAAGCAACTTCTCTGACAACTCATGCTTGAGCTGATCAAGAGCTGCTAAGACGGGATCCAGCGAGTCTGCCCTTTGCTTCTTCTCGAGCTCCAGGTCTGCGGCTTCCTCCTCAGCAATTCGCTCTTCAATAGCCTTTCGCTTTTTGTCCGCTATGACCCTCTCCGGGCTCGGGCTTCGCTCGTATTGTGGGTCGCCGTACTGATTGCATTCCATGTTCATCACATATGTGAACAAGGCCTGCATGTGACACTCGCGGAAGCATCGTACAGTCTCGTCTTCTCCTCGTTTCGACTCTTCAAATGTGACGTAGTAACCGGTCTGATCGCATCGAACTGCATTCCACTTGAAGTTCTTCAGACGCCTCTTCAGATGGTCTACAGTGGTGCTCAGCACTGGTACGTATTGGTGGGCGATAAACAAGTACGGTGTTCGCTTCATCGTGGGCTTGATCGGCTCACGTTCGATAAGATAGGAAAGCGCTGCCTTGCGCGACAAGGGCTCACGAGGCATCGGTATCGGTGGGCGCGTGCCTTTGCCGGAAGGCCCCTTAGGTACGTTTGCTGGCAGATCGAAGCCAGCCGGTGTCAAGGGGGCAGAGGCCTTGGCCGTTTGCGCAGCCAGCTTAGCCCGCAGCTTCTCCTGCTCCTTACGAGTCTGCTGCACCGCCATGTTCACAAGCTTTGCGCATCTTCTACCTTCGCGATCCGTGTGGACCCTGACCGGATGCGTGCCCGTACCAATGCGCTGACCTGTACCCTCACGCTCTGCGCGTTTCGCTGATGTCGAGGCTTTGTTCGCCGGTGTATTGCGCATGGGCGCAGTGTCGCGGAACTTGATAAGACATATTCCCAAAGGGCTGCCGTTGTCCGGATGGACCTGGTTCTGCAGCTTCTCGACCTCGCCATAGGTGGAGAAGAAGCCGCGCAATTGCGCGTCCGCCGTCAGGGGGTCGAAGCCAGTCACAACCACCTGCGTGGCAGGCCCAGGGCCGCAAGATATGCGCGCATCGAAAGAGTACGGTTTTGCAACATAAGGCGCTAGTCGCAATTTCGTCTTCGGCGCAGCTGGTCCCACAGTCTTGATCGCGTAGGCACCCGTACTATAGCCAGCAATGGCAAGACGGGGATCTGGAGGGGGAGATGGGTCGCCCTGTAACACAAGTCAAGTTAGCCTTAATGTCACAGGGCGACCGCATCTGGTCATATCAAGTGTAACCTTCATACCTTATCCAGTATTTGTTTGTATGTCGGCGGCCGCGACTGGCGAGCCTTCTTGTCCAACTTCGAGTCGAGGAGCGGATCGTATGTGATGCGTTGGCCGAGCACGCCATCTGAAGGAAATATTGATATCCGCGTCTCGGGCGGGGTGTTTATGGGTGTGATGGTGTCGGTGCCATTGGTGGGCGCGCTCGACGGCGCTGCACGCAAGGCGGCAGTCTTGTGCATCGTATCGTATGAAGACCTCGTGGACCGTGGACTGGCTGGCTTGGCAGGCGGAGACGAGTCTGTATTGGTCAAGGGTGTGAGGGCTTGCAGTGTTATCCGTTGACCAGAACGCGACATGGTGCTAGGCGGCGAGAGTGGGGGAGTATGTTGTTCAGGCGCAGAAGCGGAGGTGGTGGTGGTGGATATCTCCAGGTCGATGGCGTTCAGCAGGTGGTAGGAGCGTCGCTCATTGTTGATAAGTGAAGACGTGTTGAAAGGTGCCTGGGCCTGAATGGGCGTTCGGCGGCGTATGACGCCTTCACCTTCGATGCTGGACCTCCTTCAGCCTACGCGACGCGAATGTCCCCGTCGCTGTGTCGTCTCGTATGCACACTGTGTCTCTCCCTCGGCATCGACTCAACGCCAATACTCGTATGCTGGTCTTCTGCTACTACGGCGCACCAAGATAGCTGGTGTCCGTCAGTTTTAGCAGACCTTTCCTCGCGCCATTACTGTGTTAGGTGTTGTTGTGCTGAGCGGTCGAAAACAATATCTAACGCGGTGCTGGACTCGGCAGTCCTGCAGGGTTGGAAGGATGGGATCCACACGCGCGACCGACGCGGTGAGAGCGTGCCGGCAGACGCACAACCCGCTCGACGCAGCTGGGGTTGGACGGAAAGTGGAAAGATGAGACGAGCGAGCACGCAGCAGCACTTGGCGGAGGCAGAGAGCCGGCGGAGGCAGAGGGCTGGCAGCAGGCGGGTGGTGGCTTGGAATGTGAGCCCTGAGGTCGTGAAGAGACCAGCGGAGAGGCGCGCACGGGCTGCACTTTCCAAGAGACTGCCCCTGGCCGACCGTCTTGCATCCACAACCAACCATCACCAACTCATCAAACAAGCCAACACTTCAATGTACGCCAAACACAGTCGCGCAGACTGCTGCATTGGATTCCATATGCCGAATCTGCCCTGAGTCACCCTCACGCCCACGCGCATCGAGTTCTCTCACGGCATGCTTCACAGAGGTCGTTCAGCCCACCGACGTCATCGCTCCCCGCACCGACTATTCATGACCAGACGTGCTGTCGTAAACTGATAGCCACTTGTACGCGACGAACTCGTACAGTGGCTGCGACGACACCTCTGGCTTGAGGATTGATATGTCTCACGTGAGGGTTGCTGTTTGCTCTGACCAGGCCCATGTGCACACGATCCACCGAGGACGTCGACCACACACGAACAACGGTCACAGTACAACACGCAACATGCTATCAACTTCTTTGGTCGCGATCGCGATAAGAACGAAGATTCTGTGATAAGCTGACACCGATGGCAGAGGACGGATGTAGTGTAGTCGCCCAGCTGGCCCAAAGGCTGAAGAACAACCAAGTATCGCCGAGCACATGCTACCGACGACCCAACGCAGGACATCAATCCAACCATGTGCGATTTGAGGCACGATTTGTGCATACACAAAATGCATTCTGCATGCTACCTTTCGAGGTGTCGCGATAGCACGACGGACTACGTCCTCGGGGAAGATGTTACAGGCCGTGGAGAGTGTATGCTCAAATGTAGAAGAAGACGGTCACTAGCTGAGGCCGAGAGCGTTGAGACTCGATGATAACACCGTCCAAGGAGAACGTCTGTTCGCTCCACTATAGCACCGTAGCACCGTAGCACCGTAGCACCGTAGCACCGTAGCACCGTAGCATGCGGACTTCATTGCCAAGATCTATCTTCATATGAGCTTCTCATCTTTTCCCAGCACCTGGTGCAGTGTTCAAATGCCCTTTACGTGTATTTTCTCCCTGTGAACAGTCCTAGGACTTAGTCAACAAACTTCCCCTCAACCCACCCCCTCCTCTTAATCCCCAACTCGACCGCCGCACTCCCCCAATCACTGCCATGGTTGTGTCCCTCGTTCTTCCCTGCGCCCGCAATGCCAGCTCTGTACAGCCCCTGCTCTTCACTGAGAAGTGTAAGAAGGCCAAAGATAACCGGCACGTTGCCGTCAAGCTGCAGCCTCATGAGCCCATGAGACACCGCATCCGCAATATACTCAAAATGCATCGTCTCGCCCTTAATCAACACGCCAATCGCAATAATCGCATCGAACGGTGCGGTGCTCTTCTCCTTCTTCTCCCCACTTCCACCGCCTAAGTTGAGTTGTGTGAGGTCTGACGCAGAGCCCAGCAGATCCGCCGCTGCACCCACAACACCCGTCGAAGAGGACTGGACCTGCGACGCGGAGTAGAGCTGCTTGACGGCGTAGGGGAGCTCGTAGGAGCCGGGCACAGACTGGATTACAATGTTCTCATCCTTGACACCAGCTTGTGCCAGCGCCTTCTTCGTGCCGTCGAGGAGCGCGTCGATGATGGTGGTGTTCCAGCGTGCGTGGATGATGCCGATGCGGAGGCTGGAGCCTATGGAGTGTCAGTATCTGGTGCAATGAGAGACACAGTGTCGTTGTAGTGGTTGTTATAGGTATGCTTGAGGCTCATGGAGGTGGGGGAGAATCGCGGGGTATGTACCATCGTAGCTCTTGGGCTCGCCGGGACCTTTGAGGATAGCCATGTTGGTGCGATGCTGGTATGTGCTGCTCGAGCGCTATCTGAGGATACGGTATACGATAGCGGTCGGTGTGCGTCGGGTATCTGTACCGTTCGTTGCTTGGACAGCTGGAATGCAGGAACGGAATCGTGAGGGCAAAGCGGGGCAGGCATCACGACAGGGATGTTGCGTCGCGCCATTGCACAGGGGCCTTGCCAGTCGTGCTGCCGTGCTGCCGTGCTGAAACAATCAACAGAAGATCGCCATCTCGAATACGAACAGCAGCGAAGTGGTGTAAGAAATTAAATAAGAACTTTTTGTTCATTCCAAGCTCGCATCGACCCTCTTGGGTACAATGCAGCTGATCCATCTAGATGATCATAACATGCAGCTCCATCCAAGAGCTTTCATAACACCAGTCAAATCCGTACATATCATATCCAGACCAATCCACACGCGCCAATTCCAATAACACTACACAAGCTGATCGTTTACTCGACGGTGACCGACTTGGCAAGGTTACGGGGCATGTCAACATTGACGCCCTCGGCAACAGCCATCCAGTAGGACATGAGCTGCAGAGGAATGACGTTGATCAGACCCTGCAAGCAGTCAACGTTGCTGGGGACCTCGATCTTGTCGGTCTTGTCTGTGGGGAACTCGGGGTCGTCCTTGTTGCAGATGATGATCGGTCGTCCGCTACGGGCAATGACCTGCTGGTAGGCGTTGAGCGACTTGGCGAAGATGTCATCGCGGGTAAGGATCATGACGATGGGCAGGTTCTCGTCGACGAGAGCGAGGACACCGTGCTTAAGTTCTCCGGACATGACAGCCTCGCAGTGGAGGTAAGAGATCTCCTTGATCTTCAGGGCACCCTCAAGAGCAGTGGCGTGCTGAGAACCACGGCCGAGGAGCAACAAGCTCTTCTGGTCCTTGAAGCGCTCGCAAAGCTTCTTGATGGGCTCGTCAAGCTTGAGTGTCTCCTTGAACTGATCTGAGATCTTTGTAAGACCGTCCATGATCTCTTCGCGCCTCTTCTGCTTGGAAGCACGGTCCTCGCTGAGAGACAGCGCGAACATGACCATGCAGACGAACTGGGAGGTGTAGGCCTTGGTGGAGGCGACACCGATCTCGGGACCTGCGTTGATGTGGACACCGCAGTGGGTGAGGAGAGAGATGGAGGAACCGACGTTGTTGACAACACCGACGGTAAGGGCACCGCGCTCCAAGCAGTAGCGGAGAGCCATGAGCGAGTCAGCAGTCTCACCAGACTGAGAGACGAACACGCAGGTGTCGTCACGGAAGACGGGGGCCTTGCGATCCAGGAAGTCAGAGGCCAGCTCGACAGCGATGGGGATCTCAGTCAATTCCTCGAAGATACCACGGACAGCCATGCAGGAGTGGTACGAAGTACCGCAAGCAATGAAGATGATCCTGCGGCAGCGGCGGATTGTGGCAAGGTACTGGCGGAGACCACCGAGTGTGACGGTCTTGTTCTCGGCGTCGAGACGACCACGCATAGCGTTCACAACCGACTCGGGCTGCTCGAAGATCTCCTTCTGCATGAAGTGGTCGAAGCGGCCCTTCATGATCTCCTGGAGCTGGATCTCCAGGGTCTGGATAGCACGGACGTTGGAGGTACCGTCATCCTTGTTCAGGCGGTGGATGTTCAGCGAACCCTCGTGAATGTGCGCGATGTCGTCGTCCTCGAGGTACAGGACCTTCTTGGTGTGCTCGACGATGGCGGCTGGGTCGGAGGAGAGGAAGAACTCGGTGGGCATGGGCACGCCATCGTCGGAGAGGAAAGCGCGCGACTGCGAGCGGTGCAGAAGGGACTTGTCAGGGGGAGCGAGGAGGTTGTTGGTCTTCTTCAGAGCAACGTTGTGGGAGGCGCTCTCGGCGGGGAGGGCGGTGTTCTCGTCGTTGTACTCGACGTCGACGAAGTCGACCTTCATCTTCTTCTGTGTTCGGACACCAATGACAAGGGGCGAACCCTTGCGGGCGGCGACGACCTCATGGGGGTAGTGGATAGACTTGATCAGAAGACCGAAGGCACCCTGCAGCTCCTTGATGACAGCCTTGACGAGGGAGGGGAAGCTGAGGTCGGGGTGCTCAGAGTAGATGTACTTGGTGAGCTTCGCGATGGCCTCAGTGTCGGTCTCGGTCTCGAATCTGTAGCCCTTGCTCTCGAGCAGAGTCTTCAGCTCCTTGTAGTTTGTGATGATACCGTTGTGGACGACCGAGAATTCCCAGTTGGGGTCGGACCTGCGTTCACGAAAAGTCAGTCTACCGTCCTTGGAGTTGCGTAATGAGACGGGGTGACACGGCGGGATCGGCGAACCCGCAAGAGCTCAACAGTTACAGCTGGAACGCGCCACACGCCGTGCAACTAGCTAAAAGAATACTACGTACCTGTGGGGGTGGCAATTGACGCGCGAGGGAGGGCCGTGGGTGGCCCATCGAGTGTGGGCAATACCGGCGTGTGAGTCGAAGACCTTGTTCAGGTCGAAGTTCTGCTCGTCGACGAGCTTCTTCAGCGCGGCGACCTTGCCCACCTCCTTGACTGCGAAGACCTCGTTCTTCTTGTCACCGTCGACTGCCAGACCGGCGGAGTCATAGCCGCGGTACTCTAGACGTGCAAGACCTGTTGAGCTGTTGTCAGGGGCCATCCATTGAGCGGGGTGCTGGCTGTCACTGCGAGTTGCCAGTGCAGCCACGCAGCCACATACCATTGACGAGTGTGTTGAGAATGTATTTCCTGTCCTTCTCCACCAGGTAGTTGATGTACCCGAAAATTCCACTGTTGGCCAGCGTCGTCAGCCTCTGTTTACAGCGCCGATCGCAGCTCTCAACACAAGCGGGGCAGCTCGACTTACCACATGATGAAAACGAAAGAACTATGTGAGACTGAAAGGGAAAACGATCGTAAGGCGTGTCGTAGATTGGAGAGTGCTGAGCAATATGCAGGGAGAGAGAGTCGATGATATGAGAGGAGCGAAAGAGCGGTCGGTGGTCGTGATATTTGTATCTGAGCAGGCCGAGCCTAGTGAAGCTTGCAGCGAACCCACTTCTCTCCATATCTATCCCCGGCTAGCCCTCATCTATGCAGCCTCTGGTGGCGCCCTGACGCTAACCACACCACCCTTTCATCTTGCCTGTCGTGTCCCAAGCGCTGATACCACCTCAGCATTGCAAATCCATTCCTAAGAAGACGTCTCCTATTCCGCCAAACGTCATCCCTCGGCAGCCCACCATCTACCCGCCAGCGCTTCGGAGTTGGCGGCCGTTGTTGTTCCTGATCTGCCACTACGTGTATTGATGCTTCGGGACGCAAGGCGCAGCATACTAAACATAGCAACACCACGCCCATTCACTACTTTTTTTCAACCACGCTTGGGCAGTTTCTCTCCACGCCGCTTTTTTTGCGGCGCTTTCAATTCTTGTGTCGAGTGGCGAGCATCGCTATGGCCATTGAGCGTGCCATGGGTTGCTTACCACGGTTTGAAAGGCGCGTAATTACACCGCGCTGCCGAAAACAGCTGCTCAAGCTACGTCAGCAGCGCTATCCATGTCGGAAACGAGGCCCCAGGCAAGGAGCTGTCCACGGCCAGCAGCCGATCCTGTTATACAGCCTTTGTTTTTTGTAAGTTGTGGTGTTTGCTTCATTCAGCGCCATGCAAACATCGCAGGAACCATGGCATGTTTCTATAGCCAAGTCATGGTCGTTGTCAAGGGCCCCACTACCTGCGATTCATGCCGCTGCCATCAATGCACTCAACCAAAGTTGTGAGAAGGGCTACTGCACCGTGCTTGAGCAGTGTGATCAGTCTCTTTGCACAGCTGTTATCAACGCGCGAGCGGAGCGAGCTTCAAGTCTAGTCTCATACAGTACAGCGGTGCAGAAGTGAGCTCGAAACGTGGTGGCTGACACCGTGGAGACACTCACCTATCAGCCCAAGTATTTCGTTCACGTTGGGGAAGGCTGAGACGATGTTTGCCGTAACACATGCACGCTCTGAGACAAGGCTTGCTATCTCCTTCACATGTACAAGCCCTCCACTGCTCATCGTAATGCATGTACACTCATGGATTCACAATTTTACGGTGAACGACGCAGCACACTACTGCACGCTTTCCCGTTGCAGGCTACTAGCTAGCGAGGCCAGCAAGTACGTCGCGCATACCGCATGTTTAGCTGTGAGGCAAGCGTGCCGAGAAAGTACTGAGGCCACATTGCGAGACCACTTTGGTTGCTGAGGGGCTTCGCTTGCGGTAACTATGAAGGACTGTAGGGAAAGTTTTTGTCAGACAGAGTGACAGGCGTCCAGGTGTGGCGCGCGCTACTGTCAGCCGCACTTCAGCCTTATGAGCGGCTGACCAATGCTGGCAACATTTCGCGGACCCAACCCCCCTATAGCAGCGTGTGAACGTGCACCGATGTGCAGAGTTGTTTGCATGTGGCAAGTTTTGGAAGTGTGTGAGAGCATTGCTGCTGACATCTGCTTATGATAATATGTATATTCGAGGCACAGCTCGCTGCGCTGGCTTGTATCCAGTCTGGAGGCCATCTATACCCAACTAGCCTGATGAGAAACCTATGATACAATGGAACCGCTTGACCATCATTGCTGTGTGAAAGTTTGAGAGCTGGAAACAAGCTTATCGACCATCGCAGTACCCGGGGGCCTTGTGTTTGCCTCCTGCAACCCAGCTCTGGATCGTGAGGGATGTGGTGTAGACCATAGCGATCAAGCCCACGACGCACATGAGAATGTCTAGTGTTCGCGCAATTGTTGTCCTGGCAACTGCGCGATAGTGAAGCATGGGCTATGGAGAGATTAGGAATCGCAGTTTGTGAGGGAGAGAACCAGAGTGTGTAACTTACGGGGTAGATGAAGACCAGCGGGATACAGGCAAAACTACCCACAAGACTGACGAACTTGTCGAGATCGCCCGCACCCGCCCATGCGATGCAAGCGCAGAGCACGACCATGAAGAAGCGGAAGAAGTTCTTCTTCCACTTGATGAGTGGGTTATACTTGCCCGTCCTACTGAACAATTGCTGGCTGGTAATCTCAATGGCCGGGTAGATCTGCAGCGGTGTCGAGAGCAAGATCGCAAGCGAGTAGATGAACTGAACAGAGTTGACAAATCTGTTGTCCTGCGGCATGTTGAGCAGAACAACAGTCTTGGTCTTAGAACCAAAGGCAGCATATGACAGGGCTCCGGCACTGACGAAAACGATGGTGATGATGATCATGACGCCTCCGAGAACCTTGGGGAACTTCTTGGGATCCTTCATACTGCTCTGGATCGGAATGACCAGGCCAATGCCTTCGAATGTGAAGATTGCTGTGCCGATGAAGAGTGTCCAGTCCTTGGGGTTGAAGTTCGCAATGTCGGAGATGCCGCCCTGATGGACAATGGTGAACAAATCGTAGTAATACAGGTAGACAAGACCCAGAAGGATGAAAGCGTCCGCAATGAGCGCGAGCTTCTGGATGTTGTTGATGTTGCGGTAGAGCGAAAGGGGCAGGAAGACGACCATCTGCATCAAGATCATGTACTTGATATCGATGAAAGTTGCGCAATTTGTGACAGCCAAGACAAATGCTTGGAGGTTTTCAGACACGAAGACGATGTAGGCAGACGAGAAGCCTATCTGCGAAACGACGAGAGAGAAGTTGATCAGGTTGCGCATCCACCTTCCGTAGAGATGGAGGCCCATGTCACCAAACGAACTCTCCACGGCAAGACGTGTGTCGACGAGCAGTACGAAGCAGAAGTACGACAAGCCTGCGACAGCAAGAAGCACTACGTTTGAAAAGGCCATGCCACCGTTGAGGAACGCCCTGGGCAGGAAGAGGACACCAGTACCGACGAATGACTTGAGAAGCAGCATGGCAGCACCTGTTGGTGTGCCCTTGCCCTCAGGCTTTGGCTTCCTCTTCCGCCGTTTACCAGGTGTAGCGGGTAACAGACCACTTGACTCGCCGTATTCGCCTTCCTCTTCAGAGTGTTCGCCTGAGTCCAAGGCATCGGAGGAAAAGTACTCGTCCGGCCCCAGTACCTCATCATCGTCTTCAAGCGACTCACCAGCGAAGTGGCCGTAGAGGGTCAAGAACTCGAGGAAATTACTCGTGAAGGGCTGAGACCGTTGCTGGGCAGGTTCACCAATGGTACCGTAGCCAGAGGGACCGGGCGCAGGTGACGGGCTGGGTGCGTTCTTACGCAGGTACTGCCGACGGAAACCTCCTGGCTGTCGAATAGACGATGCGCTGATGTCGTTATCGTCCTTGGGGCGAGAAGCGTGGAAGCTCTTGCTGCGAGCCATTTTCCCTCGCTCTTCCGCAGCCTGCTGCTCGCTCCACCTGTATATCTGCCGTGTAATGTCGCCGCCCTGCAGCTGCAGACTGTTGAACTCATCGTCGTCGTCGTCGTCACCTCTTCTGCTTTGTGACTCGTCGTCGCCGCCAAATCCACGGGTTGACCTGCTAGGTGACCCATACCGTCCCACCAAGTGCCGGCGCACAATTTCGGGGTCTTCGTAGGGTACGGGAGAGCGACCTCGACCATCATAGGAGCCGAAGTTGCTTGGAGGTCCGCGACCAGAACCAGCAGCGTTGACTGCGGGCGACTGCGGCGTGGCAGACGGGGGAGCGAATCTTGGAGGACTCTTGCCGAAAGACTCCTTCAGCGCTGAAGACAAGGCTGATGTGCCTGGGCCTGGCAGCGACGACTTCTGCTCAGCGCGTCCGGCCAACGGTGTCTGTATAGGCACTGGGGAGACTTCTTCGAGCTGCGCGGGCGTCGGTATCTGTCCAACTGCGGGCGTACGAGACTGGACAGAAGAGGGCACGGGCGAGCCTAATCTTGCGGTCGGTTCTGCGCGTGGGACTGACTGCGAGACCGACGGCGAGGGAGAGCTCCGGCCGGAGTCCCTTGACGAGGAAGGGACGGCCAGAGGCTTCGACAGCTCTGGAGGGTCCTTCGCCATGACAGCTGCTTCTATCACGTCTGCCGCGTGCTGTCGAACTCTCTGCTCAGCTTCTTATCAGAGTTCGATTATTCGCGTGTAACGTCGGCGATAGAAATCTGCACGGCAGAGGTTAAATGGAAATTGTTTGGCGGACCTAAGAGCTGCACAAACGTACCGAGAGGCTCTTCTATAGCACTCAAGACAGTTGCACAAGCAGCGAGTGAGTAGAGATGGGATGAAAGCAGATACGAAGCTGGTCAAGGAATGTGCCCCAGTGCCCTGGTCTGAGGTCATTGGATACCAGGGCGCGGTGTGGGGCGTGCGTGGGATTCCACATGCGCCCAGGTCACCTGCATCCTGCATCCTTGCAGTGGTCAAGAAACGTCGCAGCGGCGGATCGTGCTAAGCCGCCAGAGAGAGCCCCAGTTGTACTTGACCGGAGTCGGTGACTTGCGCGCATCGTCATCGCTAAACGCGCGAGTTTCAACAGCTGTGGCCTGCCTGTGACCATCGTCCCCATGCCTCCCTCACCGGACTCAAACTTTTACAAGCATCAACGGGCCGATAGGCGGCCTACGCATCTACGACCGGCACCCTGAGCCACGATTTGAGCCGCAGTGACATCGTCAACTGGATTATGACAGATGTCAGTGACGGACAGACAAGGCGTATGCCGCCGCGGTCTCACTCCAATTTCGCAGCAAGAACAGCGACTGATGCTTCTGCACGGCTGCATCGACGCTCATTTGCACAAAACTCACCTCCACCCACTGAGAGGACTCCACTGCTGGATGGCACCGCCGAGGACTCGACTGCTCAAGGGGAAGATCATGGTGTCGAATGGTTAAGGAGCTGGTTCTGCAACGCCGTCCACCTACCACGGTCAAAGTCGAATTCGAGCACCCACGATGGCAATCGCCGAGCTACTAGCGAGGAGGTTTCGAAACCGAGGCCAGGCGCATTCCCTCGACCTGTGGGGGGGACCGAGAAGCTAGGTACCTTCGCTGGTGTTTTTGTGCCTGTCACACTCAATGTGTTGAGTATCTTGATGTTTTTGCGATTTGGCTTCATCTTGGGACAGGCAGGCGTAGTAGGCATGATGGGTAAGTTTTCTCCGTGTGGCATTGCCAGGAGAGCTCTCAGTCGTTGCTCGTCCCGGAGGCTAGGCGGTGTTGAGGTGTAGAAGTAAAGGTAACGTCGAAGACTGTGTGGTCTACTGGACCGTCGAGCACGGGCGGCGACGAGAGGCTCACCGGGCGAACTACAGCTTCCCTTCCAAGCTGCGAAATACTGACAGCTGTAGGCATGCTTGTGGCTGGCTATGCCATCAATCTTCTCACCACCATGTCCATTTCTGCAATCGCTACCAATGGCACTGTAAGAGGTGGAGGAGCATACTATCTGATTTCCCGCAGTCTCGGTCAGTTATTCCCCATAACGCACAATATGCTAGCCTTGTAGACGGCAGTAATTCTGTTGCACGATGCTAACTCGACCTGCAGGTCCTGAGTTCGGTGGATCTATTGGCATTGTGTTCTATCTTGGACTTGTGTTCAACACCAGTCTAAACGCCGTCGGGCTGATCGACTGCTCCATTGAGAACTTCGGCAGTCGTACCGGGTCCATGTCTCAGTGGATGCCTCAGAGCTACTGGTGGCAGTTCCTCTGGGCAACAGTGGTGCTCCTGTTATGCACAATTATCTGCTTGGCGGGCAGTGGGCTATTTGCACGCTGCAGCAATGGCTTACTGGTTGTATTGTTGGTTGCCATCATCAGCATACCCGTCTCAACGGTGTTCAAAGACCCCTATGTGGACGACAAGCACGGCATCGTTTTCACTGCCTTCAATTTTGACACACTACGCGAGAACATGATGCCCCGCTTCACCAAAGGTGCCGCTGGTAGTGTGACTAAGCACCGCGAAAGCTTCCAGGACTTATTTGGCATCCTCTTTCCTGCAACAGGAGGGATCTTGGCGTAAGTCTTCCCTGTATACCTATGGTACATATGCTGAATATCTCTAGTGGGGCCAGCATGTCTGGAGATCTTAAGCATCCCTCGAAAGCCATCCCAAAGGGAACCTTGTATGGACTAGGATTGACATTCATTCTGTACACCATAGTAATTGTCGCCATGGCAGCTTCAATCGGACGGGAATCCCTGTACAACAACACCAATGTCATACAGCTCACCAACTTGTCTGGCGTTGTCATCCTGCTCGGAGAATACGCAACCTCACTATTCTCGGTCCTCATGGGCGTCATAGGCTCCGCCAAACTACTTCAAGCGCTTGCGCGCGACCATCTGGTACCCGGATTGTCCATCTTCGGTCAGGGCACCAAAACGAAAGACGAACCGATTTACGCAATCATCTTCACATACGTCCTTGCGCAGCTCACTATGTTTGCGGACATCAACCAGATCGCCTCTTTCATCACGATGACATATCTTATGACCTTCCTCGTCACCAACCTCGCCTGTTTCTTACTGAAGATAGGTTCAGCTCCGAACTTCAGACCTTCCTTTCATTTTTTCAACTGGCAAACGGCCGCAGTAGGCACAATAGTGTGTGGGGCAACTATGTTCTTCGTGGATGGTTTCTACGCCTCCGGTTGTGTCGCGTTACTGCTGGCCGTGTTCATCCTCATTCACTACACGACACCTCCAAAGCCATGGGGTGACGTCAGCCAGGGCCTCATCTACCACCAAGTTCGAAAGTACCTCCTTCGCCTCCGGCAGGAACATGTCAAGTTTTGGAGACCGCAGATCCTCCTGTTGGTGAACGATCCACGGCGTCAGTACAAGCTCATCCAGTTTTGCAACTCACTCAAGAAAGGTGGTTTGTTCGTACTTGGGCACGTCATCGTATCTCAGGATTTCGGCGCAGCTGTACCTGAGGCGAGGCGACAGCAGTCACTGTGGACTAAGTACATCGACTTCTCGAAGATCAAAGCCTTCGTTAACGTCGCCATCTCGCCCGCGGTGGAATGGGGGGCTCGTAACCTTGTTCTCAGTGCAGGCTTGGGTGGTATGAGACCGAACATTGTGGTCATGGGCTCTTACAATCTTACTGAGCTCAGAGATTCGCAGCCTAGCCTAGGGATTCCATCACCCCAGCCGTCACGACCATCGAGCAAATCTACGAACCATTCGATCTCTCGCAAGGCGATACAAGCAGCAGCTAGACGCAAGCAATCGGACAAACTCAATGGGATTCTGCCCACTGACACTATCAGACCTGAGGGTTCGGTGGGAATTCAGAGCTACGTTACCACGATCGAAGATCTTGTGCTCAGGTTACAGATGAATGTTGCTATTGCGAAAGGCTTCAAGGACTTGGAAGTACCACCCGCTCGACCGCCAATCATGAAGCGCGCGCTTAGTCAATGGGGTCTTGCCGACGTTGAGGTCGATGAGTCAACGAAGACATACATCGACCTTTGGCCAATTCAGATGTCAGCAGAGGTCGCAACTGCAGGCGACGATCACAGTCGTAAGAACGTCTTGACCACTAATTTTGACACGTACACCCTCATCCTCCAATTGGGGTGTATCCTGCACACTGTCCCATCCTGGAAGCGATCGTATAAGCTGAGGATATGCGTATTCGTCGAATATGAGGCAGACGTTGACGAAGAGCGAGGACGAGTCACTACGCTGTTACGCAACCTGCGAATCGAAGCAGAAGTAAGTCCGCACATTGGAAATGCTGTATCTTACACGCTGCCCTTCATTTTGTTTTTCCCTAGCGATGAACATTCGCTGACACACCGGCTTGTTAGATTGTTGTGCTTTGGCTAGCAAGCGGCGACTTACGTATGTACGAGGTCATTGTCAACGGACAAGATGAAGGCGACTTCGAACAGGCAGCCAAAGACGTTGATTTCTCCCTGGAAGATGAGCGTTGGTGGCAAGACATCAAAAGACTGCGTCAACCAAACTCTATGAGCGCAAGTCAAGAGCTCGCACAGACCACAGATCTCCTCGAAGCCGTCTATCAATGGCCGATGGCCTCTTTCCAACATGGCAGACGTGACACAAAACCGAAACGGTTCGCCGCATTACAGAAGATGCTCCGGTCGGCCAATAGTAGGCAATCTGTTGACGACATCAGAGAGACTGGTCCCAACGTTGGTATGCGCAGTCAGACATTGTCCGCTGATCTTCTGCTTGGAGATGACAGTGACTCTAATACGGCTGCCAGCGATGACGATGAGGTCGATGACGAAGCTGTGGTCACGGAGAGCGAGGCAGGCGTAAGTGGCAGCAACTTTGACGAATACGATCTTGACGCCTCGGAGGACGAGAGCGACTTCTCAGACGCCCATAGACCACGCTCACTCGGAAGGCCGAAGACTACGCCATCAGGAGTGGGAATACCTTTCTTCTCTAAGAAACTCGATCTTCGCAAAGCTATTTGGAAAGGTTCACCTAAAGACGCTTCACCAAGAAACAACCGCCCGACAAGCGACTCCGTCACACCACTCAAGCCGCACCCCAAAGCTGCTGCCTCGGACACTGCTATCCTCCACACCACGCATCGCAACAGAAAAGCCACGAGTGCGGCAAGCAGCACGTCTCAACTCTCCACATCTCAACTCTCTTCCTCATCCCGAGCGCCTCCAATAATCCGAGACCCCGAATCCCTTCCCAAATTCTCTTCAAAGCCCGTCCCCCGAACAGCAATCGCTCAAACAGAAGCCCCCGGACCCTCCATCATGTTCGTCGACACCCCAGCTGCAGTGCGCCACCAAGACCCCCTCGCAACGGCAACACTTCCGCCGGACAGTCCCACACCCTCGCCCTCACAGTTCGTATCCTCCATGCAACACTCCCCCGCACTATCACCCTCGCCTGCCACCCAACACAGCACCCGCGCCACTGCATCACCCGCTTCAGGCTACCCAGCTTCAGGATACCTGACATCTGCATCACCAGCGTCGGGCTTCCCCGCTCAACAGTCGATACCACTGTCATTCAACGACCTGCCGTGCCGCGCGCAGCATCTCATTCTTAATGAGCTTATTAAAAGCCAGAGCGAGGATACGGCGGTGGTGTTTACGACGCTGCCGAGTCCGATGGAGGGCACGTGTAAGAGCGAGAGCGAGAGCGTCAAGTATGTGAGTGATCTGGAGGTGCTGACGGAGGGGTTGGGACCGGTGTTGTTGGTGAGTGGGGGGACTATGACTGTGACTATGAATCTGTAGTCGCTGGAACGAAAACCTGGGCAAGCATGAGTGCTGCTCATAAGAGCTACCACCGGTTTCTTGCAGCGTAGAGTCCTTATTGTGAAGCGCTTTGGACTGGTTGATACGACACGCATGGTGTATAGGGGAAGGTTGAGACCGGCAAATGAAGATGCGGTGTGGTATCATTGTACAGCTTTGTCAACCCTTCCAAGCACTATACTACTCGCTGTCATCGCTCTCGCTCTCACTCTCAACCTCGATCTTCTCGTCTACAATTTCCTCTTCTTCATCCGGCTTGCCAGTCATGGGGTACGCCTTGAGACACGTTATCCGTGTGCCAGTCGAGTATGTGGCTAGCAGTCTTCCGATTTGGTTTGCTGTGAACCCACTACCCTTCTCTGCGTCCGCGCCGCTATTCAGTTCCGAGGCGTCGATGAACCAAAGACGCACTGTGCCGTCGCTGCTTCCGGTGATGACGAGGTATTTCGACTTGTCCGTTGGAGAGTATGACAGAACCTCGAAGTCCTTAATACGTCCTGTGATGCCAGCTGCCGGGCCACCGATCTGGGCGATGAGTTTGCTGGAGGGCATTTCCTCCTTCTTGGGTTCTGCGTTCTCGCTTGGTGCTGTGGCGCTTGTGTCGTAGAGCAGTATACGTCCGTCCTCCGTCGAAACGAGTAGTGTGTTCGGGCCGTCTTCTAATGGAAGATAGTGCATCTGGTGAATCTTCGTTCTCGGTGTAGGCAAGATCTTGGCCTTTGGCTTCGAGTCGATACCAAACACTACAACACCCCTCTCGAATGCAACCGCAAACTCCTCGCCCTCCTTGTCCCAGATCACGCGCCGTCCTTCGCCAGACTGGAAACGCCCCTCACCAACCGAAGCCAGCATATCGCGCGAAAAGTTAAGTACGCCGGCTTTCTTGCCAGTCACCAAGTTCCACAGCCTCATGCACTTCTCGCCCTTGCCCACACTGACCATGAGTTTCATACTGGGGTGCACGGAAAAATCATTGATACCGCTCGGGACCTCGCCCGGCCCTGCGGTGTCTCCGCTCGGTCGGCCCTGGGGTTTAGGAATCGGCGCTTTTATCGTAGATAGTGCGGTCCAATCGCGGGTTCGTGTGATGGCTATTGTGCTGTCTTCTGCGGCGCTAAGGAGTTTCGCGCGCGTGGGGAAGTAGAGCGCTGTGATATTTGAGGAGTGGTGGAGGAGAGAACCTAGTTCTTTGTTCTTAGAATTCTCGGTGATGGCGATTCCTGTTAGGCTGGGGAGTTTGGGGGTTTTCGAGGGTGCTGGTGGTGCTGTTGAGAGGGAGTAGAGGTTGATGCGTTCATCTGTTGCGCCGGTTGCTAATGTGACCTTGTTGGTTTCGTCTGAGAGCGGGGAGAGGGCCAAGCAACGGATGGCGGATGCGTGGGCGTTGAAAAGGAAGGTATCCGTGAAATCGACCTTGGTTTTTTCGGCCTCTGGTGTTGATGCGTCGTGGTTTCCTGTGACGAGGTCTGATGGAATGGCTGCAGCGAATCCATGCAGAACCCTTTCATAAGACCCAGTAATGATTTGGAAGCTGGATGTTCCTGAGACCTCGTCCTTCGGTGTAAGGGCTGATTCTACTGCTGCCTTGCTCTTGCTCAGGACGACCTTCCCGTTGCTTGCACCTGCCTTGCCCTGCACTGCAGTTTTCTTTGTAGCCTGCTTTGTGACCGGTGCACTCTCCTCTTTCCTGCTCTTCAATGACTTCGGCACTCTCGTGCCCTCCAAATTCTCGTTCTTTCTTTTGGCCATTATAAGTCCTGATGTCATGCGTGTTGTTGCTGTGCAGACGTTTCGCAGCCCAGAAACTGTGAGAAAAACAGCGGCAGAATCGATGGTGGGCTAGCCGCATGCAGCGTTAGTGCAAAGCTTATCTGGGCAAGTGAGGGCGGTGACGAAGAGACGCGCGCGGAGAACTGGCAAGTCCAAACTCGTTTCCCTCAACCTCGCGGAAGCCCCCCCATCAGTGCAGCGGTATTGTCAACCACATTTTCATCAACGAACGCGCTCTACAACCCCCATAATCCATCACATTGGCGACACTCGTGAACAACGGATGTCGGCCACCGTTCGGCGGTCCTCATATGTCCCTCGACGGTCATCGTGATGCATTACTTAGGGAGAAGCGAAACGAGAGCGTGTAAGTACCACGCACTGATATTGTCGCATTATGGTTCATTCGATTCTATGAGTCGATGCGACACTGAAAAATCGCTCGTTTTGTTTTATTATCGTGTTGTGGTGCTGATATTGCGGTGCATAGGACGTGCAATGAGTCCCGCAAGCGCAAGCTGCGTGAGCTTTACAAGCATACGGTCTACCTGGACGTGCCCGACAAGTGGGCCACCAATACCCAACTGGACCAACTTGAGGGTCGATTCTTAGATGAAAATGACATCGAAAGGTAGGTTTTCTTCTTCTTCTTTATCTTGTATCATCTTTCGCAAAGTTGTTTTTACAACTTGATGATGTTGTTGTCGTTCCATTCCACTGACATTGCTTGCCCTGCAGAGGTCGACGCTTCAACGATGCAACGCTCCCATTCCCCTTCTCTGGACAGCAACCACCTTTGCCGTCGACACTACCCTTTGCGCATCCTGGAAAGCCTGCATTATCCTCGTTTGCAAATTCATCGCCATCTCCCATCACTGGCGCCAGCCTAGAAGAGCAACTACGCGCAGCATCTGCCTCACCGTCGGTTGTCACGCAACCACTGCCACCTCCAGATGTACTAACGCACAGCGACGAGAGCCGTTCCTCGAGGCTGTCTTCGATCGCTCCCCCTGCAGGCATCCCACCGCCCTCTAGGCTGTCTGTTGCAGAAGAGCGAGAGCCCGGCAAGGCCTCCACCGCGGCGCAGCGCATCGCCGAAGCGTCGGCTGTCCAGGATGTCGGAGTAGGTGTAGTTGACCAAGAAGGATGTTCTGTCGATCCAAAGTCCGTTGCCGATCCTGCTGTGGAGGATGCATTGAATGCTAGTGTGTTAGAAGAGAAGTGTAGGGCACCTCAAGTTGTTCACCTTCCACCGAAGGAGGTCCAGGAAGCACGGCTGCAAGAGACGGAGCGGAAGTTGAAGAACGCCGTGAACAAGGAGCGGACGGAGGAGGAGCGACTTGCGATACCACAGACCAACGGCTCGGCGGATGTGGTCTCTTCACCCTCTTCCACAGTCGGACCATATTCACAGGCAACGCCGCATGCGCCGCACCACTCTCCCGATACCAGCCCCGATACTGAAGCTTTCCATGATCCTACCCACCCTCTTGTGTCTAACGACGACATCCTGGATCCTGCGGCACAGCAAGTGAAGGAGGATCATGAGCGTGCTTTGCAAAAACATATGAAGGAAGCTCGAGAACGCGCACGCGGACCCGATTCACCAACTTCAGACGTCGAAAAGCAGATCGAAGATGAGCAGGCAATACGCTTAGCGCGAGACGGAAAGAGTCGTCTTAGCGAATCGACGGGCAACACAGGTCAATCGATGACACAAGAAGCTGAGCAGGTCACCAGTGAAAGTGCTGTCGCGCATGGAGCGCGGGATCAACCTGAGCTTGCTGCGGACTCGCTTCCTACGCCAACCACGACTGCTCCTGAGCCATCTATTGTGGACCGCGAAAGTACAGAGAACGTTGTTGGGCGCCTCAAGGAGAATCCGATTGCGGACCATCCTACACCTCCTGCAGATGTCGACCTTGACATGGCTGAAGCGCCGGCATTAGTTCAACAGGAGACCACGTCTACGCAGACCTCACCGCGCCGTGAACGCATGACAACTCGAGTGTCATCAGGAGCCATTCGACAGAAGTCGGTCTCAGAGATCATCAGCGAGCATGCAGCGCACAAAGCAGTCCTGACTCCCCAGTCGAGCACCTTGTCTAGTCCGCAGCGCCCCCGACAGCAGGACCGAAAGTCTATGGAGGTCTCAACAGTGGTCTTCGCAAAGAAGAACCCCATCAAGTCCCACAAAGCGATGCAAACTTACGATCAAGACTACGCATCGTTGCAGGGGGCGTCCGAGGACTCGAGCCGTGACTACCTGGAAGGCTTGTTTAAGTTCCAAGCTCACCACCCACCACGATCTGTACCTTTGCAGGAACTCGTGACGTCTGCTCGAAAGACGCTTTCTACTGCCGGCACACTTGCCATGATCCGCGAGAATCAAGATTACAAGATACTTAAGAGGGTCTATCAGCTCCAAAACGCGAATCGATGGTCTTTGCGGCAGCTGCAGAAGTCTGCTGAGCCAGAGCGTCCTTTCACACACCAGGATCAGCTGCTTCTAGAGATGAAGTGGATGCAGACAGATTTTAGTGAGGAAAGGAAGTGGAAGCGTGCTCTTGCAGCAACTTTTGCCGACTGGTGCGCTGAGTATGTTCACAGCAACTCGGAGGAGCGTATAGCCCTTCGGGCCAAGGTCAGCATTCCCAAGTCGACATCGGTAACGACTGCCGACGACGACATGCACGATGCTCCTACACCCGATCTTGTGCCCTCTGGCGCACACGAAACCGAGAGTGAATCGTACGCAGATGAAGACGAGCTCCTGACGCCTTTCCATGCCGACCCTCCCGCTGGTGTGTTTTCTCTTGGCTTCAATGATGTCGTCATGAAGATCGATCGCACTCCGGCCAGCGATCACATGTTCCGCGAATTACCGTTCTACGAACCTATGCTCGAGGGTGCTAGCGATGTTACACCTTTTTCGATATCCGAGCCACCCATCTTACCTGTCTCGAAGTTTGTTACTGGTAAATTAGTCTCGCAGATCAAAGGTCCGCCAAAAAAACGCAGCAGATACGACTATGATTCCGAGGATGAGCCTTCTACGCCGCCCAGCCGGGCCGGTACCTCTGCAGAGCACTCGATGCCTTCCACTCCAGGACGAAGGTTGTTCTGCCGGAATGATCTACCTCCTGAGATGACCGATGTTGCACTGTTCAATGCCGAGAACAAGCACGTTCGAGACAGACTACAGGCAGCGCACCAGTTTAGGCCACCCACCGAGTTCAACATGCCTTCAGTAGCTTTCTTTGAGAACAGAACTCCTTCCCAGTGGCTATGGGAAGAAGATCAGAAGCTCCGCGCTCTCGTCAAGGAGTACACCTTCAACTGGTCTCTGGTTGCCCAACAGTTAGCGTTGCCATCCAAGTTCACATCAGGATCCGGTCGCCGTACACCTTGGGAATGTTTCGAGCGTTGGGTGCAACTGGAAGGTCTACCCGCAGAGATGTCCAAGACGCAGTACTTCCGCACATACCAAGGTCGACTGGAGCAGGCCAACAAGGTTGTCTTTGCCCAATACCAAGCTCAGCAACAGCAGCAGCAACAACAGTCTGTCGGACAAACGCCAGGGCAGCCTAGAAGACGCCCCACGACTACACCAATCCGCGTGGAAAGAAGACGAGAGAACCGCCACCTTGCTATCATTGATGGTATGCGCAAGCTCGCTAGGAAGCGGGAGTCAACTGCACATAAACAGGCAGAATCGCAAAAGGCAGCGGCGCTCAGGAAGGCGCACGAGCCTGCGGCGCCAAAGAATAACGTGCACACTCCGCAAGAGTTCAGCAAGCTCAAGTGGGAACGTGAAGAGAAGCTGAAGCAAAGGCAACTGCAACAGGAGATGGCCGTTAGGGTAAGTTCGATAAGAACACTTAATGAGTATGATGCTAAGAAGTCGCAGAACCAGATGGCTGCGCAGCGCCAAGCTCAGATCAACGCACAGAACGGTGTGCCGAACGGTGCACCGCAGATGCAGCGTAACGGCACACCCGGCGGCGTCAACTCCAACATGTCCACACAAATGGCCAATAACCCTTCGCAACAAGCCCAGAGCGCGGCTGCGATGGCGGCACGGGCTCAGCAAGGCCAGCAAGGTATGCAGAACAACCTCGGTAACGCGAATATGGCCGGCATGCCCATGGGAACGCCAGGTGTTCCCCAGGCGCAAATGCAGAGTAACATGCAGAATGGTCAGCGAATGGGACCTCCAGACCAGATGCGTATGGCGATGCAGCGGAACCAGTTCAACAGTCCCAACCAACAGCAACAGTTCCAGTTACAACACCAACAGATCAATATGGCCAGCAACCTTGCCGCTCAGGGCATGAACATGAACAACATGCCCAACGCAAACATGATGGCGCCAATAGGCAACCAAAATCTGAACGGAAACATGAACGCGCCCATGAATGGCATGTCGAACAATGCGGGCTCCCCACGGGTACACCAGGCAACGCCCAACATGCAGCGCCAGAATGTACCCAATGCGAGCGGCCATGTTCCTCAGTACCTGCAACTGCAGAATACGATCAAAATGCAGCATCCGGACTGGACCAATGAGCAGGTTCAGAAGTCGGCTTCTGAACAGCTCCAGCGATACATGGCTAAGCAGCGTGTACAAGCGATGAATGCCGCAGCAGGCTCTCCGGGAATGTCGTCGCCATCGCCGCAAATGGCCAACAACCAGTTCATGCAGCAAAACGGCGGCATGGCTAGCAGCCCGCCTGTCAATGCGGTCCAAAACTACCAGCAACAGCTGGTTCAACAACAACGACTAATGAGCCAACAACGACAAACCTCACAACAGGCCGGCAGCCCGGGCATGAATGGGCGACCACCGAGCAGAAGCGCTACGCCACAAAACCTGCAGCAGATGCAGCAAAGCCCCGGTCTCACGCAAGCCCAGCCCAACCGAACCTCCTGAACAGGCTACAGATGACCTCTGCGAGGCATCTCATACCTTCGATGTTTGTTTTGCACTGTATATATTTTGTAATGTTCTCCTTTCTGCCCTGGATGATGAGCGAGCGTGTATTCAAAAGCCTGTCCAAGCGATGCAAAGCGGTTGCATCTCATGGAGACATGGTAGCACGGTGTTAGCGGCGTTTTAAGGCGCTGGGAGATCGGTATGGGTGGGTAGCGATAGTGCGAGCGATTGTTTGATGGCCAAGAGGCCTGTAGAACTTTGAATATCACGAAATTCTTCGGCACGTATCAAAACCACATGTTTGCCCATTGAAGTTGTCAGTGTGATGATCACACGTCAGTACCTCCACATACCCACGGTCCCTTAGTGGGTTTATATCGAGTAAAATGTCGTATTTTCTACGCTTCGCCATCTTAGTGGTTGGATCATCTACACTACATGCGTAACATTCATCGCCTCCGTCCACGGCTTCCAGAACTCCTCAATGCCCCTCTCATATTGCCAGCCAGTCCAGTCTGGCGCTGTCAAGCCCCAGGTGTCTGCGAAGCCCTGCACCCCAGACCTAATCCTGTAGCTGCCTGCAACACCCCACATCATCCAGCTGATCTTGTTCTCAATCGTGTACTCTTTGAGGCAGTTCTGCAGCGTATCGTTGAACAGCGTTTCGTCTTGAGCTGAGCCAAATTCAGAGATGATAACTGGTGTCTGAGTGACAGCCTTGGGACAGTCGTTGGTGATGTTGCATGCGAGTGGTGCGTCGATGCCGAGCGCGTTCATTCCGTTGCGGTAGAATCCGGCTTTGATGATGTCGCAGGTTCCTGTGTCGACGTCCTCGCTCATCCGGTAGAGATGTAGTTCCCACACCAGCTTGTTCGCCCAGGCATGGTCGGCTAGGTTGAACACGACGGGGTCGCGGCGTGCGGCGTCGCGGATAGCGGTGCATTTGTAGCAAGGAGCCGTGAGGATGTTCTTTCCACTAGTGAGGGCGCTGAGATCCTGGCCGTACTGCATGCCGGACCAGATGATCAGGATGTCAGGGTTTGCGGCGTGGATGGCGTCTGCGCCAGCGGTCATGTTGCCGACAAGTGTGTCCCAGTTGTAGTACAGATTTGTGACGTTCCAGGACTCGCGGAGCTCGTTGCGCAGCGACATGCTGACAATGTTGGGGTGCTGCTTGGCCCAGTTTGCGACGTACGAGATACCACGGCGCCAGTGCGTGGCGTTGAAGTTGAGGTCGTCGAACCACGCATTGCCGTCGATGTGTGAGCAGCACCATTGCGCTTTGCCGACGTGGACGTCGGGCGAGATGAAGATACCTTTTTTCTCAGCGAGGGAGGCGATGTCGGACCAGATTTGGAAGCGCGTGGTTTGAGATGTCCAGCCAGAGTTCTTTGCGATGATTTCATTTGTGACCTTGGTGCCGTTGACGTAGCCTAGAGCGTTGATCAGAGCAACCTCGAGGGGCACGTCCGTCCCGTTCCTGTCGTAGACTTGGTCGATCATCTCAATGGCATAGCCCCTGTGGAAGTCAGCTGAAGGTTCTTCCATACAGCCTGGAGTACGTACATGCGAATGTAGTTCCAGCCAACACTTGCAATGTCGTCGAGGATCTCTTCTGCTGATGCCCATTCAAGGCCTTCTGGGATCATAGTCTCTCCTGTCATGAATGTCAGCAATTGCCCTGCTGAGAGACATCCTCACGTACCTGACATAGGCCAGTTGACCCCAGCCCAAGTAATCTTCTCCCCGCGACTGTCGACAATGTCTCTTCCCTGGGTGCTATACGGGCCGTGGAATGCCGTCCTATTGCTTCGTCTGCTCAAATGCTCTGAGAAGTGAGGCTCCTCAGCAGTTGGCGGCAGGTAACTCGCAGACGCAGTAACGGCTGCGAGTACCGTTGTCAACAGCAGCTTTGGTCCCAGCATTTTGTGTTTTGTCGCTCTTCACGATAGCTGTGCTCCAACGCCTTCGAGGCCAATTGCCTTTTATACTCCCTGCCTGATCCTGCTCCTCCGCATCGTAACCTGCATAGCCCTCCCAAGCTCTTCCAAAGCTATCCCAATTGACGTAGATGTCTGCTGATCATGGCCGGCTGGTCGGGCGATTGCCGTCCGAGTACCAAGCGTCCTACCACTAGAGAAGGGGAGTTACTGGGAAAGGTAGACCGTCCGCTGGTGCACATGTGGGGAAGCGATTTTCCAAGACTCAAAGGCGCTCTCCGCGTGGAGGAGTGCGGAGAAAACGCCGCGCTAGAAGGAACTAAGCCTCAGGAACCGGCATAGCTGCCGAGGTTGAGCAGGGCCTGAAGAATCTTGCTCTTCGGGTTGTTGCTGCGCTGCTGTCTTGGTATGGATCTTGAGGGGGTTAGAAGAGAGTGAGTGCCTGATAAGTTTGCCGTTGTTGGTACTAGTTTTCTAGCATGGCTTCTTCAATTGATGGGCTGTGTCGTAGGCTCCTTCCCAATTTTCGATGTCTGAGAAGCATTTGCGATCTGCAGATCGTACAACGTCAACAAAAATCAAAATGCGTGCAACACAACCTCCGTTCGTAAGCGCTGCGCAAAGTCTTTAAGGTTGCTGACAACTGGAGGTCAATACTGCAGTGCGAAAAGGATCAGCCGATTACGACTCCGCAAAGGTTGTGACGTGTGTTGATTGTCACGATGCGGTCTTGAACAAAACATCCTTGCAATCCTTCAGCTCATGTCACCTCATCCGCGGTATCAACGCTGAATACCCGCCGCCGTGCGTAATGGAGCGTAATATGCAGTTTGAACGTGTTTTACATTTGGTATGTCATCTTTAGCGATAGTTGTCAACGGGTGCCATGCATGCAGTATGTGCACCGAGACTGTCCTTCATGCTCTCAAAACGCCCAATTTCCAAATTGATGCAGCAAATGACCTCGACCGTCTCGCCGGGCGTATATCGCGATACCCCTGTACGTGCGCGCTCAATGGCTGAGACGAGCTGCTTATTTGCCCTTGGGATTGTTGAGCTGCTGCTCGTAGAACTTAGCCGGCCAGACAGGCTGCATGTTGTCAGCAATTGAACTTCACCATGCTCGTTTGGTGCTTGCCTCGCTCTGCTGGGGCGAGTGGTTGCCCTTGAAGTGCTCCGAGTCGGGGCCCTTGTTGCTGCCACCCTCTTTCCTGCCCTCGTTGTCTGATGCTGTACCTGAAGACATTCGTTAGCAATTGATGTTGGGACAGCGGCGAGCGCTGAATTCCACTGTTGGTACCTCGTTGGCTAGCCTGAGCAGGCGCATGTGTGGGGTGGCCTCCACCAGAGGAGAAGCGATTCTCAATGTTCTCGACGCCCTGTGTCTTGTAGGGGTTGGGGAACCAGTATTGGCGCATGTACAGGTAGTAACCGAAGCCGACGGCACCGCCAGCCATGAAGATCTTGGGTACTGAGAGGGGAGACATTGTGTGCTGTGATGTATGGTTGGGGTGTGTCGTTGGGGCGTGTGGTGTGGTGTGAGAGCTCTGGCTCGAATGCTAGGAATGCAATGGTGTGATGAGTAAGGGCAGAATATGAGCTGAGGATGTGGACGTCAGAGTCTTGGAGCTTGGGAGCTGCAGGTGATATTACTCGGTTCCAGGCCAATGGCACCACAGTGGGAGCGCGTCACAGTTCTGTTCGATATGTTCAAATGGTGTCGTCATTATTGCTGATGCCCTAGGCAGAGCTTCAGTGGAGCTATACAAAACGCGTTAGGCCTAGGGGATGCGGCTCTCAACGAGCCACTGTGGCTGACTGTGGCTGCGAATTCAGAAACCATCTCCTGGAATAGCAACTGGACACGCAACCGACTCGACATTCACCCCTTGCGCGAATTGTTGGGAAGAGGAGGAAAGTCACCTCGACGTCAGCGGGTCAGGACAGCTTCATGGTTACACGGCAAGAGCAACTTTGGGAAGCAGCGACCGCAACGGCATTGAGCGCATCCCAACACCATGGACGGTGATCCCGCCGTTGAGCCAGAACTCGATGGCTTCAGCCGCGTGCTGCCATTGCCTTATCGCGTGGCCCTGATCATAGTGCTGGGTATGTCCTCCTATATCTCTGCTGCTATCCGCTACTATTTGGCACCTGTTCTGCCCCCTCTCTTCGTCTCAACTAACATGCGACCACAGGCATCTGGGCATGGGGCCTCAACCTGCACTACCTCTCTTTAATCCGCATCGACGTCCCCTCACTCATTCGCTACCCCTCGCGCTCCTCCCCACACCACCTGCCACACCACCTCTCCTGCTACCGCATTGCAACCTTCCTTTCGATACCCCTCGCCCTTTCTCTGCTCCTATTCTGGACCCTCACAAACGGCAGTCCCGCGGACATCGCAGCATGGGAAATCCTACCAAACCTCTATCTTCTCGTCCTCGTCGTGGGCTTCATCGCTCCGCTCCCTTTCATCTCGCGCGCGGGCCGCAGTAGAACACTGGCTACGTTGAAACGCATAAGCATAGGAGGCATTGCGGAAGCCGCAGACGGGAAGTTCGGCGATATCCTGCTTGCTGATGCGTTGACATCCTATGCAAAAGTCCTCGGCGACCTGTTCGTCTCCCTCTGCATGTTCTTTTCCTCCTCGCACAGCAGCACTGGCCCGCCGAATCGAAACTGCGGCGGCGCCTTCTGGGTGCCGTTCATAATCAGCATACCTTCTTTGATTCGATTGCGGCAGTGCGTCACAGAGTATTTCCGTGTGCAGCGCGCGAACGCGCAGACTGGATCGATGTCGAAAGCTACAGGTTGGGGCGGCGTGCACCTCGCCAACGCGCTGAAATACAGCACTGCGTTTCCGGTCATCATACTGAGCGCCTTGCAGCGCTCTCCCGAGCCAGACAAGTATGGTGTCAGCGAGACAGTACTCTTTAGAATGTGGATGGTCGCCGTGGTAGTGAACTCTGGGTACTCATTCTGGTGGGACGTGATGCGCGATTGGGACTTGACGCTTTTTTCACCAAGGGAAAGAAAAAATCCAGAGTATCCCTTCGGGCTGCGACGGTATCGGTACTTCCATGCTAAGGAGTTCTACTACGCTGCGATCGTCATGGATGGCTTACTGAGATGTACGTGGAGCTTGAAGCTCTCGCCGCATCTGGACCACTTCAACGATCTTGAGGGCGGAATCTTTACAATGGAAGTGCTTGAGGTGTTGAGAAGATGGATGTGGATATTCTTCCGTGCAGAGACGGAGTGGGGTGAGTACATCTACATCCATCCTGCTTTTAAAGAATAAGATTGCTAACAAGCGACAGTGCGTACCCACCGTGGCCCAGCCCCAGACGACATCCTGCTTGGCGACGTGAACTCGAATCGGTACGATGATAGCGAAACAGATCGCTCAGATTAGATACCCATAGACTAGACTTTTTGCCTTCGCAATGATACCCCGTTTGCACGATTCGATTTAGCACGACTGCGGAATCTAAGACGACGCAAATCCAGCACAGCTCGGTATCACCCTGAGTGCCATCGATCTCGACATGAACACCGAGGATACACGGGAGACTCTTAATCAGTCCTCGTGGAACCAAGGATCCTGAACGATATCTCGTGCCGACGCCCTTGCGGTAGGCTCAAGTCTTAGTATACCCCTCACAAGCTCCCCCACTTGTTGTATATCATTCCGACTCAAGTCCTGCTTCCTCTCTTCATCAAGGTGTATGTTCTCCAACCACGTTTGAAGTGTATGGAGAGGCTCTTCGAACGGTGGTGTGGCAATCTCAACGTACCACTTCTCTAGCTCAACTCGTCTCGCGGTGTCCATGACTTGCCACTCTTTCTGCCAGCGGTCTGGCATCCTGTCACCTGTGTGCTCCAGCATTTGGTTGCCAAGCGATGAGATTTGGGATTCGAAGTAAGGGTCGAATGGTGTTGTCACACGATAAGCTCGAAAAGCTGGAAGTGTGCATCAGTCTGCTCGGTAGTGTTGGTCAAATGGTATTGGGGTTTGAACGCACCATACAGCCCATGCTCCACAGGTCCATGCGATTGTCCGCTTTGTCTTTAAAGATCACTTCTGGAGGCCGAAGAGGAACTGGATTGTGAAACTCGTCAGGGGTGTCGTGGCTCATGAACGATTGGCCGAAATCGATGATCTTGACAGGACCAAACAAGGATTCGTAGTCTTTCCGATATATGGTGGGTCTGACAAGATATTGGGGCATGCTGGGCTCGAGTGGAGCTCCGTCAACCCTTCTGACGGAGCCCACATCAGGCTTTCCCAATGTTTGGAAGAACTCTTGCTCTTGCAGGGCTTGTATCGAGGGGATGGTGAAGGCCACATTGCTGGTATGCAGATTTAGCAACGGTGAGCCAGAGAAACCGAAAAAATCGAAGCCGCGACGTACCTCCATGGGCTCGTCCCTAGTCGTGTAGACAGCATATGCCAAGGAGAGTTTTTCTTGCAATACTCTTCGCAACTTTTCTAGAATACCTATATTAATAAGAATAGGCATCGGTAAAATCCGCAACGCTCGGCCCAAGCATCTCCAGTACAAGGCGGTCATGAGTACTGGCAGTCAACGGCGTAATCTACAAGTTTACCGGCTTCATCTACGCAAGCCCTCAGGTATGCCAATTGGAACACCTCCACTTGAAGATGAGCTGCTCTCTTCTCTCACTTCGCGAACAGGCAAGGAGGTCAGCGTCCGTGTTTGTCCCGCCTTTCGCTGTACATTAGGATCGAAAAAGATTCATCGTAAAACTACTCAACCTTTGTGCTCGTCGAAAGTGTCCCCCGTCGCCAGAAAAGTGATCAAAATTATCCAATACATCAGTGATCCGGTAAAGGCGAAGAACACGCTCAATGCGATCGTCGTGGCCACCAAAAAGCCGGACCTAGCCCACTTCACCATCGCCAGGCTTGTGTCAGTAGAACTTCTGCCGATCCATGAACGCTCAAGTGGCTTACATGCTAATTACATGCAGAAACTGGTACACCAAATATTGGCTTGCATGATCCGCACATCCTCCTAGTTGGCGGGGCTCCTCCCCAAAACATGCAACCCCTTCACCTTTACTGTACCCTTTGCTATCTTTGTCGGGAGTTCCAGGTTCATATCGTACAACACTTCATCATCATACATCACCCCAGAGATCTTCAAGCCCTTCTCCTTATCGTCCTCCACCTTTGTCATGAGACGCATCACAGTTTCGTAAACTGCCTTATCATGCAACCCGCGAGGTATTCAGTGTCTTTTTCTGGTCTGCCGAAAAGCGCTTGGTACGAATATCTGAACGGTGCGGTCCGTATAGCAACCAGTGCTTGAATGCGTCTCGGGGAGTCCGGAAGTAGCGCTTGACTGAATCGATGGCCTTGCTCATGTTGCTCTATGGCTTGGGAGCAGCATGGGGGTGGGGGCTTGGTGAGCGGCGGAGTTGGCAGAAACTAGGTCCCTCACGGACTGGAGGTGAAAGTTCGAATTGGATAGCCATTTTGGTGGGGTTGAGGTTTGGCTGGAGGTATTCAGATATTTGGGTGTTTTATGTGGAGGGAGGAGGCAGTCGAAACATAGTTTATACTAGGTGAGGATAATTGTTGTTCGAACCTTGGTTGAGTCTCCCTAAGATGGTGAACCATACCGCACAACCAACCATCGTAGTCAGGGCAATATCATGTTCTTGCAAAGAAATGGTCCAGATGGCGACTCAGAATGTATGAGTACTATTTTTCCAATCACATGAGTGCCTCCAGGCTGATTAGTCGGGTAACTGGAGTTGCCGCAAGTAGAACTGAAGCGTTGAAATGACGAATAATGAGCTCGACATATTAACCAGCCTTATTTCTCGCCAGTGCTCACTGGCACGAGAAACTTTCACAGCAGCCGAGCAGAAACCTGGGTTACGAGAACCTCACAAAACAAAAGGATCCGCACATGGTCGCGAGTAAGACCTTGAAGCTTACCCGAGTCACCAATGTAATTGCACGAACATTGATCAAGGAGAGGAGGAAAGCAAAGAAACCAACACTAGCAGATGGTCGCCACAAGCGGGACTCGAACTTGCAAAAATTGGTAGCTTCTCTTCGATTGAGCGTGTCATCCTTAGTGCAGGGGCCATACTAATCTTCTCTGTATTATTTCAACTGACCATTTGCCCGTAGGCAAAAGAGCGTGCGTTGTTTAACATTATATCCTGATGCACATTGCATGCCGTTGTGGCAGAGGGGACAAACCTGGGACAGAAGGCAGCAGTGATCTTCTGGGCCTGAGCCCTCACCATCCCTTGTACTCTGACTGAACCCGACCTCCTGTATCTACAACTTTGCATTACCAGTGGAGCTACTGCTCCACTCGTCCTCCATAGTCTCAGACTCACATAGGACGTTAAATCAATCAATCAATCAATCAATCAATCAATCAATCAATCAATCAATCAATCAATCAATCAATCAATCAATCAATCAATCAATCAA